TTTGTCTACACTACTAATAAGTGTTATCATTGTCCCGGAACCTCACCGCCCCTGTGCATGTGAAGACAAGCGAGAAAGCTTACGGACGGAACGATATGATCCCGTGTCGGATACTGCGAGCTGAGCCGCGAACTCACTAGATTTCCCCTTGGCAAGACCGGTTTGTCGCCCAGGACGAAATCTCCTTCGAGACATTGGACTCTACAGAAGGCTCTGACAATGAGAAATTACAGGAATAACACACGGGAACGACGTAAGTAACTCCCACCGTATCACGAGCCATAAGGCTAAGGGAATCAAGAACTCTCACAGTTTCTTCGAATTTTTGAACGTGGCTGCCTCTCCGCAGAAGCAAGTAAGCTGCATAACATCAGCCGGCATGGGAGAAAGGCTACGGCTACTGTGACTCACGATCTCCCTAGATCTAGACTCCCCATGAACGGCTGAGTTTCTGGGTTTAAGAAATGGGGGGCACATGGGTTCCGCAAAGAGTCTAATCCATCAAGAAATCGCAAGTTTCGACTACTGCAAAACGAATGCACCATGCAAAGGCAGCTGTCACCTGAACTAGTCAAGCATGCAGTCAGCTACCAAAAGAGTAGATGTGGGTGTGAAGAGCCGGTCCCTATATCAACCAAATGGCAGTCCCACAAAAAGACCATCTTGGGGTATCAGTTTATCAGGTGTGAAATTAAATGACCGGTATTGAAGCAAATAGGTAGCCTATATCGTGCTTATCGTCGTATACAGTTCCACTTGAGGGTTATTAAAGTCCGCCATGGCTGCTGAACACCAAGTATACCGCTGCCCAAGAGCTACTTAGTTCGTCATGGGATAGTGCACCGCATTACACAAAATGTTGGATTTATTCCACAATTAGGAAGAAATTGCCGTCGATCGCCTGTATGGCGGAGGTAATTAATAGATCTAAAATCGGTGATGAGGAACTCGCACGCAAGTGGTCACCTTTGCCGCAGCCAGACACTGGCCAACTCAGCGGCCACCCCTGAAGGCGGGGGATTGAGAACTATTGTCCTTATTTCACCCTTCGCCGTTGTTGATAGCTCATTGAAAGGTGTGGTGGACAATGTCGGGCTGTGTCATAGGCGCGCAGTCATGATTCCTTCCGATATTGACCTTTTGCTGTTCATTCATTGCCAAAGTTGTGTCATTGCCAATAAACGCAAGCCTCTCACACGTTGCTGTTGCTAAGTGATAAGGCGGGTAAGGCCAGCTCGTGCGACCGGGACCGGACGGTTAGGAAACATCGAGCCTGGTGGAGGTTGGAGCTTTGGTCACTCTCGGAAAGGGTTCCGAAGCCGTCTGTCAGGCAACATCCAGATCAGAGGGAGGCGGATGCAAGCCTCAACTGGATCACGGATGGGTTCTGGGCTGCAAGCCAACTGCCATTGTCCTCATATTGCTGTGCGCCGGACACATGGGTCGATCCAGGGCCATGGGTTCGTTCCTCTTCGTGTGTGTTTGGCGCTGAAGAATGCCAACTGGCTTGTGCGCCGTCCAAGCGATGCGCTTTTACTATTGAATGAGTTGATATAATCCTTCTTTCATCGTTTCCAACCTAAGTTGTTAAGAGAAATACGTCCTCGCTGATGTGAGGTCGCTATTATTAGTCCTCAGCTACTAGAAAGCAGGTTAATTCGTCCCCGGCTGGTATAAGCGATAGCCTTTACGAGCGGCGATCTAGTCCCACCGTAGACCGCGAGCCGTGTCCCAACGAGGACTAGCCTGGGGACTCTAGAAGAGCTGAACACGTCGTGAAGGGGGGAGCTGGGAAGGTACTGCCGGACGGCATACAAAGCCCGATTGAGCGGACAGGACCGAAAAAAACAAATGCAATACAACATTCTTTTTGCTTGAGCCTATCAATATGGAGAGAGGGAGGACAATCCCGAAGGTTGCAGGGTAGAGCTCAAAGCAATTTCCGGGACAGAACTAACTGCCCAGATATTGATACAGGTTGAGCTCATACAGGTCCGGGATAGAGTATTGTCCTTGGTAATAAGTCGATGGTTCTCTGCCCACAGCTGAGGTTGGTTTCGTATAGTTGAGTAGGCTCGGGTTTCTTGAGGTGCAGCCTCACGCGCGGGAAGTCTGCGTCGATCAGGGCCTGTAATTCCATTCTGGACTCTTTATGGCCCTTGTTATCGATGTTGGAAATATAGGGCTCCAAATGAGATTTGTACGTGGGACGACTAGGAGATAATGCTTGGTCGACGAGCTTGACATGCACGACAATGTTGTCTCCCTGAGCAGGCCGCCGCCTCTGTCTAGCGGAAAGGCACAATAGTGACTTGTTCTTCTTTGGGAAATCGACGCGTAAAGCTAGCATAAGTGTATGCACCTGGCAGACCTGGTTTCCAATATCGCCCATGCACTGTACTTCGTAGGCCGCGAGGCCAACCACACCACGAGACACACCACAGCGCTTGGTACCACACCCACGATCCTATCTTCCGCAATGCCTAACTCTGCTGGGTGCAGCGGAAGGTCCGATGAACAGCGAACGCTCTCGTGGCAACCAGGATGGATGTGAAAATAAAGCGCGCCGTACGACGCCAATGCGGGGTGGGAATCTTGGTGCCCATGTGGGACGTCGACCGGTTCGAGTCCAAAGTTGCATCGCAGCCGATGGCATGAAGCCGCCATCCCCACCTGACGTGCCAGGGGCCCGATTTGTTCCATTCAATCGGCAGCCCGGTAGATAGGACAGTGAAAATGGCTTTAAGCACTCATACGGTGCCGAAACTGGGCCATTGGCTTTTGCTTCGTCGGCATGCGCAACGGCGAGCCTACTACGCCAGGTCTCTGCATGCCGCTAAATGAATTCACGGGCTTGAACGGGCTCCCTGTGGGGCCCCTTGTGCTAGTAGCCTAGGGTCGGCCCAGGGCCTATCGTGCAATTGGTGCCAATGGATTCCCAAATATCACCAACTTACACCCAGGCTCCCGATGGCAATAGCAGGGTGTGTTTGTATTGGGCAATGACATGGATGCAGTTAATCATGATGACGGGGAGCCCTGGGGAGCCCTGGAGAACAGATGAAGTTACAGCGTCGGTTAACCTTGTTTTGCGCCATACATCCCGCTAAGATCTTGGGGGTTGCGCCACTGCTGCTGTAGATAGAGGAGACGGTACGTACTTTGTACTTGCCAGCCGAAATATACACAGTTCGAGATGGCGATCTTACCTTGGTAGCTTGGCATGCAAAGCCTTTTGCGCTTCTCATGGCAATGTATTCTAAGGCCTAGTCGCCGCGAAGGAATGCCTCACGCATTTGAAAGGATGATGCTGCATTTGATGGGGCTCCGACCTGCAACTTGGCCGATGGCATGTCATGGAGCTCGTCAATCCTAATAACTTGAGAACCCGTGTCTACACCGAACTTATCAATCTATAGTTACTATGTAGACAAGACAAGTCATCAAGTGCCATGTTTGCAAAGAATAAAGCAGCAAATCGGATTTGTCGTTGGGCGGTGCATGGAGAAAAGGACGTCAATCATAAGGCTCCGGGAAGAAGGTATTTTAGACTTATTAATAGTATTGAAAACAGTTCATCATCGGGCAGTCAGTCAATTTATTGGTAATACCCCACGCGCACAGAGCAATGACTTTAGTGTACCAGAAGGGCCACCCAGGGCCGTTGTGAGGTTGCATCGCATAGACACCCAACGTGCCGCGGAGTATAAAAATCGGTCAATCCAAACACATCGGGATGGTATTGTGATAAAACATGCACATATAGATCTCCGCTGCACGCGGACGAGTTGGAGTCCTACTCCCTCGAGCTGCCGAACGATGGCGTCAGAAGAATCTAAGAATCTAGGAATCTGCATGTCAAGTTTCGTTAAAATGCCCTGAAGACGAGGCACCCCTAGTTAATTCCATTTCGAACCTGCCCATTAATAGACATGGGATTTTGAATTTTTGAGGGGGGAGGAGTCTCTCGTCATTGATGATTTGATTGATTGATTTAATGGACGGCAAGTTTAGGAGCGTGTGCACCAGCAGGATTTGGTTACACAGAGAAAAGGAAAGACAGAATAAGTAAGTCCTATCAACGTCAAGCTCGCACATATTTCTTCTTTCGATGCGCCATTCGTATTGATATCCCAGCGCTTCCACGCCGCGGGGGACACGCTGTGTAGTGCTTGTCCTTGCAGCACTTGCACTGCAGCAGGCACGCCCGCACGGTGTGGCTGAGAAACAAGGGTCGAGCAACAAGGCCCGCGGGTTTACCTGAGAAGACCCTGGAAACTCGCTGTTTGGGAGTGCAACCCAAGCAATGGACTGCACCCAAAGGCCCCATGCTCCTGCATTTCTTGACCTTGACTTGTCAGTTTCTTGCAGCGTGAATTGATCTGGGACTTCAAAGTTGAGTTGACAGCTCCGCTAGCTCGACTAGAGCTTCTCGACGACTGAGTTCGAGGTTGGGTTCAAGCTTGTGCTCGTCTCTACTTAGATAGACGTGGAGCTGTCAAAGCTCGAATGGTTCGTCCCGAATCCCAAACTCTATCTGATCTGAAGTCTCTCAACACATGATTTGGGACGACCAAACATGCGACGTCCTTTCCATTGCATGATAACCCCATTACTACCTCCACGGCCCGTGCGATGCTGGGGACACAATTCATGGCTATTCTCCGTATTGACCGACACCCTTGCGGTTCTGTTTCACTGTGTCAAATTGTACACAGGTACTTCTTCTGGCAAACCGGGACACCCTTGCATTCGCTGCCCCAAGCCCATCTCTGGCTACATCCGCTTTGTGATCCCATGCTGCATGCAGCACAAGCGGCACTAGTGACTGCCTAGGCACGAAGTATGCTCGCGGGTTGTTCGAGGCGCTGGGAAGGGCTAGGCTAGGACAGGCCTAGATGGATGTCTGAAGTTCCGGGTTGTGTACCCTGGGCTGGATTCTGTGTGGATTTTCTGTGTAGATCGACTCAGCTGTGACGAAGAAGTATTTTACGATCAAGGTCGCCGTCTTTCTTTTGCTATGTCTGATGGTTGCGGCTCACTGCAATGCTGCCAATGAACCTGTCTATCCAGTGTTGTCATTTTGATTGGGGGCTGCCTACAATAACCCGCTTGGGGGGGTTTATGTAAGTGAGGATTCGGAACTTATGCGTCAGATCATCATTCCTGGTAGGGGCTGGCTGAGCCTCGAGTGTAAAATTACCTGCAATTCAATGCAGTCAAGTGCGGTGAAGTTGTTTGCTTCCTCGTCACAGCTTTTTGAACCTTCGTTTCTTTTCTTCTGGTAATACTCGAACCTTATATGGCCAATACATCACAAGCAAATGTTTGATATGGATCTATCATACAATAATCCAAGCTTTCCAAGATTACGATAATGTCGCAGGATTTAATAACCTCGGAGCTGACTTGATGACAATATACATTCCTTTTCAATATCAATATCAGGCTCCCCTCATCCATCATCCACCGTGACGGATACTCCGTGACATCCCTACACAACCCATACATCAGATCATCTGCGGTGGAAAACCAAGCTTCTGCACCAGTATCACATCGCAGCCGCAGAGCGGCGGCCATCGAGGCACTAATAACAAGTTGCAACCCTAGAGCTGAAAGACTAGTCCACATCGGATTGATCGTGCGCCAAGACAATAATTCATTGAGGGGGATTCGATTTGAGCGGAATGCGAGATTCGCAGTGTGTTGTTTTTGCAAGTACGTATTTGCATCGCGTACAAGCTGTCATCAAAAGTCTAAGAATACGGATTGAACTGGTCTGGCTAGCACATATTGAGCAAGCACCCTCGGAGTGATAGATAATGGCCACGATAAAAGTTGCCCCAATAGTCTACTTCATGCGTCGCGGCCGAGCCACTGTGCCCTTGTCGAATAGTGAACAAGGGGGGTGTCAGCACGCACCCTAGCAGGCATCGGGCCCTAAGCTGAGCTCGGCTCCAGAAAAGTGCACTTTGGGTAATAGACTAGGAGAGAGATTACTCGTACACCTGAAATGGCCTTGGATACCAGCGTCTGCTTATGTGGTTCCGGTAAGCGCTGCTAAAGAGCTCAAGCAAGGTGCCCAGCACTCAGCCATGCGTTGACAGCTTAGAAGCAGGAATTACCCCAATCATTCCCAACACAAACAGTGACCCTGTGTTTTTGTCTCCCTTTGGTCACTAACTGACAGTCAGTCATCTCACCTGGTCAGTGTGTGTGTCAATAAGACCTGTGTAGTAGTTCTTGAACATTTTAGGAGCCATCCCGGAATCTTGGATGCATGGGGCACTTATGTGTCGCCAAGCGGCAGGGTTCTGGCCTTCAGCTCTTCTTACATGGATCTGATCCCACACTTGACATCCCCCGTTGCCCCAATTCTCACTCTCGATAAGTACAAAGTCAGCTGGTGTTAGCAACTCAACCAGCCCCCGACGAACATCCTTGAGTACATCTAACGATATACACACCACACACACGAGTCGTCCTCCAACCAGCTGATTCCCTCCCTCCTCTCCTCCACTGACGACGTGGGTGTATCCCTCCCCTCATCTCAAACTTGTCATTCTCGCACCAGGTTTTCGGTTCGCGGGTGAGCAGGCTCGCGGCTTTCCATAACAAGCGCCTCTCCCAGCAGGCCGGCACCTACCACTCATCTCACCCCCCCCCCCAGACTGCCATACCACCCACAACAAGCAAGCCACCATCTGTCGTTTCCCAGGGCACTTGGACCTGGGCCCCTAACGTGTGAAACTCTGGGGCAGAGTCTGGCTGCGAGATTTCAAACCCCATCTTGACGACAGTACCAAAACCCACATGAAAGGTAAAGGAGACCCGTAGTGGCCAGTCAATAAAACAGAGTTTCGCAGTACTCGGTACCTAGCACAGTCAGTCACCCGCAAAGTATCGACCCGTCCGGCAGCCCTTCAGCCCATCCAAGCTAGGCTAGGGACTAAGGGGGCGACGTACACTAAGACTAGCCCGACCCGGTTCATTTCACCTTTGAAAGATCCCGCCAGGCCCAGCAAAGAGCCACCAAAGCCAGCCGAAAAGCAAAACCACACCCTATGCGCACAGAGCCGGGGGCCCTGTCACCCAATAGAGACTTTTCCCATATATTTCGACAGGCGCCTTCCCGGGCGCCATCCTGATGATCGACGTCCACCTTAAAGCTCGGAACCCACCCCCAAGGAAAACCTTCAACACCGGTCCCAGTCCCCGTCCCAGTCCCCCCCGTCCCAGGAACTCCTTGTTGCAGTCACCAGTGTTCTGGCTTCACCAAGCCATTGGACGAAGTGATGTTGTAACGGCCAGCCCGAACCGCAAGCCATACATCCACAGAAAATTGAACCACAAGACAGTCGACGCCTCCTGGGGACCCTACTATCCTGGGACGACGACCATAACTTCTTCAAGCTTCACTTATCAATCCTCACTGTCGATTACAACTCCTGGTTTCTGGCTCCCTTGACAGCATCGTCAACAAAGGACTCCGAAAGTCGGAGAGATTCTAATTTGGTCGTCGCCACGATCAAGTCACAGCAGAGGAAATTCAACTGTAGCAAGAGTCGTTGGTCCGACCCGAAGTTTTGAAAGTCACCCCTGGATAAGACGGTCGCTCTTGCTGTCTAGAGTTGTGGGGAACGTGGTTGCCTCGAGCTTTCCTCAGGAAGCCTGGACAGAAACCTGGCCCGCGATTGCCTCAACCGATCGACACCCAAGTAGAATGGAAGTTGGCAGCTTTGCAAGCAGAAGACCTGCGGCTGGCGGACTCCCACACTTCCAGCTACCACCGCCGAATCCGGTGGACATCAATATTCCCAGTACGAACACCCCCCCCTCCCCCCAGCTTTCTCTTTTCTTTTTTTCTTCTCCCACTGAGAAGCTTGTATGATTTTTGAGATCCAGAGGTCGCGTCGCGTTCTGGAGCCCTTGCCTTATTACTATGCATGATATAAGCCCTGGTTGCATTGCCCTCGAGACATATTCTGACGATGCCTCCAGGAGTAACCGGTAGCGAGGGTCTCAGTCCGCTGTCGTCGAGCGTGAATAGTGGCAGCTCACAAAGCTCTCAGGCCGGTGGCATCCCACCTTATAACCCGCCTCCAGGCAATTGGCAACTGCCCGGACCCTCCTCGTATACATACAGCTCACCGGCCATGAATCAAGGACAGACGGGGCTGATACAGCCCCAATACGGTCGCAACATCTACTCACCACCCACGAATCCCTACCATCGAAGCTCACAGTCGCCAGCAACGGGCAACGAGAACCTCGCACCTCCGTTCGACAATGTGCCTACGCCTTTCCCGATGCCTGGAGGAGGATCTGGTCATTCCTCCCTCCCCCCCAATTCTTCGCATCAGTCTATGCATCACAGCACCATTCTCAGCTCTCAGGCTTCGGGTTCCCAGCCACAGACGGCTTCTACCACTGCACCAGCGGACAGTTATTCACGGTCTATGGGCAACCCTGGAGGATTCTACGCATCCTCGTCATCTGCGTCTCAACAGCCCTCCTACTCATCCTATGCACCAGCACAACCCTCGCCAACGCAACCCTCACCGACGACAACAGCTGGCCTATCGCGAGGGATTCCCGCAATGAATACCCACCTGTCTCCCATGCAAGCACCGCAGCAGTACTCTGCGCCACGGCCATATCATTATTCGTCCATGCCTCAGACGATGCCCGTCATGTCCAATCTGCAAAATCCAAACAGTCAGATGACGATGATGGGTAGCATGGGTGGTTTGCCACCTCACGCCTACCAAGGTCATCATTTGGGGTCACATTTGTACACAACTGGTCAACCTTCTCAACAGGATCGACCATTCAAGTGCGACCAGTGCCCGCAATCCTTCAACCGGAATCACGATCTGAAGCGTCACAAGAGAATTCACTTGGCCGTGAAACCCTTCCCGTGCGAGCATTGCGACAAGAGCTTTTCTCGAAAGGACGCGCTCAAGAGACATCGGTTGGTCAAGGGATGTGGCCAAGGCAAGAGCTCTCCCACTAGCGGAAACGATACCTCCCCGCGAGATGATATAAAGCAAGATCCGGATGGAAGGACAAATAGTATTGGGAAGGATGCTTAGACAGCAATACGTTCATCTTTCCTCCCTTTAGGGATCACTACGAATGGGATGGAGAGACGAAGGCAGCTGAGACAAGCTAGGCCCTTCTATAATTACGGTCAGCAAAGGCGGTCGATGCCGATATGACGATATTTTCCCGTGATTTACCATCGACCGAACCTGCTGTGTATATATCACATCCTTATGGAGACGAAGAGTGTTACAATCGATTGAGATGGACAGCGGCTCGGGAAACACGGCTGCAGGATAGGAGTCAGGTTACGGAACTCAATTTTGGCTCAGAAGGATACCTAAAATTGTGGCGGCTACGGAAGCAAATGGAAGCACGGCAGGGTTACGATAATATTCTGGAGGCGTTCATTAAGAGGATCCCGCGTATTGATTCTCTTTTTCTGGCTTTTCTGGGTTCTCGACGCCTCTCCTATGTCTTTCTATCTGGGAGGACATGACAACGGGTCATAGATATTCTGGTCTCTCGGGGCGTTCAAGGAGGTAAACAGTGTACGATGTCGAGAAGGGAACAGGCGAAAGGGTTAGGCTCTCAATGATACGGGGTTTGCGCATTCTGGCTGTCATCGTCATCAGGTCGGGGGCACGTGAAGGGCTTTCTGATTTTCATGAGCGAGATACCCACTCGTGGCCTAAAAGGACATTTGGTTGAGAAGATTTCCCAAAGTTTGTTGCTGACTTGGCTTTCCTTGGCCTTGCGAAGTGGTAGGCTTCAACCCGGATGGGTTCTTCCTCGTTACCTCCCGACAAGAATGGTTTTTGTGGCCATGAGTTTGTGAGGGAATAGAACCAGCACCGCCATAATTCCAACATACGTCTTAACATCGATATGCCAAAGGTTTGCAAAGTGACCGGTCTTTTCGTCCAAAGTGATGCGAGCAAGGCTTGCACCATTAACTAACTCAATTCCGACCTTGGAGGCGATTTGTTAGCGTGAAATGCCAACTCCACGGCGATACCGACTTTGCTGGGTTGCTTGACACACTTCACATGCCAGGAGGCCATAGCATCTTGGAAGCATCGTGCCCCCTTTCTCAAACTTTTGGTATTTGGACTGGCGGATCTGGCTACCCTTAGGCGACGCCCCGACCGATTAATTCAGGCTGATCCGAACTCAAATCTCTCAGGGTCTGAATCAGAGTTCTGCCAAAATATAGCCTCAAGTCCGTAAATGGAAGTGGGCGTGGACGCTAAATTGGTCGTCCCAAAGTTTGTGTCCCCCGCGAGGGAAGCAGAAAAAGATTACAGTAGTCGCGACGTTGAACGTGGCGGTCGCTGTTTCAGGCATCAGTGAGGAAGGCCCTCTGGATGGTGATCACAAAAGTTCTGAGGTTTAGATACTGCTTGATTGGTAGCTGGTGCAGCTGTGAAGGCAACAGAACAGCGATGGACATCGATCTCTGCGGTCCGGAATTATGGAAAGTTCAACCTGTCAACGCTGCCGGCGCCAACCCAAAAGCATCAGGCCAACAAAAAGCTTTTCTTTGCTTGCATTGGACGACGAGGTCACGATAAGCTGGCAACATCAAGAAGCAGCTAGGAAAACATTCGGGGTGGTTCTTCTCAATCTTGCTCCTGTTTTCCTGCCTACGATTGGGTGTGCAAACAAACGACGATCGGCATGTTGCAAAGAGTCTGAGAGATCACTACCGCACCCTCCTTCGCTAACTCTCTCATCCTAACCTGTTGGATGCTAGTCTGCTCTGTCTGCACTGTCTGCACTGTCTGCACAACAGGAACTAGCGAGAGATCTAGCGCAACCAAACCCGATCCGCTGCGCTTGCCCTCCCCCCTTTCCCTCACACAACTCAGACTGGGGCGACCAACAAGTATCAGACACGCGGGATCCAGCCAGACGATCCAGAGCGGAGCTTCTGCTTGCAGTGTACATGGCTCTTCAGCTACGTCCCGAACAGGCATAGCCGGGCAATCCGGGGTCTGGATCCAAGACGCCCGGTGGCGATGCACTAAGCTCCCTTTTTCCTCCTAAGCTGCATCTCGTTGCGCATAGCTTGAATGGCGTTTTGTCTTGCCTCTTGACGACATAAGGGGCGTCGTCGGTTGCGCTCGGCGGCGAGCATCACAGCCAGGACCCTGGTCTCGAGCTTAGTCAACCAAGGCCTCACATCCTCTCTCTCCGGTACCGATTCTTACATCACGTATTCCACACGGTAGTTCCCACTACGTCTGATTTGATCCACTTCCAGTTCATTGCGCACTACCACAAATCTGGCATTTATGTTGCCATGACTGTGTCCACTCGGGTGTGAAAGGGCGCCACATGATGAGGCTGATTGGCGTCCTCCGACAAATGTTGCCCAGGGGTTTTCTTCCTCATGACAGTTGGTTATGACGATGTTTCTGAAATTCAAGGTAGTCAAGTTCTGGTCACCCACCTCCCGACTGTTTTTTACATCAACACTCAAATCAACTGGCAGGACTGAGGGCATCCCTCATATTTGTCTGTCACCAACAACATCTACGTCTTGTTTGCTGATCAGTCACAGTCTGTGATACACCAATTCAAGGTGCAAAAAGCAATGAATGCCAGGCTTGTCCTCTGATTGATCCAACGTCCCGACTTGGTCGCTGTCGGAGCAGACAACTTGGGTTTGTTGCAATCTGACAACTGCGTCTCGAGATTGCTGCCGAGGAGGCGCCTAGAACATTCCTCTCGGCGAATAATTGGTGAGAGACGAGCCTCGGGCTTCTACAATGTCCGGCATTTTCAGGTCCGAGAACGTGACAGCATTTCCGTCCTTCGATAAAAAGAAATGGATTGCAGGAAAATGCGGGTAATGTTGCACATATAAACTTCTTAACGTCCTTTTTTTCTATTTCGACTCTAGCCAAGCCGCGCGGTTCAACTTCAACCCTTAACTAACTAGCGACATATTTTTCCCTGACGCCTTACCAGATCATACTGAGATATCAACTAGCGGTTTCCTTCTCCTCCAGGGGCGTATGCATGTCCAAACGTGGGATATGTCATGGAGTTCTAAGAATCGATGGCGCTTTATTGCCGTAGCATACTCTCAGTCAGGACAAACCTTCTCTATCCGACGTGTTGTGCTAAAATACTATGCAGAATATAACGTTACAATCGTTCGTATTTGCCCTAACAACAACTATTTATTCCTTTATGAGAACATCAATAGTTTCTGGGGTCAGCCGATCTCTGCATATTCGCCTCCCACTCAATATGCCGGTCCCGGTTCGTGGAATTGAAAAGCCAGGAATCGATAGGAGCAAAGCTGACCCGAGTCTTGCATCATGGGATTTCCCCATCAGGAAGTATACGAAAGGACTTATTGCCGAATGGGGAAATGCTAATTATGGAATCTTGCCGCATCAATAACGGACCCAGTCTTCCCCGTTTGCGTCCAGTCCTATTGACATCGAATAGACCCATCTATATAATCACGTCGGGCACCTCATCGGTGGTACCAGTTCATCCCGGAGAAATTTCTCTTTGGCCTGGAGGCGATCCTGTCCGACGGTGCGCTTCAATGTCGTTAAATTAGGCTCGGGTGACCCGTTTTCGCCCAGCACACCCCGGCTCTCGGCTGACTCGGGAAGGTTGCAATCCCGCAACGGGAGGACAAAACAAGGTGCGAGGTGCGCCCAAAGCCCGCTTTTCAGGGCAATGGCGCTTGTCGGCTGCATACCCATTTTTTCCGGTCTCGTCTCGGGAGTCTGCAGCAAGGCACAACAAGCACCAGGCAACATCGTGGATCCCGGCAGCGGGAGCGGCAATGGCCAATATCGCGACAAACGTCCCGCAGGAACGCAGCCCCGTTTGAATAGAGAGTGTGGGTGCAAGCCGTGATCGTGAACAGGGGGCTACTGGGTGATCTTTGCTTAGCCGGGGGCGTGCATGCGTTGTTGTGGGGGGAAATGGGAAATCCCAAATTACCAACTGCAGTCTACCGCCATACAAAAGATGGCAGACGTATAACGAACGGCGTGCTTGCAGCAGCGGGTTGGCCGACAATATATGAGCGGTGCGGGAACCCGGGTCACCGAAAGACGATGATATGCTTGGTGAGAGTTAACTGCTTCTTGACATGACGTGACGCGCCGTGACAGATCAGGCCTTGTGACGCGGATGCGATCTTTGGGGTTGGTAGGCGGTCGCCCGCTTCTTGGTATTACCTACTAATTTGAGGCTCGCGGCCGCGTACTATTTTATGGAACGCATGCGGACAATTTGTCAGGTTTCTGTTGCAACGTCGAGGAGCTGGCTACGTGCTTGGGTAGTCCGAGCTTAGGATACTCTCAATTGACTTACTTGGTCTTGCGCTGATAATCCAAGACCTAGCAATGCTTGATTTATGTAACACGAGTCTTCTGGCTTGGGTAGCTTGGGGAGACTGGGTGATGGCGAATATTCAACCATGGGTGAGATGCAACTTGGACTCACGATGCTGTTGGTGGACATCACGGCTTTTGTCGTACTTCTATGGGAGATGTTGCCCAATCCTCCGTAACTTACATACATATATACATGTATATATAGCGTCGATACCTCTGGGCTTGATGCCTTCATTGATACACGTCACGGCATTCATAGCATATAGAGTCGAGGTACTTGCCAAAAACTCGGAGGTTAGCGACGTACAAACTGAACTCAGTTTGTACCCTCCGTGCATGAGAACGGTTGTTTAAGTCGAGAAAATGGCGGTTCGTGAATGCTGGGTGTGCTGGCCATTGAACCCCCCTCATATTCTGATTATCAAGCCTGTACGTTGCTGTTCTGGCTCGATCAGAGTTCCCAACTCGTTGTCTTGCTCTCCCAAGTACTTGTTCTACGGCATTATGATTTCGGAGCCAATCTGAAGCTACGCCGCTCCTTATGTAGAACCGACCACCATCCCTAAGTCCAGGGCTGGTACTCTGGCCCGTACGTTTACTGCCCATATGTTACTCGGGAGAGTCAATGTCCGCCCTCGGATATGACATTCCTAGCATAAGTATGGCCTCATTGCTACCGGGTCCGAAAGTTCCATGCACAGACAAGCAGGTTGTGATCAAGCTACTCAGTGCACGCGGTAATTTCAGATATTCGTAGACTTCGTCGCACTGAACTACCTGTTCTCATAAATGGCCTATATCATGTGTGTTTACGATGATATAGTGTGATTTTGATAGGTGTGGAAATTTGGTCATTCAGATGAAAACAGTGTGCTTGAGGAGTACAAGGACGCCACTTAACTCGCCCCTTGTCTTTTCCTATGCTTTCTTTTCGGACAAATAGGGGCACTAAACCCCTGGAGTGGTATCTTACAGTCACTTCCATCGCGCTGATGGGTGGCTATGTAGATATAACTGTCTCCTCCGGTTCCATCCCGTCGATTAATTCGGTTGATGTATGCGCATTTCTGTGATCCGGTTCGGCAGAAGTCTCTCGGTCAACCAGGTCAGCCATTGACCACTGGAAAATGCAAAAGATATACGCAATGACCCATACAAATCCATCAGTCAATCTAGTTAATAACCAAAATCAGCTTTTGCAATCCTCCTTCGTGGGCATGTGCTTTGGTCTCAGGGGTAGGTGGCGTCGGTTAGTGCTTTGCACAGGTCAGACTTTGGGATAGCATAGATGTAAATCGACGGGTATATGTTTTTCTGTATTCAGGTTTACGCACACTATGAGCTGGTGTATCTGAAGAGAGCATTGGAATGGATCAACTGTTTGAGGCGAATTTCGCCGTGTTATGGCTCTGTAACTACGGTCTAATGGTCGGTCAATGTGATTCAACCCGCCTACTTGACCCTCATACACCAGGCGCTTCATTTTGTGATCTCCCGTAAGTATTGGGGATAATAAAGTAAGCAGTACAAAAGAACTCACTGCTCTGAAAGTTCAAATAATGATGGGTACTGCTCTCGAGTACTCATACGGATAGATTTGTTTGATCAAATACGCAACAAAAGAGGCTTACGATGACTGTTGAAGCATCGTAAGCATACATATCCAAGTTACAGTAGTGTTATCTCCGTCGCATGGGATGAGTTTCCCATATGTATGACATACCATTCGCTTTTGATGAAACCGTGCCCCTACGACCGTTATCAGAAACGCGTAGGTAACAGCATACGACGGCTATTATATACCTTTGGGATTTTTTTGCTCGAATGTACATATCATCCATCATGAATCGTATATAGAATGTAATATCAACAAACAACACGATTAATAATTCCCAGTTACAAGCTCTCTAGACGACCCCTACAGTTGGGCAGAGCCGTTACGGGGCGGCCAACTCTGATCATACCATCAAGCACCTAATGACAGGTACATGATGTGCCCACCCAGGAAACTTCACCTGAGTTGACTTTATATCATGTGATGCCGAGCTTCCAGAAGCGAGTTGAAGGAGCTGCTTCTCTGCAGTAGCTGCTGAATCTTGCATTGAACTAAAATTTTCTTGACAAATTCCACATGCATTGGACCTATATGCTATCTCGCATATAGCGGGACTTCCACAGGCGACTCTTGCTTACGTTCTTGAATCGCCGGGGTTAAAAGTAAGCCGTCAGCTGGTGAAGGGATACAGTGCATCAGGGTGGTCAACTATTTCTCGTCCTATGGGGCTTTAAATTGACGAGCAAGACAAAGGCTGCCTGAATAACACAACAGGCCTCATTATTTGTCTGTGAGGGAGTCATCTTATCTTGGTCGGACAGGATTTAAGACTGGCAAGTTGTCATCTGAGTTAAGTGCGGCCGGATTGGTGGCCATCCTTTTCGATTCCATGATAGCAAACTGCCCTGTATTAGCTGATCGTTGATCAAGGGCAGTAATCTTACATAGGGGTTATCTGTAGATAGCCGGAGCATTGTTCGAGTTCCAGACTCAGAGATCGACATAGACACGGCGCGATACTACGCAATGCCTACCAAAAAGGAGTCGTAGAACTTGCTGAAGGATCGATTAGCAATGCTTCTTGCGTATTCAGAGAGTCAACACGGCTCCGTCCTACCCACATTCAACGAGCTTCGCCGAGGACGATGGCGAATTCTCCTTCCGGCATCGAGAAAACAAGTCGCAAGCACAATTCACACGGCACTTCAGGATCGACGGAAGCGAGCCATCAAATCTTACCTTCAGTGGGGTCAAACATGCTATGGGCAGAAGAGCGACAAAGCTTGAAGTGACATTGAAGCGCAGTGTGTGGCTTCACGACGCAAGAAGATGCCTGAAAGCCGAGCACCATTCGTTACGGGATCAAACTGTTCTAGGATCCTGAGGAATGTACATATTCGTTGTGGGCACATCTTCTATCGAATAGTGGGGAGTCACCGTAATTGCGGTACATCGCGTAAGACTTCGAGCTTGTCCTCACTATATGACTACCATGGGTCCCAGCTGAGTTGGAGGAACACATCTTGTGAAGGATTCGGCCTGTTTGATCCACGGAGCCTAGGAGGCGCAGGCGTGTTCTTGCTCAGGAGAATTTTCCACAATTGGCTAGGTGTGTTGTGATCCTCCAGGCTACTATCCCAGTTCCCAGGGTACTTAAATGGAAACGATAGTGGGAGCGCAATCCGCCATACCTCCATGGATAGGTTAACAATCTCAAAGAATCTAGGCCCATCGTTTTCTTCATTCGTTTTGGATTCTTTGGGCAAACTGCCCGAGCTAATCCTTCCAGATCCCTCGATCTGACGGTGCTTGCCGTCTTGATGCTTTAAATTGAACGTACGAAGACTGGATTAAACAGTGACAAGGAAGACAGCGAATCGCTATTGGCATGGGATGAAGGAATATGACGGCATTATCGGTTAGCAGGATGAGGCTAGTTACTAAAGTTATATTCAAAGCTGAACGAACTCAACACTCTCGTCAGGCTCGTCAGCCGACTGAAGCTACCCCAGGTGCGATATGACGCCGGATTCGCAGGTTGTGTAGTCCCTAGTCGGGTTATCTGATGTGAGCAGTTCAGGACACTTAACCCCAGCATGCTATATGTCGCTGGACTACACTTGAACGCACTGTCATGCTTGCTAATTACAATCATTTCTTCCTCGCAGTTCGAGCATGGGTGCTTGGTCTACAGCAGTTCCTGTGTTGGCCAAATTCACATGGACAGGCGGGTCGTAGTCGGCACAGACGTCGTAAACACGGCATATGAGAGCCTACATAGTATGGCTGATCAAGCGAGGGCCCCGCATCTTACGAGGGGTTCCCAGGGCAGTGGTTCAAAGTTGAGCCAGAGTGGTGATGGGTGGAAAGCTTAGCATTTATAGAAGTGGAACACAGGCCAGACCAGACCAGACCCGGAGAAAAAACGTGTACCGATACCTCACAAGCACGCTCCTAGGACGCTTTTGTGCTGTGGTAGCGGACAAATCAGGTGCTCGAACGTCGACGATCAGAGCCCAGCACGGCGACTGACTGGCGACCCTGGTCTTCGTCAGAACATTTGAGCGCAAAGCAGCTGCCATAAGCATCTGTCGAGGCCAAATGACCGAGACCCAGCTACGAGGGGACTGAACGATGTGCGTACCCAGGGTATAATACTACGGGATAGCTCAATATTCCAGTGTAGTGGACCAGGACTAACTTCATGATTCCACCTGATTGTGTCGTTTATTTTGTCGTCCAGTTGCCCGGTAATTTGGTGTGTCGCGCCACGTAATGGTTGTTCAAACAGATATGCAGGTCAATGGGCGAAAAACGGCAGTTGATGTAACGGTTTAGCGGTGTCTTTTGCTTTGTCAAGGTTTCGGCCAAGCCAGCTGCCCTTGAATCGACTACCAACCTGTGGAAAGTGCAAGGAATGAATCCAAAAGAAAACTCATCTCGTGTCGGAGACGGAAGCCGAGACTCCTCATATACATACAGTCTCGTCTTCTCGTCTCGATACCGGAAAAATGACGATCTTTCATTTGATGCACTTGCCCAATCCAGCATAAGCTCAAGGTTCAGTTTCAGCACAGATGCTATCATTGCTATTTATGCAACAACTGCCTCGTCGGTATTACTGTTTCTCACTTAGCAGGAGCAGGAGGGCTAGGCAAAGGCATCGCAAACTTAAAGTTGTCCAGCCAGTTCCGTCCCAGATCAGATCGATATACCTTGTGTGCGAAGACACTCCAAGTGTTTTAAAGAACTCGTTCTCCCCCACATCTGAAGTTTGCATGGTGCTCAGACGTGTTCAATTTCACATCGCCGTCTTGTCTCACTAAGGCCCGCACATCTGATTCGCGACTGTGTGACCTGAATATATTGCACAACTTCGCGCCCCATACATCCACTGTCCTCCCCTTTATCATTAGGCCGGACCTCGTCACATACTCATCCCACATCGCCAATTACTTACCAACCCTCAACTCAGCCTACTCGGGATTGCCGTCTGTTCTCCACAATCTCGCTTTTAACTGCTGTTGCGCTTCTTGACATTGTAACCCCGCCCACGCTCCAACCACGTCGCAAACCAAGGAAACATGAGCGAAACTATGGATATGAGTGACATGGACATGTCCGGTATGGATATGTCTGACAGCACCTCAGATATGATGAGCATGATAGCCGTGTTCCAGAATACCATTGACACGCCGCTCTACTCCATGGCCTGGACGCCTGACGGTGTCGGCACGTATGCGGCAACGTGCATTTTCCTCATTTTGCTGGGCGGCGTCTTCAGGGGCCTTCTGGCTGCCAAGTCGATCCAAGAGGCACGGTGGCTCGACAAGGAGTTCAGTCGCCGATACGTTAATGTGAGGGGAAAGTTGCCGCTGGAGGAGACGGTGTCGCGCGATAGCATGGCAAAGGGAATGACGCTGTCGGCTAATGGTCTTGAGGAGAACGTCGTGGTAGTGGAGAGGAAGCACACACACGTTCGAGCTTGGAGGCTGTCCGTCGACCCCATTCGCGCACTTACCGACACTATCATTGCTGCCGTTGGCTATCTTCTGTGAGTATCACCTTTCTTGCTGCCGACGCGTCGTACTGGAGTTAACAATTCAACAGTATGCTGGCTGTAATGACTATGAACGTCGGCTACTTCTTCTCCGTTCTTACGGGCGTCTTCCTCGGCAGTCTCGCCGTCGGCCGGTACATTCACGGAGCTGAGCACTAAGTCTTTCCACGTCGCACATTTCTGTCATGTAACTACTGTTCGACACTGTCGGTCTATGTATACACACACGAAAAGCGGTTATGAGGCGTGATGTTTACGAGTTGACAATGGGTTTGGGAGATTACTAGGGGACCTGCCAATCGACGACAGTGTTTCGGCATCGCATGTGTACGGGCTGCATGAGCCTGAAAGCGTATGAATCTCTGGACCATTTTATTTGGTGATGCGGGCGTATCATAATTGGACGAGAGACTTGCGAAGCCCTCGACAAGACAACGTCGCGCATGAATCAGGTTTGTGCGATGATGACATGACGTTTTCGAACTCAAAAGTACCGATACATGTGGCAAGCACTAGTCGTATTTAGTTGCAGAAACCTTCTCAAATGCGCGCATACAAAACATGGACAACTGTCAAGGGTCTTATTTCGCAAGAGTAGAGAGCGAGATGAGAGCGATAATAATATACGATAGGCCAACAGTCTAACGTGACAGTCGGCAGTCGTAGCGTTACTACTTTACTGGATGCGCCGTACACTCTGGCCTCCTTTGCCTCATTGCTCGCTTTGTAGCTTTCGCTCTAAGCCCCGCGCTTGATCTGGTACGGGCCTTAGTGCCGCAGAATCCGTGCGCCCGCATCCCGTGTCATGACTTGACGCACACAATACAGTGGGTACTGTAGCAATGCTGCAACGGCCTACGAGTGGCTGGCTGGATCATACGCCGTTGGACCAGCACTTAAGCCGGAACTCAGGAACGGCGAACTATGCCACTTACACCGTGTTCGTTGACAGAAGACGAGCTCACCTAGTATGCTCCATCCCCGGGCTACCGAATGAGCGGTCGGCACCTTTCCAGATGCGCCTAGCTCACCTTTGCTGTTGCTTGGTGCCAACCATCAGGTACGGGAAGAACCACACACGCCTTGATGCATGTGCATGAACTTGGACTTGGCCTTTCTCGGCCCCTTCGTGGTTAGAGCAAGCTTTCAAACCAGTGAGGTGGGCTGGCGGGCTTGCTATACTTTGCCTGTTTGGGTCCACGGGCAGCGCCGACGAATGTAGATCTGAAAGTTGAGATATCGACGGGTTTGTTTCAGGCCAGCCACTTATTTGTTTGCTCAGTCTCCTCTTCTTCTCGGTTTCCTTTTTAATATCTGTGTCGTTCTGAATCCAAGTCGACTTTGCAAATACCCGTCTCTTGATCACTCCAGCACTGATTATGCAATGCCATAATTTTAGTTCGTCATAACAATCGTTTCGAGAACCTGACAACAAGAGTCAGGTGTGCAAAGAAGAAAATGCTCGGCATTGGGAGCATATAAGCCAAGTCGCCTTGTATCCTACTCTATTTCAATCTATTTCAAGGAGAAGACAAAACTGACTAGAAATAGGAGCATCGACCAACAAGCCTGGAAGCTCTATACGTGCCTCAGGTATCTTCTCGGAGAGGCGGTTCCGCAGGTAAATATCACACCAGAATCTTGAATATTGTTCTGTGTCCCAGGCGGCCCTTGATCAAGACCTACATCCCGAGATCCGGCCTTCAACTCCCACAACGCGCTTGTACGCACTTGCGCAACGGCAAAAGAACCTGCCACCTGTCGTCCTACCTGTCCACCAAGGGGCAAATGCAAACATTTTGATTTCTGCGGCGACCCGCCCACTTCGAGGATATCCTCTGTGGCGCCTCCTATTCGCGACCTCTCTGCATTTCCTAGCTCAAGGTTCCTGGTGGTTCCCGAGAAAAGAGCCCCCCCTTTTACCAGGTCGATCCTGTCAAGCCTGGCATCCTGCCTTACGGGTGACGGACCGCAAACGCCAGGAAAGTGACAAAAACGAGCTTGCCAAACGATCCTGCAAGGAGAAACGCAAAATGCTTCGGTTATCGCACTTAGCGCTCGAACTACCCCGGTTGGACGGATCTTAGGTTTTATCAACCCCTAGATGCGCCCCACGAATCTTCGCACAAGCACAACGATGTCGAGGAAAGGTCCAGGTGTCACAACACAACGAACCCCATGGACAGCGTGGTTGGCTCTGTGAATCATGGCAGGCACCGTCTTGGCCTCCAACGCATTGTATTGCCTTCAGCCCGCTTCCGGGGCAGATCTGTTCCTACTCCATTTCCTTTGCTGTTCTTCTCGCTTCCAGAACCTCGGGTTGATGTTAACCCAACTCCAGACACAAGTTCCTTACCCGTGAGTAATAGGTTGGCAACGAACGACATTGATGCTCCCATGGCGCAGCTATGAGTCTAGTTGTCATCTGTACGCTTCTTTGGTGTCACCGGAAGTTTGACCTGTTCACCCCGGGACCACAAACGTGGGACTTGTTGCACATACTAGTGCATCGTCGTATGCCGATCGATTTCAAGTTGATTTGTGGCCATGTACGTCTCCTATAATGTTTCGAATCTCGAGGAACTACAGGAAATAACCGTCACGTACTCGGAAGGACAATACCGCAGTCAATTACCGAATGCCATTGTGGTGGATCTATGAAAGGAAGATGCTATCATACAATTCGCCTTTTCCGTCGACGAGCCTACCGTCGTTTGTCGCACCAATGTCTGCAACTGCTTTCCATGCTCTGCAAGTGAAGAGAGCAAGTAGAGGGGGTGAAACTTTCGGGACGAGAAATGAGTAGTCCAAAAAACGGTTGATGAATAGGCCCAGGTGTATGTGGAGAAATCGGTCCTGGGGTCATTTACATGACCAGACCCATGGTTATGTATTCACCACCGTAGCCTTGATATCATGAGAGTCGTTGCAGTCTTTAACACCCTTGGACCACGTCGAGATGCTGGGGGTGCTTGTTGAAATTTATGCTGAGATCGAGTCATCAAATCCTCCATCCGAGTTTATTCTAAGGCATCCTTGAGCAGCTCAGCGAGTAGTGGCCAAGGGTCCAAATCATCAACGAGGGTTTGCCGCGAGCCTGGTTTCGTTACAGAGAGACTGGGCAGGTGATAGTTGCCGTACCAGTGAAACGCTCGAGCCCGCCCGCCAGTCCCATTGAGGATGACGACCGATGATTATTTGTTGAGATGCGAGATGAGGCTCATCTGAACTATAGTGATGGAAGGCAGTCGCGAAGAAGCGAGTCCGGGGAATACTTGGGTGGGGGGTAGGGGGAATCAATTCGTGTAGAAAGAGCAGAAATAGTCAATCCAGGTGACCAAACAACGCCGGTCCACCGGTGCCTCGCATATTATGAGTGTATCAAGATCGGCATGCCTCGGTGGAAATCAGAACCTCGTGAATGCATTAAAGTCGGGTATCAGGCAGGCGCAGGCACAATAGTGTCATCAGAGTGATGACCTTTAGGATTGGTGAGAGGTATGTTGGGGGAGGCCCGACTGGGGTGGCATGGCGTATTGCGCACCGCGCTGTTGAACGTAATTCTGGTAGGCGAGGGCCTGCTGAGGGTCCATGGGCACACTCGGCATGTAGTTGGGCGGCATGTGCGGGTTTTGTCCCATTCCGGGTCGGTTCGACTGAGGCGGCATGTGTTGGTTTGATTGCTCTTCGGGAGAGTCGACTTGGTTACCATCGTCGACACCATTCTCGTTGCCTGGAGTGGGCTCGGGCGCGTTCAAGCATGCCTGGGGGTCATGGTCAGTTGAAGGCGCCAAGAAAACACGTAGCTTCGCAATTCTTACCTGGATGAGGTTCTTGCCCTCGGCCTTCGTGACAAGAGGCTGGAGCTTAGGCGTGGTGAAGGTGTAGACCAAGCCGGTTTCCGACACGACCAAGAGGAGAACTTGAGTGCCGGTAAGAACGGAGAGTTCGTAAGCCTAGGCGAATTGACGTGTCAGCGTCCGTAAAGTTCGGGTTCAAGCTTCAAACGACAAGCGCCGCGTCGAATACTCGGATGCGGGCCGCGATGACAGGAGCGGGAATGTACAATGCAGTGCAGTGCAGCGCAGTGCAGTGCACACAAGACAAAAAGCATAGACGCGCGATTGCCTGCTGTAACGAATTGACCAAATGGGTGGGAAGACAAACCTTCTTCATGATTCCAGCTTTGCGCTTCGAGAAGGTGATGTGGCGACGCGACTTGTCCGTGATGAACTTGATCTCAATCTTGCGACGCTCGCGACCAGCCTTATCGTCATCGTCGTCATCGTCGTCGGCGATGCTGTTGCGCTGGCGTTTGACACCACGGGGCTCGCCGGCGCCCGAGTTGCCATTGCCGACGGCGTGGGAGTCGTCGAGGTCGCCGGGCGACGTTTGATCGTGTTGATCGGTGATGTCGGCCATTTTGGTCGAGGTGCTGCGAAAGGGTATCACGAGAAAAAGGCAAAAATGGTGGAGATGCTGTTTTGGTCGTGGTGCCGACGCCCTATACTTGATCTGGTGTTGAGCGGAGAGGCTCAGTGAGGGTAACTTGTTGTAGTAGGCGGTGGCAGGCTGGAAAAGGCTTGAGTGCACGCGTCGCAGAAACCTGGTTGGGTGCCTGCTGGATCGAGTCTGGTGTCTCCGTCGGAAGAAAGCGAAGAATTTCGGGTTTAATTTTTTTATTTGCTTTGTTTGACGGTCGCGCCCCCAGCAAGGAAAGTCGGCACGGCCAAAATGGGGAATTGGTTTGTCTCGCTGGATCTTTTGGCTGCACCGAAACAATGAAATAAAACAAAAAAATTTAAAGTCGCTTGCTGGCTTGCTGATCTGCCGCTGCTGGTTCGAGGTGACGAGGTGGGAAAAAGGTCAAGCCTCGGGCATCTGTCAAACACGCTTTTGGATATGGAGTTCCCCTGTAGAGGAAGACCGGAACGATGTCAGTATCAATTTGGTTTGATTGATCAGGAAAGGTGAATGCGGGATGGTTGAAAAGAGGATAGCGAGGTGGTAACACACGGGCTCCTGGTGGCCACGGCCAGACAGTTAAAAAGCGAAGGCGGGGGGTGGCGGTCTTGGAGACTTTCGGGTTCTTGGACCCACCACGCTGTTCTCATCAACCTACAGCAGGGGGGTGGAGATGGGTGCATCGAAGACGAGCCAGTCAGAGGGGAGGTTGGGTTCCTGAAGGAGGGAAGGTGGTAGAAACGGCCGAGGGACAGGACAAAGTAGCAAGCAATAGTCGCAGGCAACATCCTAGGTAGACCCAAGCATGAACAGGGCTCTGGCATCTGGAGCACCAAGTTCGTCTGCAGCTAGCAAAGGGCCCTTACACTTCTCAATCTCTTCTCTTCACTCTGCATTTCGGAGACCATCATCTGACAGTACCGGCAGCGTTGGGGGAACCTCGCAACGGACGCCGGTGTGGCTGCAGCTGGTGCTGCCGGAATCCAAGATTCCAAGTTGCTTGGGAAATCGGGAACCACGAGAGAGCCGGGCTGGGCGGGGGAGGGGAGGGGAGGGTGTATTCTCAATGAGTCTTTGATGGACTATCTCATCACTCACACATAGGAGCTTGCAGCAGTGTGACCATCTCTATGAAGTGGGAGCAGTTCTTGGAGCTTGTTACCTTACCTAGTGTGTATTGACGCCAATTGCGCGAATCCTGCAGGCGTACCCCTGAAGCGTGGGTTGATAGTGGCCCCAGAGTTGATGCGGGCCTGTCAATGACTGTCTGTCGGTTCTGCGGCGTGGTTTCGCGACTGCTGCACCGGCCGCCGCTTAGCTCGCTTCTCTCTTTCGGGGGTTCTCGACGCCGGCGGCGCACTGTAAGCTGTCAGTCAGCAACTACACAAACACCCGCATCGAGTCATGAAAAGCACAGTAAATTCGGCGGCGCACTAAAAGCCTGGCGACGTGACGGTCATAGCAGAAACATCACGAACGCGCCCCACGGCGGTCTGGAGCAGATGAAATACGCTCTGCGTGGATGCATAATCTTAATGAGTATTGCACCTGGGTGGGGCGCAGTCCCATCTCTGGGATCAAGAAGCGCTCAGTGCAATGAGGTCCCCCGTACCCAGCTGACTGGCTATCGTAAGTGCTTACGGGGCCGGTAGCGGATGTCTGATGGATTCGAGCATCCGAAACACTTTTGTTTCCCATCCCGAGTCGTGGAGACGGCGAAAGACTTGGAAATCTGCCTCGCGAATTCAGACTCATCAGAGCTTCTCTGCGCGTAAAGCATCCGGCAGTGGGTTCTGCAGGTTGCAGAAGGAGGTGCAATCACGTCAGGGGTTGTTAATGGTTTCGATGCAGCATGGGCTGCAGGCTGGTTGGTGTGGATGGACGGCAGGGATTGATGCGATTGGGCGATGTCGAAGTTCAAGGTCCCGTCGACTGACTCTCCACAGCAGGTTCGTAGCCCGGAAGCACCTGTCAGCGACTGCTGATGGCCATGTACTTGTCCCATTCGCTGGTCGCAATAGCGACGACCCCTCAAGACAGCTTCGCGGTCCGACGCTGGCGCACATTTGGCCTGCACAGGGCGAACAGGGGCAGCTCGCCACGGTCCTCCGTCTCCAATGAGTGCGAGCCTTGTAGGACAGATGAAGGACGCTGGGAGCGTGTCTCGACTATTTGGCAACCTGTATATGGTACGCTGTGCGCCAATGCGTCGCCTCTGTGCTGCTTCCCGCTGCCGGCCATTGCGAGTCACCCCTGCTCGAGATAGTCAAAACTAGCGACAATTATGATGCATCACTTGGAACGGGACCTGGGGAACATGATTGGGATGATGATGCATTGTAACCCCCATCTCATGTTGAGGCATTGGAAGAGCAAAGAAAGGTTTTTTTGCCTTCGTGCAACAACCAAGTCCGTCATGTGGTCAAGTTGAGCCGTGTTGACACGCCATTCGAGACCAGGATTCAGATTAGGCCCGCAATCTGTGGACAAAAAAAACCGGTTCACCAGCTGTTACAGGATGGCTCCAGCACAATTAAGTAGTTATAAATATATAGGATAGCTCTACTACCTATCTGTTGCTTAGTGACTGATACGATTATTACCCTTACGTAACTCAGTTTGCGGGCTAGTATTATATTTATCACGTTCGTTGTTGACCTAGGTGTTTGGGAATTTAGTAGGGATAAGCCAGTGTTTTTGTCCACAGCTTGGCCCGCATCGAGAACCGGCAACAAGGGTACAAGAGCGGAGAGAGAGGTGATATCGCAAGATTACTGTCGTCAATTGAGCGTGATGCCGAGAAAAGAAAATCAGAGCCTCGGAGTTGAACGCTAATGGGGCCGGGGGTACCCATCAGGCGAACCGACAACCCGACAAACAAAAAAGGCTTCTCATCACAGATGCAGATTTGCGAAAGGTTTCGCCCGAGGACCCAGGCCAGAAGCCATTGGGGAATTATTGCGGACAATGATGGGGAATAAAAATGCAGAAGCAGCATTGAGGACGTTGCAAAGGAGACCATTCTAACTGACTTGGTGTGCTGGCTGTTTACTGCTACGTTGTAGCCGGATCGTCGTTGATTGGAGGCTTGACTGGGATTGACGATTATCGCAGCCGAACCAGAGGATTGGAGACTGAAGAGGTAGATCTTGCAGGTTTTGCCGAAGAAAGAATCTTGCTGAAATGCCTACGGGGAATTGTCGTTTGACTTGGGAGGGGTATGATATTTTCCCATTTTAAAACTGCATTCAGCGGGCAAGCACAACCTGACAGCAACAGTTTACTGCCAAAGTAGCGACTTGCCTTATTCCTGCAAGACTAGTTACTCTACCCGTCATACGTCTGGAAGGCTCAATATACAGAAATTAGTCGTAACTGCACTCGTCTAAGTTGCAAACAACATTTTAGATGCCTGCTCGTCTTCGGTACGAATGTGAGGTTGCCCATCAATTGACGGGAAGCCGGTCAAACCAGCGCCAGCCCTTCAGTCCAAAGCAGAAAGAAAGTACTCCGTTTGCCGCTTGTGTAGTTCCCCCATCATCGATGACGGAACAAGTAAGTACTATGGCCGCAAGTCCACTAACGAGACGGAAGGGACTACACCACCCATCCTCTGCTACATGTCAAGATACTTCCTCGCCCGTCTCAAAAGTTGAAAGTTTCTCGCCAGTCGGGAGCTCTGGGACCTCTGTAAACGGGCAAGTCGCGGGACTTTTCGTGTAGGTCTTGCTTGAAGTCTTCCATTGCCACGCGATGTTGAACCGTTCCCAATGCCGAACCTACAGTCATTCCTCCTAAGATTGACTCACTGTGTTGAGGTTCATCCACTTCCCAGACTCCAACTTCGGCTATTCTGGACATTCTCTTGACCAATACGTTGTGATCGTTTGGGGCCGAGGTGCCTCAGATGCTTGTCTGCTGTTATCTCATCTCTTTAGCAGGCTAATAATCATCACTTCCCGAGGAACAGAGCATTAGACTGCCGGTCCATTCCAAACTTAACTGGAGGGCATTTCGACGCACAATACAGCACTTTTCAGACGGCTCACAAGGATGTCTCACCAAAGACTTAACATCGGGCTTCCAGTACCGATGTGGCTTACAGTCCCGGTTCCGTTGCCCAGCGGAAACCCACCGTGCGCGACTCGCTCGAGTGGGAGTTTGCAGACAAAAGCTCACAGAGTAACCCCAATTCACACATGCTGTGGCCACTACAACAGACATGCTGAAGCGCTTGTGTACCTGGTATTCTGCGTCATGGTCTCATCTGAATCGCAGATATCGCACAGTACCGTATTATTGGGACTTGAAGTGGAGGATTCTGTTGTGCCTAGTTCGAGGTTGGCAAAAATCTTACGCCTCCCCTTACTCGGTCAACCCCGTGTTGTCCTTCCCAAAGGCGCCTGCCAGGTTGCACACATCTTCCAAAGCAAGCCTGCTTGCGCGTCTTACACATGCGGCCGTCCGGTGTGGTACCGATGTGGTAGTGAGAACAGGTAGCATGTTGAACTGATTGAAGCTGTGTCCTGCACGTGTGACGATCTTTCTGGCAGGCTACGCTGGTCTTCCATTTGCTATACCATAGTAAATTGTTGCTCTGATGAGACAAGAGGGAGTGGTGAGGTAGGGCAAGGGTTCAAACATATGCCAGCTCTTAGCCCTGAGTCTATCTGGAACCTCTACTATTAATACTTCAGGGCTAGCATCCTTGCGCCATGCGGAAAATCCCCAAATTGGGTTCCCATGCTTTGTTGTGCAACGGATGATTCGCTGCAGATTGTAGCATCAAATTTGCAACGTCTGTCCGCGTGCTTTACTCTCACCCTTCAATACCAATTTATATAATCAGCCTCACTCACCCTTCAGCTGAGGCCAATGATAGTCGGGTCAGAGGAACGGGACGACAACGCTCCCACACGTGCTGACTCTGCTAGCTACAGCGCCTTAGAGCAGCCAGAGCCCGGCCGTCGATGGGCTCGATTGAGCTTTGAGAATCCAATCAACGTTGAACATCCGATGATAGAACCACCTTCAGTGGTAAGGCCGCTGACGAGGGCCGAGAGTCAAAATGGCAGTACTTAGTACCAAATTGTCCAAACCCACAAGCCGTAAGAGCCTCAATATGCTCTCAGACAGCATCATTCGATTACTCGCAACTAGGGACAGGGGCACGGCGGCCAAGTCTCCGTGATTGGTCGGCAATCGTGCAGTTCCCTGGCAATTTGGTATGCACTGCGCGGCATCTGGCTCGTGCATGAGCGGGATGAAGCGCTGTGTCGCCTCAAGACGTAACCATAATGGACTGCCACGGCCCCTAACGACAAATGAAACATCATCTGTCGGAGAGGGCACATCGTGAGTTTCTGGATGTGGTGCTGCGGCAGAGGTTGCATCATTGTGGGTGGATACCAAGGGTGTTTCCTGTTTCTGCTGGCTGAGTCTCAGCCCCCTTGCCTACCCAATGTCTCAATCGGCTTTTCTCTTTGGCGGGTATCTTGTCGCCAGCTTTCGCTATTTTCGCTCGTCAAGACGCAGAACAGGGTAAGAATTGATGGGCCTGGCGCTTGTATCTGGTCTGTGTGCGCTGTTCAATCCAAGGTCCTCCATGCATCAGGTTATTCTCCACTGATCTGTCATAGTCGTGGCCTCTGTTTCACGCATTCTCTTTTCTTCCATCCGCATTCCCTTTCGAGTATAGGTACACCCTTTCCGTTACTGGTCGATAGACTTCGACATCACATTCATTCTCATTTTCTCCCGGAGCCCAGTAGCGCCACTCCTTTTCGCGTCGCACCAGACAACATTTCATTCACAGACGCCGGTCGTCACTTTACTTCGAATACCAAGTTTAATAGTGGAGGATCGAGCAAGGAAGAAGGTCCCAGGACCAGATAGGTGGAAAAGACTGCGCGGCCAACTACTTCGAGATCAACAACTCGGGGCCAACTAGCGTGCTGCTCTTGGTAAAACGAAAGGAAAAAAGAAAGAAAAAAAGGGAGGAAAAGAAAAGCCGGAATCATGGTCAACAAAGTGCTCGCGGCCTTCGTGGCCATCGACGGGCTGTTCGCGACCATGGGCGCCGTTATGCTCGGATTTTCCGTCATCGTACTCAACACCTGCTTTAACGAACCAACAGAAGGAGAAGAGGCGGCGCGGGATCTGCTGTACCGGACATTTCCTTTGACTGGTAGGTTGGCAAGTGTGGGCGCTACACGGGGAATCCGCAACTAACAGTGTGTAGCTGGTATCGTCAACGCCATTTTCACATTACTCATCTTCCTCGTCACCCTCCCGGCTCTGTCGACACCCGCTCGAGGATGGCTCAAGTTCGCCGGATACCTGATCGTCGCCGACGCCATTTTCACTTTGATCATCGGTTTAGATCTGTGGATCATCACTCTAAGGACGAAGGAGGTGTTCCATGACATCTGGATAGCACAGCCTGCAGCTATCCAGGACCTGCTGCAGACCGAAGTTAGTTGAAACGGCCGTGGGAAAAAGAAAATGAACGAACTAACAACTGCTCTAGTTTCAATGCTGCGGATTCTTCAATAGTACTTCGCCCGCATTCGTCACTGATGCCACCTGCCCGAGCCCTGCTGCCGCTGCCCTCCTAAAGGGCTGCAGCACACCTCTGACGTCCTTCGGCAACATCTTTATCGACAACATCTTCACGGCTGTGTTTGGCATGGTCGGCATCGACGTCGCACTCATCATGGCCACCGCCTGCCTGCTCAAGGACCGGAAAGAGCGCGAACGATTCCGATACATCGACGAGAAGGCTGGTATCCGGGGAAGTACCTTCTAAAAAAAACATGTTCCTTATGTTCAAACGATCGCCCCTGGCGACCTTTCACTTTCTCACCGTTCACCATTGACTGGCATAATCGATCCCGGAGCGGCGGTTACAGGACCGATCTTTTTTTTATTTGGAATAGGGGATTGGGTAGTTCTGGACGAGGTTTGGATTACACGGACTGGTTATGGGCATTGTGGGATTCCGGGAGTTACAGTAGTGGCATTGGTACTAGGCTCCTGCTTCCGGGTTCCAGGGCACATTGTGTGGTAAGATCATACAGGACTTCTTGGACAGCGATGTGTGTGCCCGCACAATGGGCGGAATGCACCACGACACAATTTCGGAACTACCTTTTCTGAACCCAAACTTGCTTTGAAATTTTATAATTGGCGCTCATATGTACCGAGCGTACAGTAGAGTCTCATCACAGATGAATTATAGAAGAGCCTCTGGCTCGACAACGATACTTTCAAAGTAAGCTGACTTGAACTACCTGGGACATTCCAGCGATGGAATGATAATGTATACACACAAAAAGAGCTCTAGCTCATCCGGTTTTGCCTCGTTCAACTGAACTCCAGCGCCTCTGACATTTCACAGCCCCTTCCGCATACCACGTGGCTGACACCTTCCTCGTGAAATACCCAACAGCAGTTACACACCTTCGAGTGTCAGCCCACAAGCATTGTGTTTGAGATCGGAAGCGAATTTTCCGCTGCATCTTCCGTGCGGAGTCGTGGGACTCGATAGTCTACTGCCCCTGAGTGTGGGCATTCCCGTTCCTAGCATAAGCAAGTGCCTGTAACATTACACGGCCTTCCTTGATTCTTTGACTTCATCGACTTCATTGACTTCCTGAATCAGAACCGCTGAAGATGGCTGCGTGCTCTTAGTAGCCTGCCCTGCCTACAACGGCCGAGAGGGAACCAACTGCCAGCGGCACCTCGGCATCGCCTTGCGTGATATGCGGACAGTTTCCTAGTTACCAATGCGGGTCCATGGGCTTGAGCTGAATGGCTGTTCTCGTCTCTCGAATGGCGACTATGAGCATAGTGCAGTGCTTCCTGTCAGCTATTGCTAGATGGGGATGAATTGTTTACCCATGTTCATATTACACACCGCCACTGAGGACCCCGACGGTGGAATTGTACTGCCGGTTCTCTAGGTCGCAAGCTTGCGAATTATACCCCCTTTGGGGAAACCTTGACGTCAAGAGTATCTTTGCCCCCTTTTCTTCCAAACTTACGTCCGGCCAGAGAGTACGAATTTAGTGGTACTTGTTTGTAACCTAGAATGCACGACTTTGCAATATCAGCATTGACTCCTGTAAGTTGTCAGTCCTTACCCACGAAGTCCTAGGCGCTCAGGGAAACAAACACGCACCTGGGCAATAGTGTAGGAATGTGACTGTACAGCTTCTGGTACGTTACTAAGTTGGTTCCATGCTGAAGTGTTACATTTGTATTTTAGCGGTTAGCTCACTTCTGCAGCTCAATTCTATGAGATATATAATCAACATCTTATCGCTGAGATGATGCACTTCAGACAAACCGACAGCTACTAAGGCGCCTCCCTATAATGCCCCTCACCCATCATCTCATGCATCGTCTTCCTATTCTCGGGCATTTCGTGTATATTTCCCGGGCCCTGCAGCTCGCCCATCACAGATGGGGCCTTGTCCTGCTGCGGGTACCATCCGCCGTGCGCACCATTAGGGTGTGTGGTCGGGGGATATCCTGTCGCTTGCGTGTACTCCGCCCCCGGGTTGTGCGGCAAATGTCCTCCATTATGCATCGCGGCCTGCTCCTTTGCATCACGGCGCTGCTGCCGCTTACGAAGAAATAATACTGTGCCAATCATGCCTGCTACTGCGATAGCACCCAGCGAGACGCCAACACCGACCCCTGCCTTGGCACCGGTCGACAATCCTGCGGATGCTGAGGACGAGGTTGATGATGATGATGATGGTGGTGATGATGATGCCGCAGCGCTTGTGGAGGTGTTGACTGTTGGCAGAGCGGCGGCGGTCGACCATTTGTGGTCGTCTCCGTTAGCTTCTATGACTGCTCCTCCACTGACGTAGTACACTCGCAATGCGGAGGAGCCCGGGTTGTTCGCGACAGCCAAACGACCGTTGGATTCGTCGGCTTTGGGCCAGAAGGTCTCGTTGGGACGTGAGTACAACCTCCAGGCGTCGTCATCGTCGCTATTGGCCACTTGGTACAACTGACTGTCAGTGCCAATATAAAAGATGGACCGAGCGCCGTCGCTGTCTATGCTCACGCCCAGAGACGCCGGCTTGCCGTCCCAGGCCGGCAGGGTGAAGTTGGGCGTTGTTGTTGCATTGAGCGTGAAGCTGGTCGTGTTTGTGGAGTTTGTGGCCAACTCGTCAGTGAGGGGATGGGGAAAGGTTGCTGTGGGTTGTTAGCATTGCTGAAGTGGCATGTTTGGCAGCAGATAAACTCACATATATACCACGAGTCGTCTTTAGCAAACCTAGAGACCTCCATATTTTGAGAATCTCTGGGCGTCACGACCGTTATGTTGTTCCCCCCCGAGAACATGGCTCCTATGGCCGTCCCGGCCACCTCATCGTTTGATACTGCCCCATAATCGGCCCAATCGGAGTCTGTTGTGTAGCCTAGATATCGGAGTTTCTCTGCGGTGTCGCTGTAGAAGACACGATAACCATCTTCGGATCCGAGCAGGACGACTGACAGACCTGTCGTAGACGAGACTGAAGATGATCCTGCTGAAATGATCCAATCGCCCGTGTTAGACCAAAAACCTGTGTCCCAGTCACATTTGAGAAGGGAGTTTATGATGCGGCCCGCATCATCCTGGTAGAAAATAGACGCCTGATGCTGGTGTCAGCACAGGCTTTTCTACAAGAGTACTGCCTGTTGCATACACGGCAACGTGGTACGTATGCCATATCGCTACTTGGTCTTGTCAGCTTACCTGAGTAGAAGAGCCATCCCACCACCCGGCTCCTGTCAAATCTGACCCGTTCTTGGGCGCATACTGAAACAAAGGCACCGTGATGGACTTATTTTCGGGGAAAATTGGCGTGTCCTGGCTGTTGCACAGACTGTATCGAATATCGCCGGTCTTATCGTCTTGCATCATCACACTCGGTCCAATTTCCGTCCACCACGCGGCAAGAGCACCGCTTGATACTCTGCCGGCGAGAAGCCATATCGTCGGCAACAGAAACCAGCGCGGTGACGTGAAACGGGATAGGACCATGGCAGCGACGACTTTGGAAATTTGCTCCGTCCGGTTCACGAAGCCGTCTTTGTGACTAAATCGTCTGTTTATCCTGCGGTCGACAGTTGCAGGCAGTCGAAGACGAGGGGCCGGAGGAGCAGACAGAAGAGAAACAGATAGGATCCGATCCGCTCTCTACTGATGGCGCGTGCGAAGTGAAAGAGACGACGGGAATACCGCAGGCAGACGGATAAAGAAAACGAGGAGATGGCCACCTAAGAAGCTGCGCCCCCAGGATCTGAGATTCAATCCCGGGATGGCTAGGATGGGTTACACAGTACATCTAGCCATGTTTTTCTGTCAGCTCATCTGGTGGCGTTGCGGCGACGGCAACTTGAGAGCGGGCTACTGACACAATTCGAATGGCATGCCAGCCAAGGGTGCATAGAGGAGTGGGCCTCGCGACATGCTCTCTGTCGAGACCGTAATCAATTTTGGCGCGGTCACTAGACCACTTTCGGTGATATGGAGATGCATCCGCGTCAGTAGGACTTTGCCCAGAGAGGAGGAGGTACCTCTGCTTAGCACTTGCGCGCACTGGAGTACCGCCAGCCTCGTCGGCGCTGATTCACCCCGGGCACTGCACTGCCCTGGCGAATAGCCCTGGAGTGAGTGGCAAATAGCCCCTATGGTGCACTGGGAATGGGGGGACGGGAAATGGCCACAGAAGGGTAGGTGCAGAGGTACCGGGCAAAGTACTGCAAATTTACGGGTGCTGGGGAACACCCGTCTATATTCCGAGAATAGCTTGGTGATCGTGCCAAAGCTGGCTACGGTTGAGATAACCAGGGGCGCAATAGCGTGCGAAGATGTAGTAGATCAATGACCATGCGATATCGCAGGCAATCAGCAGGCTGAAGATATTGTGTTTTCAGCTATGTGTACTCACGTATCCTGAAACTTCTGAGAGCCTTGATGAATCCTCCTCAATGGCACCGCCATGCAACCAAGGCAGAACCTACTGTTTGCAGCCCTTTGGGCCTCGAGTGAATGGCATCAGACAGCCCTGTCAGGAATGCGCCGAGGAAAACTGACAAATAGCGATCCGAGTGGGTACACGGTCGCACTGGGTAGATCAATTTCCAGATCTTGGAGTACCGTGCGCTCATTCCAGTACAGTCCCAGAGCGGTCCCAGCTCCCTATTGGTAATCAGCACTTTTCCCACTCCGCCTATTATCAAGATCGTTTAGTGTCTTCTGGGGGGTATCCAAGGGCTACTTGCTCATTGTGAACATTCCGAAAATAGATCGAGTATCCAGTTTCCACGACAGCGGTAGAGAAAGCTGGTACCGTGCGGTGGGCCAGGTGGTGTTTGCTGCACTCAGCCGCCTCTTCCAATCAACTGGTTACTGGCCCCCGAAGTCCAACCATCACTATATTCTGCACTACTTCGAGCACTTGTTCAGCCCACTTAGGATTCAAAGCCAAGTGAAATCAAGCTCCCAACCGTTGGCGGGAGGCTGGCAGGCTTGCAACGGCAACGCATGCTTGGCCGAAGATTTTCATATCATCTGCAGCATTACTCAATTTCATTAGATGATTTGCTGACTCCTCCGTGTCTGCATCCTTGTAAGGTCTGAATCGACCCGTCGATCGACTGGCCCAAATCTTCCACTTCCTTGTGGCGCCATATTGTTACTGGGCCTATGAGGACCACTAAGTGGACCGAAATTTCACCGCTGTTAGTACCACTCCCAGTGGACCGTCACTGATTGAGCCCAGCAGCTGAATACCTCTGTGGTGAGGTATTGCTGAACGTCTCCCGGGGCTCAAGTTGGAGGCTGCCAGACTGGTCGACATTGGTGACAATACGAATACAAAATCCCAATGCCGTGCATCTCAGATATCTCACCAGATGTCATCAAACATAAGTATAGAACTCCTTATCCATAGGCGTCGCAACCCACCTATACCAATACCATGTCCGCAGTCTAGCAGAGCTTCGAGCACAAGACTTTGCGCCGTGTGAGCTTCGAAGGATGGTAAGTCCTCAATGCCCCGCATGGACACGAAGAGCCTCTGGAGACTCAGGAGGGATCAAAAATAACTGATTTTGCACACCACCTCATGTTACATTCCATGCCAGCACAATTACGCGAACTTGGAATTATTGAAACCGGAGGTTCAAACTGCAAATTCACTCGAATAATCAATGACGGAAATCACCTCCTTATTATAAGATAGTACAAATCCAAATTTCTCTCAACTCTTCAAGCCATCCTGGGACACTCGATCGATTTCCATTTCCGTTATATGCTATCCATCCGCTTGGGCGACTCACAACTTACTAGCCGGGCTCGCACTCCCCACAGCAGTAATTTCATTGTACAGCAACGTAGTCAAGAAGTCAGCATAGTCCTCGCCCGTGACCTGACCGGCAAAATACTGCGCCGCAAGCCCAAACTTGTTCCCCTTGGGCGCGTTCTTGGCCAACGCGTCCGTCTGCTCCTTGAGAAGCTTGAGCGCGTACGACTTGTCGACCTTTTTGCCCTCGGCCGTAGTGACGCTATGGCGTACCCACTGCCACAACTGGGAGCGGGACACTTCGGCGGTGGCAGCATCTTCCCTATTGGCGATTGGTTGTGAGTAATTGTCCAAGGTGTAAACTTTGACAAAGGGAATATAACTACGTAGAGTGAGGGAGGGGGATGGGGGCCGGTGAGGGTCAATAACATACATGAGGTAATTAATGGGTACACAGCCCACGCCCCGAATCCAAGCCTCCATGTAACCTAGGCCAATGTTCAAGTTCTTCCGGATGCCCTCCTCGGTGACCTGGCCCGGCACGTTCATGTTGAGCAGGTCGTTTGCGCCAATCTTAACGTCCTCGCGGCGCACGAACAGCTGGTTGGGCGTCGGCATGTGTTTGTTAAAGATATCGGAAGCAATAGCGGCCAAGGCGGGATGGGCCACCCACGTGCTGGTTTGATGTTAGTACTACGGTTTCTGTACGGTTCCTGGACACATGTAAGACAACGGAGTGGGACAAGATACATACCCATCGTGACCGGCACGAACCTCGCGCAGCTTGTCGGCTCGCACGCCCTCCATTGCCTTGTCGTTTGCGGCCTTGTCGTCCTTGATGGGGATCTGGGCCGCCATTCCACCCATGGCATGGACACCGCGCTTGTGACAGGTTTGGATGAGAAGTTTGACCTGTGTGTTTGACGTCAGCTTTCGTGCTCCCAATTCTCTTCAGATATTGCGATTCAACTAACATAGGCATCCATGAAGGGAACCGTCATGGTGACGGCACTTCGATCCGGCAGCACGAAGCTGCTGTTCTGACGGAACTTCTTGATGACGCTGAAGATGTAATCCCAACGCCCACAGTTCAGCCCGGAACTGTGATCGCGCAACTCGTAGATAATTTCGTCCATCTCAAAGGCAGCCAGGATCGTCTCAATGAGGACGGTGCCGCGGATGGTACCGCGGCTCATGCCGATATAGTCCTGGGCGAGGTTGAAGGCGTCGTTCCACAGACGGGCCTCGAGGTGGGACTCCATCTTGGGAAGATAGAAGTAAGGGCCGAAGCCTTGCTTGACGCTCTCGAAGGCGTTGTGGAAGAAGTACAGGCCGAAGTCGAAGAGCGAACCTGAGATGGGGTCGCCGTCGACGATGACGTGCTTCTCCTCCAGGTGCCAGCCGCGCGGGCGCACGATGAGGGTCGGCAGCACGCGGTTGGTGCGGATCTTGTACTCCTTCTGCCCTTGCTTGAATTGCAGCTGGCGTCGCACAGCATCGTACAGGTTCACCTGGCCGTTGATCATATTATCCCATGTCGGGGCACTCGAATCTGTGCAGGCCAGTTAGCATGGTTCATATGTTATTCCTCACATGCCGCCGTGTTTCGGCATTGTCAAACACAAGAAGCCCAGGAGCATATAGTGGCGTACCTTCGAAATCAGCCATGTAAGTCCACACATCCGAATTCAAAGCATTAACCACCATCTTGCGATCCGTCGGCCCTGTGATTTCTACCCGGCGATCAACCAATCCCGGCGCAGGCGGCGCACCCTTCCACGTGGGATTCTCGCGGATGTGCTTGGTCTCGGGCAGGAAGTCCGGCAATATACCCTTGTCGAGCTCGGCCTGCCGGATCTTGCGGCGCTCGAGTAGGGCCTTGCGGGTGCCATTGAAGGAGCGGTGCAGCAGCGTCAGGAAAGCCAATGCTTCGGGCGTCAGGATCTTTTTGTGCTCGGGTTGAATTGCGCCCGAGATGGTCACACCCTGCAGGATCGTCGCCGTAGTTGCCATGATTGCTTGCTGTCTAGAAATGGTGAGAGGGAGGACGAAGGTGAGAGCGCATAAGTTGGTTACGATATGAACGGCAAGCCGAGGGTATAACAGAGATATGGCAGTGGGCGTGTACTGGTATGGGAAACGAGCCAAACGGTTTATCACGAAATGTCAGAGGGGTAGGGAAGTGTTTATATGGCAAAGGGAGTTCTAATAGAAGCTCCAATGGAATGGGTCCAAGTTTTAATATGGTGAAAGATCGGGTAGCTTCGAGGATGATGAAGTCGACGAGGATGAAACGGCTGTCCGATATTCAAGTTCGGCTCTCACTTTCTGCTCACAGCTGAGAGATGGCAACTCCTCATGCAAACAACCTGTGGTCGGGATGGCTTTACTTCTGGGCGTATGGAAAACCAAGTTAAGTAGCTACTTCGACTCGCCACGGGTGAGCGGTCCAGGGCCGTGTATGGTGTAGTGTCGTGTTTTAAGCTCGGGCGGCTGTCACTGGCTCTGGTCGGGCGGAGGGACGATCTGACTGGTGCGTCTAGCCGGCGGTGACGGGTTGAGCTCGTGAAAGTGTGGGGAGAGAGCTTCAATGTAGACCAAACTTTCCTTCTTGCTGGCATGTGCTCGTGGCAATTCAATTGGCCCCCTGGCTACTACTATTACGTCGTCTAGACGAAGACGGGCGCATTCCCCAAGTCTTGTACCAACCAAAACCTCCGTGGCCAGCGATAATGAGAGCCGATTACCGATAACAGAAAAGTTTTAGTGGACCTCTAGTAGTAAAGGTTTCCTATATTAAGATTGATGTAAAGCTTTCGTAATAACAGCCAACCTCCAGAAGCGGGGCCCGCCGCTTGTCCGGAAGCCGTCCAGAGAGCCGCCCTCCAACCTCACGGCTGGGGGCGCATGATATTGTTTACCAGCAACAATGCACATTCGTGCGTCAATCTCTGCCCATAAGCCAGTTGCCATCGTAGCTGTTGGACACCTCTTGGACCGACTTCGGCTCTATCAACATATTTGAGTTGAGTTTCGGTCACGATAAGATACCCCGGAGAAGCTGAAGCATGAGAAGGCACCGAGCAAGCCTTGTTGGACCCTTGTAGGCGTCCATGCCGAGCCGACCTCGGCAGATGCCATCCCTGATGTGGACCAACTCAATTCACCTCCTCGGCGACAGCCGGTCCATTCCGGGGTTTACCGAGTCCATTGATTGGTGTTCGAGAACTGGTGAGGTTTTACACCGGTAGTCCTATCTTGACTGAAATGCCTCTTACACCGTTGTATTACAACGAATTGAGGCACATCGAAGCGTCCCGTCAATGATCTACCCTTTCATGACCAATTCAATCCAAGTTTGGTCGCATCCGGCTGTTTCCAACCTTCCGAATCAGAGTCGACCTTGTGCGCTTGAGCTCACTTTCCCCGATGTCGTAGCAGTGTCTCCTACTCGAAATAGCTGCCCTTCGTAGCTTCTTCAAACGCGGGCACCTACTGAGATGATTTTATACAAGTGTTTATTCCTGTTTAGTACTGCTAATTTCTGTGATACATTGTGCAACGATGGTGGCCAGAGTCGGTCATTCCACAGCGTTGATCGAACAGAAGCTTTTAATGCATTCACATGACACCTAGCCCTTGTAGGGCGACGGTCCTATCATGAGTTCGGGCTTGACGAGGGTATCAAACTCGTCCGAGCTGAGTGCCTTCAATTCCATGGCGCTCTCCTTCAGAGTCAGGCTCTTCTTGTGGGCGTTCTTTGCCACCTTGCTCGCCATGTCGTAGCCAATCTTGGGGTTGAGGCAGGTAACCAGCATGAGGCTAGATATGGGTTAGCGGCCAGTTTCGGTGATATCATACATGTTTTGTGGGCTATGGCGGGGATAGCGACTTACGACTCTTTCATAATGCTCGAGATCTTCTCCTCGTTCGCCTGAAGGCCGACCACGAGGTTCTTCTCGAAGGAAGCCATACCATCAGCCAGAATGCGGGAGCTGTGTAGCAGGTTTCGGATGATCAGAGGCTTGTAGACGTTGAGTTCGAATTGACCGTTCATGCCGCCCATGGTTGTTGCAACGTTGTTGCCCATGACCTGGCAGCAAACCATTGTGAGAGCTTCACACTGGGTAGGGTTGACCTTTCCTGGCATGATGGAAGAGCCGGGCTCGTTTTCTGGCAGGTTGAGCTCACCCAGGCCACAACGGGGGCCGCTGCCAAGATATCTGATATCCTGTGCGATCTTCGTGAGCGAAGTAGCCAGTGTGTTGAGAGAACCGTGCGCCTGAACGAGAGCATCGTGTGCGGCAAGGGACTCGAACTTGTTTGGTGCTGTCTTGAACTCAGTGCCGGTCATTTTGCTGACTTCCGCGGCAATGGCCTCGGCGAATCCCTGGTAAGTGTTGATACCTGTGCCAACGGCAGTACCACCCTGCGCAAGGAGTCTGAGGTGAGGCAGCGAGCTCTCAACTCGCTCAACACTCATGTCCAGTTGCGCAACGTAGCCGGAGAATTCCTGAGCCAGGGTCAGGGGTGTGGCATCTTGCAAATGTGTTCGGCCAATCTTGATGATTTTCTTCGCCTCAAACTCGTCGACCTTGTTTTGCAGAGCGTTGCGCAAAGATTTGAGGGAAGGTAGGAGGGAGCCTTCGAGCTCGAGCACGGCGGCGATGTGCATGACGGTAGGGAAGGTGTCGTTGGACGAGGCAGAGCGGTTGACATGGTCGTTGGGGTGAACGGGCTTCTTGGAGCCCATGGTACCGCCGAGGATCTCGATTGCTCGGTTGGAAATAACCTCGTTGGCGTTCATGTTCGACTGGGTGCCGGAGCCCGTTTGCCAGACGACGAGGGGGAAGTGGTCAAGCAGCTTGCCATCGGCGACTTCGGCGGCAGCCTGTTGGATAGCCTTTGCGATCTTCTCGTCTGCAGGCTCTTAGTTGGAGTTGCTCATGACAAAGTATGGTGAGGGGCAGATCTTACCGAGGCCATATTGCATGTTCACCGTAGCTGCGGCGCCCTTCAAAATACCGAAGGCCTTGACAATGGGAGGGGGCATGCGATCTTGGGGCTGGTTGATCTTGAAGTTCTCGAGAGAACGCTCAGTTTGAGCTCCCCAGTACTTGTCTGCGGGGACCTGGATCTCGCCAAAGGCATCGCTCTCGGTTCTCGTGTTGCTCGCCATTATCGATGTTGCATGCATATTTCGCTGGAATCGTAGGGAATTGAGGGACGCAGAAGAAGGTTTCGCGAAAGAAGCCGGCCGTGTGGATGAGGCATTACATATGTACGCCCGCTGCAGTTGGGGAACTGCCGTCGGCACAAGCAGGCTTCTCCTCGCTGTGCCGGCTACAGCTGTAGCTCTTCCCGATCGAAGCATGATGTACGCGCTTGGAGAAGGAACGTCTAGAGAGTGGCTTCTCAAAATCCAATATTTCAAACAAATCGCAATTGCCAATTGGGCTTGTGTAGATGTATACGATCGTTATGGAAGGATCTCTGCTTCCTTCTGCTGCTATGTTGCGCGGGATGGTTGCGCAATATATTGAAACCTCACAGAGAAAATCAATCGCGACTTTTCCGAACGGCTTCTCCACGGAAGCTCAACCCCTGTCAAAACGTCAGGTCCAGGGGTGCCTCTACCCCACACTCTGTCATCGCCATCTTGCTTCTGCTATTGGAGGTCTTCCATCTCAAGATGTTAAGATGGAAATTGTCATCATAATAGAATCAACCGCATCTGTAAATGCTCTTCGCATTACCAGCTTCCTTCCCACAACTAGCTTCCTTCCCACAATTCGTTTCGCGGCCTGTCGTTAATCGTCATGTTACGGTAAATTTCGGTCGGCGTTGTTGGAGCGCGAAATCGACCAGCCCCGGAACCGCGCGGGACATTGTCTTTGCGGGTTTGATGGAGTGAAGCTATTCCGAATTATTGGCATCATCGCAACATAGCTTAGGTTGAGCTGTCAATACGAGCAGGCTTGTGCAACCATATGAAAAATATTTCTTATTTTGCCAATACTACCATTGCTGCGTCCCTTCTCATTCACTCCATTGGAGGTTTTACATATGTTGCCCCAGAATCATTACAGCGGAACACCATCCAGGCCGCAAGTTAGCAGTCTAGAATTTTTAATCTCATCAGCCCGAGCCAGTAGTTCCTCTACATCCCAGGTAACCCACACCATCTTTCCCTTCAGAAATCTTGCCTCAGACGATGCCAGCCATACGCAAAACTGACCCGCAAGCTCAGCTACGCACCGGTCAGCAACAAAAGAATACACGATGACATCTGTCACAAAGCATAGCTTACGCTTGTCCTTAGCAATCTGGCTCATATCCACGTCAGGATTGATCTCCGTTTGCACGACGCCCGGGTGGACATTCACAACGTGTATTCCAGGGTTCTCAACCGCGAAATAGTCCACCATCTTTAGATTGGCCGCCTTGCTGGTCGCATACGCCATTACGCCCCCTGGCGAAGGCGAAACATGCGCCATAGCCGTCGACATGTTCAACAGCACAGCATCGGGGGCGGCGCGGTGAGCAAATACCTGTAGGGCATTCAACGTGCTGAGTACGTTCAGTTCGAAATCTCGCATCAGAAGCGTCGGGTCGTAATCCACGACCGGGGCCAGTTTTTGTAACGAGCCGGCATTCGAGACGAAGATGTCGATCTCGCCAACCTCATCGATGATGGTCTGGACAGCTTTGTCGACTTGTTCGCGTCGCACTAAGTCGGCAGACTGGTAGAGAACAGTCGTACGCTCGCTTCCGGCATTTTTAATTGCCTCGGCTGCCGTTTGGAGCCGTTCGAGACGCCGGCCGAGAATAGACACGGACTTGGCACCGGCTTGGGCAAAGGCTATTGCAACCGCCTTGCCGATTCCAGTGCCGCCGCCGGTGATCACAATGTTTTTACCAGCGACAGATAGCTCGGGACGCTTTGGATCGATGAACGGATATGGCTCGCGGTGCCTTGTCTTGGTGAAGGAGAAAGGGAACGGTTCCATGGTGAGTATTATGCTTGCTTGGAAGATGAGCATCGAGAGCACGGATTGATAGTGACGTTCCTTCTCCTTATGTACTACTTCTCATCACCGTTGGCACATGTCCGAGGTTGGTGAGACGTACCTATATCTGCTTCAAGTAACTCGTGACATCATCGTTGACAAGATATGAGTGTTCAACTGTCTCCTATTCTGCTAACCAAGCAGTATGATGCCTGCTACAGATAACCCGCTATGCAGGTGGCTGACTCGACATAGCGATAAGGCTTGAGCACGCTCTGTCCCCAGACTCTACAGAAGCTTGTGTTGATTCTCGTCCGAACTTCTACCAATCACCATGAAGATACGACCGCTACCTCAAACCGGAAGGCCAACGGCCGCGGGTGGACAATGATGAGGCTTGCTGTATTTCCGTTCCTCCCGGTTCGTTTTACCAAGATAATGAGTCCGTCTACTTTATTTTCAGTAGCCGTGACCGGCTCAGGAGGGGTGGTTGTGTGGTTCGTCCTTGCACTGATGAGTACGAGTCTTTTTGTTTCTTGTTCCATGGAAGTGAAACGATACGGCTTGTTTACTGGGCTGAGCTATGTGTAAGGAAGATGGTAAAAACGGTAAGATGGTTTCGAAGACTGAATATGATGCAGACACTGTTGTTCGAAGGCTTTGAGTGTTCGATATGAAGTAAATTGGCAGATAAGATGTTTCCAAAGAAAAAAAAAGATCTGTAAAATTGAAAAAAAAAAGAAAAGAAGAAAACCAGAAGTATGACTTCCCCTAACAAAAGCAGTTTTGGTTCATGTTCCAACACAGGGCCACTACTACACCTCTCACCGTACATGTCCATCTGTGAAGACTCGAATGTAAAACCCATACTCCTTCAACCCGCAAGCAAATAACAGACACATCAGTACATGCCTGCTGCTATTTTTTCCCTTCAGCATGCCCCAGGTCCCTTTCGACAGCAGTGCATTCCCAACGGCGCCGCCGACTTTCTTCCCAGGACCCTTGGCCCCAGCTGCGCTCGAGATGCTGTTGCCCACGCCTCGGGTGATGGAACCGACTCCGTCGCTAACGGGTTTGGTAATGTTGCCGGCCGTGTTAGTAGCTCGATTTCCAGCCTGATAGTTGTGAACAGATGCCAGGTCGCCGATCAAGTTGACTGGGCTTTTGAGTTTGGAAGTTGGTACGAGATTTGTGGTGGGCGCCTTTAAAAGCAAGCGAAATTGAACGAGTCTGAGAATTGGGTTGATTTGAAGTAGAGGATATTTTGGAATAGCTATTTCCTCAGTGAAAATGAGATATTATCAGGTACGATGGAAACTCGCACATCCCTATTTCCAACATTGAGGCCCGGGCCAGGACGTCGTCATTTTCGAATTCCTGTAAGTGACGTCAAAATTAGATGAATAACATCGTCTAATTCCAATATCAAACCCTATTACATTCGAAATGCATGCATGTATGTATCCGCGCTTGAGCGACTGACGTCAAGTTACTTAGGCTCTGGCTTCACAATATGCAGCTAGATTACACCATCAAGTAGTTCCGGGCTTGGTGGCTAAAATCGAACTAGTCACTGCAATAATGGGTAACTTTTCGACGATTGCCACTCGACAAATACAGAGTAGGTCAAAAGACTGAAAGTGGCGCTTAGAGGGGCTGGTCCCCATCATATCATGGTATTCCGAGGAGATTCCTGTGGACGACCTGGAATACTAAAGTAAAGTGGAGATATGCATTGCATCGTTGCCCCTATTCAACCCGGTATTCATACAGTGCAATATATCGCCCGATTCTGATACCACGAGTGCATTATACGTCAAAGGTTTAAAGAGACTGCAACTTACCGGGTCATGATAAGAGCGTCAGTAGGCAATCTTGTCCACCAAACGCATTTTTTGTTCTCAAGAGAGTGACTCTAGAGTTCAGCAAGTTAACATACTGAGCCAAGACCACACTCATAAAACAGCAACAACGTCATTATCTACTAATTATATGCCTCCCTACAGCAAACGTCCCATGCAGCATGTATCCGAGCCCGTATGAACAGAACAGGCGCTATTTCCTCTCTCCCCTTTTTCTTTCCCTCCACACCAAGAATTTCAGACCAGACCTAAGGCCGTAACATCATCATCCGTCTAAGTAGGCTCTGAGCTGAATCAACTGACAGTGCAAAATTGCACCACCCAGTCTTTGTTGTCTTTCGGTAGAAAGACCTCTAGGATATTCGTACAAAATTCAAGAGAATTAGTCCAACAGAAATGTTTTGCGGACCATCCAGTCGTCCTCGGCGCCTTCTCTTACAGGCGTAATCCTGAAACGTGAAGTGTACAGGTTGCTTGCCCAAAGGGTTACAGGTGTCGAAGACACAACCAAAGAGAGTATAGAGAAGAATAAATGTGACACGAACGGGATGAAGGTATTGTGGGGGTTTGGTGGGTAACGGGCACGCAACAACTCGCTGCTACAGTGCGTCTTCTTAAGCTCGAAAGCTGGAGAAGGTAAACAGCACCGGACAAAAGATATAGAAATACATGTTGGCAGATGTAGCTGAGCCAACAATTGGTTCGGGTCAAGGCTTTCAACGGCAAAGATAGCCCGGAAGGTCGAACAGACAAGGTTATTGTGCTTTCAGGAGTTGAGCGTTTTGATCATCATCTTGATCTTGCGCTTGTCCACCACGAGCAGGTTTCGCACGCTGAAGACAGCGTGCATCGTGTCAACGACCTTATGGAAGCTGCTTGCGGCCCCGCGCTCCTGGGTAAACCTAACAATGCAGAGCGGGTTGCGCTTGCCATGCTCGATGACCGTCATGATCTCTGCAGCGAAAGAGACTTCCTTCATGTTGAGATCTGACGTAGATGTGGGTTAGCGATCGGATGAAACAGAAAGAGGTAAAAAAACAAAAGAACTTATGGCAAAATGAAAACTAAAGTTACGTACAATTCTTTGCGCCCACACGGCCAAAAACGAGATTCCGGTCCTTGTCAACCTGAACATCCCGAATACCATACCGGCGCCATTCCCTCAACAAGATAGCGATCTCCTGGCGAGCGCGGCGTCGAGGAATAGTGAAGCAAATATGCTGCGTCGCGGGCTTCACTCGGAATAGGCGAGCCAACCAGTTCTGTTGCGGTTCGATATTGCGGGTTGTTACATCGTCATTCCGCTGGTTGCTATGGGGCGGGCGGGCAGGATGGCTGAACATTCTGACAGGCTCGGGGCTGGGAGATTCGTCAAATTCGGGACCTGCAAGCCAATCAACATCGTGTCTCTCATCGTATAATAAGGTAGCCAGTTTACCTAAAGCAAGGGAAAGCTTCATCTCTTCTTGATCTTTACTATTTCGCCAGAAAGCAAAGCTGAAACTCTTCTTCCTGGCAGGTGGTATAGGGCCAGTGGACGAGGCATTGCTGTCAGAATAGGGCGTACCCTCCGTTCGACTAGAGCTAGAGCCGCCCTTCGAGTTGAAGATGTCATCCTTGTCTTTGGATGATCGCTTGAACCAAGATGACTTCTTGACAGCACCGAATGAATTGCTTTGAAGTGGCGTAAAAAGCTCTTCGGGGATGGTTTCTTTGATCTCGCCACACGCATACTGTTGTCGAAGGCTGAGCTCTTGATTTGACTGAGGATAAGCCGTAACGCGTTTAGATAGCTTCTTGCGAATGTTGAGTGGGGCCGGAGCTTTCACGGGGCTAGGCTTGTCCGCGGGCGACTTGACCATGCGAATCGTCTTTTCGTGACGAGCTAGATATTCTAGTCCCCTGCGCTCTTCAACCAGGCCGACAGTACGATGGTCAAATGCATGGTCACCAACTGGTGCAGAGACGATACGATGCTTGTCCTGGTCTCCACGAGAGGATTCTCTCTGATTCTCAGAAATCGAAGGCAAGGGAATGGTGTCTTTACCCCATTGCGTACTATACTGGGAGTAAATAGGGGCTGAAGCCACCCTGCGTTCTGTCTCGGCCTTCTTTGAACCGACAGGCGGAACAAGTCGATTCAGGTGCGCCATCATTCTATCAACGTGTCCAGGTGATTCATTAGACTTCTCCCGGCGCAGCTCGGTTCTCTTCTTGGCTAGCATCAGTTCGTGAAGGATAGAGTCAGTGGGTGGTGGAGCCGGTGGCAAAGGCCGGGCATCCCACGGCCGCGAATCCCGTTTTGGTTCCTTCCCAGCCTGAACAGCGGGCGTTGGCGTGTCCATGACCACGGAGAGTGACTTGGAGTCCGGCGCCGCCTCCACGACGCTAGACTCCATCATTGATGGCGCACAAGAGGAATTGCCGAGATACGAGTCCGGTGAAAGCAGTGAGCTGTTAAAAGCTTCGTCGCAATCTTTAGCAATACTATAGCTGAACTGTCGCAAATCTTCGTTCCAGATGCTGCTTCTGTCATCAGTCTCAGACCCGTTGGCCATCGGTTGCGTCCCATGACGGGTTCGACCTAAGCCCCTGGAGCGCTTGACCTGCCCTACGGGGCTTGTTGGCGACGTGAGGTCCTGATCATAACTCGAATCGTCACAAGCAATACTGGTGAGCACTCCGTGTTTGACCGAGCGCCTGCGCACGTGTGAAAAGTTAACGCCCCGTTTATGGCGCGAAGCTGGTCTCTTATGTGTTCCGTCTCCGCTCCTGACTGAATTCAGAGAGCGGCGCGACGACATTATGCCACTAGCTGCGGCAATACCTCGATTTCCCCTGGCCCGTCGTGAATACGTGGAGCTGCTTTTGATCGACCCGCTTCTCATCCACTGCAAGTTGGTCGTTCGTGTAGAGCTCTTTGCCAGACTTCCATTTCGGTGAACGATGATCTTGGCATGACTGACTTCGCCATTGTCGTCCATAATGCGCGACGACTTGTACGGGTCGTAGCTCTGTATGGTTCCGCCGCCATCTGTAGCTGTCTCCATCGCATTGTCATCAGTCGCCATGTTGGAGATGACCGTAAACCGTGATGGGGTCCTTCCATATCGAGCAGGGAACTCGAGCGTGGTGATTTTTTTCGTCCAGTTTGCAGGGCGTAGGTGGTGGTAGTCGCTAGAGGAGTATGTCAAATCGCCACCATAATCTTCCAGTTGTTTCTCGCGGTAGTTGCAGAGCAGCCAATAGAAAAGCTTTTGGTCATTGGGCCTATTCGTGGCGTCAGTAGAAAGCTCGAGGCAATGAAAGCTCGGGATCGAGTTGGGAGCAAATCGTTTCAACTTACTCTTCGTTCATCAATTTCAATGCAAGCTCTCTCTCCGTGAACATGTGCCACATGGACTTGAGCTGTCGTAGGGTTTGCAAATCAATTTCGTCGGGGGTCAAGCGGGTGATCCTTCCGTGCTTTCGAATATCATTCAACTGATCGTCGTGCCGCTTACCATTTAGATCGTCCAGATAGTCGTATTGAACGATGAAGCTATGCTTCCAAATCTGTCGGATCGTGATGCGATCGTTGGGTTCTGGCTGCAGCATCTTGCGAATCAAGTCCTTGCTACCCCTACTGAGAAATGCAGGCTCTTCGTATGCCCCCGCCTTAGCCTTTGCAAGCAGGCGAGGAAGGTCACCATTGGGATCATCGAATGGGAGACGGGCAGATAGGCAGGCGTATAAGATAACACCAATACTCCAAATATCAACTTTGTCTCCACGATAGCCATGCTTCCTTCGGCTCACCAGCTCTGGGGCGGCGTAATGGGGGCTTCCGCAGGCAGTTTTCAGCTTGTGGTTTGGGCTCTGTTGGATGGCGGCCATCCCAAAGTCGGCGATCTTGATTTGACCCTCTCTTGTCATCAAAATGTTCTCTGGCTTCAAGTCTCGATGACAGATGTTGAACGAGTGGCAATAGTCCAGGGCGCTGATCATCTGTCGAAAGAAGAAGATGGTCTCTTCTTCGGGCAATGGCCCATGGATGTTGATATACTCGAAAAGATCGCCTTGCTCGACATATTCTAAAACCAGATAGCTATATAAGAGTCAGTAAATCCGCTTTATGATAATAGGAGACATAGAGCAACTTACATTTCCGAGCGATTCTCCCAGATATCGAATATTTTCATGATGTTTGGGTGGTCAATCAACTTCAGGACGGCGACCTCTCTCTCGATGGACAGAGGCATGCGATTGTCGGCGGTGAATCCGGGCTGCTTTCGATCCCATTTGTCTAGCGAAGCGAGGCTACTAGCCTGTGTCATTTGGCAACCATGCTTGGGCAGTATCTTGACAGCGACTTGTTCCTGAGTGATGCGATGTCTCGCAAGTCTTACCCGACCTGCTGATCCTTTACCAAGGGTTCGGCCAAGTTGCCAAGGACCAACGTGAGTCTTTCGTTTGCCGCTGGATGCCCCACTTGATGTCGATAGCTGCGATACACGCTTCTCGGCATCTCCACCATCTACTCGGGAATACGTGAGCGACTGCGTTGTAGACGGGGCAGATGCGTAGTGGCGCGCGTCATCTTCAGCTTGTGGAGTTGCACTTTGCCACGAAGTTCTCGGGTTCGCTTGGACCGCACTAGGATCGGAGTTCTGAAGCTTGCTGCGTTTTCGAGCATGCTGTGTTGAGGTGTTGACGACGCGATCAGTGGCATCGCCAAGCGGCGCTCGGGAGGATTGGGACTGATGGATCCCACGAGCGTCCATTTTAACACATTGCTAGGCAATCTAGGTCGATTCAAGAGCTTCTGCAAGTGGCTTCAAACAATATACCACTCGAGGGCCAGGAATGAGCGGATGAAAAAGGAAGGCGTAAGTGGATGGTGGTAGGCCAGTTCGAGGTAGGGAAGTGAGTGGAAGGCGCAACTCCCAAGGGTACACCTACTACCACAAAGAGCCGAGAAATCTTTGGCAATAGAAACGAGGGTGTGCAATCAATAAAAAGAGAGGGAAAGCACAAGTTGACCTGTACTGCGTTGTTCAAGCCTAAACGAGTGGTCAACCTCGGCGAGTTGTGGAATGTGGTGTTTCGGCGGCGGGGTTCTCGATGTTTAGCTACCTGTGGCTGCCAAAAGACTAAGGTGCGTTGCTGGATGCATGCCCGTAAAATGCCATGCAATCCAAGCACTGGGGTACCATTCGTGAATTGTCAAGGAAGGAGCAACAAAATCAAAGTTCTGCATTAGCAACGGCTTGATTATGATTTCAATCTCAATGTCATCAAGAAATTCAAGGCCATACCTTAAAGTACACATTGCACTGTACCAAGCTACAAACCTCCATTGCAATGAGACAGCCCTCTTCAAATGGAAGATATTTTCAAGTGTCTTGTTCATATGGCCGTCTAGGCAGCCGTAGAAAGATATTGTGCCATACAAGTATGCGAGACTTATAACCCGGACAAACATGGTTCTCACACCTGGTGAATTAGGGACACAATGGTGGGCATATTCGCCAATATGTCCAGCATTTGCAAAATAGGCCAACAACTCGTTGTCATGTACGACAGAGTCTTGATGGACCGGTGTAATAGTGAAGTTGCAAATGGACCCTCACCTGCTTAAGTAATTTTATCACCCTCTGATATTCGCGTGCCGCGGTCGGCACCCTCCGTTTTTGTTTCACCCAATCCGCCCCACCTGACCCGCTCACCGCTCCAATCAGAACCTTGCCTCGGGGACCAGGAACTGTTGGGCCAGATCCCAGCGTCCCACCGCACAGGCTAGACCTAGAAGACTGATACGCTGTCCCTGAAAGACAGTCATCGGCTATAAACCGTGTTATACGATGTAAACCGCTTTCATCCCTCGTTATAAGTTTAAGGCTATAACAGAAGCAGATCGCTATTCGGAGGCGGCCGAGATTCACTCCTCACAAATGCGGGATTGTGCTTACGGCCTGCAGGCTATTATATCACCATAATAACCCGAAAATGATACGAATTAAAAATCTACAAGGCGATTGCAGTTACTCAAACCGCCGTTTTTAGGCTTGACGAGTTTTGTCTCTAAAATATCTTGAGAGTTCATATATACCGCCAATTCTGACGATAAGAATATCTACGAAGAGTACGTAATCGAGAGGACTATCGTAGCACAATATCAATTATATAGTGCAGGTATTGAAGAACATGCTAGACACTTGAAACAGCTTCATTTTCGGCATAATATACGCAAATTTGCGTGTTATTGAAATATAAGACTTGTATGTGTGTAGGCTAATTTGGCTGTACGAAAGGTAAGTTCCACATGGTATTTGCAAAGATTCTTTACATATGTTTGTGTGGAAGTAAATATCGATATGAAGGGACTTTCCTTCCTCCGACTCTGACTATTTCTCAAAGCGCTGATTCCCAAGATTCTGCCCCTTCAGATCAATCTCATACAGGAACACCGAAGTTACAAGCCCAGTCCACTCAGGCCGGTCATCGTACAAAAGATTGTCGGGAAGGAACGGTCCGGAGACAGCACAATGGAAGCCACTTTAGTGAATGTCATTGTGAATGATTGTTCCAAAGCGCGACAGGTCCTGCTGCCTTTGAGACGAAGCTGCGTCTAGATGCGACAAGGCCCCAATAATTCAACTCGCCAAGCTAGACAGTATTATTATTTGCAACGTGCAATTTGGCGATCTGATCATAGTACAGGATGCCTCCGGACATTGGAGGCAACAGAAAAAAAAGCAGCGAAACTGCTCATAAACCCAATGCAGGATGCTACAGTCGCCAGGTTGGATGCTATCTCCCACAGTGCAAGGCCACTGAACAAGCGGCTATCGACGCTCAAGCGGGAAGCAGACAACTGCTGTTGCATTGATGGCGGAGAATCGATCTTCCAAAGGGTGAATAACGCCTTTCCCCTTGGTTTGGTATGTTCTCTATGCTTCCCGCCTAAAATACATTAAACCGCACTGTTTAGGCACAACACATAGTAGTCTTGCTGGTTCGGTTGTGAACAGTGGGAAGACAGTAGCGGAGTTCGTTCAGTATGTTTGCATGAAAGGCTGACATTCGCACTGTTGTAGTCGCAGGAGTTGTTCAAGTTAAGGCCATCTCCAAAGGCTTACGGAAAAAGGCACCATAGACACGGGCAACCGCTTGTTCACCACGTAATTAGCCTAAAACTTTGCGCCGTGAAAGATACGAGTCGGAACTAGCAGAATGTTTATTACGGATCCGGGTTCAAATATTAGTGAGGAAGACCGTGGAGGACTGTCATAGTCACTCATAAGGTGGTTGGTTGTATGGAGAATGATGCGGAACCGCTGGACGATCCCAGGTTGTCTCCAGTTTTGACTGTACATGCGATTTCGACAGGATAATCGCGAGAAGTGATACATCCAGCAGTGTTGGTGCGCTAAGTTTCGAGGCAAGGTGACAGGACAGATATATGTAGTGGGAACTGTGTAGACCCTGAAATCCCGACACAGGAGCCCAGCAACAGGAGATCCACACAATCCAGAGGATTACATTAGATGGTTGCAATCAGCCAATACACCCTGAAAAACGAACACCTCCCAAGAAAAGCAATATGATCTTCAATTTCATGCATCGTTGTTCATCAAAGCAGACGGAATTGGTGTTGTTGAAGATGCCGTGAATAAAAGTATCTGCGGATTTGGTCGCAACTCAAAATGCTAGGTAAGGTCAATGGGGGTAGGATCCAGGTGTCCGAGGATCTGCCGAAAGAGTTAATCCCCGCAGTCAAAGTACGTACCCGTGCCACACCCCACTTATTTCGGGCTCACTTGAGCTCACTAGCGTAAGTTGGTGCTGGACACCGATTTGGCCAATTTCTCGACTAACTTATCTTCAAACCACCATATCTTTACCAAAACAAAGTATTTTTTCGATCGCGATGGATTCGAACAACAGCGTCTTACGAAGAACTATTACCTTTGACCTAGTAGAGTTTTACCGGTTACAGAAGGTAGAGAGATAGTTAAAAAGAAGGTCGAAGATAAGGTAGCGAAAGTATAGCGAGTTCTAGATAAACATCACGAAGGGCTACGTAATGTAGCTAAAAAGTCGGGTTTTAATACTGTAAAAGAAGGTAGACGACTTCGATTAGTAAGTCGAGTACATCCAGTAGAATTTATCGAAACTGGTTATATATTACGAGTGTTATGTAGATATTAATCTAACATTGAGAATACTACTATTTCCTGGCCAAATCGGTGTCCAGGACCAGTGAGCTGAAGCAGTCCGAAATAAGTGGGGTGTGGCACGGGTACCTCTTTATTTCGCGTGCCTGAGTGGTATCGCCTGTCGATAAGATCGCGCTTTCAACCGAATTTGAGCGCGTCTCTGCAGAGTTCTGGACCCCACGCGTGTTTGCCAATGTTACCCCAGACCCTCAAACTCCCAACTTGGGCCACTTGGGCAACTTGGGAACCTTTGCCAACAGTTTAAATCTTCCCAGCACCTCATCACACTTCACATCGACAAATTTTGTGGTCACAACTGTTTCTGGGCTCTTACGGATCCCCGTCAAGATGCCGTCAGTCACGTCCCGCCGCCGCTCTCGATCGGTCTTCGAGGATGGAGATGGTGACGAGCCATCTGGATCAGAAGTCGGAAAACGACAGAGGCGACATCAAAATGGCACCAACTTGAAGGGAGAGCCAGAGAGTGAGGACGACCGCCCGTTTCCGACTGCAGCGTCGAGACGCTCGCGCCCAAAGGCAAATGGCACTTCGAGTGCAAGGAGACTGGACCAGCCCGACACTGAATACCAGCCTGGTGCTATCGTCCGAGTGCTAGTCAAAAACTTCGTCACATACGAGCATGCCGAGTTTCTCCCTGGACCCAACTTAAACATGGTCATTGGACCAAACGGAACCGGCAAGAGTTCCCTGGTCTGCGCCATCTGCCTCGGACTGGGATTTTCTCCTAAGACGCTTGGCCGCGCAGACAATTGGAAAGAGTTCGTTAAGCACGGGAAAGATACTGCTATTGTGGAAATCGAAATTCAGAAGCGGCCAGAAGACCGGCGTAATCCCGTATTCAAAGTGCAAATCTCACGAGAAGACAACAACAGGAAGTGGTGGTTGAATGACCAAGAGACCCCCTTCAAGTCAATACAAGAAATGCAGAAGATATATCGCATACAAATCAACAACCTCTGTCAGTTTCTCCCTCAAGACAAGGTCGCTGAGTTTGCCGGTCTCAGTCCAGTACAGCTGCTTCACGAGACGCTCAGAGCTGCTGCGCCAGAACAGATGATCAACTGGCAGGCACAGCTGAAGGAATATCACGCAGACCACAAGAAGCTGCAAGATTTACTTGCATCTACCTCAGAGACCTTGCAAAGCCACGAGGCCCGCCAACAGGGATTACAAGCAGATGTCGACAGACTGAATGAGCGTGAAGCAATTAAGGAGAAGATTGATGACTGGAAAAAGGCTCGTTCCTGCGCCGAGTACGACGCCGCCCGTGATAGATACCGAGAGGCGAACAGGAAGAGGAAGGATGCAGAAAAGCGGCTGAAAGAGCTCGAAAATGCTTCGGGGCCAGCCCTTGAAGCCGTGAATCAAAAGGAAGAATACCAAGCAAAAATAGAGGCAGTTATTGTGCAGCGGAAGAAACTGTTGAAAAATGCTGAGGCTGGTGCTGCTCAAGGTCTTCAGGCTATAGAAGCTCAAGATGAGGTGATTGAAAGTGTCCAGGCAAATATGACTGCCGAGAGAAAATCATTTCAAACGAAAAAGGACGAAGTTGGAAAGACCCGCAAGATTATCACCACACTCCAGGGAAGAAGAAACAAGGAGCCCGTGCCGTTCAACAATTCTGAGTGGAATGAGAAAATTGTAAGTAATGTCGACGCGTAAGGCACTATTCCTTACTAATGAGATCTCTCCTATAGCGAGCACAGGAGCACATCTTACACGAGACTGAAGCGGAGAAACGAGAAGTAAGCGCCCGCATAGAAGAGATCCTGCAGGCGGGCCGCGAAGTCCAAAAGGAACTTAGGTCTAATGCCCAAAAGATCGATGCCTTGAACTCACAAGAAGGTCAACAACTCCACATGTTGGAGAAGGATGAGCCTGAAATTTTTAAAGGATGGCAGTGGCTGCGCGAAAACCAACATGAGTTCGAGAAAGAAGTTTTCGGACCACCGATGCTGACCTGCTCTCTGAAAGATAAACGGTACACGGATGTCATCCAATCTCTGCTCTCTAAAGATGACTTCCTGTGCTTTACGGCACAGACACAAAATGACCACAAGAAACTCAGCAACAAGTTCTACAAAGAAATGGGGTTGTCGGTCTCAATCAGGACATGTGGACGAGACTACCAGTCTTTCAGACCGCCCATGTCGGGGCAAGAAGCGCGCCGGCTAGGCCTCGATGGATTTGCCATTGATAACCTGGAGGGCCCAGAGCCGGTTCTGGCCATGCTCTGCTCTGAAAAGAAATTGAACACATCTGGTGTTGCGCTCAGGGAGGTCAGCAATGAGCAGTTCGACGAGTTAGTGCATGGCGAAAAGATCCCACAATGGGCTACGGGAGAGACGAATTTTCGCGTTGTTAGGCGAAGAGAATATGGCCCTGATGCAACTACCACGACCACGCGGAAAGTTAGACCCGGGAAGTACTGGACTGACCAACCCGTGGACAACGTGGAGAAAGTCAAACTCCAACAAGTTCATGAAGAGAAGACCGAGGTGAAGAAGCGTCTCCATGCCGAATTCAAAGAGAAACAGGATCAACTGGAGAAGCTACGGGCCAATGACGAAGAGTTGCAGGCGACGATGGTAAGTTTTTCAACGGTCAGTAAGTAGACGGCGCTGACGTCGCCACAGATCGAGCTCAAGAGACAAAAGAATGAGCTGCAGCTTGCGAATACTCAGTGGCAGGCTCTCCCAGACAAGATCGGTAAGACTGGCCAATGATTGCTGAAAGTTCTGAACTAACGACCATCAGCGGTGGAACAGGAGAATCTGAATGCCTTGCTACAAGACCTTAGTGCGTGCAAAGCAAGGATGGCTGGTCTCGAGGCACAACATGACGAGGCAATTATTGGGAAGGCCAAAGCCGTTTTAAGCTACAAAGACAAGATTTCTGCAATCCGAAATGCTCACCAAGCTGCGCTGGATGTGGAAATTCGCCTCATTGAGGCCAGATCAGACGTTAGAGGCCTCAAAGAGCGTAACATGCTAGTTCTGCAAAATCTTGAGGCGAAGAAAGAGGAGATAGGAATCTGGGTCGGGGAGGCCGAAACGGCTAAAAGAGAGGCACACAAGGCGCGTGAAAAAGTTCAAGCCATGGTGTCTGAGGACGAGGGACACGGCATTGAATATTACAACGGCCTGATTGCGGGGAAAACACTCGAGGATATCGACCATGAGATAGTTTCTGAGGAAGCGCAGCTTGAGCTGATCCACGGAGCTGATCCCAGCGTACTACGGCAATTCGAGAAGCGACGGCAAGAGATTGAAGCTTTGGGTAAGAAAAAGGAGGAGCTGGCGGGAAAGCTCAAAGCAATCGGCGAGCACATGGATGAACTAAGAAACAGATGGGAGCCGAAGCTCGACGAGCTCATGGCCAAGATCAATGACGCCTTCAGCAACAACTTCGCCAAGATCTCGTGTGCCGGCGAGGTTGGAGTTCACAAAGACGAGGACTTCGACCAATGGGCCATCGAGATCAAGGTCAAATTCCGGTATGTGCCAAAACCTCAATTCTTTTCTGAAGCTGTGAAAGAAATTAACAATGCCGCCAGTCCGAACGAGACGCTCCAGCAGCTTAATCAGCACCGCCAATCTGGTGGCGAGCGCGCCGTCTCTACCATCTTCTACCTGATGGCGCTGCAGTCGATGGCACAAGCCCCTTTCCGGGTCGTGGACGAAATTAATCAAGGTATGGACCCGCGCAACGAGCGTATGGTGCATGAGCGCATGGTGGAGATTGCCTGCCGTGAACACACGAGCCAGTACTTTCTGATCACGCCGAAGCTGCTTACGGGTCTGCGGTACGACGAGCGGATGCGCGTCTTATGCATTGCCAGCGGCGAGCACATGCCCGAGGAGGGCCGGAAGCTAAATTTTAGCAAATTGATCAGCATTCGGCGCGCTCTGAAAGCGGCGGCATAGGGACCGGGAAAGCTCGTCTTAGCGCAGCAGCATTCTGAATAGGTCACGATAGTTAAGAGGTCACGATGTGATGAAGATACTCGACCATTGTTTGTAGCGGTGCGGCGGGCGTTATCAGGAGAATATGCGACAAGTGGAACGGTTGCTAGAGCTTATGGCGTCAACCCCCGGAGGAGGTGCGATTATGCCCAATATGGTTGCGAGATTTAATATCTACCAAGGCCATGATTTACTAGGCACTATTGAAGTTCACGTTGATACGCAGGCCGCTCGCGTACCTGTGCATCCAGTTTAGCGCTCTAGCCAGCGCGAATCCCGGCTGCGATCACACCTTACGACACCACTTTGTCACAAATTCCCAGGCACTCCGATTTCGAAGTCCAAGTTCCAACAGACATATACGTTTTTTATGTTATTTTAAAACAGCTCGACAATTTGTGAAGCAGTGCATGCTTACCGATAAAACTTGACTAAATCGTATATCATCTTTATCTTTATCTTCTACCATCCCCCACCACCCCACCGGTAACGTTAATTGAGCATAATACTGCAAAAACACTACATTTTTACTTACACATAATTCCGTACATATTGAAGCTATTTATACCGTAGTTATACCATTATGTAGCTATTGTTATGGAGTTTAAGAATATCGCCACCTCTTGACTGTACGACCACTTCGTGTGACTACAACGGCCGGCAAATCATCGGCCGTAGCCTCTGATTCTGATGAATCAACCCCTTCATCCTCAACTTCCACAACTTTCCCATTATTGGCTGGTTCTTGACGGTTATTAGGGGGTATAGGCTCCCCTGCAGCTAGTGCTTCTGATACTGTTATAAAACGGCGATTCGGATTTGGCAGTGACTTGTGCTTTTTACCCCTTTTCAAGCGGTCTAGTTCCTCCTGTAATGCCGTAGCCTTAGTGCGTTCGGCTACCAACTCTGCCTCTAAGGCTTCAACCCCCTTTGCAACCTTCTGTAGCCTATAGCGGCTATGTGGGCTTGACTTGTTCGCAAAGTTGCGGATTCGACGGCTCGTACGGGGTGTAGAATCACTGTCAAGTCCAGGGGCTTGTGGCGGCGGTGGAGTGCCCCTTTTATCAACATCTACCTGGATTTCTGGATGCCGTAGTGCCTTGGCCCTTGAAATTGACCAATTTCCAGTAGTTCTCCAGCCAGATTTAATGATCTTATCTGTTATAGCCTTGCGTGCAGTACTATAACACCGGATAAAGTTGACTTTATCAACTGGCGCCGCATCCGTCATTCTATCCAATTTACTGACTTCTGCCCTATAGGCCGACTTCAATACGTTAAAGGGGCCATTGTCATTTGGCTGTAAGCCATGGGAAGTGTGTGCCGGTAAGTAACAACAGTATACATTGTACATAAAGCACGTAGTCATCCACTCATCCTATATAGCCCAATTAGTACAGTTATACTGCAATAACCAGAAGACTTACAGATACGTGGGATCCATGGCCATCTAGTATAATTAGCCTAGCATCAGAGGGGTCTGCTGGCTGCGTCTGAGGCAAGTATACGTCAATAAGCCACTGATGGCCTATATGGTTGTCTGTCCAGCCATTTGGTGACGTTATATAGCGCCAGTGGGGACAGATCTCTCGGAATTGGTCAATGAACCACTGTTTTTGGAGCTCTTTGCCCTTAAACACTATATCTGGCTCTAGAAGGCGGCCATCGGCTGTAGTGGCTTCAATAAATGTAGTCCAACTACGGCCCTGTGAGCTCTTAATTATAGCCTTCTGTTGGGCGTCAGAACTCCCCAATACGAGCCCGTCAAGGCCTATAGTATAGTAATTAGCATAGATAATTGCCTAAGAGACTAATAGATAGTTACCAAAGCCAGCCATTATGCCTCCCTTATCGACATTAACTGTATTTTCTGGCTTAATCCAGCCGTATTCTCTCTCACGGATATCAAAGTACCAATGTACGGCTTTTGGTGTAAACGAGTTGAATCGAGCTGTCTCCTGCTTTCTACCCATCTTGGTACGAATTTCTGGATGTCTAGAGACAAATCGGTTGAGCCAATTCTTCCCTAATTCGTTGGTATCCCCCTGTTGAGCCAAAAGTGTAGAAACGCAAGCGCGTACGTGATTGTGCGTAGGGGCATATCCCAAGGACTCTTGTCTGATGATCCAGTCGACTATACGGCTTTCTTGGGCTATATAAACCCGCTTGCTGGTCGGTATAGGGTTGTCTGGCCACCCTTTGCCTTTGATTCTGTCGGAAAGGGTCTGCTGCGGCACTCCATGCTTCTGGGCGGATTTATACTGCGACAGGCCATTATCGGTAACATCTAGAATAGCCTCAGCTATCTGGTCCTCTGTCCAGCTACGGCGCGGCATTTTGGTGTACTGAAGCGTAGTACTTATAGAATAATAGTCAAAGGGGCATCGTGGCCTCAAAAGTAGTAGAATCAGAATTTTACGGCTGCCGGAACTCCGTAGTACCGATGTGGAGTATCGTGTAACCTTTCTAAAAATGCTAAATTGAAAACTCTGTTCAATTCGCTATTTATTCGTGCAATCGGCTTGTAAATAGCTTCAATTTCTATTAAGATCCGTATAATTGAAGTTGAAGTAATTATAGTCTAGGTGCTGCTAATTTGGTTACCGGTGGGGTGGTGGGGGATGGTAAGACGGTACCGAGACCATAACCTTAACCCAACCTCGTCCATTAAACATGAACCCCTTACGCGACGTATCGCCTGCGGACACGCGCACTGGACGCATCACACGAAGCAGTGGCGGTAGCATTTCCCATTACAAAGTCCACACAACTCTCATACGTCTGCTTAGCTCCGGTACCGAACCAGAACCACTGCAACACGCAATCGCCTGCAACGGCACAAGTCCCGGCGGCCAGGTCCGTTGGCATGGTGACGCTGAAGGCGGTGTTGTTAGCGGGCAGCACGGCGAGTGCCTCGTCGGCGTAGCTTTCAAATTCGATTAGGGGTCCTCCGACCACGGTGTTGGTCTTGGTGTCCACAATGGACACGTTCATGGGGCCTTCATGCGGGATCGGGATGTCAACTGTCATGGCAACTACTTGTCCAGGGGTGAAGGTTTGCACCTGGGCGGCGTTGTCGGCGAAGGTGGCGCCACGGCAGAGGTCGAGTTGGCCTACAATGAAGTATGAGCGAGTACTTCGTGGGTGCGGTGAGAGTGTAAGACTTACAGGAGGCACCGGTGGGCAGAACGTTCTCCAGGGGGATGGTGCCGTCAGCCTCGACATTCGCAACAGCGGCATCACCGCAGGCGGCAGCCATTGCCGGGCCGGGGATACGTGCAGGAGGCGAGGTGATGTTGCCGTGGGCGGATGCACCCGCAACAAGAAGCGCAGCTCCGGCGATGAGTGATTGGGACTTCATGTTGGTATGAGTTGAAGAGTTAACGGTCCAAAGATGAGATGGTATGAACTATCGACAAGAATTACACGAGAGGGGAAATGTAAAAGAGAGTGACCAGCACAGTTTAAGAATGAGAGATACTGCAGGAGTATGTAATGAGTGACAAGAAGCTGTTTGGAACTGAAGACTGGAAATACATACTTAAGATGACAAGATGGGCAGTCGCCCATTATAATAACAAAAATCTCAGAAACCGCCCCAGTCCTTCGGCAACGGATACTAACTTTAAAGTTCTGGAGATAGAAGATGGGACGAAATACTGTGAAACTGCCCCTCAATCCCTGGGAAACCGAAGTTCGGTAACCGGGGACCTGCGAGTCAGAAGGGGAGCTAGACTAGGCGATTGACCCGCTCATCTGATCTTCCCCTTGTCGCGAGTGTGCTTCGTTAGAGACCTGCAGTTCGAAACGAACGCCTCTGCAGCCAAGCACCCGTCACAGGCATGCGGGAGTGGCATCAATCCCCCCTATGATTTACGTGTAATCGACATAATCCCCGGGTGGCTTACAAGGCTCGAGAACGACACGGGTAAGACAGGGCATGGTGTTATCTCCAATGAAGTGCATAAGTTGGAAATATGACAGGTCTTAGCCGCTGCGCGTTGACCACGCTAACCTAGGTGATCTGACGCCCGGCTGCTCGGTACGCTATACGTGATTTGGTCTCGGCAGAGGTGAGGCTGAATTGAGCATCTTGAGCTTTTAAGGTTACCCGTTGGCCCATGCATCCGTTATGTGGGCTAACTAAGCTGAGCTTAGTTAATAGTACTGTATGTAGTAGATCTTGAAAGATTTTATCTTCTAATAGTTCATGATTATACAGTATATTATACTTAAGTCTCCTTTCTCTGACTTATTTTTTCACCTTAGGCTCAGTTGATTATTGTTTATCATCATAGGAACGTATTACACGTATCTGAGTTCGTTATACGCGTATGCAGTCGTATGAACTAACTAGGCGGAGTTTAGTTAGCCTGCATATGGAACGCATGAGGCAACGGGTATGGTGCGACGCCATGTTCAGCCTCTATCCTTCAGATTTCAACTAGAACAACGGCGTTTCGTATCGCGAGATTGTCACTGCGACTCTGGACCAACTCCCAGGTCAGGAATCCGAAATCCAATTCGCCATGACTCGAATCCCTTGGCGATGCTTCATCTTCCGAACCAACAATTAAGGTTCGCTGATTCGACAAATTAAGTGCTTCGACCATGACTCGAATTCCTTGGCAATGCTTCATACTTCGAACTGACGATCTGATAAGATCTTTCGGATGAACCGGTCACCAGCATTGAATTACAGGGGTCATAAGGAGTAGGAGTGGCGGACAACGGGCGATAGAACGCCTAGGACATGGAAGCATCAACAATATAACAAGGCTAACCTGATACAAACCGTTCATTAGGGACCGATCGCGAATCATCTATTGCAGTCTAAACTCCATTATTTGCCTGGGTAAGTCTCAAGGGCAGAGACTACCCGTGCCACATCCCACTTATTTCGGATTCGCTTGAGCTCACCAACTTGGCCAGTTTTTCGACGGATTTCAACCTTCAATTAGAATCTACGTAATAACCGCCAACCAAGGCCTGTCTCGAAGACATCTGTAGGCTGTAATTGGCCTGTCAATCGACGTCTTCTAGCTTCTTTTGCGGCATCAGAAAAGCTCTTTTTGGCTACTCTACGTAGTCCTTCATGATACTTGGCGAGAACTCTCTGTGCTTTAGCTACCTCATCTTCAACCTTCCTCTTCACCATCTCTCTACCTTCTGCAACGGATAAAACTCCACCAGGTTGAAGATGATAGTTCTTCGTAGCGCGCCGTTGTTTTGATATACGTTCGACATACTTTGTACGGCTAAGATCGCGCTTAGTCTGTATAAGCTCGGTCGCATTAACGAGGGACCCTTTAACAAAGCGACTAAGTCGATAGGCTAGATCTGGACTAATACCAAGCTTTGGATTAGTAAGACAGTTCGTAATCTTGCTAGCTACTTTATTAATTTGTCGAAAAGTAGTAGGTGTGCCTTCATATGACGAAGATGAAGTGGCTGGTGGTGGTGATGGCGTCTTTGGTATACGTTCTTCAATCTCTTGTAGTATTGGATGAGGGTAAAATGGATATATACCGGTTTTCTTGAAGGCTGACTGGATAGTACTCGCTTTGAAGGTATTTTTGCGTACATTTTCGATAATTGAGAGGAACTCTAGCTTGGTTATATTGGTACATCCATCCCAAATGAAGGTCTTGCGCGTACCACTGAGCCGAGTGGATAGTCCCCGTGAGTATGAGGAAAGCTGGTATTACGTCGCCAGCAGCAGAGATAGCTTCAATAGCTGTCGCTGTCTCTCTATTTTCTGGTAGGCCGAAGTAATGGGCCCTCTTGCGCTTAGTGATGATAAGTTGATCCTTACCAACACCAATCCGGAAGCCAGTCTCGTCCATATTCCAGAGATCAGAGGGACCGATTCCTTCTTCCCGGAGGACTCTCTCAAGCCGTGTAAAATACTCTCGTATAGTGTCGAGGTTTTCAGCAGTCTGGCGGTTTGAATGGAGCTTCCACTGGGAAGCGTGGAAGTAGCTATGGCGCTTGAGGAAACGTGTAGTCCAGTTTGATCCGACTGTTGGTGGTGGCTGATTTGGTAGAACCTTGACTCTCTAACGTAATATCGTGTTTGCAGCGTCGGTAACGAATTCTACGCGAACCGCAAGATTGATCCTATCAAGGCGGTCGATGTAATTACAGAGGGCCTTGTCTTCGGCTTCAGATAGTAGTTTGTTGAGTCCTCCGTGGTTCTCAGTCTTCCCAGCTTGCTTGACGCGGTATCGGAGGGTCTCGCGTTTTACGCCGCTTTCTCGCGCAATCTTGGCAATTTTGGCTTGAGGATGCTCTTGCATGTAGAGGACGGCTTCCTGTAGCTGTGAGTCCATTGCGATTGGAAAAAGCTAATGAATTGACGAAGATAGGATAGGTCGAAGTTGGAAGTGTCGAAAAACTGGCCAAGTTGGTGGTGAGCTCAAGCGAATCCGAAATAAGTGGGGTGTGGCACGGGTAGATATGCCAGAATCTATGAAGTATATAAAGCACTCTGCCAAGATGATGGGCGCGAAGCGACAGGAGGGGGCGTAGTATCGCAGCACGAAACAATCTAACTAGACTCGTTAGGGAGTACAGTGTCAATGATGACCTGGTTAGGACCCTCCTAAGCGTATTTCGTCCTTACAGAACCCCAGCCAATAGCACCAACAACCACCGCCCCAACGCAGGTCCGCAGTCCTTGATGTTAGAAGCGGTCACCGGCAGCTCCTCGGGAAATGGCAGTCAAACCATAATCCAGAGGGTGTGTACGAGGGTCACCACGTTAATGGCGGCGCCAGCGCGACCCAGGTGCCATTCAACGAGCTCGATGCCGTTGGTGAAGCGGGCGTTCAGCACGCACAAAGACGATGGCGTAGCTAAGGTACAGGCCGAGGGACGAAAGGGACACGATGGTGCTCAGGGCGACATAGGTAGCGCGACCCAGATTGACAAGGGCCAAGAAGGCGACTAGCCGCCAGGCTCATAGTCAGGGTGCATCAGCTGGATTGCAATCGTTGAGACAACCGGAGAGCAGCGCTACGTAGCCGACCCACGCCGTCCGTCCTTGGATCCCATGTGAGGAAGCGCTTCGTTGATGAGGGAGCGAATAACGGCCAATATCAGCGTCAACAGATCCTCGTATGGTTGGCAGAGGCCGCTCACGTTGGTCCCGTAGTATTGGGCGCCAGCCACGGGTTTCATGGACGCCATCTCGGCGAACGATTCCGTTTAACACAGGCAGCCTACAACAATCATAATATAGCCAAAGAACCAGGCGGCCGGACCACCATTGTTCATCACGAAGTACATGTTGCCACGTCAAACTTCAGGTACATGGTAGAGAACTACCGACCCGCCGACAGGGTACCATGTTCCCTTATACACCAGAGAAACGGCAAATAACTGGGACGAGCAGACGCGGACGCAAAGACTCTTTGACACCAACTTTGTCGTTGGGAGGAGCAGGAGCAGGCTGGTCGGAGACTTTGATCGAATTTGGCTTACACTTGTCGTCATGGACAGCCCTATTGACCGATGCGCAGAAGCAGCGTGCGATGATAACCTCGAAGCAAACCAAGCAACACGCAGAGGAAGAAGTAACGGAAGCTGGTATGTGGTCAACCAGGCGGGATCTTTTTGGACATTGAGTCGGGCCATTCGGCAGCGACGGACTGGGTCTGTTTGGTACAGCAGCAGCTTGCACACCCGGTATCTCCTTCCAGATTCATGACCAGGTTCGAATATTACCACGCCAGCGACCCAGGAAGAACAACCCGTTCAATGCGCTCCTCCCCCGCCCCAGGCTATAACGCGTTCCGTCTATTGTCGCGTCTTGCAGGCTGTACTTCGTAATTCGCCGCATGATTCGGTTCATTCGAGTGAAAACAGAGATGCAGGCCCACCGAAGGCCTGTGCAATCGCGTCCAGGGATCATGGCCAACGAGAAGCTCATCTGTTTCCTGGGAGCTCCCTCACAAGGTCGCAACTGCAAGAAACAACCTGCCAAATGCAAATCAGTTTAGCTTTCCCTGTGAATCATGCGAGATTGCCAATCGAGTTAACGATGGGTAGGATGCCTCAACCCAGGCGTGCAGCACAGCCAACAGCTTTGCTGATTGGTCCTTGGGGTGTGACCTTTCGTCTCGAACTATTGAGTAAGTCGCTGGTCAATCGAACCCCACTCCATCCCAACGGGACGGGCCGCTATAGTAAGCCGACAGGGTATAGGCTTTGGAGTCCTTCTGACTTGTTTGCGTGCTGAATCGCTTGAACTAACCATCCTGGCTTGCAGCATGGGTCAATTGTTGCAAGAGTGGCCTGTCAGGCTTTATGGGTCGTTCAGTGTTCGACGACTCATCGTCGCAACTTGGTAAAATTGGTTTCTCGTGCCATCGGGGAAAAGAAAGAGACGAAGAGAGCGGCCCGCGAACTCGTATGCTTGTCGTTCTGATTTGGAAAGCGAACCCCCGCTACGATCCGACAGTGAGTTCGAAATAAAGGTTGGTGAACAACAGCATGGGTTGTCTACGCACTCGGGGTCCAGTGCTCTGGCGCTCGAATGAAGATAAGTGCACGCCACTGGTGGTTTAGGCCTAGCCAAAGCTTATACAGCGAGTACTATATCCTGCTCCTGCCCTGCTCCTGTCGCGGATGCCCTCCCGGAAGGAATAGAGCAGGGAGCAGGACATCTTCCCGTGCTTGGCGACGGGGAAATGGGGTGGAGCAGTTCCTAACTAGGCACCTCATTTGCCACTGATACAACGACATGCGATCGGTGCCTGCCTACAAGATCAAGCATCGACGTCTGGTTCGTCAATGCAACCTCACGCTGGCAGCTTCCTTGCTGCTCGTTTCGCTTCATTGATGATCGTTCAATATACCCCGGCCCGGCCCCAGGTCAGATCTGAAATCGAGCCTTTTCCAAAAGATACGCCGTCCAGGATGCGACTGATTTCGCGATCGTAATGTCCTTCGAAGGCTCTCTCGGCCGCGCCATCTTCGGCGCCGGATGCCTTCGAGGTGAGACATCTTCTAGGGTTGCAGCAAAAGTATGTTTCCATCCTGGTAGCGGCACGAACGTTATCCCAGGCTTGCTTTGCTGCGACCATGGGATGTCCAGAATTTGTCGTGTGCAGCGTGTTTGGTTGATACCGGCCGTCCAATATGGCTGCAGAGGAGATCATGATCCACAGCCAAGTTTCGTGTCTGTTGGGACAGATTGGCCTTGCGTTACAAGAATCATCGTCTGCGCGAAGTACTATGACAGCCGCACGGCAATATCGAATAACGGCTGCATCCGTCTTATCGACGTGTATGTGGTTTGGACTTGCCAACCCAAGATGATTGGCACCACCCGCAGTATAAGCACTTCCACCGTGGCTAGCACGAAAGGGCTACGGGACCCCTGCTACGAATTTCTCTGAAGACGATCAGATGGCTCTTCTTGTCATCATCCTCTTATTTTCTTTTGCCCATGGTATTGAGTATCGTCTTCAAACTGTCTCCTCTCATCGCAACTTTGTCCATCTTCCGTTCTTCGACTTAACCTTCTCACTGCCGCACTAGGTTTTCTGATTCCTGTGCCACGTACGCGACCAATCTGAATTTGGGTCAACACACAGATGATACCGATTGTGCCCCCTTGGACCACCAAACATGTACCTACGTTCTCATTAACATCAATATTCGTTACAGCATGCACTAAACTTTCTAATGCCTTTTTATCAAAACAACCAACGACGATGACTAGCTAGTCTATGCGATCCGCTTTAGCTTGACCCTGATCTGACTTTCCTTTCTGTATGACTATTGGCCAATTGAGTATATTTGACTACACTGTACACACTATGATTGGACACCGGTTGTCACAAATTACACTCATGCCTGCCGTTGTATTCTGGATAAGGTAACTGCGTCATGACATCGATGTGCAGTCGAAGTTTTGGCATTACATACAACTCCATTCTTTTCGACTCTCACCCGTGTCAAGGTTCTGGTATTTATTATTTATTATTAAATACGCCGTAGGCTCGAAGCCCCCGGTACCTCTACAAGTACTCCCGTATGTCAAACCGTGCCCTAATGGCTGGACTAAATACATACGCTGCTACGTAGGTTCGCTCTATTAGCTACTGCGTTACGTCCGCCGCAATACTATGTTAGTTCTCACCCTACTAACAAAGTCCCCCTGAGAAGATCGATATTATCCGGGCCTAAGCGCTATCCGACCGGTCCTGAGTAGCCACCTTGTGATAATCCCGCTGACTGCTGGTTTCCCTGTCGCCGTCGCCAGGTCTCTGCGTGTGTGTAGCGGCCATGGTGCGATAGTGGCCCGTAGGCGCTCTCTGGATCCTTCCAGCAGGCCGCAAAAGAGGATTACGTGCTCTGCCGTCTCGGGGGCCTCTCCACAGCGACATAGCGGCGAGTACACACCGAAGGCTCCTATCTTAAATAAGAAAGCTGATAGTCCTATTTTTCCGGTCCTGATCTGGCATAGGTTAGACGCCTCCGGTCGGTTTAGGCCTGAGTACTTGCCCTGTTTCGGCATTCGCATCGAGGGGCCCTCCGGCTCCTCGGCGATAGCGCGTCGCTGGCGGTCGTGTTGTGCTGCCCTGGAGAGCCATCTCTTCTCCCAGTGGTCTAGGAGGGCGGCCGGGGCTTCCTTCTCCTTGCCCATCCACTCGGAGCCCTTAGCCTCCTTCTCCATCGTGTACCCCGCTGGTCTGAGCGATTGTGACGCCCGCTTCCGTCCCGCCGGCGTATCCTGTCGGAGTATGTGTGACGCTCTCGCGCTCGCGCTCCGAAGCAGGCTCCTTTTGCCCTTATTCCGTAGCTGTTCTTCAAATTTCGCCGCCCGGGCACTGAGATAGAGGTCTAGTGGCGGGATCGCTGCCTCTATTTCCAGGTGGCTGTGAAGGTCAACCCTCGCAGACTCACTACAACCAGGTGACTTACAGCTGGAACACCTGCCATGGCAGTGCCAGATGGGAAGCCAATCATAACCCCTGCAGGAGCCCCGCCAAGCGTGGACGACTTAGTCGCGCTCCCTCAAACCTAAGTTTGTGATCTTCTTTCCTTCGCTCCTTAGCGTAGAATCTTCGTCGATAGCACCTAATCGAGGTCTCTACCAATGCGATGCAACCCAGGTCGTGACAGGGGACGCCAGCTCGTAGAGGGATTAGCTCTGACTCCTTACCGTCGAACCGGAGGCGTACTGTCCTATCCTCTACGAAGCTGTGTACCCATTCCTGAACCCACTCCGGGTAGCCCTTCCGGGCTAGTATGGAAATCAAACGCCTGTAGTTGACTGTGTCGAACGCCCCCTTGATATCAAGTTGTAGTAGTGAGGCGATCCCTCCGCGCCTCCACGCTGTATGGGTTACGTCCTCAACTATACGTATCGCTAATTTGGTGGACCGCCCTTTTCGGTTACTCATTTGGCCGTTTGGTAGCAGACCGGCCGTCTCCGCGACGGTAGTGATACGCTGGCACATCACCGTGTCAGAGAACAGAATGCCATAGGCACCAGTGGGTGTCAGGACACTGAACGCAGGACACCGGCGGGCCGCCGGAGGGGTGTTTCGGACAAAAGACTCCCGAATCATGATTACAATCTATGTGAAGCTTTGGGATGACGAGAGTCAAGATCCTTGGCATCGCCGACCCTGCTGTTATGCCGGGTCCAAGCGGCGGCCTAGCTATCTATATAAGGACCATCTCGAAGTAGGATAGGGAAGGAGTTGTCAGAGCCACAAGTGTCATCCGAGGCGGGCCGGCTTCCACCAGGTAGGAAGCCGTTTGTGGCGGCTAGAGAGCCGCTTGTGGCGAATGAGAGCCGTTGAAGCCGTTTGCAGCGGATAGGGAATCGCTTGGTTGCAGATAAGGAGCCGCTGTCCAAGATATTGGCCGAAGTCGGAGGAACACAGACATACGGAAGCAAACATCCAGAATCCAAGAGAGAAACTCGGCTGGCTATAAGTAAGGAGTCGAGACGGAGGAAGATAGAGAGGGCAGAGATCAATGCATCACCGTGGGCACCCCTACCTGAGACCGCCAGTGACCACCCGGTGCTACGTAGGAGGGACGCCCGTTACTCCCCATCACTCTGTACTATTGCCTTCGGCCTAGCCGTACCCTGACACACCGCCTCTATCACCGCCTCTATCACCTTCCCTATCGTACTAAGCAGCGCTATCGGTCGCCAAATAATATTAAATATGCCGTATGTCAGGGTACGGCTAGGCCGAAGGCAATAGTACAGAGTGATGGGGAGTAACGGGCGTCCCTCCTACGTAGCACCGGGTGGTCACTGGCGGTCTCAGGTAGGGGTGCCCACGATGATGCATTGATCTCTACTCCTTCCGTATCCTACTTCGAGATGGTCCTTATATAGATAGCTAGGCCGCCGCTTGGACCCGGCATAACAGCAGGGTCGGCGATGCCGAGGATCTTGACTCTCGTCATCCCAAAGCTTCACATAGATTGTAATCATGACTCGGGAGTCTTTTGTCCGAAACACCCCTCCGGCGCCCCACCGGTGTCTTGCGTTCAGTGTCCTGACACCGTAGGTGTTAACAAATGCGTGCACCTAGGGGGGAGGATGCTATAATGCAGCAGTGCGCAACGTTATAGTATCTAATTGAATGGGATTCACCTAACCAGTAGGTCCCCCTGCCTTTTCGTATCATTAACCCTCGCTACCTCTACAAGTACTCCCTTAAGGGGCTATAGATGATATAGCGGGCCCTTAAGCCGCGTCGGGCGGTTATACAGGTAAACTTGTAGCCAAACGACTACTAAACCTCCTGTCCCTCCCTAAGTCTGTGCTACAACCCCTGCCTGAACTACCGATAAGTGTGGTAATGTGGCACTTAAATTCGTCCTCAGGGGTGGGATGCTGCTGATGTGCAGAAGATGCTCGACTATTTTTTGTCGCGACAAGTCGTAGTATCTGCTAATTGGGGTTCTCGTCGAGCGTATACATCTCAACCATACGCTCAAGTGGATAGACCGTAACGTGGTCTAGACGCTCGCAAGAATCGCGGCGAGAGGGGGTCCGATAAGGGGTCGGATTAACGATTCAAATTCTGGACCGGCTGTCGAGTTATATTCCGCCGACGTAGTGCTTGATGGTCGACTGGCTAGGATGCTCGTAATCCTAAACTGCACCAATCTCCCTATTATCGCTAGGTAGGCGAAGTCAACAAGGTGGGCAGCGCGCCGTAAGGGTTGACTAAACCCCCTTGTGTGTCAGCTGCGGGATTCGAACCCGCGACTCGTCACCGACCCAAGTGGGTGAGGCTCAAATCGGGACTTATCTACCAGCGAAGTGACCAACTACACCAGCCGACATCTGTAAAATATTGATCAGCGGCATTGAAGTATGAGATGCTTTCAAATTGCGGTATGATCCCAATATGTCATTCACTAAAGTACAATCGTCTATTCCAATCCACAATGTCCGACTTCCACATTATGATCAGCTCTTCTCAGTACTGTCATCAACCTTCATATTCCGTCTCGCCTGTGCCAACGTCACCTTGTACTTTCCAATCTGTTCCACATCGCGTCTCCTCCTAACTAACACGGTCCTCCTAACCTCCACAAACCACACCAAAGACCAATACACCGCACTCACAACGGATGACGCCCAAGCAACCCACGCAATAGCCCTTGTCCCACTCCCGCTCTTGGCCGTCATGGTCAGCGCAGACCCAACGCCATTGACCATGTTCACTATGAAGTACGACAGGATGGTCACAATGAGGGCGGTGGTGATGATCATGAGCGGTGCCAGGGTGGCGAGGAGGACGCAGACGATGGAAATTATATGGACTCGGGGAAGAATGATGGAGACGAAGGAGAGCAATGTCACGATACCCGAGCATATTAGCCCAATGAGGAGAAACGCCAAGTTGGCCTTGACAGCGGAATCGGCCATGTTCTCAATGGAGCTTAGGCCTGTTCCTAGAGATTGCAGAAGAGGGACTGAAATGTTGGTGTTGCCGACAACAACATAGCTGGGAATCCGCGATGAAATATTGTTGAGACCTGTTGCAACAGATTAATTGCTTACTACAACTATTCTCAGGGGTTGCGGCTTACCATCAGAGACTTCATTAAACTTCGGACATTTGACGATCTTCACGGACTCAGGGTTCGTTTCATTCGCAAGATTTCCCTCGCAGATATTCTGCATGTAGATGTTGTATTCATCTTTGATGCCGATGGCGTTGGTAACGTTCGTAATGATCTCCGACTCGAGGTTGGCGAGCTCGCTGTTGATCTGCCCAGTTGCATTGTCGATTAGGCCATCGAGGCCGCTGAGTAGGCCACCGAGTAAGCCACCGTCCACGCCAGTGCCGCTTCCTAGGTTGCCATCTGCCGTGTTGAATTGAATTGTTCCTGCGCCTACTCGGGATGTGTTCAACTGTCTTCTGTCAGCCCTTTATCTCGAAGTTGACATGGAAGACATACAGATATCATGTAGTATTTCGATGCGGTTCCTGGCTTTGTGCCGGCAACAGCCAGGACGATGAGAAGCGCGGTGGCGATCGCCGAAAAGATGACGGGGATAATAGCACTGATTCTAATTTTCATCATGCTGGGTTGGGTAAGGTATCCTTGCGTGTTGCGATTAAACTGATATTGTTGAAGGTTGTTGATTAAGTTGGCATATATCCTTATCCTAACAGCGTTTCCGTCGGCCGGCAATATTTAAATACAAGCCCCGAGGATTCTTGGGTCCAGCAGATTGAGATGGTCATGAGGAGTGACGGCATTTACGTCAAAGAGAAGGTCGGTAATGGGATGAAAAAGGCTGGGCATTTATTATGTTATAGGAACCCTTGCCCGTTCCCAATCGTCATTTCTCCTCCCAATCCCCGGTTCGAGTCATTGTCGGCTGAGCGTGACAGATAGCATGGCAACACATTGAGAGATCGCAATGGGATCCTGGACATGATTTCGATCCATCCCAACGTTAGCGGATCTTCAAAGCGAATGGTGCTGAGTTTACCGGGTTATGTGTAATTGACAATTCATCAATAGTCTCCAATTGTTCTAGTCTAAAGTATATATGGAGCTTCCGGTTGCTTGTCAGCAAAACTCTTAAACGCGAATGTGGACCTTCGTAATCTAGTTTGATTCTGTCCTTTGCATTAGATCGGGCTCATGGGCGGAAGGCGTTGGGATCTGAGATGTCAACATCAACAAATACCATGGACACTGACCAGCACGATCATGGCAGATCGACATACAACATACCAAAACAAGATGAGAAGACAAGACGAGGCGGAGTAGTCTGGCGAGCAATTCAGCAAGTTGGCATGTGAGGGATAGTTTAACTTGCATTGTTGTCAAACATGATAAAGTGATTTCAAAGAGGAAAAAAGTAAAAAAACAAGTATCCACATGGGTATAGGCTTACAGTATAAGCAATGGACATTAATTCCGTACACACCCAAGTAGTTAACACGCAAAATTATACTCCAGTCACTCCGGCTGTAGCTTCGATCACCATTCTGACGAATGAGATGCTGGCCACGTCATGAAACTGTTTCTTTTATTACTGCTGTTATCAAGACGCGTTTCATAAGCGTACTATTGAATTTACATCTTTTACGTAAGTGCCTAGACATGACCTCAACGTCTGAAAATGGAAATGCTGTTTTACGTAGCGGGCCTGTTCCCTTGTCATCCGTTGTCTGTCACGAACAGCCTGAAACGACCGCGAGGCTGAAATTGAGGATGACATCAATACTGACGTTTATCAAGGCGACTCAAAGTGGCCTACCGTAAGGCCGCTTATTCAGTTCACTGCTACGTACAGCTTGACCACGGACAATGTATCTACCCCTATCCAGCCAAGGCCCTTGAGCATAAACCGATCCCTAACATGATTGCGGTAAGTTTACCATCCTACCGTTTACGGGTCTGAAATTGCAGACGACCTGGTCAGCTAGCAAAATGAGAATTTGTATGATTGACATGAGATGATGGCGTGGCCCAGTTTGATTGAGTCGATGAAGCACCGGGAATCGGGAAAGACAGACAGCCTGTTGGCACCTTGTGTTGGCTAATTTCATACTGAACCATTGTCTGTCTTGAAAGAAACTCATCAGAGTACTGTGAGGTTCCAAAGCTCTCTCATGCCCACCTCCGCTCTTAAGCGAAAGCGAAACCTGGCTCACGACGAGAAGGCAAGGCAATATAAATCTAATGCGGTGGGCAGCCTACAATTTCCACGAGATTGGCGAATAATATCCGTTCGCTGCAATCTATCTTACACAGTACTTCGAATATCATGTCATTGCAGCAAATCCAGATGTTCTTCCTTTGATTTGACGATTACTGAAGAGTCAGTTGGTCATCTGTCATCTATTCAGTTGCCTTCGCTTTTCACGCGCGCAAGTCGGAAGCAACCAGCTACGACTAGTTCCTGGTCTAGTATCCCTGACTTGTGTACATCAATTGCGGTGGCAATCACTCGCTTCGAGAATAAAAACCCCGGACGGAGGTTGCATTCTCGATGGGCCGGTTCTCATTACCCCGAGCCGTTAGTGCGGAGCCCCACAAACCCCAGCCTGAGATCTCCCAGTCCGCTATCGCAACTTTTCTTCCACATATCATGATTCGTGTCTGGCGGACTCCAAGTATGCGGGGAAGCCTGTCTCGGGGTTGGGGGGATGACATTGAAGATTTCCATGTGGGCCTGAATTGGTTCTTCGGATGGCAGGCTTGGCAGGTAATTGGCCTTGCATATTCTGCCAGGGCAGGATGCAGATTGCGAAGAGGGTACATGCACCCTGAGCGGAGATTATGGCTATATACGATGGGCCTTTTCCCAAGAAAGAGCTTATTTAAAGCTAATGGAAAGTCCCCTCCGAGGGAGAGGAATTGTCGACGAGGTCTGGGAAATATCCACAAAGGACGTCTTCAGCGAACTCGGACCTTTTCGAGCGACCATGAAGGGGTTTCTTGCTTCGCTGACTGCTTTGCTGTTCAGCTCAGTTGCTGCGGTTCCCTCCGGTGGTGTCACGAGAGGTCCGTTCCTGGACCAGGTCGATAACCAGACCTGGGTCATTGGCAATGAAGTCTGGAACGTTACGCAAGGCCGCCAATATGGCGTCAAGCTCTTCTATAAGGAGCATGATTGCGTTGGAGACGCTGTGGGCCATTATGTCAGCTACAGTAAGTTCTCCAACTTCTGACTCAAGATTTACAGAATGCTTGCTGATATATTATAGATGGCGCTGCCAGCGACTTGATCTGGGCCTCGGCCTCCATCGATAAGAAGGGCTCCTATGACGGCTCGGAGTATATCGACGTCAAGTTCGCAGCGGTCGAAGGTGACATGCACTGGGTTATCTTCTCAGGACTGGCAGGCGCCTACCAGTACTTTGTGAACCACAATTTGCCCACTTTGGGCGAGTTCCGCACTCTGTGGCGCCTAGACAACACGACTTTTCCCAATGGAAGGACGGATCTGAGGGACGAGGAACTTCCACCCTTGAGCGACTACATTGCCGCGAACAAGGTCCAGGACGAGACATGGCTGCAGCCCGACGGCACGGGTTACATCACGAAATACGACTTCACCTCGTGGATTCGGACGCAGACATACTACGGAGTCTACGGAGAGGGTTTCGGAAGCTGGTACATCAACCCTGGCAAGGACTACTACAATGGCAATCATCTGAAGCAAGAATTGATGGTCCACCGTGAGTCGTCAACTGGGGATGCTGTGCAGCTCAACATGATCCATGGCACTCACTTCCAAGTCTCTGCGGTCGATGTCTTCCCAGACGGCAAAATGTGGGGACCTTGGCTGTGGTATCTCAACGACGGTTCGAAGCCCGACGCAGAGGAGAGAGCTGAGAAGGAGTTTGCGGACTGGCCATACAACTGGCTCGAGGACGAGGCCTATCGCACCCGCGGCTCAGTCAAAGGCAAGCTGACGCTCTCCGACGGCCGGCCCGCAACAAACGCCGCCGTGTTCCTTGGCGATAACAACCCCAACAAGACCGCTGTGGACATGGGCTCCGACTATTACTACACGGCTTACGCCGACGCCGAGGGTTACTTCGAGTTCACAGACGTGCGGGCTGCCACGTACGGACTCCAGGCCTGGTCCAACGGGAGCAGCATCGCCGATGTCACGACCAGCTTCCTGCATAATGATGTTGTGGTGAGCAAGGACGAGACCACGGACCTCGAAACGCTTGAGTGGCAGGTATCAACTAAAAAGACGCTCTTCCAAGTCGGCGACTTCGACCGCTACAGCTACGGTTTCCTCTACGGCGGGGCGCCGCACGAGCACGGGCTGGTGGACAAGTGTCCCGCGGATCTGACGTGGACCTACGGCGAGTCTGCCACGGAGGACTGGTGTTTCGGCCAGTCCAAACTGGGGAACTGGACTATTGCATTTGACGCCGTGATGCAGCGCAACGATACAGCATCGTCGGCTGGGAAGAACGCGACGCTCATTGTGTCGATTGCGAGTTATTCGACAGGCGTCAGTTCCAACATTTACGCCAATGGAGTCTTGATTGGCAACTTGACCAGTGGGACGCCACAGCTGTTGAGCGATCCGGGGCTGTATAGGTCCGGAACGGCGGCGGGGGAATGGAGGTATTTGGAGTTTCCGTTTGATGCGGCTGTGTTGAGGAGTGGCGAGAATGAGGTCACGTTCCAGGTGACGAAGAATACGACTTGGCATGGGTTTATGTGGGATAGCATCAAGTTGGAGTGGTGATGTGATGCTGGGTTGGATTGAAATATGAATACTAGCTCAAATGAGAACACATACCTCGATTGTATACTCCCGTGTTGGTTCGACGGGACACACGTGACCCAATTCTGACTTCTGGAAACGTATTCAATGTCCAGAGTCCTTTCAATCTCAATATCTAAGTCAATACTCCAATGCCAACACCAATTGCCCGAAATTGATGACTGAAACTTTTCCCACGCCAGCAGTAGAAAATGCGTGGGTTCCCACCGCCCCCACCAGCTTTCCAGCAAAGGAAGCACAAAATCCTTGAGCAATTGTCGACTCCAGATGCGGACTACAACGATGCCTCGCCCAAGGGATCGGTGGACGTTGGGATACGCGATTTGATCGATAAGATCAATAGCCTGGATGGGTTTGTGACAACCAGCAGCTGCGCGGGGAGGGTGAGCGTCTTTGTAGAGGGCAGGAAGAGCGGCGAGAAGAACGTGGTGGACAATGAAGAGGATGCAAGCGGCATGGCGTCAAATAATTTGGCTGGAGTGGGGGGAAAAGGGGGAGGAGGAAAATGGTTGTTTGTGTCGCACGATCCGGTTGATGTTGGTGGTGAAGGTGAAAATGGTGACGTGGAGAAGTTGCTAGGATTGAAAAGCGGCGATAAGGAGTCGACGCAAGAACGCTTGCTGGAGAGTGACGCGGCTAGATTGATTCACTTCAAGTTCGAACCTATGGTGAGTAGAATCGGATTGCGATTCTGGCCATGAAAATTCTTCGTAGGCCGAGTCTCGAAGGCTTCCTGGCACAAGCGAAATCCACCATCACAGCGCTCGGACTGATTCTTTACAGATCCTCCACGTGCTCACCGCATCGCCCGAGCATGCCCAACTCCTCCTAAGATGCGGACTCCAAGCTGGCTTCCGAGAGAGCGGTGCCATAAACTTGACCTCCGCGCGCGATGAGCCCGTCACCCCCATCGTGGCCATACGGTCGATGGGTCTTGCCTTGGAGTCGATAATCGGCGTCCAAGTGGGGGATGATATACAGCCAACGGTTTCTTCAAGTTACTTGCAAGACTTTCTCCGCATCTCCGGCGAAAGGTTTGTTGAAAATACCAAGAGAATCGGAAGAATCCGCACCGGTATCTTGGAGGCTACCTCGGCGCCCACGAAGAAGGATGGCACAAAATGGGAAGATGCGGCTTCACGACGGGAGAGAAAGAAAGCAGAGGGGCTGAGACGGAAGGCCGAGTTGCAGGCTCAGGAGCAGCAAGGGAACGCGGCAGTAGAAAATGAAGCTCTAGACTTGCCCCTGAAAACGGGCTTCACATAGAGCCCTATCTGTGCAATAAACAAGTTGTCTAAGTCCTTTTTCCCCCCAGCGAGCTTCTATTTGTAGCCCGCCCGTGTTGTACAGGATGCCATACCATACGCGTACGATACCGTCCATTGCGTGCAATCCCCTCTACATCCTCCCACCCATCATCCTTTCTTTCATTAGGGTCCCTCCACCAGAATCTCCCTCACTTCAAAGTCTTATCAACCCACCCCTTCTCCAACCTCCTCACCTCCTCCTTAAACGCCTCCACCTCTCTCCAGCAGTCGAGCGGTCTCCGGTCGTGCTCCCGCAGACAAGCCACGACGTTGCTGCGCGCCTGCTCCACCGAGTCGGGCAGCTGTCGCAGCTGTTTCCGCTTGTCGAGCCTTGCCCGCAGCGCTTCCACCTCCTTGGACACGAGCGGCTGGCTCTTCTGGGCCGGGTCATCCTCGCTGGTGATTTCGGAGGCCTTTTCACACGCTGCTTTGAGCGCCGCTGATTCTTGGGCTTGCAGCTTCTTGAGCTCTTCGGCTACGCGGGCTTGCACGGCGAGCTCGAGGGTTTGGGCGCGGGAGCGGTCCGTCTATACGTACAAGTCTAGTCAATACTGGCTCATGCAAGATTGAGTGACTGGCGATGGGTGGTGAGGGCGTACCTCTATGCTTCCTTGAAGGGATTCCACGACATCGTGGGAGACGCCTACGGGTCCGGGACTGTTTTGTTGCCAGCGTTGTCAGTAATCGTAAAAACGCAACGCCTCCCCCAATTGCCTGCTGTAGAGGTTTTTTTTTGGACTTACGCTCTCCACACATGGCTATCAGCCGGCTTGGATGCGCTCGACCCCATGTTGTCGGTCGTCAATTTGCTGCGTTTTGGCCTGAAACAGTGCGCTTTATTGCGATCTCGCGAGCTTCAGATCTTGTTGCGAGCACCAAGGGTAATTCCGAGGTTCTGACGTCGGAGCTTGGAAAAACATGTACAGTTTTGAGCACTGTCTGATGTGCGTGTTTCTGCCGCTGGCGCACGGTACTACCCTGGAGCAGAAAGCCAGGGGTTCTAACACCAACTACAGCAACTCTCAGAATGCAATTGCAGTTCTGGAACTTGTACATTCATTTTACTTTGCTTCGACAGAGGCTTGTCTCTCAATCGATTTTTTCTCTTTCCTGTAACAGACAGACCACATATTCATCTTGTTCATCTTTTGGTTACTCAAGGATTGCATGTACGGGGCCAAGTCGCCAGCTCCATTCTGATCGCTCTCAGCACTCTAATCTCCCAGACACCGAAAGCGATTCTTGGAACGCCAGATCATGTCAAAGTGCTCACCGCCAACCTGTTCGAGGTCATTCATGAAGTAAATCATGCCAATTGTATAACTCTCGTCACACGCCCAAAGCTGCGTACACTCACTGTTCGGCATCCACCTGACCACTCCGTCCACTTCAAGACCTCCTGCGAGTACTCATTAGTCGGCCATTTCCTCCTTCCTGACAGTGAGGTTTCTTCAATACTCAGTCACTCGTGTACACCTCTTGTATTATGAGGCCCGTGTTCACTTACTAGACGTGTTGCCGGTTCATCCATATGATCCATCGCAGCAGGTAATCCCAAGCCCTGCCCATCTGCCCCAGGACAGTGCCTTCGAAGATTGGGGGATTGGGTCCGTTGATCATCCCATAGTCGGGCATTATTTCGACCTGAGTCGCAAACAACACCCCAGGAATCTCTTTTCACATTTCTTCCACAGTAGTGCCGCCGCGTCCTGCTAGTTTCCACTGCGGGAGCCATCAATTGTCGAATCCAGTGGCGCAGACGATCAATTCGAATTTGTCTTCACCGGAAGCAATCTTAATGTCTTTATCTGTGAGACATACGATGATGTATCGGCTGTCACTGCAGTTGGATTGATGGAGGGCCTCCGAATATCCATCGCCCGGGGTTATATGACGGCACCCGGCCTTGAATGGAGGCGTGATCCGTTTCTTCAGCTCCGGTCCTTTGACCAGGGACGTGTGCATACTCGAATGCCTGAGCAGGTTGATCGAGGCACATGGCAAAGAAATGCCATTTATTCTTGAGATACTGTCAGCCAGGGGCGTCGAAACGGGTGAACGGCATTTACGACTGTTCTATATCTTCCCTATAAAGGTAGTATGCCTTTGGATCGTCCCGCTATGTCTGCTTATAGTCCTCCCGTAACTCGAAGTTGGTTCCCTTGCGCGTCTTTTCGGAAAGAAAATTGATCGATATCCATGTGGACTGTCGCACGAAATTGACGAGTTTCTTTACCTTCGGCTGCGTTGCAGCTACTAGTTGGATGCCCGAGGCGTCATTCCCTATCACTGCTAATCTCTTACACTCCTAGTCGCATGAGTTGTCCCTAGTCAGATTTAGTGATATTTGTTTGAATTGGTGAAATTGACCCCGACTCATCAACGAGCACTATGGACGAGCTTGCCCTGGAAGTCGTTCAATCTCTTAATAGTATGCCATTTTAACTCGTTAAAAACGATCAATCACCGCAGAGAAGACTGAGGATTCTTACTCCAAGAATCCGGAGTTGATGAGGAAGTCAGCCTCGTCCTCTTTGACCTCCCCGTTCACCTCTCCGTTCTGCTCGAGTTTGATCATCCGCCGTCCAGACTCTTCATCCCAAATGATCTCTGGGATCGTTGGGTCTTCTTGCGGAGATCATAATTATCGGCTCTCCGCATGATATAGTCACGAATATCCTTTTTGTTGACGTCACATTTGGACTAGTCGGGGCTCCCAAAGGGGAAAACATGTGTGTCTGACTAAGGTTAGACGCTGCTTCCATCAAACTGGATCTTGGATTACACACGAGAAGGGATGTCGCCATGAAGATTTTAACGGATTTATCGGATCTCATGGGAAACCTCGAGTCACCGATACCAAAGGACCACGCATACCTTCTGGGGTCTAGAAGTCCACTGATGGTCATTGGGCTATAAGGTATCGTACATTTGTCCCAAGCGAAATACGGCAGGAATCGCCCACTGAGCATACATTGGCAGCGGATCACCAAGGTCCGGGTCAACTAGATGACGCCCGACAGGCCTTTCTACTTTGACATTCACCCAATCCTAAAAATGTGCAAGAGAGAGCCTCGTTACCTGAAATATGCGCGTTCCCTAATATGATACAATAGGAATGTGTCGACATTATTGATGCGGCAGATGCGACAATCAATCTACGCGAAGTTATCGGCCTGTATCAGGACGGCCGCGACTATGGCCAATACTTGTCTCAGTCAATGCCAGACCGCATCGAGCATATACGGGCTACCTTGAGAGCCACAACAATCAACTGTGATTTGTGGACGGGACTGGTGTGTGTTGTTTATCAAAGCCAACCCCGGTGTCGACTCTAGGGTGGACTGCGTGTCTCGCTTGTCCCAAAGTTTGAAGTTGCGTACATTTCCCCTGACGATAGTGTGAAAATCCAAACACGGAGTGGTTTTCTTGCAGTATTTCAAATGATACTGGGCAAGGACTAACAGTGTAACAAATACGACGTCGTGTTCTGAGACGATAGTCGCATGCATCGCTATTGACGTACTTAAGTAGTCACACAGAATGAGCACATTCTGCAGAAAACAACAAATCTATGAAAAGTGTACCAGGTACGTTTCCACAAGTAACTTCGGTTACTCCGTCCTCTATGTACTGCCGATTTCACATCCAATCATGGTGATAGTGGTCATCCACATCATTATCCATGCTATCTGACAGATAGTCTTCAGAATAGAGGTTATCGTCGCGGACATAGGCTCCTCCGTCCTCGTCATGATCCTCGTCTTCTATCTCCTCGTCCCCATCCTCCACGTCTCCAACCTCTTCAACACCCGCTTGTATCTCTTCAATTCCGTCTTCTCCAACCTCAACTTCCTCGTCGCCATCCCCCATCTTCCACATCTCGTCGTGATCGTTGTCGCTTATCTCCTCATGACCATCGTCATCCTCCTCATCTCGGCCATGGCTATCATGCTCATATTCATCCCGTACCCAGTTTTGACTCTGCTGCTTGTTTAAAGGAGTAGCAACCGCCGCCGTCCCAGCCGCAGTAACCGGAATACTACTCCCTTGCGCCGTAGATCCAACCGCCACGCTAACTGTGCCAGCCGCGGCCCTCTGGTCCGCCGGGACATAACTCGATACGACTGTCAGTGGACTCGTACCGGGCCCGGCCGTGGCATTGGTAGGAGGAGGAGGGGGAGGGGCCCCGATAGGAGTGAGCGTCAAGGGGACTGGAGTCGAGACCGGGGTCGGACTGGGCGCGGATGTGGGGAGCGGTTCCATTAGTCCGAGGGTTGCGCCCGCGGCGGCGACGCCCGTGGCCACGGAGTTCATGCTGGGGACTACTTGGCCTACATGGTCGAGGTGGCCAGTTAATGAGGTGAAGCGGTCGCTGATAGATTTTAGTGCACCAGGGGCAGGGGCGGTGGTGGAATAAGTGGCAACTTCGGTATTTTCTGCAGGCTCGGTCTGTGTTGTTTTTATTTGACTGGCTTCCTGGGTATATGGGACTGTCTGCAAGCCTCCTTGTTTTTCGGTGCGAGGCCTGAGCACGACGATGGTGTTGTTGGCGCCGAGGGTGGTGCTCGGGGTACTATTAAAAGCAAGGGCATCATCAGGGGATGATATATGCCCCTTGACAGCCGATTTGATGACCTGTCCCATTGTAGCCAGCTTTGTGACGATATCATGACCGGTCTCGCCTACGGCAGCTGGCGATGGCGTCAAAGTAGATGCGCCACGATCGACTGCTGGAGAATCTGCTGGAAGAGTCCTTTCTTTGGGATTTTCTGTTGTTTGGGCTGCAGACAGCTGGATTGGCCGTCTGACTTTCTTGATTTTCCCGTCTGGCTCGCGAACCGGGACAATCTTGTAGCTCGTCATGAGAGGCTCGAGTTCAACTGCTTCTACAGAGCCAACGCGCCCATCGGAATCTTCCGGCAGGGCCGTTTGCATTGGACTCGCAGAAGTAACGGCTGCCATATTTGCTGCAGAGTTGACGCTGTGATCTGGACAGACTCGAAAACAAAGGGAAGAAGTGGACAGGTTGAAAATGACCCAAGTGATTGTTCAACTCAGGGTGTATAGTTGGCCTTGTCAACCCAGGTCACACCGAAGATGTCAACTTTAATGTAGCTGGTCTTATAAATATGGAATCCTGTATTATCAAGTCGAGTATACACTGTTAATGACCCGGCAGCGCCAGTTTCCCTGCATACAAACAAGGTTTAGCCATAAGCATGTTGGATTATCATAGTTGTCGGTCATCGTGCGAATGGCTGATCTGGACTCACTACCCAAGCCGTGATAACTGGTATGGGCCACTCTCGGTCAGTTACAAGATGCAGATACTCGCATACATATGTGTTTATCAGCTCTTGAGTTGCAGATCTCTTAACATTTTTGGGAAAGCTGGAGCGCAATGTCCAGACGCTACTGGCCCAGAACCCGACAGCTTGACTTAGCCTGCGCTCCAGTTCGACGCTTAGCGTCTGTGGCTTGCTGTAAATGCATGGCTACGGTCCGAAAGGGAGGATTAGTTCCTACAAACGATCCTTTCCAATCTTCCTAGCAGCTCTTCGGACTTGCCGCTGTTGAAACTTGGGACAGTTTCAAACTTATGGCGAAGAAGTCTGGTGATAGCTTCATCAACGAGAACTTGCAGGCTTACCAGCAATACAGCAACTAACCGGGCATGAGCTTAAAACCTAGATGGAAATCAACGATTCATCAAGGCTTCGAGAGGTTGAAAACAAAGCATGCTCTCATTTGATCAAGCGAATGCTACACGCTCATGCAACTTTATGTCAAAATGTAGTACGTGCCCAAAGAAGCCAAGATCTCTTGGTGCTTGGCCAATGAAGAAGAGCTCTGTGGGTACAGGGCCCTGGGCAGCCAACACGACAGAAATTACAATGGCCCTTTTGGGTTTGGACCAACAACCATGCGGTCCAAAGTTCGCTTGCATTTCGCGTGCTGCCTTCAATCAAATGAGCAAATGAGGACAAGCTTGAGGACTGGTCCCCTATGACCTCCAGCCTCACGTCTGTAGCACACCAAACACTTTCTTTCAGCTTGGAACTTCTGGAGAAGCAAATAATCCCAACACTCCTTACACCATTTCTTCTGTTTTCGCATTCTCCCGTCGACCCGTTTAATTCATTATATCAGAGGGCGAGTCATTGACTCTTGTCACTACTTCTACAAACTCAATCCAGTCTCGGCGACCTAATTTCCGACTTAACTCTTGACTACCACGTACCCGACGTCCGACCAACCCAACATCGCATTCCGCGGCATTCTACTTCTACGACTCAAACGAGCGACGTAAACACAACCACCCGACCATCGGGCGACCGCCAAAGCCACTGCGCCCACTCTGTGCTGCGACGCAAAAGCATGTCATAGCACGAACAGGTCTGCAAATTATTGGATTATTGCGAAGGAGAAGCTGGCTCTACATCGCAATCGACCGTGATCTTCGACGGAGGCTGGGGCAGGGGCTGGGGCTGGTGTCGAAAGCATGGCTGCGAACAAGCAGGCCGGGACGCCGACTCCCTCTAGGGATGGCGACTTTCCCAGTGCGCTGTTCCCGCCGGGTCCGCCCAGTATCATCTCCTCGAGAATGACGGATATTGCCTCCAACGATGGAGATGGACACTCGGCCGAACAAACGACGATCGGCGCTGGCGGAAGCGCAAATCCTCAGCGGAGGAGTATCCTGGCATCCGATTCACGCCCAGGAACGGCCAAAACTGGACTATCTTCATCGCGAGGTGCGTGGTCCCAAGGAGTACCGCTGAGGCGCCAGTTTCCCAGAGGAAGCATCACAGCTAGCAGCGCGGCAGGCTCGACTACCAGCGGCCGACCCCCAAGCTCGACGAGCCGGAGTCATGTTCCCTCCCTCACTTCTCATGCTTTCTTCCATCCCATGAGCTCTCAGAAGCTGCAGGCGCAACGAGGAGCATCTGCCCGGCCGCTGACGGGGAACCGACAAACCGGCACCATGGACGACGTTGCTGCCGAAAACCGTGCCAATGTCGCACAGCAGCGCGGCACTACGGCAAGCCCCATCAGTCGTCTGGCTCACCAGCTCGCAAGCAGCGATGATGGGGAAGCACGACGTACTGGATCCAGAGGGACGGAGATGACAGAGCAGGAGACTTATGACAGATTCACCGCCAACACTAGCCCCACCCGTGGTCATTATCCCGCTGGTAGTACCAGTGAGAGTATGCGCCCGCTGCAACGCAATAAACCGAACCAGGCTCTTAGCGTCGACGTCGACGTCGACAAGGGCAAGGACTACCCGGACGGCTTGAACATGCCTACTCCGATCAAGTCGCCGCGCTCTTTCCGATCGAGTTTCCTGCTTCCTAAGGGGGAGTCTTCAGAAAATGCGTCCAATCGTAAAATGCCCGGCGCAGAGAAGCTCTCCTCGGGCGCCTCGTCTCCACGACTGACCCCAGCAGCGACCCCCTCGCGCAACGACAAGGCTCCAGACGTGAAAGACAAAGCTCTCAACCTGGGTCGAAATCACGAGTATTTCGAGGGAAACACCGTCTTCTGCATCGGCGGTCGTCTGCAGAATACGAATCACCGCCCCATCAACGTAGCAACTGGGTTGCTTGTTGTCATTCCAGGCGTCCTGTTCTTTATCTTCTCCGCTGAATACTTGTGGTACAATATCTCGCCAGCCTTGCCGATAGTGTTTGGCTACATTTACTACATTTGTGTATCGTCATTCCTTCATGCGTCAGGCTCCGACCCAGGGGTACGTACATCAAGTCCGAGTTCAGCTGCTCAAAGAGTGAATGACTAACACGTGATTTCGTGTAGATCTTGCCGCGCAATCTACACCAGTTCCCCCCTCTCGAAGAAAACGCCGATCCTCTACGTTTACCACCGCCAATGAACGACTGGACTCTTGTTAAGTCAGCAGAGTCTAGTACTGCTGCTATGGAGGTTCCGACGAAGTACTGCAAGACTTGCAGTATATGGCGACCACCGCGGGCTCATCACTGCCGTCTTTGCGATAACTGCGTGGAGACACAAGACCATCACTGTGTCTGGGTTAACAACTGTGTCGGGCGCCGTAACTACCGATATTTCTTCACCTTTGTGGCGTCCATGATGTTGCTCGCCATCATTTTGTTCGCTGCATCTCTGGCTCAGGTGTTTGTGTATGCGAACCAGCATGGCGGTGATGTTGGGGCTGCTATTAACCACTTCCGAGTTCCATTTGCTATGGTGATCTATGGCATCATCGGATTCCTTTACCCTGCGGCTCTGACGGGCTACCACTTGTTTCTCATGGCCAGGGGCGAGACGACGCGGGAATTTCTCAACTCCCACAAGTTTTTGAAGAAAGACCGATACCGAGCGTTCACGCAAGGTAGCATGTGGAAGAACTGGATCGTCGTTCTTTGCCGGCCGCGACCACCCACGTATTACAAGTTTAAGAATCGGTTCGAGGAGGGAGATCAGCGTCTCGGAAGTCGAAAAGTCCAGCGCAAAGCCATGGGTCCCGCCGTTGGGCAAGAAATGGAGATGCAGAACGTGCAGCCATCTTCATCGGGATTCCACGGTCCGACTGCGTTACGCAACAACAACAACAACAATAACAACAACGACCACAACCACAATGATGACGACAATATTTCTAATCGGCCGTGATGTGCACTTGATTCGTATCCCACCCGCGGGATATATCCATTTTAACCTAGCGGCGGCTACTACCACAAAATCACGATACTACATTCACATAATGTCTCTTTTAACATGTATACCCACCACCTTTCCCTTACCAAGCCTAGAGCTATGTTACCAAAAGTCCGGTGTCGGGAAGTCTAGCGCTCGCAAGATACTGAGTTAGTTCACTCGGCATCAGGAAATGTTGTAAAATAGAAATCCAGCGAATATTAATGCGAATTCATGACCAATACAAAATAGTGATGAGAGCTAGTTCTTGGACACGCCCCCCCGACCAGCCCTTCGAGCATATATCATCACATATCTGTAAGATTCTCCCAGTAAGATTCTCGACGGGGTCGTGACAGATGTTATATCGTTTTCCCATTTGTCATCTAGTGAGAAAGGTCGAGACTTCGAGGTGTAACCGATTTACAGTTATCCGCATGAAGTCTAGCCCCCGGTACAATCTCCAGCATTTGGTCCAAAGCCACGAATGGGAGAGTTCAGATTGCTCGGTAAAGCTGCGTCGACCTGCGATGAAACATGCAATGCTCGACCGCATCAGGCAAACCGAGCGAGCGTTGGACCTCGAAATGCGTGCAAGGTTGGCCGCGGCCTCGACATGCGCGGAAGGGAGCGCTCTGCCTAGGGGGTGCCACAAGTGATTGGCACCGCCTCGACACAGCTAGAAATGTCGTCGACCAGCCCTTCTGTCCAACTTTATTCTGCGCTTGGAGCTGACGAACGAGGCTTAAGCGGATGCTTGCAAGCGAATGGTTGAGCGACAACCGGGAGCAAGTGGAATTACATCTGGAAATACAAGGCGGGTTCTGGTTTCGGCTCCACAACACACCACACACAGCACATAGTAGCACACACAACACACACTGGCGCGCTAACAGACTAGTAGGGTAACGATTACTATGCACCATAGTACACCGCGTGAGACCACTTGGAGACAGCAGCAATATCCCTCAGGACGGAGTAGGCAATTGATCAACGAGCTGCTGCCGGCTCCTGCATGACAGCATGGACCTAGAAGAGCCGTTAGATCCGCCCTCGACACATCGTGACCACCAGCCTTGCATGTCGGTGCGACTTTTGAGAACTCACCTTTCCAGGCATGCGGATTATTCGCGTATTACAACACCCCATATGCTTGGTCTTCCACTTGTTTTCAGTGCTGTGAAGGGGAATGATACCCTTGTCCCAGGAAGCCGGTACTTCACCTTTCACACAATTTGTAAGGGTTGATCAGTCGCTTAAAATGGGGTGTCTCATCCGCTAACAATCTGCATGCCTGGAGAGTGTAGGTTTTAGCAAGTGAATCCAGGAATGGTCGTCTCCGCCAAACATCGGCTGACCGCCTTACTAGAATGCAGCTTTCAGGGGTTGCTGGAATCTACTAGCTGGTAGGTAGTTAGGTAGCAGGAGAAATTCCCAAGACGGCGGATATCAGCTGGAAACGGAATTAATATCGATGGCTGCCGACATTTGCCGGGTTGCTTTGCATGGTCTTGATGCTAATTTTTGCTGTCCCATTTGTAAGGGAGGAACCAATTGCCGCCCACCAGTTCGATTACCCATCTTGATTGTGATATCATAAAAGGAGGGGAGGCCGGTCACAACATCACGTTGTGCGTGCACTCCCCGAGCGAGCTGTTCGTTGTCTTGTGGGAACTTCGAAGTCGTGGCCGACGCTGATTGTTACAGCAAAACCGGTTGGGCATCATTGGGCCGGACAGAGGTCGGTACGAAGTAATAATAAGGGACATACCCCAGGGCATCAATGAACGAAAACATGATTGGAAAGCAATTTGATACAATAAGGGCCACGAGGCTTTTCTTGGACGAAGTGGAGACGGTGAGAATCTGACGCTGTATCACGACGCCGAATGTCCATACCATGGAGGCAAGGCGATCCGGCTTTTGGAGTCTGAGGGACCCCGCTGATGACTCGCTACGTTTATGATGTCCGTACGTATGTGGCTGAGACTATCCGGAAACACTAATAACAACATTCATCATGATACCAACTATTTGTCGAGATGGCAAAGCTGAGGTCAAGTTGCCATTTTAGTGCAAAACAAAATCCCGAAAGATTCGGCCAGGGTTGCAGTGCAGTCATGGGGGAATTTCCAAATTCGCAAATCCCTTGCTGCAGATCATGGTTATTTTCGGAGATATTTCGTACCAAAGCCTTTACGAGCAGCGACTGTGAACTGTCTCCGTCGTGGTTCTCTTATGGCGGCATAGCACAGCGCTAGCACAAGAGTTTGTTGTTGATGTGGGCCGCCGTCAACTAGCGGACATAATAAACGGCGCACCAAAGGGGGAATAGTGTGGAATAGGCCGATATTCCAGTGTGCATGATAGAAAGATGTATGTTCGCATTCCACCTCGGTGCGCCGTTTACTCTGTCCTGTCCTTGGCCGTTGCGCTACATTTCTACCAAGGGTTGGGAATCAATTTGATATCCAACGAAAGCAACGGAAATAACAGTCAGAAAACCCAGAGTCCAGGCGCCTTGAAGTCAAATTACAGTGCCAAGAATAGGATCAATGAGACGAATTGGGAAATGCTGACGGCCCAACTCCTGGGTGTATCCATATTCATAATTTCGGTCAACCGTGCCGCCAGAGTTAGGCATATCAAGAAAGGGGCGGCTGCTGAGGTATTACGTTACGAGGAGATTCATGAAAAGGGGAATAGTACTCTGGCTGGTGCGCGCCCTGGGGATAATAACGGCATTGCAATCAGCGTTCAGGGACCACCACGATCCCACGATAGGCAGTCAGGCAGTCACGCATGAAGTGCCTGATTGGATTCCCCACACCGAATTGCTATCCATGGATCTAGACATCTAAATCCGGAAGATCTGGCACCAGCCCGTCCCCTCCCAACCAGGCGAACCTGGTTGTAACTTACATAAATTTTGTGAGCAATGGCTCGTCGTGGGGCCTTTGATGGGGCGGTAACCGAGTCCATAGCCATGATAAGTCTTTCAAGATCAGGCCGCCATAAGCCTTTGAAATGTCCAACAATTAATTACACGATGCCGCCACCGAGGCCTCACCAACGGATAAGACGAGAACTCGCTCCTGCCTGATCAGTGATTGCCCTTACGCTTGTCCCATGTGAACATATGCATTGTACCTAAGTAGGTAGGTAAGCCAATTGAGTCGAGGCAAAGATGGGACTCAGTGAATGTTGCTTGTAGCAGCCTCAAGAATCGAGCTAGAACGTCGTCTACTCCATAGATTGATCGTTGGGGCCTCTTTTTGCCTTCGTTTCCGCCTTTTAAAACTCCACCCCGTTTCGCCGCCGCGCCTTCTGCCATTCTTTAGTCAAGATCATTGTCCTTGCAAACCTTGCAAACCAACCGCGGCCGCCGACAAAGAAGACTTGGTCCTTGATCTAACTTGGAAGTTGTGAACGAGCAAAGCAACCACGCGAGTCGTCAAATACGCCCTGCGTCACCGCAACCTGACGTTAACAAGCAATCCTTAAAAAAAAACAATCGGTACGTACCTTTAATTCTTAAGCCATCCCAGCTCAAGACCCGCCGTAGCCCCCCTCCAAAGAGGCCGTCCGCGCTCTCCCATTCACAGCCAGCCAGCGTCTAGCACCGCCAGTGCATCCAGAATTTGACCCAAACCCTTTCTGCCAACCTCTTTCTCCGCCCGCGTTCTTCCTCCCTCCTACTTCTCATCCCCACGTAATTCTTCATCAACCCCAAGGAAAGACACCAGCGTCCGCACGAGTAGTTCAATATTCAACGGGGCGCGTCCATTTTCTTTTCTCCCTCTCCGTCTTTTTTTTCTTACCCGTCTTTACACTGCGGGACAATCAATCTGTTCTGCTCGCCTCTGGTCGTTGGGTACGTTGATTCTCTCTCATCCGTCGGTCGGAAAAGACCTCTTTCCCCTACCTCCACTTCAAATGCTCCTTTGCACCCTCAAACAATCCAACACTCGTCCCTGCTCTCCTCCAACTCAATCAATCACTGTCTGCTTTGGAGCACATCAAGAAGGCCCGAGAGCTCCAAGAGTTTCTCACCTGCCCTTGCATTTGACTTTTACTTTGATCAAGCCCAATCTCGTGGCTTCTTCACCGCGTCTAGGCAAATTCATCGGCCAGGTGACGCTGACCTGAGAGCCATTCCTTGGTTCCCGGCTACCTTGCTACTCCGTAGCTTGTTCACCACCACGCCGCCAACCTCACATGAACAAATCATTCACCAGCCAACATTTTTCATGACCTCGCTAGTCAAGGCCCTTCTCCGAGGCAGTTTACTAATCTACTTCATCTGCTAGATTTCCCTCCTCCCCTTCGACTCCAGACAAGCCACTCTACACCCCCATAAACCACCAACACATCTCAGCCAACTATCGGCAGGCACAAGGCACAATAGTTGCTGAACAATACCGTCAAGATGACTACCATGGTACGTTAGATTCCCACTCAACCACTTTGCTGTGGAACTTCCGTTTGTTTGCGGGCTCCTTCCTGTTTCGAAGATGTCATGTAGGATAGATTTAGTCGGTCAGCAGTTAGAGTGTCGGTGTGTGGTTCTTTGGCCACCATCGCCGCTTGTTCCGCCCTCGACCATGGTTTTACACGTTGTTAGCAGACACGGCGAAGCTCTGCGTCATTGCCTAAGACGTATGCTTACATTTTTCTTTCCCTTTTTTACAGGATCTCCGCGTCGGTAACAAGTACCGCATCGGCCGCAAGATTGGTTCCGGTTCCTTCGGTGATATCTACCTCGGCACCAACATCATCTCCGGTGAGGAGATCGCCATCAAGCTTGAGAGTGTGAAGGCGAAGCACCCTCAACTCGAGTATGAGGCCCGCGTGTACAAGTCTCTTGCCGGCGGTGTGGGCATTCCTTTCGTCCGCTGGTTCGGCACTGAGTGCGACTACAACGCCATGGTTCTCGATCTGCTCGGACCCAGCTTGGAGGACTTGTTCAATTTCTGCAACCGAAAGTTTTCTCTGAAGACGGTTCTTCTTTTGGCGGATCAGCTCATCTCCCGCATCGAGTACATTCACGCCAAGTCGTTCATCCACCGTGACATCAAGCCCGACAATTTCTTGATGGGCATCGGCAAGCGTGGCAACCAAGTCAACGTGATCGACTTTGGTCTGGCCAAGAAGTACCGTGACCCCAAGACTCATTTCCACATCCCCTACAGAGAGAACAAGAACTTGACTGGAACTGCTCGCTACGCGTCCATCAACACGCATTTGGGCGTCGGTATGTTCATCCACTCATAACGTTGATGCAGTGTAGGTACTAACCGGACGGCAGAACAATCTCGCCGTGATGACATGGAGTCTCTGGGCTATGTTATGCTCTACTTCTGCCGTGGCTCGCTGCCCTGGCAGGGTCTTAAGGCTGCTACCAAGAAGCAGAAGTACGACCGCATCATGGAGAAGAAGATGACGACCCCGACCGAGGTCCTCTGCCGTGGCTTCCCCAACGAGTTCGCCATCTATCTCAACTACACCCGATCTCTCCGATTCGACGACAAGCCGGACTACAGTTACCTCCGCAAGATCTTCCGTGATCTCTTCGTTCGCGAGGGCTTCCAGTACGACTACGTCTTTGACTGGACCGTCTACAAGTACCAGAAAAATGCCCAGGCTATTGCCCAGGCTGCTGGTCAGCAAGCCGGAGGCGAGGAGGACGAGAAAGCCAGAGCCTCGCGAGCCAACGCTGCCGCTGGACAGGCTGTTGTCAAGCCCAATGTCATTCCTAGCTCTCGCCGCAAGGTGATGGAGCGTGGTGCCCCTGGCGTTGACACTCCGGATACCAACCGCGCCGTCGGTGGAAGCGATAGGATGTGAGTGTCTCGCTAGCAGCCCCAAACCCAAGAATTCCTTGTAAGGAATCATTTTCCTTCGAGTTTGGTGTGCTTCATAACGCTGGCCGAGGGAATTGCTGACATGATTGCTGACGCTTCAGTTTGCGGTAACAGGCTGCGATCAGCTTCTAAAGGTCAAGGCACCGGCTCTGGATACGCGTCTGGCTCATACCGACCAAAATGATTTCGAGGTTGTCAACGTCGCTCCACTCCCTTCTCTTGAGTTGCGTCGTGTGCTGGAGTAGAATTTTCAACGGTCAACACATACGCAACCCTCCGCCGTGCCGTCATCGTCGTCGTATCTTCCCGTGTTCCCGTGGTCCCATCAACAAAGGATCAGCACTCATGCAGTACGCCCGGATTAATTACTGCTGAGCTATTCTCATGGAATTGTATCGTCATAGACCACGCGAAAAACGAAAAACGATACGACGCACCGCCCCTTTTCATATCATATGGACTGCTTTTCCTTCCGTTCTTCGATGAATCTTCCGTCATGACTGCATTACCTGGCTCGGACAATTCCAGGACTCGAGAAGACGTAACAAAGGTCGTCGGTCTACCGATACGCTTTGTGTTCATGAGTCATCTAGTATTGTCCGAACGGCACATCCGGCACTCTCAATAAATGGGGGGGTGTCGGGAACCAGGAATAACCATCGGTCAAATCTGTCAGCCAACTCCAGGACCACCAAGCTTCGGTAAACATTCCGAGGCCGATGGCAGCCTGACGTTCTGTCTTCGCTCACGGTTCAGATCTCACCGTGAGCTAACTGGATCATCGTTGCGATGCGATTGCCTTCCTGATATGATTATTCTTTGTTATTTTTCCTAACTCGATGCGTTTCTTTTTACGAGGATTTCTTTATCCAGTGGTAAACGTCGCGCCGGGTTCAGCTTGTGGTGGAGGTTTTAATAGGTGGAAGGGTGGACTACGTTGGTTTCTGGTGGGACGACACCGATGAGCACATCCCTAGACATTCCTTATGATGTTGAGAGTGAACGCGGAATCCCTCGAGGTGCTGCGTCGGAGGCTTGTGCGCCCAGGATCTAGGCGTAGTCTATTCTACTCCGTGATAATGGCGAACTGCCTGGTTCGGGAGGGTTTATTTATACAACCACAACCTCATGGTGATTCTTGAGACGCCCACCGGAAACGCACGCGAATTGTACACGACACATTAACCGATCTTGGTTTTGCACAAATCGTCTGCGTTGCGCCGAATCCCAGCTGCAGCATCCCAACCGTGTTTCTCCAAATCAGGTCCCTGCGGAACAACTTGGCGTGACGCACATGCTCTTTGCGCACGTAGCCCGCGGAGATCCTGGATGAGGAATAGTGGTTTAAGAGAGTGACCCGGCAGCACGATGGACACAGGCAACAAATACTCACTGGCTAGTTCTCACAAATTGATTTTTGCTTTTCCCACTGTCATATACCATGATCAGCGACTAATCTTGTGACATGCTTTCTTTCCACTTGACCATGTGAATGTACGGGTTGTGTACTGTTCCTGTGCTTCGCCACTTGCCGCAGCAGGTGTCGTGTGTTAATGGTCCGCTGGGCCCGCCATTGTGCATCCATCACGAGTTACACGAGGTTGTGCTACTAGTCGCATGGGTATGTGATTACCCATCTGGACATCTGACTAGGTAAACGCAAAGTGTATCACTTGCGGCCTTACATAAATTCCCTTGAACCTTCAGTTGAAGACGCTCTGATGGTTACAAGTGGGTTCTACTAAACTACTCACGCCATTGCTACTCCTCCCAGCGGCGATCCCTTGTCCGGAAAAGTTGACGTCATTTATACGGTAGCCGTTCCGAGCTGATGTGCCTCATGGGCTTTCGGGGGTCAGGGTCGTTGTTCGTGGACAAGTAAAAATAAGAGGATTCGTTTTTCTAAGGCAGAACCTGAAGGCTCGCCATTGCCTATTGGAGTTCTGTTAGAGAAAAGTCAGAACGGAAGTCGCTGTAGTCCTAGTTGTGATTCACAAATCCCCGTGTTGGTCCTGGTCGTCATTCCCAAGTCCACCCAACCCCAGGCACAGCCCCCGCATGCGGAAGACGCCAGAGTGGTGGACCTCTAACAAGCCCCAAAAGTACTGAGCTTTGACGATCATCAACCAAACACCAACCGTCTGCGAATATAAATAAAGGGCATCGAAGACAAATGGGCGCCACGATGCGTCCTCCGATGCTGGATCTGTTCTACCTCACTTTCAACGCCGGCAAGAACTTAATCTCGGTTCCCGTCTTCGCCAACCATCTGCACAATGCTTTTGGTCAGAATGCCACGACGCTGCCCGAGCTGGTGCTCATGTAAATGACCCTTTGCCCATTCACGGCCCGTTAATGCTTGCTTGCCGGGAAAGCTTTGGCTAATATCGTCTCTCACAGTTCCCTCCAGGAAATGGCTCCGCTCTCGTCAGCCTTCATCGGATCGTACTGGCTGAGCCCCTATTTCTCACGATACGAGTCCGCCCTCAATCTCGCAGCAGCCAAGTTCATAGCCGAGGAGGAAAGGCAGCACCGCCCCAAGGACAAGGCCTACACCCTGGTGAAGATGTGCAATGTCGGTATGACTGGTATTATGCTCTTTGCTCGGGACAAAAATGCCCTGCACAACATCAAGTCGGCCGAGGTTGGGTTTGGAGCTGGCGACATGGCCAACAAGGGTGCTGTGGGTCTGCGCATGGATTTCGAGAAGGACGGCAAGGAAACAGAGCTCACATTTGTGAGCACACATCTCGCTGCCATGGAGTGGAATCTCGAGCGTCGAAATCGCAACTGGGAGAGCATCGTCAGCGGACTAGTCTTCGTCGACCCCAAGCAGATTATGCAATCCGAGACTAGCCAACACGCAGAGAACAGACCCGAAGAGAACAGACCCGAGGACAGACCTGAGACAGACGCGCAGCCCTTGCTCGCGGGCTTCCACCCAAGCACGGAAAAGGCTCTACATGATATCAGCATATACAAGCCCGGATCTCACCTGTTTGTGGCCGGTGACCTGAACTACCGACTTTCCAAGACATCCCCACCAATTGACGCCACATTCCCTGGTGTCGATCCGGACAACGAGGACTTCTACCCTCGATTCCTGGCCCGTGACCAGCTAACGGCGGAGAAGAAGGCCGGACGGACGCTGCACGGTCTCACCGAGGCTGAGATCCATTTCCCGCCCACGTACAAATACATTATACTGCCCAAAGGTGAGCCCGAGACGGAACTGAGCCGGATCGCAGCAGAGGAGGGAGACGGCGAGGAAATCAAGTGGAAGTTTGCCTCTCATCGCTGGCCGGGATGGTGTGATCGCGTGCTCTATGCGGATGTGCCACAGTGGGTTGCTGGTGACCATGCGATCATCCCCACGGCCTACAACTGCCTGCCTGTTGTGAGAAGCAGCGATCATAGGGCCGTTTTCCTGCGAGCGCTAGTTCCAGTCTTGTCGCCAGATGAGCTGGCGCCAGCCCAGGACGTCATCGAGACAGCCCTTCGAGAAGCCGAAAGCGGTGTTGATGGGCGCAAGGCGATCGATCCCCGAATCAAGCCACCGTTTGTTGTCTCGGTTGATTCGTGGGAACATCGTGCAGCGGTAAAGAAGTGGGAGCGCATGGTCGGCTGGTCTATGGTCATCAGTAAGTCCAAACAGGGTATCATGGTTTTCGTGACGGTGCTACTCGTTGGACTCGGAGCTTGGTGGTATGGGAACGTGAACTCCTAGGGAGAGGCTCTTAAGTCCAAGGCACGGAGTGTGTATGATAGTTCGACGGGGATTGTTCAAAGTCTATATGTGGGAAAGGGATCCGAGTGAAAAGAGGACTGCTTTTCAAGGGCAGATACACCTAACATGAGCGTGGTCATGATTTTACTTTTTGGTTTTTCTTTTTTGAGTCAATAGGCCCAATCGGTATGGATACGAGTGTTGGCAAAAGACGTCGTTTTGACAGGCATTTTCTCACTTTTCTTTGGTATCGCAACGGACTATCATGAGCTGGGAGCTGGTTAGCAGGACCGTGTAGGGTAATTGTACCCGGGTTGAGGAGGAGGATATACCCTTTGAGGAGCATAGTGCCTTGACGCACACATGTATAGACAATCGTCTTTGTTGGACATTCATGCCCACATATGACGTCGAAATGGAAAAGTTGCGTATCATCATCTAGCTGGAAAGCCTTCGCACTAGCCTGACGTAGTGGTTGACAAGAGGTAAGTGTGGGCAGAACATGGCACTCGGGCATGGGATCTTGAATCGAGTAGGCTGGGTACGTTCGCCCGCAAACTGAACAAAGAGTTGCGACGTTACGTCTGCTGTGTTTTCTCAATTGGGTATCTTTGTTTGTACAGCAACATCTACTACACGTGCATTCTTCGACCCAGTCCCCAACAACAAAAGCAGCCGCCGCCATCACAGGCCTTCGCCAAACACAGATCCCAAAAGCCCGACCGGAAGCTCCAAGACTACGCCACGCTCATCGATCGGATCAACTTCCCCCGCGATCCCGCGTCTCGCTGCTGACGTAGCCTAAGACGCGGGCGGAGACGAGCCCGTCATGGGCCTCCCGACCATCGAATCGCCCAATTTTGGGACGTATAACCTGCTGCACCCCCTACGGCTCAGCAACGCAACAAGGTACTTGGTCAATCAAGTTCCTACCGGTGGGGATGCGGGGGATGCGGGCTAAGGATATGGCCGGGGAGAAGATGCATCTTTGGTGGCTAGAGGCCGAGTACTGGACGCTGCGAGAGATACGCGTGGAGCTGAAGGATAGCTACCGGGATAGGGTGCCGAGACTGCCTGTTTGACCGCCGAGGCTGGGCAAGGGGGTGGTGAAAAGGCAAAATAGGAGGGAACATGACTGTCCGATGGTTTTGGAGAGCTTGAGGAGGGAATATGCGAGGGCTATGAAAAGTAAACCTGGGGTGGCGGAGAGAGAGTGCGAGGAAGATGAGGAGGAGGAGGAGGGGAGAGGAAGCGCTTATATTGACCAGCTCGACATCACCAAGTTGTCCGTCGTGGCGTTTAGTCTTCCCGCCGCCGTTAGGGATCCGACGTGCAGGGCGATTGTCTTGAAGGACATATGACTACTCGATTTGTATCCCTTAGCATCTGAATGGTGCTCTATTTCCAAGTATATTCTTGTGCGTGTGTTCCCCTCATCGGCTCATTCAGGTTCAAAATTTGTTGGGAACTAGGGGGTGGTTGAACGTCCCAACCAGACGACATTTTGTCGTTGGAAGCAATGAAAACAAACACACTGGCTGAAGTTATGCCTATCGATGTTGGACTAAGACGTATTGTCCTGTTTTGTGGAGAATAATGGCCTAAGGGCGGCAGTCGAGTCAGGTCTGTTATACCTGAGCGTATGAGGTTCGGTCTAGATGTCCTGTAATCTATACACCAGCACAAGCAGATAACTTGTATAGAGTAAGGTTCAACCATGACAACCGTCAATATCTTCCGCTTTCCGCTTTTCTCTGTACGCTTTCTCACCAAGTGAGTAAGTAGAAGTGCCGAATATTGGTCCTTCCTTGGCGGTCCACTCCCAAGACAAAACAGAAATTAGTGCAAAAGGTACTCCGAATCGGGGAATCGAACCCCGGGCTACACGGCACTTTGTAATGAAATATTACATGAGAGCGTGTAATGTTAGCCACTACACCAATTCGGATGTTGTTATCGTTCGGAGTGGAACTACTGTTGGAATCTTGAGCTTTAGGTAACATATAAAACTTGTCTACTCGCCTTGTGGGGACCACAATTTCATTTGGACGAATAAGCCTCTGCGAACAATGGTTGGAGTCTTGCAAATCAAGTCCTGTAACATATTAATTCAAGAGCAATCACTTGACCTTCTTACAGTTACCTTTTACTGACTTGGTTGGAAACTTGAGTCCAGCTTATGACTACGCTATTGCATCTGATTCCATGGCGAGAGCCGCCCGTATGCGAACTACGACTGCCAAGTGAACCACTTTCAGGTGGCTATCGGGAAACATGGCTTGGTCTTTCGAAGACTTTGGCTGTTGATTAACTTCCCTGATGTCGATCAAAGAGGGTTGGTCGCAACACAGCCGCGCTTCGTCCCTAACGGTAGACACTTAAGTTTCTGCATTAATGAAGAAGGACTTGGTATTCTCCTAGATACAGCCTGGTTTTCAGCGAATCAGGGCCCAGACGCTATCTGCATCCAGTCATACCTAGGTACGTTTCGAAGCGCCTAGCTGAAAAGTCTTCGAGTTGTAGGATGCACTAGCCATAGTCTAGCCTCTGGGTTCTAGCCTGAGACGAGAACCTAACCGCGACGGCAGACGAGACGGTTGGAATACGCAAGATATATCAGGTGCCTGGCTCCACCCCATCATGGCAAATCATGGGCATCGTGTGGCCTCCCCAAGAGATGCAAACGCTCCGACCAGTCTGGCTGCCCATGATGGAGGCCAGCAAGGGGTGTTGTTTCTCCTTAGCGGGCTGGCGGAAAATAGCAGTGCTGAACGGCCTCGCAATGGTACTCATATCCATCCGCCTCATAATGTGTCTGTCGGTATCCTCGTCTAAACTCGCGGCCTCATGACCAACTAGTCTTTCTCTCCGCATCATGCGACTAGACTTCCCGCGTCAATTTGAGCCTGCACCTGCTCATCGACTTGTTCTAGACCCTGATATTGTCCTCGTCCAACTTATCCGTGCAGCTGCTCAACGCACCATCGCATATCAGTATCCAAACAGCCCACTCCCATTCCCACGGGCCCAGCATTGGCGTCCCTTCTCCGTGCAGTCTGCGGTAGCTTCTCTGGAACAATACAGCGCTCTGGGTTTTTCTTGCCGTCAATTCGCTGCCGCTGCAATTGCTGGCAAACAGTGTCATATTCGGCACCGATTACGCTCCGGGAACCTTCGTCGTGGGGATTGTGACGGAGCCGTTTGTTCAGGAGGCCGATTATTTTCTCCCTGGACGGGCACTACAAGAATCGATGGACTGGGTGTACTCGGACGCCCTGGCGTATCTGGGAGGACCCATCCAACCCTGTGCTTGCGCGGGTCAGCAAGCTCAGTCGGGAATCGGCCTCGTGGGAACTTCTCGATGCGGTGAGTTGTGACGCCCTGTATTTCACCGAAAAGCTCCTGAAGGACCCTCTTTACTATCCTTCGTTCGCTCTTCCGAGTGCTCTCATTTCCACTACCGATAGCAATAACTATAGTAAAATAGAAGCACCCCGGCGACGGATGCCGCGAATAACCTGGTTGGGGAGGAGGTTATGGAGTGGAGTGCGTTTGTGGATTGTGGGAACAGTGACGAGGGAAATGCAAGCTGCCTTTCATGGGAGAAGCTAAAATGGGATGATATTGCTGCCGCTCATGATCAGAGGCTTGCGATATTTGAAACAAATGGAGAAGGACGACTGGAGCATATTGGCTTTGCTACAGTCGATGATGATGTGATGCGTCAGTTAATGGTAGACTTTACGCATAAATGCACCCGGCACTCCACAACTAGTTGCAAATTCGACTTGGTCTCCTAACCTTGAATGAGACCTGACTAGCGGCGTTTTTGTTCCATTGACATTTAGTCAAGAAACAGGCAAATAGCAGTTATATATGCTGCAAGGATGTCTCCAGGAGAAGGAGGGAATGAAAATGTGTTTTGCAAATGTGTAACAAGTCACCATCACGAACTAAATGCAGACTTCTTAGCTGAGGAAAAACAACCTCTTATTATACTCACAACCATCTTCGACTAGTGCACATATCCCCAAAATACACCAAGCACAAACAAGTTCCCATTCTGGATACAATTCCGCCGGACCGTCCTTCCCAATCAAGCTCTAACCAGCCCTCCTTGAAGAAAACGTACGAAAGGTTATGGATTCGCCCATTCATTTCATTCCATGGGGCATAATATAATCTAGAGACAAAAGATAACAAATTAAACCCAACCCCCTTTACAAACCACCACCCCCTCCCTATTCACTCACTGTTGTCTAGATATATAGATCCGTATTACCATTTATCGTGCCCTGGTAGGCCCAGCACGTTACGGCCGCCACACCACTCCCATATCGTGTAATAAATGATGTTGTATTCCGGGTCAAGGGGTTAGCGCCGGGCGGGACCAGGTAGCAGCCGAGGTACTGTATCAAAAAACCGACCATGGTCTCCTCGCCCGTTACCGGGTCGACGACGGTGAACATGTTGCGGGTTCTACAGCCGTATGGCCCATATGACGGCTTGAACATGGACGCGAACGACTTGACCCTGGTCTAGGCGAGCGTCACAGTGGGCTCGACGCCGCAGTGGAAGGCGATTCTCGTGCCCGTAGTGCTGCTCGACTCAGTGGAAGAAGCTGGGCTGACCGACGACTAGTCGATGGTCGAACCCAGTGATAGTTAGGGGATATATTACTGATGTTAATCGCCGTGGTGATGGGCGCGGAAATATCACTGGTGTCGATGACGGTTGGCAGATCAATATCGCTGGTACTGACATCCCCGATGTCACTGGTCGTCGACTAGGCTTCATCAGTGCTGGATGACGTCTCGCTGGAGATGCCTCCAGACGAGCTACTTTGAGTCGAAAAGCGAGTCTGAGAAGAGGAAGAGTCAGGTTGCAACGTGAATGAGCCAGTCTGAGAAGTATACGAAACAAGTATCCACATCCGCGTGCGTCGTGCTCGGGGACGTGTTAGTAGCATCTCCTGAAGGCAGATTGAGGTGGTAGAAGCATCCCAGAGTGCCGTAGCCCGCGGCGAGATCGCTACTGGCGAGAAAAAATCCATCCTGGAATGCTGGGTCGGCGTAGATCTGCGCGCCTGTGACACTATACCGCAGTTCTCGCAGTGGTTTTCCGTTGCAGCGGTCGATGTTTTGAGCGCACAACAAGTCCGCAATAACAAACCCCGAAAACGTCTGCTCGCGCGAATAGGCCTCGTTCTACAAGGCGGCGTAACTTGAGCCCCTAAGCTCGACGAACCTGTTTACGTGTAGGGCGGGCCCTGGCCGGGTGAATATCCTTGGGGCTCGTACTTGAACGGTGCCACCGTGACCTGGTGGCATCCGAGTCACCAGAATTTCTGTGCCTCCGAACACAACTCAGGCGCGAAAACGTTGCTGAAGGAGCCCTGCGCATGTACAGGGGCCGCAAATGACCCGGCCAAAGCCAAGACTATGGCCTTTGGGTTAACCGACAAACCCATTGTCGCAGGCGGGTCCCCAGGCGGGCATCTATGAAGCTGTGGCCTACTCGAGCAAAGAACTATGAGGTGAAGAAGGCATATCTAATAAAAAAATATGGGTAAAGGTTGAAACAAGCGTAGTAGTTATTGCAAAGAGGCATGGTCGGTGAAGGATGGTTAGGGTCTGCGGAGAGACGAGCAGGATTTCACGAAGCTAGAATCCTGGGATTTGATCAAATGCTCGGGTCGGAAGAAGATGGGCCACTTGGTTCATCCGCATGGGCGAGAAAGCTTACCAGGAGAGGAATGCCCCGAAGTGATGCGCCGAGTCTCGCTTAGGACTGACATGCCCTTCTTGGTTGAGGCCCATCACCACATGATGCCACTGTTAGGCGGACCAGATGGCGCTGCAATCACCATTGGAATGATGTCGAAGATCCAACTAGAGATCTTTGGATTGCCACAAGTTGACTCAACAGTTCAAACGTCTTGGTAAAGGGCAGAGAGGATGAGAGGGTTCACCAGTCACCTCAAGAGACTGCACCTCGAGCAGTATCAGTCACATGATAGCCTTGACCCTCAACATGATCGATCTGGCTCTGGTACATGTCCAACTCGCGCGATGTTGTTCTCCTTCCATGACCATGTTGTTGGCAAAACATGAAACCTGGCGGAATTTTTAATACGGTCTAGTGGTTCGTCCGATAACTGTGAATTCTTGGGGAGTCAATTCGCACTTCGCCAAATTCCTCAAAATTATAACGTGTCTCAGCCTCATCGATTGGGAGGCGGGAGGCAACGCGGTCTTGGTTGCTGGTTCATCTCATTCAATTGCAGAAAGTCCTTGCCGGGGTAGTGCAGCCGCAAATACACCCTGCGTAGTAAACAAGCAACTCCTGAGTCCCCTAGACCTCCACAAAATCACCAATGCCCAACTCCCTTAGCCTCTACAGTTTCCCAACATATATAGTATAGTTAACCCTCGAATTCCACAATCCTCTGTGTTGCTGAAGCAGCCGTACCCGACCCTCCAGTTGTCGTCTCGTCGCTACCAAGTATCGATTGGCGCGCTCCGTCTTGACCCTTGCCTGCTCCCGCCTCGGCATCTGCACCATCCAACAGATCTCGGTCAGACGAACGCACGCTGCGTCGCTCGGGATCACCGCTGTAGCCGTCCGCCGTTTTCGGTCCTGGTATGTCCTCCTCCTCTTCGTCGTCTTCATCCCTTTGTCCAGGCAACGCGTTCTTCTCCAATTCACGCTGCGCTTCTTCCATGCGGCGGCGAACCTCGGCTGCGACTCGCGAAGCATCTGTAACGATGTTGTCGAGCACGCCTCGCAGTCCACGTGTAGCACCGGCCGCGCCCGGCGGTGGGATTGGCACCGGAGTAATGGTCGAGCGGCCAAAGCTAGAAAAGGTGGTGAGAGAAGACGGAGGGGCGGTAGTCGGCAAGCCGTCGATAATGTGTATGGAAGTGGGGAAAGATGATTCGAAGAACTGCTCGAGTAATTCGTCTGCCAGCACCACCATGCGGAAAGTTGGTAGCGTCATATGCAAAGGGTTTGAGGGATCCAGGGCGACATTGGCTTTCTCAGACTGCGCTTTAGAAACTCGTCTCAACTCTCCCGTGTCAGATTTACCGATAGCTGGAGAAATTGAAGGCAAACCAGGCTTCTTCTTCGTCGACTTGAGACTTTCTTTTGGGCCTTCGAATTCAAGTAGATCTTCCTCCTCCTCCTCCTCCTCCTCCTCTTCTTCTTCTTCTTCTTCATCATCATCGCCAATGACGAACGCACTGTTGTCAGCTGTCTGACTGCCATCACTATTCTCCTTGGCGTTCCCTTCATACCTTTGGTTCGACCCTGCTTGGTTGATGGGGTGATCGGGATCGGCATACTCGAAACATCGCCGGATAAAAGCACTGACGCTGCCAAGGAACCTCTCGTTCATACTGCCTCCAATGGGCGGGCTCACAGGTCCGTTCGCATCGGCCAACGTGCTGAGTGACGGGTTAGAGTTTGAGACGCTGAGAGAGCCTTCCAGCCCACGGCGGGATAGAAACAACAGAGCCTCAGATATGCGAAGGATGCCTTCGCGATCGACTTTGCCGTCGCCATCGTCGTCGTAAAGTTCGAAGAAATAGGTGATGGTTCCCATGATATCGCGCTTGCCTTTAATTTGGGCCAAACCCGTCACAACATCTTGCAGCGTCAGTGTGGAACTCGAGTCTACATCCCAGCGCCTGAACATTCTCTGCATGAACTCGTGATCTGCAGGCTCAGGGCCCGCACGCCATGGTGAAAGTAGGTTGTTGCTGGATTTTCTGAAGCTGCCAAAGTATTGACCTTGATCCTTATCAGGGAATTGGTCTCTTCTTGGCGAGGACGGCGAATCCGAGATGGCCCATTTCGACATTGCGGCCAGAAACTCGCGAAAGGCGTCGTAGTCCATCAAACTGGTGCTTGGGCCGAGTCCCACGCGGCCTTTCTCGACGCCGTGGTCTTGATGGTCCGAAAACGCAGCAGCAGCTGTCGTCTTGCTTGCTTTCGCCCGGCGCAATTGATCTTCTTGCATGATCCGGTCCTGCTGTTGTCTTTCGTACAAAATTCCGTAGAATCTGTCGTAGAGGGCTCCCAGCTCATCCGGGTTCAGTAGCTTACTATCCGGACCAAGATTCCTTATTGCTGTTCGCTTGGCAAAGTTCTCAATGTTATTGAGGACGGCATCCTTGTTTTTCAAACGAAGGTCCTGGATGCTACTGTGGGTGATGCCCGAAAACTCCTTGAAGGCGACAACCATAAGCTCCTGAAACCGGTTGATAGCTCGCAGCTTGGGGTTCTCCGACTTTGGGTGTGCTGATTCGTCTAAACGCGAGAAATATCCCTTCAGAACTTGTATGAACGCCCCATCGTCGGTGGCATCGAGTAAATCCTCGCCATTTATCCGCAATATCGCTAGTCCGACCTGGAAAAGCACCTTGGGGCCTTCGACAAAGAAAACATCAAGAACCCTGAAGGCAAACACGAGCGGCATCGAGTTGATATACAGGGAGAGAAACCAAGGGAGAGAGACGACAGAAAGCTGAACATCGCTCTTTACAAGATGCTCCCAGAGTATCGGCATGGTCTTTTCCACAAGGGACTCAAAGACTTTCTGGTCTAGTAACGTTCCGTACATGGTCGTCGAGTAGTAGCCTGGCACAAGTCTGTCGCAAAGAGCGGACAGCAAGAAGAACGCCTGGGTCTCTGACATATAGATGAGTAGAGCGGCGACTACGATGTTCATCGCCTGGCAATAACCAACATCGGGGTTGATCCAGCTGTAAGCGGTAAGGACGCGACGAAGACGGCCAATTCCGTCCTCGGTCTGAAACCCAGGATACTCTGGCAAACTTCGGTTCAGATCTTTTTCAATCTCATCGATGGCCAAGGACTCCTGTCCTGAGAACTTGGCCAATGTGTCAGTGTACAACGTAGGGTTTTCGAGGCGTAGATATAATGATCCCGACGTTAGTTCCCACATTTCACCCCGCAGGCGGTTTGGGAGACCGACCCGAATGAGCTTGTGGAAGGTTGGCTGGCGGATCAAAGTGGCATTGCGACCGTTGTCTCGAAGGTATTCAGCCCATAACCTCATCTTGGCTCGGTCTCTGAGCTTCTTAGGGTCGCCAGGGTAACGAAAGATCATGCCAAGACCTGCGTCAGGAGGGCTTGCATTCTTCTTGTCCTCGGGTCGTAGGAGGTATTCCGAGTAGCATTCTCCGATAACCCTCTTCAGCTTAGGGACGTGGCCCACAGCACTCCTCAGGCCCCGTTTGAGCCCATCGCAGAATCTCTCGCATGCTTGACGACTACCAGCGAGCTGTATAGTTATTCTTTGTTCTCGAAGATCCTTCTTATCTTTCTGTGCATCTTTCTCCTTGCTGGCTTCTTGCGATATGCCGTTCCACGTCGTGATGGCAAGAGCAAACTATCACGAAGGTGGTCAGTCAACCCGGCCACGAACAAGCTACCGCAATCGACAAAACGTAGAGGCTCACCTGGAAGCTCTGACTGTTGAGGCGCTCAACGCGCCTGATAGCGCAGAGGGGGAAGGTGAATCCATTGCCACCTGGGCCACCACCGTGTGTCTGACCAGTGAAAGCAGAAGAGGTGGAAGTGCTCGCTGTGCTGACAAAGCTGGTGGGCGTGGTAGAAAAGCAAACGTAGGCCTCCGATAGATGCAGCTTTCCCGCGTAGTGCCATCCCCTATCGCGATCCTTATCTCCTTGAGTCACATTGGAAGGCGGGATGGTGAGTTCGGCGGGAATCTCGTACAAAGGCGTCTGGGAACTGGGTAGTCGGAACTGGTTCTGGTAGAGTGTTGACTTGGCAGGGTTCTTGTCCGAGTTTGTCAGGTTCAGGCCTTGCATAGGATCAATCAGCTGCTGAGCAGCCGACTGGGCCTTCTGCACGAGGCTTGAGAAGTTAAACATGTTGCTTCGTATATCGCGTCGTGGTCGGTCAGGGGGTGTTGGTGGTTCGAGACTTTGGGATAAAGTCCAAAAGACATCGGTCAATACATGTCGGAAAGGCCTGGATTACTGACCGTCGCTTCTAGTGGTACTCGGAATCTCTTGGTGGGCTTTCGGGGGTCTAGATGTATATGTTTTAATGCGTTGTTGCGGCGTCAGCAGAATGGGCTGTTTGTTTCTGGCTTCAGTTGGGTCAGTTGGTCAGTTGCACCTCGCCGTGGCCTCGCCGTGGGGTCGTGGAGCATTGAGCAAGCACGAGTGTTGCTCAAAGCCGGGGTGTCTCTGTGTCTGCCCAGGCGTCTCGGCAGACTAGGCCCGCGACAAGTTCAGCCTCCACAATGGATGTGCTTGACAGATCCAGGGGCTTTACTATTCCCTGCAATTGAACTGCCCCAGTCGACTTGCGGAAGTTGCAATGCCCATGAGTGACCAACCCTACCCGCGACGTTGAAAAAGGTCCTGAAGCTGATTGGAACTGCTGACTGAATAAATACAAAGGCGGCTAGACTAGCCAGGTGCTAGTAGGGAACTTTAATCTCTACCATCAGGGCGGCTTCTTTCATACTGCCGATTTGATACCTATCGGTTCTGATTCTGGATATAATGTCGACTATAATACCGACGACTTTCAACAATCGCCGTACCTGCTCAACCATGACATGCTTCATCCACTAAGTAACTTATGCCTTATTGGAAAGCAGAGTGCTTTCCCATCTGAGACTTCCATACTTGAGTCGACCTGTCGAGCAATCCTTGCTTGGATACCCTTCGTACATACACTCAATCAACAGATGATGCAGCAGCGTGTCTACACTACACGATTCATGATGCTCAGGATTTGACCCGACCCCTGCCTGGCCGGGCCAGTCGACCCTCACAAAAAAGACCGAAGATGTGGTTTATTCTCGCTGGCCATCAGTATGAAGCTGCACTGGAGGCACGTTGTCAAGCCTGTGCCAAGGTAAAACTGCATTCATCGCAATCAACCTACCTCACCCGGCTCCTCCACAACCCCAGGAAGCCGCATGCTCAATGCACAAGCTGCCAGTATCGCAACCGCCGCCGCTCTTTCATTGATATACGTGTGCAGTGCAGCTTACGATACTGGAAAGTTGCTGGCCGGAAAAGTATGTGTGCCAAGACAGACTAACTTGAGCTGAATCCCATTTGGGCCATGGCCTTAGATGCAAGATGTCAACCTATCAAACTTGTTCAGCCTGCCGGCCGAGGCGGTAAGAAGTCCCAGGGCATTCGTGTGATGCTCGATAACTCCCATCGAGTAACCCCACATGCGGCTCGATTGGAGTGATCTTGGGGATGCATCGGGCAACCTGTCATCGTCGTACCGCTTGCGAACGAGAATCCCTCCTGGAAACGTGGGGAGACTACAGGTTCCTGTCCGACAAAGGACCCGCATGTTCTCGGTTCCTTAGCCAAACGCGATAGACGCCGAGAGCATTAGAACAATATCACGCTTACATGGCCCGAAATAGCGCTTGGAAAAAAGTGGTTGACGCGAATCGTTCCCCCGCTCCGGTCGCCCATGAGATTCTGCAACAACAACGTCATCAGATCCCGAGGTCACGATAAGCCCACCCACATTACCCAGCCCAGTTGTCGAAATTGGAAAGTGAAGCTGTTGACCTTCAACCGTGCACTAGAGCGGCCGTTCCATGGGTGAGGTTATTCTCGCTTACAATCTATCAGGGTTTGGGGGCTACTTTCTATCTCACCTTTCCCAGCCAGGGCTTTATTCTGTGAACGTTTGGGCAAACTCAGCTGTTTCTTTGTCCCAGCTCTCCTTAGGTGGAACCCAACGACGTTGGACTTTTGAACTAGATCCAGACCTGACGTCTTGCCCCTGTAAAAAGGCCAAGCGCCCACTCCACCACAACACGAGAGAGGAGACAAGTTTCGTCTGAAACTCCCGGCTGCTACAGGAGGGCGACGGGCAAAAAAATACCGCCACCGGTGCCTTGCTTGCTCTGTGATCCGCCTTCATCGCCTACCCTCGGTATATATAGCATCGCCTAGGGAATGGCCGCGGTCGCAGCTCAACCGAGTCCCATTCCTCCCGGCGCGAAAGCGAATGTTATGGCTTCAACAAATGGTGGGGTGCTTACTGCAGACCACGAGATTGCGGGGCAGGGCACAGCGCAACATCACCAGTCACATCAGCGACTGCGGTTTGACGAATTCAAGGTCGTGAGGACTCTGGGAACAGGTAAAGTCCCCGCCCCGTTCCGCGTCATCCATCGAAAGCGACGAGGCGCGCGCATTGCACAAGACGAGGATGCTAAGACAAGGCCGACACCACAGGAACCTTTGCGCGCGTATGTCTGGTACGCCCAGCATCGGAAGCAGACCAGGACAAAGTATTCGCACTCAAGATTCTGCGCAAAGCCGAGGTCATTAAGCTCAAGCAAATCGACCATGTGCGACATGAACGCGAGATCCTGGCCGATGTTGCTGGCCACCCCTTCATCACACGGCTGATGGCCTCCTTTTCCGACCGAGACTCGCTGTATATGCTCCTGGACTACGTGCCTGGCGGCGAGCTTTTTAGCTACCTGAGGCGACACCGGCGGTTTCCAGAAGAATGGGCGCAGTTTTACGCAGCTGAGATAGTCACGGTGCTCGAGTTCCTCCACGAGAAGCAAGGCGGCGTCGCGTACAGGGACCTAAAGCCCGAGAACCTACTCCTTGATGGCGACGGACACGTAAAACTGGTTGACTTCGGCTTCGCAAAACGGCTGGGAAGTAAAGACGACCGGCCAGTTGAAACTTATACGTTATGCGGAACCCCCGAATACCTTGCGCCCGAGGTAATACAGAACAAGGGCCACACCACCGCCGTTGATTGGTGGGCCTTAGGAATTCTGATATACGAGTTTTTGACCGGGTACCCGCCCTTCTGGCACCAGAACCCTATCGAGATTTACAAGCAGTACGTCCCATTTCCGATACGTCTTGGGATCTTCTAACAAGCCGCTAGAATAGTCGAAAAGCCCGTCATGTTTCCGGCCGACCCTCCGATTTCACACGACGCACAACACATAATCCGATCGCTCTGCACCGTTGACCGTTCTCGCAGGCTGGGCAACATCAGCGGCGGCTCGACCCGCGTCAAGGAGCACCCCTTCTTCGATGGCATCGACTGGAACGCCCTTTTGAACCAACAACTACGACCCCCTATCAAGCCCCACGTGCGGTTTCCGGGCGACGCGCAGTGCTTTGACGTGTACCCGGAGGACGACGGCCAGCGCGAGCCGTACTCGGAAGAGACGGCGCAAAAGTACGACAAGTATTTTGAGGGGTTTTAACGACGACAGAGAAGGAGGGCATGGGACCACGGGATGGGGAGTTGGGAGTAGTCTAAGGCATCTTGCGCTATCTGATTGAATGCATCTTCGGTCTACCGGTGGGTAGGATACACCAACATCCTGACGATTTTATGATTGACCCTTAAGAGGGTTCAAATCTTGTACTAATGTACGCATGCTATATATGGCCACATCTTTTTCTAAAAATTTGTTTTGAAAAGAGCGAGATGCCGTTTGTACAGTCGTAGTGAGTGGGTTCAAGGTTTGCCCGGACATTATGACGGTAACATGCAACTTGATAGACAAATACCGTTTCGGTGTTGACGGCGCTAGAGGCTGCTGTTGAAGCTGATCATTGGCGTCAGAGGGATGGTAGACAGTCGACTACCGTACCAATAGACGGGATGATTGCCCCAGAACACCTGCTTAGACCTACTGAAGCTTGTCGACGTGAAATTCATATCTCGGGATTATGCCCACAACCCTATGTTGTAAACCCCTATTACTGCTAACGACCAGAAAAATGTCGATGGAGGAACTTGTGTTGTAAATTCAAGGTACTTTGCATTATGAAAACTTCCATCTCGTTGTTCATGAGATATAAACTCGTAACTTTTGAAAGCACTCATCACAGAAATAAACAAACAATAGAACTATAGACCACATATATTCGATCTTTTTTTCCTTCTCAGTCTTATCACCGTTATGGTTCGGCCCGATGATTAGAGATATCAGGGACGTCGTAAACGCTGATATGCCGAGTCTATTGTGGGAGAACCGATGGAGATGCTTTCTTTTAGAGGAGTGAGATTGATACACCCCAGCACTAATTCTGCCTAACGGACAGTATACTGCTAATGGAGAGGCAGCGTTATAAATGAAGTTTGTATATACACTAATGGTATGACAACGTGTATCCACCATGTATATATAGGTATATATATAGAAAATACCCGCCTGCCCTCTTTTTCTCTAAAAATTCTCATACGACGTAATGTTATTCCCTCGATGCAAGTTTGCCCTTTCATCTATTTCCCACCCATTCGTAGCCTGTCACCCTGAGGAGAGCCAAGAGACGAAACCCTCTAAGGTTCGATACAATTGATCAAGACAAATATAGCCAAAGCAATACATAAAAGGTGTTCTCACCGCACGGAGCATATGTGAACCTGCTTGTGTCAACGGAGATATCTCCTTCCCACAGACTCGTGATAAGTTACTTAATCCTACCTACGCGTATTGCACCTAGGGACTGAACTGGTAGCTCTCAAGAAGTTTGGAAGATTAGAAGTGCGGGTTGCAACGCATTCTCAGGTGGATGTATGGAGCAATTCCCAACAGCCCACTCAACAAGTCCGTCTGTAGTATAACCAACCATTGTAGCACCGCCAAGCAAGCTAGCGCGAAAACCAGCTAGTTTTACTCTCTTGGCTTTGGTAATGGCGCCTGCTTGTTGAATTCGTTCAAATAAATGTAAGAATTTCACGCCGAGTGAAGGTCACACTGCCAGGGAAATGCGAGAACTCTCAATCAAGAATGCAAAAAAGTATATAAGACAAAGCTTCAGCACATTGATCTGCTATCTGATCTGTGTGTATGTGTTTTTGTGTTTGATATATAACTGTGCCCGTTTCCAAGGTTATTTCAACTGTTCCTTCTGAACAAGAGGCCACACACATCTCCCAGGAATTCCGCTTTGGATATATTGATTCCATTCCGTGTATCCGACTGCCAGCTCAGCCTGCTGCCAACTCTTCTCTGGTATAATAAATCCTCACGTAAATAAAAGACAGGCCGCTCCTTATCGTTAACTCAAAATATGACCGTTACCTGATGTCATTGTATCGTGAATTGTTGCCAAGATTATCCTGAATGGGAACCCCAAAAACGCCAGCTAAATCAACCGGATTCGGCAATAAATCCATCATTGTTCCCCTTAGATGTTCAATAAATTGTAGTGCTAGACTAGATACGCAAGGAAAGGTGAAAAGAATCGAGAATCCAATCATGTATTCAATGAATGCGATTCGAGCTGGGCGACTGGCTGTCCCCTGTGACGCTGGACAAACGCCGATAAATGTGGGATATCATTAATGATGCTGCAGAAAGGAAAGTTCAAGTGGGTACTCCGTGCAGTAGTGCTAGAGACGCTCCAATAAAAGATATTCAGTGCGTGATAGCGGTTACTAGCCCCAGATGGGCACGTTTTTATATGCTGGAGAGTTGTAGCTGTGCAATACTCGGAACGGCGCAGGGTTTCCAAATTGATCGAGGCAGCCATTTCGCTGGTGACCACGCGGGACCTGAAGTGGAGGTCGGCCATACTGGTCCCATTGTTGCGGCATCGGCCGTCCGCTCCAAGGATCACTAACATAGACGTTGCCATCAGCCCTGGGCATCGACGGGTAAGGCCCATTGTCCTGGTAGAAGCTCTGGGCTTCCTCCTGGACCAAAATATTACTGTAGTCGTCGTAGCTGACTCTTTGACGAAGAGTTGGCACAATGGGAGCCTGCCACTCCCGGGACGTCCTTGGCTTTAGCATGATAGCAACTGGCTGTCCCGGCTGGAACGAAAGTGAGCTGTTGTAGGTTTGAGACACAGAAGACGTTTGAGAAGTTGAACCACCATGGTCCGTCTGGACTTCCCAGATAGGTCTACGATGCTCCCCCTTCTCGGTCATAAAACTGAGAGATCGTCGAGGGTTCATGGGCGGAGCAGGAGGTGGAGGTGCAGTCATGGACCGTTCTCGAGCATGGTATTGCTGCTGAACTGGTAGGTAACTGTATATGTTTTCTCGACTCGTTTGTCTTGATATGGGCGCAGAGCCACTCACAGCAGGGTAGCTGTATATGCTCTCTCTGCTAGTTTTGCGGGACAGAGCAGGCAGAGCGCAAGGCTGAACTGCGTTCGGTGGGGTTGACTGTGGCCTGGGGGGTGGAGGGACTCGCACGGATCCCATGTTCCTCGTCCTCATGCTGACCGGTGGTGGTGTCCTGGGTTTTCTGATATGCGCGGCGGCAGCTGGAGGCTCCAAGGACGTACATGAAGCTACAGCGGGGGAAGGCTGAACCTCTGGCTCATCTGAGGCCGCATAGCGCGTCTCAGATTCTCTCTCTACCTGAGCCGTCATCGTGTTTGACCTGGCCACACTTGATGGTATTGTCAAAGACGACTCACGCTCATTCGCCATGGCCGAAAACGTTGCATCGAAAGCGCCTGCCTCCAGACTCTTCCGCACCAAGTCCAAAGATGGGCCTCTGGTCCCCAGGGCATGGTCAACTGTTCCAGACGCTATTAGGTGGAATCCACCATCGGAGAGCTGGCGGATGGGCACCGGCTTTCGAATGATAGACTTGCGGGCTGAGGAGATAGGAGAAGCTGCCGAGGCGCTGCGAAAGACTTTTTGATGTTTCAAGGTGTGTTCCTGGCGTTGTGCTTTGCCTCCCTCTTCACTTTCATCGTCGGCTAATGTGGGCAGTGGTGGTACGTCTTTCCCTAAAGGAATCTCGGAACTGCCCACGCTCACAATCGTTCCGAGGGTCTCTTGGCTAGGCTCCGGTTTCAGGGCTGACCTCATGGATGGTAAGGGGAACAAGCCGGTGTGTTGACTAAATTTTGCTTGCACTTCTTCCGAAACTGCAGGAATGTCCCTGTGCCCCGGCGAATGCGTCTCATGCAATGGCAGGGGTTTACGAGTAGCGCCGCTCAAGAGTCTCTGGAGCTTCCCAGGTTTGCGCACACGACTGCCAATGCTCAAGGCAGAAAGAGATGCGGCAGGGCTCGTGGGGCTCAAAGGAGACGTCCCTTGGGTCGGCTTGGCACTATCTTGGAAGCGGCTGCTTATTGGCGAAGGCACATTTCTTGAATTCTTGGACCAGCTTACTTGATGACGAGGCCAAAAGTGTTGGCGAGCAGTTTGAGGTACCTCTGTCAATGCTCTTGGACGCACTAGGGACGGCTGATCTTTTTCTGGAACGGGTGGAGCTGGCGCATTTATCACAGGTCTCGAAACCGTGGTCGCTGGTGTGGCAACCACAGTGGGACTTGAATAAGTTGTAGCAAAGGGATCTTTCGGCGGAGTTTTGGGCGGGATTTCTATCCCAGCCACAGGTGAGCGGCGCTTCTCCGCAATGGATGGCTTTGCTGAAAAAGAACGTAATGAGACGTTTGAGCTGTATCCCGAGTCTGCCTTTGCGAGGGCCTTATGCGAATATTCAGATATTGGACTCGGGACGAGACCACTGTCGGTTCTTCTGATCTCGTGGGAACCCCTATCCTCTGATATCAGTCTTGGTCGAGGCGGAAGGGACTTGGCGCTGAGGTCAACGCGGACGTCCAACACCTCAAACTGTGGAGAATCTGGCGATTCCACCTCGAATAGCTCGTCTTCGGCTGCGGTATGTTTGCTCGTGGTCTGCAACTCGGACGTGCCAGCTTCGGAACCTTCCAGTGAAAGCGGGCTCAATTGTATCTCTGGGAGGAACTTAGGAAACGCTGAAGTGGGAAATGTCGACTTCGGTGCTTCAAACACAGAAGGTGAGCCTTCAGAACCGCGGCAGGGGGAAGTGTTAAACGCAAGACTGGAATGAACAGGGCTCTTCTGCACCTTCGTCTTGTCGGTAACGATATCCGACGTCGTCGTCTTCGTTTCGGGCCCAACGTGATTCGCCTCCTTCTGTGGGATAAAGTAATCATCGATCTGTCTGGCTTCGTGTTTGGACTGGTTGTGGTCGAGAGCTGGGCTCCTCGCCGGACTGCCATTTGTAATACGCAAGGAGCCAAGCTTGAAAGCGCCCATCTGTTGATAAGGTTCTTCGCACGGAGTGGCTGCTCGAGGTATGGAATCGGGGTCGCTCGCCGGAAGGGCCAATGACTGCATGCTTGCCTCGAATGCGTCAAATCCATCGAATGAATCGCGACGTGCAGGAGTTGAGGGCAAGCTGTATCTTGCCTTCATTCTTGGAGTGAGTGCTGGAACAGGTGGCGCACGCGTTGCAACCCCCGGAGTCTGAAGGAGTGATCGTCTTCGCATGGGCGTCGAGTAGAGAGAGAGGTCTGAATTCACCCTCGCTATGGCTACTGCCGGCGGGAGCTCAGCCGGGGCCTGGGAAATCATACTTTTCCGTCTCGGCTTGATAACTTCGAATTGACTTTCAGACATGATCGAGTTGTCTTCGTGCAGGGACTCCTCAGCTAAATTCAACAATCGCTTTCCCTCATACGACGTGAGGTCGTAATTGGCTGAAACACGGGATACTGTTGCCGACCAACTGTGTACAAGCTGTTATTAGCTGGAAACACATCGATGGCCCAGGCACCTTGAAACATACTTGAGATTGCCAGCTTGTATATAGTAAGAGCTTTCTGGAGCCGCGTAACTCACAGAACTGGCCCTGCTCGGCCGAGTGCTCTCCGGAATGGGTTTGTCCCCAATGCTGTCTTTTCGCGACCGTGACCTGCGACGGGAAAGTTGTGACAGTGAACGGAAGAGATTCCTCGTTAAGCGACCCGTTGAATCGGGCTCCGTGGGCTCATCTAGGTGCACCTGTCCAGTCGTGGACCCATTTTCCGAAGGGTGAAGCATAGGAGACGACGCGGGCGAAGTGCCATAAGGACGTGAGTAGGTTCTCGTGGTCGAGAGGCGCCTGCGAGAGTCGACCGAGCCATTAGGATTCAACAGGCCAGCTGCCGCATAGCTGCCGGTTCGCGGTTTGGTCAGCTTCTGAGTTGTCCTGCGGACCTTGTCAGGACCTTTCTCAGGGCCATTCTCAGAGCCTTCGACCGAGGACTGAGCATTGCCCATTGTGTTGTCGATGAAGGGAGCCGATGAGACGGCTGGGTATTATTAGGCGGATAGCAGTGCCATGCCGCAGATGCACCTGGTGCAGCGCTCAGCAAGAAATCACGAAGTGGTAAGCCCTGTGTATACGTGACGAAGCCGGGTAAACAGAGGACAGTAGTGGCGCTAGGTTGATCGTGTGAAAGCAAGTACTTTCAGACTTTCAAGAGGGACGGTAGGGCCGCGATACAGCAGAGCCTGCTGCTTTATTTGCGTTTGTTTGAGATCATCGTTCGGTCACCAGCACTTTTATCCCTTCAGTGGACGGCGAACCAGGACATGGGAAGTTGGGAGAGGGAAGAGAGTGGGTTGTGGGAACCGGGCGTGTTGGGCCTGGCGGTGGGAAGTGACGGTTGCGACTCGTCAGGGACGCAGCAGAAACTTGAATTGGAAGTGCTTGTGTCGGATAACGGGATGGGATGGGGATCTGCAAAATCGAGATCCACACATTAGCACGCGACTTGAGGGGTACTTGGGAGGGGGACAAAGAGGGGCCGCTGTCATTGCTGTCAGGCCATGTAGCGGCCGAAATTGCTAGTACTATCGATGTAAGCTTCTATTGTTGGCCGTATGATCTGTCAATCCCTGTCTTGCCGTGCAGTTTAAGGAGCACACTGGCGCAAGCTTTCCCAAGTGCGATGCTAGCACAGTAGCGCCAGTGGGTTCGCTGTGGCTCGTACCCTTATTTTCGCAGTCGTGCAAAAAGGGCGTTCTCAAGCACCACCATGGAACGTTGACAATTCCATTTCTAGGTACGACTATTTACAATTTGATCACTGATGATGTACTCATTTTTAGAGCAGTCGGCGCTAGAATTCGCTGCTGCTGTGGCTGTCACAATGCAAGTGTAGGCGACTGACAGTGGGCTATGTCTTCGATTGTTTCAGCTTTCAAGGGGCACCGTTGATAATTCGCCATTGCAAGACCGACCAGCGTTGACAGCTCTAAAGATCGGTAATTAACAGCCTACAGGGCAGACACAGGGCGACGAACACGGCAGGGCCGGTCAAGGCTTGCAGAGAATGTTCAGAGGCGTGCTCATCCGCTGTAGATGCGATGTCACTCCGTAATTTAATCATCTCAAAGATGCAATTGCGACCTCTTGGGGCATGAGAAGTCTGCTGCGATTGCTTCGTAGTTTCCCACAAACCATGAGTCAATGGCTCACGTTACAGAATTAAACCCGAGTCGAGTCCGTTAGTACTTCTATTTTGACGCCGGAATCTGGATATGTCTATAGTGTGGCTGGTCAGAAACAAGGTCAAGGCCTGTATCTTGCCTCAATCCGCGGCCGTTGGTTGGGGGTCCTAGCCAACCAATCTGCTCGGATGTATCCCGTTGTGCATACTCTGACCCTCTTTACCCCACACGGAGGCTGACGAACTTTCAAGTTCAGCTTCTCAGGAGCGTTGTGAACGTCATGTTCAGCACATTTTTAGCGAAACCAGGCTTTTAGATTGCGAGTAGGCAAGCTAGTCGTTGACAGCAACGCAAACGCCACCAACAAAGCAGATGATAGGACGACACGGCGCGGTGCGAGAATACGGCATGATACGTTATTCCAATATAACAATCAGACAAACGCTGATATGACCTGATTCTCATACACCATTTATCATGCCTACAGCTTGGCTATGTTCCAGACACGAAGAACATCACGAACAATTATCGTTTCGAGCGTGCGTACGACGTTTTTGTGGGCTATAGTGGGTATTTATCTAATAAGACAATGAATGAAGGTATAGTAGTAGTGAACATCGCGTCAAGAAGATGAATCAATGATAGATATTGGTGGAGCGGTTAGACGTGAGATTGGAACTCCACATTGAAGCAGTAGATGCAAAGCCACGAAACATGCTTCGGCACAAGTCCGATGATACCAGGCCCGATTCGTTCTGGCGCCCCGAGCTGTCAGTGTTCCCGAAGTCAAAATCGAAGCCAGATGTATCATTTTGCCTTTCAACGAGCGGTCTCGACCAGAGACTTGACTCGCAACAACGCACTTGCTGAACGCATCGAGACAACTTTAGTCGCCGACATCGCCAGCGGTCAAAGCCTGGAATGATGACCGTCTGAACTCTCAGCTCTTCGCGATGATCTCGGTGTCGACAATTCTCCGAAGCCGAGACTGATGGAACTCAACTCATAACAAATCTCACGACAGTTTTCATAGAGAAACGGCAAAGAATAAATGCCATGACCTCAATAGGAATCAAACCCGAGGATTCGGAGAGTAATGAAAGTAATCTGCCATAACCTTGACGTCGATCCTTAAGCGAAGCCAGTCGGAAATAAAGATAAGCGGCTTCCAAGGTTGTTGCCCGGGCTGTCAGCTCTGGTACTTATTTCAATAGATCGTCAGCCAGCGTTCCGGGTGCGTCAAGCGTCAACGTCTACACAGTAAGATTGAACACTGCCAAATTGGGATTCCCTCATCTCCTCCTCGACCGAAAACGCGCAATACGGTTACGGTCGGTCATCCCTAAGCATGAGCGTGTTCATCAGGTCAACCAGGCTGTCGCCCGACAGAGAGCACTGGTTTGTCCGAACTTGCTGCCATTGACTAAGCTCAAGCAAATATGATTGGATGCAACGCTTGGCACCACCCGAAACTCGTGCCCCCAGTCGCATGAACTGTTACGGCTTGCTGCCACCTCTGCAACGCGCGGGCGGCAATTATGTCAGTAGGCGATGGATCTCTGAAGGTGAGCCTTCTCAGTACAGCCGCAAGCGTTTAGGAAAGTCTGCGATAAGAAGCCTCCCCGCAATTCTCCTCGGCCGGCAGGGCCTGAGGTCCCTGGCCGATACCTTTCTTCTGTTCCGGCTATTGTTCCCTTAATGCTGTCTTCTTGGTACTGAGGCCGCTATCTCCAATCTTCTGAAGCTGGCCATTCCAGGCTGAAGCAACAGGAGTTGACAAGTATTCAGTTGTTGTTTTTACAAAAGCCGACGAGATAGACAACGGTCAAGGGTAGTGCAACCGGCGATTTGACAGGCAACTGTACATAGCGCGCTTGAGACCAGCGAGCGCGTGTCAGATATTCACGGTCGAAAACAATAACAGAGCAAGCTTCGTTAACTGTGGTTGCTTCAGTCATAATTCCCATCATTCAGCTGACAGGGATCTGATTCAAGAGAATAAGCGCATAGCGTGATCGCAGCTACTGACACACCCATCCTTCCAATCATTATTGTCGTTTCAGCAACTCGTGCGAGACGCAGGCCAGCAAAACGAAAGTCGCCCTTTGGCACACATAACAGAAGCTGCATGAAGGCGCAGTGTTGATCCATCAACAAAAGAGGGCTGTTCCAGCACCTGCTACCATCCCAGGTCGTCAAATAGGCCTGGCTCGCCCGTCACCTCAACTCTAAGACTAAACCACCAGAAAAGATCCACAATTCCGTTCGTCCCGTCTTTTGAATGAGATGCTGTACGAAGTGGGTTCAATATCCGAGACGTTGAACCTCCGGCAAAAGAATGCTTTAGCTTAGAAACCCGAAAGTCATCGGCAGATTTCCTAATAACAAAATCGGAACGAGGCCGGTTGCCCGATGGCCAAAGTTTTGATCTGGAACAAGCATCCGTTCGTCATATCGTGCTGAGGCGAGGACGCTATGATGCTAGAGGGTATATCTATTCGCCGATCACATAAGTACAGCCTTCGCTGCCGATCCAAACTTCGTGGACTCGTCCGGCGTTAACATCAACGCGGTCGCCCACAGTATAAGTCCTCTTTTCGGGGTGGGCGTCCTCGGGGTACGAGATTGTTAGCTGTCCCCGAGTGATCAGGTGAGTGGTGAGACCGCTGTGTGAGTGTGGGCTGTAATGGGCGTTGCTGAGTCAATCAGCCTTGCGCATAGCCTGATGTGGCGGGCGACAGGCGACATTAAAGCCACCCACCCAGTCTCAAACTCACCTGGAATCAGTCCAGGTGAATACGGTCTTGAAGCCCCAGGATCGCACTTCGGCCTCGTACTCCTCGCGTGACTTCTCTGGCATTTCGAGAATTTCTCTGTTGGAAAGCAAGATGTGCTCAAGCCAAGTCGAGACCGAATACCATGACACTGGTCATGATGTCCGTCATTTACAAAGAATTTATGTGGCGGTGTTGAGAAAATGGGCTCTAAAAAAAGCCTTGTACTCCACTTTTGACCTAATTTGGTCTTCAAAAAAATGACGTCGTTGTTGAGTCGGGTTCTTTCCATGAGAGCCTCCCGAGGCCCCTCCCGGTTGAAGTCATGCAAGGCTAATAGCAGAATAAATAACATATCGAGTCTGATAGTACAGGATAACTGGATAACTGGGTATTTTATTGTGCGAAATAGGTATGAAGACCCGCATAAGCTAATTATTTTACCCAGGTGCACCGATTAATACATAATATGTGTTGGCAAGTGCGCCTCACCTTCGTACCAGAAATCCGGCCTGACAATATGTATGTGTACGTAACTTATCAATCCAACGAGAAGAAACTGCTCCAAATCAGCATAGGCGTCAACCTAACTTTCGTAGGCTTGAGATGTGAGGTTGTTGGGATTTACAACTATCCTGTCCATCTCCTATCAAATCATGCCAAGCAACGTCGCTTGAGGCGTGCCACTCCGCCCAAAGGAGACCTCTAGCGCAATGCTTCCATAGGAGTCAGCCTGACAGGCTGGTACTGCAGCTGACCTAGAGCCAATTGGAGACCGAACAATTACGAAAGAAACAAAGAATGGATGCCTAAATCAACTTGGGCTTCAAGCCTTCAAGGCTTTGACAATTGCCAATTCGAACGCAAAGCTATTCTTTAGTGAGACTGAAAGCAAAATGGTTCCCACAACATTGAAGCCCCTTTGATGAGCTTATGAGCCGTCCCGACAAGTAAATATTTGGTTACAGGGAACTACCAGGTTCAGAGTTGCCAATTCGAGAGTTGCGGAGTCGCCGGTTCGAGCTTCAACAAAAAATAGAAACAGTAACCCTCAACATCGACCTTTAATTGGACTGAGCCTCTTTCAAACAGGCCCTACATCCCCCCAGCCCCCGGGATCATCACGAATTCGAGGTAGAATCGAAAGAGTCTCGCTTGCGTCTCTATGGCCAGTTTTGGGGCCATAGGACTGTTCGAGAAATCGTCTGCCACGGAGTCCTAGGCCCCACTATAAGCGGGTTCAACGTCAACCGACGACCACCAACCCTGGAACCAAGGCCTCCTTTTACTTGGAGACAGCGATTGCATCCCCTTATCGGATCTGTTGGAGCCTAGGCTCTGTGGCCTGCTTTCGCACCTATCCGTCGTGTGGCTTCTGCCGACATTCTCAACAACCCGTATGCCAGTTTGCCTCTTATACTAGGACCTGAACATGATCTATTAGTCCTCTTGACGTGCATACGGGTACGGCTTGGGCGGCTGCCCTTCGACTTGGCAACAGCCCTACGAGTTATCAACAATTTGGACGGCTCCAAAAACGCCAGTTTGAAGATCCGCCTGCACTGATCCATTGGCTGAACCCCGACATTTGGTACCACATCTCATCCCTGCTCGCGGGGCGAGGCTGGCCCTAGCTGAACTCATCCCCTGGCTTGGTCTGCTTACTTCAAGCAACGCGAAAGCTCTTCCACCACGCGAAATTGTTCTCTTCCTATACCCATTTCTCTTTCTTCTGTGTCTGGCCTTCCGAGCGTTTTCCAGCAACTTTTTTTTTTGCCTGTTCCTCTGTCTGCCCACGACCTCCTGCTCTGAACACCGCGAACGAGAACATGTTGAGCGTATGGTAGATACGCAGCCTTCCCTCCCTCGTTGCTCAAATGCACAACCACAAACCTCTTTCGAGCCTCATTACGGCAAACACGCGATAGCAGCCTCGTTACTGCAGATTCTTACACAATCAATATTTATGTGTTTTTCGGTCAGTCAAATAAATCCCTTCACAAGAGCGCTTTATCAATTTGCCGAGAGCTGGGCAGGTGGCCATTATACTTAAGCGCATCTGCTGACAGCCGGTATTGATCAGGTGCGGAAATCCTCCGAGGACACAGAGATGGACGCGCCGGCGAACGCTTTGACGCTACGGCGCCGCCTAACCATGAACGCCGCCAATGGCGTGCACACCCTACAAGCTCTCAAGAGGGCAGTCGACCTGGCCATGTTCATGTCCCCGACCGTTATCCACCTCCATGGAGATGATGGAGATGGACCTGGTGACACCAGGAAGGACATTTACTTGAGCGCCGCCATACAAAAACACTTGAGAAAGCAGTACGATTACTTGCGAAGGGGGGAGTTGTTATTATCTCGTGAAAAGTTTCAGGACTTTCTCATCCACAACCAAGGCGAGACAGCACCAAAATTAAACCAGGAAAGGTACAAATTCGAGCAATTCCTGGAAGTTTGGTGGCTCAAGTACGGGCTTGAGGCAGAACAGCCTGCATCAATTGAAAACAAAGATCTATCGAAGCCCATCAGCAATTACTTCATCAGCAGCAGTCATAACACTTATCTATCCGGCAATCAGCTGTCTGGGAGGAGCAGCGCTGATGCGTACACAAAGGTACTTCTTCGAGGATGCCGTTGTGTGGAAATTGATGTATGGGATGGGGACTCTCCTGACTCAAGTCCGGACAGGTCCCCCAAATCGCGATCGAAACAAGACCATACACGCCATCTTTCCGGCAGCAGTCTCCACAGCGCTGCAGCGACTCTGATGGATGTAGTGGAGGAAAAGTTCAAGCATGCCAAAAACTTGATAGCCGAGGACCAACTCCAGCCCGAAGCCCGTGCCGTCACCTCCACACCAGCAGACCTGCCCGCATTTGGCCGCGAAAGTGTCTCGAGTCTGGACCCTTCGACTGTCTCGGACAGGCTAGAATCCACTCAGTCACGGCCCAGGTCGAAACAGTCGTTCCGCAGGAATGAGCCCATCGTTATGCACGGCTATACTCTCACATATCCCGTTGGTTTTCGAGAAGTCTGCAGGGCCATTCGCGAGAGTGCGTTTGTGAAAACCAGCCTCCCTATTATTGTCAGCTTAGAAGTACACGCCGATCTCGAGCAGCAGGAAATCATGGTGCAGATCATGAAGGAGGAATGGGATGGATTGCTTATTGACAAACCTCACGATAGTTGCCCTAAGGGTCAAATGCCAAAGCTCGGGGACCTCCTCAACAAAATACTCATCAAGGTCAAGAAAGCAGCCTCGAATGTGGATCTGTCATCGACGATGTCTACTTTGGCTCCCAGTTCAACGCTGGAGGACGATGCTTCAGGATCGGAAGATGAGAGACTTGGTGCTCCCGCCAAAAAACCCAAGTCCGTGATTGGAGACACGCTCGGTGCGCTGGCTATCTATACGCATAGCGAGCATTTCAAGAGCTTTGACTCGCCTGCTGCCAAGGTTCCGTCGCATATTTTCTCGATAAGCGAGAAGAGAATATTGGAATTACACTCGACCAAGCACAGTCACATGTTCACACATAACCGAGACTTCTTCATGCGTGCATTCCCCAAGGGGTTGCGCTTTGACTCATCGAATTTGGATCCGTCACTGTTTTGGCGGAAAGGAGTCCAGATGGTGGCGATGAATTGGCAGTCGTGGGACGAGGGCATGATGCTCAACGAGGCCATGTTTTCAGGTGAGAATGGATGGGTGTTGAAGCCACCAGGCTATAGGAGCGAGGACGTGGCGACGTCGCAAGCCGATGCCATTCCTCACCGCAGTCTAGATCTGCGCATCACATTCCTTGCTGGCCAGCACATCCCGCTGCCAGAGGGCACCGGCATTGGTATTTCCAGTGGCAACACGAGGTCGTTCCGTCCTTTCGTCAAGTGCGAACTGCATGTCGAGAAGCCCGAGGAGCGGTCTGGCGCCAGTATCGAGGGGGGCGGCCGCGCGCACGACGAGTGGAAGCAGAAGACAGCTCCGGGCAAGACGGATCATCCCGACTTCGGTAGCAAGAACATCATGGAGTTTGTTGGCATTCCGAAGGTGGTGGAGCAGCTTAGCTTTGTGAGGTAAGGATTTTCCGTTCTCTTGTGTCGTCACGTTCTCTACCCTATCTTGGCGTTGTTGTCCTAGGCCATCTATCACAAGCTTGCCTACATGACGATCCGAAATGTCGGTACTCCACCCACCATTACGGCCAATGAACCGCACGTAGCATGCTGTCAAGCGAGCAGCAGGTTGAGTTGGCATGCGCAACGGTCCGTCAATTCACCAGCAGACGGGAAGGAAAGCTGCTTTGACGTCTTGGCCTGCAAGCGCAGTGTAACCATGGTTGCAGATTAGCCCTAGGAACTTGTGCTACTCCCATTTACCTTGCCCTAGCTAATGCATATTCCTCAAACCAGGTTCAAAGTCGAAGACGACGCTCCCCGGCTCGTCAGTATCAATCGTGACCCCTTCGCAGCTTGGGCATGTATCCGTCTCGACCGCCTGAGGCCGGGCTACCGCTTCATCCACCTCATCGACCCCAAGGGCAACCCGACACGTGGTGTCATTTTGGTCCGCATCGAAAAGGTCCTGCGATGAACCGGGAATGACATGACTGCATGGTAACACGGCACGAGTTTCTCGGAGCAAACTTCGGGGATGGGTTCGTGTTGGCGAGAGGCGGCCGACCGTGTTGTTTGCGCAAGGCTGCAGATTCGTCATTTTCATCCACTCGGTTTTCATATTTTTTGGCCTTTTATTTTCTCCATCTGGCCCCCTCTGCGCTGCTGTCCCCAACAGATGGGGACAAACTGCATTTTATTCGTCACTCGTATAGGGGAACCCCGTAGGCTCGGAGTTTTATTCTCATCAGTCGGGTACAAAGACACGAAAAAGCGGGCGACGGGCATATCTGTGAGAAATTGGGAATTGTATCATCGCGCTGCACAACTACTCGGGGGAAGAGTACCACCACCTTCGGGACTCTCGCGTCGGAGACGCTGTCATGACGGAATGTATGTCAGTCTGATGATGGAGCAACAGGACAGGCATCAGATTGATGGGACATCAATCATATCTGTTACAGTCGTCAGTATTTCTCTTGATTTGGGATACCCAGAATTACACCACAGGCACCAACTGTACTGTGGTGTAGTCGTTGTTGACTTTGGACACCATGGGCCATGATCATCATCTATGTTTCAGAGTATGTTTGTTGCATATACTTCGAGGAGGGCTTAGAGAATAATGATTCAACTAGTATAACACAATGAGGAACCCTGATTCATCCGATATTCTATTCTGGTACTTTGTACGAAGCTGCGTTCGTCACTTGATTCTTCATAGACAAGGTATCCGTCCATCATGACTTATCTATCCGGCATACACTTGACATATTGCTCAGCGGTAACTCGGTCTTCTTGCCTTGGGCAGGTTGCCACTAATAAAAATTTGGTATCGAAGACCACGGTGGACGGACGGAAGTCAGCAAAGTCATGGCATACCGAACACAACGAATGCCCCGGCCAAAGCGCCGGGCTGGGCGGGCAGGCAGTCCATCGCACCCAATGATCGCGGCGAGCGAGATCGGGCTCCACTCGCGGCTCGCTGCAGCAAAAGGGCACACAATGGGCTGCTGTCAAAGACTTGGGGCTGTTGACCGAGTGGAAACCCCAAAGTGTTCAGTTCGTCGCGTACATACATGCATACAAATATTGCGCCATTCCGGGTCTGAAGGGATTTCCAGACCCTCTCTTATCAACGTCATTGTCACGAGATGCGGTTGCATGTGACAGGTCGTTGGGAAGCATAGAAGAAAACGAGAAAAGAACCGGAAACGCCTGAGCGAGCGTCGGGTGCCGACGGATTATAAGCTGGTCTGTCCTGATGCCACTAGGAAATGTCTGACCAGTGTCCCTCACCGTGGAACGGATGTCTTGACACGAGGCAAGATACTCGAGGTCGTCTCATACAGTTGTAGCTGGTCGTTCGATAACAAGACAGCCTATCGTTTGTCTTGTATCCAGGGTCTGATTGATGAAGGTCGAACCTTCCCAAGGGGAAACAGTCGGGAGAGCTGAAGGTAGTCGTCAGCGATCAGGATCCTGATAGGCCTGTAATTGCTGATGGGAAGTTGCTTTTTATTTGGATGGAAAACCCCACAGGCCCGGTGACAGCTGATTGCTCCGGCAAACGATGACTCTGTAGCTTCAGCTGAAATCGTTAGTTCGTGGAGAGGGGTTGGCTGCGCCTGTGAAAGAGCCCGCGAAAGTTATTGGTCCATGGCTAGTTATCAATCAACAGTAGCACACTGGAAGCAAGGGCTGAGCCAGTCAGCCCACTCGGGGTAGGGTTACTTATCCGTTCCACAAAGTTGTGGTCGTGACTCGACGTACATTTGGGTATCGAATGACTAAGTAGAGACAATCATGACGATCTACCTGAGTCTGTCTCGACCTGCCAGTCCCCGGCTGCGGACTCAAAAGCAACGAACGTCACCGCGTTTGAGGTCCTTGTTTTCTCAGGTAACCTGCAAGCTACCTGTCATGAAACGCTAGGTTGAGGAGACTATTGGCATATGCAACATGCAGCGTTTTTCTGACCCTTTCGACACTAGCTGACGGCTCGCTGCAAATAGCCGCATCAGGCAGTTCTGCTACATTTGATTGGAGTCAACGGCTCGGGGACACAACAGGGGGCACGTACGATGTGCCTTACAGCGAGCCCAACCCTGTGACCTTGCCATGTCATTGTTTAGTTGACTACGACTCGACGTGATCGAAACTTCGCCACTGTTGGCAGGAACGGGACGGGAGCTCCCTCGCCATCCGATTCGAGACTTGTCCAAACGAACGACAAGTCACGTACGCGAAATAGGGACTGTTGCACGATTCTCTTGACCGGAAACGCGGGTCCGTTGTTGCTGGGTGCAAAGCGGTGTGTCGGCAGGCAGGTGATAAGTCAGCATTTTGGAGTGTCTTGATTCGTCCCGGTGGTCTGGTTCTGTGGTCAGCAGGTTAGAAATGGTCTGCGGCCGTCCCCGGGACCGGGTTAGACCTAGTGGCGTCGCTAAGCCATGAGTATATCCCAGCGAAAATCAGGCCGAGCTGGCTCGATGCCATGTGGTTTGCATGCGGGAGCTAGACTCTTGTTTCCGTTGACAATGGATAGGCTGCAGCAATGCGGGTCCCCCAGGTGTGATACATCACAGCTACCCTAGGGCTATGTACATAGAGCCTTTTCATTGCGGAAATGTCTCCCATACTTCCTCGTGGTCTAATTTTCTGGCTTGACGTTCACTGCGGGACAGAATCAGATGCTTGCGATTTGAAAGTCTACGCGAGATTCTACACCACACCAGGTATCCTGTTTGCGGCCAAATTATTTGCAGACCGTGAAGTCGCATCCAAACATGCCATCAATATACTAGATGGCATGAACGGTGGCCAACGCCCCCACACCATCTACCGTCTTGCAGACGCTAGATCTTGGAACGATAAATAGATCCCTAACATCGCATCGTACGGATGCCAGATGTTCCCGCCTTTCCTCTGCAAGCCCATCTCCACTATTTCACCTCTCAGGACTCAGGAGCCAGGACTGCGGAGTGGTATCCGAAATGATACGGATAGTCGTGAGCATTGACAAAGCGACATATCACAAACTGTGATATTAAGTCAGACCGGTTGTTGTTTCGTCATAATGTCATATCGATGTGATTTGCCAATCAGTAGGCAAGGGCATCACACATGAGCTCCTGACATGAAATAATTGTAGTATTGGCGCAAACCCAGCATCAGTTCATCCAAGATCCGGCTCGCCGGTCTCTGGGACCCTTTCAACGACGCCAATCTCGATATCACCCTCAATCTCCCTGTACCGGCGATCCCATCTAGGCTTGGGATGCAGTTTCCGTCAACCGGGATCCTTGCAGATTGCAGAATGCTGGTCTTCTTACAAAATAGGCATGGTCTGCCGTCAAGTCCCGCCCCAAAAATGATGTGTCACAATCTTCTAGCGACCTAGTAACCCAACCAACATCCCAACTCTCAGCTGGCAATACTTCACACATATAGCTAGCCTACTTATCTGCCGAAACGAGACAAGCATGGCAAGGACGTGGAACGACGGCCATGCCGGTATGAGTATTGTCGCTTGACGACCCGATGTTATTGCAATGTCAACATCCGGCCATGATCCGCCTCCGCGAAATACAATAACATGATTATTCTCGGCAATTTCTGCGAATGGTATCCTTGTAGGAAGACTCGACTTAACGCCTGGATAGCAAACTCGCCTCAAATATGACACCTCAGCTCGGATAAGAAGACGCTCGTTTGCTCCTGTTTCGCTTCCCTAGCCGCACCAATCCTCTGCTCTCTCTCCTACAAATTAGCAACGAGCCGAGCAGGTAACGAGGCAACGCAGGCTAGCACATGCGATACCCTGCAACCACAACTTGCAGCCTGTCTGTGGTATATCTGCAACGCAGTCTGGACCACACGAGTCATGCGGACCGCGCTAGATAAAATTGTTAGTCGTATACAGGTAAAGAGGTGTAGTCTGCGAGGCACGCATCTAATACCTCATTGGGGTAGGAAGCAACACCGCCGGGCGTATTATTGTCAATCCGATAGGGATAAAAAGCAGACTGACTCCGAAACCCGGATATTATTATTGGTTGAGATGGGGCCGGTGAAGATGAAAGTCTTCTTGGTAGTTCTAGAGCAGGAGCAGCCCCGTGTAGATCGCAGGGTCGGGACAAACACGGACTCGGTGTCGTTTGGGCTATTAGCTGCCCATGCTGCCATGGCGTGACCGACTCGGCAAAGTGGCAAGCGGTTGGTCTTGTGGAGAATACCAGGTCAAACGAGTCGAACAGTGACAATGAACCTGAGCTGTCGTAAAACATAAAATAAAAAGACCAAAGCCGACGGCTTAGCCCCTAGCAAGTCCACGTTTGAGAAATTGAACGGATAGGCACAGGAAACCTTGAAGTCCACTGACCGAACTGACAGGCTCTTGTCTGATAAGGATAACAGCTTACTTGCATATACGTAGCAGGATATGGGCTATCTCGATATCGTCGTTGGTTTGCAATTAATTTTTCTCCACTGAGGGACAATGGTTCCCAAGTACCAGGGTCAGGCAAACCGGAGCCCTGCAACGATCCTGGCAAACCACGCCCGATGCCAAACCTCCGAGGAGCAATCGACATCGCAAACACCCATTTTGTTTTTCGCTCCCTTGCTATTTTCCTGCTGGCCTTGCTGCTGGCCCTGCTGCTGACCACGATGATGCATCACAAATTCATCGCACCCCCCTAGTCCCGGAGACCCGATCGGACCTCCCGCGTCCAGGCCAATAGAGTCAACAATGTCACAATCAACATGACGAGACAATGCTAACGGAGACGCTAATTAAGATGCCCCGAGGCGGATGGAGCCCACGTGCGTCTTGGTTCTTGACTTCTCCTATGTTAACCCCACCTGCGTTCGTGCGTTCGTGCATCAATCGTAAAAGTGCTGGAAATACTCTCATCCCTCTCTCGGCGGATTCGAGTCCAGAAAACCCCATCTACAACCAGGGCTTTATTGCACACACACGCACGCACGATGCCAATCGTTGGCGGTCTGGCAGGGCCTGCTGCCCACGATGCGTAGCCTGTAACTAGCCTTCCGTGACATGGTTTCCATGCTTCTATTCCTTCCACACCGGGTAGGGTAGTAGCAGCAAGTACGTACAGGTCAATCAGACGGCAGGCCTACGGGGAAGTGACAAGGCGCATTTGCCGTAATCGGTGCGGGATCGTTGACGATTTATCAGATTGAAGTTTGTTTTCCTCTTGGGCCCTGCTCACCGGGTCTGCTTTCCGACGTCGAAGGACAAGACCCAGAAAATTATAAATATAAGACCAAAACCTCGTTCCATTTACTACTTCCAGTACGACACCATATTTCCATCCCCTCTCCCCATCTCCTCGACTCGTCTTCTCCGTATTCTCAACGTCTCATCTCCTACTCCCTCTTCCGTCCTCACAGCATCCACGTGCTTCCGCAGCACAGCTTGTTCAGCCCCTCAACACAACACAACACAACAACACACCACAACACAACACCACACAACGCAACACCACATAACACAACACAACACGCCGCAAAACACCACAAACACCGCAACGTGGTTTTCGACAACGCATACAAGATGGCCCCAACCTGCAGTCCCGGTGCTTCTTCAGAGTCCAAGGCCAGACGTGTTGCCACGCAAGCTTCAAACCACACCTGCCCACGTGTGGACGAATCGGTACGTAGCGCTGTCTCAATTCGCACCGAATCTCATCTGACACTATTCTATAGGCTCCCGGCGTTCAGTGCCGCACTTGCAAAGCGGCTGGAAGAGAACAATGGGTTCTTCCCGGTCGATGCTGCCCGGTTTGTGGTACACCGGCTATGTGAAGAAACACAATTACACGTTTGTCTTCCCTTTGATGCTACCCTCACCGGTACTCGGTCTCTCAAACTGACCACAACGACGTAGGACCTTTGTGTTCATTGACCTATCCGTATTGGCAAACCATTTCTTCGCAGGCTATCTGAGGGTATCTTTTTAATTCTTCTCGTTGGGAGGCGTTTCAGGAAAAACATGTTCTGTGGCAATGATCATGAATTGGACTGGGGCAAGTGGTGAGGGCGGGCGTTCTACGAGAATAATCAATCATGGGAGTCAGGTAAGGTGCAGAAAATGATTTGGGGGATGTCATTGGCGCAGGGGTTTTTCAAAATTTGCTTCAGATCTCATCAAGATCTGGGCGGTGTATTATCAAGTATCATCTTTCTGTCGATCGTGTCCAAGTCTCCGTAGTGGGGCATTTGGTACAGCGGCAACAGAATAGCTTCGTCGAAAAGAATCAGACCGGCATATTTTCAACTCCACAACGTCCATCTCTATTTTCTGGTACTTGAATCCCAGCAAAGATATCCATCATCTCAATCTCAGCATATCGATTCAAAGAACGGATATAACCGAGCATCGTATCGTATGATTGGACCCATAATACTCGGCATTTACCATCTCCACAACCTTCCCAAAGGACATCATAGTTCCCCGCAACCCGGAGTCTATTTCTAGAGTGATAGGAGATTGTCGGAATGACCTGATACCCTAGGATAATTATCAGGCAATTGCGTATTTCCTCAAGCCAAGGCCTCCTTCGTATTCATCGTATTCGAGACTACATGTGAGTGCTCTCACGAAAGGCTACTCGAGGACATTAACACTTTCCCACAATGTCTAGGTCTATATTTGTCGAGTTACGACGAGGACGACGGGTCATATGCATGTAGCTGGGTTATTCTATACGTGGTAAGACGCGAACTTCTAAAGTCGGCGCTATTGCTACATGGCGAGAGAGAGTTTGAGATGGCGTTACTCACTAATCGGAAATAAGCCAGGAGGGATGCTGCTGCATGTTCTACTGGCAGGATATCGTGAATGTTTCAACAATGGACCGTACTGACTGATCTGAAACCCTCATAAACGGTTAGTGTTCTCGAAGGTGCCTTGGGGCCTCGACGAAATAAGACAAAGTTCGGTTAGCGGGTCGTATAGGGCAGTGCATACGCACGAAGTATACAAGCGATTCAGAGACGTGATTGGCATGGGAACCCAGCTCAGTCTGTCACATATCTGTCGGAATTGCCGCACTTGGCCTGCCGCATTGAAGACCTTTCCTATAGAGTCATTGACGTCTGGAGGAATCTGCAGCGAGCCCTCCACTTTATTAGACGACGTCTCAACCCACCCAAACAAGAAATGCCATCGACCACGCGAGCCATGCATGTCGATAGCAGATGCCAAGACCCAGATGCTCAGAGATCTGCGCTAACGCACGATGGAGCTTCCAAGCAGAATCTGAGTGTGTCCGATTCGCTCCTTCCGGCTCGAATTGTGTGTAAGTAGCCAATCGTTTAAAAGCTGAAATTGAAATACTACTTTAAAGTACCGTAGCTCCAATAAGACCGTCTCCCAGAATCACCCCAGTCTCCTTTTCGGCTTAGGGGCACAGCGGCGGCGTTCATTGTCGAGAAAAGCACTTGCCGTCTGGTGGTAGCATTGACTTTCCCAGACTTGGAAGCGGCTACGAACAAACGCACTTGCCGGGATCCCCCACCACCGCATTCCCCGTCGACTGCCCGCTTTTGCCGGCTTCTCCGCCCAGATGCCCGATTTCACTGTGAAAAAAGGCATTGAGGCCCGCGACGGTCGCCGCAGGACTTGATGATGACGGAGCAGAATGGAATCGACATTCTGTGCGATGCTGCAGGGTCGGATCTCTTGCTAAGCGACTGCCTTGCGCCGTCGCCAACCGTCCAACAGCCAGCGAAACGCCCCAGGCTTGCCACCGACTCTTCCTCCGCTGGACCATCGCATGTATGCCAAATCTGTAAGCGATTGTACGAGAGGTGTGGATTGCCCCATTACCAAAGGCGCAAAGGTCGCGTTCCGGACTGGCCCTAATTCCTAGCAGAGCCGACCACTTGACAAGGCACCTGCGATCACGTACGTTGAATGTTCCCGGGTTGTGGTCCATCACTCTAACTACCTCGCAGATGAGAATGCCAGGCCCTACCAGTGCACTCGGTGTCCCAAGAGGTTTAATCGAGCGTTAGTGAAATACCTGTCTCTTCGCAGCTCTGTTGACTGATGCTCCTACAGTGACCTGTTGACCCGGCACGAGACAACGCATGACCGAGATGACGGGGCCACGGGCCGGCCCACCATCCGAAGGGGTGATCGCGCTGGTCAAGCATGTCTAAATTGCGCTTCTTCCAAGGCCAAATGCGATGATCAGAAGCCTTGCGGTCGATGCCGAATTAAGAATCTGGTTTGCCAAACAGCCTCCAGAAGGCTTACCAGTGGAGAAATTGATGGTACGCAGCCGTTGGTTTCTGCATTATATGCAAGTTGCATGCTACATGGTTATACTAACTAAACAAGCAGCCCACTCGGCTATGTCCACGTCGGATAGCCTAGGCTCGACCAGCCAGTCTGGCATAGGAACCGGGAACACGGCGCAGACTAGCCTTGCCATGGATCACAGAATGCCATACCCAAGTACTGAACCTGCGTTCACGGATCAGGCGGTCGTGGCAGCGTCGTGTTTCCAGGATCAAATGGCACAGCCTACACCCCGTGTAGGTGGCACGACAGACGATGCTTTTGGCTTCAATTCAGCAGTACACACGTTCCAACAAGACATGGACTTTTCAGCTTGGGATTTAGACTTCGACAGTTGCAGCATCCCCCAACTAGCATTTTCGGGTCTTAGTCCGAGTCCGCAGGCCTTCATTACTTTTGCGCCAAAGCAAACTCGCTCAATGCGAGATCCCTCGAGGGGGCATGCTGCTTTCAAACGGTCACCGTGGCTTTGGGAGCCAGAGGCCAAGGATAACCTCGTACGAGAACAAGAGGGTCTGGTGCTCAACGAAGAAACCATCTCTAACTCGCCAGCATACGAAAAGATGCTGGCATCGACTTCGGCCCGGCTCACCATGCTCAAAATGGAGTCTACCCAACGAGACAGGCTCTTCGCCATCGTCTTGTCTGAACGCAAAGACCCTTTAAAAATACCTTCATTCCCATCATTAAACTTGTTAAACTATTTGCTTCAAACTCACTTTGTGCAAGATGATTATCAAACAGATAGTTGGATCCATGCTGCTTCGTTTGACCCATCAGTATGCTTGCCGGAACTTTTGGCCGCGCTCATCGCCAGTGGTGCCGTCCTGTTCGCCGTGCCTGCAATATGGCAGTTCGGGCTTGCTCTCCTCGAAGTTGCTAGAATGGCACTCTCATCACTTGTACGAACTATCGAGGTTTGGCTTAGGAGCTCTGCTGACTGTGGGCAGTTTGAATCCAACAACGCGCACACGAGGGACATCCAAGCCCTACAGGCGTTTATGCTCAACTTGGACATTGGGTTATGGAGTGGGTTTAAACGTAAAATGGAGATTGCAGAGAGTTTTCTGCAGCCTTTGATGACTGTATGCCATCATAGCAACAACTATTGCAAGAGTGGCGCTGACTAGACTATACTAGATGTTACGGCGGGCTGGGATGTTTTCTGCTCCTATAGACACACCGGCATTGATACCTTCGCAATCGGATTCCCCTGTGGTTCTCGACTCCAAGTGGCGAAGTTTCATCAAGCGGGAATCATACAAAAGGTACGGCTAGGCTATTGTTTATACCACCCAAGCTCCGAACCTGGATTGACGCCCCTTAGACTCACGTTACATCTGTTCATACACGACGCCCAATCTTCCGTCGGCCTACAGAAGAACCCGCTTATGTCTTACACAGAGCTTGGCTTCAGCCTACCAGCCAGTCGCGACCTTTGGAAAGCAGCAACGGCCGAAATTTGGCGAGAAAACTATCTTCGAAAAAGGCCGCTCTCTTCTGACGCCACAATACCACGAGTTTCCGAGATCCTGCACTGCACCACCTTGCTCGATACGCTGGAAGATTTCGTCGACGTCGAGCTCTGCTACTCTGCCATGCTATATGGCTTTTGGGGTCAAATCCATACCTACCGCGAAGCCGTCAAGTTCTATTCCGCTGGTCTGCAGGGCTCTCATCGAAATGCCACACACCGACTTTGGATCATCTCTCAGCACCAGGAGCTGTACCGCGACATCCGCGACTTTGCGACACACATCGAGAGCTCCCCAAAACTCGCACCCCAATTCTCCGTCGTCGCCGAGCTTTTCATGATGATCCTCCACGTATCCCCCGACGACATCCAGCGCTTCGCCGGGAAATACGGCGAGGAGGAAGCACGCCGTGCGGCCGTCACCTTGGAAGACGGATGGGCAAGGATCCAGGAGTCCCGGTACGCCGTCTGGCACGCGGGTCAGGTGTTCAGGATCTCCCGCCTTTTGCCCCCTGCTTCACTGAGGGGATTCAACGCCATCGCCGTCTACCTAGCCTCGCTGACTCTATGGGCCTACGGCATTTTGTCTTGCTCCCATTCTACACAGGCGCAAGACAACCACGAGATATCGCCCCCGTCAAAGTACGTGCAATTGGACGGGGACGAGAGTCGGGACGTGCGGGCGTTCTTACAGCTGGACAAGGGCGTACCCATCATTACCCGGAACGGAGATGTCAATGCGAGCACGGAGTCGCTGTCAAACCCGGGGATGGTACTAGATATTTCGAGAAATTTGTTCCGCAGTAATTATCCGGTCATCAATGAGCCGTTACCACCGCTGGTGGAGAGTCTGAGGAATTTGCTGATGGATCTGGGAACGGGGCTGGCGGGAAGGCCTTCAAGAGTTCCTAGTCGGGCGGTGAGTGAGGATCGACAGTAAGTATGATGATGATGAGTATGGGTGGGATAGGTGAGGCGTCAGAGATTTTATGTCGTCGCGTTTACAACTGGAAATATCTCACTCAGGATACTCGTGGTCTGATGGCTACCACTTCTGTGCCGTTATTGTTGGGCAAGCAACGGGTGGTGGGTTTCACTGGCAATATACAATTGCATACTTCTGTTGACTGCACTTGATGTTCAAATAACTTGCTCGATACATTTCGACATCCATAAGAACTGCTCAACACCGAGCTTCACCAAATGTCTTCGCTTGAGGGCCAACGCAAACTTGGTCAGAGTTGAGTCTATGTGCTGTGTCCATTAGTCCATCTACATATGAAATGAAATGTCCTTCTCGATGAATACTGCTATGTACTTCCTTCCATGCCTCCAAATATTTTGGCAGGGATGGTGACTATTCTACCGCAAAGTTGGACAGTATGAATACCATAACTTGCTGCGATGCAAAAGTCGTGCGAGACGAGGCAGGCTGGCAGACCCTCAAAACGTGACGGTTTACGGTATTCATCAATAAAGCTTCAGTGCTTAGGCAGGTAGCGTGAGGCTGCCGTGCCTCATTATATGTAAAGGATACTGTAGATGAAGGTCTGCATATATGGGCATTGGTATTTTGTCTAGTACGTTTGGTACGCCTTATGCGGATCAACGTCAGTAGTAGTACTATTTGCGAAAGCTTCTGTTTCCGAAGGAAAGGAAACAGAGACAGAGAAACGGACCCCATGATAGTAGACAGATTGGGGTATATCACCAGGCGTGTGACGGGCTCACTGCGAAACTATACAGCTCAACATGGCCAAATACTGTTAATTATCTAACTGAGGAGGAAAGTAAAATAAGCGAGTTTTCCGAGAACACAAACTATGTTTTTATATGCTCTCGATGGTTCCTTTGTTGGATCCGGACGCAAGGTTCTTGCAGCTCCGGATCCCATTTCAGGCACAGCCTGTCACAAGGCGGGAGGTTCGATTCTGGATGGCGTACATCACGTACATGAACCAGTGGATACAGTCAATATGTGTGACATTTTGCGCCGCTTCTAATACTTCGACGAAATACAGTATTCAAACTTGCTCATTCAGGCCGCTTGAGTAGCAGAGTGTCCATTCCCGCGTCCTACGTCGATAGATATAAGGGTCTTTTTATATAAATAATCATGAAGAAAGAATACCTTAAAGATGTAGCGGTTAAGCCAAATAGATGATATTTTAATGTTATAACGGCTAAGCCAAGCCCACTAAATGTACAGCTTATGAAGCGAGTGCATATGGGGGTCAAGTTGTGTGTATTGGGAAAGTTTGATTATTCAGCTGGCTGGCTGGCCGAGGGCCCTTTTGGCCTATCTATTGCTACAGAGTAACGCCCCTTGGGGCCATATATCAGCTTAACCGCTAAAGACTTTAACATGAAAACGTATTAAAGATTGACTAGTATAAATTAGCGAAGTTATTTAACACTACAGGAGAGCCAGTGGTCAGTGGGACTATCGTAAGGTGGCTGCTAGGACAGGTTCAGGGCCCGGATAACTCGATCTTGTCATGGGCACTTTGTTGGTAGGTTGAGAACCAACGTAGTATGGTAGTGAACGTACCGCAGTCGCTAATAGAGCGAACCGACCAAGTAGCGTATTCATTTAGTCCAGCCATTAGGGCACGGATTGACACACGGGAGTACTAGTAGCGGTACTGGGGGCTTCGAGCCTACGGCGTACCTAATAATAATAATAACATTATCAATATTTAACTAGATATCAACGTTATACTTATATTTATTACATAATAAATTCATACTCTATGTAATGTTGGACTTGCAAAATTACTATTTACAAAGTTCTAGCTCTACTTTTAGGCCGAGTGTATTGAAGGTCCTTGTTACGCAGTGTTTGGGAATGCAGACCTAGCGTGTGGGAATCGACACTCGGAATAGCGGAAGGCCCGACGATCTTCACAGCAAAAACAGCAGCAGCTTACTAATAATAAGAATAAACTTGGTCGATTCAACATCACTATCTTGAATATGTTTGAGATCCTAGCGGATCTGGCAACAGCTAGCTTTAGGCTGGGGTACTACCCGGAGCGCTTCCGCTCAGCGAGGGTGGTTATTATCCCTAAGCCTAATAAAACGACAGCTCAGAAGCAGACCCCTGGCGGCTGGCGCCCCATTGCCCTGCTTAGCACGGTAGGGAAGGTAATAGAGACGGCGATGAGCCAGCGTATCACCAAAGTAGCTGAGGCGGCCGGCCTACTACCAAACGGCCAAATGGGTAACCGCGCTGGGAGGTCCACCGAACTGGCAATACGTATAGTTGAGGACGTGGTCTATACGGCGTGGAGACGCGGGGGCATCGCCTCGCTGCTACAGCTAGACATCAAGGGGGCATTCGATACGGTCAATTACAGACGGCTGATTTCCATATTAGCCCGGAAAGGCTACCCGGAGTGGGTTCAGGAGTGGGTACGCAGCTTCGTGGAGGATAGAACGGTACGCCTCCGGTTCGATGGCAAGGAGTCAGAGCCAATCCCCCTACGAGCTGGCGTCCCCCAGGGGTCACCGCTATCCCCGATACTGTTTATATTATACATTTCAACGCTGTACGAGGAGCTAGCGGAGCAGCATCCACTACTTTTAGTAGTCGGGTTCGCGGACGACACGAACCTGCTAAGCGTCGGCACCGATCCAGACACGACCTGCCGCCGGTTGGAGAGCGCATGGGCTACGTGTCAGCGGTGGGCAGTGAGGCACGGGATGGAGTTCGCTCCTGACAAGAGTGAGCTAATGCACTTTACTAGGGCCCGAGAGCCCTTGTCGCAAAGTATTCGCCTTGGGGACGCCACAGTGTCGCCGATAGTCTCAGCCAGGTTCCTAGGAGTCTGGTTCGACCGCAAACTGACGTGGCACGCCCATGTTGAGCGTGTTAAAACAAAAATGGCAACTCAAAAGCTAGCCCTGACAAAGCTAGTCAATATGTCGTGGGGCTGCGATCTTATACGGGCGAGGCTGTTATATACGGTGGTTATCCGTAGCGCGATTGCCTTCGGGGCGACTGCGTGGCATACTATAAGTGAGGAACCGGCAGGGCCAGCTAAGAGCCTGATGGGGATACAGAACGAGTGCCTCCGGGTAGTCTGTGGTGCCCACAAAGCGACGCCGGTTCGCCACCTGGAAGCAGAAGCAGCAATCCCGCCACTAGACCTCTATCTTAGTGCCCGGGCTGCTAAGTTTGAAGAACGGCTACGGCTTAGCGGGAAGAGAAATCTGCTTCGCAGCGCGAGCGCTAAAGCGTCACATATACTCCGGCAGGATAGGCCGGCGAAGAGGAAGCAGGCGTCGCAGCTACTCCGACCGGCAGGGTACACTATGGAGAAGGAGGCCCGGGGCTCCGAGTGGATGAGTGAGGAAAAGGAGGTCCCGGCTGCCCTCCTCGACCACTGGAGGAAGAGATGGCTCACCGGAGCAGAGCATCACGATCGCCAGCGACGCGCTATCGCTGAGGAACCGGAGGGCCCTTCGATGCAGATACCGAAAGGGGGCAAGTATTTCGGCCTGAACCGACTGGAGGCGTCTACGCTGTGCCAGATCAGGACGGAAAAAATAGGACTAGCAGCCTTCTTATTCAAGACAGGGGCTTTTGGCGTGTACTCGCCGCTATGCCGCTGTGGCGATGCCCCTGAGACGGCAGAGCACGTAATCCTCTTTTGCGGGCTGTTGGAAGGACCGAGGGAACGATTACGGGCCGCCATCGCACCACGGCCACTATACTCTCGCAGAGACCTCGCAACGGCAACAGGAGAACCAGTAGTTAGTGGGACTATTGTAAGATGGCTGCTAGGGACGGGTCGGACAGCTTCAAGGCCCAGATAGCATCGATCTTCTCAGGGGGGACTTTGTTGGTAGGTTGAGAACCAACGTAGTATGGTAGTGAACGCAACGCAGTCGCCAATAGGGCGAACCGACGACGCAGCGTATGTATTTAGTCCAGCCATTAGGGCACGGTTTGACATACGGGAGTACTAGTAGAGGTACCGGGGGCTTCGAGCCTACGGCGTATTTAATAATAATAATAATAAGAATATGTTTAGTTATTGTATTACTCATACAAGTCAAAGAACAGATTATTTAGGAAAGAACTTGAATAACCGAAGACCCGGGCACATATGGACACTGTTACACGCAATGTGGTCGAACTACCTCGGGCAGGGCTTGTACCAGGGTTGGTTGATTTTGTCGTCACCTTTGGACCGTTGTTCGATCACATCGATCGTCTGGGAAAAATTTGGCCGGTCCCTTGTCGAAGAAGAGATGCCACCATTGTTACACGCAATGGTGGTCGGATATTTGTGAAGTTGTAAAAGCATGTCATTCTATCTAATGCTATCGAGCACGAAGGTTGGACTTAGTCCCAAAGGGCTAAGTCACGTGGTAACCTTGATGGTCTTGGCAAAGCCCACAAAGGTTGCCTAACAGACACATTTTAGGACAGCGTGGATACACCATCTTAGCATGAAGGGATAAAAACATACTGATTACTCCAAATTTTACCTCTCCAAGTCTTAAGCTCCGCCTCATCGTGAGGTTTGTTTGAACTGATAACAAATGGAACAAACTGTAAGGGTCTCGGTATTATTGTTGTGTCCTCCCGGGTTTCAATGGGTCCTTGGTTCGTCCTAAGGCAGAACGCCGCAACGTTGTTGCATAAAGGCTGTGTGTTTACGGTAACGCAGTGTCGAGGTCGCGTTGAACAACGTCGGACACAAGAAAGTAAATTTTGTTTCTTATCGAAATTGATATTTTGTCGTACACCGGCTACTTGCGCCTGTCGATAACACTAGCAATCGTTTCTCGAAACAGTGACATCTCACTTTGATAGATCTGACACAGGAGAAGAGGTGGTTTAGTGTTGCTTCGTGAGAAACCTTGTCACGAAACTTACCCACGTGTAGAACCTATAGATAGAGAGGCCACATTCGCCGATCATACTTGGAGCCCATGAAGAGCAATGCAGTGGTCTGGCAATTCAATCACAAGCCTAGATGGTAACCTCGGCCCCTTTCACAATGCCGCTGCGAATAGTGGTTGAGAACTGGATGTATTTCAGATTCGCATTGAAATGTTATTTCAACGCGGAGACACGGGGCTTCATCAGATCTGCCGGGAGCCGTGCCCAAACCCCCAGGTTGTCCACTTCGGATCACGTCAACGCTCTGCACCCACTGTTTTGGCAGTACCATCCCAAGTTTTTAATGTTCAAGATAATATGCGGATGACGTCCCCTTGAAGATTCAGCACTGTCTGTGTATAGTGTCACCACGAAAGTGGATCAAATGATCCAATGTCAGACTAGCGGCCAAGAGAGACGATGCTTCAACCCTGGTCAGACGGGCCTCGTCGAGTTTACCATCCGAACTTCACGGCTGGGATATATGTCTTGCATATGGTCCTTAACGGTCACATGCATGGCACGAGCTCGGGTTGCAGATTACAGGGAGGATATTTACACGCTGTAATAGTCTTAATACCCCGTGGAAGTAGCCGCCCCAAAACGAAATGGCAGAATCAAGTTGGCATAAGTGTCGACGATGTCATTCTGCAGCTGTTGAAGATAAATATTGTCGTCGTGGGTTCCCTGTTACAGGCTGTTACAGGTTGACGCCTCTATATAATTATCAAATATTGATCAATATTGACAGTTCAGCCACATGGATAGTTCGAATTGTTCTATGTGAAGTTACCAATTCGAAGCTCTCACCGGTGCAACGCTAGGCGAACACCCAAAGCTTGGTTCCTTGTCTAAACAATCTTCGCACGGACCGAACGATGAGGGGATGCGCCCTACATGGCACGAGCATAGAGCAGCTCACCACTAACGGCCCAACCTGAATACAGTGCAGGTTACGGCCTTTTATTCTGTGGGGCTGTTACGTCGCAGCTTGAGCTCAGCCCCAATCTGCCTATTCTCGTCACTGGCCGTCAATCCAATTATTTGATCTTTTGTTGCAACCCGGCCCAGCAACTTCAGACCGTCACTCAAGAACTCGATTTTTGGATCGCATAACACTCCAAGACGTCCATCGAGCAGGTTCAAGGGAGCTCCTTCCTTAACGACAATTTTTGCCCCATAGCGCCAAGCTTCCGGCGACCTGCTGACAACGGCGGTTGCATCGAACATCTCTCTGCGCATCGCATCACCAAGCAACGCATTGATTCACCCCTCGTTACCACGTTTCACACATATCCCTCCCTAGCCGGGACTGCACCGCAGTCCGTCGACGGTACGGGATCGACACGAAGCGACAGCCGACCTCCAAAGTGTCCCTGTCATGAGCTTTCAACAACAAACACGCCGCAATTACACCGTCATCGCCCGACATGGCAGACTTTAGCCGCCAGTCCGTCGACCTCCCGGTCCCTTCTCCCCAACAACCCGCACAACACGACATGTTACTCGGAAACACACCTCACCCTGCCGGCGAGAGAAACGGCGCTGCCCGTCCAAGTAATGGAGCTGCAGCTGGAGCCGCCACAACCGGCGGCGGCGCAAAGCCCGAGTTGTCCCAGCAGGTCCAAGAAGTGCTCGCCTCCGATGTATGGCTGCCCAACAGTTGACTCCGATTGCCAAGTGTGGAGAGACTGATGTATCCAGATTGGAGTGTCTACCATGTTAGAGAGACTGAAGCAAAGCGTCGCATCTACCAAGGTATGTCGGCATCTTGATGGGCAAGCTGTTCTAGATCACAGTCGCTCACGATATATCACCGCAGGAATTCGCCCTATTCCTGAAGAAGAGATCCGCTCTCGAAGATGAGCATGTCAAGGGCATGAAGAAGCTGTGTAGGATGACGCAGGAAAACATGCGCGGAGCCGACCATCGACAAGGCAGTTTCGCACGGTCATACGAAGAAATGCTTGCCATTCATGACCGCATGGCCGATAATGGCCAGCAGTTTGCTGCGTCCCTATATCAGATGCACGAGGACCTTCTCGAGGTCGCTTCCGTAGCCGAGAAGCATCGCAAAGGCTGGAAACAAAGTGGGCTTGCAGCTGAGCAACGTCTTGCTGACATCGAGACTGCTATGCGCAAGTCTAAGACCAAGTACGACTCCCTCGCCGAAGACTACGACCGTGTCCGGACTGGCGAATCCAGACAGGGCGCCAAAGTGTTTGGCTTAAGGGGCACTAAATCGGTGGCTCAGCAGGAGGAGGACCTGTTACGCAAGGTGCAAGCAGCCGACACGGACTATATGGGCAAGGTGCAGGCATACCAATCTGAGAAAGCCTCCATCGTGTCTTCAACAAGGCCGGATGCCATCAAGGCACTGCAGGATCTTGTGCGGGAATGCGATTCCGCTACCGTTTTGCAAATGCAAAAGTTCGGTATGGTGGTTGCCTTGCGCGGGTCGTTACTATTTGCTAACATCACTCCAGCATCCTTCAACGAGAAGCTCCTTCTCAGTAATGGCCTTGTCATTAGCCCCTTGAAGAGTCAATCTAGTCTACCGGGTCAGCATGCCCGAAGTTTAAAGGAGGTCATTCAAGCTGTGGATAATACCAAAGATCTGGAGGATTATCTCCTTGGGTTTTACAGCAGGGTACCACCCAAGTCTTTGGAACCGAAGTATGAACGCAACCCGGTTCTTAACCCACCGACGAATATGTCCACGACACCGATGGCGCAAATGCACCAACAGCAATCGCACACTCAGCCGCAGCCTCAACCCCGGCCAGAACGGCAAAGGTCACCTTCCCAGGCTCAAATGCCGCCACCCGCCTCAATGGGATCTCGAACAGGTGCCTTTGATACGTCGTCCCCCGTGGGGCAGCATGCGCCTGTCCAAAGTCCAGGTCAAAACACGTCAGCCGCGCCACGACCAGGATCGCAACATGGACATGAGAGAAGCTTCAGTCACGGAGCTGTGCTGAGTCAGTCAAACATGCCACCTACACAACCATACAACCAGAGAAATTCGGCCCAAGCTGCCTCACCATCACACCAGCGATTTGCCAACGGTGGTAGTATGGGTAGCATGGGTAGTATGGGTAGTACTGGTGGCAGCGTTAGTCAGTCTGGGCCGCCTCAGCTTGGAGCACTCCCATTCCAGAGCCAACAGCCTCGCAGTCAGTCCCCGCCCCAGCAGACTGGACCTCCTCCCATGATGCAGAACACATCCCACCAACAGCCAGATTCAGTACGCTCAGTCTCACCACCTAGTACCGTAGCTGGGCCAGCTGCACCCAGTACCTCCAAATTGATGCAGGTTTTTGGCGTCTCGCTATCACGACTATACGAGCGTGACAGTCTGGCAGTTCCCATGGTCGTGTATCAGTGTATTCAAGCCGTCGACCTGTATGGTCTGGCTGTCGAGGGCATATACAGATTATCCGGCTCTCAGACTCATGTCCAGAAGCTGAAGACCATGTTTGACAACGGTAATTCCCCTATAATTCACGATAGCCGAAATATTCCGTATATTGACGTTTGTAGATTCTGACTCTCGCAATCTGGACTTCCGCAACCCCGAAAACTTTTTCCATGACGTAAACAGCGTGGCCGGTCTTCTCAAACAGTTCTTCCGAGATTTGCCAGACCCGCTCCTCACTGCCGAGCACTACAACGGCTTCATTGAGGCAGCTAGGGCCGAAGATGACATTGTGCGCCGGGACAGCCTCCATGCCATCATTAATGCCTTGCCTGACCCCAACTACGCTACTCTTCGGGCTCTGACGTTGCATCTACACCGTGTTATGGACAACTCTGGTGTGAATCGCATGAACTCGCAGAATCTGGCTATCGTGTTCGGCCCTACTCTCATGGGTACAGCACCTGGGAGCAACATCGCAGATGCGGGTTGGCAGGTCCGAGTCGTCGACACAATATTGCAGAACACGTATCAGATCTTTGACGAAGACTAACTAGAGTTCAACACCAGAGACATGTTATCAGAACCGAGGTTGAGATTTGTGGAGTAACTAATATGCACGCGGGGCCATTTACATACAGAAATGCGGTGACTGGGATCCGGAGCGGTACTGGTAGCCGGACATTTTTTTTTCTTTTCACGACTCCGTTCTTTGCGCTCATTTTAGCGGATACCAAAGCTAGATGTGAATTCCACGGCCTTTTCGTTCTTGGGACCTACTTGAGCATCTAGTTGGGCTACATGGGATACGTTGCCCTTGATGCTTCAGTTGATGATAGTGTAGCATAGTGTCTGAATAGGGATACCATTTCGATTTGAGCAACTGCCATCACCATATATACCGCCGTTATCAGAACCGACAAATGTAAACCTGGAAGCTGATTATGCACAAGAGTTTTCGCGATGTGAAAGGACGAAACGTCTCCTGACTTCGTTCTGCGGCCTTTTCCCCCGTAGTCCTACAATGTGGTATCAAAACTCGACCTCACTAAATATGATTATCGCTAAGCGCAGTATTACTCGTTTACCCATCTTATAAAACATCCAACTCTTAGCTGACCTCTAGTAGGTGTTGAGTGGCTCCCAATCAAAACCCGATTCCTCTGCCTCATGATCCTGTAGTTGTCCGACATCTCCATATAGCCTCCGCGTAATACACACTCTACGAAGTGTGGTCTAGAACTAGAGCCATCATTCATTTAATGTGCTCGTCCGCTTGATGTGCTTACGCGGCTGCCGGGGCAGGAGCTTCGGTACCGGTTCCGCGAGCGTTCGGGGGAGGGGGCATGAACATGGGCAGGTACGTGACAGCAAGGGCCATGACTGCGAATAGGAACATCAGTTGGTTTTCTTAAAGTTTTGACTCTGTCTCCGCGCGCGTATTTGCGGATGTGAATATATCGGGAGAAACTTACGCGACATGCCGATGGTGAAATAGCCCGGGGTGCTGGTCGTCTTGGTCGTCTCCTCGCTCTCGCCCAGCCAGTTCTGCACGCTGAAGACTACCGAGGCCCAGCCGATGTACCGGTTGCGCGTGAAGATTGCGGCCATGGGAAGCGTTGAGGAGAGGGTCGAGGAGAACTCGACGTTCTCGCCTTTGTTGGTTGGGGGTTCCTGATAGGGGACGACTGTTGGGCAGCGTTGCGAGGTTAGCTTCGCTATGACTACGGTACTGTGGGGAATGGAATTCAGAGGGTTGAATTACTCAGGTCCGAGCGACGCATGTCCTTCTTGGAAGCCATTGTCAAGGGATTGTGAATTGTCGATATGGCTGTGCTGGTTTCTAATCAAAGTACTGTCACCAAATGCTCCGTTGGCGGATTGGAGAGTGCGACGTTGAGCTACATGGCAAGTTCCGCCATAAGGGTCGCGCAGAGGTGTGGAGTCATTCCAAGCTAGGCGACCCGTGCGAGTGGGTTGGAAAGCTAAACTGCGGGGACGAAACCAAACCTTGAAAAACGTTGATCCGTGCTGCTTCTCTCTTTCCGGGCCTTGAATTGATTGAGGCAGTGTGCGAGTGCATGAGCGCCAACGTCGCCAGGTAAAATATGTAGCCGGCCGGAATCGCCACAAACACCCAACCATCGCATGACTTTCATTGTGACAGACTGCCAACTGCTATTGGTCACTGTGTGGGGTTGATTGTTTGCATTCCGTCTTCTTTCATCCTCCAATCCTCCACGTGTACACATACGCTGGACACGCCGAGTCGGAATTCACGATAATATTGGAGCCTAACGACTCGTGTCCCTGTTGAATGGTATGGAGGGGGTCAAGTGCGACGGAACGGTTGCGACCATCTAGATTGCAAGTGATACACAACATTACGCCATGCGATATGGAACAGAAAGTATTACTGCATCGAAGATCTCGACCGGGGAATGTCGAGCAGTCTTGGTAGCATAACTATTTCGCATGTTCCGCAGGTGCAACCACAACCGCGCCAACCTTCAATGGGCAATAGGCACCTAGGTATGTGCTTGTTTGCGACGAGTTGATGGCTCGGCATATCGACGGAGCAAAGATGCGATTTGTCAGAGATACTTCGACAATGTAATAATTGATATAATAATCAACTTGGTTATTATTCGTGTGGGCCAACTAAACTACGCGCGAATGAGATGGCCGTGGTCCCGCAGCCTCCCAATCTGGGACTGGCTGATAGGAGGACATGTGGCCCTGGCATATCACCATTGACAAAGAACGGTGGCGGCCCGAGTCTGTCAGCAGGATACCTACCGTAATGATAGGTCAGCAAGGAAGAGGTCCTGATAGGCTTTGATGACAGATGGTCAGACATATTCCTGTTGCCAGGTCCCACGACTACGAGTTGCCTTCCTGAGGAGGTGCGGTGGTCACGTCGTATCGCCATTTTGGGATGATTTCGTAAGTAGTTCAGTTAGTGGTAACATGACTCGACCATCTATCTCCTCATCCAACATGAGATGCAAAGGAGGCAGCCTCAGTGCAGGCAATCATGGTTCGTGAATTGTTTCGTGCACAACTTTACAGCAGAACAGGCAACTACCCGCTATTCGAGGTATTGACAGCTGACCAGCTAAGGTTTCTGCGATGCGTGCCAAGGCCAGCATTCCAGTCAAGTTCGCATGGAGTATTATGAAGGCTACGTTATAGACTTGTCACAGAAAGAGTGCCAGACATAGCCAGGGTAAGCAACTCGAACTTTCGCCACAAATCCAACGTCCGAAGTTCTGTGTCTTTGGACTTGTTGGCCGCGCTCCCCTTCTTGCATCATATAGACTTCAAGGACGACTTTTGGTGTGATGCAGCTGGGGAACCTTTTCGGGGTCTTTGGAGGGTTCGCCGGATCCAGGGTGGGGCTAGGTTCCGCCTAGTGCTGCTCAAGTGGTTCGGGCTATTGTCAGAGAGCCGGCATTTCTTTCCGGCGGACGGCGTTGCCATTATTGTGCCACTTGATGTGGGCGGCTGGATGGCCCTGAACTTGTTTGCTGGGTGCTGAAAGTATGTTGGTGCATGCTCAAGTAAGCAAGTAATCATGGCAGTAGTTGCAGTTGAGAGCAGGGATCAGGATGGTGTCAATTCGGACATCAGCACACATTTTACCCGCGCTTCCGATCACACCCTAACGTACAACCCCACCTTTCCGGCCACCCACCTTTCTGGCCAACTAATCTGCCAACTACCACAACCTTCGGCACAACAGATCGTCGGTATTGGCTATTATTATACAATGCCTCGATATTCAGAAAATTCGATTCAAGGCGCTCTCAACGATATCAATCAAGGGATATCCCAGCGCCAGGCTTCCCTCCGATGGGGCGTTCCACGCTCTACCCTCCAATTACGACTCGGCGATGGCCTCAGCCATTCTGACGCGTCAATCGCGTCGATGAAGCTATCTAGGGATCAGGAAGACGCGCTGATTGGATGGATCCTCGAGATGGATCGCGAGGGTCGTAGCCTGTCGGCGCTATTCATCGCTAAGATGGCGTTAATTCTGTTGCCTCAGGATCGTCGATCAGAGGGCCTCGGTCGCCATTGGGTTCATCGCTTTATTCAACGCCATCCAGAGGTCGGAAGTATCCAATCTCGACGCCTCGATGGTCAGCGATTTGATGGCCTATCGACGCAGAATATCGACGATTTCTTCGAGACGTACGAAGCCTTGACGTCAGCTCACGACTACTTTCCACATAACGTCTGGAATATGGACGAAACAGGCATCGCGATTGGCGAAGGGATCGAGGGTATAGTGTACGGATCGTCAGAGAAACATACAACATTCGTTCGGAGTGACGAAAGCCGCGAATGGGTCACTATATTACATGCTATATCGGCGATGGGTAACTCGTTGGACCCAGCAGTAATATATACTGGCAAGAGCCTCCAAGCCCAGTGGTTTAACGATTGCGACGATATACCTGATTGGCAATATACTTATTCGTCTAACGGTTGGATCAGTACAGATATCGCCGTTCGATGGCTTCGTGATATCTTTATACCTCGTACACAACCAGTTGATCCCGACGAGCAGCGGCTCTTGATATTAGATGGTCATATCGCTCACGACAACGTCGAGTTTATGTAGTTAGCCTATTGTAACAAGATCTCGTTACTATTTTTGCCAGCACACTGTTCTCACGGGCTGCAACCTCTCGACGTCGCCGTATTTGCTCCATTAAAGCGGTACTATCGCTCGTTAGCGACCTCTCTCTCGATCGAGTACTGTTCTATTCCATTTAAAAAGTCGACGTTCCTCTCGCTATACATCGAGGCATATACGAAGTCGTTCACGATCAGTAATATACAATCAGGCTTCTCTGCAACTGGAATATACCCATTAGATCCATCGCGACCTCAGCCGACGATAGCCCCCCTATCAGAACGACCAACTACACCACCAACAGCTGGTAATTGGCTTGATCCGACAATAATAGCGACGCCAGTGACTAGATTAGTAGCTAGGGAGAGTCTGGCAGCAATTACGCCATTGCGATCGTCGCAACGGCTATTGTTTCGGAAGCTGACTCGTCGGCTAGATGTACAGAGCGTCGAGGTCGCTACTTTGACCCAACGTGTACACGCATTAGAAGCCGAGATAACTTCGTTACGCCCCAAACCACGTAAGAAGGTACGATTAGGGCCTAATGAACGATTTGGTAACATTGTACAGATTAAGGAAGCGATGGATCGAGCCCTTGAAGTAGAACGGTAACGAGACCAGGTACAACGTCGGAATCAGGTAATACTGGACCTAGCTAAGGCGTCAGAATCTATCAGATCTATACCTCAGGAAGCCCTAGAGCACAGCTTTCTATTAGAGCTGGTTGTACCTGAATAGCTATAATAGTACGTTGAATACACTGTTTCGAATACCTTCAATTGGATTGCAATATGTGGCCAGAAAGGTGGGTGGCCGGAAAGGTGGGGTTGTACGTTAGAAACGGAAACTGCAGATCCAACCGGTACCGTATCCCACTAGTCCTGGCTATGGCTATTAGCCTCTAATCTCTACCTCACCTCATGTACCCCATCCCATCGCTAAACTGACTTTCCACTATCGTGTTGCTGTGCTAATCATTCTCGGCGGCGAGACTTCACCTCACTTCCTACGCGAGCATTGCTATACTACGCCTTGCCAAAGTGTCCTCACCCCCTCCCGCCATTTCCATTGCCTCGCGTGCTCGGTGCAAAGAACGACGTCGGTTTGTGCCCAGTGCTGTGCCCTGGCCCATTGTATCCCTAGTCTCGAAAACCATTACGTGACGGCCGATGCCGACCGCCGCTGTATAGGCCTTGCTTCAGTCCCAACGGCATTCAACGACACCTCCAACACCACCTCCAGCAACCCGCGAGATATACTAGACATGGCGCACTCGAGTGCCAACCCGCGATGACCTCCCGGCCCCCACTGGCCGTCTCTCAACGGCAGCCCCAGCGATCTCACAGCGGCTCGGGGCTGTCGCAGAGACCTGCACACCAGCGCACCCTCTCCCAGCAATATCTGCCGCCGTCGCCCGTCCGCAACGACCTGGCTCCCGAAGCCGGTGATGTCGTCCAGGGCCGTTATGGCTCCAATCCCAGGCGGGTAGGGTCCAAACTCAAGCTGGAACTGGCTAATGACGGCATCACCCACGCCGGCTTCAGCGAGTCCCCCTTGAACCTCGATCCCCTCTCCGCCAACCGCGTCTTCACCCCGTCGCGCATAATGCCCCTCCAAGAGGCTTCAGAACTCGGCGACATGAGCCCCCATACCTCGCAGTGCCACACCGCCGACAACGAGTCAATCCCCCTTCCCATGCCGCCCAGGCGGGCGCGATTCGTCGTCCCCATCCCCCGACCTCAAACCACTCCCGCGCCCGCCCCTGTCAAGAAAGACACGAGACCGAAGCCTTTCGTCCTCGAGACCCCCACCGCTGCCCCACGATACTCAAACATGGGCAAGCAAGAGCCGTCAGGTATGGACGAGGTCGAGGATGAGAAATGCAACGAGAAACTGACTGGTTGGGCCGCAGGTTATGCCGACTACTACCCATGGAACGGTGACCATCCTGAGGACCGTTTCTCAGAGAACATTATTCGAAACGGCTACTTTGACAGAGCGCCCCCACAGCTCCAGACAGAGATGGCTTCGGCCAAGGCGCCTCTGTTTCCCTCGCTCAAGCACAAGAGCGGCCTCCACACGCTATCAACATTGTTCACTGGCATCCTGAACCAGAGGAGACACAGTGGACAAATCACATCTACATCTACTTTCAAGCCCCCGCCTCGAGTCACCCTCACGGATACCAAACGAGAGGTCTGGCTCAAGGATCTGGCTAACCCCGCGATATCACTCAGGCGGCTCAGCAGGACCATCCCTCACGGAATCCGAGGCAAGGTTCTACTCGAGCAAAGCCTCAAGAAGAATGTACCCACCGATCGTGCCGTATGGCTGGCAAAGTGTGTCGGTGCAAACGAAATCAGAGCCTTCAAGAGAAAAGGTGTAAATAACACTTTCGTGATCGGCGGGGAGGCCAAATGGATCAGGGAATGGACCGCCTGCGTCGAGCAGTTTGTGGACACTGTCGTGAGTGCATTCGGTGAGAACGAATGGAAAGCCAAGGTCACATATGCGTAAGTCGTATCTAGATGCCTGGAGGGTTCTTCGACTAACCATCTTCAGCATTCGACTCGCCACACACTTGTATGCCGAACATCTTCTGGATCGCGATCACTACATGGATTGGCTTGTATCTGGCCTGGAAAACAGCAACCAGGCCAGACTGCCCATGTGGATCTTGACTATACGGATCTATTGGAGAGATCTGCTTCGGTCGAGAAGAACCGGGCGCCGACTGGTTACCGCCATTCTGGGTCATCATACTGCTGTAAAGTTCCCGACGCGTGCCACTTAACGACACCCTACTAATCGTGTAATTCCAGATATGTCAGCACCCGGATCGCGATATTCTTCTACCGCTCTCTACTCAATTATCCTCTCTCCTTGAATCTCTACTACTAAACAGTCCAGAAAGCTTTGTTCATTCTTTCACGTGGGCAAAATTTCGGGATGCACTGCTTTCATCGTTACCGAGCGATGATCAGGCTCAACGCCACGCATTCGAGTCAATAGATAAGCGGAACGAAAGACTGACAAGAACGCATATCAAGTCTCAACCTGCGGTACGCGGTATTCTGGTCAAATTGCTGGATACGACACTTCGAACACCATTTAAAGATGATCTGGCAAGCCAATTATGGAAAGTCAGCGAACACAAACATAGTTTGATTCGAACAGTCCTCGAATGGAGTATATCGCCATACCGCCCCGGCATCGCCAAGGTATATGTCACGGCGAGCATCTTGAGGTTCTTCTCGGTACAAGGTGCCGACATTACCGGCGCCGTTCTCGACTTCCTTGACACGGACCCACTTCGGGAAACTGACCGAAAACATCTCGTCTATCACCTTGTTTCAGAGCTGGTACGGACCGACGACTTTTCTGTTCCGAGATATCTCCAATGGCTTATTGCCAGGGGTGGCTTAGCCAACGCAGTGGAAACTTCGCCCGATGGCCCCTGCCCCACGCGGCTCTTGGTCGAAGTCCCTATACACGCACTGAGCGAATCGATACGGAGTTTGCGGGCGACAATTCTTCGGCGGTCTAGCTTCTCTGTCGAATATGAGGCCGAGGACATGGCAACAGCGATCAGATGCATCAAGTACGCACTGTCTGTGCCGTTGGAACTAGATGATCCCCTGCTCCTGAAGAAGCCGATGAGCATCAGCAAGTTAGCCCACCGTATAGAACGGAGTAGTCGCGCACTCCAGACAGAAGTCGGATCTTGGCTCTATAATGGGTACATCGGCGGAATCGTGCGAAGCTTGTCGTCCGAGAAAAGTGGCGTCGACGACTCAAATATCGAGTTCGATTCCGTTCGGGCCCTATTGGAAGCCGCTCAGGACTACACAATGCTCGAAAACGTGTTGAAGGCATTGGCGGTATCATCTAACGCTGAACTCCTGGCATCCTGCGCTGACACAGTCAACCTACATATTCAGGTGTTTGCTGCCACGGGGTCGGCGAAATCACTGTTCCAAACTTTGTTGGAGCGTCTCAAGGCTATCCGCGAACAGCAGGGCATTGGAGCGCGTCCTCTTCTAGCGTCTTTGGCCAGTCTTGCACCGCGCATTTGCGGTTTGGAGGAGGTAGCTACACAATTACAGAAAGACCTCATCAGAACCGACCGGACCAGCGCCGTTGATGCTTCCTCGCCCCTCTCTGATACCATGGCAACACAGCTGCAGGACGACGAGACGGAACTACACGAGCAGATCGAGAAGCTTGCCAGCTACACCAGTGCTGACCGGCCAACTATGGAACGTCTCTTTCAAGCGATAACTTTTCACCGCCTGCAAACATGTTGGGGAAAACCCGACGAGCGACAACGAGCGTATTGTATCCTGTTGACCAGGTTACGGGTATTCGACACTGGGTATTTTGATACACTGATGAGGTTATGGGTGCAGCACATACGCAAGCTTACCCATCGGCCCCCTGTTGCCCAGATCTTTCCGCTGCTTATGAGCTCAGGTTGCTTATCATTGGCTGTTTTGTTTGCTACAGCATCGAGAACCCCAATGCAGACGGCTCAGGGTCAGCCAAATCCAGCCATGTCCGCATCAATATACATGCAGGAAATATTGCAGATGCTGATGATGCCTTTATCACCGACACAAATCATGGCATCTGAGGATTGCTATCGCTTCCGCATTATTCAAGAGCAAGCCCGACTGGAGAACGTAAGAGAGGTCATGCCCCTTATTCGAGGAGCTCTGGCCGAGTATTCATCTTCTCGTAACCAGATCACTCAACCGTTGGATGACGAGAAGACCAGAACACAGTTCCTGGAGCTGCTCCGCAGCCTCATCTTGGTTGACTCGAATGCGGCTGGTCAAACCCTGTCACCAAAGAGCCCCGACCCCAAACTTGCGAACCTGATCGAAAGCGTCACCACCAGGTTGCTAACATCTCGTGATGGAGGAGGTCAGAAGACGTTCGAACAGGTTCTCGAGTTGGCTAACGAGTTCACCTTGCCTTTCTGCCAGGTAAAGCTTTCGCTGAATCTCGCCGTCAGTGAATCGACTGGGCCCGACCACACAGAACGACTCCAATCGCAGCTGATACAACTATCCAAGGCAATGGACAATGCGATAGATGCGAACAACATTATGTGGACGGGAATGCTGCCTTGCCTAAGTCCGGAAATTACGCAGCACATGAGAAACCGGGCTGAGGCACGGTTTCTGTATCTGATTCCCTCACTGAAGTGCGCAGTAACATCAGAAGAGGTTTTTGAAAAGGACATCCACATGGCGGAAAACCTCTTGGCGGTAATCGACTCCATCATCCGTGGTGCGCTAACGCCGAAGTCATCACAAATCTCGAACGCCATGGTAGACAAGCTGGTCGATTTGTGGGAAATCTTGGCAACTACGAACGACGAAGCCGTTCCATTAAAAACAGCGACTTTATCACACTGGCTACCACTTCTCCTATCCTATCTCACCCTCAACGCATCTACTGCCACGGCAACTACATCGAAGCCGGCCAACGATACTCGTGCCAGAGCTCTCCTTACCCTGGCCGGGCTTACTCAGGAGCTTGACCATGCGCCGTCGTCGGACCTTTCGCAGCGCGCCTTCGACCTTGCCCTCGTCCTCGTGGACCATCTCGCCGACGACGCACGTCTGCAGTGCGTTCGTGCCGTCAAGGACGTTACGGCGGACCCGCGGTTGCGGTACCTCTTCAGCTTCGCGCCGAACCCAGCTGAGAACCTGATGCTGGCGCATCGCGAGAAGCCGCCGCCTGGCCTGGGTCCCAACGAGAGACGGGCTTTGGCACTGGGACTGGGCACTGGCATGCTGCCTGAAAGGTTGACTCCGCTTGTTATGCGGCGATGGGAGATCCTCAATGAACCAACGCCAAACGTGGGCGAGAACGACACGAGCCTGAGTTTGCATCTTTTCGAGGCGAGGAAGATCTAGACGATCGCTGGAACCCTGGGAGAGAAGCACCGGTCTCGAGAGCAAGTTTCTAGTCCTGACGGAGATGGGGCCGTGCGGTCCAAGCGGCGAAAGGTCCGGAGTCTCACGCCTTCTTATCACGTTGAGCGAGACGAAAAGATGTATGATTTTCGAAGACACGCATTTCAACGGAGTAGGCCAAAACATATGCGAGATCGAAGAACTTCTGCCATCATATGATGCTGGTTGGCAGGGTTTATTGGGGGACGTTTGTAATACAGCTTTTGGGCGTTACAACTCTACATCAGGAGGCACTCTTTGTATTTTTTGCTTTGTTTTTATTTCTGGGATGCATGGTTGGGAGTAGGCCACAAAGCTTTTGTTTGGTGGGCAGACAGGCAAGGCAGGCAGGCAGGTTATTTGTGGGGTGTTTGGAGCATTAGCTTGGAAGATAGACAGGGGCAATCAGTCGGCGACTCGGCATGCTGCTATAGGTTTTTATGTATTCAAAACGATCTGAGGTTATTGAACCTTGATTCGTGGGTTTGAAATGTCTAGTTTATGTCTGGTGGTTGAGTGAGTAAGCGAGCTAAGTGACCGGATATAGTGAATGAATCCAGGGAATGAGTCCAGTGTGTAAGCCTGTAAGTGAGAATAATGAGTGAATCCAGTGGTCAATTATGGTACTTAAGAATCTAGCGAGTGAGTCCTGTGAATAAATACAGTGGAGGAGGTAGACTCGGTGAATATACTTCGGAATACTGCTCTGGTGGACTTTATGTCAACCTTGAGATGAGCTTCGAAAGAATGGCAATGGTTCCGCCAAACTTATACGTAGTATGAAATGGTGCGAGTCTGCTTATATACACTTTCTCGTAGGGGAAATATATCAACATGAGACGTATGGACTTGGTACCGGTTTTGAGTACGTACATCACTGTTGATTTCGAAGATAAGTCTTAGAGACGCTGGCTTCAATGTAGCCGAATTCGTAACTAGACCTTGCAAGAGGATCTGTACACTATGCCAGTTTATTCCAGTAGGACAAGCTAGACTATAAGTCGCTATTTCGGGAAATTTGGTTAGAGTAATATAACTTGCGAATATATGGGCATGAAAATACTTTTAAGCTAATGAAATATGTGATGAAGATGCCGCTTAACGAAGAAGCCTTTCAGCAGTGAAATATTAACTTGAACGAAAGTTTCTGGTACCGCTATCAACCCTCAACCTTTGCTGCGTTGGCTAGCTCCAGCGGCTTGCATAGCTGTGCCACGTTGCCTTGCTAGTGCATTGTTTGCGAGGATACCGAGGAGAATGCCGTACAGGATGCCTCTTGTACAATATTGCTGGGAGCAAATGAATTTATGTGCACGTGAGCTTTATTTCGAATAATCCTTTAATGTCTATCCGCGATTATTGGATGGGGAGGGCTTGGAGTGTACGCAAGCAACATTATATGACTCGATTACACCAGAATTATGACTGGTATCATTGGCTTTACGGAACAGGCGTCGAACGGGCTCAAATTCCTGAACAGCTTCGTTGATAGAGTCAAAGATGGCCCCGAAGCAGTCGCCGAGGTCAATGGCGATGTTGAAAGCCTCAGAGTACCCTCAAGACCGTTAGTCGGCTATTCCCCTGGACGGATTCGATCCCCCATCCGCCGATCCAAGGTTCCACACCAGAACCACACTCCTAAGCTCTAAAGCCAGCTTTGAAGCGGGTCATCACCAGTGGGTATAAGGAAACTTTGGACACGTTGTCACAGCGCATTTCTAGACAACAGCATATACTAAACTTGAATCAGACTCCTTTTGTAGAGAGAATGTCAAGAACATCATGACGTACGGAAGTTCGAGGTGACGATAGGTTGCTACACCAGAGCATACCTGAATAGTTCGTGTGCTCCTCCAAAGATAGTTGTGTGAAGGAATGCCCATTCATATGGCACCATGATTAGTGCCAGGTTGGAAAAAGCGGGTATGATACCACACGTCGTAAGACGCGAAGAAAACGAAATGGGATTACTACCTATGTGTGAGTGTAGGCAGCGATCGACCAGCATCGAGGGAGTCATCGCCTGATAATTCCCAGCTAAGGTTCCATGATAATCTTGGACATATGACCATGTTGGTGTGCAGGTCTGGCACCGAGATATGTGTCTAGCTGTATGATCCATCAACTATGTCGAACAAACCGTATGTACAACTTTGGCAACGACGATAGAGAACCAAGCCAGGTTTCCACACATATACGGTGCCATTTGATGAATTACACCCTTATGCCGGCGAAAACAGGCTAGCACCTGATAGATCTATGAAATAATCACTAGACAAAAATTGATCGGTCTAGAATAACGAGACACGACCTAGTTTATAGAAGTGGAATAAACCGCCATAATGCTGCTTGTGTGAGTATAAGGTACATAGTACAACACATGGACCACCTCTGGGATTTCTGGACTTCACGGATACACTGAGAAGAGCGGGATGTCCCAGCCTTTTTGGTGCTGTTATTGAGCTCCGCCTCGCCTGCACTGCTTTGAACATACCCATGAAGGCTGGGATGCGAGGCTTGTTGCCTGTGGGGACAAGAACAGGCATAGTCCATCTCATTTTGCGGATCTTGACAACGCCGTGTCTGTTGTTATCGAAAAACTGGCGAATCGGGTAGAATCAAAATTTGACATGCCCAAATCGAAAGAAGGGAAGCTCCACAGGTGGCAGGGTTACTGGCATCGTCAACCAGACTGAACGAGAGAATCAACTGTGGAGAGCACAACCTCAGTTTGACGAATACAGTACAGCAGGAGAAGTACCCAGGAGAACTCACAAGCGAGGCAGGTTCGAAAACACCACGACGCTGGCGGGCGATAGGGATGAAATTCAATTCAACGCTACGAGGCATGTGGCTACGCCTTTGCTACCGGAGCTGTACTGCTCTAGAAAGCCCAAAGAAGATAAAGAGCATTGGGAGTTCTTGATTTCATGATCGTGAGGACAAGAGACCAAGCAAAACTGAGGTAAGATAGTGTGAAGAGGTTGGGTGGACGCTCCCCAAAGGATGACCGCAGCTCTGTCATCCCTCGGCTGTTAAACTACTCAATAGTAAGCATCTTGGTATGATGGAAGATTTCATGACAATTACACAGGCACAACCAGTAACCACCAGGGCATTTGCTAGTTCATCTAAGATTCGGTCTGTGAGGGAGCCGCTGGCTGTGATCAACCAGCAGCGATTTCTACGAGACGTCTACTTCACTTAAGTAGCCACCTGGGGAATCTCAAGAAATCGAAAACATGGATGCACCTCCCCGAAGAAGTCCCAAGTTGAAAAATACAAGCAGGAATGGACTTGGAATTGCGCCCCGTGGCTTCTTTGACCCCACCAGTCAAGTTGCACTACTCATATGGCAGGAACTGATGGATGCCCACTTGCCCCCATCAGATGTGCTGGCGACATGATCCTACCGTGCCTTCTTCAGCTAGAAGGTATGTTCGAGGGAACTGAGACCTGGCAGAAATGACAAGGCTTTGGAATTGCCAATCTCTCTAGCAACTCATCATAAAGCCAGCTCCCAGCTAGGGGTGAACTTCAACATCGTCACTTCTAAGGAACGAGACACCATATGCATGGGTTGTTCTGTTGGGAGTTCAAAGAAGACAATTTCCAATGAGGCCTAAAAATGATGAATTATTGCCTCTTGTCAGCCTCGATATCCCCATGCATCCTAGACCACTCTGCGAGTAGAAGCTGCAGCCAAAAATAGCGATTCGCCCGCTTACTGTGCTGATTGATGGGATCCGCAGCGGGGTTTTTACAGCGACATCCGTCCCGCAAGAGTGGGAGGGAACCGTGCAGCGCCAATCCCTATTGAGCCATGGGCACCTGGCTCTGTCTTGCCCAGCAAGCCTGGGCACATGCACATGCACATCGGACGGCCAGATCCCTGCAAGCCTTGACACACTCCAACTCCAACCTTCCTCCGTGCTTTGTGGCTCGGTGTCCTGGCTCCGGTTCACTTTCGATTGCACCTCACTCTCTCTCTTTCCTTTGTCTTTCTTACGTCCAACCCACCCTGTCGGTTCTCAGACCTTGAACTACATGCTTTTTGGGCTTCGGGGTGTCTTGGATATCCTCTCTACTCCGGCAACCGGCAATCTCTCAGCCAATCCAGATCAGCATTAAAACACTCATCATGTCGCTCGCCGGGATGATTGATCCCACCAAATACGGCAAATACCCCGTCATCCTCAGCGATGCATTGCTGGGCAAGAAGTCCAAGGAAGTCTACACAGGCGTCAGATGTGAGGAGATACCCAGCTGGACCCTGCGAAGCTCTCTCTGACCAACAATTTGTAGACAACCACAAGCCCGACCCGACGCCTTCCTTGGCGAAACTCAAACCAACATCCAAGTCAAGCTCCACCTATGATCTCTCGTACAACGATGGTGGCCTCCACAAATACCAAGGCATTCGCGCAAGTGAAGACGGTCAATACGTGCTCATATTCGACCCCTCGCGGGAGGCCTTCGTTCTGCACAAAGTGGACTCCACGTTCAATATGAATCTCATTCGCACGCCGTCCAACAAGGATGCCGAGAGCTTACGTCAGGAGCACCCGTACCTGGCAAACAGCACCGCCGAGCCCACGTCAAGCAAGCCAGGCAAGGCGAAGGAGAATAAGCCGAAGAAACAACAAGAGGAAGAGAAGGGCATGCTCACCATGCCCACCGAACAGCCTAAGAAGCTTCCTCAGCCTAAGAAGCCGTCTCCGCCCTCGGACGTGGATGAGGATAGTGAAGATGATGACGACGTCTTGGTCATGGAATTCCCTGGTGGCGAGACCGGAAACCGTGACTTCTCGCCCGCATTCCCTCCGCGCCGGTTCTCCGAGTTCGTGCAGCACCCTGATGAAGACGAGGACGCCGATGGCGAGCCTGACGATGATGACGATGACATGGAGCACTTTAAGTTGCCTAGTCCCATCAATCATCAAATGGCCCAGCAGAGCGCCCAGCCCATGCAGCTCGAGCCCGAGTCCGAGGAGGACGAGGAGCAAGAAGAGCAGGAGCCCGAGCTGGATGTTGATGACCTCGAGGCAGAGCTGGAAGCCGAGCTAGAGGAGGCTAACAACAACGGAAATCAGTCGGAGAGTGACGTCAGTGAGGAGGACTAGAGAGTCCAGACCTCGCTAGTCTTTGCCGTGTCTGGTGCGGTTGGAGTCTCTGCGATCGGCGATCAGCCAGCTGTGGGCAAGGACTCTGCGAACGGGAAACCAGTTTAATACGGGCAAAAGCTCCGGCTCGAAAGGCAAGCCAGGCCCTGGCGGAAGGTCTAGCTCGAACACCACACTAGGCAGTTCTGCATTAGGTGTCCGATAAGGGCTCGAGGAAAGCTGGCAAGCCACTCCCGCCTAGAGGCTGAGCAAACCATGGCCAACCAGGCTCGTCCAACCCACCTGGTCCAGATGATGACGATGGATCAGGGGACGATTGGGATGACTGGGAGGACTGGGAGGACTGGGAGCACATCCCTAGCCAACCGACCCGCCTGGGTCAGAGAGGAAGGCAGCAACAACCTGCGACGAAGCCATGGGCGGAATAGAAGTGGCGGGTACGACATGTATCGGGCCCTCAAGTGCCGTGCCTGAGAAGAGCCGAACCCGGGGCATGCCGTGTTTCCACCCACAGGTGAATAACATTGAGTTTTCAGTTGGCTTTTCCTAAGCGCATGCGAGGAGTTACTGAAACAGGTTCCTGAGATGGAAATGAGGTTAGCTGCCTGATCATGCCCGACATATGGCGTTGGAGAGGAGTACATGGACTGGCGTTTGGGATTGGAATAATACCGACGTTATTTCAGCGAAAACATTGTGGAATACTAACGGAACTATGATACGCCTCTGAAGTTCGACTTGACTTTCACGTAAAATCAATAGAACGACATAACTACTATACTATCCACTTGTCTCCACAATCCCTAGTGTCTTCCGACCTCACTCACGCCTGGAAGAAGAGCTTCAGATGGGGATTTGCTGGAGTGATGCCTACCGAGATATCTATAGATATATATATATATATATATAAGATATATATGCCGTGACTGCTGGGGTTGCTTCAGCTACCAGGCTAGGACTATCATGATTATGCAAGAGACATGCAAATCCTGGTCGGGCTTGGTTGTGGCCGGCTTTTGTGGGAGAGTAGTTGATACTGACCTAGAGCTTCATCATTCTTTTGCAAGTTCACTGCCGTCTGAAGCTTTCTTGTCTCAATCTGGCCACTATTTGCCCTGCGTCGAAGCAATCCGGGACGAAGTAACCAGGCCTGTCATCTATAGAAAGTACCGTGTCTTGTAAATCTTGTAAGGTACAGTTGTTGGTATCCTTGGCGCGATCGTCGTCCGAAAATGGTGTGTCCGCTCCGTCGAAGTGGAAATGACAGGATTTACATGTGCCGGAGGCGGCCCCAAGATCTCGGGGCTCCCATTGATACCCTAATTCGGAGCTACAATCAATGAAACTAACTGTTTGATACGCAGGGAACACATAAACATCCATGGTTAGCACGTCTAGGCGATAGCGACCGGAGGGTTCATCATTCCTTCGCGGAACTAGCTCGGTCTCTATGGCCGAGTACTTGAGTAACGATGGTAGTAGTACAGCGGCGATGTCTCGGCGGACTGAATGAAATAAATAGCCTTGCCCCGCATTTGCCAAACTACAAGTCCTCCATTTTCTTCATACGAGATCCCGTCAAACCGATCACTCGGCCGAATATAAACGCAGTGGATTCTTACTTCTACCATCAGCATGGCAGGTGCCATCCTGTTTGTGCTCAAGTTCGGCGCGTTGCTGGCAAGATATGTTGAATCACACACATGGTACCGTTCACTGACAAATCTACCAGGTTGTCGGGAGAATTGTATACAACATCATATACAACCTCTTCATCTCCCCCCTCAAAGCATTTCCGGGCCCCCTCCTGTACAGAATCAGTAGCCTACCCCTAGACATCATCTCCATAAAAGGAGTAGCCCACCACAAACTGCGGGAGCTTCACGACAAATACGGGCCCATAGTGCGTATCCGCCCGTACGAACTCTCGTACATCACCAGCGCCCCTTGGAAGGACGTCTACGGTTTCCGTCCCGGTCACGAGGAATTCTTCAAAGCGGAAAGGCTTATTTGTCCTGGCCAAGTACTGGGGATCCTCGACGCCCCGCGCGATGACCATAGACGGTACCGCCGACTCCTCGCACACGCTTTTTCCGCCCAGGGGCTGCGTAGCCAGGAGCGCGGCACTACGTCGGCCTGATGGTGTCCGGCATCGCTGAACAGGCCAAATCAGGCCCCGTCAACGTGGTTGACTGGCTCAGCTGGGTCACAGCGGATATCATTGGTGATCTTACCTTTGGGGAGCCGTTTGGATCCCTGGATACGGCGATGGAGCATGAGTGGACGGGATTTGCGGCCAACATACTGAAGCCAGCCACGGTGATCCTGATCCTCAAGAGCTGGGGCGTCTTGGACGCCCTGTGGTTACTCATACCGAAGAGCGCCATGAAGGCCGGGGAGGATCATAAAAAATGGATAGCTGAGCGCGTACAGCGGCGTGTGAATCTCGGCAAGGAGAGAGGGGACTTCCTGGATTATGTCCTTAAGCGCGGTCTCGTCGTCGATAGCGCAACAGCGGGAGGCCAAAAGCAGCAACCCGTGGGCGACGAGAAGGGCATACGGCTAGAAGAACTTAACGAAAACGCATACCAACTCGTCCTAGGGGGAAGCGAAACCACGGCCACCGTACTGAGCGGCACTATATTTTATTTGCTCCGCAAGCCGGACATACTGAGGCACGTAACGGCTGAGGTCCGCACCAAGTTTCCGGACAGTACGGACATCACCATTGACTCTCTCACCCCTTCCAGCGCGCCCTATCTTGATGCCGTGCTACAGGAGGGTCTGCGGCTATACCATCCTACCCCTCTATACGGGGCGCGTCTTGTCCCAGCTGAAGGGGACATAGTAGATGGCGTATTTCTGCCCGAGGGAACCAAAATCAGCCTCCGGCTCTACGTCGCCTTCACATCGTCGGTGAACTTTGCAAGACCACGGGAATTCGTGCCGGAGAGGTGGTTGGCTGTCGGTGATGATCACAACGAAGAGCAGACAGGAGGAAAAGGGAGGGAAAACAAGAGATGTGGCGAATTCGCGCACGATAACCCCGATGGTGTCTTTCAGCCCTTCAGTGCGGGCCCGCGGAATTGTATTGGTATGAACCTGGCGAATGCCGAGATGCGGCTCATCATGGCGAGCCTACTGTGGCATTTCGATTTGGGCAAGCCGCGGGACATGGGCAAAGAGGAGGCGGAGAGATGGGAGGAGTGGGTTGAAAGGCAGAAGGTTTGGTTTTTGTGGCATAAGGGGCCGCTTATGATGGATGTTAAGACCAGGGGGGATAGGTTGTAGGAAAGCAGTTGGGATGAATGTAGTATACGTCGAGAAGTGAAATTTGCGATGCGGATTTTGGACTGTAGGGAGAAGCAAGAGCATTGCTCAGTACACACCTGATAAAAACAAAAAGGGTAATATATCAGCGCTCAATATACATGTTGTGCTCGGCATAATAACAATGTTGCGTGCTATATCTTCAGGCTAGTTTTTATAGTACACTTGCTCTGTCGTATATAAACTAGGCATAGCTAATAGACGGTGCCGCCAACCTCGCCGGCCTCTGCCCATGCACTACCCAGAAATTGCAATAAGCATGAAACCTCATAGCCCTCAACCCCTTATTTACCTGCCCCATGAACCCACGCGCCTCCTTCGCCTCCCAGACCAAAGCCCTGGTAAAAGGAGCCAGACTCATCGACTCACACTCCCAAACTCAGTTTTCACTGGCCCACCACCCGAGCTCCTTGAGCTGCTTGTCCTGAGGCCACCGGATGGGCGTGGCCACGACTTCAGAGAAGATGGCTTCTCGTGGCATCTCGGGGACGCGCGAATTTGGCTTTGGTGGCCGCTTCGTGCAGGCGGTTGGGCTGGCGGACCAGGGTAGATGAGGGGTGGAGGGTGCCGTCGTCGCATCGGAAGACGAAGTCGATGTCGTGGATATACAGGTAGCCGTGCGATTCTAGATTGCTGCTACGATGGTGTTTGAGTACGTCGGCGCAGTGTGGTTTGCGCGGGGGGTTAGGAGGAATAAGAGAGAGAGACCTACTCGAAGCTCTGCCGGATAAGTTGAGCCCGTCTTTCCAGGCGCCTATCCATAGATTTGGCTGTAGGTCTAATCGAACTTGCGCGTAAACGTCCATGGTTGTCCTAGGTCATCGACCTCAAATGACAGGGTCGAGGAAAGCTATGCAATACAATTTAGTATACGGAGAAGCTCACCACACTGCATGGTCTGGCAGTTGGCTGAGTAGGCTCACCCTAACGGTTGGAGGGGCGCCAGATCATCGCCAAGACTTTGGTTTCGGGTTGGGCTTCCGCTACTCGTTGTGAGTTTCCAGGATGTAGACCAGAGTTTCGCACGATTGAGGGGGCATATAGGTACCGAAGTCGAAAGTCCAACCCGTCCCGCAGCCGATGCCGAGTGACCGGCGTAGGGTGCTCACGGATGCGAGACTAAGATTCTGGCCCAGCGTGAGCCAAACGAGGCGGTATTGGAATTCTGCGTTGTGTCGGCTCTTCAATGTCCGAATCAGTGGTGAGTTTGGGCTCACCTGAGCGAACCATCTTATGCTAGTAGCACGAGTTGTTATTAGATAGACTATTCCCATAGCGAACCCCGGCTGGGGTAAGAATACTTCATCCATGGGAAGACTATACTCTATAAATATAGTTTACTTGGTGAGCTTTCCAGAATCTGGAACGATTGCGTCGATGACGAAAATGGTCAATTCGGACGCCCTCACAAGTAGAAAATCCACATATCTTCATACCAAAACGCTATACACAGTTCCATTGTCGTCGTCCTGCGTTCACTCATCATGCGACTGGAATATCCTACATCAGCCACCAAAGTCTCAACGCTTTCTCTAAACCACATCATGCCACATAGACACTACCTCGTTATCAGGACGAGGGCTCCCCGAACCATTCTCATTACTGTCTTCAACAACCATGCTATGTTGGCTTGACGCGTCACCCGGTCACGGAGGGCAATCAAGTCGGCCTTCCTCTAGGTAGTTGCCACAAAGCAAAGGTAAGCCACTCGAGCAGCACTAGGCGCAGATACAGTGGACAGCCCAGCTCGTCACAGCCAATGAGAACAGGGAGACCTGGTGTGACCAGGATTAACCGACGGGTAATATTCCATATTTGCTTACAACTCCTCTGTCCCACTTTGTCTTAACCGAAGTGCTGGGAGACGAGGGCACTGTTGTTTGACTGTTCTGTACGCCCTTCATCCACAGCAACGAGGTATACCGTACGCATCCGCCATGGTCATCCCTGTTTTGCTCGCGCAGCATCCCAAATCCACTCTGGCCGCATTCTTGCTGGCGATATACCTGTTGCACACACTACGCCAGTGGCAGCGCCTCTCGCATGTACCGGGACCGTTCTGGGCGGCGTTTTCCAAGTTATGGATGGTCAAGGAAGCGCTCCTGGGTCGACAGCCTGCTGCTATTCAAGATGTGACGGATACATATGGTAGGGCTAGCTCGGCCCTCTTGCTTTCCTATTTTGTCTTAGTACTTGACGCGTACAAGTGCTGATGTTGAATAAGGATCTCTTGCTCGCATCGGGCCAAACGAGCTCGTGACCGATGACCCGGAAGTGCTGCGCAGGATGATGGCCGTTCGTTCGGCTTACATGAGAGGCCCTTGTGAGTCGGGTCGAGGCGGCTGGACAAACTACAAGAGACTGAGGCAACACAGGGTATAATGCGATGCGGTTCGATCCTACGAGGGACAATCTGTTGTCCATGCGTGACGAGAGTGCGCATACCAAGTTACGCGCGAAAATAGCCGCTGGGGTACCATATGTTCCTTCCCATAATATTGGTTGAAAAATGGCATGTGCTAACACATCATATTGGAGTACTCGGGCAAGGAAAATGAGTCTATGGAGAGCACCATTGAAACCGAGATCTCCAAGCTTGTGGACTTGGTCGAGACCAAGTATCTATCAACCGACACGGAATATCGTCCCGTGGACCTTGCCCAGAAGGTTCAATACTTTACCTTGGACGTCATCAGCCATCTTGCCTTTGGTCAGGCTTTCGGCTATCTCCAACAAGACCGTGATGTTTTTGATTACATCCGGATCTCCGGCTCGTTCATTCCCATCATGATGGTCTTGGCCAACGTCCCGACGCTGGCGACCATGCTGCAATCGCGTTACCTTCGAGGCCTGACGTCCAATGAGAGCGACAAGCTCGGTTTCGGGGCCTTCATTGGGTGAGTTTTGTGGCATTGTCTCATGGAAGGAAATGGAGAGGATGTTCATAATATCTCATAGCGTCGCCAAAAAGGTGGTGGCACAGCGCTTCAGTCCTGAAGCAGCATCGCAACCCGACATGCTCGGCTCCTTCATTCGCCACGGACTTACACAGGAGGAAGCAACTGGCGAAGTACTGCTGCAAATCGTGGCCGGGAGCGACACATCCGCAGCCACCATCCGCTTCGTCATGTTGTACCTACTGACCAACCCAGCCATCTACACGACACTCCAGAAGGAAATAGACGCTGGCATCGCCAAAGGAGCCATTTCGTCCCCCATCAAAGACGCCGAAGCCAGACAACTGCCCTACCTCCAGGCCGTCATTAAAGAGGGCATGCGCATCATGCCACCAGGGACCGGTACTTTCTTCAAGACGGTCCCGGAGGGAGGCGACGTAATTCATGGCAAGTTCATCCCGGCGGGTACCCATATCGGTTCTTCGCCCTTTGGTATCCATCACTCCAAGAGCATATTCGGTGCAGACGCGGCGCATTTCAGGCCGGAACGTTGGTTAAGTGCGGAGGCGGAACAGCTCGCGCGCATGAATAGCACTGTTGACCTGGTTTTCCATCATGGGAAATATCAGTGCCTCGGTAAGACCGTTGCGTTGATGGAGTTTAATAAGATCTTCGTCGAGGTGAGGATCTTCGTTGCTATTTTCATATTCCGTTATCAGTAGATTGTGAATAATTGACCTTGAAGTCTTCCACAGCTGTTAAGACGCTTCGACTTTTCAGTTGTTCATCCAGCAAAGCCGGCTAAGATTGATAATGCGGTTAGTACTAGCACCCCACCCCCTCAGCCTTCCCCCTTCCTCCTTTTCCGGTGTTAGCTTTCTATTTCAGCTAACGTACGTATGTAGGGTATTTGGATTATACAGGACTTTTGGGTCAGAGTTGCACGACGAGGGCAAGAGGTATCGTGAAGTCAGAATAATTATTATTATTATTAAATACGCCGTAGGCTCGAAGCCCCTGGTACCTCTGCCAGTACTCCCGTATGTCAAACCGTGCCCTAATGGCTGGACTAAATACATACGCTGCGTCGTCGGTTCGCCCTATTGGCGACTGCGTTGCGTTCACTACCATACTACGTTGGTTCTCAACCTACCAACAAAGTCCCCCCTGAGAAGATCGATGCTATCTGGGCCTTGAAGCTGTCCGACCCGTCCCTAGCAGCCACCTTACAATAGTCCCACTAACTACTGGTTCTCCTGTTGCCGTTGCGAGGTCTCTGCGAGAGTATAGTGGCCGTGGTGCGATAGCGGCCCGTAATCGTTCCCTCGGTCCTTCTAACAGCCCGTAAAAGGGGATTACGTGCTCTGCCGTCTCAGGGGCGTCGCCACAGCGGCATAGCGGCGATTACACGCCAAAAGCCCCTGTCTTGAATAAGAAGGCTGCTAGTCCTATTTTTTCCGTCCTGATCTGGCACAGCGTAGACGCCTCCAGTCGGTTCAGGCCGAAATACTTGCCCCCTTTCGGTATCTGCATCGAAGGGCCCTCCGGTTCCTCAGCGATAGCGCGTCGCTGGCGATCGTGATGCTCTGCTCCGGTGAGCCATCTCTTCCTCCAGTGGCCGAGGAGGGCAGCCGGGACCTCCTTTTCCTCACTCATCCACTCGGAGCCCCGGGCCTCCTTCTCCATAGTGTACCCTGCCGGTCGGAGTAGATGCGACGCCTGCTTCCTCTTCGCCGGCCTATCCTGCCGGAGTATATGTGACGCTTTAGCGCTCGCGCTGCGAAGCAGATTTCTCTTCCCGCTAAGCCGTAGCCGTTCTTCAAACTTAGCAGCCCGGGCACTAAGATAGAGGTCTAGTGGCGGGATTGCTGCTTCTGCTTCCAGGTGGCGAACCGGCGTCGCTTTGTGGGCGCCACAGACTACCCGGAGGCACTCGTTCTGTATTCCCATCAGGCTCTTAGCTGGCCCTGCCGGTTCCTCACTTATAGTATGCCACGCAGTCGCCCCGAAGGCGATCGCGCTACGGATAACCACCGTATATAACAGCCTCGCCCGTATAAGATCGCAGCCCCACGACATATTGACTAGCTTTGTCAGGGCTAGCTTTTGAGTTGCCATTTTTGTTTTAACACGCTCAACATGGGCGTGCCATGTTAGTTTGCGGTCGAACCAGACTCCTAGGAACCTCGCTGAGATTACCGGCGACACTGTGGCGTCCTCAAGGCGAATACTTTGCGGCAAGGGCTCTCGGGGCCTAGTAAAGTGCATTAGCTCACTCTTGTCAGGGGCGAACTCCATCCCGTGCCTCACTGCCCACCGCTGACACGTAGCCCATGCGCCCTCCAACCGGCGTCAGGTCGTGTCTGGATCGGTGCCGACGCTTAGCAGGTTCGTGTCGTCCGCGAACCCGACTACTAAAAGTAGTGGGTGCTGCTCCGCTAGCTCCTCGTACAGCGTTGAGATGTATAATATAAACAGTATCGGGGATAGCGGTGACCCCTGGGGGACGCCAGCTCGTAGGGGGATTGGCTCTGACTCCTTGCCATCGAACCGGAGGCGTACCGTCCTATCCTCCACGAAGCTGCGTACCCACTCCTGAACCCACTCCGGGTAGCCTTTCCGGGCTAATATGGAAATCAGCCGTCTGTAATTGACCGTATCGAATGCCCCCTTGATGTCCAGCTGTAGCAGCGAGGCGATGCCCCCGCGTCTCCACGCCGTATAGACCACGTCCTCAACTAAGTCAGAATAATACCTCGATTCTTGTGCTCTCTCGAAAACAGAGAGTAATAGCGCCTGTTGGGATTTTTCACCCTCGGAATTTGGATTTCTCACATATTCCTTCCTGAAATCTGGCCACATACGCTTCAGCCTGCGGTACGCACCGTCTATGTCAACCCTGCAGTTTGCTCCCTGGTCTCCGGAATTTGGATTTCTCACATATTCCTTCCTGAAATCTGGCCACATACGCTTCAGCCTGCGGTACGCACCGTCTATGTCAACCCTGCAGTTTGCTCCCTGGTCTCCGCATCATCGCCGTTCAACACTTCGGTGCCCAGGCCCAACAGTGCCACAGCCGCTTCCGAATCTTACGTCCGCATTGGGAGCCGTATGGAATGGCCTCTTCTTTTTGTCCAGTGCTACAGTCGTTTAAACGGTGGTTATCTTATCAACTCTAAGGGTAGCCAGCAACTTACTGCAGCGGCTTTAATCCCTACTGGCTCTCCGTGTCTTGTTGTTCCTCGCAAGTATGGGGCAATCCACCGCTGTCCACCTGCCTCAGTAGTTGTGATACATGTAATTAGCCTTCTTGGTAGATAGTCCACCGCAACATTAAATAGTCTTCAGTCCCATTGGGCAGAGTTCAAATGCAGCACGATAACACGTCAAAGTTGAGCTGGGGGACAGGTGCTAAACGCTATGTTCTGAAGGCTCCGTAGATCTTAGCATCAACAGCAAACTTCAACTCGACATACTTTGCTAATTCCAATACAGCGCACAACTCAACGACGTTCTCGCGCTTGAGTACACCAACGAGCCCGACGACGCTCTCTCAAACCCAAGTGTACTCTGGAATCTGACAACATCCTTCGCATCGAATCCAGCGTAGGCTTGACAGCATACTCCAATTCGAGTGGGTTACGGAATTCAACACCACCCTTATGGCTAGGAAACCTGTCGAACTCAATGGCATCTTTGAGTTCCATTGCCCCATCGTGACTGTCCTCGGTCTGGTTCCGATTACTCTCAGGTCCGTCAATCACTCCCGTGCAATAGCGACAACTATCAACCATCAACACGTATTCGGTCTAGTGGGTATTCAGAATGGATGTTTTCTTTGAATAGTAGAGGTAGAAACTCATGGGGCCTCTGTGTTCCGTGTGAGCATGAGGGATCCCCTAGACAATATAAGGTCATCCTGGAACTTATGATGGATTCGAGTAGTGAGAATCACCTTTACCACTCTACTGGCCAAGCCGTCCCTCTCTACAGAGCAAGGCTCGCGGTTGGTTAACCCTGGAATGCACAGAAGCGAACAACCTATAGCATATTTACTTCCGATCATATATCATAAAACTGTATATTTCAGGAAATGAAGGTTCAAGATGAAAGGTCTTCAGCACTGGACTTCACATTGTACAGGGCCCCTCCTTGACAAGAACCGCTTTTCGGTGTCAGTTCGTGTTGTTCAGCAGTCCAATCGACTGATCCATGGTCTCTTCTGCGACCACCAGTCAACACAATCATGACTACGTCACATACATGGAGCTCCGATCGGGTTGTCAATATCCAGCGCATTAGTCTCGCGCAGCTGAATAGACCAATGATCGTAACACAGCATTGGAAAACAAAGCATCAGAGTGTCAGATTACCAGAATATCAGCCACCCAGAAGCTTCAAATCGCGTCCAACAATGCCCTCTATTTGACCGTCGACTGGTTTTGTTGGCTGTGTACCAGGTAGTTAGTTGTGTAAACAACTGAGATTGCAGCTGTAGTGAGCAAGAGTGCTAGCTAGTAGTCAGCAGTGCGACGGATTAATCTAAAAGGCTTTACATGGATAAGTATCACTTGCAGTCCGCTTTATATGGGGAAATACCATGTATTGATATAACAATAATATTTACACTTGTCAGTATGGAGCGAATCCCTGGATCCAGCTTGTCCAAATCAGCTTAGAGGAAAGTCCTTGAGCAAGGGCGCTTTATCTGCAGTGCTTGTGTTGTACATTTCGTGATAGTGGAACAATTGATGACATTTTCGCCTGGTTTGGAGGCAGCATAGCCACCCTCGATTAGTGCCAAGACTAGGCCCCTGCGAACACTTTAACAACACTTTAACGGCTGCTGGGCTATTCTAGGCAAGCGGGGCCTTAACAATGTCTGAGAGCCATCCGCTCCTTTCTTTAACGACGTCTCTTACATCGATCACACATTCACCTGCATCAACCCGTATTCCCTTCTAGGATCGAGTTCAACCCGGCGAGCCAAACAATACCTCGCGGAACCCTAAGAGATCACATTCGTTTGATGCCAGCTAAGGACCGGCCACGCTCCATCGCATTCCTTACCCAACTTCCCAGTCGCATCCTGTAGATGACTTTTGGAGGCATTCTTTTGGAGGCATCCTATTCCCGCGAAACACAATGGTGACCCTCGACCGCCAGGAGATGATCGCGACCAACAAGTCGTTGCGTCTCATTAAAAATGTACGCTCCTGCCCCACAACAGGACTAAACACGTAAAGTTAATCAGAACTTGCAGGAACTCGAGCACCTCCTTGAGAAGGGCGTTGTGACCGACGAGCAGTTCGACAATGTCATGAGCATCCTCCCCACCGAGCAGCCCATCCGCGCCGGCGCCTCAACAGTGGGCTCCTCGATGCGCACGCCCTCCACCATGGCCAGCCCAGCGCCGAGCTCCAACCCAACCTCGCCGCCCACCAGCTCAATGGCCAACATGGCCCTCGCACACAATCCCACGCCCAGCCCGGCCCCTCCAGCCTACAACACCACGGGCCCTCCGTCCCTCCCAGTGCGCAACAACCCACCGCCTCCCCCTCCCCCTTCCAAGCCCGTCATCGCGCACGCCAAGGCGCTGTATAAGTACGCAGCCGCCGACGACCGCGACCTGAGCTTCGAGCGCGACGACCGCATCGTCGTGCACGAGTACATGAACAACGACTGGTGGATGGGCAAGAATACGCGCACGGGCGCCGAGGGCATCTTCCCCAAGAACTACGTCGAAGTCGACTACAGCGCCGGCGGTGCCAACGGCTACACGGACGAGAAGGCGGGTGGCTTCTACGCCCCCCCGCCCCAGCCCTCATACGTGAACAATGGCCCGCCCGCTCCCCAGAACCCGTACAACGCCAACGTGCCGCCCATGGCGATTGCGGCGGACGGCAGCGGCAGCGGTAGCCAGCAGGGCGGAGGCAAGGGGTCTGAGATGGGCAAGAAGTTTGGCAAGAAGCTGGGGAATGCTGCCATTTTTGGTGCTGGTGCTACTATCGGTGGCAACATTGTCAACAGCATCTTTTAGTAGAATGGCCCGTTCGCTTTTTCTTTTTTGTACGAACGCTCCTCCACCGAGCAAACTCCAGGATTTTGAGAGTTGGAACTCGGCATTATGACACGAGAAATTCATAGGCTCAGTATTGTTTTTGGCGCGGTATAACTGGGACTTCATTCTTTTGGCGTCTTCGTCCTCACTTTCCGAGGGCCTCCTCTCTCTACCATGCCATGAACGTATATTGCTTCTTGCATTTCGACGGAATCCTCACGCTGGCACGCCGTCGCGTGTTGACAGTCTTCGTAATTTCCGTACGTCGTCGGGATTACATCCAGAGGCGTCCTTCATTCTCGACAACAGTCAATACTCTAGATCACTCGGATTATGTTGCTCGCAGGCGGCTGCTTATGATGACTACAAGTTCAATGCGGCGTGGCGGCCCCGTCAACAGACGGATTGCTGGTGACATTGCTCTCTATGAACCTGTGGCCAACATAGCATGTATTGGCGGCGGTAGTGATGGACGGATGAAACTAGGAAGGTGCAGTGGAAGAAGGCAGGGCCAGCTCAGGGACCATTATCCTAGCAGTCGTCCGGGTACTGCACGATCCACGCAACAGAACCATACTTATATACTCGGCTTATTGTAGAAAGTATTATTATTATTAAATACGCCGTAGGCTCGAAGCCCCCGGTACCTCTGCTAGTACTCCCGTATGTCAAACCGTGCCCTAATGGCTGGACTAAATACATACGCTGCGTCGTCGGTTCGCCCTATTGGCGACTGCGTTGCGTTCACTACCATACGACGTTGGTTCTCAACCTACCAACAAAGTCCCCCCTGAGAAGATCGATGCTATCTGGGCCTTGAAGCTGTCCGACCCGTCCCTAGCAGCCACCTTACAATAGTCCCACTAACTACTGGTTCTCCTGTTGCCGTTGCGAGGTCTCTGCGAGAGTATAGTGGCCGTGGTGCGATAGCGGCCCGTAATCGTTCCCTCGGTCCTTCCAACAGCCCGTGTAGAAAGTAATTCCGCAGCAGAACAAACTTCGTTGAGGTATCCTATTTGGGGTACATGGTTCGCCCAGGGCCAATCATACGAGGGCTGGGTGCCTTCTACTTTCGATATGTCAGTGTGATTAGCTCCTCAGCTCCTAGAGCATACCCAAAGACAGAAACAGTTGGCCACTGGCAGGCTTGGTTTACCCGGATGTAACCAATACCATGTATAGCGCCATGTGCACAACTTGCGTGTCGATATCTTGCGGGAGGTACGAGGCCGCCTCAATCAGAGTGAGTTTACTAACACACCTGGCAACCTGCTTCTGACCTCTCGTGCTCAAGTGGGGTTGGTGCGCAAAATCCACAATATCGAGCATAGCAAATAGAGGGCAGAATTCATGACGTCCTCGCATGACACCAGTCGTTTTCACGAGTCGTGCGGTGACTCCCAAAAGTATCTATACCGTGGGACATAACCGCGAGCAGCTTCCTCTTTCCCACCGACAAATAACAAACACCGAACACCAGCAACATCTTGAACAACCAAAAACACCATACCAAGGACTCTCGACAAAACTACACACACAACCATTAGGATGAGCGCCGCGCCTTCCCCCAAGGAAGATCCTCGTACGCCTCCCGCGAGGCCCCCTCGGTAAGCAATGCTTCCACACCCTGCGGAAGGCGGCGCGGAATGGAGGAGCACGATAGTGATGACCAGGAAGAGAAATGTTCTTAATATCTGTTTAAATCGCTAGCTAGCTAAATGACTAGCTAAACGACAACCTCATCTCTCCCATGGAGTGACAACCTAAACGTGCTCCTCACGAGACTAAAACCTTGGTCTAAATTTTCCGCAGCGATATCTAAGGCTTGCTCCAGGCTCCATATCCCGGGGGCTACAGGATGGGGGCCGCTATTGCCAGGTGTCTTAAAGAGACAAGAGATACTGCAGCTCGCGATCACCGGAAGTCAATCAGTCAGGATTGCCCTTGCTCACGAACATTTGTGCCTAAGTCCGGTCATAACTTCGGAGTTGCGCGTTCTTTTAAACCCGCGAAGCAGAACTAGAAGCCTAGCGGATATATGCAGCCTCGCGGTGGACGAACTGTTCAGGATATGCACATGCATCTCGAGTCATAATTCCGCATCATGCGTGTGTGTGTGCGATGAAGAACCGACTTCTTTAAGTTCTGGGATTGAGAAAGATGAGTTTTCCGAAACTCGGACGAACGCGAACACGAGGGCGACAGCACGTGAATACCACCAAAGACCGCGAAGACGGTTGTCAATCCTGTTTCCTTTTGAGCTGAAGCAATGCACGTGGGAAATCTATCTGGTCGAGGCTAACTAGGTCCTCAGGCAAACCAAGCCTCTGTTAGGCTGGCTTTTGCATAAAGTCGTCCCATCGAACCTTTGAGGCCGGAGCCTATACAGTTATATGATGTGCCATCAAACCAGACTGCGAACCAAAGCCCCACAAAAGCCACGGTTTCCTCAACCCGACCAAGGTGTGAATCAATGCTTGCGGATTGCCAATATTCGATCTGACGGTAATCTCATAGGGATGAAATCCAATACAAGAAGTCATCATGAAATTTCGGCGGTAACTCAAGGGTCCGTGCTAGTTGATCTGTGCAACTGTTCCTAGTGTTGCTCTCCCGGGCGATAGTGCTCGGCGATTGTAGGGTAAAGCCCATCGGGAAATCGGCCACGAATCGTTCATAGGTGGGTGGGTGGAGATGGATCTCAGGTCTCCTTCCAAGAAGCAATCCGTGCAGCAATCGCTCCGCTGCGTTATCAGCTGCATCGTGGCCATCAATTGTCAACGAATCTTCTCACAGCGCCTTCATCCTAGCCCCAGCCCAGCCCAGTCCAGCCCAGCCCAGCCACTCAGAATCTCTGAGTAATTCTCGGGAACTTTCGACGGAGCCAGGTAGTACCGCCTGTGTCTCGCCGTTATATTCATGAGATTATGGATACGGGACGAATATTATGCAACGCTGCTTGACATGACATGACATGATGCGTGAATTTATCGTCGTTGGATTTTGAGCTGTTCCCACTTTCAGCTACAACTAACTGGCAATGGTGCCGCAATCCCCACCTCCAGGTCCCACTGTGCCGCTCAGCGCTTATGGATCGACCAAGGGGGGACCCCGGACGGCATGAGGTGACATTGAATTGTACGTCTACCTAATTCCCCCTCGCCTCCCCCGCCGTCGCCCGTCATTGAAGACTTGGACGCTTAAATGTCCACGACGGCTGCTGCTGCTGCTACTGCTGTCGTGGCGTCGAAACTTGCGTATTCCAAAAAGCAGACATATCGCAGCCGGTAACGCAATCAAACCGGCGCTCTTGTGCTAGTCAAGTCTGTTTGAAACAACAGATGCGCCTCCTGAAGTCTTAAAACAAAGTAAGCTCGACAACAGCCTTTAGTTTTTCAACGTATTTCAACTCTATCCATCAATGTTGCATTTCACGGCTTTTACTCTTCACTCGGCTACGTGAGCGCCACCCAGTATACTCTCTTTGCACCCAGCTGTGCGGGCCCTCGCAAGCTGCCAGCCAGTGCAAGTGAAGTCTGGTCTGTGATGCCACCGGTCATCCCAGCCCCGTCATCGCCACTTGTCCACCCATCAGCCCTATTCTGAACCCGTGGTCCGGTTTGCGCCGTGCACCTACTTCGCAACTGCTTCGCAATACGTTGTCACTTACAAACAAACCTAGCCTCGACCCGAGTTTCCCATCCCCGAGCTTGCTACTTGTATCGCCAAGCCAGCCTAGTTTGGGGCTTGACGGGCATTCATTCGATCCAGCAGATTCTCATTTCCATTCATTGCCTCCGCCACCATTGATATCTATGTCAACATTCCGCCAGCGAGGGCGACTTGGGCACGCCAACAGGTTCACAGATCACTTTCAGTCGAGTCTGGCAACCCCACCTACCATGTTTTGAGCCCAGCTCAAAGCTCAACCTAGTGACTCAGTTAGGCTCTGCCCCGTCGCCCCGTGACCGCATCTAAAGTCCGACGACGAGAGGCATCCCATTGGGAATCCCGCAATTCTCCGCAGTGTTTCTCCGTAGCGAACCCCGCCGCACCTCGCACCTCGCACTTCGAGGCCTGCACGCACTCCAACTCTACCGCGAGTGAGACTGGACGTGTGTCGAGCTCACCCCACCAAGGCGGTTGTGCGCGCAACTCCGCATGGCTCTGTTCCAACGCACCGTTTACTCGCGTTGTTGAATGATGAATGAAGTCTAATCTATCAACCGCCACCCTGAGACTTGGGCTCTCCCTTCCGCTTCCGTCGCCCTCGTTCATCCTTCCTTCTTCAACCACTACCTGCCAGCCATGGCAATGTCCGTCCAGAAGCCCCCGGCGGTGGACGCTCACGGACATGCACCTCTTGTAGATGGCACCCCGCCGGAGCTTGTCGAAGCCGACTTCTTGAGTGAAGTGTTGCAGGTCCAGGCCGATGACGCCGAGTCATTTCTCGACGATTTGCTCGACAAGGCGGCCAGGCTGGGTATCTCGCTGTCGCGACCGTCCACGGCCCTCTCCACGGCCGACAAGCCCACTGGGTATAACACCTCTGGCGCCGACTCGAGTGTTACGCTAGACACGAGCCATGCCCGGACCACCTCCACCGGATCGCAGCGCTCAGTGAGCACCACTCTGACCGCGCCCTCTTCCACCGATGGAAACATCCTTAGGCACAAAACATCAAGAAGCCTTACCTTTGCCCAATACGAGAAATATCTCAGCCAGATAAATCCTAATCTCAACCAGCCCAAATTTCTCGCTGATGCCCCCCCCGAGAGATACACGCCCGTGAGTCTATTCAGCGTCAGCACCGAAAAGAGTTATCTCGGCATCAGAAATGGCTTGTCCAAAATGCGCCGGAGGCGAAAACCATCTTCCTTTTCCGAAGCAATGACCATGTCAGTAATACTCCACCCTACAGCCGAGACGTACGTCTGCTGACGTAATTCCATAGCTGCTGTAGCGCATGTCGGGAAGACTTTAAGCGCGATCAATCCCTCGAGAAACTACCCTGCGGACACCGGTACTGCACCAAGTGCTTACGAATCATGATAATTCAGTCTGCTACGGACGAGTCTAAGATGCCGCCGCGATGTTGCACCCAGTCTATACCAGGTCAAGTCGTCAAGTCCATCTTGACTCGCGAAGAGCAAAGCGTGTTTTTGAAAGCAGTGCTGCAGTTTAGCACGCCGTGGGAAGCTCGGGTGTTCTGCTGCAATCCTGCCTGTGGCGAGTTCATTCCTCCGAGGAACAAAATCGACCCGAAGTATCCTTCCCAGGCCACTTGCCGTAAATGCCGGACCAGAGTGTGTGTCATGTGTAAGAGAAGTGCCCATCCTCTGGGTCAAGATTGTCCCGACGATTGGGAACTGGATGCGGTGTTGAAGATGGGCGAGAGGTCGGGGTGGAGGCGTTGCTACAAATGTCGAACATTGGTTGAGCTGACTCAAGGTTGCACGCATATGACATGTCGCTGCAGGGCCCAGTTCTGTTACATATGTGGCGCAGTGTGGGAGCCGGCGGTAGGATGTCCCAACTTCTGCAATGGCGAGGCGGAGATGGAGCGACGGCGACAAGAGGAACAAGAACGGATGACAGCCTTGGAAGCCGAGGAGGCCGTAAAACAAGAAGCCGCGGCAAAAGACAGGGCCGAGAGGCTTGAGGCCGAAAAGCGGACCAAGGAGTCGCCCGAATTTCAGGCATTGCGAGCTGACCAAAAGCAAGAGATGACACGCTTCCAAATGTTCGAGAGGAAATCGAAATGGCTCATGTGGACGCGGCACGCCCAGCAAAAACTCGCTTTGGTGGAAAAACACTCGGCCATGGTAGATAAGATGAGCGAGCGACATGCCAAAACTTCGGCGAACCTCGAGGATCGACAAGTCGTGGCCGAGATGGAATTGCGGTCTACGCTCGAGCAAAGCGAACGGAATGTGCGCATCCGACTGAAGTATATGGAGGCCTACTGTGACGGGCTGGGACAGAAGCCCAATGCGAGCATGCCTTCACGAGTGGTTACCGAACGAGACCTTCGTGAGCTCGGCCAACAGTACAATGTCGAAAAGAACATGAAGCAATTACACCAAGCAAAAATCAATGTCATGCGCGATCGACAGGCTAAAGCTTTGGAGGAACTCCTCGAACGCCAAGAAAAGGAGATGGACCGATTGGTCGAAAAAAATAATAAGGAGATCGAGAACTTGGAATCGGACTTTGTCGACGAGGAAGACATTCTGACCATGACCTTTAACCGACGCCGAAGCACCATCGAAAAGCGCTGGGAGCTCTCAATGAAGATACTCCGAAAAGAGATGGAATCCGAGAAAGGAGGAAGATTTTCCGTCTTGGAACCATTGGAATGGCCATATGGGAAGGACTTGCTTGATGACGGCCTCTCACCCGTCGAGGAATGAGTCAGTCTTCACGAATGAGTTCTATCTTTAATGTCGGCTGGTGTAGTTGGTCACTTCGCTGGTAGATACGTCCCGATTTGAGCCTCGCCCACTTAGGTCGGTGACGAGTCGCGGGTTCGAATTCAGCAGCTGACACACAAGGGAGTTTAGTCAACCCCTACGGCGCGCTGCCCACCTTGTTGACTTCGCCTACCTAGCGATAATAGGGAGATTGGTGCAGTTTAGGATTACGAGCATCCTAGCCAGTCGACCGTCAAGCACTACGTCGGAGGAATATAACTCGACACCCGGTCCAGAATTCGAATCGTTAATCCGACCCCTTATCGGACCCCCTCTCGCCGCGATTCTTGCGAGCGTCTAGACCACGTTACGGTCTATCCACTTGAGCGTATGGTTGAGATGTATACGCTCGACGAGAACCCCAATTAGCAGATACTACGACTTGTCGCGACAAGAAATAGTCGAGCATCTTCTGCACATCAGCAGCATCCCACCCCTGAGGACGAATTTAAGTGCCACATTACCACACTTATCGGTAGTTCAGGCAGGGGTTGTAGCACAGACTTAGGGAGGGACAGGAGGTTTAGCAGTCGTTTGGCTACAAGTTTACCTGTATAACCGCCCGACGCGGCTTAAGGGCCCGCTATATCATCTATAGCCCCTTAAGGGAGTACTTGTAGAGGTACCGAGGATTAACACCTACGGCGTATTATTTAATATCTTTAATGACTCGAACCAGACGACACTCACATACGTGTTCTAGGAGACGTCATGTTTTAACTTACTCTTTCCCTTTTGTTATTGGGGTTTGCGGCGTTGAGATACCATCATGATTCGAGGGAGTTTCTGCAGGATTGCTCATTTCGCCGAACTATCGAGGCATGTCTTGATGAACTTAGTTCGCATAACACGGTTTGGTACGGAGCATATGCTTTTGAACTATGGCAGGTATACCCGGACTTCATTAGTAGCAGGCGCACATGTTTGGGGAGTTGGATCAGTATGTGTGTGCTATGCGTATTACGGGGTTGCTCATGTTACAGCTTTATGATAATGGTCACGAGATGTACTGTTTGGACCAAATTCTACTTTTTACCTCCCTCCACCGAAAGGGTTCCTTTTCGTCGGAATCATCGGGTCGCATTCGGGAAACATGCCCATTGCTACAAACTTGTACGCCATCAAGACTCGGATGCTTTCTAGGCTCATGTTCCGGTTTTCATATGTCTAGGACTATCTATCGTCTGACTGAAGCTACGATCAAAAAGGCAAGGACGCCATATTCCCGGCGGGCCAATTTCTGTACGAACCGGGAACGTAGAGAACCCGGAAGTTTGTCTCGCTTGTCAAAATTAGCGATGACGCTGACAAGACTTGGTCACAATAAGTATGGCTGAGTGTGCGCCGCCAACCCTTGACGTCTACGAGATGGTTTGAGGCGGTTGGTCACTCCAAGATCTTCATGATCCCTGCGATGTGACAAATTGAATCTCGAGTCGATTTCCCGGAGTCAGCTGGACGAGAAACGAGCGGTTGAGAGGACAGAGCTGAGATTGTGAGTTGCTCAAGCTGGTAATGAAACCCCGGTAATAGTAGCGCCGATCTCAGTAGTATTCAGACGTCTGCCGATCGTTGTCAATCGAGCTGTCAACTTGGCAGACGTCTGAATACCTCATCGACTTGGGACAAACCCCAAACCTAACATCATCAGATGTATTTCTATACACACAGGTAGCATCATTTCGGATAACTCGCGGTGCTCTCTGTTGTGTAGCTGCGCGAAAATACAAAACGAATGGTGATCAGGGAGCTAGGGACAACCTTGGTATTGTCGCATGGCCATCTCGTTAGTTTCACTATAGTGTAGGCTGTATCTGGACCAGACCCAGATAGTCCAGACTCTAATCAGACCGGATGCGTGGTACTTTTACTCCCTTAGATAAAGTCAAAAGAGTCAGGGTCCTGTGGTGGGAGCTTCATCGTAACGTGCCCCAGACACACCACGTGTAGCTGGGTGCGGTGCTTGGGCCAACTGCTCACAGATAGCCCTTCCGTAGCTGCAGCCTTGGGAGCCGCTGGGAGTCTAGTCCCGTCATCGCCATCACCAATACAAAACTCTCGCCAGTATTGCCCACAATTGTTTTCCCCGTAGAACATGGAAAGGGGCAGAGACATGCCTGACAAACAAACGCATGGCATTAACTCGCCTTTTAGGAACCCCAGACACACTTGCAACCATGTTCGGTTCAATTATTACGATTTAAGCTACAGATGACAACACTTTTTCACTCATCCTGGCAAGCTCAGCGCTGCAAGCAATACCCCCACTATGAGTACAAGAAAACGGCATGATCCGGATACCATGCGAGGGACATGGGGCTCTCCATGTTTCGCTACCAATCGCAACCCACCAACACAAAGCGGACTGCTTTAGAGTTAGTCAACGACTAGCCATCGCCGACCTTCTGCTTCTCGGCGAGTTATAGTTACAATCCATTGAGTTTTTTCTGTCGCACTCGATGGATAAGCGAGGGCTTTAAACGGCAGACAAGCCGTTGCATGACCTTGGTGAAGTTGGCTGCCGGATGTCTGGACAAGCGTTGGTACCTAGGACAAGCGTGTGCACTCTGGGCCTGCGTGGTACAATGAACCTATAATACCTCAGGCCCCCTCATAGCTGGATATTCGTATTCACTCTTAACTTTCTCTGTTTTCTTTTGGCCGGATGCACTTGGCCACTCAAACAGAGTATTGACACACACCCGCAACAGATGGTAAAATCGACGACACAATGCAGTTCGGGAAGAAAAAGATGGCTGAGGATGACGGAATCCTCCTACGGGAGGTGGACTTACAGCCAGAGGCGCAGGTCGTCGGTTCAACACAGCTCTTCAAGGGGGGGGTAATGCAGTTCGTGCCCATGCCAACTCCGGATCCCAAAGGTATAAACCCACCGCGATGCTGAGTTGAAAACCCATCATCTGTCGCCGACGTGACGACTAACGTACGAGTTTTGACGACAGACCCCCTGAACTTACCCACGTGGCGAAAATGGGCAGCCATAGCAGCGCTGTGCTTTTTCGGCGCCCTCGCCTTGGCAGCAGAAGCCACCATAGGATCTCTCGTGCCCATCTTCGTACTCGAGTACGCTGGCCGAAACCCCAAGTCCCTAAGCTCCATCACCCACGGTTCCCACAAACCGGGGCAAATCAACCTCAACCCGCTCTCGGTTCTGGATGGTATCGGCGGCGAGCCGATTTCCAAAGTCTCCCTGATCGCCTCACTGCCTATCATCGTCAACGGCGTGGCTTCCTTCATCCTGGTACCCCTATCCATCGCCGTCGGGTGAAGGCCGGTACTCCTAGCTTCGGGAATGATGGCGTGGATCGGCGGGCTTTGGGCAGGCTTCAGCACAAGTCTCAATAGTCATCTGGCCGCACGCGTGTGTCAGGGCTTCGGCGCCGGTGCGGTTGAGGCCCTCATCGCGCTAATCATACAGGACGTCATGTTCATCCACCAGCGCAACAAGGCCATCTCGCTTGTGGGCGCCAGCCAGGGGCTCATCGTCGTCAGCCTAGGTGTGTCGGCCCCTGTCATCGTCGCCCGGCTGAGCTGGCGGTATCTCTACTGGATCACGGCAAGCGCCGGGGTTGTCGCCTGGCTTGGTCTAATTGCTTTCGTGCCGGAGACGCGCTGGATTAGGTCGAGTGAGGAGCTTGCAGGGAAGTCGATGCACCTCATTCAACCGGGGGAGACAAGACCCCAGCTCAATTATGCGAGGTACGGGTACAGGACTAATTGGACCGAGTTTGGCGTGTTGAAAGTTACGCCGAATCAATGGAGGCTGGCGAGAATTTCTGTTGTTGAGACGATCAAGGCTGCGTTTTTCCCGAATGTTTTCTGGATGGTTCTGCTGAACTCCATCCTCGTCGGCGCCGTCTCTGCCGCTTCCCAGACGGGGTCAGCCGTTCTGATTGCTGCTGGGTGGAAGTTTGAGAATTTGGGGTTGGCGGCGATGCCTGTTGTTGTTGCTACGCCGTTTATTTGGTTCTTTGGCGGGTTCTTGGCGGACAAGATAAGCAACTTCCACGCTAAGCGCAATGGTGGGCAGAGGGAGCCCGAGGCACATTTGATTAATTTAGTTATTCCTCTGTTGGCGGGTATTACTGGCCCGCTTCTCTTTGGGTTTGCGGCATCGAATATTAGGACGTTGCCAAGTATAGTCGTGCTCGTCGGTATCTTCCTCATGGGGTTTGGGGCATTGACTACCAGTGCGGTCATCAGTGTGTACTTGGTGGAGAGTTATCCCAACTACGCTGGGTAAGTCTTGTTCCCTTCCGATCTCCTGTCCGAACTCGTATCCCACAAAAGAAATAATGACAGATGACCCGAACTGCACAGTCCCGTCCTAGTCAGCGTCTCTTCCTTCCGCCTTATATTCGGCTTCCTCCTCAGCTTCAAGATAACCAACCTCATCATGGCCCGCGGCTTCCTCAATATGTTCGGTATTTACAGCGGCGCTCTTGCCGCCGTCGCGCTGCTGTTGCCCGTCATATATATATACGGGAAACCCATACGTGCGTGGTCTGCGGGAAGGCTCGAAGCCACCTCAGTGGCTAAGGAAGTGCCCCCACGCAAAGAAGCCAACAAGGACGTAACGGTCAAGGTGTATGATGAGGAGGAGGATGATGGAGACCGGGGGTTTGAGCCACACGATCGTAAGAGGAGGGGTAGGAGTAGAGAGACTGTGCGTATTGGGAAGGCGTTCTAAATCGGATGCAAAGAAGGAGCTGGCGGTCAATGTGTATGATGAGGGGGATGATGGAGACCGGAGGTTTGAGCCGCATGATCGTGATAGTAAGAGTGATAAGAGTAGATATACTGTGCTCATTGGGAAGGCGTTCTAAATTGAATGAATATACACGCTGGAGAAAGAGCATGGGGAAACTCGGAATTTGCTCAGACGCAATGCACCTATGCGTATACACACCTCGAGCATCCGCGCTACAAGCGGGTGAGGAGACTCATGATATTTCTGTTATAACTCTGATTGGGAATAATCCGGCGGGTTTGGTCGTTTAAACATGGTCATTGCGAAGCTCTGTATTTTATCTTTCCATATATGCGTCTGCAGCAGCAACTATGTTTATTTCATCGGCACATGTAAGCTACATCGAAGTCTAGGCCAGAGCGATGAAGGAAAGTGTACGTCTCTCAAGAACACTAAATTTTAATATACATCACAGCATAATGAACTCAAGCCTATGACGAATCCCGGATTGTTTTACAAGTCAGGATCCACAGGCGGAGGGATGTAACAATCAAAGCCAGCGTCCGGATATAAAACCTTTAATTTGAGAGCACCTATACGTAGCATTTCCAGAATGACGACGAGCTACCGACTAGCCTAGCCATCTTCGTCCAGTAGAATGGCCCAAAATCGCAGTTACTGCTCTCGTCACATGGCTGTGGTTAAAAGCCCCTTCCTCCGTAGAACCGTGCGGCTCGGAACTTGGTTTGGGTTTCAGCATGACGATGCTGATCATATCGTGGCCATCGTCGTTCCTGTGGCAGATGCAGCTCTGGTTGAGGATGGTGCCTGTGGTGTTGCATTGTGTGAATATTGAGTTGATGGTTTATAGGGGGAATAAGTGCGGTTTGTGTTGGCCTTGGGTTGTGGCAATTGATTCGATATGCCTGGCTCATTGCTAGTAGTGTATCAATTAGCTGAGTATTCTGTTACTTATCGCATTTAGTCATCCTATTGACGAAGAAAGTTCCCCTTTGGACTACTAAGTATTTTCACGTTGGAAAATAATTGCAAGCTTCTTCAGCACTGAGAACTGATGCAACTGAGCAAGTCGCGCGGTTTTTCAGGGCTAGTTGAAATGAAATCGTTGGGTATTCTGGAGACACTGAACGCTAATTAATCGACGCTGGGAACTATCTATACTGACAAACATTCGCCAGGCTCCATGGTGGCTTTGTATAAGCGGACATCAATGTCTAGCGTAGTCAGGTTGCGGCTTGTAAGCGCAGCTCAGACGAGCGTTGGGAGACGCCATAGTCCTAACGCGCTTCCCCTCAGTTGAAGTCCAGCTGGTGCATTTTTGGATTTTCTGCTTAGGGATATGGTAGGGTATAGAGAGAGAATGGTGAGCTTATGTTGGTTCTGATTCGGGCAAAGTATACATGCGTGGTAGTCGTCAATACGAATGGGTGGAAACGCACGTTAGCGAATGGGACCGACGCTAGTGGGTTAGTAAACTAATTCTGAATCAAGTTGAAGCAAAACACATGAGTTGGTTAAATAAATCGAAGTGGAATACGAGGTCAGATCGAGAGAGCTGATATAGATGATACAACTAAATGTGTTGCCCGAAATAGGGGCTGCCATCGGTTTGGCCATGGCTTCTATCCAAGAACGTTCAAAGATCCAATCTGGGGGTCGTAACATTTACCTTGGAACCAGAATTTAAAACAAAACGTGTCCACTGTTGGTTCGGCTAATCTAGTTGCGGTAGACGTGTAATAACATAACAAATGGGTGCACAGTATTGTTCAACCTGGATTGAAATAACCGCATTGGTACTGTGCTCACACTGAAACTATCTTGTAATATGGCAAAATTCCACGAAAATATTATCTTTTCTGTATACAACCACTATTCAGGAAACGTTACCACCGCTGCTGCGTTTCTGTAATTGGAAACAAAGCACCAGTATGCTCAATACGAATATGGCATACTTCGCTTTTCAACAGCCCTCACCTACTGTACTACTCGAGATATCTCAAAAATAAATTAGACATGATCGGACATTAACCTACGGATATCTATGCCCCATACCTAGCTAGGCATAAGCTCGTCAAGCAAGATACCAAACACATGAGAAACAATATCCTCGCAACGCTTTACAAAACCCATCGTCTCTTCTTTCGTATGTCAAGCCATCTTGTAAGCACCACTCATACACAATTCACTTCTATAAGACCCAAAGAATAGCCCCATAGCCATTTCTAAGCTCCTCGCCCGTCACCCACGGATTATAGACCTGGATTGCCCCCCTGAGTGGGGACAAAAATCAAGTCCACACGACCCGTGCTGGGAGAGGCACCGGAGGCGGGCTGGCAGATGATGATTGTATAGGAGGTATGGCCGCAGCCGTTATGCCAGGTGCAAGGGCGTTATGGGTCATGCCAACGTTCATGGCTTTCTCGAAATGAAATAGCAGACAGTAGCCGCATACGTGAACCTCACGCTTGGGACCTTTAAAATCTCGTACTGCTGTGGAAATAGCAGCATGAAAGGCGTGCGTGATGGTGGCATCGACAGCCTTGCAGGCCTCCAGATGGCGAGTCGTCTGTTTTGTCGACACGTGAGGGCCACATACTGGTGTTTCCCCGGGACCAGAGCGCCCATCTTTCAAAGGAGGTGCAAGTACGGTCACTTTTTCGTATCTCCGTGCGGATGCTGCTTTCAGTGCTGAAATATCAGCTATCCTCTCATGCTTTTGAGGTTCGCCGATTCGGAGGCATTGGGACAGAATAAGACTCGCCCTCAGCGTATGCCTTTGAGACATGCTTGACAAGTCATTGAACTACTGGATCGTTCCAATGCCGTCAACGATTTTGTAAGGAGATCGCAAAACGAGATCGTGACGCACAACTTGGTCGGAGGATGTTGGTAGACTGCCAATGAAGAGCATGGCCACCGCAGACGCAGGTAGACCTCTGCTGGCCCATTCGACGCCAGTCTGGCCGGTCGATACCGACACCAGTGTGGTCTCAAGCCAGCCTCTATGTTGGGCATGATGTCGAGAGTTCCGATACAACTTGCTCAGATTTCCCGGTTCAGCATCCTACATAACCGGGGATGCTATCGTGGGGGGTGATCAAACCTTTAGGTGACCCAAGCCTTCTGTAGAGTCTCGCAACGCGACATTCAGCTTCCCCTTGGTCTTGTGCAATTGGGTATATCGACGACAAGAGTCAAGTGACCAGTGATAGCGAAGAATATGCGGCCCTGCCTTCGTAAAGCTTGGCCACCGCGAAGTAGATGTGCTCAAATTCGTCAATACCGCGTTGCCAGATCCCGGGCGATGTTTCGCGCCACATGAGCCGGCCATGGAGCATAACCATTGCGATTTTACCAATGGCAAACGTAGTTATGAGGTTCTCAACAAGCCAAGAGAATCGAGATGCATGGCAGATTTGCCAGATTGTGGTGCGGCCTACTGACAGATCTTTACATGGTAAGACCCGACCCCTTTTCTTTTGGCAACAGGTCACAATGCTTTGAGAAAAGTCGCCCAGTACCACTGTTTCGGCGTTACCAGGATCTCGACATACCGCTGTGCTGTCCTGAATCGAGAACGTTCGTCTGGTAGATCTCTGATCCTGGATACTAAGCTGCCGGCTTTTGACGCCGATAGTCTTTTCTGCAATTGATCAAATACGACCACATCCGCAGTGTCCTGGGTTGATGGGAGGATTCGAACCACTGTGTCCTGGGCGGGTGGCAGAACTCGGGTATGATGAAATTTTATGCTGAGGAGCACTTCGTTCTGGTCTGCTAAGTTGGTCGAGTCTTCCGCCTGTGCCGTAGGTACTCTGCAAGAAAAACCAGGACGAGATATGACCACTGCCGCCGCTAGCGATTCGGATTCGGTCTTTGTAATGCCAAATCTCTTGTTCGATATTCCAGTATTTCTTTTCTTTTCGAAGATCCTGCTCGTCTAGGTGAAGACAGGCAGATGGGGCAAAGGTTCTGGATGACCTCAACCTTTGGCCCTTTTCACATGCTGTCGTAGAAAGTGTGCCTTGGACAGCAAGGGGGGAAAACCGGGTAGGTCACCAACCTAATTCCCCTTCAGTCATAGACAAGCCACGACGCTGAAAAATTCGTTGGTCATCAGCTTGTTCACCCCTTATTGATCATCTCAGATTCTCCATCACTAATACAACGTTCAATGTCGTTGGGGTCGAAAGCCAGTAAACGAAAAGTCCTAGTGGACGGTGGTTTGAAATATTGCGAGAAACTCGCCAGTATTGCTTGCAGCAATCGTAGGCATGCCAATGATCAATTCTGTTAGGTGCGGCCGCAAACGAAGTCGGTCTCGATAATCTTGTGGCTTGAGGCGCGAAATCATCCGTGTACAGTTGTGAGCTGAGTTGGGCATATGCCAGCTTCCAGTAACGTTGGTCAGACTTATGAATGAACGCGAGTTGGACTCTCACCTCAACACCCCCCTGGCAACCCTCACCTTTGCACGCAAGACTCTTAACCTTCGTGGTCCATCTCACCCAAGGCCATGCGGGGACTGGCGTGCCCCCAGAAGCGAGAGAGAACTGCTCTTCATTAGGTCCAGCTCGGTTGAAAATAGCATTCTGGAGATGAATAGAGACAAAATGTTTCCAGAATCCAAATAGTGACCCGAATGCCAACGTAACAAGGAGCGACACCCCACAATGCTAGTGGGCAGAAAGGAAGAAGCACCGACAGAACGATCGTCGCGACGAAACAAACGCAACGCAAGCCCTGTATGAATTGGCAATCCACAACCAATGTAGACTGTTCATCAAAACGGCCTTGAGAACATCCGGTGAATCCCCCCGCTGCTGTCAGATATGCCGCCAAACAGGTAGTTAAACGGCGGTCGTCATACCTTCAGATGACGTGTTGTGCGGGAAGTTTGAGCTAATATTAACTCTCTCCCCATCAGTGCAATCCGGACGAAATACCAAAGACAGATTGAGTTGGTCAGAGATGAGATGACATATCCCACCACCAGCATATCCTTTCCAGAAAAAGAAGAACAAGGAAAGAAACGAGAACCTTGACCGGATGTCGACTTCAGCCGAAGCAAATAGTATCAAGTATCCCCAACCCACAGCTTGACCAGGTCATGGTGCCGGGTAAGGGCTTCCCACACGAGACGAAAAGTGAAATTCGAAAGCGAAGGATGCTACTCAAACACCGCATCCCAACTTATCTGCACGGCCGTTGTCGCTGACTAGTACCCACAAGAAGTGACTAATACCAGTGGCGGGCTGACTAAGTTGGCGATGAAGGTTGTCAGCACGCATCAAGATGCACGGAGTTGTTCGCCAGGGGGACCAGACGCCAAGGATCTCATCTGGTGTTCCAGGCTCATGGAGCTTGCGGCGGGCGTGCCAAGGTCAGCGGAATAGGCTTGGCACACACTTTTCTGCACATCGCTTTCTCGTGGTCTTTTTGAGTCCCATGGACTTGCAGGCGAGTGAGTAGGGGGGATATTGGGGCTTCAGGCTTCAAACCATAATGATATGAAAAAAAATGGTTCGGGGTCAGAAAATCAGACGTGCCCCAAGAGCAATTTAAGGGAACACGTTGATGATGAGATCAATGGCAACGACCCATTGTTCACCATAGGCTCCATGGTTGCCGCAAGCGTAGTCTTCATATGTTCTTTCAGCAACCTCAATGAGGCGGCGTGTCTCATTTCTTTTCTAGCTATGTAGATAATCGCACCTCAGAAAATTCCACAACAAGGAAAACCCCCTCTAAACGTACAAAGGCCGCAAATTGGTCCCAAGTTCATTACAACGGTAAAATATAGTCAGTCATACCTCGGACTCATCAAATGTGGCGATACACACGTCGCATTTGTCTAAAGAATCTTCGAGAGCCCGCAGACTCCCCCAACACCAAACAACTAATCGGCAAGAAGCAACAACGTACATTATTGTAGACCCGGACCACCCTCCTACCTCCGGAACAAAGGACTGTACTAAGACAGGCTTGCCTCGCAAGTCGAAATCTGGGCGAAACAGTCGCTCACGGAGAAGCCGGTCACCTTACCACCGTTGACGGCGTCGGCGCAAGCGTTGTTCTGAATAGCGCATGCTCGTTCGATGGCTGCCGACTTGTTGACGAAGGTATTACCATTCACAGAGAACGGTCGGTCCGGGTTACCAGAATCCTCGACGGCTGGCGCAGTTATGCCGCCTATTGCCTGCCGCGACCCCGTCCCCGTCCTGTTATCATTAGCTTCTGAACCATCTGACGACGCGTCGTTGGTTTGTGTTGAGGCTGAGGCTGTGCTTGTGCTGGAAGAGGTTGGAACTGTGCTTGTGCTGGTGCTGGTGCTGAAAGAGCCGGTATTACCTCCGCCAAAACCACCACCCTGGCCTCCGCCGAAGCCTCCGCCGAAGCCTCCCTGGCCCTGTCCTTGCCCTTGGTTTTGGTCGTCCTGGGTTTGGTCGTCTTGGGTTTGGTCGTCTTGAGTTTGGTCGTCTTGAGTTTGGTCGTCCTGGGTTTGGTCGTCCTGAGCTTGGTCGTCGTCCTGTTGTTGATCGTCAGTCCCGTCGTTGTTTGCCGCGCCAACGGTGAACTTGTTGCAGTCGTCCTGGGCACCACGTTGGGCGACGGGCATGAGGACGGGCTGATGGTTACCAGCACCGGTCATGGAGCAAACACGGTAGTTTCCAGCGGGGAGACCACCCGTGACGGTGGCCGAAAGGAGACCATTGCCGTTTCCGGCATCGTTGATACCCTTGAAGAAGGCGAATTGAGTAGCGTCGAGAGCCTGGGTAGGGTTCATGCTGTTGCCCAGGTCCTGGATGACAACGTGAGTGTGGCCGATGACTTGGCCGGAGCCGTCGAGATCCTGAGGCGCAGCGTAGTATGTCTCGTCGGGGTTGGTGAAGGTACCGGCCGCGAGGTTAGCCATCTGGATTTGGATGTCGAAGTCCTGGTTCTCCTCGAGATTGTCATTATGCTGGGGGTTCTGGAGAATGGCCGAGACCATTCTGTCTTGGGAGGGCATCTTTCCCATGACTATTTTGTGGGTTGGATTAGCTTCAGCGAAACGCTGACACGAAGAGAGTGGGACTGACCAATGCCGTTGCAAGAACCTTGACTCTGCTGCAAGCCGTTCGTCAGGGTCTGGCCATCACAGAAGTTGATGAAGTTAGCGTTGTCGCTGCTTGGGAGTTAGCCACTGGGACGTAGGGAAAGGAGCCGCTGTTTGGTGCCATACGTTGCCGAAGCTGCCTGTCCATCGGCTGCGTTCGCCAGACCGTCGTTTTGGCTGCCGGTCTGTAAGGCAGTGGCAGACAAGCATGTCTCACTTGCATCACCGCCGTTGTTTCCCCCATTATTACCACCGTTTCCCCCGTTGTTGTTGTTGTTGTTCCCCCCGTTGTTGTTATTGTTGTTTCCCCCGTTGTTGTTTTGTCGGACTGCCAGAGTCCTTGTTGCGCGTCGTCCAAGTACTTGGTCGAACGGTCCCCGTATCACTGAAGCCTCCGCCACAGCGGCGATGCTTAGCAGGCCCACGACGACACTCTTTGCCAACATCTTGACGGGTTTGTTGGGAGGGATTGGGAGAAGTTTCCTTTGGAAGACGGGTAGAGACCACACTGATTCAGGGCAAAAATAAAAACTAAAAAGTTCAATAATGGTTCCAGACCGTAATCGAATAGTGGAAAAGAAGATCACAGAGGGTGGGCATAAACAATAGCTATCGAAGGAACGAATGAATGAGACCACACGACCAGCTCATGGAAGAAGAGAAAGGAATGATAAAAGGATAATGAGTCCAAGAAAACTAAGATGGAATGAAGAGGGAGAGAGAGATGGGATAAAGGCCAAGCCAAGACTTCCTTATATGTCTATCCCGGAAGGCAGGTTTCAAGGCACGACTAGTGCTCGACCATGGTTGAGGCCCAGCTTTCCGCTACGAGCACTACACATGTCTGCTTGGGTCCTTGTCGATACCATGGACAGGAGTTGTTGTACCCACTGCATCAAAACGTTAAACCGCGAGGTACTTGGGACGAGAGAAAAAATGACAGGACCTTGCAGACGCCCCCGGTCAGTCTGAAGGCGGGCTACGGGAGCCCGTCGACGCAAAGCTTACACCCCTGTTCATTCGGCTCCTAGCATATCCACAGGAGCGTTTTTTTTGGCCAGGGGGCAGGCCGGAGACGTCAAGTTGCGAGCATGGGAGGGAGGTCATCTGAACTAGGCGGGATGGCGTTCCGAGATGGCCCTAGCGCGGTCTGATGTGCTGCAGATGCGACAACGGGCTGTGCTATCAGCTGAATTGTGTAGTAGAGCATCGCTGGGAACTGTGTCAAGAGCCACAAAGATTAGGTCCGCTTGTCCCCCGAAACCGCACCTAATGGGCATCACAGCATCATCCAATTGAGTTGCCGCTCGCTGCGGCGATAATTTTTTGCCGCCTCCATCGATCGCAATTGTGCAGTGAGTCGTGTTAGATGCGAGGTCAAAATTGAGCTGAAAGGAGATGGCAGTTCGGGAACGACGGCTAAATTGTTTGCGGGGACGTGAGCTCCCTGTGCATGTTGAGGCTCAAAACGTCAAGAGTGTCAGGGGTCCACTCTGCCCCAAGCACAGCCAATCGACGCCGACCGTCCGAGTTTCAGCCAGGTAGCGACGACATCAGGATGAATCCGCAAAAGTCAGAAGGAACGAACTGGGGCCTAAGCGCCAGAGCGCCTGCTATTGGAAGTTGGCGGCAGAAGCTGAACGCCAACCATCCCGTCTCTATGCCTGGGACCTGAAAAAAGACTTGGGACGGTACGCTTTGCAGACTCGTGCGAAACTACATTCTTGAAAATGAAGTGATGAGGCCCAGGATCTGCGCGATCCGAAGATAGAATAGAGCAACGTAACCGTCCAATTCTCTGACAGCAACCGTTCGCGCCGTATCAACCGATGGCGATCTCGCGCTCATGTTCACAGTTTATCGGGCCAAATGTTACATCTTTGCTGATCTGTGTTGTACTGTGTCTATCAGTTGCTTGACAAATAATGACCTTGAGAGAGAGGCGCAGAAACGACCTTCCCTTCTTGGTTCCAACGTCCTGCCTTGCCTCCCTCCTGCATCATCAACGGCCCAGTCTCTAGGGAAATGCGCAAAAGAAGCTTAAACGGATCTCAGTTATTAGATTGCAGAGTGGATACCCAATATAGTGGATTGCCGAGCCGAGTATCGACTCCCTGATTAAATTTGGGGGAGGCCCTGATTTGCTGAAAGGGTCGAGACATGCCAAGACTTAAGCTCGGCGAGATCTACCAAACCTCTTTCCCCTTCTGTTCCCTTTGGAATCCACCGCAATCGAAACACTGTGACCAGAAACACCGGGAATACCAAAACAAGCAGATGCAGTGATCAATGCCTCACTGTAGGCGATGGCATATTTGGTGTTTTCGCTGTCTTTGTAGATCAACAGAACAGGGAGATTCATGAGCCAATTTTGATTTTTCGGGGTTGGCCACTTTCGTCTAGCTGGGTAGCAGCTACCAACGCTATCGCGAAATCCGTATCCACCGTCATTGTTGGTAGGTCCGTGAACTACACCAACCCATTTCCACTGGGTTCTCCTGCAGTGGGAACCTGAGACGACGGATGCCCATCAGCCTCGAATTTCTGCATGTCCTCTTTAGCATTGCACTGTACCATGGTGGTAAGGCTCAAAATTCCCTCGGCAAGCAGACCCGAACGTCTGGTTGCACTGAAATCCTCCTTCGATTCTACCCAGGAGCATCTGTCATGCTCACCCACTTTCTCGTCATTGCCCCCCGCGTGCGCTTGACAGAGTCGCATGAATACTTCAGGCTATTCAGTCATCCGTACATGATCCTCGTAATGGATCCAGAAGGATCCATTGTCTCCGTCTGCGGTACCGATCATATTCCGAGATATTCCTTGGTTTCCGTGCACAACCCCAAAACACCTGGGCATCGGTTGGGTTAAATACTCTCGTTTCAAAGATTACAGCCTTCAGAACTGAATGGGATGACAAGTGCAGCATCAATGCGATCCCAGGAACATGTCCCCAAGTACCGTGATGACTTCAGATGATCGACTTAAGCAAGCATCAGTAACTCCACCAGCATTTGATCTACAACTTCAGTGTTACGAAACAAATCGACACGGAAGATTCACGATAGAAACGACTTTTCAAACTGACCGTGGTATATTGCACGATTCATGATAACATAATACCAGTATCTCATTGTTCTAACTGGTGGCTCAAGCATTCTTAGTGTAATGTTCGTTGCTAATATTCGGCGACCGGGCCAACCGACCAAAATCCCCCACCTGCATACGGAGATGAATTTCTCAGAAACCACTCATTTGCTCGTACCGAGGTTCGTTTGCTCTTCCAGATGATCATCATCGATGTTTTGCTGCCGCCCCCTATCCTGGTAACTATTACCTTGCCCCAGTGCCTCTAGTGGGTCTTCTGGCTCGGAAGGTGGGCGCGTTTGAGGCGTCGTGACAGTTGAACCCATGGTGAAACACGTAACAGCCCAGGTGTTAAGATCAAGGGTATCACGTGCATCCCAAGCGAGAGGAAGCGTCTGCATCCGATTTCTGTTCCATTGGTAATCAAAGGCCGAATGAGACTCGGAAACCGAAAACTTGACAAGCCGTCATGGTTTTGTAACACTGGGCGACAGGGCGACCTCGGCCCATACGCGGAGATTGATCTAGTAAGCTTTTGGCATGATGCAAGCACTCTGGCGGTCTTTAGCCAATGACTTCTACGTTCACCATATCCGCCGAGCAAACGATGGAGATTGCGGCGCAAGCTTGTCTCTTCAACTTTGATCGATGGGTGGTGATATTTCTAGCTGCGTTCGTACATAACTGCAACAGCCTGCAACAGACGTCGCAGTTAAGTTGAGGCCATGAAGGTTGTTTTTCTCGGCTGCCTTGTTTCGTGAAAGTATGCCCCGCATCCGTATTATCCTGTCCACATCTTCCAAAGGCGTCTTGCCTCCTTCTCCATCGGGATTCCAAGGTAACCTCCTGGCAGCAGCATCCCCCTTCAATAGGTAGCTGGCTCCCCTCTGTGCCCTCTCCTTGAAACTTCTGTTGGTCCATTTTCACAGCTCCTCACTACCGACAGCTTGGGCCGATTGTGTGATGCGGTCCACGATGAGATCCAACCACGCCGCCAGTCGGTAACCGGCACGAGCTACCTGGAGCTCAATGACAGGCGCCGCCTTCTCAAAGTATTCCCCTGCGAGTTGCTGACCAACAATCTCACGGGGGCCCTCCGGCAAGACTAACCGAGACGCATTAGAACCCAGTTTGTAAACATGGGATGACATGAGGGGCACACTACCGTGGGAGCAAATGAAAGCGTTGGACTCGTTGGCCCAAGCCATGGAGGTTGCGATCGGATCATCGAGGTTCATCCCGTCGGTCCAGGATTTGGACTGCGCCATATACTTGCCCGTCTGGATCTCCGATGAGAGATTCGCTGCCCACTCGAATGCGGCCTGATACTGCCTTCTGCGGACTCCTCCCAGCATCTTCTCGGCGATACTCGTATCCCACACATGGTGAAGATTGAGCTCGCTGTTTCCCCACTTGACGTGGATGCCATTGCCTCCCTGGGCGACATTTTCGGCATGCAGCGGTTGATGAATATCGCCTACGAAGTGGATGACAAACTTCGCCGCCTGGGCACGTCTCCAGGGATACAGACTACTATCGAAGAGCTGAAGCGTGTAGTTCTGGATGGAGCTGACTACACACCCGTCTTCCTTGCAGTCTCTCTCGAAGTCGACCCCGCAATAGCTCGGTGGTGTGTCTTTGGCATCGATGAAGTGGAAGTTCTTGGTGAACCGACCCCATTTCGTATACCTGATGGAATCTTTTCACACAGTTATGATGTTGAAAGATACCGGCGATGATTTAGTGGCTTACCTGCCCAGGTGGCAACCCCGGCCATATAATGCTCAGTGTCATTTCGGAGAAGATCTTGGAAATAAGTCGCAGTATCCTCTTTCACAAATTTGGTTGCAATGTAGGCGACGGTGATATGTCCCAGGCCTGTCACTTGTCAGCAAACACCCATTTTATGTCAGTTGCTTATGAGGCAAATCTAATAAATCGACCACTACCACTCACTTCCCCAAGCATGAACTGTTGGCACCGCCAATAGCCCTAGAGCTCCGATTCCTGTGGTTAGTCTCATGACTCTATAGGATTGGGAATGAGCTAAACCAGCAGCAGAATTGTCGATGTTTGGATACGTTTGAGAGGCTCAGTACAAGATAAGCCAAATTATCAAACAAGTCTTAGCTGATTATCTTAGTTACACAACGACGCGAGACTATTTGACACAAGAGAATCTCTGGTATCTCTGAATATGTAGCGCCGAGTTGAATGATTGGCACGTCCCAATGTCGCGTACAGGCGACGATTTGTGGTTGCTGAGGGAACGTGTCACTGGTTGAAGATGGATCTCCAATGATTCATTCTGGACCCTCTTCAGATTACCTGCATGAACCAATGAGATGCGACACATGTAAGCCAGCTTAGCAGTCCCTATCGACTCATTGTCCAGTCCAGTAAGTGAGAGTGACTTCAACGGACATTGAATTGATTCATTGAAGACGGAATCCAGCACTTCAAATAAGTTCAGTCATCCGATCGCTTGCGGCGCTACGCATACTTAAGTAAGTACCAAGGTACCTGTCTGAGTGGATGCTCGGGCGCAAAAGTGGCGTACAGACGTTCAACGTCATTGCCGCCTATAAACAACCAATTAACGCTCACTGGTCCCTAGATGCATCGACCCAGAAACGCTAAACCTTTCCGGAACTCATTACACCACCCCTACAGCCAAACATGCGTCCTTATCTCTCCCACCGTCGTGATAAGGCAAGAAAATCCTCCAGCTGACTCTTGCACTCCGCGACCAACTGACCTGATATCGGACGGCGCATTCGAGTCTGACTGCTTTTTATTCAATCGACGGCTGGAAGAGCATTCCCAGCTTTCCAAATCCATTCCCATACCAATATCTACAGTGAAGATGTCCAACATGGCGTTATCGCACAACGTCACAGTCAACCAGGCGTTATCGGGGATCTTTGGCAGCATCAGTTTAACAGCATGGATATGTCTGCTGGTAGGTGTTTCGAGAGACTGGAGGAGGGTCTGGGTAGCAATATAGCGAGCTCTGCTAACTCTGGTAACCAGATCCCACAGCTCCTCACAAATTACAGAGCCAAGTCGGCTGAAGGGCTGTCTATGGCCTTCCTGGCCGTGTGGCTTTTCGGTGACATCGCAAACCTCTCTGGTACGTCGTATGTTCTTTTCACCCCGCCGCGTCAACTGGTCGATTTTGTACACCCTGGGCAGAAGCTCAGCATTGTCCATGAACCAAGCTGGACGAAGCTACCGATACCTGTACTTTGTTATCAAGTCGAGTCACTACCGTACTTGCCTTTGTTAACCGCGTTCCCAAAACCGCAGGTGCTCTCGCGACGGGCCTCGCACCCACGGCAACAGCATTAGCAGCCTACTTTTGTTTCTCCGACATCGTCCTCATCACCCAATGCCTCTACTACAACACCCTCAACGCGCGACGCGCGCGCCAGCGTGCTCAATCAACAGCCACCAATGAGTCGGAGGAGGAGCCGCTGTTGCGCAGACGGAGGACATCTTCCACTGGGCTTCCAGGCTCGCACCGCCGAAACTCGGTTAGACATGAAGACTTGGGCTTCGACCCGATTGCATGCATTGTGACGGGTGAAGACGAAACGCCGGGCAGCAACTTGTGGCTCAACAACGCACTTGCTATTGCCGCCGTGCATATCGTTGGAGCAGCCGGCTGGTTCGTCTCGTATCGAGTTGGTGCTTGGGACGGGCCCGATACTCCGGATGAGCCGGCGACGGAGTCGCCAATTGCAGTTCTTGGTATGGCGTTAGGATACCTTAGTGCGCTGTGCTATCTCTGGTATGTTTTCTGTCGACTCAACCCCATGGTGATGAAGTTATGCTAACATGGATCAGTGCTCGAATCCCCCAAATCATCAAGAATTACCGAGAGAAGTCGTGTGAAGGTATGAGCCAAATGTCATTTACTTCGTGGAGGTAGTGAAACTAACAACATGACAGGCCTGGCATTGCTGTTCTTCCTTCTGTCTCTGACAGGCAACTTAACATATGGCTTGAGCGTCTTCAGTTACTCTCAGGAGCCCACTTACATCGTCAAGGCGGTACCATGGTTGCTTGGCTCCCTCGGAACGATGGTCGAGGACTTTGTCATCTTCTATCAGTTCCGAATATACGCCCCTAACCGGGGATTGAAAAACAACGGAGCGGCGTGAGCATGCTTGATTGACGCTATTGGAGCTTCGGTTGTCTGTCAGTCGTAAACCTTTGCGTAGCGTCATGTCCTAGATTTGCATTATTGGGGTGCCAGGAACTTGTTTATTTTGCATTGGGAATTGGCCCGGATGGAGGCTCTCCAATATTTATTGGGAAATCCTGCATTGTTGGGGTATAGATGATGGGTTTGATTTTATATACCAAGTCGCGCGAGTTTGTGAGTAACGCATTGGGCTTTAGCGCTTCGCTGGTTAATGTAGAGAACAATTTGAAGACTAAGTGCACACTTCACTACTCAACACTGTATAAATAGTTAGGTGATGGCAATCATGATCGAGGACACGACTACTTGCTCGTAATTAGTTCAGTTGTGGCTGACAGCTGGAGTTAGTGTGGTCAGCGAGCACCCAAGTCGGTAGACTCGTGGTGACAATATTGCAGTCTGAAGGTGTGGTCTCGTCTCCACTGATCACGAATTATACATTTGCCTACTTGAATGCGTTGAAAACATTGAACTCGGGCTCTCTCAGCGTATTCCTACTCATAACCCGACGCACTCATTCTCTTGCTTACTTGTTTGTACTCAGGTTCACTTATAATGTCATTCCCCAAAATTAGTCCTCGCTTATACACCCGCTCGCTCTCTCATAACGCTACTCACTCTTAATCAATTCCATCCGCAGCTCTAATCACTCAACATCCCGTTCAGCGTCCATTCCTTTTCCAAACCAACGCTTAGCTCATGTACATCACTGCATACCACCCACCTCTCTCCTGTTCCTAGTCTAGGACTCGAGAAGCTCGCAGGACAGAGACTCTCCGAAGGGCAACAGCATCGGCAATATGAGCGTCAGGGCTTTCGCATCGTTCTACTGGACATGAAGCAGGCGCGTGGAGTAGACATCAGCCGGCACCACAAGAATAGAAAAGAGACAAGTTCGTTGGTTTGAAAAGGGGTGTGGATTGCTCAGGACCTTTGTTGATGCAATTGAGAGAGTTCGCGGCCTGTCGGTGTGGCTCAGGGATGCGAATGTCGTGTGTCAGATACGTTCGAGTGCTTACTATGGTATCATGGGTAAGTTTTCTATTGCGTGTTTGTACCGTGCCCCACCTAGGCACGCGCCAACTCTTCGCTACCTGGCTTGAAGGGACCTTCATAGCTGTCTGAATATGATTAAGAGAAAACGTTGTAGTAGTGTGAATTTCGGCTTTCGATTTACCACCGTTGAAATATAGGGTTCGAATTCGTTGGCGATCCGCTTCTGTAAGGTGTTTAGTCCCCATTGTAGTTGCTGAATACGCGATAATTAGGACGCGTTAACAGCAAGTTGGAATCAGAGGTGGAAGTACCTTTTCGTTACCATGAGTAGGCTAGGCAAGAATCAGTATAGCGTTACCTTGACAGTGGTCCACTGGTACTTGTCAAGGGGGTGAAAACTTTGGCCTGATACCGTAGTATACATAAGAAGCAGTGGATCAATGGGGTCATGAGGCGCAGTGTGCGCTAGGATTGTGCGGCTCTCTTATGCAAGGGGCGATGTCATCACGCCGCCGGAATTCCAGTCCTTACACTGATGCTGGGACACATAGACCAGCTTGTGCCCAATAGCAGACCATCTCAACGTTAGAAACAGGCCCCAGCCATTCGCCTATGATTTACTCCTATCTAGCTAGGACATTTCGTGCGCGAAGTGTACTTCTTTTGTGAAACCCAGTCTCCTGGTGCCTCTTATTATTTTTCGACTATGGTACGGAGAATTGCGATAAAGTATCGTGCTGTTACTCTGAAATATTATACTAAGAAACAGAATATCGTATCCCAGTTGTTCCCGCAATACCACGCTTTCCTTACAAAAATCAGGTATCTTGCCCGTGATTCGTCGTCTCGTTACTCGCCCCATCCAGATGGGTTTGGCTGGTTTTAGGGAGCGGTGATCGATCAACGACAATGAAGAATAGGCGCCGCCTCCTTCCCCTTCTTTTCTCTTCCGCCCCCGTCTCCTTGCTATGGAAACTGAAGTCTATCACCGCCTGTACCCGGCCATCCAGTCGAGTCTCTCCAGCACCCCCAGTCAAGGAGGCGACACTGCCATGGTAGAGTTGTGGTTTTGATTGTACGATTACAAGTGTGTGCGGTAAATAGCTGCGATCCCAAGACACGCCACAGTCGAGGTTTCCCTTCAGTTTCCATCGGCCTCCACCATTACGCTGGGCGAGATATTACGTTCGGAGGGGCCTGTTTCTGTTAGTTCAACGAGTTTACTGTGTATCCAGCCAACGAGAAAAAAACTTACCCACAGCCCTGAGGGGTTGTCACACCGTAGAAGCAATCATTCGGGGCCTTGGGCACAACTTGGTTGGCGCGAATTGGCGTGATCATAACCCCAGCCGAGGCCATCGAGGCGGCAAAAGCCATGACGATTGCGAATGCGGTCTTCATTTTGACTACTTTTAAGATGTCGTTTGTCTTTGGTGGCTGCTTGTAGGTTGATGGACAGATCGGACTTGTTCGATGTTCGATTATAGGGCAAATAGTGACTACGCTTATCCGGCAGAGGCTGGGTATATGGGGCGATAATAGCAGACCAGCTGGCGTTACTTGCAAGATGTATGTGCAGAGAAAGGATGATTATTCAAGCCCGTCAATAGATACGGACAACAAGGAGACGCAAATCAAATGAAGGTATAACAACGAAGATCGCACAACAGGGAAGGAGAGAAGAAAGATGTAGAAAATCCAAGAAACGGAGAAATCAATAATACCACCAAACCCATGTTTCTCGCGCAGGAGGATAGAGCCGCAAAAGCGACATTTTGTCACTGAACTCCGTAAGGGAAGGCAATGCTTGGCCAATGGAGACGGCGTCTGAGGGACCCAATTGGCCGAATGGCACAGCCTGGTGCCATCCTAGTGTCCATGGCAGTGGCTGCGGAGTGTCTGCGACGATGTTCGTCACAGGGGACGGAGATGATGGGACGGGGTTTCAGAAGCGAAACTACTGGCCATGGCGAATGGCCGGGCGAGCCGCTCGCTCTCTGCAGCGGGAGGTCGGCAGTTGCCAAGGAAGTTAAAATCGGTATGGGTTCTGTCGACTTATGGCAATTTGGCGAAATGCGACAGCAACTCGTATTTAGGAACGGCCGCGAAAAGAGCAATTGTTGTTGAGGGATTGCAGCTCGATATATCCGAAACGAGCTCAAGGGTTCAGGTCAAGAGATACGTTGGTGTCTAGCGTTCATTGCCGTGGTCAGCGCCGCCGGGAAAGCGTGAAGGGATGCAGAGTTCGGCAGGGCCACCCGTTTGGGCTCGGTGGGGTATCAGGGGGTCCCATCCTTTGCCGCCAGGGGCTATCCTAGTCGGTTTTGAAGTTCGGTAGGGATGCTTGCTTGACAGTTTTTGATCGGCCGAGAACGCCTCGTGGACAAGTATTGCCAGAGCCTCATTGCGACGTAGAACCTAGTTAGTCCTTATTAAGGCAGGTCGCCGCTGGACACGGCGGAATGCGTATGCAACACTAGAAAAGGGCTCGTTTCATCGTCTACTGAGCTTTCACAGCGTGCGTGTTCGCTGTGATCTGTTGATTCGTACACTCCGCGATGCTCTGGATGCGTCTCCCAATAGACCATGTGTCTTCGTGATGCGATACCAGGTCTTGGGATCCCTTCCACCGCTTGTTAAGGCCACAGTTCTCCATCTGATAAACATGTCTAATTGATAGTGCTCTCACGGAAGCTATCGGTACATTTAATCTATTCGCTGCTGCGCAGCCTCCACGCTTGCCAGCATTCGGTAACACGCCTCACCGTAGTCATGTGTAACTTGGATTAATCACACGACTATTTCAGCTTGATCAGAGATGCTTGAATCTCGAAGTCATCGGATGGCACGACAAGCCAGCAATAAATTTGCTACGCTCGATGGAGTACGCCATGAGTGAACACCTCGAGTACCTAACATAGTTGGCATACCTGGACTGCAACCATTCAGTGATTACGGCAGCTCTCGTTAAAGGCAATAACACGCTTGTTGATCGTACGAGTAAGATGCATATGTTCCAAAATTGGTAGACCAGAGGGTCCCCCCGTTCTGTGCTAGACTGAACATGCCGCTGACTCCTACAAGGACAAGATTGCCACGGTATGAATTTTCTCAAGGAGTAGTCAAGTAATTGTGGGAGAACGCATTGGGCTGATAAGCCACATCACCCATCTCCCGTTTCGCATCGAGAAATATAAGAACTCGAGCTTGAAACTGCGAGCGACAAGCCGAGGCACTGAGATGCCTGCTTGCCTCAGGTCATGTCAAACCTCGTCCGAGTCAAGGAGACCATATGTACAGCTCACTCCAAGCTTACTCCAGCAAAACATCGTCGCCCTGTTACGATCCATCTTGCTCAGACAACATAACTTTCAGGTACTTAGAAACAAGAACCTCGATCTGTTTGGCGAACTCAAGGCTTAGAAACAAGAAGGTTTTCACTTTCGAGTACAATACACATTGCCCACTTATATATGCTGATGAATAATAGATACCATCTAGTTTGTCCGATACGTATCGCATTATCAGAAGTTCCAAGTTGCTGAGGGTGTATTGGTACAGTTCCTACTTCAACCCAGACGAGCCAACGCTACTAAACTGAGCGGAGTCTACCGGATAGATATCTTTTTTGGTCACCTGTGGCATACGTCTAGAGAGGGTGCTACTTCTCAGCCCGCTATAAGATGAGCAAGACTACCACCCAAAGAGGTCCAGCAGAGAATAACCAAGCGATTGCCACATTGGATGAGTTCATCCACCGACTCCATCTGCATACTACTTAATCGCATATCGTTTCTGTCATTTTTCTGGTCAATACAATGTATGTTTTCAACAGTCAGTAGCTAAATAGTGTTGCTAAAGGTCTGGCGGTGGTGATTTAGAGCTAACTGATCTCTCTAGCATAGGAAATGTACTTGATGCTTGTGCTGACAGTTCCCACATGACCCAACGCAGCAAGAGCATATATATGTCGAAATCCCTTCAATTCCGTTTGCAGCTGGCTTAGTAAAGTTTTGATCGCTTCAGGGTTACTAGTACGTCCCAAGGTTGATTGGCGAAAGAAGACCATAGGGTTATTCAGGTCATGCTAAAAATCTCTGAGTTGCATTTTAGCCACAAGCATAGCTATGTGAGCATAATGAAGCTTCTTGACCTACGAACAGGAGAAAGTGAACTTGTGCAAGTATCATGACCGAGAAAAAACTAGCCGTGATATTCTTTTCAAGTAAGTCCAATGCGACCCCATTGAGATTTGAAAGCTTGAGGCTCAAGTTAACTGTCCTTTAGTCCGGTTGTTCAAGAAAGTCACGCCGAGGATATGGGGAGACGCAGGGGTCAACTATGCCGTCACCGCACTGGGGGGTGGGGGGTTCTCTGGGGGCGGGTGCGGGATGTCGAGGCCCCATCATTTCTGGGGTAAGCTTCGTTCTTCAAGGCCAAATCCAGTCTAACATCTTGTTAAACACTACCTTCGGTCTTTTTAGAAACTTGTCTAGCCCAACTTCATCAGGTGAGAAAAAAGACAAGATGTCTGCAGTCAGCCGAAGCCTGCGAACCGCCTCGAGATCATTGCGCCTCCAATCCTCCACCAACTTCCCACGGACAGCTGCCCTCCGTTTATCATCCCGCACCACTGCGAAGCTCGGAGCCGCCCCTAGATTATCAGCAGCCGTAAGCATTGCGGCACCGTCGCGAACGAACTCCTTCTCCACATCAGCAACTAGACAATCTGCGCCCGCCATGCCGTTAGAAGGACGAGAGTACGATCCCGAGATCAAGGACATTGCCGACTACGTCCACAACAAGCCCATTGAGTCGGAATTAGCTGTAAGTCACCAGCGAGTTGCAATGCCCCAACTCGAGCCCCCATCCTCACCCGTCGCGACTTTACCCCGCGTTCCCACAGCAGAACGAATAGCCGCGGCTAACCGGTGAGGTTGTCGACGCTTATAGTTCGACACGGCACGATGGGTATTCCTCGACACGCTTGGCTGCGGTCTCGAGGGCCTACGATTCAAGGAGTGCACAAAGCTTTTGGGGCCAGTTGTTCCAGGAACCGTGGTTCCTAACGGCACCAAAGTCCCAGGTACCGACTTCCAGCTAGATCCCGTCAATGGCGCCTTCAACATCGGCGCCGTGATCCGATGGCTCGACTACAATGACTGCTGGCTTGCAGCAGAATGGGGCCATCCCTCTGATAACCTGGGCGCCATCCTCGCCGTCGCCGATTGGATCACAAGAACCAACAAGGCGGGCGGTAACCTAGCGGGTGGCAAGCAGTTCACCATCAGGGACGTTCTGGAGGGCATGATCAAGGCACACGAGATCCAGGGTTGCTTGGCTTTGCTCAACTCGTACAACAAGGTCGGATTGGATCACGTGGTGCTCGTCAAGGTTGCCAGCACCGCCGTGGTCTCCAAGATGCTGGGTCTGAGCGAGAAGCAAACCGCTGATGCCGTGACCCAGGCCTGGGTTGACGGACAGAGCTTGCGAACGTACCGCCACTCGCCCAACACCATGTCGCGAAAGTCATGGGCCGCCGGTGACGCATGCCAGCGAGCTGTGAGCCTGGCTCTCAAGGTGCTCAAGGGTGAGCCTGGCATCCCCACCGTCCTGTCTGCCCCCGTTTGGGGATTCTACGATGTCCTGTTCAAGGGCAACAAGTTCGAATTCCAGCGCCCTTACGGCAGCTACGTTATGGAGAACGTCCTGTTCAAGGTGTCATACCCGGCCGAGTTCCACTCGCAGACGGCCGTGGAGGCGTCACAAAAGATCCACCGCCAGCTCAAGGAGATGGGCAAGTCGGCCGCTGACATCAAGGCCGTCACCTGCCGCACCCACGAGGCTTGCATACGCATCATCGACAAGCAATTCAAGCCCATGGACAATTTTGCCGACCGTGACCACTGCATCCAATATATGTGCTCCGTCATGCTCGTATTCGGTCGCCTCGAGGCTACCGACTACACTGATGGCGGCGAGGCAGCCACATCTCCGCTCGTCGAGTCTCTCCGCCAGAAGATCAAGTGCGTCGAGGACCCACAGTACACCCAGGACTATCACAACCCTGAACTTCGCACCATCTCCAATGCTCTTACTGTAGAGCTGAACGACGGCACTACGTTGGACGAGGTTGTGGTTGAAGCACCTCTCGGCCACCGTCTGCGAAGAGAGGAAGCTAAGCCCCACATCCTGGCCAAGTACAAGAGACATCTTGGCCCGCACTTCTCGGAATCGCAGGTTAAGGAGCTAATTGACCTGGGTATGGATGGCAAGAAACTGGAGGCCATGGCGGTGGATGAGTATGTTGACAAGTACGTCGTCAAGGACAGCAAGTTCGTTTAGATGGGCTTCTATGGTGCTTTCAGCCGGAGTGTTTTACAGTTAGAACGTGTAGATAGTGACACTGAATTAGATTGACTAGGTTCATACGTAAGTTCAAAATTTTCTCCTAGTCCTTCTATTGAGCTGTTTCCCAGCTTTAGAGCGGACGATCTGAGGCATTGATGACATAGGGCCGTATGGGGAGACGGAAATATTTCAGATCTTCAGCTTCATATCCATCCCCCGCTTATTCGCAGCCGCAAATTGCAAGTTCTCGTTCCCCGGCACGGGGTTCAAGACACTCCCAATCCCATCCACACGGCCATTCCCGCCCTGCATAATGGCCGCATAGCTATTGGCCATCAACTGCACGCCATTGACAAAGTCCGCGCCATCAAACTCGCAATGTCCCGAATTGGGCGTATTATCCACAGTCTGCAGCTGCCCGATCTGCGCCACGCTCAGCCCCGCGGCCGTAGCCGCCTGCTCGTATGTCTGGATTGCCTCAGGGATCGCAGGCTGCAGCAGCGTCAACTCCTGCTGCGTGCTCTGGTAATGAATCCGTGTGCTGGCCATGACGGCGTCGGCATCCACGAAATTCACTTGTGGTGTTAAAGCACCGCAGTTTAGCATCACGCCGTTGCCTTTAAAATTCGTCATGTGCGCGGGGACAAAGAAACCGCTGAGGAGTAGACTGCCACCGGACACGCCCGTGAAGAAGACGTTGGAGCTGTTGAACGCCATCATCTGTGGGAGCACGTCGGTGATGAGGTCGTTGACCGCTTGGGCGTGGGCTACGCCGTCAGTGCGGTCCAGGCCCGAGCCGCCGCCCCAGAAGAGGTTCGGGTCGGGGGCAAGAACGGCGACGCCCATGAGGTTGCCTTGTACGGCTTCTGTTCATCTCTCGGTGTCAGTGACTGCTCCTTGTTTACGTGGTGTCTTAAAAATGAACGACTGCTTTCCACAGATTCTATCACCCCTGCCACGCGACATATACAGAATAGGGAATAAGGACTTGGAGAATTACGCACGATTAGGCATGTCAAAGAAGCTTTGACCTCCATCGCCGTGAAGAAGCACGTTGAGGCCGTTAGCACCTTGGGCGCCGGCGACTTGGGTGGCTCCATCAACACCTGAGGCCGTTGTGAATTGGTCGGCGGGGCCGGAGATCTTGAAGCGGATGTCGAGGCCGCTAAAGAGAGATATTAGCGTGTTTCAGTCCAGGAGAGAGGAATGGTGGCACCACATACTTGATAGTTGCGGTGGTGTCCACGATGGTTGAACCATCTGTTGCCTGAGAGATACCCTGCGGGATCTGGGCGGCTTGGTCCTGAGCAGTTTGTGCCGTCTGTCCGCCGCCATTCCTACCACCCCTACCACCCCGATTCTGCGGCGCTGCCTCAACAGCCCACAACAACCCAAGGACTAGGAGTGAACGAACGGTCAACATTCTGTTCAACTCAATTGAAACCGAAAAAAGACTAATTATATATATGAATAGAAGTAAATAATGAAAAGGGGACGAGCCGGCCGTAAGAATGAAACGATGAAGCGAAAGACCAACAACCTTAGAAAAAGAGTCAAAAGATGGAGTTGGATGATTAGAGACCTGCTACTGGAAAATTGCCAGACAAGAGAAAGCGGCTCACCTACATAACAGCTTTTTTTTTCCCCTTCCCAGAAACGCATTCAACATCCCCCGGCATATATGATCGCCCTTGTGCATCTTGGAAGAAACGCCAAGACAGCGAGTAAGTGCAAGTTTTGGTCCATCCATGGGCCGGGGCAGCACTCGCAAAAAGACCAGCCAGTTAGAGGTTTTGTCATTCTGATACACCACCCTACTTCAGTAGTTGTCAATAAGCTCTCGGCTGAGCCTCCTCTCGTGTTTCGTAGCTAAGAACGGGAACGTCTTGGCAGTTTGAGCGGACCCTGTTCACCCCACAGCGAAACCCCTTTGGGATCTTGATTGGGAACATCTCGAAGTTTGCCCCATGCGGTTATGCACTCCAATACCATTATTGACTATTAGTTGGGATGACATGTCACAGAATGGGGCAAGTGGTACTTAGTAGAGGCGAGATTTGCTGGTTTGTGGGAGTGGATGCTCCTCACCTCATCGCAACGTCCCGACGTTGGTGTTGAGATTCGTGACATTTATCCTTGAAATAAGCTGGACGGAAGGTCATGTTTCGAGGTACTTTCATTATTCAAGCCCGCCTAGCAGAGGCTGCACCGCTTTTATTGATACAGTATCCCGAATTCTACAGTGTCCCATTTATTTAACCTCGCCATCACGCACAATCTGGCTACAAACTAGGTGCCTTCATAGGAGCCGGCAAAAAAAAGCAAAAATTCGGAATCACCCAAAGAATACCACCAGCGCCAGGGACTGCATGTTGACCAAGACTGTCTTGCCAAGCCCCTTCGAATATTACTCCATTATCCCATGCAATTGTGTAGAAAATGACAGTATATACGAATATAGATGCGAAAGTATGATTGGCTCGAATGTGGCGCGAAGTTGGATGAGCGGGAATTGCACATGGAAATGTATAGTTCTGTTTGGTACGGTTGTATCTCACAGCCAAGAGCCGTGGACAACCGGCTCAAATAGCAGCCAGTGCTTCGATAAGAGGATTCTAGTAGCCTGGCCGACTGTGCACTAGCGTAGTCTGTGCCATACGGTTGATGATTTCGAGTCTGATGGGGATCCCTTGTGCAGGGTATGGGAATATCTCCAACAAATCGAAACGCTGGGTAGAAGAGATTTGACACTCTCATGGGCGAGCGTAGAATCCTGGCGTTGCCAGCGTGAGGATTGAAGATGACCGCCATCATTCAGGCGCCAGCCGCTGCCTCCAACTCGGGTGTTGGGCTTAGATCATGCTTATTCTGCATGTGTCTCCGCCAATTATCCTTGCGGGGGAACGCTTTCCCGCCCTTGAAGTATGGGCAACTCGGTTCAGTGCAGTGATATCCTTTTTTCTTTTCGTGCTTGTCATTGATATGACGATCTAGATGCGTCTTTGTGCCGAATTTCCTATCGCAGTTCGGGTAGGTACACTCGTGTTTGCGGTCATGATATCGCTTATGGTGATTCAACTTGTGTATCTGGTCGAATTGGCGTCCACACTCTTCACATTTATACGGCGGTTTGAGCGAAAGGCCGGTTTCCGGCGAGGCACTACTCTCCGGCTGCACAAAGCCGTGAAACCCTGGAGATGGGGATGGGGTGATTGTTGTATCAGGTGTCCTTCCACTAGATGGATTCGTTGAACTTCGACCTGGGGTTGAGTAGTCGGATGGACCGTCATGCTGAACAGGTTCCTGGATTGCTGGAAGCACATTGTAATCTGCACCCATCACCTGGCCACCATACCCATCCGCAATCATGTCTTGGCCGCCATCCTCGTCATTATCCGCGCCCTCGTCTTCCTCGTCACTCCCATCATAGCCTTGCTGGTCGTCCGGAATGTGCTGCGGCGAAGCAGAAGGTGACGCGCTATTTTCAATTCGGAGGACCTCCGCATCATTCCAAGCAGCTTTCTCCGTGGCCGTGGTGGGCTGTAAAATGGCCATGGGAGATATGAATGATTCTGGCGGTAAAGGAGGAGAGTGAGAACCACGGATGGCACGACGTCCGGATGGGTCTGTGAATTCCACCATATCCACGTCCACGTCCATGGGCTCCGGTATACCTGGGCTCTGCAATCTTTCTCGTGTCGGTTGGAAAGAATCGTCCCCTGTCTGGGCGGGCTCTTGATGAGCAAAGTCCTTGGATGAGAAGGATGTTTGGCCTAGGGCTGAGGAGGGCAATTGGGGGTCTGGGGTCGGTTCGTCTCGTAACGCCGTCCTAAGTGAGTCCAGCCGATGTGGGACCCCAAATGTGTCCTGAGAATCAACCTTCCGTTTGGATTTCTTCTTTTGGTGATGGTTTGTTTCAACCGCATCGCTGATTTGCTGAGGTTCTTCGTATATGCTGGCGCTTTTGGAGGCGGATGTGAAAGCACTCATGTCCCATCGTGGCTGGCCAGGTTCAGGCTGTACACCACTGGGACCTTCTATCGATTCCAAAGGTAGATCTGCTTGACGATCTGATACAGGTGATGCTTGAACGGGGCTTGCGTGGGTTACATCGGAAGAATGGGTTGAACGTTTCCTCTTCATGCTGTTTAGAACTCGGCTAATGGTTGAACCTTTGCTGTTCTTGCGCTCCTTGCGCTTCTCTCGCGCAAGCCGGAGCTGCTCTCGATACAGCTCCGTCATCTGTCTAGATGGTGGTGCCATTGGTTCAACCTCGGGATCGGAATCCATGGGTATAGTTTCGTCATAATAGCTGGCAGCTGCGGCCAACGCAGCACAATCCATCGATAAGGTGGTAGTAGTAGTAGTAGTACCTTGACCCTCTGAAAACGGGACCGAGGTCCTTCCAGACGGCGAGGGGTCATAATCTTGGACGTAGGCGTGTTGCTCTGAAGCGGCGGGAGCTTGCAAGGCATCATTCCTTTCCGTGGACTGGGGCGATTGGTGAAAACCAGGCCCATCGGTAAAGACGGGCACACCACGCTCTGAAGTCCCATCTTTTAGCGACTGGGCTTGATCCCTTTCCTGAGAATCGCCTTGTCTAGGGAACGAAACTCTTCTCGAGAGGGTGTCTGTGGCAGTTTGGAGGGATTTCCGCTTGTAACGGAAGTATAAAAACCCTAAGATCAGAAACACCAGGGCACCGCCCAAGACGGAGCCCACAACTGCTCCGGCAATTACGCCGGCGTCTACGGATTCCGACCGCGCCACAACGGCGGCGCGGGATACTGGAGCGAGCACCATGGCTCGCGGAGTAAAAGTAGAGTGTCGCCTTGCCGCCGGCTTGATCGTATCCCCAAATGCTGGCAGCGTCGTTCGATCGAGAAGACTCGATCTGATGGTGTCAGAAACATGCAGCTCGGCACGGGGAGCCATCGCGTCGGTGAAGAAGGATGGTGTGGTCTGGCGCTGCGAAACGTAATACACACGTGCGTGGGTGTGAGACGGCGGGTTTGAGAAGCCTCGCAGGCCGACCGAAGGGTCAGAACCGGCTAGCCCACCAGGAAGGCAGCCTGGAATTGAAGGCGCGAGATGGGCGCGCCGTCGAATCTGATGGGATATCGATTGAATCGACGGTCATGGTCAGACGAAGCAGAAGTGGATGACAGGACGTTGGAAAGAGGCCCTGTTCCTCTAATTAAGAGGTTCAGCCTCATGCGATGGATGGAGTGACGTTTGGTCGTATTGGCCCCCAATAGAGGCCAGGATTGGAGTCCTCCCTCGCTTCTCGGGTGGGTGTCGTGCGACTGTTAACATATTAGGTCCGGTCGCTCTTTCCACTGCTAAGATTGCCGCACTGGAGTTATGCTACGGTAAGGCGCTAACTGGGAAATGCGGATCTCCATTAGGTAGGCCCACCCCCGGCGGCCATCTCCAGCTGCGCCACAGGCTAAGCCCCGACTGGGAAGGGGGTTAGTCGAAAATTCGGCGAAACGCGAATGACTGCAGCAGATAGATAAGTGCGGCCAAGTCCCGGCCCCCCTACTCTAACCTCCAACAGTTACAGATTGGAGACTCTTTCGATCTGCAGCACCACGAACCGAGGCCATAGCGTACTCACAACTCGGTTGGCAGTGGCCTTTGAACGGCGGTATATCGTCTTCGTGCGCAGCAAGTGCTGCCCAACACACCCATTGCTTGCATCCATAACCAACCAATCTGATTTATTGGTTCGTACATGGCCACATAATTGATCATTCTTTCAACTCTTGAAAGTCGTCACCCCAGCTTGCTGACTAAGATTCGGTATTTGTTTTGGCTGCAGCAGCTCTAGGCTCTACTTACCTTGTACAACGAGACTATTCACTACAGCTTTCTGGCTGATAGGAACAACTCACTGGACATGGATATCAGCTCTAAGTGCGGCTGTACCCTTCCAATGAATGAGAAAAGCTTCATCTAGAGTCAGCACTGGAGCTCTTTCAATCCGATCTAAATCACCAGCAGCTGGAGCAGTGCACTTTCAGGGTAGTAACTAAGCAACCGATCGGTACTCCCCAGATGAGATTATGAGAGCTAATACGAACTTGGTGTCGTGAAACTATATTTCCGATGTGTGCTCAAGGAATGACCTGGATAGGTCAAGGTCTATTCCGAATATTCTCGATTCCATCGAGTCTGTGAGGCTTGTAAATTAAATATCCCATCACGAGTTCTCATACAGCCCGTTGAAGAAGCTTCGATAATACATGTCGCAATTGTTATCATTAGTACTTTCAGCGAGTAAAAAGCAGTGTAGCAGATAGGCGATCCCTAAGTCACGGCTCTGGGCTATACACAAAAGGGGGCTGGCTAATAGCTTATTAAGCCCCAAGGGGGAAAGTAAACAACAATCATCAAATCGGATTGTCGAGGTTGAAATGTCCCAATTGTGTCAAACAATCTCAGACTACTGGGAGTTGTTAGGACGTAGTCATTGTTTGTCCGATGACCAGTCCTTGAAGTTCCTCAAAATAAGTGCATATGTAATGTACGTTGCGGTACCAAGAACTATTGGGCGGATTAGGACATGACATATATAGATGAAGGTATACTACACACTCCTCAATGTAAAATGGATAAATTATCCTCGATTGCGATTCAACAATGTGCAGGAAAACGAAAGACTCGCGAGTAGATACGGATATATCTGGGCTTGGTGCTGACCAACGACCAGACAGAACTGGATCGCTTCAAGATCAAGCCGTGAATTGAATAGTATTGTCAAATAGTAAGACACTCGGGTAAAAAGAAACAGCTACTAACAAGAGATTGCGGTATCTGGAAACGCTATTACCTCACTCACGCTTAGTATAGGTGGCAACTAGCCACGGCACTCAATCAAGTCACCTTCGTCATACAGAACAGCCTCTGATATTGCTTTGAGGTAAAATAAGAAGGCCCCAGAAGCGGCTATGGTCTTATTCCTCTGAACAAATTTGATTCAACTGTCAACCATCGTTGGTGCGTTGTGGTCCGCCGAAGCGCATGCCCTCGTCGTCTCAAGTTTACACTTCATTCCACGAAGTTTTCATCTCAAGATGAACAGCCCGTCATGCCCAGTTTGGGGACTGGGGTATTCATCCATCAATTCGGGAATGACCCGTATGTAGCGCCATTCATGAAGTAATCTGTTATGTCATTAGTCCAAGATCGTAGCATCAAATCTGGTTTTCTCGGCATAACCGGCACGGTTGGGCATTGTTTTCGCACCCATTACAAGACCAACAGTTACTTTACATGATGCAGTCCGGAACCGACCTATGACCGATCATAATATGAACGAGTCGATTCACGATGTCCCACCTGGAGTATCCCAGCTGGATTTAAGGGAGCGGATACATGCGCATGTCCGAGATCTGCGTAACATTTCCAATGGCCATCTTCATCTGAGACAACTGACATGTCATCTCGCTTAGCAGCTGTGTATATCAAGAACGCGATCTGACAGTCGTGACCAAATTCTTGTTCATCGGTAAGGGTTCTTGGCGACTTGGTTGGTTGCCAGAGCATATGGGAAGTTGACAGGAAGATACACTCCTCAGTACAATATCTGCCAAGTACGGGTCTCTTTGTTGGACGACACAGGCTCAATGCCTCGATTGCCGCTTCCTCCCAGGCAATGCATAGATCGCAGGCTTGTCATAAGTTAAGGAACGACTCCATTGTAACCTGAGAGAATAGATTCGAGGTAGGATTGAGAACTTGTTTGAACTAGTTCCTTCCGGTCGTAACAGAACGACACTTTGAGCAGCCGATCGAGGAAGAAGAAAGAAGCGTATCGACCCGGAGCGCCACTGTGCGCGTGGCAGAGTTCGTTGGCTGTAATGTAGACATGGTCGAGCTGACATAGAGCGAACAACTACGCGCAACTGTGAAGACTACTTCAAGGTCGCAATTTCCTGTACATATATGGTCTAAGTACTCCAAAATGTTACTTTCGCTCCTATCTGAGTCGATTCGTAACAGTTCTGCGATAAAGAAAAATACGAAAGATAGCCTTTTCACTTGTTAATAGATATGACAAGTGAATTTGCGAACGGGCCTCAAGTGAAGTCAAAGTAAGCTCTCTTATGGCGGTCGACGCCATGTCGGGTCATAGATAGTCTGCATCCAACATGGCCTACTTGCCTTGCAGCCTTGCCAATAATCTAAGACATGCAGATTGATAGATGCTGGAGGTTAATCCCGGGATATCCCCTCTTGCGTTGTGGCACAGCTGGGTATATCGGTGTGTAGATGATTCAACGATGTGTTCTGGAAGGTCAAGCGTGCCACATGGCTATCCGTATTGATTGGCTCTCATGGTCAAATGCTGTGATACCGTGACCCTATTCCGAACCGTTTTGAATAAAGAAAAACAATGTTCATGCCTTCGCCTGCCGTTACTTCAAGATCGTTTACACGTTGTGGCTTCATGCAAAATAAACCAAGAAAGAGTGCACAACATAGACGTGCGGCCAACAAATCGCATCCAGCGAATAGCATGCCGAAAATTTTCCTGATCGTTATCACGCGAAATGCCATGCGGATCGAACCATGTAGATCGTACCGGCGACCGGTGGAACGTCAGGGAAAAAGACAAGCATACTTCGAGAGCAAAGGTAAAAGCATGGTAGCTATGAGTGCGGTCACGCCGAAACGTGGAATGCCAAGGATGAATCCAATTGTTGTGCAAACTTCCAAAATTCGATCCTCTGTCTAGAATGCTAATGCCAATTCACCATCATCGAAGATAAACAAAGAGATACCGTGGCCGACAGGCCGACAGGGGAGCTCGAGACAGCAGTTCGTTAAGCTTAGGATCGTTTCCTATTGGCAGGGATTTTTCAATGGCACTACTGTTATTAATAAGTTTAAGCGGGGTTTATACGAGATAGTTGGATGCGATCTGGCGGATTTATGAACATGTTCTAGTCAAGAATCAAAAATCCTTTTATGTCGTAAGCTGGACTAGCCTGACCAGTCTGAGAGTATGATCAACGGCTGAACACCTCTCGTCTCAAACCAACCTCGGATGCCTTGCGATTGCCGCCTGAGAATCCACCATATCTATGTCTGGTTAATCAGATCGATAAACTTTGGAAGTTGGGACACACTGTACCATAGTAACTTCCTTGTGAGCTTTCACCTTTCGTACATGGTACTTCAATACACCGACGTCAACTCCGTATGCTTGAGATAATGCTAGAAATCAATTCGTGAAATGCGGCATGTCATTCAAGTCAAATCAATTGTTACTATCCGTCTTTCGCACAGTTTTCTCCTGGAATTCAACAAGTGTAAGTTGAGCTGAGCGGCCTGGACAAACCCCTGGCCGATCCTGGACCCAGCCCACACCAGCCCGGAGAAGTCGCGTTCTCATCCGCAGTTGCCTGAAGCAGCCTAGCCCGAGGTATGGTTCCGGAGCCTCAACTCTATTTGCCAAAATGTTTCGATGTTCGGGCGAAATTTATCTCCGGCGATCACCAAATACTGCTTCGACACGCATAGAAAGTAGCATTTTACACAACAATAAGCCTATTAGAACAGAAATCACGCCTGCCATGAACAGTCACTGGTAGACGTGCTTAGCATGGGGCTGCCCAATGCAGCCACATGTCCTGGCAATTTCTGGAAGTCGAGGCCGTCATGGAGTGGGCTGCGGCGGCCAATAAGTTCCACGCCATCAACGCCTGGCTCAATGTGCTCTTGCTGTTTTCAGACTGTTTTTCCTCCTCTAACCATCATTGACCTCTTGGGGTACATCGCGAATGACGGTTTGGGCCCTACCTGGCCTGAGTAGACCCTCTATACAATCTGAAGCCGCTGTGCCCACCCATGACATTCTGACAGCCAAAGTCTACTTTACCTAGACACACAATCTCGTTAAACCCCATCGCTCCTCTTTCATACATGACAGTCACACATTGACTACTGCCTGTCCGCGTGCATTAGCGTCGACGCAGATGCCAACACACCGAAAGAAGAACCGCAGTCCCAGATACCGCTCACTCACTCCCTTGAGACACAAACTCTACTTCAGTCAGTTGGCCGAGTTGAAGACTCGCAGTGTCTCCAAGAGGTATTCCAACGAACAGGGTTGATCTGCGCCAGGGATCTGTTTCCACTTCGATCGGGGGCTGGGAAGACAAGCGCCTTGTCATTGGTGCTACTCTGCCTTCGGTTGATCGAATCTGCAACAGCTGCTTGCTTGGTCCAATAGGGTGTGATACATTGCCAAGGGTGGATATTAACGAGCAGGCGCTTTCATCTCTTACGACACCACTCTCGCCGAAACGACTATAACCCAGAGCTACGCCAAATTTTCTATCTCAACCTGGCTTGTTAGTTTTATTTAAGAGCCGGGCTGGACGACCATCCGCAAGATACCTAACACAGTCTATCATTGTTCTTGAAGTCAAAACTCCCTGCCACGATGTCGGCGAGCAACGTTCTCGTTTACCTGTTACATCGAGACTTACGGGTTTCTGACAACCCAATCCTCCATTGTCTTGCTAAGTCAACCGACCACGGGTTTACACACTTGCTGCCCGTTTTTGTCTTCCCCGCCCACCAGATAGAGGTATCTGGCTTCATCAAGGATGGGAGCAAGTCACCCTACCCCGAAGCGAGAGGCGAGGTCGGTGGTTTCTGGCGATGTGGCCCTTTCCGGGCCAAGTTCATCGCCCAGTCGGTTTGGAACTTGAAAGAGTCTTTGGATGGTTTAGATAGTGGGCTGACGATACGTGTCGGCAAACCTGCAGACGTGCTGAAGGGCATGATTGGCGGCCTCTGCGACAAGGGCTACACGGTGGGAGCTGTGTGGATGATGTCCGAAGAGGGAGTTGAAGAGAAGCGCGATGAGAAGGCTGTTTCCTCTGTCTGTTCGAACGCCGGAGTTGAGTTCAAGGTGTGGAACGATGAAAAGTATTTCATTGATGAGTGAGTATGGTCCTCGCTGTTCCAAATTTGGACAGAAGCTAATGCTGCTTGTTTATAGTCGTGATCTCGAACTGGACAGCGCCCAGGACCTGCCCGATATATTCACCACTTACCGTAAAACAGTTGAGCCGCTAGCAGAGAGGCCAAGACCTGTACTTCCCAAACCACCCAACTCAACCTTACCCAAGTCCCTATCTGAGTCAGATGTACCCGCACAAGGAGCGCCATTTGAGATACCTTCCGAGTACGACGAGCTGGAATCGGCGCTTTTGTGTCCCGTCAAAGATTTCATTTCCAATCCTCCTTCATTCCCGGAAAACATGGTATCCGCTCATCCCTTCAAAGGGGGCGAAACCGAAGCACTCCACCGGCTACACCACATTGTCGCGTCTGGTGCGGTGTATGCCTACAAGAACACCCGCAATGGCCTGATAGGCACCGACTTCAGCACGAAGCTCTCGGCATACCTCTCGCAAGGCTGTATAACTGCCCGTCAGATCCACGAAGCGCTTACCGCATATGAAGATGGAAAGAATGACGAATACGCTGATGCTGAAGGCTATGGAAAAGGCGAGAACGACGGCACAAAGGCCGTGCGATTTGAACTGCTTTGGAGAGACTACATGCGGCTGTGTGCTAAAAAGTTCACTTATAAGCTGTTTCGTCGATCTGGGTTTCGCGACGACAGCAGTCCCAAATGGAAGACGTCAAACCCAGAAGACGTTCAGGAAGATCAGTCGCAATCCGCAGATGACGTTGACAAGATATTGAAACGGATTTTCGCAGGAACAACTGGCATGGGGCTCATCGATGCGTCGCAGCGCGAACTCATCCACACTGGGTACACATCTAATCGTGCTCGTCAGAATGTTGCCAGTTTCATTGCCAAGCATCTAGGTATTGATTGGCGGTTCGGTGCTGAGTGGTACGAAATGCTTCTCGTCGACTACGATGTTTGCTCAAACTGGGCCAATTGGCAGTATGTCTCTGGTGTGGGCAATGATCCTCGTGGGGAGGCCAGAATTTTCAATCCCGTCAAACAAGCTTTTGACTATGACAAGGAGGGTGAATATGTGCGCGGTTGGGTACCAGAGGTCCGCAAGCTAGAGAAGCTTGAGAATGTCTTTCAGGCGTGGACCACTCCCAAGGAGGACTGGGACCGATTCGGTCTGACGGGCCTGTCTATGGCTGAGGAACCGATCAAGAAAATTGACTTTTCCGTGGATGGTAAGCCCAAGAACGCGAAGCGACCATTCGACCGACGCCGTAAGAATGGAATGATACGCAGTGGTACCAATGTGACTACCATGTTGAACACCACCACCAACACGCTTCACGTCAACGATGACATGGCTAAAAGCACGAACGGTCAACAACACTCGCCTCAGCAATATTCACAGTTCAGCGCTCCGGAAAGCCCGCGTGGGGCTTCCCGAGGTGGTCGGGGCAATGGAGGTGGTGGATACCGCGGGCGAGGATATGGAAGGTCAAGAGGCGGTTATAGGGCCGGCCGAAGCCAGTATCAGGGCCAACACGACTATGCTGTTCAAAGGCCAATATCTATGCCATGGACTCCGACCCAGCCTGGAACATAGGATGCTCGAGGTGGTCATCATTGGGAAACTGTGCGACCCCCTATTTACACTCATTCATCCGGTTTGGTACCTTACCACCATGGAGCACAGTTATTTTGGCATCCAGCTCGGGACGGGACGTATAGATGAGATGGGGCCTGCGATACACTTGGGACTTTGATGGAACTAACGTTGGCGTACAGTGACTGGCGTGGAATATAGAGAGACGATCACGAAGATGTCGAAGCTTAGCACGGAGTAAACATTTATTGTGAAACAGGGTTAAACCAGTTGTATGACGTTTGTAAATCTAGCAACCAGAATGACAGACCGGTAGCATACGATTGTGTGCTTTCTTTGCACATGCACTGCGCATCCGGCCTCTTGATTTCCATTCATATCAATAGTACTGTTAGATGTGTCCTCCGGTCTCATTCACGGCTGTGAACATGCCTACCACAAAGTATACTTGTAGCCTGCGGACGTCGAATTCGTTTGGCAAAGTTCTCGATCTTCATGCCTGCAAAGTAGCCACCCCACAACAAGATACACGGTGGATGACCGTTGCACTGGGTCGGATATTTACTTGCTGATATCTATAAAGCACCCGTGTCTTTAAATCGATATCGTGACTTCCAACCGTAAACTCCAATCCACGCTTCTAATGCGATAGCAATGCATGGGCCCGTCTACCGGACAACAAGCCACCCACCGACGCTGTAACTAAACTAAAACCCAGACAGCAAACCCCGTACCCTTTCTCTCAGGCAGCTTTAGAACCCCTCACTCATTGGCATCAGCGTAATCCCCTTGGGCACAACAAACAGTGCCTTAGCCTCAATGCACACCTTCCCTGTCGCCGTCTCGACATGTCCCTCAACCCACATCTTCCGATCACTCTTCCGACTGCCATCCTTCCCAACTACATCATCCACTCCATCCTGCACCACAGGCCGTACCTTGACAACGTAAAACACATTCGTCGTCGTCGGCCTCTTGTACGTCAACTCCAGCCGCGCCGTAACCCCCGTCCGCGCAGGAAACCGCTTGATGGCACACCGCCCTAAACTCTCATCTAACACCGTTGCTAACGCACCACCATGCACCACGCCGGGCCAGCCTGCTAGTCCACCCCCAAAATAGACGACGGATATAATCTCGCCCGTGGAGGCGTTGTGGAACACGCGTTGGTAGGGCAGCCCGCGACTCCCTGACATAGCGCCCAAAGTGACGCGTGGTGCGGCGCCGCCCCGGCTGTTGAGGGGCTCGGTGTAGGCGTCCCAGGAGGTCCAGGCGCGGTCGGAGGAGAGGGTTTGGACAAGAGGGAGGCGAGAGGCTTGGGTGTGGATTTCAGAGATCACGTAGGCGTCTTCGGGGGAACCTGGGGTAGGGAGTGGCGGAGGAGCGATCGAAAAGCGGAAGAGGGAGCCGACGCTGATGCCTACGCAGAGGAAGATGGTGGAGTATATGAGACCGCGGCGGCGTGAGCGGCGGCGGGGTCGTGGTTGTGGTTCGGGGGAGGCTATCGGAGGAAGAGGCTCGGTGTCAGTCACATTTTGGGTGGTTTTTGGCGTGGGAGGAGGAGGAAGAGGAGGGAAGCTCTGTCGCGAGTGCGAGATGGTGAAGAATCTCGGCGATAGCTGTGTCTTTGGCGCAGCTGCACCGCGTCTGGAACGTAGGCATTGGCGGCGGAGGAGGAGGAGAGGCGATTCTGCTACCGGCGGCACGATGCACGCCTTACGTAGAAGCTGTACGGATTTCCGTCGGAACATAATTGTGTTGGCAGGCGCATTGTACGGCGATTGGAGACTAGACGACTACGTGAAGTTGAGCGGCGGAGTACAGCCAAACTCGCCGGGTTTAGTAATCCCCACTGAGGTGTCCGAGCATGATGCACCACTTGCGGGCTAACGTACAACCCCACCTTTCCGGCCACCATCCTTTCTGGCCACATATTGCAATCCAATTGAAGGTATTCGAAACAGTGTATTCAACGTACTATTATAGCTATTCAGGTACAACCAGCTCTAATAGAAAGCTGTGCTCTAGGGCTTCCTGAAGTATAGATCTGATAGATTCTGACGCCTTAGCTGGGTCCAGTATTACCTGATTCCGACGTTGTACTTGGTCTCATTGCCGTTCTACTTCAAGGGCTCGATCCATCGCTTCCTTAATCTGTACAACGTTACCAAATCTTTCATTAGGCCCTAATCGTACCTTCTTACGTGGTTTGGGGCGTAACGAAGTTATCTCGGCTTCTAATGCGTGTACACGTTGGGTCAAAGTAGCGACCTCAACGCTCTGTACATCTAGCCGACGAGTCAGCTTCCGAAACAATAGCCGTTGCGACGATCGTAATGGCGTAATCGCTGCCAGACTCTCCCTAGCTACTAAGCTAGTCACTGGCGTCGCTATTATTGTCGGATCAAGCCAATTACCAGCTGTTGGTGGTGTAGTTGGTCGTTCTGATAGGGGGGCTATCGTCGGCTGAGGTCGCGACGGATCTAATGGGCATATTCCAATTGCAGAGAAGCCTGATTGTATATTACTGATCGTGAACGACTTCGTATATGCCTCGATATATAGCGAGAGAAACGTAGACTTTTTAAATAGAATAGAACAGTACTCGATCGAGAGAGGTCGCTAACGAGCGATAGTACCGCTTTAATGGAGCAAATACGGCGACGTCGAGAGGTTAGAGCCCGTGAGAACAGTGTGCTAGCAAAAATAGTAACGAGATCTTGTTATAATAGGCTAACCACATAAACTCGACGTTGTCGTGAGCGATATGACCATCTAATATCAAGAGCCGCTGCTCGTCGGGATCAACTGGTTGTGTACGAGGTATAAAGATATCACGAAGCCATCGAACGGCGATATCTGTACTGATCCAACCGTTAGGCGAATAAGTATATTGCCAATCAGGTATATCGTCGCAATCGTTAAACCATTGGGCTTGGAGGCTCTTGCCAGTATATATTACTGCTGGGGTTAACGAGTTACCCATCGCCGATATAGCATGTAATATAGTGACCCATTCGCGGCTTTCGTCACTCCGAACGAATGTTGTATGTTTCTCTGACGATCCGTACACTATACCCTCGATCCCTTCGCCAATCGCGATGCCTGTTTCGTCCATATTCCAGATGTTATGTGGAAAGTAGTCGTGAGCTGACATCAAGGCTTCGTACGTCTCGAAGAAATCGTCGATATTCTGCGTCGATAGGCCATCAAATCGCTGACGGTCGAGGCGTCGAGATTGGATACTTCCGACCTCTGGATGGCGTTGAATAAAGCGATGAATCCAATGGCGACCGAGGCCCTCTGATCGACGATCCTGAGGTAACAGAATCAACGCCCCATCGGAGGGAAGCCTGGCGCTGGGATATCCCTTGATTGATATCGTTGAGAGCGCCTTGAATCGAATTTTCTGAATATCGAGGCATTATATAATAATAGCCAATACCGACGATAATCTGTTGTGCCGAAGGTTGTTGTAGTTGGCAGATTAGGTGGCCGGAAAGGTGGGGTTGTACGTTATATTGCCAAGAGATTACGGGTAGAGTAGGGGAACCAACGGCACATCTTCCATATCTTGCTTGCCCAAAGTTCCATTTCCAGGCAGCTTACACTTGGTGAAGCCATTCATTCGGCAGGCCAGTCTCATGCTTACCTTCGCATATCATCAAAGTTAACGTGAGCTGCGTCGATATGCGTCAAAATAGATTTCAACCGAGTGGTGGCCATCTCAACAATTCCGATCGTGTCACCTTGTGTAGCCATTCTGAAGGATAGGAATACTTGGCATGCATTACCTCCTTTATTGAGGGTAGTACCAACGTCAAGTAAATAGGACAGACGGGCTTCTGCTATCCTCGTGCGGGAGGAAGGCTTGCATGGTTGCTGTGGATAATGCAGCGCGACTGCGCTTGTTTGTTGGAGTCTATGATCTCACCACTAATCCCTGGGAGCATCAGAGCAGCCGCGTCGTCAATATTGTCTCAACCACTCGAAATTCTTAACCGCCCACTGCATTGCCGAATACGAGGCAAAAGAGCCCAAAATCCGTTGTCATCGAGGCCAAGCGAAACTCTATCTCACTACAACTGATCATCAGTCGGAACCCGAAGTTTCCAAATTCGGGTGCTCTTGGTTTGCCGATCATCGACAGATGTCCAGGGACTTTGAAGCAACACCACATCACATCCATCTGATATAAAGTTAGCGCAGCATGCTGCATCGTTGGTATTAGCCTCCGCTCTACTGCTCCAGTGTCATTGTATTAGTCCACGACCAATCCACACGATGGCATACGACTATGTATCGGTGTAAGTTGTTATGTCTTGCATCTCCAAATCACGTTCGACATCATATAACACGACAAGATCAGGGGATTGACAGCGTGACAGGCATCTCAAGTTCACCATCCCACTGGCCGGGCTCCTCACCCTGGTTTTGAGACCGCTGCTGACCAAGTATGACCTGATCAAGACATCCATCCTCATATTCATTGCCTTCACGGCCACTCTACCATGGGATTCCTATCTGATCCGCCGCGGAGTATGGACGTACCCACCCGACGCCATCGTGGGGCCCCGGCTCTGCTCTGTGCCGGCAGAGGAGCTGTTTTTCTTCGTAATCCAGACGTACATTACGTCCATGCTGTACATCATGCTGAACAAGCCGGCTCTGCACTCGCAGTATCTGACCAACAGGAAAGACTCGTCTGCGACGGTGCGATGGGTGAAGCGATTTGGCCAGGCATTACTGGTCGGGGGCTTTGCGGTGGGAGCTGCTTTGGTCCGGAAAGGGGGTGGGGGCACTTATTTGGGACTTATCCTGGTGTGGGCGTGTCCTTTTGCTCTTCTCACGTGGTCCTTTTCGGGGTACTTTATCATACGGCTGCCTTTCACATGTGTCGTGATGCCAATACTGCTGCCAACCCTCTACCTCTGGGTGGTCGACGAACTTGCATTGGGAAGAGGCACGTGGTCCATTGAATCGGGGACGAAACTTGGGAAATGTGTTTGGGGCAGCCTCGAATTGGAGGAGGCCATTTTCTTTCTTGCGACCAACGCCCTCATAGTCTTCGGCATGGCAGCATTTGACCGCGCAATGGCCGTGTTGAACACATTCCCTGAACTATTTCCCGGAGATTCGAGAACACCCACGCCGAGACAGCTCATTCAAGCTGTCCTCGTCGATCCCGCAAAATACAGAATGGATCGTGTGGTGGGAATCAGGGAGGCTGTCTCGAGATTACGGCGCAAAAGCCGCAGTTTTTACCTGGCCAGCTCTGTCTTTCCCGGCCGCCTTCGTATTGATTTAATTCTCTTGTAAGTTTTGTCAGACCGAAATATATGGCCACCGTTAATGGCAACAGGTACGCGTTTTGTCGAGTGGCAGATGACTTGGTAGACGAATCACGCACAGAAACAGTCGCGCATGATTGGATTACGAAGCTGACCGGCTACCTCGACCTCGTTTACTCATCAAACGACGCTGTTGCAGCATCTGACGCAAAGGTGCAGAGCTACGTTGAGAAGAACTTTCCGGCTTCAACACAATCGGCTTTGAAGCTCCTACCTACGAAGCTACTGCCTAGCGAGCCCCTTTATGAGCTTCTGGAAGGGTTCAAGATGGACCTATCCTTCAGCCAGACCGGCAATAATGGAAAAGGTCCGCATCTGCCTGAAAAGTACCCGATCCGGAACGAGGACGACCTTCAGTTGTATGCTTCCCGCGTGGCTAGTACCGTCGGGGAACTGTGTCTCTGGCTCGTCTTCCACCACAGCAAGACCAAGCTCTCGAGCGACAAGCAGGCAGTCTTAGTACAGGCATCCCGCACCATGGGTCACGCACTACAGTACGTCAATATCGCGAGGGATATTGCCGTAGACGCCGGGATGGACCGCGTTTATCTCCCGACCAACTGGCTTAAGGAGGAGGGGTTGACTCCGCGGGACATCATCAAGGCGCCGAGACAAGCCATCGTAGAAAATTTGAGAGGACGGCTACTGGATGCGGCGTTTGAGGAGTATGCCAGGTCACGGTCGACGATGGACATGTTGCCCAAAGATGTAAGGGGTCCGATGATAGTCGCGGTGGAGAGTTACATGGAGATTGGCCGGGTATTACGAGAGAAGAAGGGGGTGCCATCATCGAGTCGGCCTGGGAGAGCTACAGTGCCTAGATCGAGACGGATACTGGTTGCTTGGAAAGTGTTATCGTCTCAATAGTACGTTGTTATGCCGGGAGAATCAAGTCGAAATATCAAATATGCGGGCTCTGCGGAGCTGGTCAATGGTCAGGGAATGTCTGGTCTGCTCTTGCCACGACTTGTGATGTGATGATCAATTTATCAGTGGACATTTCGTCACAAAGCCCAAGAAGACGCAACTTTCTCGTAAATAGCACATGCTATTGCTTTGAACTTGGCTTTAACTAGGCTAGAAGACATGAGACAGGCCGGGAATGGGTTACACTTAATCGGTGCAATTCCACTCAACCAACAGCAGCGCAGTCAGATTCCAACACCAACCCGATTTCATTCCAACACAACCTGTTATCCACCAAGGTAAATACCAAAACATACGCCTTACCTCCAGGGCGCGCGGGTGAGTGCGTTTGGTGGTACAGGTATCCACAAACGGAGGGAAGGAGGCTGGGTCTTGGCCCCGAGCTGCAAAGTAGGAATGATGATTCATTGACAACTGACGAAGGTCGCATTCGGCCACAAGCTCAGCTCAGCTCACTCTCGCCTCAGATGGCACAACCCAAAATACCAAAGTGCGATGATGAATCAACATTGTGTTTCAACGTTGGGCGGTTTCACATGCTTTTATCTCTGCTTTATTGTCGAACGTTATAAACTTTCCCAAGTTGACCGGTACCGTTGACAATTGAGAACCTCATCCATTTGTTGAGTTTCTGGCGTCTGGTACAGCAATGGTTGTATGCGTGTAAGTCAATTAGTTCCATTATTATGAGACCCCGAGTTGTGGAAAACTAATCAACGTAACAACAGGTGAGCTGACTTTTGAGTGAACTCTACCAACATCGTCCAAGTTTACATATTTTCTCTACATCCACTGCGCAGGACGTTTATCCGGCACAGTACTTTCCTGTTATTGAGATTTGGGGCAGCCAGATTTTCTGATCAACGCGACACGTTTGCCGGTCCGGTGTTGTCAGTTTTTCTTTTCTCATCTCATCCATCTTGTAGCAGCGCGGGGAATCTCAACTCGCGGCCACAATGTCTAAAGCTCAGAAGAAGATGGCTATCGTCATCGGTGTGTATACTCTGTTATCCCATCTTGCTACACTGGCCCCTCACACTGTGTCTAGGCGCTGGCGCCGGCGGCATTGCCACGGCCGCTCGACTAGCCAAGTCGGGCTTCTCGGTAACGGTGCTGGAGAAGAACAACTTCACGGGCGGACGCTGTAGCATTCTGCACCACGAAGGCTACCGGTTTGACCAGGGTCCCTCACTGCTCCTCCTCCCTAAGTTGTTTCGGGAGGCATTCTACGACCTCGACACGTCGCTCGAGGCCGAGGGTGTCGAACTCATACAATGCCCCACGAACTACGAGGTCTGGTTCGCAGACGGGGAGAAGTTCGAGCTATCAACTGACCTAGCGCGCATGAAGAAGCAGATTGAGCGGTGGGAGGGTAAAGATGGGTTCCAGCGGTACTTGGCATGGCTGCAGGAAGCCCACCAGCACTACGAGCTCAGCGTGACTGAAGTGCTGCACAAGAACTTCACGAGCTGGTGGGATCTCGCGAATCCCAGCTTCGTCCTGACGGGGTTGAAGCTGCACCCCCTACACAGCATCTGGAATCGCGCCAGCAAGTACTTTTGGACCGAAAGGCTGAGGAGGGTATTTACCTTCGCCACTATGTACATGGGCATGAGCCCCTTCGACGCGCCGGCCACGTACTCGCTGCTGCAGTACACTGAGCTCGCTGAAGGGATCTGGTACCCACGGGGCGGGTTCCACGCCGTGCTCGACGCATTAGTAAAAGTCGGCGAGAGACTAAGCGTCGAGTACCGGCTCAACACGCCCGTGAAACAACTCCTCACCACCTCGGACGGCAAAACTGCCAAGGGAGTAATCCTTGAATCAGACGAGATCATCGAGGCGGATGTGGTGGTGGTCAACGCTGACCTCGTCTACGCATACAATAACCTCTTCCCGCAAACTTCCCCTATAAAGTCCCATGGCCGGTCCCTGCGCGAGCGCGACAGCTCCTGTAGCTCGATCTCCTTCTACTGGAGTCTGGACCGGAAGGTTCCCGAACTCAAAACGCACAATATCTTCCTGGCCGACGAATACCGCGAGAGCTTCGACGCCATCTTCGCCCGGCAGTCCTTGCCAGAGGAACCCAGCTTCTACATCAACGTGCCCAGCCGCATCGACCCGAGCGCCGCCCCCGAAGGACGTGACGCCATCATCGCCCTCGTTCCCGTCGGGCATCTTTTGCAGTCCAAAGGCTTCCTAAAATCCGACTCTGGAATCCTGAGAGACCAAGACTGGCCCTCCCTGATCGCGTACGCGCGCCGCTCCGTGCTTTCCACCGTCTCTTCCCGCACGGGCTGCGGTCCCCTGTCCGAGTACATAATCCACGAAATCGTCAACGATCCATTCTCCTGGGAATCCAAATTCAACCTAGACAAGGGGTCCATCCTAGGCCTAAGCCACAGCTTCTTCAACGTTCTCAAGTTTCGGCCTTCCACCCGGGCCAAAGGTATGAAAAACACGTATTTCGTCGGCGCAAGCACGCACCCGGGGACGGGGGTTCCTATTGTGTTGGCGGGGGCTAAGATCACGACGGAGCAGATCTTGGAGGATTACGGGTTGAGGGTGGGGTGGAGGCCGCATCCCTCTCAGATACTGGACCAGGGCGTGCCGCAGAATAGGGAGACGAGGAGTTTAGATCGGGTGGCGCCTTCGGAGCGGATTTGGTACCTCATGTTGGCCATTTGGTTTTGTGTTGCGGTGGGCTTTGGGGGTTACTATATGGACATCATTTGAGTCTGCCTCTATGGCGGATGCTTCCAGCCGGTAAATATATCAGCTTGAAGGATTCAGTGGTCATGGGGATGATGTTTTTTCAACATTTTTCGTGGAGTGCATATTGCGAAAACAGTGTCAGCTGCAATCATCATTGGCTACGTGAACCTCCAGGTTGATGTTTGAAGTAGACGGTTCTTAGCCACAGAGTAGAACCAAAATAAATCCAATTGAGCTTTTGTCAAGGCTGCCCTTGGGTCGTCTATACAAAACAGGACTTAGGCTCGACACATGAGAACATCTCATGTCAAGTTCTTCTCCATCATCCGATATGGTGCATGATCACTTATCATTTGTGATCCTACTCTCTTCCCATCTGCCTCTCATCCCGTTTGCCTCTCAATTCGCCGTCAGCTCTGACCAAGAAATTTACCTATTGATAATCTCCACATTACTAAACCTCTTCACATCATCCGGCATCCTCGAAACGCACAACTCCCTACAGAACAGCCCCCACTCTCCGCTGGTACCCTCCTTCACGGCATCAGACAGGTCAAGGCCGTAGCGGTCGCGGTACGCCCTCTTAATGGCCGACATGTGGTGTCGATCCCAGTGGTACCTGACCAGCCGACTGATGAGCAGCTCGCGCCTTAGGCCGTCCTTTTTGGACGCCGTCAAGGCGTGGTGCAGAAGCAGCGCGTCGCGCACTGGCTTATTGATGACACCGTTGAGAATGTGGGCTAGGAGCTCGCCCTGGATTCTTGGGTTAGCTTCTATCGATGGTGTTGTGATGCAATGGGGAAATTTGGAGGACTTACAACAAGGTTTCCACTCTTCTTGAGCGCGTCTCGGGCGAAATTGCTCCGGTACGTCCTCTCGTACAGCTTCATGACGTCTCGCAGGTGGGAATCGCTGCGTATGACGACGATCTGGATCATGGCCGACTCGCCGCCCTTGTCGCTCTTGACAGCCCTGTACAAGTGCTCAGCGTCGTCCTCGACCAATCTCCTGTCGATGGGCAGCGGGCGCCCGTACTCGTCCAGCTCTTCCATCCGCCGTTCTTCCAGCACCATCAAGACGGCCTTTTTGAACTTATCCTCCTTCAGCTCCGTCTTCATACATTGCGTCAAACTGTCGCGGTACTTCTTGTCGCTGAATCCGTCCTTGATCCTCCGGATCTCGGCGTTGGTGCGTCCCATGATGGACTCAATCAGCAGCTCGCGCCGTGTTTTGTCCCCTTGATACCAGAAGTTCGCCCAGTAAGCCTCGCTCTCCCACTTGCCCAGGGCGACCGAGTAGCAGGCCTTCATCAATAACGGATCCGCGTCCTTCAGACGCGCCCGGATATGCTTCGCCACGTTGACCCCCTTGCGTTCGCTGCCCGTCTTGACCAGCCGCTTGTACTCTGCCCGAAGCTCCATGACTTGATCATGTGTTAGGCTGGGGAGGATCTCGATGAGCGGCTCCGTCTCGGGCATCCGCTTCTCGCCCTTGAGGGCTTTGGCAAGGCGGGCGGCATCGTCTTCTGGGTCGTAGAAGCGCGCACGACGCTTCTTTTTGTCGCCCCTTTCGTCGTCTGAAATGCCGGGTGAGAGCGGCTCGTTGGGAAACGCGCCCGGGCCCTTGGAGGCCATGAGCAGCGGAGACGGCATGGGTGACATGGATTGATAGGTACCACGGTAAGATTCGAGCAGTGGAGAGCCAGGCGCGTTCGCAAGGGACATGGCCGAGCCGGCAGCCAGACCCGTGCTCACCGAGAGAGACGACATGCGCTGCGTGGGGGGCATCGGGGAGCGGGAGCGAGAGCGATCTCGGCGGCTACTTGATGGCTCAACTGTGAGGACGTTGGCCGAGGGGCGTGGTTCGGCGCCATACGAGCTGCGACGGGACTTCTTGCCCTCTCTCGAAGCGTAGCCTGGACCCGGGCTTGGCTCACGATGGGAGTACCTGTCGCCTACCGGGCTTACTTGGCGAGAACCATGATCCAAGTTGGTGATCGTAATGGAATGTTTGTCGTCGACTTGGCCATACTTCCACGGCTCAGGCTGAGCATAGGCATAGGTTGCAGGTGGTGACTCGGGGCGCGGCGCATACTTGCTCTTGCCGTAGGCGAGGTCTTCTTCGAGCTTCTCCTTCTTCCTTTCCTTCTTTTCCTTCTTCTCCCTTTCGCTCTCCGCGTCGCGGTTAATCACTTTCTCCAGCTTTTGCGAGTATTTTGCAGGCAGAAAGGCCGCTGCGCCACTCAAGGCACTGCTAAGCCGATCTTTATCTGAGTCCCAGTCCTTGTCTTCATTGTGCTTCTCGTCGTTGCGCCTAGACTGGTAATATTCATCCTCAACTCGATTCCGGCGGCCGTAAGGGTCGCCTGCATGAGAAGGCGATGTGGGGGATCCAACACTGTACGAAGAACCACGAGGGTCTTTGTACTTAGAAGCAGGCCGCCGTTGATTAAAGTCTCGGTCGTCGTCATAGCTGAAGCCGGTGGGAGGAGATGGCATGCGTATAGCATTTATGGTGATGGGATCGCGGTCCTCGTCCCGACGCCCCGGAGAGCATGAGCGGCCGCGCCGACCGCGGTCGTCCACCTGAAGTGACATTAGGTTCGTCCGAAGGTGCGTTCGTGACCAAAAGTAAAGTCTGTCCCTGTCGGCAATAGCGATGGCGGGGTAGTTGACAGAATGCGCCGATCTTCGCAGGTGGTCTGACTCGGCTTACTCGACGGCACCAAGTTGTTGATGTTCTGGAACTGTTGGGGTAGTTCAATTCACAGCGTAAATATATCGCAAGAAATAGAACATTGCGTAAAAGAGAAAGAGGAATGAAAGTCGCATCCTTCAGGTAGACATATAACTGAAGACGCCCAGCGAGGAGGGGCTGATGAAGCTCCAAATGAAACCCTACGGAGGGTCAGCACGGCCAATTGGTCCCTCACCTCCGCCTCTTAGTCCAGCGGCTGATCCGTTCCAGGCCCATTGTCCATTGAGGACAATTTGCCGTCGCTGTGCATCAGCATTGTGCATTGCGGGCATAGAAGAGCGGTAAACAGCACAATACGACGATGTGGGGCGGCAGTGGTGTGAACGGGCTTTTTGAATGTTGATCTTTGCGGTGCAGTTGACATCTAGATCCAGAGATCCAGTGGTCGTACGGGATTGGGCTTGGCTGTATGCCAGAGTTGCTGCTGCAGCTTGTCTTGCAAGTAACCATGTGTCGTAAAATCGAGGCAATGAGAACCGGCGACGCCGTTCGCTGGAGGGGCAGTGCAGATAAAGCGTGGCTTTGAGTGCTTCAGGTCCGTGCTGTAAATCCACTATGGCGCATCGACACATCACACGTTAGTTTGAACTACAGAAGACAAATTTTTTGATCGCATGACTTCATTCTTGTGGAATTCTGGTTGAAGGGTTCTTGTGGAAGTTGCCAGATTGCGTCTGGACAATAGTCCCGAATGAGCACAGCCCCTTGTGTGGACCTAGGTGAAAGACTCATCGAAGTGGCTTATGAAAATACATGATGGATGATGTAAAAAAACTGTCTACATTATGATCAAACCAAGGAAAACATTGGGTTCAACTCATTATTTTATCAGCCCTTATTCAAACTCGCAACATGTATATTTCAGTGGTGTCAGTAAGTTGCGACTTGATATGCAACTGAGATAGCAGTCTGGCCAAGGCGGGGGGAGGCAGTATCCCGTCTTGAGAGCAAGGTATTTAGCCACTATACTGTATTGCATTCTATAGGCAAGGAGCATTTTCATTCGCAGCCCACTCCAGCCGCCACATAAACATAGCCACACACCGCATCCCACTCCATGTAATGGAGCAATGGCCTTCAAGCCTTTGGTACCCAGCACGGGAACTGGACATCATAAGTGCGTGAGCTTCCTGCAGCGAGCGTTCAGAGAGGATTACCAAAGCGGCACCGTAAGTTATCCAGCTGCTTTCACCAATCTGAGAAATCATATCGGACAGTGATATATCGATGAAGACTACGCAACTCCTATTTCAAGTTACCCGTGACCATTCACACACTCACATCTTGGATTTATGGGCCCGTCATCTATCAGATTGGGATTGACCAGACTCACTGAACGAACTTGCAACATGACACGCAATTCCGTCCAATTCTATCATGTACGACCATAGCCTCTGAAAAGCACGGGATCCCGTCCGCTCTCCCATAGTTAAATCAGAAAGCGCCAGGCTAGTAGTTGGGTCGGTGACGACCAGCGAATCCTTGGTGTTGTACTTTTGATCTTTTTCCCGGTCTATCCAATCCATCCCCTAATGAACACCCGTTTTCCCTCGGGGGGAGGGACGAAGGGGGACGGGTGGTTGTTTTGGGAAGGGGCGGTAGGGGGGCGGAGGGCTTTTCTCGTTTTTGACCTGTACCCATGCGAATACTTCTTGATCCCAAGACGGCATGCTAGCAATATTCAATTTTCTCAATGTCACGTAGAGATATGACTGTACACAGTACCAATTCGCCCCCATGGCTCTCGAGCAACAATCTGAAGTGAACAGCAACGCACATTTCAGTTCCCTGATTACTTTCAGACCATTGAATTAAAAAGTAGCCAAGTGAAAGTTACCGGTTCATGGTTGGAGCACAAGATGGATATTGGTACGAGGCTGAGAGATTCAGAATCTTGATGAAGCGTAGTAACTAAACCGCAGTGATAGCCCGACGTTTCATACCCTGTGCGATGCTAATAAAGCATGTGTATAGCTCTTATTACCCTCCAATCATGCCACAGGTCTGAGCTGTACTCCAGGCTATCATGCAGCCTTTGGCCAAGCCACTAACGACTTACACAACAGCTGCATACGTATGGTGCAACATCTGCTCGACTGGTATCATGAGAATTGTATGCACACATGGAACTTTGGCTACTCCTCAATCCCTGATTGAATACCCCCACATCTTTTACTCCATAAAATTGCAAGCACGATGGCAACGTCGAGGAAATGTTGAGATGTCGAGTGTCATTTGCCAGGAGCAAACTAGGGCGGCACCATTTGTTCCCATTTGCGGCCTCGAGCTTGCGGATTGGTATTAATTGAATCAAAATCCTTACCATCTCTATGTACCCCAAGATCGAGATCCCATCCATTGTAACCCAGGCCTTACGTCCATCGCCATGCCCCTCGGAGTAGGCAACAACCCCTCAACCCGATTTGCCGTACTCATTCTCACAGTTAGCCCACTTCAGCTGCCCCCTCGCCGTCATGCTCTCAAATTCATCCAGCTGTCTCTCGACCTTGTCGCGCTCTTCGACGATGGGGGTCCTTGAGCCTGGCCCCTGGATTGACGTTAGTACGTCGTGACGGCGGCCCGCTGCTCCTTTTTCGTCCGTTTGTTGAATATTTGCTGGTTACTCGTGTGTGAGGGGACTCGCCATCTCTCGGCGGTGCTGAACATTGCTAGGATGAGTGGGAAGTGACGCCAGAGAAAGAGAATAGACGGTTACTGGGGCTATGCTCACTGCGGCAATATCTCTTGGCTTACCTGGCGTGAAGGGTAAGGAAACATCTTGGCAATGAGGAGTATGATGGGCAACTTTTGTACCTTGAGTCAACTGTCAGGATTGAGGATCTTACCAGCAAACACCTGCCAGGCTGTGTTCATGGCGTCAAGGCGACTGCGTTGTGCCACGAAAAAGTGCGATAAGTCATGATTGGGATACGAGATCCTTCAGCTCCTCCAATATCTAGCCTACCTGTTTATGGGCTTACTGCGCCGCTCAGCCACGGAAGGGAAGCGCACTTTCTTACTCCGGCAGCTCATCTATAGAACTTACTAGATGATCTTCCCGGTCTGTACTGCCTTTAACTACCTTAATGCATAGTGATACCAATGGTACGAAGCAAACGTTACTCGATATTCGTTGCCAGTTACGAGTATGGTCGGGCGTATAAATACTCATCACCATTGGTAAATATATGCAATTTATTACAGATGGACTATTTCCACCTTATAGTCCATTTAACCCATGACAAACCGACATAAAGTAACATATTGTAAAAGGAATCTGGTAGTTCAATGGCGTCCTTGGCTGTACGCAGTCTTCCAGCTAATATTATAATCATCTGTGGTACTCCGCCTTACACATCGCCGACTCCTTCTTTGACTACTCAACTATCTACCCTAATCTAGCCTCCCAAGGCTGCACCCCATAACATCAGTCCATAGCATATCCGGCCCAGTTCCCTAGCTCTTCGTAAGGTACTTAGCGGTGCCACTTGAACCATGTACCCATCTTCGTCAAGGTCTTATTGAATATGCCCATTGTACTGTTACCAGACCCCTTGACCTCCGGTTGATGTGTCTCCTCATTTGTATCATCAGCAGCGTCCTCGGTCCTCGGGCTGTCTTGAGCATCTCCCCCGTATGACCCCAAACTCGTGGGTGACAAGTCAGAGCCCGTCGAGGGGCCGCTGGAAATGTCGCTGGGGTTGACCCACTCCATGGATTCCCCTTTGAATGTATTGTTCCCTGGCCAAACGGTGAGCATCGCCTGCCGAACAGGTGTCAATGGTGTCAAACGGGATGAGAAAACGGGTGATATAGTCGGGACGTCTGATATGTCTGGCGGCGCGTTGATGGATATCCGCATCGTCGATGCTGATGAGTCCTCGGAGAAATCCATAGGTCCAGCCTTCGGACTTTGCTCGTGGTGCGGGTTAGGCTGCCTTGGATTTAATATCGGCTTTATGAATAGCGGTAGTGTTGCCCCTTTGTTCATTTTCGAGGGAGGTTTTCTTGTGAGGTATGTCTGAGCATCCTGTGGTTCTGGCTTCCACAATTTCTCCTTCTTCGGGCAGGTTCCCTCGCATGCTATCTCGGTATAATCCACCGCCTTATTCCCACCATTTTGCTGGTCCCTAGGTGTGACTCCCTTTTGAGTTACCTTGTCCAAATGAGCCGTTATACCATCGGACTTTTGCTCAGAGTGGAAGGAAAGTCGTGGAGTCGGCACCTCAAGGATCGGAGAGAGTGTAATGCTTGTATTTTTGTTTGGCTTCTCTGACTGGCGCCGTTTCTCTTCTGCCATGGACTCAGGCCAGGTGGCCGCGCGCTCCTTTTTGCTCAGTTGTCTCCAAGTCGGATCGAGTTCATCGACTTGAGAAGTTGGACGTGTGATGTAAGCCTTAGGAAGCGGTATTGCGCGTCTGCCGGCGATTGTAGTCTGTACATATGCCATGATGACAAATCGGTGCAACCGGGAGAAGTGATGATCGCCGACGTAGGCGTATATCGCATCCAAGGATTGCTGGTGGTCGTGGTATATGTCGCCCAGGTGTAAGTGGCCCAACTCGGTGTAGTTAAAGAAGAACAAACACGACTGCTTGGAAACATAGTACAAAAAAGAATGGAAAAGCCGAAGTGCACAGGCGTCTGAGAACGTAAGGGAGTACAAGAATTTAGACAGTCGAGGCATCATTACATGGTACTTAAATGCCCATTTATATAATCATTCCCACCCAAAACAATCAAAATCACGTAGATACCACACGTGACCATGTGTTGATTTCGGTGCTTTGAGAAGAGATCGCGTGCTAATATGCCTGGTATTCAACAACCGGAAGCGCCATATATCGTCATAAGTTACGGCGACCCAAAGCTCTAGCCATCGCCTGTAGTAACCGACAGCTCGGTCACTTGCGCGTTAGGCCCAGTGTTGGCCGAAACAAACGTCTCGGGGAAACAAAGACAATGTAGAATGTGTTGGTCGACAATTTGCTGTGACGGTGCTGACTCTTTATCTCTCGACTTTGAAATAATCATGAGGAGTAAAATGTGGCCGAAGACCGCAAATACATGGGCCGATTACAAATCTTTGCCATTCGTTCGAAGGGGATCGGAGTGCTTCCTTGCCTTTATCATACTCTTATGACTGTCCATTGGGAGGTTGGTTAGGCTCGGGGGCCCACTGCTCTAGAATATGTCTAGGGCGCGCTGCATACACAGGTCTCGCACGTTTGGTAGCAGTTGTGCTCTCGTGATTGATCTATCATAATCATATTTCATTGATATCTCATTCATCGTCGTCCCACTGCCGCCGGCTGATGATGATCGGCCTCGCCTGGTCCCAGGGTCCGTTCATGGCATTTTTGTACTTCTGCAACCCAATCAGCCACCAACTAGAAGCCCCCATGGCTACAAATGCGATAAGGACCCCAACGAAAACGCCGAAGAGTCCATTCCGCCGTGGCCAAGTCCCATCTTTTCTCTCGCCCAGGATGAGACCCACACCGCCACCGGCCCCGACAACGAGCAACACGGTAAGCGCAATGTGGTACTGCCAGCTCCGATGCCTCGCATATCGCCTGAATACCGGGAACAAGCCGAACACCTCAATACTAAACAACGTGAGGCTGAACACCTGCCCAGTCGACGGGAGGCGAGAGGCTAGGACCGTCGACGCCATGAGCGCCGCATTGGTGGACAAAGAGGCAGGAAACTTGACTCCCACACCACCCGAGTAATCGTAGAAGAAGATGTTTATGGCAAGAAGCCAGAATGACATGGCCCAGATGCTATCAGGAGAAGTGGACCGCGTCAGGGATTTGAGGATGGGCGATAAGCCGAGGATGGTGAAATAAATGAGCACGGCTGACTTGATGGTGCTGAGACGAAGCGAGGTACGTCCTCTTCGTAAAGGAGCTGAGGGGCGGTGTTTCAGTCCGTCCCGAGGATCGGTCGTGTTGCGACTGGTCTGCGAAGTTGACGACTGTAGTGAAGTCGCCGATCCGCCAGGATGTTGGCGCATTACTGCCGGATTACCCGGTGAAGGAAGCCGGTCGGAACTGCCCCAATTCCCCGGAGCAGGGTGACGGTCGGTGCTACCCAGATTCGCCTGTGATGGGTTCCTCTCGGTACTGCCGAGATTTGTCACGGAGCTTGCAGCCGATGGTGTATTTGCTACTGTAGAGGCATTGCCGCCTTCTGGTCGGGGGTGTCTGGCTCCTCGAATACGGTGGCTGTTTTGCCGTTGCAGGACCTCGTCCTCATCCTCCTGGCCCACCCACCAGTCCCATATCAGCCATCCTACAAACGTCGCAAAGCTTCCCCACCCCACGACTGCGACGGGCGACACACGCTCTGTGAAGATGCCGACGAAGCTCACGACGAAGACGATGACGGAGCACACCTGCTGTACGATGACAGTGGAATCAGCAACAAGCGGCCAGAAGTCGTACGGCTGGAGACGTGGGTTGCGCTGCAGACTGTCCAAGAATGTCATCTGGTCGGTATAGTTGTCTGGGTAGGATTGTTTCACCCATAATATTTTCTTCCAGTTGCGCTTCCGCCGCCTGCTTCTACTTCGACTGCCGAGCTTCGATCGCAACCGTCGAGGAAGCGACTCGGCGCCCCAGTCATGCAGTCCATTGTTCTCGAATCCGTTCAGTCGAGGGGGCAGCGAGGCGGTATTAACGGCGTCTTCCGGAGCGAGGTGAGAACGCGCTCGTACGGAAGAACCGACATCGATGGGTAGCGTCGCGGAACGCGTCAGCGGGGGGAAAGTGTCATCGTTTCTCGTGGCAGTCGTTGTCATCGATTCTCGAGTTCCCACGTTCGGGGCCATTTATCGTGTCGCAAGGCCAGGGCTTGTCAACACGGGTTTCCCTTGGTTTGACGTTGGCTTCGATGCTGAGCTCTCAGCGCTGCGCAGAGTTGAACTTGATACTGCTTTGCTGAAGATGTGATGTCAGGAAGAGGCCAGCCAAGCTGCGCGTATCTGATTCCCGCTCTTTTTAGCGGCTCTTAATCGGTTCGTGGGGGGAGTGGTGCCTTGCAGTGCCAAGACGTTTAGCGTGTACCGCTCCGCGGTTTATTAAGGTGGTGCTCACCGATAGATACAGCGGTCCACTTTGTTTCCTATCCTCGGATTTGTTGAAACTCCACGCCTTCGTTTGGGCACCTCGTAGACCCCATCGTGGTCACAATGCGGTCAGTCTGTAGCCGAAACTTGGACGTGGGGTATGCATTGAGTATTGCTAATTTGATGTCGAGGGAAGGGGACCATCTGGGGAAGTCTAGCTTTCGTTTCATTAGAGCTACCAGCGACGGTCATTTTTCTTCGGCCGCTTAGAAGTCATATCCCGGGAGACATCGATTTGGAGGTTATTGATCCCACTGACGTTGCTGACTTCCATAGAGGCACGCAGTCCTGTGCCTGAGGGAGGAGCAATCGAACAAGCAGTTCAGTCAATTTCACCGCAAACACTGTATATGTCTGCTCTGCTGTTTCGCAACTCGATAAGAAAATAAGCTCCTATGACAATAATACCCATGTATGCGTTACTCGTATCGATTTTGTTTACGACAGCGATGCGGAACTTCGCTCTCTATAGGTTATCACTGCCGAGCGGTCACGCTGTCCTTCGTTGCAGAGGGCAGTTTGTGACGGCTTGGCGCACGTTTCATGCATGGACCTTCGTGATGCTTGAGGAAGATCAAAGATGTTCATATTCAAAGACTAGGATCCCTATCGACGATCCTCGACTAGTGTTGTATTTCGACAACGGTGAAACATCATGTTCGCTACGAATGAAACACATTTAGGATGGACTGATGTTCCCGCCTGCACATACCGACACCTTGACATCAACAAGGTTTTGGGTGCGCTTAATGTGCGCTCGCGGAGCAGGTGGAAAGTGTACTACGGTATGCATGGATAAGTTTGTGCAACATAGTTTGAACAATGGGACAAGTAGTATAGAAATCACATTTTTGACTCTGTGACTGCACACACTGTATGAGATCCTGGAGGTTTTCGTTGTGAGCCAGACTATGTCGATACTAACTAGGATCCCTGTGTACATCTCTTTGGTCGATCGGTCTTGGCTGCCATGTCCCCATTGCATTTGTATTGAGTTTGTTTGGCCCGATCCTCGATCCTCGAGCTAGGCGCGTCCAACATATCTAGGTAAACAACAGGCAACTTGAACATTAGCAATGCATCGACTGCACATATGTAGATGTCATGAATGGGTTTGTACAACCTGTCTGTCCCTCAATCATGGTGACAAAGCAGCAGCAGCAATGGATGCGACCCTGGGCATCATGATGATGATGATGATGATGTGATTGCGATGCTGTGTTTGGTGTCACTGGATAGAAAAACAAACCGGCGGACTTGTGTGGTTGGTGAGACGTCATTAATTGTGCTTGACGCGCGACCTCTTTCCTTAACACCAAGCGCCCCAGGGAATGCAGATATCCATCGCTCTTTCCACAGCGGTGACTGATAAGGTGAATGTTGACCTAAGAGTTAGCTACATACTACAGCTTTTCAATTATGCACACTGCCACACGGAAGAATGAAGTTCATCTCGGCTGTTCCTCGCACCATCCCACTACTGGATCGCGACAAGCAGTTGGGACCAACCAACCTACAAGCTACAGCTGCAGCTAAAAGCCTGGCAATAGGGTGCTCCTCATGGGCCAGAGATGAGCTGGGTCGTGCGCCAATACGAACAAAGAATTATAGTAGGTGACATTGGACTCTTGATGTTTGACAGGCTGGACTTGACTCGACAAGGCCTAGAGGCAGTTACATGGTCATTAGGATCCGCTCAACGGGGCCGGGCCATGAATGTCGATATCCTAAGTCGAGCAGCACTATCCCCAGCAGATTTGGACTCGTCTTTTTCAAGTGTAACTTTTTGCCGAAAGTAAAACTAGTTTTGTTGGAACGCCAATGCCCGCAACGGTGGGCGGGTACGAGAAACAGCCGCCAGCACGCCACAGGGTTGCTGCTGGTGTAACGCTGGGGTCCAGAGCTTGCAATTGAAAAGATGCGTCCTTTCAAGGCAGACCCGAGTGATCGTCAATAGCACCATTGACAGAATTGACGGAAATTGACGCCTGGAGACTTTTAGCCTCTGCAGCGGAGGTGCGATCTTGTAGGGATACTGGGCCATGCAGGGGCAAGTGCGGACCACTTGAGCAGTACAAGCAAGGGTCACAGCACCCCAAGCTAGGCACAGTGAGATCTTTGACGCACATTACGATCCATTCGAATTTTTGAAGCTCCTTGGAGACGAGACCGTCCACACAGGTTTGACGCCGCTGCCTCGGAAGATGGGACCACGAACCGCAAACCGCTTAATTGGGGGCCCGAACGCTGACCTCAAGTCACAGCCTGCCTGGATACTTAAGTATCTCATGCAGGCGGCATTCCCGTATCGAGACCATGGTAAAAGCACACAAAAACACCGCTGCAGTATTTTCTCTTGTACAGCCGCAAATTGATTACCTCGGACACCTCAATCCTTTTTGTTGCTGTGAGACCGACCTCACATTACTTTCAGCGAAGAAATCCCTCCCAACCCTAGCTACACACTACTTACACGACATCGAGCAACACACGCCGCACGTCATTCACTTGACGGCAAACAATTCCCAAAGTAGCTGGGACCAATAAGCTTTTGGCTGTCTAGGAAACCCCTTCTTTCCAAATTAACATTCACCTCTCGCCTGTGGGTTAGTCTTGTCAGTCTTGCCAGTCTTGCTTTCCTCCTCTTCCGGGTCCGGCCCAGGCCTTGTCCTTGCCGCCTCCAGGGTTGCAACAGCATCCGAAAGTTGCATATATACATATATATATGTGTAAGTCTGCTCGCCAAGACGTCGGCATTTGGCAATTCTCCAACAGCAGACTTCTTCCTTGCGACCGCCGCTTCAACCTGAACATCACCAAGTCTAAACCCCTCCAAAGGGACCGAGTTCATTTATACCTCTAGGCCTTATATTCACGCGACTGTTCAGAAACTTACACTTCGCTTTCTTCGACAAGCTGCTTTCTACTTGATACTGTACCGGATTTTCTTCACCCGTATCGTGTGAGCAGCAAATCACCAATCCACCATGAAGGCTACACTGGCTCTTTGCGCCGTGGCATTCCTGTCATGGACTTTGGCCGCTCCCGTCGTGTTAATGGCTCTTGGTGGTGTGCAAAATCAACACGATGTGGTTTTAAAACCGACGGTGCCGCCACTCATCCTGTCGACCCAGTCGCAATTGCGGATCCCCTCGAAGATGACGATCGAACAAGCCGACTTGAAGGATATTGTCGCCGGTCGCCCTAATAATCGACCTTACGCGCCTTCGGACAACATCACTCCGTCAGAAGCACTCGCAGCCCCACGGCCATTAATATCATCTTACCTGTTGTCCCTGGCGTCCAAACTTCATAAACAAGCCCAAGTGTCCCACGCCAGTGTGCGCCAGGATTCCAGCATTGTGAGAGAAGAGACCGGGTCCACTATGAAGTTGAAGCTTCCTACCATTGTCGAGTTGGAGACCGAGGGGTCGAAGCCATTCTTTTCTCGCACACTCTGTCATATGCACAAGGGTCCGGCGCATTACCACGACGTGAGAAAATACGCAGACATGGTCATCGTTGTCATGGTTCTCGCATTTGTAGCGGGCGTGGTCTTACTTGAAATGTGGACCCCAATCCAGCGCAGGTAAGCTGGGTTCTTGCTACATTCTCTTGCGCCCGTCACTAACATCACTGGCAGACTTTGTGCGCTCCACACCGGAGAAGGCGCTATTCGCCTGGAGGATGGCGAACAATTCCAATACCCACAAACTCACCCATTCGTTCCGCAACCTGTGTCGAAACCAGTGTCGAAACCATGTCCCACACATAGCCAGTGACGAAAAGATTGGCGACGCATGATGACTGGCGTTTCTTTTTCCTTATTACCTTGACATGATACCATCGGGGATTGGCGTTGGAGGTGTCTCGCGCGGATGCGCAATATTTGGTGTCGGACCCTTGTCTGGTTCTCACAGGAATAATGAAGCACTACCAGGAGTAGCTTGGGCAAAACGGCCTGAGCTGGAACATGTTTGATACTAAGAATTGGCTTCAACCACTACGAAGCTGTTGGAAAATGGCGTCTAGTAATTCGAACAAGCTAGCCGAGACAGCTAGCCGCAAGTATATCGATAGGAAGACATGTTCAAGACACTAGACACATTTATGATCCCGAATTGCAATGCCATCCTTGTTAACAATCCGGCCGAGGAACTCTACCAGTTTCTGCCGAATGGCCTCTCAGATGCAAAGTAGCCATGCTCACGCGACGCACCCGGGTTTTGCGATCAGCAAAACGCCGCTGGCCACCCCTCAAACCCCAAGTTGAATACTGTATCAGTCTTTCCAACCCTCGCTTTTTTGGCTTAATTCCGGTGTAGCTGGCGTTTTTGACATAGCTTCTGGTCCGCCTCAACAGAATACGAGAAACTCCACCATAGAGCAGTGCTCAAAATAAGCTTGTTTCCCGATCTGGACAATTGGCTGGCAACTCACTTGATTCGTGCTGTGACAGCTTAAACACAATTGAGAGTATAGCAGTATTCAAGCCGAACAGTCATCTCGTTTAGTTTCTTCTCATGCACTGTTCTCTTGGTTTCGGAATAGAGTTTTTACCCCTTTGGAGTACCGAATGGGGATTTGTAATCTTATTATTGCTACTGCCTGGGAGCGTCTAGACGACTCTAGAGTAACGTCAAATGTTTAATGAGAAGAATGTCGCAAGGGGAACGGGGGCGGACGAGGGACCGGTAGGGGACTTGGGTCGTGCTTCTGACGCCGGTACGTCGTGGCGTGGACCGTCGCGGTGTATCCTAGGGCTGGGGCGACGGGTGGAAGGCCATTTTCGCAGATTTCGCATATCCCACTGGGTCTTTGTTTGGGACACATGCGAAATCGCCAGGTGATGGTATTGTCGGCTCCGTCCTGACTTCTTCGGGTGGAACTCCTTGGTCCTAAGGAGTCTAGAGGCAAGCACTGGTTCATACACCGGACTTGTTAGATTCTATATCTCGGGTCGCTAATTCCTTGCTCGTTTCGGTAGCAGAGCCCGAGAGTGACAGCAGCTCGAGTGTAAGTTTTGTTAGGGCGATTGCCATGTTTGGATTCTGTCACCTACCTGCTCCACTAACATAGTAACTGTTACATGGCTCTACTCCGTTATTTCAGTTCAACTGCGAGCTTCTGATGTACTTGCACTTAAGCGCCCCTCACGAGACCAAGGCCTGAAACTTCCCTCGGCCGAACCAGTAATGAGACATACCTCTTCCGTGACCAGTCCCAATCTCGCAAATCTCAAATCAACGTGGCGCGTGAACAAGGCACCCTAGCAAACGAGGAGTTCAGAGCAAACGCCACAGGCAAGAAGAGGACCCCCGAAGCATCGCAAGATGCCAAAGCACCGAGGTTCGAATCTGGCTCCATCCATAATACTACCTATATCGAATCATCGGCGCTGGAAGTAATATGTATTGCGGCTAACTAGCTGAGTCAAGGTTGCACAAGATAGGAAACCTGGTATATCTCAAAGTCGAAAAAAATAATAAAGAGTCATGGCTCCTTGTCAACCTGGTCCATCTGGACGCCCGTCGGCACAAACAAATTCAGCTAGCTTATCCGTATGAAGCTTCCAGGGCTACATGCTCGGTAGTCATGACTCTCGCAAATCCTATTAGTGCTGCCATGCTTCGTATTCTAACCGCCACGTGCTTAGATGTAAGTGAGACATGAGAGATTTGGTCTCATAGCCCATCGTATGATGTCTCTACTTTGGTATATGCGAGTTCTAGAACAGTACTATAAATAGAAGCAATACACATCAAAGTATAATTGAATCGTCAGTCCATCTGTGGCTAATGGTACACGGTAGGACTGCAAAGCTGGTAGATAGACGTGGTTATAAGACCACTCACACTTACAATGGAATCCAATCCTGAATCGCACTAGGTAGGTCGAGTAACTGAGAAACACTACAGACTACGAGCTTTCTTTTGGATCCGATGCTCGGCATATAGTATGTAATAAAAATTTATATGCCCTGTCTCTTGTCTGAACTCCTAATACCGGGCGTGATGAACAGATCCTTCTTCTTCCGCCATCAGAGTTCAACTCGTTTACTCGGTGATATAAAATGCCTGTTCGGCCGGGCGTAGTGTCCCGATTCCTATAAAACCCCAGTATCTACGTTTATTGGATTATTCTGCAGAAGCACCGGGCGTGTTTGTCCATTACTATTCAGGAATGTTGACTACTGACAAAAAGATATATATTGAAATCTACAGAACCTAGAGTCACCCAGTCGTAGGTTGGTTCGCAATCACGACTGCCCGTGAGCTGGCTGCCACCCTCGCGTCAATATCATCGATTGCCCATTGGATGTGCGTCTTGCCAACTTCACAGGAAATAAAAACATTGATCGGAAGATACCATACTCAAAAGTTTGTCTAAATGGACATGCAGGAGAAAATATTAGTCAGTTCCCGCCAAGCTTGTGGGGGCTACGAGACAGATGTGACCTTCCATGATTCACTTGAGGGTCCACGACAACCAAGTTCTCGGATCCTACTACAATAATCATTTTATTATTATTATTATTAAATACGCCGTAGGCTCGAAGCCCCCGGTACCTCTGCTAGTACTCCCGTATGTCAAACCGTGCCCTAATGGCTGGACTAAATACATACGCTGCGTCGTCGGTTCGCCCTATTGGCGACTGCGTTGCGTTCACTACCATACTACGTTGGTTCTCAACCTACCAACAAAGTCCCCCCTGAGAAGATCGATGCTATCTGGGCCTTGAAGCTGTCCGACCCGTCCCTAGCAGCCACCTTACAATAGTCCCACTAACTACTGGTTCTCCTGTTGCCGCTGCGAGGTCTCTGCGAGAGTATAGTGGCCGTGGTGCGATAGCGGCCCGTAATCGTTCCCTCGGCCCTTCCAACAGCCCGCAAAAGAGGATTACGTGCTCTGCCGTCTCAGGGGCGTCGCCACAGCGGCATAGCGGCGAGTACACGCCAAAAGCCCCTGTCTTGAATAAGAAGGCTGCTAGTCCTGTTTTTTCCGTCCTGATCTGGCACAGCGTAGACGCCTTCAGTCTGTTCAGGCCGAAATACTTGCCCCCTTTCGGTATCTGCATCGAAGGGCCCTCCGGTTCCTCAGCGATAGCGCGTCGCTGGCGATCGTGATGCTCTGCTCCGGTGAGCCATCTCTTCCTCTAGTGGCCGAGGAGGGCAGCCGGGACCTCCTTTTCCTCACTCATCCACTAGGAGCCCCGGGCCTCCTTCTCCATAGTGTACCCTGCCGGTCGGAGTAGCTGCGACGCCTGCTTCCTCTTCGCCGGCCTATCCTGCCGGAGTATATGTGACGCTTTAGCGCTCGCGCTGCGAAGCAGATTTCTCTTCCCGCTAAGCCGTAGCCGTTCTTCAAACTTAGCAGCCCGGGCACTAAGATAGAGGTCTAGTGGCGGGATTGCTGCTTCTGCTTCCAGGTGACGAACCGGCGTCGCTTTGTGGGCGCCACAGACTACCCGGAGCGAATATATAGAGTACATCATAACTAAGCAAGATGATTAGCATCGAAAGGATGATACGGGGGAAAATAAGATGATGTATAGTCGTAAGTAATTATTTAATAAGCACTAGGATCGATCACATTTGCTGTTGACGGCCCTAGTCAGGACCGCAACAAAGGTATACAGCAACTTCGAGTTGACTGCCTCATTGTTATTGGGCCTCATCTCAACCCTGAAAGAACAGAAAAGACGAGAACTTGAAGATTGTCAGAATAGTTCTACGAGTTCAGCTTGCTCTAGAGCTGTGTCTCTGGTAGGATATGTATCAGTTCGCGACTACCGAGCGATTGACTGCACCGACTGGAGCGCAGAATCTGTGAGTACCCCTAGTCCAATATCGTTGAAATGAAAAACGCTTGCTGTATCGCTCCTATTGACTCGAGCAGTAACACCCCAGTATTATCCCGATGAACCAGGCTGTGGTGCAAATTATCCTCGAACCACAGTTTGAATTGTTCACTATTAAAATATCCAAGAAACGTTGCTTCGGAGGTGCGATAAGCCGTCACCCTATCTTGCGGGACGGATTCCCTCGCCTTCCAGTGTAATGCAAACGAACACGCTATCAGCTCCCAAGCAAGAAGCTGCATGTAAGTTATGTGTGGGGCCGATGCTATCGAACAGCATGCCCTCAGGGATGTCGCGTTCATGTGTTCTGTGTCTCGATATTCGCAGTCTACGAGCGAGGAATTGGCGATGTTTCCGACCACAATGTCGACGTTTCGTACGGGTATTACGGCTACAGTTACTATGACGAATAATGTGCCCACAACTCTGGAAATGATTTCCGTTGCTCCATCCACTGGTACAATTACCAAGCCAGTGACCATCACCGCTACCCCTTCAAGTGATGCGCCTACAACTGTGGAGGCGGTTACGACTGCTTCCACCACTGATACTTCGCACCTTTCGGTGACAGATACTGCTGCTCCTTCGACTTATGCCTCTAATGCATTGGAAACGGCTACCACTGCTCCTGCTACACATATAACCGCCAAGTCAAGAACCGGAACTGTTGACCCCTCTGCTCACACGCATGCTATATCAAAAGTCAAGGCCAATGACCCCTCGACTCACTCAACGAGCTTGACCACACCCATCCTCCCAAGCACGACAAATCCCCTGTTGCAACTTCTACAACTTCTACAACTCCCAATAACCATCCACCCACACCACTCCCCTCCTCCATCAGAAAATTCCGAACCCTATTAACATGGGCATGGATACCTATCGGAATCTTTATTTTCAGTCACATTTCCAGTCTGCTCCTGATCACTATAAAGCATTACCGGCGTCGATAGGCCCCTCGCCACGTCAAAACCCGCCGCTAGCAGATATCTTTGCACATACTCGTCCATTTCTCACTCCCGCACTGGTGGTAGAGAAACAAAATATGGATATCCTACATTTGTAGAGACGCTGATAAGCCGAGTGAGCAGTTTCAGCTCCAAGTCGTACCCGCTGGCTATACTCCTGCGACGAACAAGGCTGGGACGGGGGGCGGGACCCCGAGTTCACGGAGCCAAAAAGAAGTCTGAAGTGGGACGGGAGGGAGGATTATTGATGAGAGTGGAAGTCCGAAGAAGAATAGGCAGTCCATACATCCGGAGATGGGCGGCCAGGACTGGCGTGTGACCAATGGCTCGCCTAACCGGTGTGGGTGAGCTGGGTAGCGGAGGGTTGTGGATGGAGTTGGTGGATATAATTGTGATCAAATCGAGAGGATCTCGGACGGCGTGGAATCAGGGAAAGTATTTTCCATCTCGTGCTGGCTCCATTGTCGAACTTGCACATGTTGGCAATATCACTGAAAATTGCACCTGAGCGAACTTGTGTACTTAGATTTTATCAAAACTGGTCAGATATTTTCAAGTTTTGCTGAGTGCATGGGTGACTTTGCCGAGTGAGCAAGCCTTGATAAAGATGTGTAATCTATCTGACCTAATCGCGATATAGGTGCCGTGGCATAACCAGTCAAGATCAATGTGAGTGCGGCGGGGAGTACCTACTTCTATATCCTTTTCCGTTCGAGTTAAAGCAGAAGTAGTTGCTCGAGTCGTCGAGTCATAAATTCGTATAGCTATCAAAGCCAAAGCAAGCCAAACTGAGGTTGTTTGACTCGAAGACTGACCCGCGACTTCAACTCCAGAGATTAATATATATGTCGGCTTTGGTGAGATTGAGAAGTTAACACAAGCAAAGTAACCATTTTCAAACTCGTTGGATTAGTCGACCATAACATCGACAATTCTTCTGTAGAGAAGGTTAAGACTCTCTTACGCTTTTTGCTCATTACAAGATTATCTGGTTTTCGACAGGCGACACATACAACCCGCTCCGCAGTATCCCCTTCGAGTAGTTGTCCCGGGCCACCCATAGAACATTATCATAGTATATACCCTTTCTTGCACCTTCCACTCGTGAGTATCCAAATCAGAGAGCAGCAACGATCCCAACCAAGCCAGCTAAGAAACCACCAGCAACCCTAGCCGGCGCCCCCGCCGCGCTCGACTGACTCGCAATAATCGAGCTAAGCGAAGCACTAGGCGTGGAATCCGTCCTCGTCAGAGTCTCCGTCGACGCCAAGCTAGTAGGGATTGCCGTGGATGTGCTGTCCCCAGTCGCCGTCGACGAAGGCGTCGACGAAGGCGGCGATGTAATGCTGATACTCGCCGAGGACGAAGCGGTGCCCGTGGTCGGTGCGGCAGTCGATGTGATGGTCAGATCGCCAGCACTAAAGCTCGAGCATACGGCCAGGCCAGCGCTCAGGGCCTGTTGGAGCTCGTCGGCGCTGCAAGCGCCGGTTAGGCAACCCGCGGCGTTCATGCCAATGACGGATTGGGTGGGGCCGCATTGGCATGATATGTCGCTCAGGGCGCAGCCAGCTTTGGAGATGGCCGAGGTGAGGCAGGGAATCTGTTGGATTGACGCGTCAGGTTAGGATAGTCGAGTTTTGTTTGGGATGTTTGTTTTGCCAGCATTTGACTTACAGCGCAATCCGGCTCTCCCGGGAAGTATCCCCCGTTCTGGGCGACGGCGAGTCCAGCCGCGACGAGGAGAAGTGTTGGTTTCATTTTGGCGAATGGGAACAGTACGATTGGTACCGGTGTTCAATTGACAGTAGCTAAAGATGACAACTGATGGTGGGCAGAAAGGAAGGGAGTTGCACTACTTCCGAAGTTGGAGATTGGCGCTATTATATCGCTTCCTAGCTATCATTTCATTGTGTCAATGGGGGCCGCTACTTTCACCCGTTCCAGTTAACTCTATTTGGTAGCATTAGCAGGGATTGGCAGGGGACTCGCTGCACCAGATCATTGGCAATTCGATTGTCCTTGGCCAGGACGGCAGGTACGCCACTTGATGAGAAAGCGAGGGAGGGTGCCAATGAGAGTGTATTTTGGGTCTAGCTTTCACTGTGTACCTACTTTAGGCATATATGGCCAATTAATTGCCTGAATAAACTCAATTGGACTAGCAGATGTTAGTGTACACTCGCTAGCAAGGGCAATACAGGGTTATTTGCGTAACGAAGATGTGGAGAGCGTTGTACCTGGAGAACAGACAGGGATAGCTTTAGAAAAATTCGAATCAGGTCTCTCTGTGTCAATACCTTTCATAATCTGTGGATCTGAAGATGCTTTGGTCGAATGACACCCGTCGAACGACATCAATTTGACCTCGTTCGTTTGGAATTGAACGACTGTTCCCAGGCTGCTGCGATATTGCTTCAAAATAACTCGGTGAGAATGTTTTCCAACATACATTAAATTCTCCAGCCCAGCATATGAGAATGACCGTTGAGTTTGGGCCTCGGTTCCCTTTAGCGGACAACAACATCGGTTTCAATACATGTCAACATGCACTCGACTGATGGTCCACTATCTAGGTACTCCTCGAATAGATCCGAACCGCTTGTGCCGTAACCGTGCAAACCAGGTACCCAACAAGTTTACTTCTCGTCCAGCCGTAGCCCCAAAGCTTAAAGATACCCACAGTGCCTCTTGGCTCTATTGATACTGCGAGTCAGACATTGTGACCAATTTGCGAAAGGAGACAGTCACTGGAAGCATAGCTGTAACACTTCTCAATACCAAGGGGAACCCTCAAGAGAACGTCTGAAAGATTCTAATGTATTGGCCAGAAAGTGACTACTGATGTCGTAGGATCCAGGTTCTACTATGACTGATGCGGCATGAGGAAACTCCCAGGAACGGAACCATCCTAGATGAATAGAGAAATGAACAATCTAGCAAGTTGCTCGGCGCTCGGCGCTCGCTGCTTACTGGTCAACGCTGGGGTATCACAGTCTCTTCCGAAGTCACTTGGTCGGGAAAAGGTGCCTCGCCGTTCAAGCAAAGTGGACAGCCGGGAGGGCAAGGAAAGCATTGCTGCTACGCCCGCAGCTATCAACAGGAGGAGCCACCCGAGTTTCCTCATGCTCAGAAATAGACTAAATGTAATCGATGTGCTCTTTGTAACACTGAATAAATAGAGTGGTCGGCTAGTTCTATAAGGAGATGGTTTAAAATGGGAGACGACTAGTAACAGGCATACAATTCAGAAGATAGAACTAAGAGAACCTATTAAGCTAGTGATGCTGTTATACTTAGGAAGCTGTAGCTAAAAGTCCGCGGACTTTACCGCCTTTGGGCACAGTGTTTAAAGCAATGTTACAGGAGTTCGCGGTAATCTCAAATCTTAGTGTATCCACATCAGAAGTTGACCTTCGGGCTAACCGGCTCTGCTACTTGTATGAACAATACGCAAAGCTTTGCAAAGTGAAGCTATTCAGAGCCGTATTTTGACGTAATCCGGTCAATTCTGGGCGTTTTGAACGACCTGGCGCCTCCGTAGTACATAATCGCCATCATCCAATAAGACTTGATTGCCGGTTCACGTCGTCAACCTCCGATTTCTATGATTCCGCTGCTTCCGGTGCTGAATTTATCACCCTTCTAACGACGACGTTTCTTCCACCGCGCGCTTGTATAGGGCCTTGATCTACTCCTTCGGCTCTCCTTTCTTACCATAAGGCGGCTAGGTGCCTTTCTTATATTCATACCACCTCTCAACTCGATAACCCACGCAATGTTGCCGCGGATTCGATCGACGAAGAGTCGAGGCTTCTTCTGAGGGTACTTCTGGCGAGCACGTGTCGCGATCTTACCCATCTCCGGCGTATACCTCGTCTCAATAACCTTCGTTGTAGAGATTTTCAATCAGAACCAAGAGGGCTCGATAGCAGATAGATCCGGGCTTAACAGAGATACGTTGAACAGTACAACGTTGCTAAGAAAAGCATTCAGTACGGCTACAGCGGATCTCGGCAGTTCACAGACTTTTGGCTACAGGCTTGAAGGTCTGGAGACTTGAATTTACGCATGTAAGTAAGCCCTGTATTGCGAAGAACTTGTGTGAACGACGGAAGAGAAACCACTTGAACTTCCATCTCGATAAGTTATTACAAACAGCAGTGGAACTTATACTTCAAGGAGAGAGTTTTTATAACCACTCGGATTGTCGATATTGGAAAGCGACCAACTAATGGCAATCCCAAGTATGCATGTATCGTCGTCTGAATAGGCAAGTTGGGGGACGCTACCCCACGGAGCCTCCAAGGGGGAAGTGGAGCACCTGCGAATGCTTCCGGATTCAATTCCCTGAAGTTGATTAATCGTAATTCTGATCTGACAGCATCCCAAGCAGCGTTGCCAGTCAACAAAGCTCACCCTCCCAATCACCAGACCTTGCCATTTCAGCAAAGTGTCGCAAAAATGGCGTCCTCCACCTCACCGCAAGACGTCACCATGTCACAATCCACACCACATCCGCCCGTAGATGACGAACCCAAGTACGGCGGCTTTTCCCGCTTTGAGATTGAACTCGAGGTATGCACTCTTTTCTCCACCGTTCCCAAGATCGCAAGCTAATATCCAGTTCCCTTGACATCAGTTCGTCCAATCCCTCGCGAACCCGCATTACCTCAACCACCTCGCATCGCAGAAACTGCTTGCAGAGCCTGCCTTCGTCGCTTACCTGTCGTATCTGCGCTACTGGACCAAGCCGCCATACTCAAAGTACCTGACGTACCCCGGGCCAACGCTCAAGCACCTCGAGCTGCTGCAGCAGGAGCGCTTCAGGCAGGATATCATCAGTCCAGACTTAGTGTTTGCGCTGGTTGCAGAGGATATCAAGGCTAGTTTGGAGTGGCATAAGGATTCGTGAATGAAGGTTTGGGGAAGGATGACTTTGAAATACAGAGAAATACTTCATGGCGTGCCATCAAAGGCGGCTGATATGGTGTGAGCTATGATGGTGGTTGAAGAGGCATGGTCACTGTGGCGGGAGGTCGACAACGCGAAGCGAAGGTCACAAACCGCGTCGCGATTGGCAAGAAGGCCATTAGGATAACATGAAGGCACAGGGTGGAATATGGCCCTTCTTCCAGCATGAAGACGAGTACTCAACCTCTCAAGTTGCATCTGCTAGCACCACGACCGAGGATAGGGGTTGAATCCGATATGGGGAGAACGCTGAAGCTACAAGGCGACTAGAAAGTGGCAACTTGTGCCCTGCTGAGGATACGATCTCACGATTGTCAGCCCTCTTCGTAACCGTTGGTTCTTGGGTATCTATAGCTCTAACATTCCATCGCCCAAGCCTTTGTGAGGCTTCTGAAAAGAGGCATGTGGTTCTGCGCAAAGGCCCTTGCCAAATATCCATCCTAGCCTGGCTCAATGCCCAAACGCCATGCCATGCAAATCAAAATACATTCGTTCCTCCAGTATGCGAACATGCAAGCTCCCATCAAGTGGATGATCGGCCATTACGCTCTCCTGAACCCACACAGGAGATGTTTCCGAAGCATGATAGCCTACAGTCCACATGTAGGACGCGCCATTCATTTGCATTGTTGTCATCGATACGCTTCGTGTGGTAGAGTCGAATTTCCCGACGTTCCTTCGCCGAGGCAACGCCAGGTTAGTTCTCTCTCCACCTTCCACCACATGTCATGCACTTGTAGAAACTCGTCATAGGCTCATCAGCACTGCGGATCTGGACCTGGAAGAAGGCGGCCTCAGCTCCATCGCATCCATCTCTCGGGCATTGCACCGCCGTCTTGTCTGCATTGTCCCAGGCGTGGGCTCCGCCGAACACGTCCTCCCTCTCCTTACGCGCAAACTCTCGCCGCGAGAACATGGGCGTGGTGATGTGGTGCTGGTACGGACAGGTGCGGCATTCAAGACGATTGCGACCTGTGTCGGGTGAGGCCGAGACCGTCAGGATGTTGGAACAGTGGGGACAGACTTTATGTCTAGTTAGATATTGGGAGCTCTTAGGGATGGAAGAAAGAGGGCACTTACAGAGAAGCATATTGACTGTGTACAAGCAGTACCATAGAAATCTTCGGCTTGCTTCCGATCTGCTCGACCGAAGATGGATCTCTGCGAACAATGCGACGGTGGTGTTAAAGTGACTCTGGACCATAATCCTTAAAATTACAGTGGGGCTTCAATGAGCTTCGGGGAACTTTTTTTTGGCAGCTCTAGAATGCCAAGACTATGATGTCCCGCCGGAAAACGCTAAAACCATTGCCCCGATGTCTACCACTCCAAAGTATGGGCTCGCCCCGAGTTGACTCCAAATTGACGTTCCCGGCGTTAAGCTGGCTGAGCTGGGATTGGATATCACTGCCACCTCCTTGCACGGCTGCTGAAGGCACAAGCAATTGTTCGGTCTCCAAACAAATAACTAGCCCTAGACGCAAAACATACGAAGTACTCACCACGGTTATTTGCGATTTCGACTCTCTATCTCACCCAGCGGATCATTGTGTTACTTTGACGTACGATAATTTGAAGCTTGGTTGGTCGCGGGGTGATCCACGGACCTTTTCACAGGCGTCACACAGGCGTCGTCACCTCTTCATCGTTTCATAACTTGAAGGTTACGTGACTTCAAGATGGCGGCAGAGCACGACGTACGTTGTTTTCCTCTGGTACTGCACTGCACAAAACAGCTAAGACGTTTTCATGTAGGGAGCGACAATCCAACAGCGACTCCTCGGAGCCTGCCAACGCGACAATGTTGACGACCTCCAAGAGATCATTGACGGGTGCAAAGGCGACGAGGCCAAGATCTCAGATCTTATGAATAACACCGTAAGTCCCATGGGGGACTATCTCTACCACGTGGCCGCGAAACACGGAAGCCGTACGACTACCTTTCCCCTCCATCCCGGATCTACATGATCCTCCTGCATCATGCAGATCTCGGAAGCTAACTCTTCAACCAACAACAGACTGGGTCATCAATCTCCTCCTGGACCAACCCGATTTCGAATGCGACCCCATCAACCGCCGAGAAGGCGACACACCCCTTCACTGCGCCGTGCGCTGGGCCAATGACAACCCGACCAAGCGCCAGGACGCCCTCGCCCTGATCGATATGATGCTGGAAGCCGGCTCGGACACGCGCGTCAAGAACAAGGCGAAACTGACTGCGATCCAGCTAGTGGACCCCTCGAATAAGCAGCTCAAGGATCTGATACAGGAGGCCGAACAGGCCAACTTGAACGCAGCCGATTTGGTGGATACGAACGATGTCAAGGGCAACAACAGCGCTTTTATAGACATCCCGCAGCAAGACGACGAGTCGGATGAGGATGCGGAGTTCAGCGGCAGTGATGATGAGGAACGGGCCGAGTGGGAGCGTAGGAGAAAGGCACGTCAAGGACGGTAGAGGTGTAGTTGATGACGGAGAACTGAAGTCTGCAATCGTCCGGTGGCTACCAGTGCCGCGGAGCGTGATAAAGGCGCATGGCCGGATCGTTATGAGTTTTACGAGGCATATTTTCGTGGTTGGGTAGTAGATACAGAGAGATAAAGGCCAATCATCGGTATCTGGCATTCGCAGTCTGGACTGGCTTGCGCTCAAGTAAGTCGGGCTCAGCAAGACTTGCAATGGATATACTTTAAGGTACAGCTCACGCTGAATTGAGCTAAAGTTACATTTCCCCATGGGTTGGGACATCTCGTCTTGAATGCCGAATGATTACAGATTCTATTTGATTTCATGGTGACTTTACGGTTGTGGCGAGCGAGTGGTACAGCATCGTTTTATATTTGGAAAGAGAAAGGTCATGAATGGCAAGTGCGGGAAATGCGGGTATCTTCAGCAACATTGCCCCTGATAATTCTAGTCTGGAAGCCCAACACGTCCAATAATGGTCAGATCTGATCTTCCTGATGCAATGTTGCTGCATCACTTAGCGCTCAATTAAAGCTAACACATGCTTGTGTGTCATACTACAGCCATGGGATACCATAATCGCAGTTCCTGTAATAACCACATACCCAGGTTAGCGTTGAACACACCCATAAACGTAATAGTACTTTTCACCCAGACATAGTGAGGCTACAAGATGCCATACTCTTGAAAAAATCCTGAGTTGAATACTCAAGTCATGTGCTTGAAGGGTATGAGGTGCTAATCTAGGTGTTAAAAAAAGTAGTGCTCAGCCCCCTATGCAATGCCCAGAAGTCAGGTCCCAGTCCAGCTTTTGCCCTGCTCCAGAGGTATCCTATTCCCGGCCAACTTTAAGCCTGCTTGTTGCTCATCTTCCAACCTCTAGCCTTCTTCGATCAGGGTATCCACGAAAACAAAATGACCCAACGCCAAAGACATGACTTGTCGGTACTTCGTTTCCTTATTGCGCAACATGACTCATCTCGTAGAGCACCTGCTTAGAGCGTGATGGCTGCAACAACTGCAACAACTGCAGCAACTACGCCGGCCAACAAGTTCGGCATTTTCAGGTTCGCAGCACCGCTGGGTCGGGATTCAATGTATGTCAGGTTCATAGCCGTATCCTTGACTTGATCCGTCACCTGCCCACTGCTTGCTATTTGTTGCAGCTGCGCTCCAAACGTGGACAGAATGTCGGTGCTTCGTCCTTCTGGGCAGAAGACGACCTCCCATCCACCACCGCTGGGAATGATGAACGTCGACGTTTGATCATCGTATGCAAAGCTGTACGCATCCGGACAGATAGTCTTGGCGGCGTTGGCATAGTTACTGCGTTTGCACACGTTCGGGTCGTCGTATTTGCCTGTGCAGCAAGCACTAGGGTCGTTGGTGGAGGCGCATGCGCTCTTGCAAGGATCGAACACGGGTCGTTGTATTTGGTCATCGGGATACGGAAATATGCCATCACCTGGTTTGCTGGGTGGGAAAGCTTGCAGGTCCCAGGGGCACCAATCTGCTATACCTCCATTGGTCTGCGAAGTGTCGTACGGCATGGGAAAACTGGAGTTGGTGTAATAGGTCCCTGTTCTATTGGGCGCCATCAGGTATCCCGGAGTTGCTATGCAAGCTGCGTTGACAAAGTTGGGGGGAATATTGGTTGTGTTGCCGGCTGGATGGTAGACAAGGCCTACCGGCAGATTGTACCCGTCTACGAGCGAGATGTCGTAGAATGTTTGCCTCCCAGTGACGCCACCGGACAGCGTGAACTCAGCGAGGGTGACGGGAACTTGTCCCTATACAAACAACTGTTAACCACGGCAGCTACAGAGTTGGGAGATGTCAGTGGCTGGCTTACACTAAACTCGCATTCCAACCTGCCAAAACAGTCACCAGTCGCACAAGTTGCGGTATCGTCACCCGTGGTGCAATTCGTTCTGCCCCAAACTCTGCCTGCCCAGGATGACCCGACGGTCATATTTCTCGTTTCTCCGGGGCCCAACTCAAAGCCACTGGATTCAGGGCCTTCGCCAGATTGTGTGGCAAGCCCAGGCCAGATGGTATCACCACAGCTATTTGTGACGATCAATGGAATTGGATTCTGGCGCTTCGACAAAGGGCGTATGGGCTCTTGATAGCCTTGTGATTTCGGGTGATAATCGAATTTGTACAACTTGTGGTTGCTGGGGTAGACCGTGGCCGTCGCGGTTGGTACCAGTGTTGAAAGAATGAGTGCTGCTGCTACATATTCGTTTCTCCTTGGAGGGAAGCAATGGGAGCTGCGGTGTCCCGATTCGGGTTGCATGATATCCTGTTGCCCTGCAGATGCAAAGCTAGTCACCCAATGAAGCAAGTTCGAGTTTGTTACTGTATAATATGCGACAGCGACAAAGATTCGAAGGTAGAGGTTTGCGACGACGGCTCTGCCAGAGAATACAGAAGCATGGTACACGAGGTGGTCGGAGGGATCAAAGGCCTTCTTGAATGTTCGCCAAGTTCCAGATCTTTTAGGGTTATTGGCGCGAGCCTTGCTTCCGAATGGATCTCTTCAGTCTCGCTTGCAAGTAAGAAGCAGTTTGACCACGCTTCAACAGTCTAATGAGCGCAGTTCAGGCTGCTCAGCGCCAATCAAAAGGAATCAATGTGATGAATGACGTATGAACCTGGAACCGAGAGATGAACTGACGAGATCACCAACCAAGTGGGATAGTTGCGTCGATCAAGGATCACCACCTTGATAATCCTTGTTGCAGTGCAGCGTAAAAGATGGGACCAGGAACGGCCCAAATAAGGGCGGAAAGCCTAGAAGCTAACAGGCCTAATGTTTGGGATAGACCAGAAATTAATGCAAAAGTAGTACGAGGGGATAGAGCTTTCAAATAAGGTGGTTGAAATGCAATGAGAGTGGGTAATGAAGCCATTGCTGGGTGCTTAATCGACAGTCCCAATAAACCTACGAATGTCATCTCGAGTCGCTTGACGCCTGAGTCTGAAGAACAAGCAATGACGCAGGTGCGACTCGCTGACAGGTTTTAACAATTTGCGGGTAAGCTCAATGGTCCAGGCCCTACTTTGTGCGTGGCATGCAGGCTCGGCCGAGTTGACTTACCTAATTGGGTAGCTTCTCGGTTGAAGCGACAGGGGTAGCAGGAATTCCAAGTTCTCTCAAAGTCCATATTCCCTGCTACGCCGTTGATGACCTGGAATTTCTAAGCGCCAACCCTCACAACTTCAGGGTCCTTTAGCTCGTGACAAACAGCATTGTGGGCTTCTCAATCTACAATGTACGGTACTGTCGATTTGAGCTCACCTGCAACTTTGGCTACTTGTAAGTATCTTAGACTTGGGCCAACTGACGAAATGTCTCACATCCATTATGCTGGCCCTGATGCAGGTTGTGTTAATCTATCAAAAAGCCTTGAGAGACTCTTATTTCCATTTTACTTCATACATTCGTCGGTAAAATAATACCTGTGACTTGCGTGTGTATCCTGGTCGATCTACCGCACTGGACTCATGTCACAAATGTCAAGTTCATTGAATTCGTGCCAAGTCAGCTGTGTGGTCAGATCTGTTGATTCGTGGATTGATTGATGATAAGTCTAGGTTTCTATGTAACGCGGTAACAGCGTTGGCTTTATTTCCACTTTTATGGGGCCTAGGGCCACACTTGTGGAGCTTAGGGCAAGCCACACTTAGATCCACATGCATTAGTAATAAGAGGTGTATCATAATAGAGATGAAAGTACTCCAACCCAAGCCTATTTGGTGGGGAAGTGCATAGAAATGACCACATTGTGCATGTACGCAGGACATGTTATCGATGCGCCAGTGAACAGATCAACTTATACGAAAACAGAGGCAGCAAGGGAAAGGAACCTGTAGTTGCAACAATACTTCTGCGAGAGCCAAATTCTTCCTGCAGGAGTCTGGATGCTTCCGACGTTAAGTCAGGCGATAATATTCTCTGTCTTTATGTAATTCTTAAGAGGATGACTTTCGCTACCCATAGTTGAAGAGCGATTTGATTAATCTGGCTACGGTCTCAGACTAGTATATTGTGTGTATGCACGAGCCCGGATGTGAAATAAGCAACTCTCAGAAAGTCAAGGGGCCACTGGAGTTACGATTACATGATTTCTCACGGGTAGTTTTTACTTGAGCATTGCACGTATCACAACCAGTGGAACCCATAGTCACCAGACTTAACATAACCCCCGTGGGGAGTGGATTCTTGCAAATGGCTATCTCCATAAGAAACATTGTGAGGGTTCTCATCATTAGCCACACAATCTTTGTACACTCACCCATCAAGGGAACAAAATGCAACTATGTGAATTTTGATGTATTGGGTGTCTCACTGCTGTTCAGCTTTGTTCTCTCAAAAAGGTAAAGTTGTCCATTGATTGGTAGGTATCATGTCCAGGGTACTTAACCGCGCGCCAGTTTGGTATAGCCCAAGGCTATTTGTCCACCCACGGAACACAGTGTCTACATTTGGTCGCAAAAACATATCGTTGATACGTCCTGTTTCACCAAACAGCCGCCAAGAACGTCTATGGACAAAGACTCACTCTGCGTCAGTCACCGCCTTCCTAGGGTAGATCGAGTCGACGAGGATTTCATCAACATCCTCATAGACTTGCTGTCTCGGGAAGATGCCTTGGAAAACGATGCCGCTGCTCGGATCGACAAGGACTACGCTGGCCGCATGTTTCCCAGGAATCGATGCTAAGTCACGGCGATCATAAAGGCTTGATCGACTTCGCCCAATTGATATACCACTTGCTTTTTAGCCTGTCATACTCCTTCCCTACGACAGTTGTCAGCACAAAAGGCTGTTTAACCGATGAAAGTCAACGGTGTAAGTCTGGATCAGTACGCACGTTGGTAACCGACTTTACATACCCTATGGAAAGCTAGAACACGAGGCTAAAATACTGTTCGTCGAAGAGCACAAGTCCCCCGTTGGTACATTTCTACAGAATATCCCGAATTCAGATGATTCGTACACCTGTTACCGGATTGACTACGAAAGAAGTAGAAATCTGGTCCTGTCCCAGAGCCCATACGCGCGCTGGGAAGAGTAATATGCAACGCGCCATCGACTCGCGCTCGAGATTGGCCAGGCCCAGCCCCACCCATATGCGATTATTTGAGTTCGTTGATGGTCTTCTTGACGACTGTTGCCTTGGAATACAGCCCTGGCACGTACCTCATCATAGTACCTGATGGAAAATTCCCTCTCGCCATGAGATACCCAATGGGTCTAACCAACAGCTAGCCCGTTACTGTAACATACGAGCTGCACCCCAGATAGTGTTCCGTAGCTGCTAAAATCAGGACTACCTGTGCTTTGCAATGAAGGTGGTGGCTGGAACCCCAGAGAAACCTAGACTCAAGTCGAAGACGTCTCCAAACCGAAATTGAGAATCTGCGCATTTGCAGCTTCGTCAGTTCGTCTGACCCAAACATCTTTGACGGGACTGTCCGCTCGCTAAAAATCTTGATACAGGAATACATAGTCAAGTACGAAGACTCCTGCCAAATGAGGGACGGAGGAGACCCCTGGTCATGGAGCACATCTGGCACCGCCCGCTCTTAGATCTGTATATTTTCATAGAACGAGCTGTAGAAAAGGCCAAAATCGTCGCATACAAGATGAGCTGCGCACTGCAGCATATTCATCAATCGCATGCCGAGACGTGAAGCCAGCAATATTCTGGTGTGCCAAATTGACCCACTCGTGGTTAAGTTATGCAATTACAGGCTCTCCACCGTCATGGCGGCGGACTTGTGAAGAGGTGAGATCAATGCAGTGCTTTCATATTTAGATTTTGAAAATGGGAGGAGCTAGGCCAGGTAAGTGGTAGTAGTATAGCGAACACGAAGCGTTCTGGCAAGTATCAAATACACCGAGCACGCAATTCGGAGATACTATGCAACATCTCCTCTTTGTTAGCCCCCGAGGCTCAGTATACATGTCCATGGTCACTAGAGCGAAGCCCAGGTTTACCTATCTACATACAGCCAACTCGGCGTTAGTGGTAGAAGATTGAAATAAACCCATAAAGCAGTTGGCTCTTTCTCAGTTTCGACTATCGCCACAGGGTCTAGTGTGAAGTCCTCTCATCGGGGTTATGCTTCAAAGATTTCTTCCCCCGCGAAGAAGGTGGAGGTTGGTGGGTAGAAAACCAATACGCCTTTTCAGGGCCTCTTAAGGTTGAAGTAACAGCGTCATCAACCTGTGCCTAGTCAGTAATATCACAACACCCGGCACATTGCTATTTTGCATACAAACGGAATCCGTCAGCCTTAAGCCCTCCGAATTCATCCTGAAGTTTCATACATCGACGACATTAGGACTTACACCGAAAACCTGTAACAAGATGCGAAGCTTCCTCGAAGACCGTTTTAGATGGTCAAACCCTTGACCGTTGCGGTCATTACAAGCACATTGCCTACTGCAGTGAGTCATCGTCTATATGTCTGTTGTCTTGAAACAGCAACTAACCGCCCCCTACCTAGCAGGCTGCGAGTGCTAGGCCTCCTACTGGCGTAGCTACAAGTACGTCTGTACAGCCTCCAACTTCGTCCGGAAGACCCGTCTCTGCCCTAACGAAATCACCGACCTGCCCATCTGGCATACCCTTAGCTGCCCTGCCAACACCTCTTTTGACACTCTGCACTCAGCCATCCAGGTCTTCTTCGGCCAGGCCCGTACGCACTGCTACGACTTCGTAGTCAACGACCCGACGCACACCATTCACTGCCAGAACTCGTAGGCATGATGGAGCGGCTAACGCAGCAGCCGGAGCGTCCAGTACAGGGCCGCAACAGAACCACTTGCGCTCGTGCTGTGGGCGACGTCTTTCGGTGGGGTGTCGACAGGGGCGAGAGCCAGATGGGCTTCCACTTCGAGACGCCCGAGCTGCAGACAGGGAAGACGAAGTTGTGGAAGGTCTTCGGGGATGCTCGGTGGGACGGTTGTCCGCTAGTGTACAAGTACGACTTTGGAGATCGCTGGGAGCATGAAATTGAGGTTGTTGGACGGGAGGCGCCCACGGGATGGTGTGTATGCAAGGACGGAAGGGGCATGGTGCTGCTGATGATGTGGTTTGGGGTGGGTCGAGTTAGTCGAGGCTTATAGGGAGGGTAGCACTAGCAAAGAGCAGAAGATGGGATAACATGAGCGGGCTTTTAGTAACGGAGACCGAAGAGGCCTGGATGAGATGGAGGATAAATAGGCCATTGAAGAACATTGGGTTTTGACGCCAAGTTTGACTGTCGCCAAATATCTAGGAGACAGTGCTGTTCCAGCGCAGTATCTGGACATCGTACTGAAAATAGAATACCTTTGCACCTCTAAGCGAGAAGTAGTGACCATAGTTTGGGCTTGAATATATCTGCTGCACGCTGAATCCTCTCACAAGTTGCCTAACCGAGGCTTATGGTTCATACTGAGTGTCGTTGAGGTTGGATCTCACGTGAGGTTACCTCGGCCCTCAAACGGCCCCCCATCTTGAGAGGGATCTAGATCCATCGATGACAGTTTTCGCCTTTCAAAGCCCAGAACCAGCACATTCGGGGGCCACAGGAGCATCATGGCAGGTTGAAACAAATGAAACAGGGGTTGCCCTTACCTTGGTCAGTCAGAAGTCGCGAGTATGAAGTAGACCCGAGTGCAAGACTACCCGCATAAGGGTACTCGGCGCAGAATTGTAAGCCGTTGAGGATCCAGGCGCCTGAGAAAAACACGCTTTTACCACTCCTGGAGTCGCATCCACATATAGACTCGCAACGAGTCTTTGGGAGTCCACCATCAAGGTGCCATTTGGGAAAGTCTAGAGTGCGGCGGGGTGCGAAAACTCGTATGAATTTCTCAAGCTACTCTACTCTTCTCAAGTACTGTGTCTTTAGAGTTGAAGGTCATTTTAAGCGCGTACTTTCGCTATCGCAGCTCGAGCAAACGCGACAAGGGCCCATCCTCTAAAATCCACTATGGCCCGCGGCTGGTTGTGGCTGTTCACATCTAAGAAGTTAAAGTTGAGCTTGAAGGGAGGCTTAGCCAGCTCAGCCGCCTCTTCTCCATAAGTTTGGGGATGGTGAGGAGGACGTTGGAGGACGGGAGGGTAGCAGTCCTCTCGAGACCATCAATGATGAAGAGGGCTGCAATAATGTTAGAAAGATATGCCGTGGCCTCAAGTTGGGCATGAAGTGTTGCAGTTCGACCTGACCCAAGAAACGCACCCCTTCTGAGAAGACAAGAAGGATCTGCTGGATTCCATTTCCTGATGTTCTGGGCCCACACCAAGGATACTTCTGTCGTGCAACTGGGCGCCCTAGTGCCGCTTTCAGAAAAGACGCTAGTCCACACTCGAGCGGCCCGCGCGCTGTTTTGTCCAGGACTTCGAGGACAATTACGTACGGTCTACGGATTAGTCCACACTAGCCGTACCTGAATACTTCATCTTCTAGTACTTCCAAGCAATTATTTGTCTCCGGAGTGCTGAGGACGATGCAAAATCCACTTTTGCATAACCCGTATATCAATGGGGAAGCATGATAAGGAAGCGGTGCTGTGGCAAAGCTCAAGCTTGACCCATAACTAGCTCAAGTCGTGCAATTGGAAGTACGCGAGTGTTGCCATTGGCTTCTCGTTCAGGTGAGCTGCTGCGGCCGCCTTCGCAAGCTAACAAAGAAAAGTCCTTGAGAACTGAATTCCATACGACTTTTCACACTTGCAGCTTCCGACGGCCTCGATGCGAAATCCAGACACCGCTTCATCCAATCTTTTTCGGGCAGTTCCCTCCCGCCGACCGGCACAATTTGGAGCAGCTACCCAGCAAGTTTGGCCGCCTCAATATTTGCTGCAAGAACTACTCAATCAATCACCTTTCTAACCTGCGTCAATTCCTCTCAATTTGTCCCACAAGTTCCTTCGTCAGGCATTAGCGAGCTTGCACTCTTATTTTTCTACTGGTCCTAGGAAGTCCCTTGTTCTTGCCAAAGCTGCTGCTGCCGAGGCGTTCTACATTCCTGCAACACCGTCCTCGATCTTTCCTGCAGTCATGTATGTGATAAACTGCCAATGTCCAGAAAGGCCTTCTCAATAACATCTAGAGCAGTAGTCTGGTGTCAATCCGAGCAGACCTGACTTAATCAGCAGTCGGCTCTCAAGTTTCCTCACCTGCCCAAAGAGCCATTGAACCCGTCAATTGTCGCGGCATTGCACCCATTTCACATGACATCTACGGCACAGCAACCACCAAATACCAAGTTGCAGATTTTGCGCCCATCACTTCAATTTCCCTCCCGAGGCCCAGAACTGCACCATTCTTACTCTGCAGCGTCCTGGGGTAATTAACATCAAATCGATACGCAGCAGCTAAGTAAGTACCAGGAAGTGGGCCAGCAACGACTACGCCGTGACTATTTCACTTGAAAGTCCTCTGGAACAAGCGGCTATCCAACGGTACTCCACCCGGTCTCCCATTGGAACAGATGTTTATCTCGGTGTACTCCAGGTAAAGCCCCAGTGGAACAAGCAGGTAAAGGACGGCGTTTTGAGAAATACTTGCAAGCATACAGATTTGACTAATTAGGTACCCTGTACTGTAGGACTCCGCACTTCAGCCTTACACTGCCAACACTTTAGCGCTGTCAGCTCATCCAGCCACAAGGAGGGGTGTCCACCATTCTATTTTCTTACCTTGAGACGTGCTTGGCCCTCTGTCCTTGACGTTGTCCGCAGCCATCTGCTTTTGGGGTCGGAGACTCAGGACTCACGGCTGCTGCGCGTTGCGTGCCCCATCTGACAAGGAACCCACCCCATCCGTTGTCCTTCAACCCTCGCTTTTAGGCCAGCCCGCCTCAGGTAGCTGTGTAATCCCCCGCGGCCCGCAAATCCCTTCACCTTCTCCCTCCCTTATTACCTTTTGAACTCGTCCATATGAGTTCGTTGAACTCTCGATTCAAAGGCCTCGGATTCGGTAAACGTAAATCCACTGCCAGCAGTGTCGGTTCGCCTTCACTAGGGGACGTCCCGCCTTCGAGTGCAACCCCACCACCTCAGGCCCAAGGTCAAGGGCCTTCTCAAATACCGCAACAGTTCCCCCGAACTGGTCCCGCCCCCTCCATCGCTTCATCGTCGTCACAACAAAGCCTCCCAACGATGAACCATCCCGGCGCTGGTCCCCGTCCACCCAGCTACACGGCAAATTACAACACAGGCCCTCCTACGGTTGGGCGCATGAGCCCGCAAACCGGCCTTGGCCCGACTCGCACTCCTCCGTCACAGATGATCGGCGGACCACCGCCTATCAACACTGGCGCCCCCGCTGGATATCCTCCTCAGATGCAGCAGATGCAGCAAGGCGGCGGTCCCCCTCCAGGAATGCAAGGTGGTCCTCCTGGATACGCCGGCGCTACCGGCTACCCTCCGCCTGCTCCATCCCAAATTCCAGGCAACGTCATGCAGCAATTCGGTAGACCAGCTGCTGAAGTTGAGGGTAACAGTCGCAGCAAGGCTCAGTTGATTGTCGGAATTGACTTTGTATGTACTGCCCAATCCTTCATAAAGTATTGTTCTAACCGGCTGCCTTGCAGGGTACGACGTTCTCTGGCGTCGCGTTCGCATTCGCAACAAACAACGAGGCCAAGGAAGACATTATCACCGAATGGCCGGGCGCTGGTTCATACACAAAACAGAAGGTGCGAATCCATTGCCTTGCGAAGACGTTGCCTTCTGTATGAATTGATGCTGACAGAAATAACCCTGGCAGATTCCAACTGTACTTTACTATGACCAGTATCAGAAAGTTGTCGGATGGGGCCCGGATATTGCTGATGCGCTTGCGCCCACAGGCTACCCCAAGCCGGGTGTTCAAAAGGTCGAGTGGTTCAAGCTCCAGCTTATGTTGTCGGGGAACACCTACATCGACCCAATTAACCTGCCGCCTCTGCCCCCCGGCAAGTCCGAGATTGATGTCGCTGCCGATTACCTTTTCAAGCTTCGGCAAGCCATGAGATCGGCGCTGCAGAAGACGCTGGGCGAGGTTTTTAACAGAGAGGAGCGCAATATCCGATACTACCTGACGGTGCCAGCTATTTGGAATGACGCTGGCAAAGCCGCCACGAGAGCAGCTGCCATCCAGGCTGGCTTCCTTCGAGATGAGAACGATAACCGATTGACGCTCGTCAGTGAACCTGAAGCCGCGGCACTGTTCTGCTCCAAGACTGGCCTGCTTAATCTCAAGGTGCACGACGCTGTTCTGATCGTCGATTGCGGCGGAGGCACGGTCGATCTGATTGCCTACGAAGTCGAGGACGAGAACCCCTTCACTGTAGCAGAGTGCACAGCAGGTTCGGGTGACTCGTGTGGCTCGACAGCACTCAACCGGAACTTCAGCAACATCCTGCGAACCAAGATCAGGAAGATGAAGCTGCCCGACGGATCCAAGACGGCTGGTCGAGTGTATGCCAAGTGTATCATGGACTTCGAGAACAGAATCAAGGCCGATTTCCGGAACAACGGCCAAAAGTGGGCGGTTGATGTTGGTATCGAGGCCGAATTCCCTGAAGCTGGCATCGAGGAAGGCTACATGACCTTCACTAACGAGGAAATTCTCCAGTGCTTCGAGCCAGTGGTCAATAGAATTCTAGAACTTGTGCGGAACCAGATCATTGCCATCCAAGCACAAAACCGGACGTTGCAGAACATCCTGGTTGTCGGTGGATTCGGAGCTTCGGAATACTTGTTCCAGCAGATCAAGCTACACGTTCCGCCTCAGTTCCAGTCCAAGGTCGTCCGCCCCATGGACTCCGTCGCCGCTATCGTCAAAGGCGCCGTCACTTCGGGCGTCACCGAGCAAGTCATTACTCACCGTGTTGCTCGTCGCCATTATCTCATGGCCACATTGCAACCCTTCAAGGAGGGTTACCACCCGGAAGCCTACAGAGTTCCCTCTCTCGACGGCAAGGACCGGTGCAAGTTTACTCGGCAGATTTTCGTGCAGAAAGGCCAGAAGGTCAAGATTGGAGAGCCTGTCAAGGTATCATTCTTCAGACAAGTCGCCCCCGGTGCTACCCTCATGTACGAGGACATCTTGTATGCCTGCGATGACGACGTCTGTCCTGAGTACACCAAGGATCCTCGTAAGTTGACAGTTACTCGTATTTCAATCCGCAAAACTAACGGTACAACTAGGCATAAAGGAGGTTGTTACCCTTACATCGGATTTGTCCCGCAAGAACTTGGAGAAGGACTTCGAGCGCATGGACACACCCCAGGGCACCTTCTACCGAGTCTATTTCGACATCTACCTTACCCTCGACGGCTCCGAATTCAGCGCCGAGCTCGTCTGCCAAGGAGAGGTCATGGGTCGCTGTAGAGCTCGGTTCAGATGAGGGATTAAGCTGCAGGCGATGGGCAAATCCAGCTACTGTTCGCGTCTCCTTTCCAATTTCTCCTTTCGCCATCACATGATACCTCGAAAAAAAAGACAGCCGAGATGGCATTCCTGTGGTGGTCAGGGATATCGGCAAAGTATTAACTAACACAAGAGCCTGTGGGACGGGAATGAAGAAATAATAATTGGAGAGGCCTTGAGGTACGTACGTACGAGTGCATGCGACTCGTCTCTCTCTAGAAAATGGATGGATGGATGACTCAAATGGATGAGGTTTTGATAATGCAGCTGTCATAAACTGCAGAAGATGTAGTTATCCACGAATGCTATTTTGCGTAGAGTTCCTCTTGACATCCTTGTGCCTCGCCATTCCATGCTCTTTCCAATCTACGTTCATGGGATGATGTTGTTCATTCCATGGGGTAACGTCGCTTGTTCTCTGGGATTATAGTGTATATTCCATAACAGTCAATAACTCATACTATTCTATAAAATAAGCATGTTTACCCTGTAGACTAATGATAATATTCCATTAAATAAGCAGAACTTATTACATGGTATAATACTTGCCATTCAACGGGATATTGAGGGGTGGTTGATGGGATACTCAAGTACACAGATTCAGCCTGACGACTGCTACTGTTTCAATGTGAAGTAGACCGTGTTCAGTTAGTGTGCTACTGCAGAATTTATATAATACATACCTCTTTCCGTCGCTCGTATTGGCACCTCAGCGCATATCGCACTGTATGACCCTCTCGAGCGCTCGAGTCACAGGCTTCCAGCCTGAGGAGTGCCAACATGAAGCAGCACCGATCTGCTTGATGACCTCCGCAGCGGCCTGGGATAATAATCCACCGGCCAACTTCCCAGTGACCTCAAAAAGGAAATGTGACTTGTGACTTGTAATCATGGCATATGATATAACCTTGTGTTTCACATCGTAGAAACTACACTTCTCCTTATACTCGCCTCCTCGATCGATAATTCCGGCTGCTACCAGACGGTCGGTCACTCGAGCCTGGATGATTTGGTGTTTCTTGTTGCCTCCGGACTTATAGGAACCTGTGAAGGGAAGAGAAACTCTTGAGCCAACTGTCTACGAAAGCTCAGGACTCTATGTGAAGCCTCCCGGGCCAATGCAGTACTATACATCCCGGTTTCATCTCATATGAAAGCATCCCTTTCTCTTGCCTTGTGAGAATACAAATCTCCTTCGCTAGTCAACACTTACTGCTTATATCTATGCTCATAGCATGGCGCCTCGTACCGGTGGACTGTGCCCTGTCATCGGCCGGCTCCTAGATGAAATTCGACATACCATGGTCGGCGAGTCTGGCTTCCCTCCCAATCGGATTCCCACACACCCAAGACCGCCTGTCGTGGGCGATCTGGTTTACAACACCGAGATCATGCATTCCTCGTACGTGCGGCATTCTTTACTGGATCTCGTTCTGGGATGCGCCGACACGCATGGGCCTATATTCGGATGATGGCAGGTGGGCGACCAAATGGCATTCCGGTATGAAGGGCATCTCGGCCATGGTTGCCTCCGAATCGGGATTAGCCTTGTTGTATATATTGGTTGCGCAACACCCTTGACGAATACACATGTACTAAGTCGTGGTCCCTGGTTATCAGTGGTCGACCAATGTCCGATCCTACAAGTACTTAAACTGGCAGGCCACAGCTTCAACGTTTACGCATCAAAATTTCATCTAGGTGCTAATATTAAACAGAACCAACGCAGTCGCGTATCTTTGATTCTACGACATTATGCTTGGTCAGCACCTTGGGGCTGGCTGATCTTATGCGCTGCTTCCATCTCGCTTGGCCTCACGAGCACGACTGGCACGGGGGCGTTTGTGTTCATCTTCATCTTATTACCAGGCTTCCTCCTCGGCATGCTTTGGCCGATACTGATCTTGTCCAAATAACGGTGGTCGACGTCACCGGCAATCAAGGGGCTCAGACTGCATCATGCTGATTTGGGCGAGAAGGTAGGTTGGCATGGGCTGTGCACAAGTCCAAGTGATCAAAGGGAACTTAGCCTTGGGCTGGAACGTCAATCGAATAGAATCGGGGCCTGAATGGGGGTCATTGCAGGATTCATATTGTAGTTTACGACCTCAGGGAACCTTCGTCGCATATGGGTAGCATCTCTCTCTCTGAGATTGAGAACATGTACCATTTCAAGGGCTCCTTGACCAACGCCTGTGAGAATCGTTATGCGCTACATAACAGTATTATTCGCTGCACGTGCTGCACGACGAGGACAGGAAATAGCTGAGACGTTAAGTCAGCAATGGCAATCTTGGAATATCCACGACTGATAAGATTGGTCAGATAGCAGCCGGGTCTTGGTGGGACAAGGTGGATACATTGTTATACCCTGGGGCGCTCGATAATACGCCATTGGACAGATGGCTTGTGCTAGAGACTCGAGTCCCCAGAACAATTCGTTGAGAGAAGCTACGAAGTGACTAAAGTTGGTAAAGCCTCACAAATTTGGTTACTGCATTTTCACCCCGCGGCAGTGGCAACCAAGCAAGCCGCCAGATAAGGTCTCACCGCATCCAGAGATTTCTATGCGGTTACCGGCCACCGGGCTAGACGGTTGGACTGGTGCGACTTTTCTGTCAAGAACCTGTGTTGGAGATGCTGAAGAGGCAGCTTGCTCTCCTATCTTGCATGATACATGACAGCTCGCTCATTATACGTAATTTCCCTCTCATTCACTTGTGACGCTTTGCGCCGAGGTTTCACCAAAACCTCCATTCGGTGTCAGTGAGACGAAACTGCAATTTTCTTTGATTCACCCCTTCCAGTCTCGAATCTGTTGACAAGAACCCCTCAGTCACGGACCTCTCTTGCAAGCCATTGTGGCTCTTGGCTCTGGCTACTTTTACTGCAACGAACTTCCTCCTTCCAGATTTGACCTTCTGCCGCTCGTCCTCCTACCTATCGTGCTTCTTCAATTGTTAGTGACCTTTTGTCGCATTTCTCGTTAGGAAACACTTGGCCGCGACTTCATACAGTTAATTGAGACCACCCCTAATCTGTCCCGAGGCTGCCGCCCTTCCGGACCGCGCTTCCATCCTCGTCGACCCCCCCATCGTGTGCTCTCCTCGTACGCGATATCGCCCGACGTCAGCTAGAAGTACCCAGTTACAAATATCACGAGACTGACAAAGTCCCACGCCAGCCAGCCGAGCGGGAAACCCTACGTTGCCCACCTCCAAGGTACGAGCTATCCAGTGATACTTTCAGTAACCTGGTTCTGCTTTTTTTCTGAGCCGCATCGCTGGGTAGAGATACACTCGCTGCTGGTGGTGCTCTGTTCCTGGCTGCTGGAAACAGGCACTTGGTCCTGGCCAAATCCCCAGAATACCTCCACGTCGCTCCTTGGACCCAAGTCCCGGAGGACACACTCAATACCACGGGGTGCTGGGATTCTCCAGCAAAAGTGCAACCCGTCCTCGTGCGGCCGGATCTAATTTTTCTCGGAGCACTTCACATCATTCGACGTTCTGGCCGGTTTGCATGTCTAGTCGGCAGATAATCACATCACGCAGGTCCTCCGGAGTCTGGCCGACACGATTTTTCCACAGGTGTGGATCTAATGACCTCATTGCAGCTCCGCAGACCATCCAACGGCCAGCGAGATCGTTGCAGCAGGACGGGCCGTTTGTCCACAGAGAACTCCAACCGCAATATTGACGATTGGTCCCAGGCGTTGCAGCTCCACGAGCTCAGTCCCCGAGTCCAGTATCCCCCACTAATAAACTTCTCCGCGAGCCTCCCCGCCAATCCGTCAAACTGTTGCTCCAGGATTATAAAAGCGCCTTTCGGCGCTCTGCTCCTCGCCGAGCTGACGCTGACACTGACACTAACGCTTCCGATATTGCTTCCAACGAAAAGGCCCGATCTGTCGCAACACGGGGCTCTCTCAACTTCATCCATCTCTTCTCCTTGGCTTTCTTGATCCTGGTCTTGGTAAGTTTGTCTACTAGCATATGCATATGCACGAGTAGTTTTTCCCTCATCCAGCATTAAATGCAGCCCCACATCCAATAATGTTTCCATGTCACAATCTGGCGCTGACCCCTCCATAATAAGATCGCCCAGCTGTTCCTCACAGACGCGAAAATCCAATACTCGCGCATATTTACATCTCACCCTTTCTCGCGCACTGCTTGCTCTCCTCCGGCCGTAGTGACGCACGAGCCTGTTTGCGAAAGCCCCCAGCCTTTCCCTACCGCCCCGCCCGTGTCCCGCGCCCACACCATGGCCCTCGCCCAAGAGACGAAGCGCATCACCGCGCAGTTCGAGTACACCGACGAAGATGTGAACACGGGCGTCCAGGAATTTCTGCGCCAGATGAGTACGTCTCGCTGCAACACTGCGACGCCGAAGCCATGCACTGACCGAGCTATACTTCAGACGAAGGATTGCAGAAAGATGGCACGAGCATGAGCCAGATCCCCACCTACGTTACAGGAGTACCTAACGGCACTGAAAAGGTGAGCTTTATGGGTATCAACTGCGCCTGCTCCTTACTGACAACTGTGCGCAGGGGCTGTATTTGGCGGTCGATCTTGGGGGCACCAACTTCCGCGTCTGCTCCATTCATCTTAATGGCGACACGACCTTCAACCTCACCTACAGCAAGGTTGCTATCCCCAAAGAGCTGATGACAGCAAAGACTGCCCAAGAACTCTTCGCTTTCTTGGCAAAGCAGATCGAGTTGTTCCTCAAGACTCACCATGAGGAGCACTTTGAGGCGCACACTCAACGACGACAAACAATAAGCACTCCAGATGGCTTTGCGGATGAACACCTCTTCCGGCTGGGGTTCACCTTCAGCTTTCCAGTGCAACAATTTGGCATTAACAAGGGCACATTGATCAGATGGACCAAGGGGTTTGATATTCCTGACGCCATCGGAAAGGATGTGTGCGCGCTTTTGCAAGATGAGATTGAAAAGCTCCACCTTCCAGTCAAGGTGGCAGCTCTGGTGAACGACACTGTCGGTACCCTGATGGCCCGTTCTTACACGTCACCGGGCAACACCAGCACGCTGCTGGGTGCTATCTTCGGCACTGGCACCAACGGTGCATATGTTGAGAAGGTCACTAATATCCTCAAGCCCGTCGAAGGACAGTATGACAAGTCGACTGGCAACATGGTCATCAACACCGAATGGGGCTCCTTCGACAACCAACTGAACGTGCTGCCCAACACTTCTTACGACATTGAACTAGACAAGATGAGTGTAAACCCTGGAATCCAGATGTTCGAAAAGCGGGTATCTGGCATGTTCCTTGGCGAGATTGTGCGCCTTGTCATTGTTGATATGCTGAAGAACCCCAATATCTCGCTGTTCCGCGACGAGAACTCGAGCTTCAACGATTGGCAGTCGACAACCACCATTGGGGGCGACTCGACCATTATGAGGCAGTGGGGCCTCGACAGCTCCATCATGTCGATCGCTGCGGCTGATAATACCCCCGAATTCTCCACTTTGCGACAGCAGTTGGAGAGTCAGTTGCATATTTATGCGGCCTCTAGTGAGGATGCTCAGGCATTCAAGAATGTTGCATACGCCGTTGGCCGCCGTGCTGCTAGGCTCTCTGCTGTTGCAATTGGTGCCATCGTCCTGCAAAGCGGACTGCTGAGTGACGGCACCGACGAGCCCATTGACATTGGTGTTGATGGCAGTTTGGTTGAGCACTACCCCTACTTCCGCGACATGATTCACGAAGCTCTTTCGGCGATCAAGGGTATCGGATCCGAGGGTACAAAGAGAATCCGTATTGGCATCGCCAAGGATGGCAGCGGGGTTGGTGCCGCCCTCATCGCTCTTGTTGCCGCAGGCATGGAGAAGCACAACACCGTTGGTCATAACCTGAGTGCCATCAAGAACGATATCACGCAGAAGGTGATGGCCGCCATTCCCGAGACGGGGAGCTCGACGACTGTGGTCTAGGAGAACCCATTCCGTTGGACCCCACGTACTTGAACCATGAAAAGTCTTTATCATGATGCATATTGGTTGCCGCAACGACTTTTGACGAGATCATGAGCCGCTTGCTAGCAACAATTGGCGCGGCGTTTATAGGGGTGGGCAGATTTTGGAGGGCACTGCACAATTGTTTGTTTAAAGTTGAATTACATACAGGTTTTCACTAGTGAATACACGGTATAATCCCCAAAATAAGAGGTTGCAAGACCCTGATTTGATCTTTGTATTGCCTGTGACTTCCAAGGCTGTCTATGAGCTATGCCTACTTTGATACTGGCCAACTGATACAACGGGGAACCGATGCTCTACGTTTGTCCTCTTTTGTATCCGGCCCAGGTGGCATTCGGTGTGCTTTTACCGATATAGTCCCCTTTCCCTGCCAAATTCCACCATGGTTTCCCCTAATCTGCAAACGCTCCATACATCCAATCGATATTTTGTTCTTACTCGTGACTCTATTTTCCATGCCTGAAATCCGCCACTAGCTCCCAAAAGCAGCGGCTGGATACGAACGATCCCTTTTCTTCCGCATGACCGAGCTACTTCGTGAACTAGCACCGGAACTAGCGCCGCTTCCCGGTACTGTCAGATTTCGCGACATCTCGGCGGGCAAATCGTTCCACTCCGTCTCCGGCCGCGTGTTTTGGTAGGAGAGACCCAACCGCGGCGATGGACTCGGTGATGGTCTCGAACTTGGGTTTACACTAGCACTAGGAACATTCCGCGGTGGACCTGCTGCTGCTGTTGCTGACGGCAGAGGAGGAGACGCGACATCCGTAATTCCCACCAGCGCCGGTGTACGACTCGCCTGCTGCTCCAGCGCATCCAGCACCCCTCCGTTGCTCAGCTTGATGTCGCGCCGCACAATCCAGGCGTCGTTCGGCATCAGCTGCCTGTAGTACTCGGCCACGACGGGTTGCACCTTGTCAAACCCCCGCGCCGTGTACCACTTCATCCCTTCGACATTGTCGATCCACACGTGGGCGCACACGGTCCGGCAGTGCCACTTCTCGTCGCGCCGCGCCAGCTCGCATATCTCGTCCAGCAGAGCGCGCGCTAAGCCCAGACGCCGGTACGGCTCGTTTAGCACCAGGCTCTGGATGTACAGCGCATCTGAGATGATGTCGCGCGCAGACTGCGGGCGTGGTTGGTAGGAACGCTCGGGGCGGCAGATGATCCCGCCTATTACGGTGGGCTTGGGTGGCCGGCGGGGAGAGGTCGAGGGGGCGGTGTCGGAGTCATCACAGTGAATGGGACTGTCGGTCCAGAGGAGCACGCGCGAGAAGGCGCCTGAGGAGGAGGGGTCTGAGAGCGCGGCGTAGAAAGAGTCTGGGTAGCGGACCGGCAGGAGGCGGGAGACTATGCGGCGCAAGGACGGGACATGAGAGGGGAGGATGGGCGAGATGGTTATGTTGGGGTGGTGAGTCGGTTTCTGTAAAGGCACGGCGATGGGGGTTTTCGTGACTGCCGGATCGTTTGCGGTCGTGGTTTGGCGCGGCAGTGGAGGAGCTGCTGGTGGCGGCGTTTGGAATTGTTGTTGATGTACTTGGGCTTGAGGACGCGGCGCCGATGGAGGGGCAGCATACGTGGGCTGCTTCGGCTGGAAGAAGGACCGGATAGAAGCCTGGTTCCGGCCTTGCGATTGCGAAGGGAGTGACATGGTTGGTGGCAGAAACTGTATAGAATAAAGCCAACGAGAGAAAGATCAATGACGGGAGGCTTTTGCTCCCAAATGATGATCCCTAGTCAACAATGGATGCAGGGAAGGGATAGGGAAGTTTGTTACAGATATGTGGTATTCTTAACTAGTGACAGAGCTGCCGCGTCGGACTTTGGGCAAATACGCGTGGGGTCGTCCCGTCGTCGCGACTTCTCAATTGCCAGACTTCCTTGTTTCTGCTTCATATGATTTCAAGGATGGATGCTTCCGGATTAGGTCTAATTGAAAGAACAGGGATGAATCAAGCGACCTCGGGAGGTGTCAGGCCCTCTCCCAGCTAAGAGACTGCACCCCCGGGGCCCTCCGTTACCACCATCGCGACCCCCTAATTGCCCCTAACTCAGGTACTATGTACGCGTTTACTTAAGTGCATCCACTGAATTGCGTTAGATGGATTGATAGCCCGTGGCGATTGGTTCGCTCCTCGCCCAACTAAGGATTTAAAAGTCGATTGCGGAGCTGGCATTATTCTGACATTTGCATTTCGCAAGTCCAAAAATTGGAAGGCTGAGGCTTGCTTTCATTCCAAAGTTGAGTTTCTGATTGATTGGCCATAAGCCGGTGATCGTTGATCAGGCCGCCACAGGTTTCTCCTTTTACCAAGTTCACTACATCATCGCCGTCCGGTCACGTCAAGGGCAACTATACATTCATGGCCATCTTCGGAGCGGTGCCTTCATCGTTTGACAGACCCTTGGTGAAGGCTGACATTTGAATGTCGCGTGTGGTCCAACCGCCTGGTATTAGTGAACTCCTCCTACGTACCACACGACAACTGGAGCTTGTCAGCTTGGGGAATACCACAACCTGAATTTCGTCACTCCTTTCGGGAAAAAGTACAGGTCAATCTCTCATTGTCCGACAACATCGTTTTGGCAGCACCATTACGCACCAAAACCTCAGCCTCCCGGGAGAGGCTCGGATCTAAGCTGGAGGTTCCCATCACCAAGCGATTGGAACACTCACTCTCCTGCGCCGGTTACTGACATCGCCCCCAAGTCACCGGTTCATTCAGAGTTTTGCAACAAACTCCATCATGGCGTCGAATACAGGCAAGGCTGGCGTCATCAAGGCTTCCGACGATAAGAATCCCATGGACAAGCTTGTAAGCAATCTCACTCTCATGTATTACACATTATACGTACCATGCAACCATCGCCAAACCACGGCAAACGACAACCTATACACATAACGAGGCTGATAGACAAGGCTGCTAACCACGGAATGATTCGCCAGGCACACGCCGTGCTCGACGACTTATTATACAACATTGTCCACGACTTGTTGATCAAGGTGCACCGCGACGAGAAGATTGCCCGTGCGGCGACTGCCGCCATCCGTGTCGAGAAGCTGGCTTCCGATACCTCAGACTCGTCCTTGACAGACTCCAGACCTGACGTCAAAGTTGAGACGGATGCTGCATTATACGACGATGGCAAGGTGACACTGAAAGGAAACCCGCTCCTTACCACGAAAGACATAGTCTGCCCGCGATGCCACCTGCCTCGTCTACTGTATCCTACCGACGGCAAGGGAGCACGAAAACAAGACCCCAGCATAATTTACTGCAAGAAGTACCCGTACATCAACAAACCTGGTCATGACATCTATGGACAGACATGGGTACAACAAGGACCGGGCAGAGGCAAGAAGAAAAAGGACATGGAAAAGAAGCTCGAAACACCTCAAGACACTCCAGGCGCGACGCCCACGCCCGAAGATGGCAAAGGTGGCGCTGCGTCCCGACCGCCCCATGTGCTCTCGTTCCCCTCTGCCACCTGCAGCAAGTGCAAGCGCTGCATTCTCGTCACGCGCCTGAACAATCATATGGGCTCGTGTATTGGGAACAGTGGCCGCAACGCCAGCCGTGCCGCGGCACAAAAGATTAGCAACGGCAGCAGCAATGGACACAACGGCAGCCAAGGTGACGGCACCCCTCCAAACAGCCAGAAGGGAACACCCCACCCAGGATCGAGAGCGAATAGTCCCAAGAAACGCGATGGAGATGAAATGGACGAGGACGAGGACTCCGAAAACGAAGCCCCGAAGAAGAAGAAGCTCAAGCCGACGGCTGCGAATTCGACTAAGAAAGTGATCTTGAAGACCAAGAGTAGCGGGCCTAAGAAGGAGAAGGTCAAGACGAGCTCTTTGTTGAGTGTCGAGCAAAAGGTCGACGATGATGCCGAGGGCTCGACGGTCGAGGTCGCACCTAAAAAGAAGATCACAAAGACAGCCAGTCCTGCTAAAAAGCTCAAGCTGGGTGTCCCGAAGCCACTGCTCACGTCCCCGGCATCCAAGAACGGCAAGGCCAACGGCAGCGGCGGAGGAGGAGGCGGCGGTGACGATGCGGGTAGTGAAAGTTCGGGCACGCTAAGTTCGCCGCCGATTGTATAATATGTGTGTTCTCCTCGCCTGTGGTACCAAACCCGGGCCATGATGCGGATTCAAGGGACGGTATGGTCAAAGATCAAAAGCCACCTTGAAACTTGACTATTAACTCTGTATAATGCCACGCCTTGCATGGAAAAGGGGTTAAGGGAGGCTTCATTTTGCCATCATGTGGTTGGGCATACTTTGCATCATCAGGTACACCGGCGTTAGGCGGACAACCCGACATGGGTTCAGGTGGACTACTTCTGAGGCGTACCTCGCACACGTATAGCGTAGAATCTTGCCGTGTGCTTCAGAACAATATGATGATGTCTGATTTTGGGGACTTGTTTTGTTGTTTGCGGCAGTTATCTGTCTTGTCTAATTACCACCGCTTAGGGATTGACATTTAATCCGGACGGAGCCAACCCGTATAATGATGAACTTTCCATCAGCTGCAGTCCAGAAATAGATATAAATCAGACCAGCCTCGGGTCTAAATATGTCAACTACCAATTTCTTCGCACGACTGCATCATCCATTCCGCATCGTTCGACATCTGTTACTGTATCGTAAGTAGCTAGATACCTTTGGAGAAGGCATGCGAGGGAGCATGTCCGCGTACTGCGCATCCAGAAAGCTAGAGGGTGACAGCGAGGTGTATACGCAGCTGGCCATGTCACTGACGGAGCTCGACAAGCTTGCCTTGACCGACGACAGCTGCTCCGCGTAGCTGGTGTAGCCAGGGTGCACTTCCTTTAGGGAAGTCAACGAAGCTGGGTGCCTATTTTGGCATGACGAAGCCCTGTTTGGGTAGTTGTCATGCCCTAGGATGCCTCGGTGTCTAGCTCCTCCAAGCTGGATGTGCCAGCCGGCATCCAAGGCAGACGTTGGCGATATGCGGTAGTTTTCCGTCGGAATTCTAACAAGACTCATATCCTCCCCTCTCAATACCCATGACCGCCTTCCTCCACGACCCTCGCCTTCAGAATCTTCACCTCCTCCACCGGCCGGTCCTCAACACCCGTCCTCACAAGCCCCATCCTCTTCACAGCCCCCAACCCGCTCTGAACACGCCCAAAAATAGTATGTTTCCCATCGAGCCATGGTGTCGGTGCAAGGGTAATAAAAAACTGGCTACCGTTGGTATTCGGCCCCGCGTTGGCCATACTCAACACCCCCGCGCCCGTATGTCGCAAGCCCGCGTGGATCTCGTCCTCAAACTTGTCGCCATAGATGCTGCTCCCGCCGCGGCCGGTGCCCGTCGGGTCACCAGTTTGGATCATGAAGTTCGGGATGATGCGGTGGATCACGATGTTGTCGTAGTAAGATCGCTTGGTGAGCTCGAGGAAGTTTTGGCAGGTGCGCGGCGCGTGGTCTGGGTAGAGTTCGAGGGTTATGGCGCCCATGGTGGTTTCGAGGACGACATTTGGGGCGGTCATTTTGTCTGGGATGGAAAGAAGGATTGGGTTGTTGCGCTAAACTAGAGATTTGTGTTCGAGGTGATCAGTTGGTGAACATTTTCTGGCTGAGGTCTGAGTGTTGCATTGTCTGTCGCAAGGCTGCGAACGCTGCGGTATTCCAAACCCCGGCAAGCGGCTTGTAGATCAGCCACTAGCCACAAGCGTAGCTATCCCAGCTGCAAGGCTGCAGCGGCCTACTTCTGGTTCAATGTTGAAGACACATAATGAAACTGAATCGCTGCTTCATACAATATTTTTGCAGTTCATTTTTGAAGTCGTCAAATTAAAGACGGAAATATGGTAATTTCTAGTTGATTCATGCTCGTGGACAGATGGAGCGACGCCTTCTCAGAAACCATCATTCTCATGACTCTACGACTTTGACCTAGCAGTCACAAGCACAGGTTTAATCTAAGGCAGCGATACTTGTTTTGTTTCCTCCTCCGCTGTGGTTTCCTCCTTGATTGACACCAAGTTGCTAATCAGGCGTTGCAATATCAGCAATCAACTTCAGTGTTTTCCAGCTGACTGTTTTGATCTGAGGGCTATCTTGGCCACGTTTTCACCTACGCATTCTGAGCTTTTAATCATTGGAAGGGCCGCTTATACCAAGCTTCATTCTCCCTCGCGCCTCGCGGTCACAAATACAAATACTGCTCCTAGAACTACCGCCTACGCCCAAGTTCCGACATCTACATCAAAACACTGAGCATAATATCGCAACAACTATGGACAACTCTACGGAAAATTTGACGACGGTGGATGTTCCAGCTGAAGGGGCGAATGTCCAGGGCAACCTCACTATGTCCGGCGCTATCTCGTCTCTCTGGAATAACAGGGCTTTACTGATACTCCAATCGCGCCTTGTCTTCGCCGCCATGGCTTGCATCTACCTGGGCTCCTTTGCCGCTCTTCGAAGACCCCCTAGTGCGAGTCCCCGGAAGAAGCGCAAGACCAGCACCAAGGAGGATGCAGAGGATGATGACGATGAAGCCGATGATCAATACGTTCAGGGGCTCGAGCTATCGGATGCGATTGTGTTCCCATTGTTGGCCGGTACCGTCCTTGTTGGCCTCTACTACTTGATCAAGTGGCTCGAAGACCCTGCAATCCTTAACAAGATACTTGGGGTCTATTTCTCATTCATGTCTTTGGCCAGCATGGGCAAGCTGTTCGCAGATAGTTTGCACTTCTTGACTGGTCTGGTATTTCCTGACATCTGGAGAGCATCGGATGGAACACTATATCACTTTGATACGTCAAAAAAATGCCAGTACCGAATTTCCGAGTCGGGGGAGCACATCTTCGACGAAACGAGGAACTCGCCCTTCGCAGGACCGTTGTGGGCTCAGCGCTTACTCCCCGACATTAATCGCCGTTCGCTGTGGCAGCTGCGACATCTACTCCAGGAGCGGTGGACGGTCCGCTTCATGCTTCACGGCGTCGCCAAGGAGCGGTTCCGCGTAAGATTGAACGACATCGTCGCCATTTTTCTGGCTGTTGGTGCCAACATGATCAACTACACGGCCAAGTCCAATATAATTTCGAACATCATGGGCTACGCCTTCTCCTACACTGGCATTATCATGATGTCCCCAACCACTTTCACCACTGGCAGCGCGGTGCTCTTTGCACTCTTCTTCTACGATATCTACATGGTTTTCTACACGTGAGTAGCCTCTTGTGTTGATCTGGTGTTAATGACTCTTTCCTGACAATATGTATGCAGCCCATATATGGTCACGGTAGCAACTAAGCTTGAGGTCCCGATCAAGTTGGTTTTCCAGAGCGAGAAGAAATCCAGCATGCTCGGTCTCGGAGACATCGTCATCCCTGGCATGTTCATTGCGATATGCCTCCGTTTCGACAACTTCATGCATTATTACCGTCAACGTAAGTTCGTTGAGGTCGACCTCAAGTCAGATGAAGAACTATCCGGCGAACTCGTCACGTGTAAAGAGACGAGACGAATGGTTGTTAAGCCGGAATATGTGAACCCTCAAGGGCAATGGGGCAATCGATTCTGGGCCACTCGTTTTATTAACATGCTGTCGCCAGATGCTACGCCCGCATTGAAAGCCTCTGCATTTCGGAAGACATATTTCCATGCCGCCATGGTTGGATACTTCCTTGCCATGCTGGCAACGCTTACAGTGCTCTTCGTCTTTAAGCACGCCCAGCCTGCTCTCCTGTATCTCGTCCCGGGTGTCGTTTTCTCAGTCTGGCTGACGGCTTTTTGGCGCGGTGAGCTGCATGAGATGTGGACTTTCACGGAGGACGGAAGCTTGGACAAGACGGATGTGGTGGTAGATGTTGATGCGAATGGCAAGGTCGTGAAAGAGCTCAGCTTCACCCCGAAGAAAGAGACGGACGACGAGGGAGAAAAGGACACTGAGCCTACAAAGGAGGAACAGAAGTCGGTCGTCGCCAAAAAGAGAGTCGACAAGTACGTTTTCGCATTCACTGTCGAGGCTCCCGCTTCGCTTGCTACTGAAGTTAGGGGTGAGTAGAGCTGCAGACATGGTTGCGAGGGATGAGGTACTTGAGTATTCTATGTTGAAAAAGAGGAAATCCAGCATTACTTCCAGCTCGCTCTTACCAACGTAACATTGCAAAGATAAGCATTGACAGTGAATCAAATATACCAGATAGGATGGTGTGCAGAATGGAGAAATGCGACCAGAAATAGTTGTTCAGCTGTTTTCATGTTGCAGTTGCTGGGGAAATTTGCGTGAATAGTCGAGCACCAACACCCATGTAGCCAGCCACCTTGTCACTCTGCAATATTTCGAGGTTGAGCACAACCTAACTCGAAAAATGTCCTCGTGTAACTTCAGCTGATTCGTAATCTGCCTGTACTTCTTCCCTGGGAATTACCAGAACAATGATAAACCTTTAAATGCTCAGTGTTGAGTCACCATTGGGGTCCTCAGGAGGATGCGAAGCACGATATGCCAATTTACTCAGTACATACGTGTTTGAACAACACTGAGCCGTATTTCATAACGAAGTCTTCACAGTGTAGCTGGTGTGTACCGCACTCTGCTTGTCTGAACTGCATGGTTATGACCAGTCAAATTTTAATGTGTATATCCGTTGGCCTATAACTAGCTAAGTGGATTGGAGCGGGCAAATTATAGTGGCAGAAACAAAGCTTAATTGAGTACTAGAGAATGAAATTTCTCACCCGGTTCTAGGTGTGTAAGTTATCTCCTCATACTCGCTCACTTCTATACGTCTTCCCCAGGAACAAATCCCAGACACATAAAAAAACAAAAACAAAAAAGACACCAAAGAAGTGTCATAATCTTCTGAAATCGTTCCCCAATATAACCTACCATAAACTGACCATTGTTTGTCACTCTTATAAATCAACGGCTAGAGACTCTTTGGATCCTCAACGCCAGCTCGAACAACAAACCACACTTGTCGAAAGTCGACTTCAAATTGAACTCGAAGTCAATTATCACACAGATATCATGTATTTTAACCCATGCAGTTGACGTTTTATAGTCGAATCAACTAACACACTACGAAAAATTCGACAAGAGACAAGATCACGCATGAACAGAGGTTTACGCATGCAGTCGCTTAGCATACTCTTTCCAGAGGCGAAAATCCTCTGAGATACCAAGAACTATACCGCCCCCTCTCTAAACCTCAGACGGTGAATCAGACAACAAAATGACCCGTGAGTCCATGAATGTGGACGAAGTCAAAGACGAAGACACCGAAAACAGCGGAAAACTCATGGAAATCACATGTGAGCCAGCCTAATCGAAGAGGAACTCGACGCACTAATATCCAGCGAGCGCCTCAACCCTAGTCAAGCTCGGGAGACGAGGTTTACAATGTCGACATGAGCTCCATCACGAGCCCCGCAGTCCTTTAACACTTCCATGGCTAACTCTCCCAGGATGCGAAAGACCACGATCATCGGGGAAACGAATAGTGGTTCGGAAACGTTAACGCTGCACACTGGAGTAAGTTTTGTCATCACTCTCCTGAAATAGTAGGTAGCATCCGTGAAGGGTGTATGACCATTGTTTGATATCACCAGCGAACGAGTTTTGTTCGGAACGAGGTCGGGTTTGAAATTTGGTCATTGTGGGAATTTTCTGGGCAATGAAAGAAACTGGAACTGAGATCATGATAGAAATAACTGGTTCGCATTGACTATCTATGCGAGGTGGCTATTGCTTTTCCTCGAGGACGCCAAAAGTCTCCAGAGCAGAGAGGTGTGTACCAGGACACCAGTAGATATCTGACGGGTGAAGGATAGTAGCCCAAGAAGTTACAATAAACCCCCTGGAACACTTAGTAATGGCTTTACATTGTCATGTGATTCAAGTTTTCCGATGATTTTGAATTAACTTTGGAATACACACTGGAGGCTTTGTACGATTTAGTCATGTGCATAATCATGGAGGATTGTGATGTTGATTGAGCTAAGTTAACCTACGTCAGGTGTAACGGTAGAATGTTACCTATCTAACTAGTGTACATTGTTACGGAGTAACTAGGGCTCCGCCAGTGGACTGTGTGCCACTAGTCCTCTGTTACATAACAAGCCGCTGTGGACGACGTTGGAAGTATAGAGACCAAAATAGGTAGCGGTGCAGTGGACCCACTTTTGTTAACGATGTTACCTAGTGTCAGTCACCCCGGGGCTGATGAACTTGGCGCTCACTTGAACAACCGCCGTCTTACATATTATTACCTCGTCGAACTGAGATCGCGGCTCTGCTACCCATCTCGATAATCTCCCTACTCAAAGGAACATCTCATCTCATAGGCAGCATGGCCTCATCCGGATTGACAATTATTCAATGGCTTGTAGACACACGAGGCCTTTGGCTTGAGGCGACCAAAACGACACAGCTCCAGGATGCCGTAAGCATGATGATGTGACCCAGTCAACCCCGACCAGACCATCGCAGCTAACCTCGACCAAATAGGCACCTCGTGCTCTCGCACTCCTCACACCGGAGGAAAAGGCCGGCGTGCTTAAATACTACTTCGTTCGAGACGCCAAAATGGCGCTTGCCTCGCACCTGCTTAAACACTTCGTCATCAGCAAATACGCCGGTGTCCCCTGGTCAGAAACCACACTGACGCGCGATGCAAACAAGAAACCTATCTACGTGGATCCCGCCTCGGGGAAACAGCCCATTCAGTTCAACGTAAGCCACCAGGCCGGCATCGTGGCCCTCGTCGCCGTTGCTGGATATGATGTGGGGCAGGTCGACGCCGGCGTCGATGTGGTCTGTGTGAGTGAGCGGCGGGATCGGGATCACAAGGTGGTCAAGGAAGAGGGGTGGTCTTGCTTTGTCGATATGCATTCTGATGTGTTTGGGCGGTCCGAGGCGGGGTACCTGAAGAATGATTTACTTACTTCGCATCCGGGGGTACCTCCCCTCCGCACGGAGGAAGACATTGTGGGTTTCAAGCTCAGGAGCTTCTACACGCTCTGGTGTCTGAGGGAAGCTTACGTCAAGATGACGGGCGAGGCCCTCCTGGCGGAGTGGCTGAAGGATTTGGAGTTCAAACGGTTCAAAGCACCGAAGCCGGCGGCTGTGTTCAAGCAAGGGGGCGGGGACGAGGGGGAGACTATCACAACGCATGAGGTTTTGTTCAAAGGGGCGAAGGTCGATGATGCTAACATTTGCCTGCGCTCGCTCGGGCAGGATTACATGACTTGCACGGCGGTGCGGACCCCGAATAAGAAGGAAGATGGGCTCAGTTGGGAACTTGGCCCTTTTGAGTTTCTTGATATTGGGACTATTTTGGATCATGCGGAGGCGAGTGATGGTCATGAACTGGTAGGTAGTGGATTCCATCGACAATGCTTTTTTCCGGAGTTAAGTCACTGCAGTGCCGACAGTGTGGTAGCTGCAAGCTGGCAAGTTGCAAATGGCATTGGCAGTTATTCTTTCCGGGACCAAGTTGAAGGCTGACAATGTTCATCTACAGCAGTGATACGGGGAGTGGAAGGGATCTCTTTCAACCATCAGTCACGTATTAGTGCTCGGCTCAACTCCGAGCCAATGCTTAGTGCTATGGAATACGCCTGGATTGATTTCAACCTGCAGTCCAACGATGGTTCAACTCAACAAGCTAGTGCCACCATGTCCAAATAATAGAGACCGATGTCAATACTGCCGTTGTTCTCCATGCAAGTTTCAAGCACGTTTCAGGCTCAACCATTGGAGTCACTTGTGGTAGATGCCACAGCCATGTTTCTGTCATGCTATGATGAAAGGTCCCCTATCACAAGGTACAAACCGGTGTAGACCCTATCCGCCGGAGTACACCCAGAGAGCATGTGCCGACCTGAAGGCCCTCGAGCGCGCGGCGCGTTATAGATCACCTGCTGTCGAGGGGTGGGTTCCGTCGCCTTTGTACGAGCTGAGACAACGTGGCGGCAGGCGAGGCAACCAGATTACGCAGGGATGCGAAGTATAATCTTACCGCCGTCCCATTCACCCGGCAGATCATCCAGACCTCTCGTTGCGGCTGACATCGGATCTAGACTTTGGTTCACTTAGCGCCATACCTCCAGGATTCTCGGCGCACTTTATCGGTGCATGATGCATTGATCGTGTGACCGACGGAGCCAACTCCACCGGTGGCCACCGTTTCTCTTCCTTGAGCTTGGTTTCATGGTATTTTGTGCATCAGTCAGACTGGCGGCTCCAAGCATACACTCTTGTAAGACAAATATATTGCGTGAGGCTGGTGGGGCTGGAAAAGCAGCGGTCAAACGTTCGGTCATGTCGACTGAGCCAGTCGGGCAACGACAACGTCGACCGACGTTCCACGGCTATATATACGAAGCAACAACTACTATTCTGGGGCACCAATCAAATGGCAAATAACTGTCGTTGGGGCCAAGCACAGGTGGTCGTACGAACACCTGCAACCCATTCTCTCCAAATGAGCCAGTTCGGAACGGGAATATGGACTAAAATCTTAGACCGGTAGAAGAGCTACTAAGCACGCATTCCATTGCCATCCAGCTTCACCGATGCGCTGCCATGGCTCATGACTATTCGTGTGTGTCGCGAATTGCGTCAAACTGGACGGTATAGACTACTTGGCAGTACACCGCCATTTCAATGAATGCCAACACGATGTTGAGGTCGCTGTGTGAGCAATTTCACGACACAGAGCTGGATATCATCGAGCCACCTGGTACGTCGAAAAGACGAGGGATGATACAAAGCAGAGTGTATCATACCATTACCCCCACGCGAATTCAAGCATTGTCGTGTCGTTTCCCCGGCCCAAGCAAGGCGCAACTCGACGGGTGGGGGTCTAGGTAACCTGGCATATATGCGACAACACCCCAGAAACGCTCAGCTGGCAATGATCAAGCGGAGATGGATGGACGCACAAGGTTTCAAGATCGGCGGATGCTGCATAGTTCCTACATGTGTAAGATGGTGGGGCAATGTCGCAGAACCCTGGCAGACGCGGTAAGATGATACGAGTCGATCCGTCTAGAAGGACTATAATGCGTGACCTGATTGATGTAGGCGACGATCGGTCATTTTCGTCGATCATAGCCAACCAATTATAGTTTGGTCGATATTCAGCGACTGTCAACTTCCAGCTCCCCACTACTATCTGACCAAGGCTAGGGGGGGGCGTAACCGGTCAAGAAGCGGACGCAATGTGCAGCTTGTAATTAACAGGCCGACCCCGGTCAGACGCAAGCTTTGCGAAGGTCGGTCTGGAGAGGTGGTATGCCGAGAACCAAGGAATAACAAACGACTTCTCTCAACCGGGACTTGACCGATACTACACTACACATTATGTAGTGCCTGGCCATTTCACACCTATTCGTGCCCCCCACAAGTCGGATATGACATGAGTCGGTGTCAGCACGCACGCCTTTGGCTTGTTATGATCACGTTCTGCGGGGAATACTCGTTTCCGTCCCGCCTTGCGTAGGATGACACGTCAGTTCATCACAGTCCGCGCCCGGCTCCAGGCGAGGATGCAGCACATCAACACAAACGAGCAGTGATGGGTCGCGAACCGATCCAAGTGAGGCTACATGTCTGACCATATAACCGATTGCCAGTGGTCCGTCTTCCCAACTCGGCAATCACGAGACATGATTTCAAACGGAGATATCAGACAAGTTCCCAGACCAACGTCCAAGATTGAATAACGCACTACTTTGAGTGAAGATGGCGATCCAAGCAGCCGCAATCTTGGGTGATTCTAAAGCGACACTCATCCCCAACGTCCTAGAGTCCGGCACCAAGCCTGCAAGCCCGGAAGTCCGAAGACGCAAATTCGAAACCGCCTATTTCCCAGAGATCGTGGCGGCGGCAGACAAAGCCCTTGAGGCCTTTGACCAAGTCCGCCAGGATGTGGTGCGGCTGCTGCATCGGCCCTGGGGCAAGCGCGAGGTCAGCTGGACGGACGCCGAGTGGGACAGGCTGGAACGCCAGTCCCAGCGGTACAACACGCAGGCCCTGATGATCAGCTGCGGTACCGTCACCATCGACAAGGCCAGCTCCCGGGACCGCCGCATCCTTCTCATCTGGAACAAGCGGATCGGCGCGTGGCAGCTGCCCAAGGGACGCAGGAACATCGACGAGGACTTCGCCGTGGCGGCGCTGAGGGAGACGAAAGAAGAAACTGGAGTGGAGGTTCGGCCGCTGTATTTGAGATTTGGTACGCGGTTTACTATTCCTACGAACAGTAGGGGGCTGGAGGATGGGGAGGTGGCGCAGAGGTTGAGGAAGAGACCTTTTAAGACGGGCGGCGGTGGAGATGGCGGGTGTGATAATGGGATCATGGATGTTCTGAATAGGGATATGTTCTACTCGAGCGAGTATCCGGATCCGGCGACGGGGGCTATGAGGCACATATACTGGGTGAGTGCGATCCCGAATCTTAGGTTCTATGCATTTTGTGGTCTGGCATATCACAGTCTGCTCTGCTTACCTGCGCAGTCCCTGTTTCGAGACATTTTGCCTTGGTACTACTCTTAACCCCTGAATTACCCCTGAATTATGGAAAACTCGAAAGCACGTAGCTAACCCGGATTGTTACAGTACGCAGCTAAACCAGATCAAAGCACGACTTGCACGCGGGACTTGATGGGGCAAGAGGATCTCCTGAAGATGGAAATGCGGTGGTTTCCGGCCCCAGAGGCCGTTTACAGACTCAAGATGTCTGTCGAGAAGGAGGCGGTCGCCTTGGCCGTGTACTACGCCGAGCAGATGTCGGAAGAAGAATGGAGATACTCACAACAACTGTAGCTCGGAGGGATTTGAGGAAAGCAGGGTTATCCATATGCGATACGGGTTGGTTATCGAATATGGATATCTGATTCGGACGTGTGAAATGCCATAATGCATAGGAGGTGTTGTGACCCCTAAAGTCCGCAAGAGGATATACCAAATTTTGAATAGATTAATTGGGATTTGGGTGCAGCTGTGTGGTTGACGGTGAGCTGTTGAAGAAAGTCCAGGCAAGTCCAAGAGAAATGAGACATGGACACACAACACTTCGATGCCATGACCCGAATAGTCTGATAGATGGCAATGCTAATGGAGAAAGAAAGCACTATAAACTGGTATACTCTCGGCTCTCGCCTTCGACAATTCCATTTGGGTTAGCACGACAGCTGGGGTTGCCTTAGCACAGCGCCTATAGAGCTCGTCGGACCAGCCTCTTTCTACGGGCAAGCTCGATTCAGCTTATACCGAATCACGTCGAACGACAATCAAGGTTTCTGTCTGTATTGGGCAGGCTAGACTGCCGTTGGGATGACCTCGATGGCAGGACGAGCTCATCAAGATCTCTGACGTCACTATTTACCCCACACTGTAGCTTCAACTGCTTTACCCCACCCGTCGTTGTGAACGGAAGCTACCCCTCACGCGTAGCGACTATCGTCTAAATCAAATGAACTAAGAGTTTTGAAACCCAAAGAGTAGTAGACCAGTGAGTGCCATAAACGCTCAAGCAGCTCCATGTCATTCTCATTCTCTAAACACCTCTCAGCACCAACCAGAGCAACTTCCGCAGGCCGCCAACTCTCAAAGCTAGTCTCGACTTCCGCGTCTTCCTTCCATCACCCCCACCTCCAAGCTTCTTCATCCACCACGCCAATTGCCATTGCCGGCACAGACACGCCTCCAATCTCGAGCCTCAGAAGCTACTGTTGCCAATCCACGTCTCAGTTGAACCAAACCCTAGCCAAGAAAGCAACTCACACCTCCCAAGCCGCCAACATGTCGACCATGCCAGCTCAGCACGGCCACTCCGAGGCCTGTTGCAACCTCCCGCCCGTGGTCTCCAAGGGCTACGAAGGGAAGGGCGTCTACGAGGAGCTTGGCGGTTACAATTCTTGTAAGTTAAAGCGACTGACGATAAACAACAATCCGGCGCCGCCTCCCCGACCCGGGTTTTAAATCCCAGACTGACTGTGTCGGGGTATTCCTAGACGTGACCGGCCCCAAGGATGCTACCCGAGGCATTATCTCTATCATGGATATCTTCGGCTTCTTCCCCCAGACTCTGCAAGGCGCTGATATCTTGGCTACCTCGGACAAGGACAACAAGTACAAGGTGTTCATGCCCGATTGGTTCAAGGGCGAGGCGTGCCCTATTGAATGGTATGTTTGCCTTGTTTGCTAGATGATTCCGTGGTTGGGAATGTCTACTAAATTCCCTGGACTTGCAGGTTTCCTCCTGACAACGAGGACAAGCAGAAGAAGCTCGGCAGTTTCTTCGAGAAGCATACGCCCCCGAGCGTCGCCAAGCAAGTCCCCGACTACTTCAAGGCCGTTGCGGCCAAGTACCCCGAAATCACTACGTGGGGAATCATGGGCGTACGTACCTTCCAACCAATCCCCTTTCTTCCGTCCCACCATCAACTAACAACCAAACTTCGCAGTTCTGCTGGGGCGGCAAAATCGTCTCCCTCGTCACCTCCTCGGATGACAACCCCTTCAAGGCGGCCGTCGAATGCCACCCAGCTATGGTTGACCCCTCCGAGGCCGAAAAGATCAAGGTCCCGCTGCTCATGCTGGCCTCCAAGGACGAGCCAGTCGAGGACGTCAAGAAATTTGAGCAAAACCTCACTGGCCCCAAGCAAGTTGAAACCTTTGACGACCAGATCCACGGATGGATGGCTGCGCGATCGAACTTGGAGGACTCTCGAGTCAAGGAGGAGTACAGTCGCGGTTATGAGACGGTGTTGAAGTTCTTTGCTAAGTATGTGTAAGAAGCGCGAAATGAAGCTCGGAGGACGAGTTCACCCAGGAGATGATTTTAAGCCGACTTGTATGTGTCCCTCATGGAAATAAATGAAGAAACAGATCCCCCACATCGTCAGATCATTTTCCGTGTGACGGTTATGAGGCTGGATCCATAAATAGTGTATTAGTGTATTAGTATATTAGATCGGTCGGTCTGGTTTATCCCGGCATATGCAAGTGTCAAGGCTCTTGATGATTTGGCATTCCTATATAGGACGCGGTGCTGTTGATGGCTGAGGAGTTGTAGTCATCATTCCTTGAAGGCATCTACTCATTCCTGCCAATTTTGGCAGAGTTATCTCGCGAACGCGCCGCCCCTCACCACCCCCGGCCCCCTCCCTTCCCCTCCCCCGAGCTCGACCATGTATGATCCATTCTATTGCAGACCAATTTCTACGCTCCGCCCACACGATGATTGGCACATGGCCACCTTGCCAAAGCCAACGCCAATGGATTTCGATTGCCACAAGCCGATTCCACACATCGACATTTTCTTCATGTTCCCCTTTCGCAGTTAGGCAAGGGCAATATTGACATTTCCCTAGACCTCCGTCGCCTGACTGGGTGTGACGTTCTCTTCGCCCTCAACGGCAACTTTGTCCTCAGAGGTGGTCAGAGGAAGGGCGTCCTGCTTCTCGTTGCCATATCGCATGTCCTGCAGCTGGTCGTTGACTCCCTTGGTCTCCTTGTCGCCTTCTCTCTCACTAGGCGGCGGCGCCATCTTCTCAATAACCGGAGGCGGCGGCGCGACATCATCGGCCAGCTTCTCGAACTTGACCACCGACCACTCCTGGTTCATGGCCGCTTGCCAAGCACCGGCATCACGCTGGTGGCGAGCTCGCTGCTCCCACTTCTGCTGCTGCATGCGAACAAGCTCAGCCGAGAGAGGGGACAAAACATTGACTCGAGCCACCTTGAACCAGCCGACAAAGAAGAATGTGTCCTTGGCCACTCTTCGGCGCTCGGCGAAGACGGCAATCGGCGGGTGCTCGTTGGGGATGTAGTCGATGGGCTGGATGCTGGGGTAGACGGGTTCCTCGGGCTCGGGTTCAGGCTCGGGGTATTGCTCCTCAGGAGGAAGCAGTCGGATGTCTTGAGCTCCAAATCTCGCGAATCGTCGAGGGGGTGCAGGCTCAGTTGGTGCAGCATCTTGAGTTGAAGCTCCGGTAGCAGCTGCGTCGGTGGCCGTCTCGGCTTTTTTCGCGGAGCCTTCAATCGTCTTGTCTTTGGTGGCCTGAGCAGCCTTCTCCTCGGCAGTCTTCTCCCCGGCAGTCTTCTCCCCGGTGCCCTCGACTGGGCTTTCCTTAATGCCCTCGACGGCCGGCTGCTTGGTACCTTCGGTAGCATCCTCAGACATCGGCTTCTCGTCACTTTCCTGGGGGGGTTGCTCAGGGTCAGGGTTGAAGCCGCCGGCATCAGCTCCGTCGGATGCAGCCGCCTTGGATTCCTGTCTTGCCTTGGTAACCTCCCAAGGACCATACTCGGCTTTCTTGGCCTCGTACTCTGGCAGCAGCTTCAGGTGGGACTTGGCAAAGACAATGTTGTCCGATTGCCAACGCGGGTTGGCGCCCGAGAAGAGGAGCATGTAAGACAGCTGACCTTGGTGCCGAATCGAATCGTGGAAAGTCGAGCTGTGGGTTGCATCGGCGCTCCCGGCCTCTTCAGCCCAGAAATGACGAGTAATCTCACGCTTCTGGTAGAGGTCGGCCTCATCCACATCCGGGCCAAATTCATCATCCTGGCGTCTACCGCTGTAGAAATCGCGATCCCGACCGCCGCGACCGCCTCTGCCCCGGCCACGGAAGCCTCGACCGCCACCACGACCACCGCGGCCTCTGTAGTTGGATCGCTGGTTTCCATAGGCATTGTTGCCGGAAAATTCACCTGACTGACCATCACCGCCGCGACCTACTCCATAGTTGGAACCTTGCGCTCCTCCCCCAGCGGATGGGTTGCTAGGAGGGCCGCCAGCTCGCGAATCACCACCAGCATTGCCGCCGGCGGGACGGCGCCAAGATGAGGCGTTGGACGACATGTGAAGTGCGGGAATGGAAGGTGATGTGGGACAAGAAGTATTGTTGGTGTTGGTTTAGAAAAGGAAATTTGTTGATAGTGGGGTTCTGAGCAAACACTTGTCTGACCTCATAAATCTGCAGGTACGGAGTACGCATTTTTGGGGGGAGTTGCAAACGACAGCCTTTTTACAGCAGGCCATAGGCAGTGAGCTACGGCCTACTAGGACGTGAAGTGTCGGTGAGATTCCAATTTTACTTGAAGAAGTTCAATTACAATGGGCCATTCTGCTGAGCATCAAGACCCCACTATCATGCATGTCTACTTCAGCAGATGGCAACTTGAGTTACGAACTTCCGAAAGAGCTACAATGCCAGATCAGTGTTTGCTATGGCATCATGACTTCGTTCATGGCGGTTTTCAAGTATCAGGTTGAATCCTCAGTGTTTCCTAATTCCGCCCTTCGCTGACTCGATATGTACGTCCGAGAGAAAATATTACTGACTCATGGAGACTATCTAGAAACTCAGACACACGGTATTTGACGTAACCCAGCGACGCATAATATATCCGTCAAATTGCGTGCCAAAACTTATGTTATCAAGTCCGTATGGCCGGCCGGATGGCGGGCGCTTCCTCCAATGGTCGCCGACCGAGATCTCGTACGTTCAACCTCGAAGCTGACCTGTGATACCAAGTGAGTAGTCCGCCGGCCGTTGCGGGTTGAGCGGGTTGAATACTTTGCCTCGGGAGGGTTTTGCATTCGGCAGTGGTCTTTGACTCTATAATGCTTTGAAACAAGATGCCGACCGAGTGCTGAGGTTTAGCGGATGGGGGGTTCTCATGAAAGGACGCGAGGCTCACTGGTGCTATGGACATTGCTCATATCAGCCCCCTGTCTCAACGGCTATGCGTGGGAACCAAGACAAGCTTCAGTGTGCTTGGTAATATGCCGATCCGAGTGCGCCTCATGTATGTTGTGCAAGTGCGTTAACCCTCATTGGTGGGCAAGAGCTAGAGGCTCATCTGCATGTGTATCACTCTCACAGCTTGCTTCTAGGTCGGTCTAATTCTGCGCCCGTCCTCATAAACTGGCCAGCCCATATCCGGCCTAAGGCGGCCTGTTCTTGCATCTCATTTGCATATAAGTGTTCATTTCTCGCCCACTCGTCCTCGAACTTGACAACTATCAACCCTACTGAGGGCCTTTGGCCAAGACATAGGATCTTCGACAGATGTGAGTCGCGAGCTTTTCCTCCATTCATATATGTATCCTGACTCCTAATAGTCTGCGTCTTTCTACCACACATTTCGGGGGAATGCAGCAGTAACAAAGGTAACGATGACCCGTGGGCTGACACGTCGGGTCGCGGTCTCGAGAACTCTTTTGGATTGGTGGAGTTTCCCGGCTCTGACGGAAACGCCGGGGTATTCGATGACTTCGGTTACTGGGGAGGGGATCGGATGGAGATAAGCAAAGAATCCCGGTACATCAAAGTCTGCCTGGTGCCTGGACTGTTTCAAAGCACAATAGCAGACCCGCGGCCGCTTTGGGGCGGATCACATTAGTTAGAGCTGCCGATGTCTAGCCAGTTTCCGATATCAAGCTACCTAGCAGATAAGCTGAACCCGAGTGCTATTTTGCAGGACTCTAGACCACAACCAGGGAAGCTTGACGTTGCCAGCGTTTCGAATGTCGAAAACCTTGATGCGTTCTTCAATCGTCCAGACTCCTTCGAGGGAATCCTGGATCAGCCGAGCAGCAATCAGGAAAGCCTACCTACGGATGAGCTGCAATAGGTTCGTCTAACAACGTTGAGACAAGCACTCACTTTGCATGCGAATCTTGTGATTTGTCGTTCGCCTCACGAGGGAAACTCAAATACGTCTTTTACCTGCGGATATTCAGACCCATTCACTAACGTCTTGCCAAGTCAACACATGAGGCGCCACAAGAGAGAACACCGCTGCGCAGAATTTCCCATAGCTTTTCCAGAACCGCGAGGTCTTCAACGGCACGTCGAGTCCGTACACCAACATCTACTTGTTACGTGTCCTTGATGTGGAAAGACGACGAAGAACCGCAAAGACAGCTTACTGCGACATATCGTGAAATGCTGCAAAGCGCAAGCTAATGGTGCGAGGCTGGAATAGGCCACTCCACCAACTATTCACAAGACTAGATGCGAGGACTGCCGAGGACTGCAGACAACCGCAAACCTTTTAGCCTGACCTTGCTCCTTTGAGGACCTCTCAAGGAGTAGGAGCATATAACTACCAGTCCCAAGGTGGCAGGGCTACTATGACTTTTGATTTTACGTGGCCCCAAGGAGGGTTACCGTGCAGCTATAGATAAGATAGGCAGCCCAAGATGGCCTTCGGCCAGCCAGATAGCTTGCAATGCTTCCCAATACGAACACTTTACACCCAATATGCACTCGCATCAACTTGGTTCCAGCCCGCCTGCGCTAGCCTAGCTTTCTTCAATACACAGTACACTACACCTACCTCTCTGTGTGCCCGAACATATGAGCAGGCTTGTTTAGACATCTAGGGAGGTAATATGTGTATGGCTTATGAAATTACGAATCTCGATCTCATTACATGACTTGTTTCATCTATACTTCGCGTTATAACGCCTGCACCAGCGTATGTGCTGCGACAATTTCGCCTTTTGTTAGGACCTCTAGTTTCAGCAGGCGCTAATATAAAATGTAAGCCAACAAGATCTCACATACGCTATAAAGACCATGTCGGGGTGACCGCAATTTATTCGGATCCTTCAATTACGACAGATAGTCATTTAGAATATGACAGGACGACTTCTCGGGAGGGCTGTAAGTTTTGACTACAGTTTATCTATACTTGAAGTACATCACATTCTCCGTTTGTTGTAGCTCATTGCCCATACCCCAACCATGATATGTCCTTCTTGACACATACATATAATAGCATTGAAACGGCGAATACATTTAGCAACTGTCCTTCGAATCTTCAGCATGACAGAGTCGATGGGGAATTCCCTAGTATATCCCAGTACATCCAGGGGTTGGCAAAATAATCCAGTTCTAACAATGGGCAATGTAACTTTACATCCAACGAGCAACCAGAGACATAATGACTGTTCCTGTGACAATGACGTCTCGAACTAACCTATGATTACAAAATGTGCTTAGCCGTGTGGTGGTATAAGTGACACAAAAGGGAGCCATTCTCCCGCTTGTAGCGATGACCCTGAGAAAGTCCAGATATTGGATTCGTGATGAATTCCAGACATGAACCGCCCATATCAGCAAACAGAAAATCGTGCTACATGATTTATACCGTCATCTAAACTCTAGGGTCTAATGTTACAATCTCGGGATCGTCATTCACCTAGTAGGCTCGCGGTTCAGATGCCCGAGGCAAAATGCATGTATCACTTTTCACACTTGAGTAGCTGAGTGACAGACAACCCTATGTAGCCGTACCGAAATCGGGTATTGACTGATGGTGGTGTGTACCCAACATATTTTCCCTTGACGTCCGGATCAGGACGGTAAAGCGATATTCAACTGCCCCTTTGTGCACTTCCTTAGACCCTGCTCCCACCTCAACCTCCCAGAGCCTCAAATCTCCATTAAACCTCCACCGGCGAGAGAGGTCCTTTTCCTCAGCCATCATTATAACACCCAAACCCTCACCACTACTCCGGCATCCGCTTTGTCCCGACCACGGACCCCTCCCTGACCGAGCGCCATGACTCGGCCTCACTGTTCAACCGTCTGACCTGGCACCCGAGCGCCGGTGAAGCCGACCAGCGCGGCCCGAACGAAGGCCTGTGGGACTTCACCACCGACAGGTCGCCCTTCACCGAAGACTGCATGTGGATTGCGGATATCGGCGACGAGGACAAGAACAACGTATGCTAGCTCATCTCATCAGCCCTTTCCTCCCTTCCTACCTTGGCTTTCACCTGGTCCCATACCATTTCCCACCTCCCACCTCCCACTCGAAACAGGGCCACTACGACGCTGCGTAAGGAAGCAACCTGCATGGCGATCATTTTCGGCACCCAAGACGTCACAGGTGCGCATCTCGCTTGCCACTCCTTGAACTCCCCTACACCCTGCCCGTTTGTAGCCTGATTTGGAACAAGAACTTCCTCAAGTAGTAGAGCCGGTGTAGGAGCTGTTGCCCTCGAGGCATGACTCCAAACAAGCCACAACGTAATACAAGTAGTAAATACGAACTTCCTTTTGCTTGTTCTAGGCCTGATCCGCCTGGCCATGGACAACAACAAAGGCCGCGACCGCATCCAGTGGAACGGCCTAGTCCACTGCAAAAACGGCGTCAGCGACCATAGCGACGTCAGTTGGGCTGTATTCTGGAACGATTGAGCAAGTGGTCTGTATACATGCCAGAAGTGGTCCTGACCTGATGTTGCAACCGCTTGTGTGGCCAACATCGAAGGCGTTTCGAAAGCTCCGTGCATTGCTACACTTGCAATGGGCAGTACCGATAGCAACCTTGGTGATGAAGATGGAGGGCGCCATGGAAAGCTTAACGAATTGCTGGATTTTTGAGCAGCGTCACGGATAGTCGAACCCAGCTCAAAGGCTAGCATTATTGCTGAATGAATATAGTATCTGCGGCTGAACAGTACCCCAGTACCGCCTTGGGAAGGCTCTGTTATATTGTTACATCTACGTTGTTAAACAGCATACCAACCTCATTCGTACATGCTCTTGATGGCACATTCACCGTAAGCAACAAAGCCATTTGTAGACACTGTCTTTACTTCCTTCCAGTGCCAGAAACCAGCAACACCACACTGCCGAATTGCCGTCTCAGGTCTTCCTTCTCAACATCGTGCGTATCCTCCACCTCGCCCCATTTCCGCGTCTGCCAATCAACCTCCAAACTCGCCGCCTTGGCCGCCTCTTCAACTCCAAACTCGTGCTGCCCTTCTCCAGACGTCGCATCATCAACCCCCGTCCCCACGAATCCCTCACTCCACTCCACCACCAGCCTCACCGCCCCCAACAGCCCCTTGCCGGCCAACACCCCCCTCTCCAACGCCGCCAACTCCCAAGAACTGAGGCCCAGAACCCACTGCTCAATCACCAATCTCGTCGTCTCATCCTGCGCCCTCGGCATCAAAGTCTCCCCATCAAGCACAGGCACAATCTTGACCCCCGACCACACTCTCCTCGTCAAAAACCCAATCACCTCCTCCGCCGTCCGCCTCTGCACATCCCTCAACGTCTCCTTCCCCTCCTCCCTCTCAATCTCCGGTGGCGGCGGTGCCCAGCACAACAACGAGTCCGTGTCCAGGTACCGCATGACCGTCTTCGCGATTCCCTTTCTCAAGCTCTCCTGCGCGCTGCCCCGAGCAGACATATCCAGGTCATCCGTGGCGATGTCTAGCGCCCGGCACACGAGGCTTGTTAACGGGATCAAGTGCTGCATGGTCGCTTGCCTGGCCGACACGAGAGCATCCCACTCGAGCGCTAGCGCATGCGCGAGAAGCGGCTTGCTGAGCGGCAGGCGAACAATGGCTTTCGTTGTGGGGTGCCGTAAGGGCCGCGTGTCGAGGTGAACTTCCCACGCGCCGTTTACCTCCTTCAGATGAACATCTTTCCAGAAGCGCTTGCGCAGTGGGGGCGGTGCTGCGACACCTCCTGGGGAAGGTTTTGATCTCGAATTATGCGCATTTTGCGCGCTGCGGATATCTTGCGCTCGCTCAAGGAGAATGGCCTGGCGTTTGCGGCGCTCGAGGCGGACTGTTGCATCGTCGGCGCTGGGGGTCGGGGGCTCCGGGGCCGGGCCGGTGCCGTGGATGGGCGATATGGTTGCGGCTGCTGGGCGGGTGGTGTGGATGGGTTGTATTCGAGGCAGCTGGCATGTGGACGGGAACGAACGGACCCTCGAGGGCGTTAGGCCCAGGACGATTCGTGTTGGTGGCTTCATGGTTGGAGATGTGTGATGTAACGATGTCAAGGTGAAGTTGCCAAGCACGAAGCTCTAACGCCGATATTTTCTGGCGAATCGGCAAAGAGACCCCGAGATCTGGCCCAAGCTCCTCTTCCTCCCCGGTAAATTCGTACTGTGTATGCTAATTGCCTGTTCAGGAAGGTGGCACTCACCTTTCTCATCTTGGTCCTTGAAGCCTTCGAGCAAGAGTCTTTCTCTGTTACCTTGAGCAAGCACGCTTCTCATTCATGATCAATCGACTAAAAAAACCGGACGCTGTTTTTCAGTGTGCCATATGTTTAATATATATATATATATTTTTAAATTGGCTGCCGCTGCCCCCGAGGCGGTATGAAGGTGGACTTAGAAACGACTTTAGAAAGGTATATGAACAACCTGAGCGCTTTCGTATCAAACACAGTTTATTCAATTTCTACAAAGTGACAGGAATATCGTAGTTAACGCAAACAAGCAGATATTAGTTACGCTTGTGAAGACGAATTGTATACATTTTGAAAACGCTATTCGAACGTTATGTTTTCTTCTCAACGACAAAAAAAATCCTAGTCGCTAAGTTGAGTTTGAAAGTTCCAGTCACACACCACCAATGCACCCACCCATCTCAGCTTTCTCTACCGTTAACAGGGCAAAGAATAGGGCAGATATCTTAAGAAATACAGCCAGCCAGATCCCCGCCTCCTCCCTTACCCTGTTTCCAAAATCAAAGACAAAAAAAAACAAAAGAAAGCCCAAAAAAAAGAGTTGCCCCCATGATATATATCTTGTTTTGACCCTGCAAGCCCTCTCTCCTCTTCTACAATGTGGCTTCCTGCCTACTTCCAATGTTCTCTATGCCTTCTAGTATACAGCTCAGCTCCTGCAGCACAAACAACTCAAAGATTAAAAACTCCCATCAGCATATTAGCAGTTAAGCCGTAATGATGCAAGTCGATTACTAAATGGCTAACGAATACGCAGTCTCTTTTTCCTTTTTGACAACTCAGAGAAATCGATATCAGTAGGGCGGTTTGGTCAAATTTCCAAGCGAGTGCTCCCGCGACTTGCTGTCAATGCCCTTAAGCAGTGATTGTAAGTCCAGATTGCCCCCCCCAGCCTCAGATATCGTACTGGAGAAAATGCTGTCACCTCCTCGACTCTTGAGATTCTGCTTGGCAGGCTTTGCGGCATGGTCCCGCGTGGAAACAGCCGACATGGGACGATGAAATCCAACATGTGGAACGGTACCCCCCGCCACCGACGACGGCAAAGGGGGCACGGGTGGGACGTCCTCTCCAACCTCGTCTTCGTCTTCAGGCGGATGGGACGTAAGAGGACCGCCCAAATCGCCCGATGTCTTCCGATCCCGAGACTTCGACCTGGATCGAGCGAGACCACCCGGCTGATCGGGGTTATCACCTGCACCAGGGTTGAAAGAGAGCTCCGAGGGCGTGAAGTCGTAGCTAACCATACTTTCAACGCTATCATCGTCTCGGACTGTGTGCAGGGTGCCTGGCCGTACGGCCTCTCCACTCAAAACGGACTTCAGTTGGTCTATCGATGCGACGAAACCGCGGCTGGATTCACTTCTTCCAGACACACGGCTCTGTACGCTGGATTTCCGTAGACCAGACGTTCCCCTGACACTCGCACCAGCATGAGATGGTGGCCGTAGACCAAGCTGACTATGGACTGGTGATGCTAATCCGCCGGCGGAGTGATTGTTCGTGTTTAGGCCATTAACCGTGAGACGATTGCCCCTAGTAGTCGTAGTACCAGCCCGCGACCCATTGAGAGATGCGGATTTGCTACCAGCTTGGAGAGCAACCACAACAGCCTCGCGAGTCCATTCCTGGAGCATATCCTCCCTGAACCTGATGGGCAGCTCGTGGTCTGTTTCAACCGCTGGGATGGTACTCAGTGTGGAGCTCAGGATCGGGTGGGAGAAAACGCGACCTGGCGAAGCTGCTGGGCTAACTGGAGGCGACGTGTTGCTCTCCTGGTAATCAGTGCAAATACAGTCAACCATCGTTAGTCGGTCGTCGAATGGTAACAATGCCTCCGACTCAACCTCCTTGATGGGCATTTTAGGTTGGGGCCGGGGCATCCCCGGGGTGCCGACGAGCTCCAGCAGTGGTGGCGGTACATGTATGCCTTCCACCCAGAAGCTCTTGCTCCTTCTCCTCGAAATCTCGGTATGAATGGCTCGGCCGATGACGGTAGCCTCGAAGTCAAATCTGTCACTCAAAGCCCAGAAATATCCATGACAAAGGGAACCCAGCCGCACTTTTTGAAGTGGAGTCTCCGCATCTTGAATGTCCTCCTGAAGCCTAAAAATCATAGCCAATCCATAACGAACAGCGTTGACGCCGAGCTTGCTGACGAGCTTAGCGAGCAAGACATGGCACAGGGCCACGTCTGTTTCGTAATCAATGAATTGTAGAGCATTGTCATAAATAGCCAAGTGCAGCAGTTGAAGGAAATGCGACCGTAGCACTTTGACCGACTTCTCACGAGCGGAGGCATTTGATACGGCTCGCCTGGCAAAGCTTGGTGGCGGCGGCAACTCCGTGTTGCCAACTCGCGTGGGCTTCTGACCCGCTTCGTCTCGTGCTTTGAGATCAGCCCTAGTGGTCTCTCGATCAAGCCATGTGATGATGGCATCCGCATACGCCTTTCGAACTTGTCCGTGGGGGTCACGTAAGAGCCAATGTGTGCCTTCCCAGACCTGGATTGGCACTCTGTTGCGCGAAAGACTAACGTTGCCACTAATTTTCGTTTTGGGATTGGCGACGAGAAGGATCGACTTGATAGCCTTCAAAGCGGCTGTTTTGGCCAAATCCAGGGCAAATAAGCTATCGAGTTGTTGATCCTCTGAAAGGTTGCCAAGTGAGGCCCCTGGCCCGGCGCTGTCGTCGACTTTCTCTGTGGGCGGTGTCGAACTAGCCGTGCTCGGGTGAGGTTTCAGCCGTAGTAGAATGGCCTGGATCATGTCTGATATCTGGTCGGCGTAGTATACATGGGTAGCTAGGTCTCCGATGCACTGTTGGATCCTGTCCAAGAGCTCTCTATGGTGAGTGGTCAGGGGCGCAGAAGGCTCGACCACAGAATGAGGAGGCTTCTCGCCGCTCATAGCGGTAGCCGGGGGCGCACTTTGACTTGAACGACCGGAGTGTTTAAGCACCCGCTTCATGTGTTGGATCAGTCCTAGAAGCACATCCATCACACTGAGACCTATCAAGTTGGCGTCGGATCGCAATAGCGAGCCCATCATGGCCACCAAGGCAACCTGCTCCGGCACGTTCTCGTCCGTCGGCTGAGTTCGTAACAGAGTATCCATGGCGGTGATCAGAATCACGTAACGGTCTTGCACGGGTGCCCATCTTGCTACAAGTCCGTAGATGCGAATGGCCCAACCGCTGTCACGCCCAGTACCCTGTTTTGGCTTCACCACCGCCTCTTTCTGTTCTACCCGTTCGCGGATGAATTTCAGCAACGCAACCGTCGCGCCGTGAATCTGAGCACGGTTAGGAATGATGAATATTTGCTTGAGGCATTGCAAAGCCACAACGCCAGTATCCTCCTCGGCCAACTTGTCAGCGTCTGCTGCGGTTCCAGACAAGGCAATTGGATTGGTATCTCCCGCTTCCTCATTCGTTTTGACGGTGGAAATACTAGTTCGGCGACGTAAATGTTGGCCAGAGTCCCCCTTCTCTTCCATGTGGGCTCGTTGTAGCAACACGTCAAGAAATTCATCGTTATCGGTCCAGAGGTTTTCCAATATCATGGGCACAATGACATCGAGCTGACGGCCAGCAACCGACGACAGCGCCTCGGACTCGGCAACGCTCTTGATGGCGCCCAAGCCCGCATTCCTCCACCGAACGGCCACTGGTTTGCTGACCGTGCCTTTCCCCGGAGTCTGCCGGGTCGAGGCGAAGGTAGCGTATGCGCTCACTATTTCCTCGTACTGACGGACGTATTCCTGGTCGGCGAATAGGGAGGATGCGTCGTGGTTTTCACAGAAGGTCTCAAAAGTCGGCAGGGAGGCTTCGACCATGGTGATATCGTTGGACCGGAGCACGAGGCCCATGATCTTGAGGACATTTTGAGCAAACAAGGGGAGGTCCTTGGGCGCCTTCTCAATCAAGGCGGCGAGTATTTGCAGTGTGACCTGTACATTTCTAAGAAGGTAGCTATGAGTTAGCTTGGGGCCCAGCGAAAGGTCAAGAAGGGGAAGCCGTAGAAGATGACAAGGCGCCATCTTCGCAGCGGGATGTTGGGCCATGGTACACACCCAATGCGCAACCGCCAAGCATCACCAGCTGTCTTCTTCTCGAGAAATTGGCCAACTTTCTGGATCTTAGATCGTCGCGACGTGGCATAGAACAGGAGATAGCTTAGCTCGCTCGAGTTGGGCTTGACGTCAACAGCCCCCTTGGTGGTCCGGGGATAGCACTTGAGCACGAGGACCTGGTGCTTCGGACGGCATCGCTGTTGTATGGCGTTCATTGCGCCGGTGCGCAACTGCGTGTCGACTGATCGAAGGATCAATCTACGCGCAAGAGACAGCACTTGAGCGGCAGACGAATTTTGTGTATCATGAAGGTGTGGTTGGGCCCGGAAATGACGATGGTAAAATAAAGTAGTGGCACCAACTGGCCCTGGAGCTGATTAAGGAGGATGGCGTTGGCGCTACGGGATACGTATTTACTGGGATGGACTGTTCAACTTGTCCAGTCATGCATCGGAGGTAGGAAACAGCTTCCGGGAATGCTGGTATGACTTGTTGAGTTTGACTATCGTGTCAGCAGTTGTATTTTCCCAAGATGACGGGATGGCTCTTGTGGTAGTTGCCCGGCTTGTTTGTCGCGTCAATGCCAAATGTCGTTGTTGCGTGGCTTCGGCCTGGTCGGGGTTTCCCAGGTGCGTTCGGTCAATTTATTTTAAGATTGGCGTTGATCCGTGATCCATGGACATGACCCGACCTGACTTTGGGGCGAATTTCTTTTGCGTGCAGATGTCTCACTGCTGCCTCGGAGTGCCAAGCGAAACCGAAAACAAAAGCATTATACCTTGGAAGTCTTGGTGTCTTGATCAGAACTTGTCAACGTCATCGCCGTGCAGGTCTGCAGAACAATTGCCAACGGCCAGTAAAAGTGTGGGATGGAAGCTCGAGTACGAAATAAGTGTCTCTCCACGTCTCGGGAGAACACGTGTGGTTTTGAGCAAAAGGATCAAGGACCTCAAGTAATGCCTAGGTAACGCTTCCAAGCTAGGTATTTTTTAGGATGACATTGACTTTCTCTAGTGACGAGTAAGTCTAAGCATTATTGATCTGTCTTCGAACAAGGCTAGCTTAGCATTTTTTTTACCTCGGACACTCGTGGACCGAACCTCGACGATGCATGAAATTACATTCGACTTTGGGTGCGATCAAGCGATCAAGCGATCAAGCGATCAAGCGATCAAGCGATCAAGCGATCAACATCAACCAGGTTCTTTCCCAGCAGCGTGGTGCAGCTATCGCGGACCGTCGAATCTAGCAGGGTTCTGCCTGTCTCAGCCTTGCCAAGTCCGACATACATACTGCAAAATTTCCCATTCCGGCACCCGGGATGTCCAACCGAGTTTCCTACAGCTCATTTTTGTTTACCTCGGGCCATGAGTTACGATGTCAACCAACTGCCGTCTATACAGCTTGCAATTCTGTTGGGACTCGTTCACATCTCGCTTTACCGTTTCTCCAGCTGACGCATCCGGATGCCTCTTTACGGCGCGTTCAATGATCCCCAAAATCACAGGGCCAGTCCACGCACTCGCACCACCATCGTGACCGTTTCTCAGCACACATCCCAGCTGCAACGTACTGTACCCCGGAATTCCGGCCCAATAGGCCACCAGGACCTGGAGACAATCATTCGTTGCATCCTAGGTATATGATCAACCTTGATATACATCAACGTTAAGGGCTCGACCACTTCCCCGCACTGCCAGATACATGGTGTAATTTGAGTGGCGGCTCTGCCGTTGACTTGGAGAAGTCATACGGCAGCTCCGTCTTCTAGTGACAAGTGTCATTTTGCTAATAACTCGACGAGATGGTGACTTTGTGGCCATCCGACTGTTAGTGTTCGCAGAGTCCTGCTTATTGGCCCCCAGCAATTTCGCTGTACGAGAGACCTGGGTATCGAGTGCTGAGTCATACTGGCACCGCTTTCATAGACCCTGTTCAAGGTTGTATTCCTCATTGCTTTCCCGGAAGATTTAACTGCTTATAGCTGTCTCTCTAGCTTACCTTACCAGCCATTCTTCACCTTCTGGAAAGCTGTGAGTCCGTCGATCAACGTGTAAGGCTCTGATCAGAGCCCTTTAAACCTTAGTGGCAAGTATCTTGTCGGTTAAAGTGCGTGAATCAACTCTCAAGACTTTTCAACTCCCAAACCACGACCACAGAGGTCTGCCATGTTGAATAAAAAAATTGCGTAACGTTATTGGACAAAATGCGGACTGCCTTCACGGTCTAACAAGCTGATATTCCATGTTGCGGTCGACTGACCTATTCACATCACATTTACCCAACTTCTTCTCTTCTCTGTTGGTTGAGATGTTTTCGAGAACATTTGAGTTGGAAAATCCACAGCTCCCTCCATCGCATGTTGGCTCATCAGTACCCACGGCCATGCTCGACGTGCATCCCTACCATACATTTCTCGAAATGTTCCCAATGCATGGAGAACCGTGAAATCCAACGGGGAAGGTGTAGGTTGCAGCAGCTCAACACACCGTCGACAATTCCCTGGCTCTGGGAAACAACTTCGAGCGGCATCAATGATGTGTTGACATTCGATCTCCTCAGACTTCTTACGTATGTTTGGCGAACTTGCAACTCGGCGCCATAGACATGAAAGACGTCCCCTCGATGCCCACTGTCGTTCAGCCTTACAACTTGGAGCCGACCGCGTGCCACGATCGGTAAGCAGGTCGAATCATAGTCAACGATGTGAACCAACCCGCGTTATCGCTCCTGTCTGTCAAGCTTTTGCCCCAACTTCAATAAGATTCTCGAGGTGGGGTTATCTCACGGTGGCTAGGGTAGGCGTCATTCGCAGGCGCTAAGCCAGGGCGTTCGTTCGAGTCAGCTCAATCCACGAGCTAATAACAGCAAAAGCTGCGAGATAAGGACTTGACCACCCAGATGCTCTAATGACTGTAAATCCAGGCTTCAGGCTTTTGAGGTGGTGAAGGACACAATTTGCTGTGGTCTGCAATTCCCGCGGGCATCTGCCGGGATCTTGTGCGACGCGCACGATATTCACAGCATGACGGAACTGTTGTCTCTCTCAGACAAAGTCTGTGGGCATAGGTAACTAAAGACAGCCACTATTTGCGCATTATCTCTGTGGCATTCGTTGACCCCGGCGGGGCGCCCGCTCTTTTATAATTAGAGCTGTCAGGTTACTCTGTGTCTGCGCAACGATTGCAATTACCAAGTGAAGCTTGCACCCCTGCGGAGTGATACAAATCACCCCGCGAACCTGCGTGGCGATAGGGCCCCGGTTGGCAATCAGCAAGACATAGAAGATAACCACCCTTTCGGTTGGTAGTCATATGCGGGATCCTACCCTGCGGTGCAACATTTTAAAATGCATCGAAACTCTCTCTCATCAACCATTCCCAAGCTCATCATAGGCGCTTTCGCAGCTTACAACAACTCCCTCCTAGAGTAGCGCAAAACGCACAATTTCACAGTGCCGCGGAAGATTCACCCCAACCAGCCGATATAGCGAGATCTACTCAACATGGCTGTTGACGCAACGCTCCCGCCACCGGCGACGAGCGTGTTGGGGAGCGGGGACCTGCCTGATGGGCTCGAGGAGATGTCGGATGACGAGGCAGCCCTGGCAGCTCTGGGGTACAAGCAACAGTTCAAGCGCGAGTTCTCTGCCTGGACAACTTTCGCCGTGTCGTTTGCCGTCATGGGGCTTTTGCCGAGTATCGCGACGACCATGTGGTATGGGATCGGGTACGCGGGTCCGGCGGCGAACACGTGGGGCTGGCTTATATCAGTTGTGTTCATTATGTGTGTGAGTGTGAATCCTGGCTAGCAGAAGGGAGGATATCAGAAAAACTTACTATATTCAGGTCGCTGCATCAATGGCAGAACTAGCTAGCAGCATGCCTACCTCCGGTGGGCTGTACTACGCAGCGGCCGTCTTAGCAGGGCCGAAATATGGTCCGTTCGCAGCTTGGATAACGGGCTGGAGCAACTGGCTTGTCCAAGTCACAGGGGCGCCCTCAGTGGATTATGGGTGTGGTGAGTTACTAATCTCGCCACAGTCTTGGGCATTCGAAATACTGATCCACTGTCCGTCAAGCTGGTATGATTCTCGCTGCGGCCTCGATCACGAACCCGTCCTATGTTCCCAACGAATGGCAGACCTTTCTGCTAACGGTCTTCATCATGATTCTCCACGCGCTCATTAGCAGTATGCCTACGTTGTGGATAGCGCAATTCAATTCCGTTGGGACAGTGATGTGAGTTTTGTAGACATTAAATGTGCCCGAGGCAGCTTTCCTATGAGCTTTCCTTAACTAATATGCTACATATAGAAACATCGCTTGTCTTGTCGTGACCATCATCATCATCCCAGCAGCTGCAATCAGCCAGCCCAAGTTCCAGCCCAATGAGGTAGCGTGGGGGGTTCAGAACTTTACCGAGTTTCCCGATGGTATCGCGGTGCTGATGAGCTTCCTCGCTATTATTTGGACTACATCGGGGTTCGATGCATCGTACCACTTGTCGGAGGAGTGCTCGAACGCGGCTATCGCCACACCGCGCTCAATCATCATGACTGCTGGGTCCGGCTCCGTTATGGGATTCTTCCTGAACCTCGTGATAGCGTACACCATCACCGACGTAGGTGAGGTGATGGAAAGTGATCTCGTGAGTAATCTCTAACCCCCTGATCCAGTTCTTCGACGCTAACCCAACACCCACAGGGCCAACCCTGGGCAGCCTACCTAATCCAGATCCTCCCCCAACCTGTAGCCCTGGCCGTTCTGGCCATGACAATCATCTGCGCCTTCAGTATGGGCCAGGGGTGCATGGTGGCCGCGAGCCGCGTGTGCTTCGCCTACGCGCGAGATGATTGTTTTGGCTACTTGAGCCCTGCGCTTAAAAAGGTCAACCGACATACTCTCACGCCTGTCAACGCCGTCTGGTTCAACACTTTCATAGGGGTGTTGCTCATGTTGCTCATCTTCGGCGGTGTGGCCATTGGGGCCATCTTCTCTATTGGAGCCCTTGGCTCGTACATAGCGTTCACGACCCCTATTTTGATTAAGACGGTCTTTGTGGGGAATAATTTCCGGAGAGGCCCTTGGCATCTGGGAAAATTCAGTATGGCGTTGGGGATCTTGTCGTGCTGCTTTGTGTTGGTTATGTTGCCGATTTTGTGTTTTCCCACGGTTACTGGGGATGATCTAACGCCCGAGTTGATGAACTGGACATCTTTGGTTTACGTGAGTTTCCTTCGAGGCCCTGAGTTACCACCTGTTGATAAGCTATCTGGTTTTTAGTTTGGGCCGATGCTCTTCATCGTCATTTGGTTCTTCGTCGACGCCCATAAGTGGTTCAAGGGGCCAAAGATCAACATCGAGGTGACATTATCTGGTTTTGCAAGTTTGCTGATAGAGGCTGATCTTTTATAGCATCACATGTTACATCAGGATCTAAGGACGCATCCAGGGGTGGTTGGTGTCGACCCTAAGGCGGATGAAGGCGATGATCAGGGATCCACAGACAAGACTTCACCGGTTTAGCCAGATCAAGCGTCTCGTTACAGCTGCCAGTGGATATGGTTCAGATAACTCTGTCGAGGGTGATGGATCATAGTTGTTCCATTATGAAGGAATTGACACCCAAAGCCTTTGACAAATTTTGGCCAAACTCTGAAATTTTGATGAACTTGAAGACACTAATATCACAAATGCCACCAAGAGAGTTTTAGGTCTTTGAAACATCTTCTCAAAGACTGAGCAAATCTTCCCTACAGCTAAGTTCTAAACTCTTGCTGACCTAAATAATATATATTACAGCAACACGAATTTAGCATAGCACTCGCGCGGCTTGCGGAACATCGTCTCCCACGCTAGCATGTTATCGTGGTCCTTGGGCAAGTTGGACAAGGACAATATGCTGAAGCTGAGCATAGTGAGCGTAATCATGATCCGCAACTCATGCATAGCTAATTTACGACCTGATTGACATCATCAGCACTATTCTTCATGTCTCGCTGCTCATTTCAGGGGTCAAGAAATAACGCGTTTACCAAAGCACCCTCTGGGACCGTCTCCAAATGCCAGCCGCGGGATAGCATAAGCGTCAAGTGTCAGCTTGCCGTCCTCGCCCCTGATGAGCCAGCGCTCGGGGACAAAATCTTGCAGATCGTCACCTGCGGGACCGTCCAAGCCAGGTCGCCCACGTTTCTCGTACGCGGTACGACTTGTGGCGCTGCGTATTTCCTCTGGCACGGGGACGGGCCGGTGGTGCACGGTACTGTTGAAGACGACGTTGGTTCCCTTGGGGATCTTGCAACCCAGGATCTCGGTATCGACAGTGGCTCGGCGGGCGGTCAAGGCCGTGGCGGCCAGACGCAGGGCTTCCTCGATAGAGCCGTCGAGGTAAGGGATGTCAGACTCGAGGATCTCATTGACGGTCGGAAGTTCGTGTCCTGGGAACGCTTCCCGCAGTGCGGCGCGGAGATTCGACTGTGCTTTTTGCGAGCGGGACATATACTTCATCCACCACAACAGCGTGTTGGACGTGGTGTCGTGACCTGCCCAAAGCAAGAGGAAGAGTTCGTCGCGGAGCTCGGTGTCCTTGGCCAAGTCGGGCAACGGAATCCCGGCTTTATGGGCTGCTTGAACTTCGCGGCGGAGAACGAGGTCCATAGCACAGCTGTCAGGGGTTTCGACGCCGCTTTCGATAGCGCCTTGGAACTTATTGATGGAACTCCGAATGATTCGCTCGATTTGCTGGTTCTTAATGCCGTCGAACTTGCGGTATTCGGCGCCGCGCTTTAGGAGCCATAGCTGCAGCGATGGGAACTTGAAGGTTCGCCAGCCGAGAGCGACTTGGTTGAGGAATTTGAGGGCGTTCGACATGTCGAGTCCACTCGCCTTTTCGTTTTTCTCATGTTTTGCCTGGGTCCTGCCGATCCCCTGGAATATACTCGTCTGGTCTCGCAGCCCACCCAATTTCTCGCCGAGAATCGCAACCCAGATGGCGTCTAGGGCCGCCGTGTCGAAATCATGCGAAATATCCACCTCCTCCTCGTCCACCTTAGCCGCCTTCGCCCTCCCAAGTCCATTAACTCCATCCCCGCCGTGTACAACCCGGGAGCCACAACCCGCCTCAGAAAATCCGGATTCATGACATCTTACCACATCTTCCTCTGCGCCCGCCACGCCGGCGTCGTCATCTTGACGATGCTCGAGTGCGGCATAATGGTACCAATGATGATGCTCGTCGTCGTCGACCGGTCGAACTCCTTGTTCCTTCTTAGAAGAATATCCTCCACCTCTCGTGGGTCGTCAAGCCATAGGCCCGGTGGCAGGACGGGGGAGAAGAAGTACTGAATCAAGGGGAAACCGAGCTTGCGACAACTGGCGTTGCGATGGGGGCTGAACTCGCCGAGTTCGCGGAACGAGGCCAGAATGTCGGGTTTGTCGCCCGAGATGCGCTGCGCTGAGGCGAGGTGGTAGGGGATTCCTGGCAAGGGACGGGGGTGTAGGCGAAGGTAGATTAGGTAGCCTAAGGCCAGCAGTGCGGCGGAGATGCAGAGGAGGGCCACCATTATTGTATTTAGAACTAAGCTCAAGTTCTCGAAAACTCCAAACTACCCAGCTTAATGTGCTTACGAGAACGTACCACGTCCGTATCGTATGCTGACGAGACTTAGGCGAGTCTTAAGTACTTCGATGCCGAAAAGCCACATCGACCCGTGACCGAGATAGTGCTTACCTCGAAGACTTCAGACGCAGTCAATTGGATCCTGGTAACATACTGGGCTAACCAAGAAAGTACATGACCAAGTTAGTAGGTAGTTGGTTTCGGCGGACAAGTGAATAATGGTCTAAGCCGCTGGCTGGCTGAAGCAAGATTGGTCTTTCATTTAGACCTGATCTTCACCTAAACACTTAAACGGCCAATTATGGGGCCTATCGATGTGCGGACTATGCATAGTATCGCATAAGTATACCAGTCTTCATCCTGTCCTATTTGATCCTAAAGGATTGGAAATAGTGGGTTTAACCAAAGTCAGGTCTATGTAAACCATGAAGACCTGGTCAGTCTAAACCACCTACCTTAATTCGTCGTCGAAAAGTAGTTAAACAAGGGCCGAACATGGCGTTAGCGGGGAAACTAAGTGGCAATAATCCCGCCAACTATCCAGCTTGATAAGACCAATCATCTCACAGGCCAACTCCTGATGGGCGTTGATCGTCGAGGTTGATACTGACGCCAGTCCAGATCAGTGTGGGGATCTGCCGGTATGGGGAGTGGTAAATTATCTGGGAGATTGCATTTGCGTTGGAATTTGCGCGTGTAATTCATGAAAGCTATGTGATGTGAAGAGTGTTGGGAGAAAGTCAAAGATTGGCCGTCCATGCAGCATGGGAATGAATTCGCTGGTGTCAGCAAGTGGTTAGTTTTCATTGGATCCTGTAAGACTTGGGGATTGGCCTATCATGCAAGTAGCCACGTCTTAGCTGGGACCCTACACTGCACCCAGAGCTTTCCCAAGAGACGTAACCATATTTCGTAGTTACTCGTAGTTACTCAGTAATTAAGCTCGACGTTGCAAGGTTGCTGCAGGCTAGTGGTTAACTTTCTGTTACCCTCACTAAGTACATGTTCTGGCACTCTTGAGCGGGCGACTCTCCCGAGTGTTACAGTAACTGGAGAATTGCAGTCAGTACAACTAGTGGCCCCTCTCCACATAAACATACATAAACAAATACAGAAATACATCACAAAACAGCTTTCATCCGGATTCTGAGGAACGAAAAAGCAAGATAATACTGTAAACAGATCCAGATCCAAGATCGATCCATATGTAGACTTTGGTGTTGGTCAAATTATTCTGTGGAAAAGTCGCTGAATCTCACGTCTCATATGTCGTAGCTCATGCTGACGCCAGAGTTGAATCAGTTGCAAAATAGGTTGCCATCTCGCGATGCTCTTTGAAACTGCAGGATAGCCTGGAGACCAAGGACAACTCGATTTGGAGACTCCACTTCTTGTACTTTTTCCCAATGCTTTTTACATGTTGGGATATATTTTATGTTACTGGCAACGTTTCTCAACAATTGCATAATGTAATATGCAATATAAGCACTAGTGGTTTAGTGGTAAAATCCATCGTTGCCATCGATGGGCCCCGCGTTCGATTCGCGGCTAGTGCATGATATCTAATTTTCGATGTCTTTCAATTTTATTGATTGACGAATGTCATTTTTAGCCTCTATGATCATCTATACGATTTTATTTTCTCTATTGTCTTACTGATAACAGTTATAGTATCCATATGGATCTCTAGCATTTCTGACAAGTTGGTTGGTGAATTAAGGAAGCTGCCTGCATGCTGACGCGGCGCAACCTCATCATGCCCGAAGCTTAGTTAGCTGTTTATACCCCTATGATAAGTATGATGTCTTACCAAGGAATATGCTGTTTGTGGGTCACAAGTTGTTGCTTGATCATATACCGTCGCAGTGTTGACATGGCTCCTATTCTATGTCGACACTGAACTCATCAAGAACATACTATAACCTAACGTTATTGCCCCTGACTTCTAGATGTAGTGACGAGCAAGACTGCAGCTAACTCACGTCGTCGAAAGCTGATAAAGAAGCTGGGATTGCCAAGGACCTTCACTCTCACGCTCAACTTCACGGCATTTACTTAGCCAGAACCTGGCGATCTCATGCAAGAGTGCTAAAATTGACAAAAAGAAGAAGGCGAGCTCAAAACTCAAGCGGCCAAATTTCAGAATACTGGGTGGATGCTCCTGTGCTGTTGAGTCAAGTTTGACAACTGAGCCACCCCATCCTCTGATCGTTAGGCCTCTGATGATGTTAGGGTCAGCTAGCGACGCTCTGGTGACTATTTCGATTCTTTAACAGGATATTCCCCTGCAATTTCAATATCCATGGGAAGATGTGTGACCAAGATAGACATACTGCATCCTTATCACCGTGAGCTCAGCGGTTCTGACTCTGCGATGGGATTTGCGAATGTGCGCCAACTACACACCACCAGTCTCAACGTCATGATGATAGACAATGCTAGATTCGTTCTACATGTGTAATGCAGCCCAAAGCCAAGCCACTACCTGGAGCCATCAAGAGCCTTACGGGCTCACCGCTCGAGATTTGGGAGCGGTAGTGACCCGTTGTTTTCCACTGCTGACAAGGAGACGCTATTCGAGCTTGCCTAACTTTACCTATGTGAAGCTAGGCAGGGCACGATGTGATTGCAACCGAAATCGCGTGCTACCTCTTCGCAATATCTAAAAATTCACCGCAAATTTAAAACCAACGGGAGCTTTCCTATGCTTGATGTGCTGACTAGTTATGGCTGGCTTGCAGTATGGATAACTGGGGAATCAGAGCCGCAATGCGTTCTTTGCAATGCTGGGTAGTTCCTCTGCGAGGCTCTACTCACAGAAAACATAATCTTTGCTAAAAGCAAAGTTCCGGGGAGGTCGTCGAGGACATGGTAATCTTGTAGTTATACCTGATGAGTGGCCCGAGGGTCTACTCAAGGTGATATCTGATCAAAGCCGAGGACATTCCCTGTCGTGGAGATGTTACTACAACCTACTTGCCCAACTACACTCCTACAAGTTGCCATAAGTACGAAGAGAGCCACTTGATCAGAGACACGAAGTCCACAGCTCCTTAGTGAGCCTTGAATGCAACGTCAACCCTCACAAAGGAGAAGTAGACAGGAATCGCTCCCGATATGTTAGGCCCTTCCATATTAGGGCATGATTGTTTTTTTTCGCTCCAAAATTAAGCCCCTCAAGGCCTCAGGAATATCCTTCATAGCAACTCCAACCGAATCAATTAACCCCTGCAGGAGTATGCGAGCATTGAACTTACCATTGCTTTTCAAGCCCAGGACACGACTTAGAATCGAAGATTATGTATTATTCAATTAGAAACTATAACATAACAACAACGCCAATCACAACTCCGGGTGCTGTCTGAAAAGACCACCAACTTTTTAGAAAATCAAGGTTTGCCCCTGAGACCAACCGCTGATCGGCGTAGTATTGATTCTTCATTAGACCCGCCAAACTTTCCACTACAAGCCCGGGTCTTCTCATCTAGTTTGCATTAATATCTCCACTTCCAACTGATGTATACAACACCCGCAAGCCCCATCACCCCCCCCTCAGAATGTCCATAACTCCCCTAACCTTCCCCTCCAACCCCAACGCATAACCCACGCCCACAATCCCCTTCGCAAACCTCCACGCGCCATCCTGGTCTCTAATCGGATACTGCGCCGGGGGCGGGATTCCCGTCCGTATGCCCCAGCTTCCCCAGCGGTCCTCGCACACACTCTTGATATTACACAACCCCCTCAGCCCCTCCTCTCCAGCAAAACGGCCGTATCCCGATCCGCCAACACCGCCGAACGGCAGCTGCACCGCATAGAAGACGGCGAAGTCATTAACCGCCACGCCGCCGGCTCGGATGCCCCTGACGACAGCTTGGAGCACGGGGTCCGAGTCCTTTCCATAGACACTGGCTCCAAGGCCGAAATCGGGCGCGTTGGCGACATATAGAAGATCCTCAGCGGAGCCGGACGGTGCGCGCAGGATTGTCATAATGGGGCCGAAGCACTCTTCGTTGGCAATGGCCATGTCGGGTGTGACGTCGACAATCAGCGTAGGAGTAAAGTAGAAACCGCTTGGGTGGTCAGGGTGTTTATACCGTTTTCCACCGGCTAGCAGTCGGGCGCCTTGGGCCACGGCGTCCTCGACTAGTTTCTCGAGCCGTGAGAATGAAGTATCGCATACCATGGCACCCACGTCTTTGTCCAATCCGAGCCGGAGCGCCTTGACGCGTGGCTCTAGCATCTCCACCAGTTTGTCGTACACCCCCGGTGCTGCTATGATACGTTCGATGCCGATGCAGTTCTGGCCCGCCGCTTGGAAGCTGCCTCTCATGAGCACGTTCACGATACGGCTTAAATCGTTCTTAGCAGAATCAAGCACAACTGCGGCATCTTTTCCGCCGAGCTCGGCTACAACGGGAGTGAGGCTTTTTGCGGCGCTGGCAGCAACGTGATGACATACTGGTCGCGACCCAATGAAGGTAACGTGCGCAATTCCAGGATGCGACGTAAGATGTCCCGCCGCCTGCGGCCAACAGACAGCACTCTGCACTAGGGCAGGGTCATGTCCATGTGCCACCAGCGCACCCCGCGCAATCGATGTATAATAAGCTGCACTCCAGCAAGTCTGCTCGCTAACCTTGACCAGTACCCCGTTCCCGGCAAAGATACTGCTGATGATAGGTCCCATGAGATTGTGAAAGGGATAATTCCAGCTCACAAGCGCCGCCACGACACCTAGGGGCTCGTACAGCACCTTATTCTTCTTGTATGTCATGAGCAGATTCGTCGGCCTTTTACTGGGCCTCAAAGCCTTCTCCCCATGCTTGATAGTCCACTGCAGCTTCTCCACAGTAACCAGGATCTCGCCCAGCTGAGCATCCAACATCGTCTTGCCCGAGTCGAGACTGCTAACGCGGCATATCTGCTCCTGATTATCAAGGACATGCTGCAGCAGAGTGCGCAGCACGGCACGTCTTTCGTGAAAGGAAGTCTGGGCCCATTTCTGCTGCGCCGCCGACGCGGATGCGATGGCGCGGTCGATGCCCGCGGGCGTGGACGGGTTGACGAAGCCGAGGAACTGGCCCGTGGCGGGCGCGTAACATTGGATCGCGGTGGTGCCCGGGACTTTGCTAGAGGGCGATTCGAGGATTTGCGGCCCGCCTTCGGGGAGCTTGGGCGCGGGGACTTTGTAGCGTTTCGGTGAGACGGTTCGCGAGATGTAGAAGAGGTACAGCACGAGGATGGAGAGGCTGGACCAAAAGACGCGGGTCAGGAGACCTTTGAGGTCTTCCAAGCTGTCCCGCTTGTTAGCAACAGTGGCATATGCGAAAGGGGAGGAGACCGCTACGGGAAGTCATGTAAGAGGGCGTTGAACTGGTTGACCCAATTCTGGAGGTCTTCGCCCGCCATGTTTAGCTGCGTTGCTGCTCAATTGATAGTGTGGGAGGTTGCTTTGTATGTAGAACATTCAAGGACGCGATCTGAGTGCGAGTCGAACCATTATGGCACCATAGCAGCTCTCAATGGCAAGCCATGAGGTGGTGCTTTCTCCGTCTTGAAATTGTTACGAAGACAGCTCGCGCCTGAAGTCAATTGGATTTCCAGGGTCTAAATGTGGCTGGCTCAATGTGGCTGAAACTCAACTCGACCAAGACCTATGACTTACACAACTCAGGCAACGACTCAAACTACAACAAGAGAAAAAAAGACTGTGTTGGTATACTGTTTGTGATGTTACTAATAGAAATGACCGTCCTGTCGGGTGGAGCCACGGAAAAAAGACTCCTGAATTTTGTAGAGATATTCCACATTTTAATAACAAGGTTTTGCTCAACCAGGGGCCCAACAATAGGTAAACTCCCAGTATTCGGAGATGCGTCCAGCCAACTGTATTATATATATGTCGAAAACATATTACGGAAAACTTCCATCGGCATGAAGACAGACGGAATATTCAACCACGGACAGAACATTCGACGAAAAGCAAAATGCAGATCCCCAACCAAACCGAAGAGGTTGCCACGGAGATCCACGACAAAATATCTCATGAGCCAACAGCAACACCAACTTCAACGACGCTCAAAATGTACTCCTTTGTACCAAAATGGGCGCTTATGGGCCCCGTGTCCATTTTCACCTCTGTAACTCTATTCCTCCACTACCTGGGCCTCATCTCATCAAACCACCTCCTCCCCCTGGCGTCTGTTCTCTTCGCCACACTCTACGTCCCCACAGCGCACGCCCGCCTCGCCCACCTCCTGGAGACTCCCAACGGCTTTCTCACCGCCCAAGACTTCACCACGCAAAAGCTCCACCACGGCGCCTCCCTGGTAGTCCTCTGCCGGCTCTTCCACTGGCTAGGCCTCCTCTCCCTCCTACCCGCGCCTGGGACATTTGCTGGGACATACCTCTACATCTTTGCTCTCGACGTCCTCGCTTTATCTTTCATCATGCCGGGCTTCCTCACTGCGGCACAAGAGGCCTACCGCAACGGCGACACCTGTGCCGAGGACGAGCTGCAATTGGGCTGCGGCGTCGCCATGTTCTTCATCTGCGGCTGCGAGGCCGGTTCCGCCGCCTTTGGGTACGGCATGTGCCTTGCCGTGCTGGGTGTGGGCATGTGCCTTGCCGTGGTTTTCGGGCTACTGTGCGTGCTGGCCATGGTACTGCTGCCGCTAGCATTCGATTTCGGCAACTTGGTGCGGCGGCAGATTACAGTGGCTAGGGGGTGGTGGTGTAAGCACTGCAAAGAGTTCAAGAAGCGTATACGGACACGGGAAGCATGTTGAACGAGGAGATGTTAACTGTAAAGATGGAATTGGATGTGCCTCGTAGATTAATTGTAAATATGGGTTGGATTATATATGTACAATCAGCAGCATCAAATAGGAACCACGACAAATCGGGTTTGGGGAGTCTCTTTTTGACGCTTAAAGATTCTCACTATGTATTGCTCGTGTCCTTTATCATCCCTTTCCCTGCCCTTCGGCCCCCCATCTGTCCTTGCGATTTTATATACACAGGCCAGCTTCTCTTGACGGGAGACAGGTCCACCTCTTAAATACCCTAATCCAGGTTTGAATCCCCTCGTTCGCAGAACGCCCGCCAACTAGTGGAAACCCGTCAGGCAAAAAACCAAAAAAAAACATCCACACACAAGAGACACGAGAAAAAAAAACGATCTTCAGGACCGCATTATCAATCGTCTCGTACAATGCGTCTCTCGCTTTGACCCAATGCCCCTGAAAACGCCAACGCCAGATGTCAAAGTCGAGTGTAAAAGTTGCTTGCAAGTTATAGTCGTGTGGGAGGGTAGCCAGCGACCACTAAGAGCCGAGCATGGGCAATTACACGCCGTGGCTACCTCTGCCATGCAAAACCATCGAGCGTAGGAGCCGTGAAAGGGGAAAGACTTGGTATCGGGGAATCGGGTATTGTACAACGGAAAGAAAGTAGAAAGAGGAAATCAGTTGGCTATTCGTGTTCTTCAATGTGGTTGTCTCGGTGGAATGCAAAAGGCGACTTAAAAGATTTGCCGCGAGTTCGTCGCCTGATTCGGTTCACTATGCCAGTCCCATCGGCCGAATTGGCATTGGGGTCAGCGTTGGGGTGCTGCGTAGGCCCCACGTGTGTCGATTCATACCGGTTCAGCATCGCAGCTGAAGTGAAATCATTAGATTGTTCGTAGCTCGGCCTGACTCGGTCCATCGAGGCACGCAAACGATCATATGATGGCCGTACTCGGTCCAAAGATGGTCGAATTGGTATATCGACAGACGGTTCGTGCCTTGTGTAATTTGTTCCGTCGCTTCCATTTTGACTGCGAGGGTTGTGTGTGGCGGTGGAATGTAACGTGGGAGGGTAGATAGGCCTCCGATCCTCATCCACGCTGGGATACTGCTGGTGACGCTTAATCCTGGACGACTGAGATGATTGCGACGAAGTCGGGTTGGGAACTTCATCGACTGAACTTTTCTCGTCGAGGTAATTGAACTTGCCCTGCGTCACTTGCTCCCGGATGATATCCACATCATAGGGGTAGTAGACTTTCTGAATGGCCTTGATGGCATAGCGGGGAAATATGCAAATGACCGGGACAATGATGAAAACGGCCCAGAAAGATGCCTCAGAATACACCTGAACTGCGGAACCATAGAAGACAGCCGAATAAGTAGTCGACGTGAAGACACCAGTCCAAAATATGATGAACAGATCGCTGATGGCAACCACTAGCAGGGAGAGCCAATCCCATCGGTACATGTTGATGAGGATGTAGAGGTTGATGGTGATAATAACAGGATGAGCAATATAACATCCGAGCCGCAGTCGATCAGAAACGTCTAGGCCATTACCGGCGACCGACGGGCTGCTAATGACGGTGAGGTACGGAATGAAGAAACACATGATGCTTTGGTAGACACCATCAACCATGTATAGCCTAGTCATGATTAGCTTTGTACTTGCCCAACCTGAGAACTTGGAGACATACCAAAACTTCGTCTGCGTCCATTCCATACGCTCGATACCGCGGCGATAGAGTTGAGGGACGGCCAATGATACGGAATCCGACACATCTTGGTCAAGGACACCCATGAGAACAACGGGCACGGAGGTGAAGAACAAGTTAAATAGCAGAATGTAGGTGTAGTCAAAGACGTAGGTGATGTCGAAGTTGCAAAAGCACTGGTACCAGAAGATGGCAAATGTCCACACCATGTTCTTGTAAAAGAAGTTGGAGATGGTTTCGGCCAAACGTCTGTAAGACCACCGGCCATGAACAAGGATTAGCCTTTGAAGGAAGCGGAATTGCCCCACGGCGTAGTCTGAGGACATGACGGCCTGGCGACCTTCCACACCAGCAATTCCAACGCCAACGTCAGCTTCTTGAATCATGGCAACATCATTGGCACCGTCGCCGACGGATAGCGTCATAACGTCGAGACCGGTCTTGACCATGGCCACTACTGCCGCCTTCTGGGCTGGACTCACACGACAACAAAGGACTGATTTGCACTGCTTGCAAAGCAACAGAAACTTTTGTCTGACGCTGTCATCGAGCACCCATCTGAGCGTGAAACCATCGATCACCAAGGCGTGAGTAGGGCCCGGTGCTTCGTGGTTCTGCCTGGCGGCAACTAAATCTTCGTCGCTGCCAGTCATGCCAAATATCTTCAAATTCCGGTCGAGTTCCTTTTCGAGACGTTGTATGAACTGTTCGTCACTCGTGGCACCTGTTTCGTCTTCGTCTACCTTGAGATGGATGAGTTCCATGTCGTTGTTGAGAAGGTTGCAAGAGAACCCGATGTTGATGGCCGTCTCGACCTTGTCTCCAGTCAAAACCCATAGCTTGATACCCGCATCTCCCAGCAAAGCGATCGTATCGGGGACGCCGTCCTGAAGTCGATCTTCGATGGCAGTGCCGCCAAGGAGGGTGAAGTCCCGTTCAATCTTGTCAGCCACCTCCTCCATTTTCTCTTCTCGATCCTGGAGGGCCGTGGCAGCCTTGTCGTGCTCCTTTCGCCACTCAAGATATTCCTGCTCGGAGAGAACACGCTCTGCAATGCATAAAGTTCGCAGACCCTCACGTGCAAACATTTCAAGGTGCTCAGCCGTGGTCTTGCGGAGTTCGGCTTGCTCTCCGCGCTTCAACCGCGAATAGATTATGCTATCAGCACCTTTGCACAGTAGCAAGATCCGGCCATCGGGCATCTTGACGATTGCACTCATCCGTTTGCGGGTCGAGTTAAACTCGATTGTGTTAAGAACAGTATAATGTCTTTCTTCGCCCATGACATTCAGCCTGATGCCATTGCCGGTGTTGCCCAGAACGGTAAAGCCCATGTCGCGAGCCGTGGCCACAAGAGCCGCCTCATCTGGAGACTGAGCTTTGAAGACGATCTTCGGCGGGTCGCCAGGAACATGCTCGGCTATCACGGTGTGGCAAAGCGCCAGTGCGAGCATGAAGTGTTCGTTGGCCGCTTTCTGCTCTTCTCCCGAGACACCCGACAAATCCTCGACGAAATCGGGCGCGATGAACGTCACTTCTTCGTCGTGCAAAAAGGGATTGTCGTGAATCCGGCGTAGCCCTGCGATGGCACGTATCTTGCCTTCCGCGATCTCCTTCCTAGCTTTAGCCCCCTCCTTCTCCACATCAATACCCAACCGCTTCTGCATGCCTGCCTGCGCCTCCGTATACGCCTCTCCGTATGGTTGTCCATTGATGGTAGCCTTCTTGAACTCCATGACGTTTTGAGTCAAGGTGCCGGTCTTGTCGGAGAAGATATACTCGATCTGGCCCATATCGTCTGAAATGTTCCACGACTTGGGGACGCAGGGCTGGTCGATCGGCTCGTAGTACATTTCAACATCGTTGTAAATGAAAATAGCCTGCAGCGTTCTCACAATCTCTAAACTAATGTAGAGCGAAATTGGCACCAAGTTCTGGAAGACGATGACAGCAGCCCAGAAGGTGATGAACCCAGTCAACGCAGGGCGGTCGGATCCCGCAACCGAGCCATACTCGAACCATTGGGTCGAGGCATCCGTTTTGCCCCATGAAATTCCATTGACAATGCCCGAAATAAGACACATGATCAAAAGAATCCCAAAGTTGCAGAGCACGTTGAAGTTCAACTCTCGCGCTATCCGGGCTCGTTTAGTTGGTGTAACTCCAGCGTTCATCATGATCTTGGTGTCGTGTCCGGTAAATATGACAACTCCAAGAACCCAGTCAGTGTTCCGCAGGTTGCACCCACGGAGAAGTAGGTTGTCTATTGAAATTGGCTCCGACATGTCCCTGACCTTGTTGTTGACTTTTTGCTGCCAGTTGATGGCGCCGCTGTACTTGTAGAGATTAGGCTGCGCGCCTTCACTCTCGATGGAGAATTCGGCCCTCTCACAATCTCGGGCGTGTTTTATCGATCGGCCACAGCGCAATGCCTGTCGGACTTTCAAGTTGGTTTCGCCATCCAAGTTTTTGGTCTCCACATAGCAAGCTCCATCAGTATCCGACGTAGACAGCACGATGACATCAGCAGGAATCTCTTCGTCGCTGTGCAGGCGGACAAAATCTCCAACCACGAGATTTTTCCACGCGTCTTTGTGAAAACGCGCTCGTCCACTAGGGGACTTGTCATGGTTGAGGAGATCACCCTTCACCCTCTCCAACGTTTCAGCCTCGACGGTATTGTGCGACAAGCCTGACGCTGGCCGGGGGTCTGGGGTTTGGAGTGCGTCCGGGCGCGGGAGAGGCGACGGAACTGGCGTCATCTGGATATCCTCCCTAACCGAGACGAAAGAGGTTCGGTCGGTTCGTGGCGACATCATGGACCGCCTGTGCGTTATAGTTGTCTCAATAGATGGACGCGAATCAGAGATACCAGCCATGCTGCTCGTGTTTGGATCCTTTTTCCACATCGATTCGATCGCCCGCCAAAGTGTACCGAAGAACTTGGAGCTTGCCTTCTTGATTTTCCGCCAGGTCGAGACATTGTCCGCTTCCACGTTCACGTTTTCCCAGCCGACCAGACGGTGTACACCAGCGTTGTTCAAATCGTTATCCAATATTGTCCGGCGGTAATCCTCAACAGCGTCTTTGACGGCAGTAACAGTAATAATAAAAATCAGAGGGACGGCGTTGAGGCCTGGATTAGTGCCTCCAAATATGGGAAAGATCTAAAGGAGAGACATTAGACATTGTTGAAGTATTGCAGCGTGCGGCTTAACTTACCACAAGAATGACCAAGAACAAGAAGAATATGTTGGCCACATTCTGGAACTGAAGCCAAAGATTCTTCGGTATGAAGGATAGCGGAGTGTACTTGGCTGTCCGAATCTTGTTCCTTGGGAAGCGCTGAGTCGGACGGCCCTCTTCATCCTTCCATTGGGCGGGTAGTTCCTTGTTGAAAAACAAGAGCCTACTTTCGGATTCTTCCCCTGAAATGCTATTCGCGTCGGCTTGGTCTTGGGTGGTCGGATCGTAAGGCTCGCTACTGCCCTCGGGTTGTATGGACTGGCTTCCTCCAGATTGCCTCTTCTTCTCGGTCGACCCTGTCCGCTTGTGTATCCTGTCTATTATAGATACCCGCTTGTTGTCGCTGCTCTTGATGGTCAATTTGCGCGTAGCCCATCGTGCTCTTTTGGTGAGGTCGGGTTCCTTGTTCCTGCCATTGGCCTCGTCTCCTGCTTTCGCCATCTTGCCAGAGTTGCGGGCAGAGCCCGTTCAACCCTACGGTTCCGCCAGAGTGGCCCAGGTGGCCGCGATTCCTATCCAGCTATACGATGATGATGCCAATCCGAACGTGAGGGCGAGGTACGGGACGAGATGTTCGGAGGGGGCAATAGCACGCTGTTTAGGACGTCTGCACTCGATCGCCAAAAGCGTACCAGCCGGAACGGTGGGTGTTATTGCATTCGTCGCGAACTATGGTCGGCAAAATGTTAATTTTCTTTCATCGAGGAGTAAAAACGGTCTCGGGTTGAAACCTTTCCTACGGAGTGGGCCTCGCGTTGTTGATGACAGCGAGGGACAGAACACGAAGGACCGGGCCAGCTGGGAATAATACAAGTTTGGATGGGTTGGATTGATCGCTAATATCGGATGGCCCGGGTTGGCCTTAGGTGGCCCACTCTTGACGCTGACCCCAGTCTTTATCCAAGGCCTGCCTGGCTTTCGCTGACAAGACAGTCCCTAGTTGTGCATAAAAAGGGCTCTCCGTTGTGCCAGACTCTTTGTGCGTAGCGAGCCCACTGTGCGCCTGAGCCGGGTAACAAGCTCCCACCAATGTCTGCGCAACGGGCTGCGGCAGGGAGAGGAGAGTTAGCAATGCTATGCTGGGGCTAGGGAGTTATTTTCGGGCTGTTTGAACAGGCACAGTGGGATTTCGTGCAACTGTCCAGCTGTCCAACGGTCCAATGGATTCTGCCACAGGAAAAAAGAGGCGCGGGTTCAGTCCATGAAAGGAGTTAGACTGCTTCGGACGAACTATGTCGTACAAAATGTCGCATTGGATTTATAATCGGTAAGCACAAATTCGATGACCAGCTTATCAATTGCACTGTGCTTGGATGCGTTGAAGTAAGTCTAGTAACAACTCCGTTTAGTGAGACTGCAATATTGATGCTTGCATGGCTTGGAAATCTCCTTTATAAACTCCAGGTACAGATGATTCTGGGCCTGCACGCCGGCGGGTTTGTGATATCCCCGAGTTTTCGGACTCACCATCACTTTGCGAACAGATTGGATGAACTCTGTTCAAACTTGTTTAGGTCAAACGAGTTTGCGTGGAGTTCCGAAGCGATAGGTGTTGCAAAGGCAAACACGAAAACATGGCATTCAGTCCTAAATTTTAATATGGTCGTGTATACGTCACCATATCCTCATCCCAGAATTGAAGAAGTCGAGGCGCATCCAAGACGATTGGGCATATCACGAAGAATCAACACCCAGCTCATCGTTCACTCTGTATGAAGTACGAAATCTGATGGGCAAAGATAATCCTTCCCGCTGACGGTTAGTCTTTAGTACCTAGTACCTAGTACCTGTGGGGCCCCTAAGCCGGCTGTTCAAAAGTTATGTATCTGGTGTATCTGGCTTAATCTGGCCCGTGCAATTACCAGACTGGGGGGAGGGGTGTTGTTTCGGCATCCAACACTGACGGGAGACGGAGACGGAGCTAAGCGGCCCAAGTCTCTGTCACCGATTGGTGATCTGTTACACCAGGCTCACATCTGTGCGCGTTCAGCCGTGTATGAAGTATTGAGAAGTTTCTTGCTCGTCAGCTTTGGATTGATGCTGCGACTTGAAAAGTTCAGGTTTGAATTGTATACTCAAGCATGGACCCCAAACAGCCAATTTAAATGACTGAGTCTCGGCGCTGGCCCTCCACGATAACACTACTCAGGGGCCGGCCGAGGTTGGAGGGGAACAAGGGATAGATTGGATGGATCGCCAATATCTAAGATGAAATGATCTGGATATGGAGATATGAGCCACTAAGTACACCGCCACTGTCTTGAACAAATCAAGAAGATCCTTCTTTCTCCATTTATGCCAAGTTATAATATAGGAAATCACTACAATTGCTGTTCGTGATTTCTTTTACACAGCTTTGAGGCGGTGACATTTCGGCAGCATCGCATCGTGAGTCCTACAATGCTTGACCTTACAAATGGCCGCTATTGACGAGCCAATGCAGGTAACATCACCCCAGGGCTGAAGGTGCTTCCGCCAGACTATGAACAAGTTCGCACAGTGTTGACTGACGAACCAATTATATAGTGTTGGCGGCCAAAGGTGTCACAACAAGGTCGTTCCTGCCCACGGCGTCTTATCCACCAATTCTCCTTGTAGCGGACATTCGGGTACGACGGGCGTGGCGAAGGACCGAGTGGGAAAATCGCACGAAAGCAAGGCCGCGGGTTTACCCACTCAAGCACTGATGCGGCAGATACTGTCAATGCTACAGCCCGCGATCGCGTCGTGAACAGACCCTCGGCATACACTGAGTATCCAGATGTTTGAGGAGGGGCTGGCTTCAGGGAATGGCTTCACCAACGCTCGAGTCTTCAAAGCCTGACGCACGCCTTCAATGACAATTGTTCAACAGCGAGGCTGTACGTATCGTCACTGCTTGTGGCGTTACTTGGTCACGTTGTGTGGTAGTTTTGCAAGGTCTTCGCCAGCATCCCCCATCTCTACTTTGTTATAAAGGACACGATTCCCACCAGGAAATGTCCTAAATTAGATCTTCGTCGGGGCAGAGACTAGCATGATCATAAGCGACTACTTCGTAGCGCCGCTGCCTTGCAGAAGGATGGGATGGCCCTTGAACCACCATGAATTGCCCCCTCCCCGCCCCCGACGGTATCACAGTCAGCACAGGGAGAACAAAAAAGGAAACATGTTCCCGACCCACGGAGTCTGACTGAGCGGCCTGGGCAGGAACGAGTCCGTCCGAAACTCATCCTATCCCACTCTTACCGGCAGTGGCATCAAAGAGGGGTTAGTTAAACGATTTTTTTGTGTGAACCTTAGATTTGCCTCGGACAATAAATCTCGGTAGCTTCCGGGTTACCGATTGGGCTGTTTTGGCCATATCCCATCATCCGGTCACGTCCATTTTACAAGTCACCGAGACGGCGAGCGAGTCGCAAGATTGAAAATGACGACAAAGAAGAACTGATGATGACACCAGCTCACCGTGCTGCTGATAGGAATGCCATCGTACAGCATGTCCCAGATGACAGCAACATGGCCGCCAATGCTTATTGGCCGAACCACGAGGCTTTTTTCTTTCAGACGCCGTCGCGTAATTCAGCTTTTAATGTCGCTTGCTATGCATTTGATCAACGTGTCCCCGTCATCTACTTCACGTCGTAGCCAAGCCCCATTCCCAGCTAGTACGAGGCTCCACGATAACCTGGCAACCAAATTGGGATTCAGGCAGTCCCTTGCAAGTCCCTTCGACGTTCCATATCGAAACTGGTGCGAACTCCCTGCTACGGCTTCTGACTTGCGTGTGACTTGGAGAGACGACGCAAAGCTCAAGATCATGTTTCCATTGAATATTGTTCAACGGACAGGTTCTCGCCAAGAGTACTCTCCTGATTAAAATATGTCTCGTACCATTTCTCGGAGGAGGAGCAGGAGCGGAGTGGCGCATTGCAGATCTTGAAGTGCATAAGATTGGCGGTCATCGCCCCTATGTTCATCACTTCTAGGAAGCATCGGTGGGTCGCTGCATCTATTTTGCGTCCCACCAAGCGCTTTATTAACGTACAACTCCACCTTTCCGGCCACCCACCTTTCTGGCCACATATTGCAATCCAATTGAAGGTATTCGAAACAGTGTATTCAACGTACTATTATAGCTATTCAGGTACAACCAGCTCTAATAGAAAGCTGTGCTCTAGGGCTTCCTAAGGTATAGATCTGATAGGTTCTGACGCCTTAGCTGGGTCCAGTATTACCTGATTCCGACGTTGTACCTGGTCTCGTTGCCGTTCTACTTCAAGGGCTCGATCCATCGCTTCCTTAATCTGTACAATGTTACCAAATCGGTCATTAGGCCCTAATCGTACCTTCTTACGTGGTTTGGGGCGTAACGAAGTTATCTCGGCTTCTAATGTGTGTACACGTTGGGTCAAAGTAGCGACCTCGACGCTCTGTACATCTAGCCGACGAGTCAGCTTCCGAAACAATAGCCGTTGCGACGATCGCAATGGCGTAATCGCTGCCAGACTCTCCCTAGCTACTAAGCTAGTCACTGGCGTCGCTATTATTGTCGGATCAAGCCAATTACCAGCTGTTGGTGGTGTAGTTGGTCGTTCTGATAGGGGGGCTATCGTCGGCTGAGGTCGCGACGGATCTAATGGGCATATTCCAGTTGCAGAGAAGCCTGATTGTATATTACTGATCGTGAACGACTTCGTATATGCCTCGATATATAGCGAGAGAAACGTCGACTTTTTAAATAGAATAGAACAGTACTCGATCGAGAGAGAGGTCGCTAACGAGCGATAGTACCGCTTTAATGGAGCAAATACGGCGACGTCGAGAGGTTAGAGCCCGTGAGAACAGTGTGCTAGCAAAAATAGTAACGAGATCTTGTTATAATAGGCTAACCACATAAACTCGACGTTGTCGTGAGCGATATGACCATCTAATATCAAGAGCCGCTGCTCGTCGGGATCAACTGGTTGTGTACGAGGTATAAAGATATCACGAAGCCATCGAACGGCGATATCTGTACTGATCCAACCGTTAGGCGAATAAGTATATTGCCAATCAGGTATATCGTCGCAATCGTTAAACCATTTCCCTAAATAGCTTCATCGACGCGATTGACGCGTCAGAATGGCTGAGGCCATCGCCGAGTCGTAATTGGAGGGTAGAGCGTGGAACGCCCTATCGGAGGGAAGCCTGGCGCTGGGATATCCCTTGATTGATATCGTTGAGAGCGCCTTGAATCGAATTTTCTGAATATCGAGGCATTGTATAATAATAGCCAATACCGACGATAATCTGTTGTGCCGAAGGTTGTTGTAGTTGGCAGATTAGGTGGCCGGAAAGGTGGGGTTTTACGTTAGTCCACGCAATCCTGGCTCGTGCTTGGATAAGCAGGTCAGTCCCCAGCACCTTATCGCTATCGCCGCTCTTTATCACTAGTATCTCGGACTTGCATCCAAATCATGTGATTTTCGCATCGAGCTGGAAGCTGGGTAACACGAAAAGTCGCGACTGTCCCAAGGTACCTCGCGTGTTAAAGTTGAATGACTTCAGTGACGAACGGCCGGCCAGTTAACCGCCAAGCCTGGAAACCATTGCCGGGTTAATTTATGCCACGCATTCATTTATCGACGGCATCGTCAATTACCTTAACTCATTGACTAGGTATGCAGCGGAACGGGGATATCAGGGGTTTCTTTGCAAAGAAGCCCACTCCAGCAGGTTCAAACCCACCGTCGTCGTGGTCTCAACCATTAGGGGTGGACCTGCCTTCGTCCCCTATCACGCCACAGAAAGCTGCAGTTAGAGCACCATTGAGCCGGGATGACGAGATCAAAGGCTCAGATGAAGACGACTCTGATGACTCCCTAGGGTCTCTTACGGACTTTTTCGGCCGAAAAGGAGGGCCGTCGTCGGCCTTCCAGAGGAAACCCAATGCCGCAAGCACAACACCCAAGGCTAAGAGGACAGCTTCGGGCCCTGGCTTCCACTCACCTTTGACACTGCAAAACAAGCCGCAGAGGCACAAATTCGATCTGAAGGCTCTGGTCAATCATGCCCGGCAGGACAACGCTACAGATGAAAGCGCCCGAAGAGCAGGGGAGCTCCTTCGAGAAGCAGCTGCTGATGTCGTCGAGAAGTATGACGATTCGGGGAGCGACCAGGATCCGGAGATAATGCGAGACACTGCGAGGAAACTGTTCGATGATGGCGAAAAGGATTCCAAAGGCGACAAATTCGTCAGGGCCATGAACCGGACGCAGGGAGACGATACCCGCAGTTGGTACTACTTCTTCGACCCAGCTGGACCTCCGCGTGATGTCAGTAGATCGCCGTTCCCTAAGAAGGCGGCAAAAGGACAATGGGGGTTCCTTAGCCCAGCCGATGGAAGAGATCTCGCCTTCGTCCGTGGTATTCCTATAGCCATAGCGATCAAAGGCAAGGAGTTGCCCGACGAGTTATTCGAGTGGATCTTGTCCGAGATATGCGTAGAGAAGAATCTGCAGTTGCGGGGACAGTACATGAACCTGGTTTCTCGCTGCTTTGATGACACCCGTCGTTTGGTCGACGACAGACAGCTTTATAGCATGCTGGAGAAGATAGGAGGTCCGAAGCACTCTCTTAAACACGGCAAATTTGAGCTGTCACCAGGATTCGCACAAGCCCATCTCGGCAGAGACTGGTCACCCCTGGTATCGTTCTTGCAAATACTGGCTGAAATGGCACCGAATATGAGTCCGAGCAATGTGATAGCCGCAGTGCAAATGTTATTACGGATGAGTCTTGACCCCGTTGTCAGCTGTATAGTGCAAGTAAGGAGCGAGTATGACGCCGCGATGACTGCCTTGGCCTCAGCTCTCCCGAAGGTGGAGGAGCAATGGAATGCTTGCGTAAGTTTCTTCTCGATGACAGCCCCCGAAACGACGCTGACGTTACCAAAGTGCAATCAAATCTGCTCATATTTGCATGAGGGAGTAGAGACAGCGTCGCAGAGAAGTGTTGCGGTGAGACTCATGCCACTCTCCCGACCTCGCGTCTGCGATCTCCGCAGACGCCTCGCCGCCATGGCCCTCTTCGGCAACCCCGATCTGGGCCGCAAGCATCCAGATCAAACCCTCACGTTCCACGATATCTTCACACGCATAGACGAGGATGATTTCAATGTCACCCACTCGACCGACTTTGCCGAGTTGAACGCCCTCATCGCTCTCCTCGACATCGTCGTTGACGACGGAGAGCACCTCCGCGCAAAGGTGGGCCCAAGTTTCAGTTCCAACCCCGCGGACCCTGATGCGGAGGCCACCAAGTTCGACGCCGAGGTCGACCATTTGGCGTTCAAGCTCAAGGCCATTCACGACAAGCTCAACGACAACAGCCAAATCTCTAGGAAGGAGGCCAAGTTGGCTCTCGACAGCATCGGCAAGCGACTGACATACGAGGTGCGCTCGCGGCCGCCGCCCAAGACGAGCATCTTTGACGCTGAGCCTGAGGAGGATGCGTCGTTGCCTAAGCAAAGAGATTTCATGAAGAAGTGGGCGCAGAGAAAGACGGATGCGAAGGCGGGGAAGGAGAACACACCGGCGGGGGCAAATGACTAAAAGTGTGGTCGATGGATCTCATGACTATCACGGCGATATGATTATCAAGAGAAGCAAATGAGAACACGGGAGGGGAGTGGTGTACTTGGGTAATCGTGACCCCCGATTAATAGTTGTTGCTGGCTTGACCCACTAGATATGGTCAAAGCCTTGGATGGCCTTGACCATGTCCACGCCTATCATGCAAACACGTTATGAGCAAAGTTCGGCATAGTTGGTTTATCAATATCAATTTGCCTGAGACCCCGGCCGTATGATACACTAGAGTATATCCGCCATGTGTAGCTGGTAATCAAAGCATTTCAATCAACGATCACCTTGTCGCACAATGAAGGCAACCTCCGACCCCTGAGCTCCGTCTCTCATATTCCACAGAATCGTGACTTGATGCGACGCAATGCTGTCCCCTTAGTCAAAGAACTTGCGGTTGGGGTTATCGCCAAACAGTGTCTTGCGCATCACCGGCAGAGCACTGATCTGCAGAAGCCGCAACCGCTCGTCAAAGGTGTTGTTGATGTCGATCTTGCCTTGGCCACCGACGATGGAAACTCCGCCCGAGCTACCGGAAACAGCATGTCAGCATTTCATCCCTCATCTCAAATCACACTTGCAAGGGTGGGAACGGGGGGACTCACGACCCCTCTGGCAGCGCATTATCCTCGTCAATGGTAACCTTGGTCTCCTTGCCCGTCTTCTCCTTGTACTCCTTCTCAGCATCCTCAATAGCGCCCTTGACAATCTTGTAGTCCTTCTCGCGAGCGCGGACCACGACCTCCTTCTCGGTGAGGGCGTACATGCCCTCAAGCATGAGGCCCTTGAGAATCTCGCGGTACTTCTTGTCGTCCTTGGTGGCGTCGGCGAGCTGGTTCTGGGCGGAGGCGAAGATTTCGTCGAGCAGCTCTTGCCGGGAACCCAGCACCTTGAGCCGCGTCTTGTTGGCAACGGTCGACCGCGTGATCTGCTGCGTCATGGACGCCTGCTTGAACTTCTTGGCGTACGTTGCGTCGATGGCATCCGTTTCTTGGCGCACCAGCTTCGACTTTTCGATGCTGAACTCTTCGTTGGCTTTTATCTCGATCTCGCGTGCTTTCTCGAGGGCCTCTTGCTTGATGAAGGCCGTCATCTTGCGGAGCTCTTGTCCGACCTGAGAGGAGGTTTAGTGCTGCATTCTGGACGGTAGAGTGACAATTCGAAATGGCTAAAGCTACATCAAACTCTAGGGACGAGTGCCGGCATAGTCATCCACACTTACTTGGTCGTCGGACAAGGCGTGAGCTTGCGACATGTTGAAGGTGGGTTGATGATGAGCGGTTTGGGAGGATGTGAGGTCTTTGTTGTGAGGTAGGAAGTTGGTACGTTGTGTTCAGCGAGGAATTAAGAGTTGCCGCGAATAGAAGTATTGGAATCACAGCCCAATAAAAGCAAGCTCACTCAAATCTTGAAAGAGGAATGGGAGATACCGTCTGTAGGTTGGTTGAGGTTCGTGGATCCCACGGTACGATACGTTCCCCAAGCTACGCTACCAGGTTTAATGTCGAGCATGCAAGGCGAGGCAGCTGACTGGTCCACTTGCAGCAGTTGTCCGAGCTTGGGGAGCATTGTCCGTCATCTAGACTACAGCAACATTACCTGGGAGCAACCGTAGCCACAATGACTTGGGATACTTGAAGCAGCACAGCCACATAACTGAAGTTCTCAACTCAATCCAAAGCACGCCAACAAGCCAAGCCCCCTTCCAAAGGCTGGAGCTACGTGGGATTTGGTGGGATACAACACTTCCCACAAGTTTCCTGGGTTAATCAACCGCATGGAGCGTCTGGTGCGGCAGTTATGACTTTCAAGCACCAGACCCAAGCCATCAAGCGCCATGCGGACCGTCCAAAGAGGCGCCGAATTGAAGGCTCGGTTGGTCCCTGCAGGCTCAAGTGTTCAAACTAGGAGTGACTTGGACACTAGACTTTGATGTATGCGACTCTGCAGTGTTTCAATGCTCAGAAGACCAACTTACAAGATCATTTTTTTCGGATGAAATAAAGCTCGCGAGTCAGTTCAAGAACCAGTCAAGTTAGCCATCGACCATGTGATATTTCCTCTGTTATCGACCCTTACCGCTGCGGGCGAAATCGATTGAAGTCGGCGAGACTTCTGTGTTTGTAACGGTAGAGGGTGCGCATGCATGTTGGGGATTGGATCACCTTGCTTCTTTTGGGCAACACCCTGGTCAACCGCGGCGTCATCGAGCACACCCTGTTCTCATATCGGTGTACCTGACAACCACCTACCATACCACAGTAGTACGGCATCAGTCCACGTCGTGTAACTTCTAGCTCTCCCGCAAGACCCCGTCGCTTTCTCTTTTTCCCGCTACGAACCCCCCTCGCCACCGACAGTTCATAGACCAAAACAGATCCAGAGTGTGACAAGCGATAAAACTCAATCCGAACAGACGACATCGATGTGCAGCCGGGGTCGCTATTCATCTGCGAATTCCGCCAGATGAGCCTCGAGCTCGCATTGTCGCCATGGGGTCGCTGGGCGGACTCTCTCCTGGAGGGAGCATTGCGGTATGCATCTCCCCAGACTGACTACTGATATGTGATTGGGGACATCAGGTCTAATGTTGTATAATCCGCTTTGTTAGATCGGTGTTGTAGTCGGCTTGCTATCGACCAGCGTCCAGTCATTAGGTCTAACCCTTCAACGAAAATCCCATATCCTCGAAGACGAGAAGGGACCGCACGATGTTCGTCGACCACCACACCGGAGGCGCAGATGGCAGCTGGGAATGGGCATGTTTGTCATCGCCAACGTGCTGGGGAGTAGTATCCAAATTTCGACATTACCGCTGCCCGTTCTCTCGACGCTACAGGCCGCCGGGCTGGTCTTTAATTCGATATGCGCCACCCTAATACTGAGCGAACCTTTTACGAGATGGAGTTTATGGGGCACGATGCTGGTATCGGCCGGTGCGCTACTGATAGGGATATTTGGCGCCATTCCGTCGCCGGCGCATAGCCTACGGGAGTTGCTGGATCTCATGGGTCGATGGCCATTCATCCTTTGGATGGCCTTACAGGCTCTCCTGGTCGTGACCATCGCTGCAGTGACAGATCTGGTCAGCCACTTCGGTAGATGGTCGCAAAGTATCAAATTTCGCTTCCTCCGCGGCCTGGCATACGGGTGTATCAGTGGCATTCTGTCTGCGCATTCCCTCCTGTTTGCAAAATCGGCCGTGGAGCTGCTTCTCAGAACGATTGCCGACGGCGATAACCAGTTCGTTCATTGGCAGTCCTGGATGATAATCCTAGGACTCATCTCCCTGGCATTGAGCCAGCTGTACTATCTTCATCGGGGTCTAAAGTTGGTCTCAACGTCCGTCTTGTACCCTCTCGTCTTTTGTATTTACAACATCATCGCCATCCTTGACGGCCTGATCTATTTCAACCAGACTAACCTCATTACACCCCTGCAAGGCGGCCTTATCGCCCTCGGCACTGTCATCCTCCTCGCGGGCGTGCTCGCGCTTTCCTGGCGTTTAAGCGACGAACAGCACTCTCCAGCAGGAGTTGGCCAGTCAACCCTTGCACCTGGCCTCGGATTGGTGGAGGACACAGAAGGCGAGGAAGAATCACTCATTGACTCTGACAGCTTATCAGATGGCCAAGGGCCTATTCCAGCTACCTATAATACGTTCGGCCCGCACGATGGCGTCGATACGCCCTCGAAACGCTGGAGCGAACGACGGGAGATATGGGACGAGCTAGAAGATCAGGAAGCGCCAAGTCCTACCATACCTCCGACGATGCGCTCTCTCCCTTTATCAGTCGGCGCGGACGAGATGACGGCATTACTTGACAACTCGAGAAGACACGTTTCAAATACTTCGGTGGGTTCAGTATCCACCGCGGGCCCGTCAAATACAGAGGCAATGACGACGCCGAGGAGGATGTTCCGCCGCCGGCGGAAGTCAACGGGTTTCCCTGGTTTTACGGCCCGGAAGCATGGTCGTAGGAAGAGTGCTAGCGGCGTGCAGGATGCTCTCGGGGGTATATGGAAGATGCGGTGGTTCCGAACTCGGGAAAGAGGCGAGAGCGTGAGTGCAATTGAGGGGGGCGCCGCACCGCCTTGGCTCCGGGATGAGGAGCGTGGGGAGGAGGATGAGAGCAGAGATGCACCAGAGAGTCGAGATATTGACCGGTCTGCACGCAGGATGCCGAGGGTCGAAGACATGGTTTGATTCGAAATGGAGTTGTGCATGCGGCTTTACCAAGCGTTTGGCACCTGGTATAACTACTGCTGCTGCTGGTCTGGGTTGGAGAATTGAACGTTGGGAAGGCGGGCGTTTTCTCTGTCATATAGCGATACTGATATTGCATAGTAGATACACGCAACTGGGCTGGAGTGCCCGGGCGGTATTATTGAACTTATCATTTTTTGTTCCATAATGTTATCTTGGTTTACCAAGAGTAATGGTCTGCAGTGAGTGGACATCATGTAATTCGTGAGACTTAGCAAGCATCAAGCATACATGGAGACTAGCAGAAGCCTTTCTATTTCAAAGAACACTTGTTTGCCTTGCTCCGACTCCCTGAAGACTATCAAGACGGAAATTTTCTGCGCGTCCACTTGCGTGCTGAATGGGACACTGGAGACCAAGGTCCCAATCCCAGCTAGGCGACTGAGTCTATTTACGTGAGTGTAAAATACGCGCCAAATTCCAACTGGCGTATGAAACTATTTTACTGATAGGATCTCTCTCAGCTCTTAAGTTGAACCTTGGGGGGCTACTGTGTATAATAACCAGGGGTTCGACGTCATACATACATATATATATGTATACAGGCCAACGTGGCTCCTATAAACACAAATGCGGGGGGCCAGTGATACCACTCTTAGCGACGTAGTCTACGTATGAAGCAAGTCGACTTGAGTCTAGCTGCTAGCTACATGCATTAACTGTCTATGGATTTGGATTGAAAATACTGTGATGATCTTTGCCTTATGAAGCAGCTGGCTCAGGTATCGAGGTCGTTGCATCACAGATGCTCTTCACATGCTTGAATCCGTTGTATGGTCGTCAAACAAACACCCCGATCAGAGTGAGATTCCTGTCTATTGTGGGTATATACCATCAGAGTGTGCCTCTGAAAGATTCGCAAATCGGTGCCGTCACCGGGCCGTCACCGGGAGTCAGCTGTCGTGACAATTAACGTACACACGGCTGAACTTGTGCCTGAGTGTCTCTTTTCCCAGCTTGACACAGCACAGCACATCAGCGTCATCCTCATCCTCAACTACCTAGATCCAACATGCCATTTCCTCATTACAAAATGAACGATTTACATGATGCTGTTATTAGCTTATCTTTCCGCGGGGATTGCAGCGGCGGTCATTGATGTAACTTTACCGCCCTTCGAACACCTGCCACCACTTCTTCTTGTCGGCATTACTAGCCTTCTTGATCTGCAACCGCCTCAGCTTCTCCCGGTTGCGCGGGTCCAGCATGGCGCCGTGTCCCTCATCGTGGAACCAGTGGTAGCCGCTGACTTTTTTCAGGCTGCCGCGCTCGTCACCCTGCATCTTCATTACTTGGACTCTGCGCAGCTTCTTCAGGCCGTACGCGCAGACCCAGAGGGAGAGTATTACCGAGACGCCGGTGACGGCGCTGAAGCCCCAATTCGTCTCTTCGATGAAGTTCTCCAAGTTCATGCCATAGAGACCGGCGATGAAGGTCCCCATGGCGAGGCCGAGTGTACCTACGCTAAACTTCAAATCGAGCAGCATGAGGGAGTTGCGATTGGCGTCGAGAATTGCACGGGCGCTAACAACATTAACATGATAGATCCGAGGAGAGCATTGTCGGGACTGCTTACATCTCCTCGGTGTTCCTGATGCTTGACACCAAGTTGCCAGCCTCTTCTACGATTTCGTCGCAGAGCTTATGATAGGACTCCAACAGCATCTCGACTTCAGTGTGGTCATCCACTTCTCGATAGATATCGTGCGTCTTCTCAGTGAGATACATCATAGCCAAATCATCGTCGGCCTCCAGCACGTCGTCGAGGGCATTTCGCACAAGTCTCGCCTTCTGCTCAAAGGTGCTCAGCTTCTTAGAAAGGATGAGGAGAAACCGCAGGCCGTGACGGTCGATGTCATCTTCGAGCTCGCTAAGCAGGCGAATGACAGGGTCGCGGACGGCTTCGAAGTCGGATTCGAGTTCTTGGGTGACTGATTGAAGGACAGCTTCGAGAGCGCGGAACTCGTAGGGCAAGCCACCATTGCCCGGAGATGTCCTTTGTTGGAGCTTGTGTTGTAGATCATACATAAAGGCAGACTGTGGGTAGGAGCTTTTGGAGCCGTAGACATCGAAGAGCAAGACCCGGTTGTACTTAATAAGGACCCTCAGGTGGAGCAGGTTGAGTAGGATAGACTGCGGTCGGACGAGGATATGGGGTAAATTGGATGAGTCAATTTTGCGCAAGTCGCGAGGCAACAGACCAAACTATACCAGGTCAGCGGTTGTCCCATGCCCAAGATACCACACACTTGAACCTACCCTGGCGATCAGTTCGCTTTTCTTGAACTCGCCATCCACTACTATGGCAGCACCGTTCTCGTCGACCTCAGTGCAGCGCAGCCGCGGCTCCAGAGCTGCCTGTCGGCTGAGTTGTCGATGGGTGTTGAACATGGAATTATTCTCACCGTCTGCATTGGGCTCTGGGAGGTCATCGGGCTTCAACTCAGTCGCCTTTGGCCATGTGCCTTGATCACCCAATGTTTGCTTACATGACGGCGGCGCATTTGAGGCTATCGAGCTGTGTCGGGGCGCAACTGTCGTTGTAAAGAATGCTGGTCGCTTACTCCTTGCGTTCTTCAGGGCACAGGGTGTACGATTTGGCGAAAGGAGCCCCAGATCAAGCAGTCCAGCTTGGAGGTGGTAGTCATGTCGAGTTTTTGAAACTGTGCAATCTTTTGACAGAGCTCGAGATGCCTTCCTGGACAGGTTGAGGATCTTGCGCGTGGTACCACCGTGGCTCGGATTGAAGAAGCTGAAGCTGAAGTTCTCAGACTGGCATCGCAGAAATCGTAGAAGCCTCAGCGAGGGCACCGGAAAGTGAGCCGACGCCATTGATGGGCGTCTCAGCATGACAGGGTGGCTTCTATACGCTTTGCTTTGTCGTAATATTCATGGTGCTGAAGACCGCTGTGCTATGTCGTCACATCTCTGAAGTTGTCCAAAAAATTCCCCAGTTCCCGGTCACGGTCCGCCGACATCTATTCGCGCTAGAACTGCACTGCAGGAACTTGATGTGGGTCTACTGGTAAGAATTGAGCTGACATCGTCCGAAGTTTACCCATCGTATACAACTTTTCGTGCCTCTCAAACTTGCACAGGAGACATTTTATCACGGCAGTTGCCACATTTGAAGACTCTTTTCGTGACTTAGCTATAAGACAACTGAGCACAATTGGACTACAACCCAATACATACCTGTAAAATATGTGCACAGGAAGCTAACTGCAAGCATGCTGCAAGGGTTGAAGCTATCATCCCAACTTTGCGGCGAGGTAAGCATATGATCAGTGAGAGTTCTCTTGAGTATTTTCTCGCATCATTCCACCCAAAAAATAGAAGTCTGGCTAGCATGCCCTACAACTGCTTCGATGGATTGATTATTCATCTGATTTTTCAGAAATTCGCAACTTCCTTGACTTACGGCTACTTTTATGTTCTGAGCCGCTCTCGGAATCACCCACAAAACGTTCCCAAGCACAGAAAATCCCCATTACATCATTACATGTCCCTGACATACACCAACATCATCATTGTTGTTGCTTCTTGCAGTCACGATGGAGTTGACCCCCATCAGAATTACCGGCAAGCGCCGTCGCAAGGGTGAGCCCGCCATGCCCATTGTCCACCCAAAGGACGGTATCAAGGCTTCAAAAAGGAGGAAGACGAAAGAAAAAGCCGTCTTCAAGCCCAAGGCTTCCTATCTGGAGAAGAGTATCCCGCTAGAAATCATGGAGCGCATTTTCTGGATGAGTGAAAACGTCAACTTGCCGCGAGCCAGTCTGCGACTGGGTTGGCTTCTGTCCGCCATATCCACCCGCCAGCAGACGTTTCTCGAGGCCTTTGGACCGACTTGGGATGTCTGGTTTGGTTGCCTGCGGAGAGTAACGCCTGACTCGACAGTGCAGAGCTATTATGGATGGGACAGCGATTCTATCAGATTTGGTGGCAATCCAGAATTTCAGGTATGTACCATGTTTAAAAAGGAGCCTTTGGACTGAATTACTGACGTCTCTTGCAGTCTGCGCTGCTGCAGTACTCTTGGGTCAACATATCTTTCATCATGGAATGCTGCGATCTCTGGGCACATCGATATGGAATGGACCGGCCCCTCCAGCAAATCAGCGTGTGGTCTGATCCAGCAGAGGACAGCAGTGGCCTCAATCTTCTGCACCCTGGTGGGCACGAAGGACTCGATACAGCCCAGCAACGCTTCCGTCAAGATTACGATGAATTCTGCATCCGTTCCTCGCTTCCCCTACTCATCGAAGATGTCAGCTTCATTGAAGTTCATCGCGGCACTCAAATCCCAGACAAGCTCTTGACAGGTCCCTGGGACGAGGATGCACTGCAGAAATTCTTCTGGATGTTAAGAGCTGGAGCGCGTCTTTCCCCGGAGCAAACATGGGAAACGACGCTCGAGGGGTTCCAGAATGCGATGGCCACCGAAACGGATCCTCCTAGTGGATTCTTCAATATGCGCGTGATCCGACTATTATACCTGCTAGGCAGCTTTCTTGCTTGGCCTGACTACATCCTCGCTGCCGAAACTGAGAAGTTGTTCGAGAGAATGCGCACTATTCATGATGAGCGGCGCCCCGAGCTTACCAAAATCTATCGGGTTGTTGAGAGAATGCTGCGCTATCATACGCGCTCCTGGAGAATTAGTGATGTACACTCATCATCACTAGCTTAGCCATGGCACTTTTCTGACCGAGTAGTGTTACCACGTAGTTAGCGAAAATGCTAGGTGGTTGAGGCAGGTTTATGCCCTGCTTGCTGGCAGCTGCCAGGAAGCTTTGGTGCAGTCAGGGGCGCGGAATCCACGGCATGAGCAATTCTTCTACTTGATCACTATAGCTTAAGACGACGAGCATACCGGGACCTTCACGAATGCATCTTGATAAAAACAACTTCCCACGATTATGTTGTCGTATATTCTTTGTGTACTGATGTATGCCACCATCAAGCCGGCTTGCACTTGTAAAGCTTAACCGCTACTCTAGGGAAGACAGATGAGCAATAATTTATCCGATTCCTCGGACATGTGTATGGGTGACCTCGGAGCAGTATATCTCACATTCGCAGCACAGCTACCTCACACGTTTTGTCAACTACCTCCTCCCGGTATATGTGTAATGCAACCTTATCGCAAACCTACCTTTCCATTCCAGATCCCACTTACTCCGGTCTTCATATTGCATTTCCCTTGCCCAAAACTACGTACTACACATTCCATATCAAACCCTTCCTCATCATGCGTCACTCAGCATATCTCACAACTCCACATTATTTCACAAGCGAACACCAAAGCATATGGTTATTCATTCGACTCGAATGATAACCTTCCAACCCAGCGCCCCAGCCTCCCTGATAGCACAAGCCAGGCACCCTCTCCTCCTCCGACTTACCAGCGCATTCCAGCCTCGCTCCGCGCACAACGCTCTTACCAGCATCTCCAAGTCAGACCCGAACTGCCTCTTCCGCGTCCCCAGCCGCATCTTCGACTCGGGGCTGGGCGGGTCGATCCTCGAGACTCTGCTCCCGGTCGAGACTATGCTGCCAATAGACGCTGCGGTGCTCGGCCTCCTCTCGGGTCCGCCTGGAGGTGTAGGCATTTGAACTATGGGGACCGGCGGGGGCTCGAGGCCGAACGAAGATGATATGGAACTCATGCGCGATAGAGATGGCAGGTCGGGGGTACGTGGGGGGGCAAAGCCGGTGATGCAGTCGATGACGAGGGCACGAGATTGTCGTGGTATCGTGGACGATGAGCTGTTATTTGATCGAGAACCTGAAGGAACCTGTTCAAGGAGATCGTCCAAGGTAGCAGTAGGCTTGCTTAGAAGCTCAGAAATATGAACGGCGGTATATGTGTAATATTTGTGAAGCGGGTGACCTGTTTCAAGATGAGTTGGGAACTTGATTCAAAAATTCGGCTTGGGTGCTTGCCTGTGATATGAGCTGAGCTAGAGGTCTTTCCACTCCAATCTTGCCCGCCGAGGTCGATGTGCTGAATTGTAGGACTGCTCGCTGACTTGAGAAATTTGACGTGGCTTGAAGGAACGCAGGGGTGGGCCGTGACAAAGTATACATCTGTAGATAGAGCGAAGCTCAACTCTTGCTCTTGTTCAATCCCATCATGAGTCATGGTAAAGGCCATGGAGGCTGGATACGTTGGAATCTCGGAAAGTAAGCTGTCCTCGGTAACTGGGGACTCTTTCTCATCAGTCGGTGTCGAGTGAATACTGCCCAAGGGGGTAGAGAGGTCCAGATGCTGGAACTCAATTCTGATGTTGGAAGGGGGCGGGTTTGAGTACGAGTTCTCGTGTGGCAGAACAAAGTCGGCGGGCAAGACATTAGAAGGATCTGCGTCACCCAGCACGTCCGACTCGCGCTCGATTGCGACCTTGCCCCATAGTCGAGCCTTCTTTCCAGTATGGGCAACATCGTCTTCGCGACGTTAGCCTGATGTTAATTGATTGGGGGGTGGGGGGGGGGGCGCATGTTAGGCTCACCGGGGATATCCTTGACGTCGACTTCCAACCACCCTTCGCCCAGCTCTCTCGGAGTAATGTCACTGGATATCCAGCCCATGCTTTCTGCCGAACCCCTCCCAGCAGCTAGCACGCGCCCAACGATGCAGGCGGTGCTCCAGAAGCTTTTCCTACTATACACAAATCCTCCACAGAGATTGGCCATAGGTCCTAATTTTGCCATAGCCTGCTGGTCGTTTTCGAGTAGAGTGGACATAAGGAAGTGTGATAAAGCTTCTCCTGGTAGTACCAATCCGGAAACGTAAGATTTGGAGAGCCAGCCGGACGGGTGTAATGCCGCTTCGACCTTCCGCCGCCTAGAAGGCATTCTCCGCAGATCTGCAGATTTCCTATCTCCTCCAAAATATGATGACCTACTAGTATCGCTCGTTGGTAGGGGCGAGTTGATCGGAGTAGCCTGTGCCATAGCAGGGGTGTTGATGCTTAGCCTCGTTATGTACGATTCGATCTCTGGCCAGCGCAGTTTTCGTGCAAACTGCGTCAGCCCAAAAACCTGTCTTTGGTTATATTTGCCCTGAATGGCATACAGGTACTCAGAATGGCCCTGATGACGATGTTGAGAATCGGTAAACAGCGATCCGGGTATGCTCTCATGTTTCAGAGACATTTTGCTGGTCAGCGTGGTGAGCCATCCTTTCGGAGTAGACGCTCCCGACGGCGGAGCTTCGGTCTTTGATATGTATATATTCTCGAGCCATGAACGGGCAAGCAGAAGCGACCACCTGACTGACGTGTTTGCCTCCTTTTCAAATCTGTGAACTTCGGATGCTCGGAGATTCTGTCCGCCAATCTCATCTCCTTCCGTGATCATGTCTAGTCGAATCAGAAGCTCGCATGCAAGGAGAATCTGGAGAAGCAGCCAATAACGCTCTTCGGTTCGATCTTGAGCATCCATTCCCTCCTTGATGGACGAACCATCCTCCAATTCGTCATCCAGGGGGAACCCCCACAGCATCTGGCCAAGTCGAATCCTCCACTCCACGTGCGAGAAATCATACCAGGCATTGGATGCGGCTAGCACCTTAACCAACGCATAAATCTGCACAGACAGGCTGTACGGGTCATTGCGATCAATAGCCTTGGTTGGGGGGTGAAGAACTTTGAGGAACAGCTCGTTGTACATGTCATGAACCCCTGAACGCTGAATTAAACGGTCAGCCTCATACCTCTCCTCGCACTTCAATAACTGTTCCATAATGGCAGCCTCGTCTAGATGTCTCAAGCCATCTTTGGTCGTGATGAGTTTTTGCCGGAACTCGATGATTACATGTGACTTGGTGCCCAGACTATCGAAGCCGTACTGTTCGTCCTGTAGGGCGTCTGCAACGGATAACTCCAAAGCTGCCTGGTACCCTATAGTCCCCTTCTCTAGTCCTTGCATGCTTAGCATGTTGGGCCGTTCCCGACATTTCGTATTGAAGTGGGCGCGTCTCTTAGCAGACCACGGACCGGGTGACAAGGGGTCGCGCATAATTATGCGAGGGCAAGCCGTTACACAACCCCATGCATCATCTTCAATCTGAACATGATCCGTCAAGTCCCGGATGGTCAATTCCTCATCCCAGGGAAAAGCGACGGAAGGAAGCGGGGCTCCGGTGCCGTATCCTTGAGACCTGGCGAAGTATTGCGGGGCTCCCGAAAACAGCTTCTCGACATCTGTCTCGCTCAGGTTGGCCATGATGCGGTCCAGCTTGAGGACTGGCTTTGTCGCAGGCCCATCCGCCTTTTCAAGCGTCCCCGGGTGAGGTGGAGAGGGCAGCGGCTTGTTAGGGTCGATGCCCGGAGCACGGTGGGCTACCGGTGTCAGTGTCTCGGAAGCTAGCGGGGGGCTTGAGAGTTGCTAATTTGGGTAATGTTAGTGCTTAGTGCCAATCGACGACCACGACAAAATAACGTAAACGTAAAAGACGATTATACACATGAACAAGGTGCCATTCTCGAGCCCGGAAGAAAAGTCTTCATGTTTCGCAAAGACAGTGGAGTCCAATGCAGGAACAGAACGGCCAAACAAATGGAATCGTTCGAGCGGACGAGGTCACGAGACCACAATCCCCTCACTTGAGACGCGACGAGAGTTCTAAAGTTGGGCCGCTCGGTCAGGTGGAAGTGGTGAGGTTCCAGGTGCTGACAGATGCTGCGGGCTTCGTACCGTGTTGCTGGGCGGCGCCTTCTCCGCACCACTTGAAACTCCTCCATCAATTGCTGGGCTCGAGGCTCGTTTGATCAGACCTCGTAGAAAATCTCGGCTGTGCTGTCGATTCTGGAGTCCATTTCCCGTCGTTTGGCCGCTTCTCGATTTTGTTACCCTGTCTCGCGCATCAGTGAAGAAGTCTCGGGCAGAGCGTTTGAGCGCCGATAAGGACGGCATCTTTCCCTCAATTCCAAGTCTAAATATCAGTCCTCAGCACCCAACACAGGCGGGAAGGCCACCGTGAACAACCTGCATTGATAACAATGCAATGCAATGGGACGTGGATGCAGCAGGAAAGAGGTATAGGGCAGACGACGATATCTGAATAACGGTAGAATGGAACAAGCATCTAGCCCACAACTGCCGACAGTAGGAGGAATGATATGAATATGTCCCTGTCAACCCGTCAGCAAATCCAGAGATCCATGCATTGATGCATTGAGGATACAAAGAAATATAAATTGATCAAGGTCTGAGACAAACTTATCAGACCTGCTCAATATACCAAGATGATGGGTGGGAGCATGGGACGAAGAACATCGTGCACCCCAAATACCCAGATACCGGAATGGCCAAGGGTCCGGCCACATGTGCTAAAAGCAGGTTTATAATGCATCCATCTATGTCAGCCCTCCTGAAAACCGACTGGAGAGATATCAAATACCGAAAGTAGTTCAGCATAAGAGGCAACGTGAGCTGCCTAGCTCGCATCAAGACTCAGAGGCTGCATAGCGAACAAGAAAAGCTGGGAACGCAAGTCATGTAGATCCTTGATGCGCATCGTCATAGGTGGAAGCGCAGATAAGCGTTCTGCAACCTGCAGCTCACAAGTCCGGGGTCTGCAGTCTCTGCAGCCGCAATGAGCAGCGCTGTTCGGTTGGAAACTCCCACGATAGACCTCGATGCGTTTCATATTGCAATCCGCCTCCACGGGTTATTGGGCTGGGATGCTTGCGCGTCATCTGATAAGAACAACAGTTTCCGAAGACCATGGGGTAGACGCAGTCAAAATCCTGGACGCTGCGGAACGAGAGACGAAGTTCCTCATAATTCCATGGCAGCACAACTGCATTATTTCAATGTCATGGGTGGGTGGGTTCCCATCATGGTGGCTTATACCACTTGCAAGTATATACCTCATGTAAGATCTTTATTTACATGTCCACGTCGCTGTTGTCAATGCTATTGATGCATTGTGTTTTCTGAGCTATTATGACCATGAATTCTTACCATAGTATTTACCACCGGCGAAAGAACTGCGGCTACAACCCACATCGATGACTTGTAGAGCTCACGTGCCGCAGACAATGCCAAGAGAATGACGCAACTGTATCACGATGACATCCCAGCAACGACCTGCTACTACCGACCAGCGTCAAACTTATACACAACATCTGAAAATTCCAAGGCATGCTTGGTTTCCCGCGCGGGAAGCACGCGGTATTTGGCTGTCAAGAACACGTAATTTATGTGTGCATTGGTGGTGATTGGATAATAGCCTTTGAGTTCCCAAGTTCCAACTTCCACTCCGACGAGTTTTTCCAGCGGCTGGGCGAACGACTGGATCTCCAATTCCCTTGGCACAACTTTGATGAGATTGCATCCCCCTCAAATCCTGAAAGCCTATACAGACAATGTCCCCGAGTGCTTCGTCTAAAATAGTCGTTGAAGTTGACTGGACAGGTCTCATTCTATTGCGTAAGCTGGAGGTGGTACAGCGCGAGCAGTTTGCTATTTCCGTGTATCAAAGAGTGATTTGATATATATCTCACCAATAATATCCCCTCGCTGCTTGGTGACCAGGCGTAACATTTCACAAAGCTCCTCTGATATCACATCGGAACTTTCAAACAACTGGGCTGTGTTGACAGGAGAATTGCATTTAGCCGGATTGAATTCAAGGGCATCTGTGAACCGGAAGGATCACTCCAATTCCAATTATCCTGCTCGGAGCAGCTATGCCAGATGTCATACCTGAGAGGTTTCAGACTGACAGGCTGACACATCGGCCAAGGACCAGCGAGGCGGCGTATTGGAGCATTCCAGGACAGAGTCGCCATCGCGACCGCAACCTCTCTGTCCTCCATTTCCGGGGGAAACGGGTTTGTTATGATCCGGAGTGGCGCGAGATAGTCTGGCGGAACGGAATTCCAGAAACCAAGTGTGTCCCTACGATCATTCTCGGCCAAAAATGTATCTAGCAACCTCGGCGTATCATCTTGTCCAGCACAGCTCCCAACGCCAGAAACAACCGTACCTGATCTTCTACAAATGTGGAAGGGTTTATTCAGCAAAATAACCAGTGAACTCGTGCAACCGGCGCTGAGAAGCAACGGAGAAAAACTCGTCGCCAAAGTCTTTGTGTTCCATACGTGACTCGGAATTATCAGACAATGGCAAGAAGTTCAACTCAAGCAGGAGGCGTATCGTGGACCACGACGAGTATGTATTTGACCTCGGGCACAATGACGAGTTCCTGTTTCTTCGTCCGTAGTCGCAATAGCTTCAGTTCATCCTGAACACAAGCACATGTTAGCTTTGAATTGAATTTCTTCCATTCCCCCAGATGCGCTTACATCTGTGTCCAGCTCCTGCACCAAAGTGCCCGCCGTGCTCAAAAAGCTCCAGACCATGCTTCCCAGCTCCTGCGCTGCTTGCGTTTCGTTGTTCGTATTTGCATTCACATCGGTGGAGAATGAACCCCCGGTCGGGGTCGGGAGAGAGGTGGTACTGCTCGAGCGAGCTGGTCTAATGGTGGAGATCTGGCCGTTGGTCTTCACCACGGCGCCGGTTGTGCGGTCGAGCATGATCCAGCCCTTGACGCCAGGTTTCCGGGAGAGCCTATGCAGGGCGTCGTCCATGGAGTCGGCGGTGACCGAGGGCTATTTGATTAGCTGCTGGTGTTGATCGTTAATAGGCGGAATGGAACGTACTAGAGTCTTGTCTGCCATCGCCATGTTGGTTGGTACATACACACGAGGTTGTCATAGGTCTTGTTGATTCCAGATTGCCTGGCAACTCAATCGTGGGCTACCACTCCAGCGGTCCAATTCCCTCCTGCCCGCTGCCGGGGGAGCTCCAGCCACACTCCACAGTGACGCTGCATCGTAGCATGTTTCTGCCATCGCCCACCGCCAAAAAGTTGAAATGATTGGAACGACATCCTACCCTAACAGATGAATTGAAAATGACTTCGAATGCGGAAGCTCCGACCCTTTTCATAGAGCCATTTTCGCCCCAATGATCGAGTCAAAATGGGCTCCAGTACTAGGAAGAAGAAGGAAAAGAAGAAGGACTTCCAGAAGCCCAAGCTGAAGGTCGGGAAGACGAAGGCGAAGGCCGCGAACTTCACTGACACAAGCTTTAATTCCAAAGGTAGCCTGCCGTACCTAAGACCTTTTGCTATTCAAATGCTTATATACTGATGCCTCTTATAGCCATTGTCTTGCACCAGCAGCTAGCTGAAGAAGCGCCTGACTCGGATGCACGATTCAGACACAATCTCTCCCTGACGGCCTCCAGGTCAGATAGCCAAAGGCGTGATGCGCTGGCATCCTTGACAAGCCAGCTGACGTCAAATCTGGATATTCCCATCGGAACTTCTACCATCCTCCACAAGTTGCTCCCCCTGATGACCGACATCTCGGGCCCTGTGCGAAGCCAGCTCCTGAAACTGTTGAAAGCCCTGCCTGCGGAAGAGGTGAAGCCGGACGTCGAGAAGCTCATTCTGTACATTCGCGGCGCAATGTCACACATCTCCCAGGATATCAAGAACGACGGTCTGAACTACATGGAGTGGCTTCTCGACATTGCTGGGGACGAAGTCGTGGTCGGTGCTGGCTGCTGGATCAAGCCCTTAAAGGTCTTCATGTCGATTCTGGGATGGGCTTCTGGACCGACTACCTCGGCGACAGGTAAAGGGAAGGGAGGATGGACCTCTGCCCCGAGGACTACATTCGGCGCCCAGAAACACGGCCAGTCGTATCCCCGACAGATACTCGTGTTGGCGAAGTTCCTTCAGCACGGCTTCAAGCCTGAAACATCCACATTCTGGACCTCCAACGACTGGTTTAACCAGTTCAGTCGAGTTCCGCGAACTCCCAATGCTTTTGGATACATTGGCCTCTTCCATGCTCCTAGAGACGAAGATGGCGAGATATATCGTGATCGGGAGGATAGGCAGAAGGTGTTCCACAAAAGATTTTTGGAGGCGGTACAGAATGGGGTCAATATGGCCAAGCAGGAAGGAGGTCTGGCTGGAAGAGCCGCTGCGGTGCTTGACAAGGTCTTGAAGGAAGGCATGGCTGATTACGAAGCCCCCTCACGAGATTATGATGCTGATGATGGGCTATGGGATGGGTATATTATGTAGGCTTCCTATCCTGGATGAAACTGCCAAAACGTACGTCACACTTTATCTTTCAACGTTCATTCGTCCCGCCCGCCTCTTTATGATCTCTGTTTATGGTATATCTTGCAACAAGAAAGATAGGCCCCTGTTCACCCTGCTGGATTTGAACAATTGCTCAAATCTTCCGGCCATATGAAGTATGAAACATGTGTCTGGACGACTTTCTGGCACCAAACAGAGACAACGACTGCTTGGACTGTAGAAGATAACCGGTGGTACTGCTTGATTTGGCGGTAGAAATTTGAGTTAGCAACTCGAGGCCAACGGACGCATTTCGCTGGACTCGCTGGGCTGATCTAAATGCCCAGCGCTTGATCTGTGGACAGCCACCTTCTCAGTACTAGCATCTCCCACGAAATGTTCTCGATATACAAGTAAGATGGAAATCGCGATTCCATTTCGGCATACTCTTCTCTGAGAATATAAATCTTGCAATAGGGGCTGATTTGGTGCAAAGGGTACAGTGATCATAGGCAGTTAGATGGGATGCTAGGCTTGTCAAATTCCTTCTTCTCTTCGTCTTTTTCTACTCGGAGATCTATTCCATCAAATATGAGATGACTTCAAATAGTATTGGGTAAGAGTTGAGGTTTTTGTAACCGCCACAGATATGTTCAAGGCTGGCCTCGACGGTCAGGGCATAGAGCGTCCTGCTTTATGTTGGCAAAGCGCATACATCGTAATTCTAAGCACTTTACTGACTGTTTGATATATTATATGTAGGAGATTATGATCTTAGCAGCGCCCCCAAAATTTGATGCGTGATCTGCAAGGAACCAAATGACATTGAGCCCTTGCACGCATCTCAAAACCACATAAAGCAGGAGACACATCTGGTGAAAGGAAGTCCGCATTGAAGCTCCTGGATGCTTTGAAGCAATCTGCCTTAGCAGCTACCTTCATCTGATTGTGCTGCAGCATTTCGGGTGGTGCACAAGGTCGTGCCTTCTAAAACTGGTTGACCCAAAAAGCAACTTCATCATTGCCTGGCCTCTTCCCCAACCTGAACATCGCCGACTTAGCAACGTGTTTAATGCCTCCGTTCGCACAGAGGCATCCGAAATGTTCTGATCAGATGTCGGGCCTGTAATTGTTTTCCTGGCGCTTCAAAAGAGGCTATCACGATCCAATCCATCTTCCTTTCTTCCATCTTTCCTTCAACAATTTCCTCTCCTCTCTCTTGACCATCAAGTTGAGTTTCTCGAGAAGACTTGAGCCTGACAGCATTTCTATCATCTATATCTTGAGGTAAGTGTCCATGGTTTTTCTGCATAGCATTCTGCATAGCAGTTGTTCCCGTCTGCCATTGTTGAAGCGCCTGCATGAGCACAGCCTTGCCTTTGGCTGTTTGCTAGAGTCTTCTGAACACCACCATCTGGCAGACTGCTTGTTATTCCTATGGCAACAAAGCAGAATCTTCAGCATCAGCTTCAGACAATCACGCGGCAGTCACCTCGATATATAGGGGAGCTTGGTATGCGAGCTGGTTTTTCTGACTTGACAAGTCAGAAGCTGCCCTCAAACCGACACAAACCATCTCTCCCCATCTTCACTTCTCATATCAACCCCAAGCGCATTCTACCTTCTCATTTGTCTAGGATCCCTTGGACCCTTCTCTGATTAGAAGCAGAGTGAGAATCCATCTCTTGAAGAAGCCGTCAGACTTTTAGTCTTCTTACAGCTGCATTGCATCTCCTCCCGTTCCTCCACGTCATACACCTCTATTTATTATATCGGTTGCAAAGACTGCCGCATCTTCAACTTTCGCACCATCTTACTGACCTGATCTCCAGTGCTTCGCTGCTTTCCTTGCCGCTGCGACATCGCATTTCAGAGAATCAAGCACCGCCAGACCAAGTCAGTCGCGCTTTCCTCGTTTTCTTTCTTCTTCTGAACCAACCAACCCATAGCCTCGCCGACCTCGACTTTGAGTTCTTTGGTATGGCCATAGTTCTTTTCGAACACTGCGCGGCAATTTTCCTATCACATCTTTGCAATTGCCACTTGACTACATTCGCGCCTTCTCCTCCAAGTCCAGTTCAACTCAATACGATTTTGTTAACGCTTACTGACTTTCATCCTAACTCAGCTCTACTCCACCAACCCGGCATTCTACTAATTACCTCTACAATGTCTGGCTGGAATGAAAACGAGGTCGCCGCTGGCGATGCATGGGGCACGGCTGACATGGCTGAAGCTCTTCCTGATGAGTCTGGCGAGACTCAAGAGGTCGTTGCTCGTCCTCCCCCCTTCGAGCGTAAGGAGGCGCCCGTCACACAGTGGGCTGAGCCTGCCAAGTATGATTACGAGGCCCTCAACGCGGGCACCACTGGCGAGTGGGATGGCAATGCTCGAGTCTACGAGTTCGACGAAGATGAGGGTGATGTTGGCCCGGAGCATGAGGAGCTCGAGGTCATGCTGTTTGGAAAGCGCGAGGATCGTGATCCCTCTGGCATCGATTTCAGCAAGTAGGTGCTCAAGCATGGCAGCGTTGGTGGCCATAACTGACTTTGTGTAGAATTGCCCAGATCGACGTTCTTCAGGAGGGTCTCACTCGCATTGAGCCCATCAGAACCTTCGACACTGCTGGCCTCCACCCCGTCATGTTGAAGAATGTTGAGCTCTGTGGATACAAGACTCCTACGCCTATTCAAAAGTACTGTATTCCCGCTATCAAGATGGGACACGACATCATTGCCATCGCCCAGACGGGTAAGTGAATCATGTCTGACTTATGATTTCGTGGCTGACTTGGAACACGCAGGCTCCGGCAAGACCGCTGCTTACCTGATTCCCATTCTGAACTACCTCATGGGAAAGGCCAAGAAGCTGGCGGCCCACCGGCCCAATCCCGCCGATGTCAAGGTCAATGCTTACACTCCCGTCCGCGCGGAGCCTCTGGTCGTCATTGTCTGCCCGGCTCGAGAACTTGCGATTCAGATCTTCAATGAGGCTCGCAAGTTCTGCTACCGAACCATGCTTCGACCCTGTGTCGTCTATGGTGGTGGTCCGATGCGAGACCAAATCAACAACCTGCAGCGAGGTTGCGATGTCTTGATCGCCTCCCCTGGTCGGCTCATCGACATGATGGAGCGGCCGGATATTTTGACGCTCCGCCGAGTGAAGTACATGGTTATCGACGAGGCCGATGAGATGCTTCATGCTGATTGGGAGGAGGAATTCAACAAGATCCTCTCTGGTGGTGGTAAGTCCATTTCCTTCCAACCTACGCTTTTGCGAATGGACTTTTGACTTTGATTGTAGAGCAGGAAGAGGGCAACATCAAGTACATGCTCTTCTCGGCGACGTTCCCCGTCGCCGTTCGCAAGCTTGCCAAAACCCACCTAGCCGAGTCTCACGTCCGCATTCGCGTGGGTCGTATCGGCAGCACGCATCAGAACATCAAGCAGGACATTGTCTGGGTAGACCCCCACATGAAGAAGCGTGCCCTGCTTGACCTTCTCTGGTCTGTCGAACAGCCTGGTCGCACCATCATCTTCACCAACTACAAGCGCATGTGCGATGAGTTGGATGACTACTTGTTCCACAATGACATGCCCTGTACCTCGATGCATGCCGACAGAACCCAGCGTGAGCGTGAGGATTCGATGCGCGCTTTCCGGTCTGGAAAGACTCCTCTTTTGATCACGACTGGTGTCTCGGCCCGTGGCATTGACGTCCGCAACGTCAAGCACGTCATCAACTACAATCTTCCCAGCATTGACCACGGCGGAATCGAGGAGTACACCCATCGCATTGGTAAGTGTCCTATCCTAGTGTCCTATCCTAGTTTGCTATTTTTGTGCTGTTCTAATTGAAGCAGGCCGTACTGGTCGCATCGGTCACAAGGGCCTCGCGACTTCGTTTTATAGCGAGAGCGACGAACCCCTCGGCCCTCTGCTGACGTTGACCCTCCTTGAGACCAAGCAAGAGATTCCCGACTTTCTTGAGCAGTACCGCCCCGAAGGCGAGGCTGCTGAGAAGCTCAAGTTCGAGCCTGACTCGGATGAGTACGAGGAGGAAGTTGTCAATGGTGGCGATACTGGTGGTGGCGCCGATGACTGGGGCAACACTGACTCCAAGCCTGCTGAGACTGGTGGTGATGGCTGGGGTGGTGGCAACAATGCCTCGTGGTAACCATTTTCATGGAGTTGTGGCCATACACAGGTCGACGCGTTTTCCATGACATGCTGTTCCTTTCCATGCCCAATTTTCCACATATCTGTTGTCTGCTTTTCCCGACTAATCTTCTTTCCTTGGCCATTGGTCAGTCTTCATAAGCACAGGTCGTGCTTATCTGGGGGAATAATGATTTTTGGGGATCTCATTGATCAAGATTTCGACCTGGCCAACCACACCGAAAGCTTGAAGACGAAGATTCGGTGGTGGGATTGATTATGAGAGAGAATTCTTTCTTCTACACGGACTTGGCAATGATATCAACGATCGGTCGCATGATAGGAACACGTTTTCTACATAGTCATGAAAGATGCCGAAAATAGGCCGCATTGCTTAACCAAGCCTGACTTGAGTATGACACACATACAGCACTCCCAATTAAATGATAATTGCACAGTGACTTGTGACTCCCAAACAGAGTTGATAATCTCTTTACTTTCTAAAGTTCAGCTGGAGACCATCAGAAAAGAAGGTTTATGTATGGTAAAGAACGTCAGGAGACAATCATATTTGCTATCTTTTATATCCCATCCTTGCAGCTGCAAAAGACGAGGCGAAAGGCGTTGTAACACATTCCGGAGCTATGCATCAACGAGAGAGTATTACACGCTAATACCGATTTATCTCGCCGGTGCAAGTTGTCAGGCCAGTTGACTTTTCTCGTCAAGAGCTCGCCAGCGTAAGTAAGTAAGACGGGCAGATTGTTGCGGCGTGAACAAGATGGGATTTACTAGACAATGATACGAGCTGACTAACGATGGAAACCATGACTAACTCGAGGAACGTGATCTCGTCTAGGAAATTTGTGGGTTCGTGTATTTTACTTCTCGCCGCACGCTCGCGAGCTACTGCAGAGAGGTCGAAGCAGGATGCTTCTTCTGACCAGGGACAGACTTCCGCCGAATCATATGATCTCTCATGTGAAGCGCCAACCTAGGTAGCGGTGGATGAAACGGGAAATCTGTGTTCCCCCTGCCCCGCCCCCAGGCGATACACATGGAATGAATCACACCGGTCGTTCCACCGAACCATCCTGGTAGCATAAGCGTTGGACTTATTTCGATCCGAGTGGGATAGTAGCAGAGACAGCATCAACGAAGTGAACGATAGGAAGTAAGCAGCCCGGGGTTTCTTGCCCGACCCAAGTGTCATCTTGTTGATGAGTGAGTAGAGATGTGCACCACTCACCCTGAGCACAGAACAAGGTGCGGAAGATACTAGGCTTCATGAACATGATGACTGCGGTCAGCCGCCATCCGTCGTGTGTTGCCACAGCAGCCAACCCAAGAACCCCCAGAGTCAGCAGAAGGGACCATTGCTCCGGTATGTGGGGCAAGTCAATATTGTCAAGTACCAACCATCGTGACACTCGTCGTCAAACACCGTGTTGTCTATGGACAACTAGCTTGATTACAACTAGACCGGCAGACTCACACGGAATATTAGTCATCCCAAAGACGGAGGTGGGTCAACTCACCAAAAAAATGATCTATGTATCACCGTGAAAGCGAAACCTCTGATATGAACCATGAAACCCAGCTTACCTTACGGTTAACATGGTTTCGACACGTGCGGCGGCCAACACACAAGACGGGGAGGTCTTGGCGGAGTTCCAAATGGCCTGAAGTGGCAACCGGCCATTCGACAGGGGTGTTTGTCGTGGGGTGTGTTCGCTAGACGATGAACAGGCGGACAGCGATGAGTCACTTAGCCAATCTTGCAACCGCCACCGGGGAAATGCAATAGCACAAGACCACGAACGAACTGGCTGGCTGGATCTCGTCAGACGCGTCGACTTGAGAGATCATGCGCAGGAAGTTGGTGAGAACGATCAAACTTAGCTTGTGCATCGCACACTTTATCCCGAGGCAAGTAGTCTGTGTAAGTCAAAAGAGTGGTTTTTTTGGTTCCCGAGCAGCTCGAAGCCCTTTTTCAAATTTGATACTATCTGCGAGGTTGTGTTTTCCTGCCAAGAAAGCTTTGCTTTTGTCCGTTCCAAGCTTTTCTTTGCTGAATGTTTTGGTACCGCGACACCCTTTTCAGGCCAGGTAGATTAAATAACCGTGTGCTTTTGAGGCAAGCATGGCCTCCCTTCCTAGTATTCGAACACGTTTCCACGAATGGTATAGTAGGTTCCGAGGCTCAATGGTAACATTCGTCGGATAGCCGCCCGCCGAATAACCAAAGTAACAAAAACTCCAAGTTTATGCAATCAGCCTCAAGCATACACACAACAAGTCGATCGCCTCACTCCCTTGAGCCGTCGCCCGAATGTTGCCCCCGCCAGAACCATTCAGCCCCATTGTCGCACGTAAGACAACATAGCTCCGAAACACCATGACTGTGAAACTCCTGACTTGCTTGCTCATCGTACAAACCACTTTCTCCATCCCCAATGCACTGATCCTGGAAATGCATGCAACAACACGCTTTTCGTCCGGTTCCTGGCCACCATCTAATTGTCTATTAACTAGATGTTCCCAGGTGGTATGGTATCATAGGTCCCTCCGCCACTCCGACCAAAACAAAGGAAATAGCTGGATATTGTCACAAAGAGTTAATGTAATTACTGGGTTATGTTAATGCATTGCTCAGTTCAAAACGCCCTCCCACATGCCAACGCCACCAGGCCCGCCCATGGCAGGGTGAAGCGTCGGAATGGCGCGTGGTGCAGAAATGTCAGACGAGTAACAGACTCGCTTGCGTCCTGCGTCGTGAGAGTCCCCGGAACGAAGCATGTGGGCAGGCCACTCTCTTCGGGTCTTGGAGTTGTACTGGCCGTTGAGCATCTCCCGAACGTTCTCTTGCAGAGAATGGTCAACCGACAGAGGCCGCGTCCTCTTGGAACCGACCCTGCGGGTCGGCTGTGGCTGAGAGCTGGCTTGATAGTTATTATGTAATTCCTGCAATACACGAGCGGCGTCGGCAGCGTCGTCGTTATCACGTCCTCTTCGTGCCACTTGAGTGTCGAGTGACATCTCCGACAAATCCTTACCCGCCGGGCCGGCGTAGGATTCAGGCGAAGAAGTGATGCAATTCTGTTCATGGTCTTCTGGGACCGAGGCGATGGCTGATCTCAGGCTGTACCTCTCACTACATAGCTTCGCATATCGGCATCGCGCCTGAACATCCAATTTGGTGGACGGCGCGCTGACCAATGACGATGCTGACGAGATGGAGGATGAGCGTGATGTGCGGGATGAATCCGAGATCATCGACTCTGGTGAAGACGCGGTTGAGATAGAATTGGCAAGTGATGAGCGACGAGCCAAAAAGTAGCTCTGTGGCGAAGAGGTCGTCGAAGCAGGCCACCGGTCAAGGCTCTGAGCCGCGCTGACATGGGATGCCTGGGCCATGGCGAAACCCATCGACCCTTTCCCACCAAGAAGATAGGAAGTAGCATTCACTGCAGGAGTGCTGGATCCCGTCATCTGAGGAGTGAGGCGTGGAGTGGGCAGGAGCCCAAGAGCAGGGGCGAGTCGGCCGGGGGTATGTACAGTGGCCGGAGAAGGTTCCATAGTGGCTGGAGTAGTGCAACTCTTGGGAGTGGCGTCATTTGATTCATAATTGAAGGCGCAATCGCGCTCTCGCGACGCAGACAAGAGCGAGCGCGGAGAAATTGGGGTGAAGTCTCTCGATGGGGATTTGAACGGTGTTGTTGGAATGAATTCCTCGATATTGTCCAAATCTGGGCTCAGCTTTAGGATGAAGTTCTTCCAATCTTGAATCTCACGATCGCTTGCCTGAGGGCAACCCGGAGGCGGAGGCTGAGGCGTGTACTTCAGGACGATCTCAGTCCATCGTCGGTACACGTCATCCGTGATGTGGAGTTTCCAGTTAACCGCAAGCAAGAAGGCCATCTCATTTTGATTGATTTCGTGAGTCGCCAGTCCAGAGATCTTGCTCCAGGCTCGCGCTGAGTAGTTACGATCCTGAAGATACTTCGATGCCAAGATCAAGGCGGCCAAGAACATACGGCGACCACATTGTAGCACTCTGTTGGCGTGAATATCGTCGGGCTGCTCCATGGTGAAGTCATGCTTGGGAACGTGAGGCTTGATCAGTACAAGATAATAAAGTGCGACCTGTAGGGTGGAATAGCTTGTGCGGGACCGGCGGAGAGTCTCTTGGATAAAGGTCCGCAGCGGTAGCACGGCCTTGTTGCCCAGCTCAACTCGGTATACCACCGAGGACAAGGGCCAGATCGCTTCGACGATTTGAGTTGATGCATCTAAAAGTTGGGTTGAGCGCGGGCCTTCTGGCACAGGATGCATCGTTCATAGAGCTTACCAACGAGATTATCAACGAAGTTGACTTTGCGATCGTTTTGACGGACTAGAGCGGGAGGGCATCCGGTCTTGGAAATGGCGCCGGTCGAAGTGCGTCTGGGATTTTGCCTTAATTGTTGTGGAACCTCAGCCGCCGTCGATTGCGCTTGTCTGGCCCACGAGTGTCGCAAGTTTGCCTGGTCGCAAGAGGCAGCTTGCTGCGAGTAGAGGTAGGAGTCGCAGTGTTCCGACGAGTCTGAGGGGGCGGATACGGAAGTGTCATCTGAGTGCTGAGAGGACGCATCGGACCAAACAGAAGCTGAGGAGGACGAAGCCGATGAAGCTAAGGAGGAGTTGTAAGGATCATTGTGATGGGATTTGATGAAGGCCAGCGAGTCGCTGTCGCCGCACATCATCTTGGAAGGAGGCGAGCGTAAGGTCGAACAAAATAAACCTCCAGTCGCCACCGATGCAGAGTCAACCGATAACCGTTATATCTTGATGTCGTGAGATTCTTGTCGACAAGAGAGCTTCACTACAGCGGATGCGCTGTCAATAGAAGCTGCAAGAGATCGAAAAGAGCAGGGCTGTTAGACCGAGGCGTCAATTACCTTTTCACGAACGATCGGACCGGAAGACAGAGCAGGGCGGGCGACTGGAGTAGAGAAGATAGTTTTCGCAAGAGTCATCGTGTGTTTATGTTTCTGACGGTGAAACACAAAATGTCGAGGTGACAAGAATGGAGAGCAGCTAGACTTTCATCGAGCTGGCCTCTGCCAAACTATGCGAGTGTCACGGGAGGGAAAGGAGTTGATATTGTTGTTGAGGCTCCAATACGGATCGAATATTGGCGAAGTCGGAGAATCGGCGCGATCGAAAGAGGGAGTAGCGTCGATATGGTGGGTGGTGGTTGAATGGTGGGATGGGATCATGCAAGGCACAGGAACGGAAGCTGCAACCACGACTACCCTAGGAGAGCGCGTACATGTGTAGGCGGCTTAGGGAAGGGGGAAGGAAACTGGATGACCTTATAAAAAGGTACTCGAGGCAAATAACTGAGCGGAGAGGGTACGATGATGAGTCGCGTGTTAACCTTGTATTCCTGCCTGGACCTGCTTGGGAGGCAAACACGCCGGAGGTGGATGGCGAGGGGTGGTAGGGTGGCCTTTGGGGGTAGTGATCGATGACTCTTCGCTGAAGGTGGCGAAGACTAACCGACTATTACCGCGAGCGCTGCTGGACTGGGGTGACCATTACTCGAACCGCCAAGGGTGGAAGTGCCAGATGGGTCTTTGCTGAGCTGAGCTCTTTGGCCAGTGCGGGAAGAGGGGCGATACCGGGGCCAGGTGGCTCCAAGTGGCAGCAAAGAATGACTGTCACACACTAGAAGCCTGAAAATGGGGCCCCCTTGAGCGCTGTGGCAAAGACGGAACAAAGAGCAAGTTGTATTAGATGGTTAGGTAGAAATGCCAGGCTGGACGGGAGCGGCAAAGTAATCCTTTGAGTAACACGGCGAGAATGTGCTCTGTTTCCTCACTTCTGCGCAAGTGCAGAGAAAGAAAGCTTCGAAAAAAATGTGTCTTCGGAGGCGTCGGACGTCACTTTTTGTTTTTTGGGGGGTGAAGAGGGTGAACAGTGTCTTTCGCCGTCAGAGTGCAAGCAAATGCCACTGCAGAATAAGAGCACAGAGAAGGAGAGTAGAAGTAATAAGGTATTGACAATATGTAGATTGAACAGAGTAGCCCCCAGGTAAAAAGGACACAGTAATGACGATGAACTGAATGAGAGGAGAGTGGGAAACCGGTCCGGAATAGAATGCGGTAATCACACTCTAGCAGACTTTCGAGAAGTCGCTGGATGGCACTCTTAGATCTTGGAATCGAACATTGCGGCGGCTTTGTTCGATAGAGAGGAGGAGAAACGGGGGTTGCTACGACTCGACGTGCTTGGGGTAGGGCGAGTTTTGAATAATGAGACAGGGCCTTTGATCAAACTCTTCGGCAGCGAATGCAAGTGGACAGGCAAGTAGATGGGGGGATGGGGATTGGGATAATACCGAATGTACAAGTGTTCAGCGAGTGCATACAGAGTTCCTGCACAAAATGGGGGGCGGGCGTCAGAGCCTGGGAAGTGGGAGTGTCGCCAGCAAAGGACACTTTGGCAGTAGTAGAGTGGATGTCTTTGAAAATACAACCAGTCGATTGGCTCCTGCCGAGAGGGGAACCAGCAACCAAGGTGACACTAATGGTTGTAATGACGGGGGCTGGGGGGTTATCCAAAGCCACTCCTTGCACTCCATGGTGCATTCGAAGCCTAGTGACAGCGCCCAAACCTCGAGCAATCCAGAAAAGGCATTGGCTGCCGTGCTTGTTGAGCAGCTGCGTACTGCTCAGCACAGGCCAGCTTTGGTATCATCTTCCAGGAATATGGTGGGTGTCCCACAGTGCCATGCATCCCAGTAAATCCCGGCTAGCGCTTGCTAAACAGAGTTTAGCGGAGCTGTAGCTGCATCACCCAGCGGCCACGGCGACCAGAAGCGCAAAAATTGGGAGTTGGGAAAAAGTCAAGTCCCGTCGGTTTGCTGCTTTTTGACTGGTCGTCATGGGAATGGATGGCAGGCGGCAGTAGAGAATGACCAGCACATCGTCAGTTTCCACCACCCTATCGTGTCCCTCTCGTGTAATTCAAGCCAAGATTGTCAATAGATTTGCGCGATGACCAGCTTCCATTCCTGGAGGCCAGTCAGCTTGGGCTCAAGCTGTTCTGAGTGGTTCCTGCCAGGTGTTCAGACTCGTGTTGCCACTAGATGCCCAATTGGACTGTGCAACTTCAAAGAATTGAGGTTTTCATTGGAGCTCTAGGGTCACTTGGGTCTGGACGCATCCAGACGAGAAAATTAAGACTCTCGCCTTCGTCTTGCCCGAGGCCTTTAGATTCCACAATCCTTGATCTGGCCGATTGAATCTCTGGACAGATCCATGCCAAGCCAACAGATGGTTCGTATTACTCCGCTGACGATATGCAACTGAAGCCATCACGAACGCGGCGCTTCCTTTCATTTCTCGTACTTAACGTCAAATCGGAGATTATCGAGCCTTCGTTGCAACCGCTTTCATCAGCTACCGGAATTGCGATCAAACAGGCCGTTGCCGATTCTCTCATTCCCCACTCCTTTCGAGCCCATGTCCTCGTTCTGGATATATGTGACGACGCCTTGTTGAAGACAATGGGGCGTCAACGTGAAATGCGACACAATTGTCGTGTCTTCGCTTGGAGATCTGATTGCACAGCCTGACAACCTCGAACAGCCCCAATCACTTGGTGTATTCGTGGAACTACAATAAGTACCGAGTACCCGAGCTCCATGCGGACATGAGTAGTCCGTTAATTAGGGCCGCCCCAGCATTGCGTCAGCTCTAACAGAATGGTACACCTCAGAGTGGGTGGCATCCGTACCTGTGACGAACTGAAGCAGGCGTCTTTCGACCACAACAGCGAAAATGGAATACACGCTACTTCACAAATCGACGCTTTCGGTCTTCAGAAATCAAAGACACGCGCGCAATGGCGAATCATCATGCGTCATTCTGCTCTCCTAAAGCTAGCGAAATCAACCGCATTTACAAAGACAGAGTTGCGCCGGCTCTACACGTTTGAACTGCTACCGTCCTGCTGAAGATGGAAGGACATGCGATGATGGAGTCGGAATTGCGGCAGGCCTAAATTTGAACATGACACACCCCGAAGGCGATCATGCTGTGAGGGACACCCTTGGCAGCGTTGTCAAACTCCGGCTTCAGAACGTTCTGGATTCTGCTTACAACTGATGGGCGACGTTTTTTTTTTTGCCGATGCATAATGGCGATGAGGCTTCTTGAACACTGCCAAACTATTGCTCATTCAAAATAACTCTCGAGCAGGCGTCTGGAATACTAGTTGGGCCTGAGGCAGATCACAACTTTAGTTATTGATGCTGTATCCCTGTGAGGCAGCGCAAATAGGAGCTCAGTCCACCACTGTGCTGGGGTGTACCGCGGTTGCTGCTCTCATTCGTCGCAGCCTTCTGATAGTCTTGTCGTCCGAGTTACTGGTTTTGCACGTACCGACTCAAGCGGTCGCCGTAGTCCTGAAGTTGCGGCAACGCTCTCTGCGTCACCACATTGAGAGCAGTCACGATCAAGGGATGTTTCGAACCTCCATCGCAGGTCACAGAACACCACCGCTTTGATGCCACAGGTTTGAAATTCTCCATACCATTTCATTCCGAAGGCCATTTGGAATGAACAATCGTATGGAAATGTTGATAAGCTAAGCATTACGGTCCTCTCGGATCACTTGAATCGAAATTTCTTGTGGCGTTTGACAATACATACATGCAAACAATACACAGACAGAGATGCCGCCCGTGTCGCACACACCCAATCAACAGAGTCGCAACTATTCCCCGCTTGATTCTAGCGGAACCGATGATTGGATCTCGAGCTCAATATCCAGGAGACGGCATGCATTATGAAGCAGGAGGTGAACTGTTCACTGCAATACACATCTCCGGGATCCACTCGAGAACCAGCGTGCAACGGTCAACCGAGATGCTGCGCGGGTAGTTCTTAACTGCCATGTTACGCAGGCATCTCATGCAAGGCGACCCTCTTGAAATAGGAGATGACCTGATTGTCATTGAGTGTACGTCCATAGCGGAAAGGCACAAACCCAGCTGGCTCACACGAACAATGGGCTGTTTTGGGTCCCAGTATAGCCTGATGGTAAAAGTCAGCCTGGTTGGCAGCCTCTGCTCTCACAGATGGACGGCGTGATGGCAGTCACCGCCTCGCGATAACGACCAATCTTCTGACCAGAGTACAGTACTTGACAGGGATGTATGTACGCCATCTTGCAAGAATTCTATCTTGGCCGATTTAGCCTGCCTTTGCGATCTTGCGACAACCAATGACCTTGACGGGTCTGATATAGGTCCAACGTCCTACGCGATGAGTCAACCGCATTCATCTGGGAGATGGGAGGTCGCCAAGCAGAACGACTTTCACAACTCGGGCGCGAAATCGGAGCAGCTTCCTAATATGACTTATGTTACCGGTGAATCTCACGTCGGTGTTTATGTGTCACGGCCATGGTCGTCGAAGGGCAAGCTAGCCCCAGGAATTGGCATAATTATCGTCATGTGGTGATGGCCATGACCCCATTGTGAGACAAGATTAACACTGTTGGCCACCGTCACCGCAGCACAGCAACTCACCAGATCACAAAAAACAGACTGCACAAGGAGCAATTGCTACAGCCGCTGAGCGGATCATTGCACCACGAAGTTGTTTGAAGGTCTGACGCCTATCAAAAAAGAAAAAAAAAGAAGGAAAGAAAAAGGAAAGAAAGAAGAAATTCTGGAACAGCTCATCCACATGTCATCTTTTCTGTTACCGCGCGGATCTCGCCGTCCACATCAAAGTGGCGCTAATTCAACATCCAACAAACGCAATCCGGATAGCGAGAGTTGCCGAGTCCTGAGTCATTTGGTGCAGAGACGCATTCCCGACTTCTTCCGCTTGCTTCATCCAGTGCTCTTCTCTGACGGGAATTCTACGACGATTCCACCCAAGTCTAGAACTTGGTATCGTCCAACAAAACAAGCCGCGGAGCACAGCCTGAGGCTGCATGGTCAAACTCAAAAAACGTTCGGGTCCGGTAATAAGGTAGAATCATAGTCTTTCTTCCATTGCCGCTTCGAACCAAGTCTTCGCTAAGAGTTCGGCACAATGTGCTTCCATCTTCCGGATCCTCCTCTGAGTGCCAAGACGCTTTTGGATTTCAGACATGGCCCCCATCCAATGAGGCAGCCGGCTCGTCAGCGTCAGCATAGCATGGGTGAGTAAGTGCATCTCCGTAAGCCATTGGCGGGGTTGATGGTGAACTAACAGTTTGCACTTCACACCATGTGAGCAAGCAAGGCGAGTCCGAGACATCCAGATGTGCAAATTTGCCAAATAGGGTTGCCCCAAGGCTGCTGAAAGTTTGTAGGAGATTTACCAAGGCAACCAAGCACCCGGATCTTATACTACTACCCAATCCCTCGCGTTCGCCGTGTTATCCTAGGCTGCTGGCAGACATGGCAGTGTCGTGCGGCTGTCGTTAGTTGCAGTTGCTTGCTACGCGGTTGAATGGCTCGGAATGCACTGCTATCTCTTTGACACTATGAGGGGCTTGCAGCACTGCCGTAGAAGTGCAGTTGATACTGCATATCAGACGAGGCTATTGTTTGCAGGATTGCATCTAACCTAGACCGATCTGACCAGCTGTTGCCTCCGTCATCAGAGAGGCTTAGAACACCTACACCCTTGGAAACCGCAGCTTCCAACAGACCAACAAACTATCAAAGTCATAGCTAGGAATGACTATCACGAACTTCTTCCCCACCCCACCACTGACATGTACCGTGGCCCGGATGACCTACAATGTACTATATGGCCAGCCGGAAGCATCGGTACCATAGCGGCGCGGCAAAATCTGGAATCTTGCTTGCAGATCTAGCCGCCCCCAAGCTATCGGTTCGTAGCTCATCCATGAAGAGTGAGGGGGAACATCCATTTCAGCTGCTTTTCGCTAGGTTTATTGATTCATTTCATTGGAATGTTATTAGTTAGGCATTATTGTCTATCAATCACTCTGGGCCACAACTGCAAACGATTCAACCAACTATCGTCCTTCCGACAAGCCCATCCCCATGATCTCTTTGGCGCCTTCTCGATCTTACTTTTTCCCCGGGAAGAAATTCGATGATCCCACGAACTATACATTGAGAAGGATTGGGAGCGCGGATGAGATTCCTGCGCCTTGCTCCAAAATAAGCTTGGGAATCCGGGGTAGGCTAGCATGAGGAAGGAAGGGTATGTGCTGGCTAGGCAACAGCAGTCTGTTGGCCCGTTGATGGCCCCCCAAAAGGATCAATACGGCGGTATTGCATTTGATGACCTCGACACCAGTTGACGGTCCGTGGATGAGTGAGTTACAGCTGGTAATGTGACATGAAATTGTCGTCCATGCACTGTGATGGAAAGCGAAGATCGTCGCCAAAAGCAGAATGAAGGCGATTGCTCCCATGTCATCCATCGGCCGTTGTTAGTCCAGCTTCCCGATGATTGTAGTATGGCGACAGCGACATGGTTAGACTCCGATCTATGTTGCGGCGTCATGCGACGATCGCCAGACCACTAACTATAGCCATTCCTTGGTATGCCTACATCGAGATTTCCTCCAATTTAGGGATGCTGCCTGCCTCATGTCGTTTTACTTGATCGCAATGCAATGCGATGCGATGAGCCGGCGGCGACGAGCGAAATAACAGAAACATCACACGATGGTCTCGTGACTCGGAATGCTTCCCATCAGCCATCGCGTGTTCGGGAGCCGAAAAGAACCGAAGCTTGCCTTTTTTGCCTGCTTTCATTCTCGACTTGAGTCAGCTCAGACGCGAGGTTGTTACACCGTTGGGCTGCGGTCGGAGGAGCACCATCTACCTATTCTGAGTCAAGTCTGTACTGGTCTACTCTAAGGCTCATGGGCGCCTGGCTGGGTGACTGATGGAATCCGAGGGTATCGTGATAGGCAACAGGCAATCTAGGCTGATAAAATAGTCACTAGCTAAGGTTCAAGGTCATGTAGAGTGAGTAGTGGCGGTGGCCAAGTTTGAAGTAGGCAGAAATGCTGTCATCACCTTCTTATCACCTAACTAGGTGACTATGCATAAGTATTATTTCCGATGACATGCGCGGCTGACCAAAACCATTTCTTGAGCCTACCGTGAGTGGTGGTGAAGAGTAATAATGAAGGCCAAAGGCACGAGCCATGTCTCCAGAAACTACTCGGAGTCAATCGGTGGCTAGCAAGTTGGGACTCGAAATCGTCCAAATACACAACGAAGGAAAGCAGTGCCCCAGCAATAGCCAGCTATTCTCCTAGGATCATAAGAACTGGATTCGAAGTTCACGTCTTAGGAATTTACTTTGCAGCAAAACAGCTCGATTGTAGCTCCAGTGCATCTTTTCCAGAGATCCTAGTTGATGACTTCGCAGATGGATTAATAGTAATAATATGTGGGCAAAGTTCACAACCATGTAGGGAGCGTATGTTCCGATGTTAATCAATTTATTGCCTAAACCGAGGGGATCCTGATGAACATTGAGTTCGACAACCTCACGCAGTTCGTAGCAAATGTTCCAGATCAAGAGTCCCGTTCAGGTGAACCTCACGGAAAATATGAGTCTGCAATATCGCCACGTTCGTTGTTCCTATCGTCGAAATTCCTTTGCCCTTCTTCCCCCTAGACTTGAGAATATACTCGTACACAGTTGTCATGCCGAACCGAATTGCGTATTGTTCGGGAACATCTTTTTCTCTCCCAAACGGAGACATAAGCCCAGGATGGAACACAACCACCAGATCGCTGCAGAGTGGAGAAGCCAAATTAAAGGATCAAGGAGAGAATCAAGAGGGGGGGGACCAGCCCACTACGATGTCATATACGTAGCGGCGTCGATACCCTCTGCTGGGAACTCCCTGTGGAACCGTTAGTAACACGCTTGAAAATGGTGGATGTATAGTGACTTACGGAAGTTGAACCTCGAATCGCTTCTCAATGGACTTCAGCACCTCTTGGTCTTGCTCGCTGCTCACAAAGGAGATAGCGAGACCCTTGGTACCAAACCGTCCGGCTCGACCAACGCGGTGAAGGTACGAGTCAGCATCTGCCGACAGATCGTAGTTGATGGCGAGGTTGATACGTTCAATGTCAATACCACGACCGAAGACATCGGTGGCTACGCAGATGCGCTTGTTGAACTCCTTGAACTCCTTGTATCGTCGAATACTGGCCAAATGTTAGTTTTGTCACCACTCAGGAAAACCCGAGGCCAACATACCGCTCATCCTGGCTGACACCAGAGTGGACTGCAATAGACGGGAAGTTACACTCGCGAAGCAGCTTGTCAAGCTCAGTCGCACGGAGAGTGCTCTTGACGAAGATGATAACCTGGTTGAACTGAAGTTCGTCCAGGAGCTCATTCAGCTTGCGGTTCTTCTCCTTCTCGTCAAGCTTGATGTAGAACTGCTGCATACCGTGCAGGGTTAACTTGGTGCCCTCGTCGACATAGTGTTCCGTGGGGTTCTGCATGAACTTTCGGCAGATGGGCTTGATCTCATCTGAAAGGGTGGCGCTGAACATCATGACTTGCTTCTGCTGAGGCGTGGCACGGAAGATCTCCTGTACGTCTCTGCGCATATCTTTTGACGGATCCATCAGTGGTTGACGCCAGGAAGTGCGGACAGCGGGGCTTACCGATCTGATCAAGCATCTTGTCACATTCATCGAGTACGAAGATTCGGACGCTGCCAAGGCGCAGGTACTTGTCCCTAATAAGGGCTTGCAGCCGGCCTGGAGTTCCGACGATGATGTGAGGGTGGGTGTCCTTGTTCTTCAAGACCTCGGCGTCCTTGGCGATGGGAACACCACCGTAGAAGACGCCAGTTCTGATGTCGGGCATGTACTTGCTAAAGCGGTTGTATTCATTGCGGATCTGGAAAGCGAGTTCACGGGTGTGACACATAATCAACACCGAGCATTCGCCAGCCACAGGTTCGACTTGCTGCAGGGTAGTCAAGACGAAGACAGCCGTCTTTCCGAGACCAGATTTGGCCTGGCAGATGATGTCACCTCCGAGAAGGGCTTGAGGAATAGTAACTTGCTGAACTGTAGGTATCGATCGGACGTTAGACAGGGTTCCCAAGACGTGAAACGAAGGACGTGGGTGGTGTTGAAGCATCGACAAGGTCCGCCCATCATCGCAGCATAGCCGTTGTCATATATCCATCCTCGTCGCTTTCCCGAACTCCGACCATCCGTAGATGATTCGGCTCTTGTGCCTCGTGCACTATGCTATTTCGCGTTTCTTTGGCTGGCAGTGACAGCACCTGCGGATAGCTTGCCAGAGGCATTCGCTCATGACCGAGGCGAGGCTGTGGGGAATTGGCTCACCGCGTCAGCGATTTCACTGAGCGCTCACATCCCCCATCACTGCCAAAGAACTCGAGGCTGGCGCGTAATTACGCGTAAGCCTAGTCAAGTTGGGATGGATTAATCCCACGACGTAGCATATATTTCTCCTCATCTCCAGGCTTTCCGTTCTGAGTCAGAAGCAGGCGAACCCAAGATTCCGCCCCTGCTTGCCCGGTACTCCTCGAATGATGACTCTTTTTGCTTTTGCTTGCTTGCGAGATGGACGGACGCTTGAAGAGGGAGGGATAGGTGGATGACTTGTCTGATGCAGCTGAAACGTGTGAGATTTTTTTTGTAGACTAACCCTCCGATGGATGCTCGAAACCGCAGTCGGCGATGGCGCGAAGAAGCTCAGGCTTGAGCAGGAAGTCACGAAAACCAGTCGAGTGGATGCCGACGTAAGAGCCCTTCTTGTCAACATTGTTGCCAGAAGCAGCTGCGTCGGCCTTCTTGCCGTTGGCGGGGGCCGTCTCGTTGGTGGCGAGCTCCTCGTCGGAGTAGTCGATGAGATCCTCCTCGGCAGACATGGTGATGATGGGTGTGAGGTTGTTGTGGGTGGTCGAAGTGATGGCGCGCGTTGTCGAGAACGGCGCGCAGAACAGTAATGCGCGTACTAATGCGCTCAAGAATGAGAAGTAGAGAGAAGTTCAGCTAAGTAGGCGACTCAAGGGTCGATCTTTGCTGATGGCTGGCGGAAATCAAGAGGGTGAATGGGAGATCAATGATTGAGAGAAGGTGAGGCTGGCTGTCGGGGGAGAAAAGCCAGAAGGGCGAGATCGATTGCGATGGACACATGGCGCTAGTCCCAGAACGGATTGGGGGGGATGTGAGGCTGTGCCTTCCCCCGGGGAAGCTTCGGTGTCTCTCCGGATCTACCCCGGGGTATGCTTCAACCTAAATGAGCTTTCCAGGTGTTTGGATTGGTGACTTTGACTGGGAAAGCTTAATGCTTCCGTCGTCTGTTGCTCAATCAACTAGAAAACAAAAGTTTCTTCTCTTAAAGTAAACCGGGATTTTACACGGTGCTGATGTCTTGAATTACGGAATGAATTCAACATGGCCAAGCAAAAAGGATCAGGAAGCGTGCAAAACCGGCCAATTTACTCGCGGCTCTCATACCTTTACCAAGCTGCAGCGCATCTAGGTAGTGCTAGCAATGACCAGAAAATCGATGCCACGACCAAGCAAGCTCTTGAAGACGGAGCACATTCAACAGCAAGCCAAACACAAAAGTCCGAGAGTCATGTAAAGCAAGCGATGGCAAGGAACTTGCTCAAAGAATTGCGGGCTATCTCTCACAAAACCCAGATTCGTATATCTCCTGCAATCAAGCACACCATCTGCAAGTCTTGTGACACTCTGCTTGTTGAAGGAGACACTTGCACCTCTACGGTTGAGAACAAGAGCAAAGGCGGCAAGAAGCCCTGGGCTGATGTCTTGGTGGTCAAATGCAAGACCTGCGGAGGCGTGAAGCGGTTCCCCGTCCAAGCCCCTCGACAGAAAAGACGGCCGCACCGCGAGGCCAAGGCTCAAGAAGAGCAACATCAGACAATGGTTCAAGGAGAAAACCTCGAGGCCATGGTTCAAGACAAGCAACCCCGGGCCATGGTTCAAGGCGAGCAAACACAAGCCATGGATACCAACGACGGCTGAATTGGATTATCTCCATCGCTTCCATGTTATGTTGATATCTTTCACGACGCGCCGGTGAGGTACTAGCCAAACACGAACTTATTGCTAAGGGTGAGTTGTCCACCAGAGTTCCGTGATTTAGAGTCATCAGGCTAACCATCTAGTCAAATAGAACCAAAAGAGCAGTGGCTGGAACGGAATATGAGCCCTCACTGGCCATAAGACCAGGTTGCTGTCATCAGACGCACCAAAAAACCGGAGTTATGTCACACCTGGTTGCGATGTCTAATTGAGCATTACCGAACATGACGGCAATACACAACAGCAACTATTTTACGCCTGTGGTCCTTGTCCAAGTGGTTGGGGCTGCGGCCGGGAGTACCGGCCAAAGTACAGTCGGGTTTAGGGCTACGGAGCTCGTTTTGTCAACAGCTCGTAGGCTGCGGATTTCGAGGCTTTGGGTTCAACAAGCGGCTTCGGTGATGAAGTTGACTCGCGACGGCGAAGTGTGCGCGATCAAGTCAGTCTCAAATGGGCATATCCTGTGGCATGGCCGTTGGGCGAGATGTCAAGGAACAATATACCCTACATACGCCAAAATATGTAACGAAGCTCGCTCGGATTCTCAACAAATGTACTACGATTACCATATGATACAATGTCACCACGTGTGCCTGGTGACCATCGCCTTGGATTCTGAGGAAGCATTGGAATTGCAGACGATCACATCGCCCAATGGGGCTTATTCAGTATTGGTAGTTCCGAAACAAGACACAAGCCACATATCTTGTCAAGCTCATGTACTTTTACCCACAGGACACGTGGCAGCGATGTGCATCCTGTTGTGGGAATTGACCAGGCGAGTCTGTGAATAGATTTTTATCCTGTGTGCAGCACGGAGCCCCTAGAATTGAGCGAGTGCTAAATGAATAGTACTGTTACAGTCGATGGGAAGTGAGACAATATTATCGTATCGCAAGTATTTTGCGCAATACGCTGTCGTACTTTGGTCTTCAATACAAACAAGTAACTGCCCAGCAAATCACCTTAGTCGATTGCCCTGACACGTTCGATGGCACACACAATTTAGAGACTGCCTAAGGTGAAAGGACCACCCATTTGATTCCCAATCGAACCAAGTCACCTGCGTTCGGGCACGGCTTCCATGTTTTAATTGAAAAACTATAGAAACATGTGTTTGTATAGTAACGCCCCTTAAGAAAGCGTAGATAGGTGCACCCATCCCATTCAAGGTCCATCCTCCAGCGTAGGTACGGAAGGAAATAGACGGACAGTCTGGGGTGATGTGACAATGCACCGAAATCCCGAGTATAGTGCAGTTGCACCATTTTTTGCTTTTTCGTTCCCTCCTTGGAGTATCTCAATGATCATATATACATACATAAATACATACCTCTGTGAATGTGTGGCTACCGAGAGGGCGTGGGGTCGAACCTGTTGTAGTAAATAGTAGATGTTTGTTCTATTTTGCTTGTGTCTAGAGCTATGCGTCATCGGTCCTTACTCAATCGACCCTGGTGAAGTGCTCGAATATCCTCACTCGTTCACCTCGTATAGGTAGGTGCCCATTGAGTGATTCCAGATTTGAGCCCTCTGAGCGCCGCCGGAGGTTCCCCTTTTTATTTTCTTTTGCACTCTTTTCTCCACGGGGCAGAAAGGTTGATCAGCCCCGCCCCTCCCTCCTTTGATGACCTGCTTTCTAGTTGGTACATTAAGTGTGGGAATCGCACTGGTATTGGCATTCCGACATATGAAGGTGAAGAAGATAAGTACAGGTGGAGGGGGGAGGGGGGGTCCAGGCCGCACAAAGGCACCAAAGTATCTCAGGCCACCAGTTCCACATCAAGGATATACATAACTCAGCACTGGATGCTAATATTTAAGTGGGTATGTGCTTGAAACGGCCCCAAGAATACTTGACAGCAACTAAAATTGCTCATATACTGTGAAAGCTTCTATTCACATACCATGCCTACTTCAACTCCATCATTTTGCATTTCGGGTATCATATCCTCAACGCTAGATCAACGACCAGTCTCAGCACTCGTTCTCACCAAAACACAACCGCCTATTACGTCTCCATGCGCTTGAAGCTTAGCTCCTCGAGCCCACGTCCGTCCTTGGGCTATGGAATTCCCATCCTCCACAATTTCGGTGATCGACTCGTAAGACACCTGACCGAATCTGGCGATACACCACTTTCAGGGACTCTGATTTTAAATCATACCGCCGACCCATCCATTCCTCCTTGGTCGAAGGTCCTGTCGGGATGCGAGTGCTTTCTGATGGGTTTGAACCATCCATTGCGGTCATCTTGGTCGATGAAGCCAACAAAGGAGATGAATAGCTCTAATTTTCTATCCTTCTTGTCTATGGATAGAATAGCTATCATAGGTATCTGCAGATTGTTGCAGGAGTGTCCTGATCGTGGGGGCACATCAAGACGTTTCCTGGATTCTTGGGGGTTGATGCTATGGATGCCTACAATGGGGCTCGGAGTCGGCCAGGACCGCAACATCGGACTCGGTACAGTTGTAGGCAGCTACAAGGTCGAGATGATGGTGGCGTTGTTTGGGGGGGAGGTTCAAGCTAGTCGGTTTCTTGGGGAGTTTCTCCTTGGAGATGCCGATCTACTTGTCGACGGTACCGGTAAAGGCGCTGTTGAGGGTGATCTTTTGAATCCTTGATATGCTGATGACGGGCTTTCATGAAGACGGGGATTAACGCCTCAATATCGTCGGGTTTCAGGGGGGAGATCACGGCCCATACCAACGAGATGAAGTCCCAGAAGTCTCAGAAGTGATGATGCTGGCGCAAGCGTTTAAAAACATCCTCATGCACAAGGCAGACTCTGAACACGTTCATAGTGCGATTCTAGATGTTTCCTGCAACGACGGTCATGTCGAGAGAAATCGCATTCAATGGAAAAATCAACGGTGTTGGCGAGCATGGAGTAGTTTTTAGGTCTATCCAGAAGCTTTTCAGTCCGCGCTCAGTTGCTATGTGGCCATAGTCGTAGAGGAAAAGGTCTGGCCGATAGGTTTCGGGAGAATCCTCGTCCCATTTATCGAGAAAGATTCGCATATAGCGTTATGTGAGGTTTTGGCCCACGTATCAAAGCTAGAGGAACAGGTGGAGTTGTTCGGAAGTGGAAAGTATCGTGAGTCAAGTTTGAGCTACTGTGTCGTTAAGTGATGTATTCATGTTTGGGTCATAGCTAGGAATCGTTAGGAAAGGCAACATTACTTATGTTTCATGAATAGTTTTGGTACATACTGAACAAATGAAACATGCTAGAAAATTCTATTATGAAACATAATGTGAGTTGGGTGAAAGGTATAGCAACTGGGCGAATCGCAACAGTGAAGATAGGACATGGCATACCTATACAGTGGTGACTGAGAATATGGAACATGTTTCGAGACTTTCAGTCTGTATAACCATGTTCTATTTCCAGTGAACATTTGGCTCGTACGGCTCCGTGAGCCTCGTCACCAGCCATATAAACACCAAAACAAGACATAGCAAAGATAAACACAACAAGGCGAGTTCCCAGAAGGCACCTAAGAAAGAAATAGCAGGTTCTTAGAAGCAACGTGCAAAGTCAACAGCAGGTATTTATACCAAGAACACCACAGAGCGCTCTCGTTTTGGAGCGAGTGTCAAACATAGCGATGGGAGAAACTCAGGGAATACGTTCCCCTGCTTCTAACGTGACTAGCTGGAGCTTCCGACCGCAGTATGTACGGAGGTAAATGCATTGCAGCACCTCTGTTAACGTCGAAAAAGCTGACCATAGAGTACCAGAACTGACAGACCCAGACTTGGGACAAGATACAATCATAGAGAATGCTGGTCACGCCAGAATGCATTGCTCACTGCTTGGAGGACCAGTACCCTCTATTCGCTTCCTTTCTACTGCAAGTCGTGCCCGCCCACAACGCACCCAATCTCACCCAGTAGGCATCTCTCAGCTTCTACTCGATCTAACTCACGCGCAGTTCAATGTATGCCGATTTCATCGACATGGCACGCTGACAGATTGAGCTAACGTGAGAGGCATCGGGCTAGGTTGCTAAATGCCCCAGCGAGGGACCTATTTCGAGCTAAATGTGAACACGCGCACATTATATTCAAGGAGTAGTGCGTAATTGTCTGAATAGTAAATTTGTATAGAATTGCCACATGAATTATGAACATTTCAACAGCCACATACTGTGTTCTCCAGCCGCCACCGAGGAGGCACAGCTGATGACGACAAATAGTAACATTTTTTTCTGAGTAAAATCGCCTCTACTTTCGTACTATGACCACTCTTTTCACTTTATCCTCATTTTGGCTAACCTAGAGGATTCAATACTACACACATGGTCAATATTTCCTGCATGTTAATGGTTATAGAAAGTTTACTCATATTGGACAGAACCGTAAGGACGGGAGCATTCATTACTCTGAGATTCGGACTTCCGAGCGTAACGTCTCCTTTAACAGTAATACTACTCAAGGGGGTCCGATTGGTTACTGTCCCTTAAGAAAGAGTACCGATCTAGTCGCAATCTCATTCCATGGATCCATTGTGGATAGGACGCTTGAGAACATCAAGAAACGATTCTGGAACTTCCCTGGCCCGGTATTTACCGAACACTTCAATGACTATCAGGATCGATGTATACTCGCTATATAAACTAGGCAGATACGGTCTAACTACCAGCCTTTTCTTCGTGACGGCTAACCTTATAAATTTCATGAAGGCTCTGTGTGAGAACATGGTCACATGGGTTGGAAATTGTTATGTATCGACCTGGAGCGTTGTGATACCTCTGAAATGAATCCTTCAGCTGCCCAAGTTTGCTCAATGTAGTGGAAGACCCAGCATTGAAGTCCCCATCCCCAGGTCCTACTCAACACTACCTAGACCTCCTGCATAGCAAGGGGATCAGATATGATCCATCGGAGCGACAATGGAGCCGGTGGCGAGGCATAAGTAGCATATTTGGAAGGTCGAAACTGTTAACCACTATGCGTTCCACGACGCGAACAGCTCAGAGGCAGTGACGTCAACTGCATATTACAAAGATCAAATTTTTCATGTCGGAAGAAATTAGAAGCAGAACTCGGCTTTTGGTGTCCAGAGTGATCTTTTCACGGCGCGTTGTAATTTTACCTCGTGCGTCGTCTTGATATCCCGGACTTTGCAGGCTCAGCGCATGTTTATATACTGCTGTTGATGACCAAGCTCTTGAACTTTTACGTGCAATGGCTTTCTAGGCTTAGGCTTCTTAATGAAAACAATATGGCGAGATGTAACTGAAGCGTTGGCCGCCAATGTGGACTGGCCAAGGTCTGGCCAAGGTCCACCGGTCCTCTAGAAGCTTCGATTACTACTTACGGATAAATTTCGAGTTCGTTTGATAAGATGAAGTCCTTAATACGGTAAACCATAAGCTTGCTTGGATGCACAGAGAGCTTCATGGTGGTGTTGGTGGTGGCGGTGGTGCGAGAGAGGTGTCAATGCGACGACGTTAGATCCTCGGCCAGGCAGAGAATGTAAAGACATGAGTGTCAATACAGATTTCTACGTAGTTGAGCGATTTGAACTAATTCGTTCCTCTTCCCAAGCTTATGCGGTTTATGGCCTCTGGTTGTTCTCAATGCTATTGGTTTAGTTTGGTAAACAACTATCACTCTACCATGGTACGGTGTAGCGCTAGGTCGCATGTCTTGGTTGCATTTGAGTGATTACAAAGTCATATTATCCTCCTTTTCTCATGTCATAGCTGGAAGCTGACCCATGGGACAGTCAGGATCCTAGTCGACATGTCCTACATGATGCTCGATGCGATGTTTTGGGCATCTCATCAATACCAAGTTCGGTCCCCTTTGATCATTGCGTAGTCCTAGTTGTTCATATTTCGCATGAAACAAAATAAAGGAAGCTATCGGTCTGGTGCTTACCTCTTCCGTGTGACTGGCTCCATCTTCATGTTGACCAAAGAGGGGAAAGTCGCATCTAGAAAACGCCACGAAATATGCTCAGCCAGACGAGAATAGCAAGTAAGCCCATCCGCCACTCGCAGTAAATTGAATGGGTCGCTGCATGCTTACTTGGTGCGTCTGTGCCCCTTTTGCTTCCAAAGGTCGCCACCTTAGCATCGCCCGGAGGCCGATTCCTGCACGAGATAAATAGGTATCGATCTAAATGAATTGAATTATTTGGGAAATCTTGAGGCTCCCGACATCACGTCTTGTCTGGTTGCAGTGTAAGGATGAGCCGAATTAGGACAAGTCTGGCAACACTTTGGGACCTCGGCGCTTGTTGGAAACGGTTAGATCTCCTAGGCACGGCGATAACAAAAGAGAAATGAACCTAACCGCTAGAACCACTAGAATATCAGCATTGTCGGCTGTTCCAACGCATCCAGGGCCCCGCAAACGCGCTGCCGTCCTTCCAAGCAACGTGTCAAGGCGCTGTTTCTACACGACCAGATACCTCTGCGGACTTCTTTGGAGACAATCTAAGAAAGCTTCTAATTGCCAATGAAGTAGCGTCAGGCCCCTTGTTTCGTCGCACTGGCAAGTGGCAAGTGTTCATGGCCAATGCTCAGAAAGCCAGGCACGGGAAATCAGTTGATTCTGCACTTTGTTGCTGAGAGCGTCAGACCACAACTTTGCAGTAGCGACTAGACTGCTCAACGGAGCCGACTCCATCGCTGCTCGCGATAGATGAGTCGACGATATGCAGGCCCTGTGTCAGTGTGTCAGGATAAACCCACTTTGACGCAGAGATGACCACGATCATCGATATACAACATTGCCCTGAAGCTAGACTTAGAAGAGTTGGCCAAACAAGTATTGAGATATGGCTGCGGCTGAGTGCAAGGTCCTCCCGTCGCGGGCCTATCCACGTAACCGGCAACAGAAGATATTCAATGTTACCAAATCCTTCCAATTCAATCTTTCATTACCCGGAGGAATGATTTTGGCAAACACAACACGAAGCAAAAGGGGCCTCGATTGGCACGCGTCATACCAGTTGCATGATACTCTGGCCACAGCCACCGCTATGATAGGCGTGCTCGTTTAGAAGATTGAGGTAGCTCTCCAAGGAAGGAATATGCGGTCTCAAACTTGGAAAGGGCTAGTGCTCTATCTGCGTCGAGACACTCTCCCCAGAGCAAACCCCAGACAGCAATCAACAATCGAGAGCCTATAGACACCGAATAACACAAGGCACACTGCCTTGTATTGTAGCCCTCATCTCCCATCGACGTGGATACCGCATCCTGGCTGATCTTCGTTCGCCCTCCAACCCCGGAGAGTTCACGAATGAGGTTTACTGAACAAGTCGGGAAAAACAATCGTTCCTCGAGGGCAATCTCCAATATGCTGCTCCTCAATCGCTGAGATAGAAAACATCCTGCTTGTGGAGATCGTGGTCGTTTCTTCCCGTTGTTCTGAAATGACAGGGATGTCACGGACAGAAGAAACGGCCCGTCACTTGGACGTTGAAAATCCCATACCTCTTTGGTAACCGAGTTTTTGCCATCCAGTACTGGGTGCAGAAGCGACCAGCGAACACGAAGAGATCAACAAGTTACACTACAAATATCAAGTGCCGAAGAGTTGCCTCCAAGTGAGCCGCGTAGGGCTGTGGGAAGGCGAATTCGCCGTTCGAGGTGGCGGATCGACATCCCATTGCAGTCATGCTAATAACTTTGGAAACATTTCTCAACGCAAAACCAGTTTTTGGAGATGCCGAAAATAGAAAGAAACTATTATCAGTGGGTTGCACCTGCAGCTTAGTAGTCGAATATCCATCTACGATAAACGAGCCGATCGTGAGGCGCGTCGTCGTGTCAGAGCCGAATCCCATACTGCATTTGGGCATATGGGGAAGAGCTATAGCCTTGCAGGGGTTCCAGATGTGGCGTATTTGATAGTCGCCGCCCACGCTTAGGTTGTTTCTTCCAATCCCATGCAGGAACACCAGCAAAGGCAGGGGCATTGCAACGGCTTCTCGAGGTTCCGAAGGCGTGGAAGGGCTAACTTTCCTGGAGAGCAATAAGAACCGTTCAGGTTGACAAGTGACGGGACTTGTTGGCAACATCTGGTACCAGCGAGTAGTTGGTTTCAACCGATTTGGACAGTGAGTTGAACTTGCGGGTTGCCAGGCAAGGTCGCAAATGAAATAGAAGGTTTGCGCCTCCGGAATTCGTATACCTAATCATTCGCCCGTGAAGCCGATGCGACGTATTGGAGAGTGGGATCGCGAAGACGCCAGCCACGAGTGGAGAGTTTCTGCAGGCTTCCATGATACCTGCCAGGGGCTTCAAATGATGCTCTCCCAGGATGTGACTTCATCGTGGCCCGACGTCCAGGTTGCCAATCTCCCAATTGGTACGGAGGGTTTCCACCGCATGCTGCATTGAAGGGACCACTTACGATAGACTTCTGTTATGCGTCACAGGTTCTCGACGGCTATAAAAAGGCCCGTTAAAAGGAGACGGCCAGTCGGTGCCATTGTGAGCGTCAATTGCTAGAAGACCTAGAAGTCACCCGGAGCGCGAGAGGATTCGGGGAACGGGTCCCGAGACTCAACGTCCACACTTTGGTACACCAGGTTGACCGTTGCACTTGTCTATTCAGTCGATTTTCAGAGCCGCCAGTCGAACCGCGATTGCGAATTGGGAATGCATATCCAGGAGGTTGCCATCCGGCCCAAGGCTATCAAAGACCAGGATCACCCCTGAGCACAAGCGTTGTGGGACAGCGGTAGCCTATTCGTCCGTTTTCGCTCAAAGCCGTTGCGGATACTGCGAGGTTGGGCTAGCCTAGTCTGTTTTTTTTTGACCAATATTGGATAGTGAGAGCATCCTTTCAGGTGACAGACAAGGCAAGCGGGTTGGACGCTTGAGCTTAGCGACGGAAGGCTGAAAATTGAAGCTTGAACAGGTTGGACAGTTGGCAGAATCGCGTTCTCCTAAGGGCCTTTGCTATCCTCCCGACTCCGAACAGAATTAATTAACGCGTCGGATATCGCTGGTCGAGTTTCCACCGCACCCACTGCGATTCATGGCTTGGCGTTGGGCTTGTGACCTTCTAGAACATGGAATGCCTGGACGGCATCGGCTTGCGAGGAAACATCGCTACGGGTAAAGTTGCGTCACAAAACTTTCGTCCCATTATTAAAGTATTAGTACATAAATATACACGAGGTTGTTACCTTGCAGAGTAGCTGCATTGACATACCGAGAGTGCTCGTTCGAGGGATGCAGCTCTAAGGGGGAGCAGCTCGTGCTTGAGGAGCATGTCAGCGGCGGGCGTCGTGTTAAGTGGTCAATTGGCGCTTGGACTGGAAGTGGATGGACAGTTACTATTTAAATGAACATCGCATCGCGTCGAGAACGAGATCGACTTCAGCTCAAGCATGACCATCTACCTGGAGATCTATGTTACTACCTCGTAGATCTTGGTTCTTGAAGAAGATAGTAAAAGATATGATCAGGTTGCTGCCAAGTCCGCACGGAACGGCTTCCAACCCCGAATTTCGCTAGGTGGTTACTCGAACCCTGCAAGATTGATTTTTAAGTTCTATCGAGTCTTGACATGCAAGCACTTCGGCTTGCGAATATTCTGCCAAGCCACCTGTCGGGACCCGCAATCGGCCTATCAACTCGAACTTTCAAGGTTGGAAGTGGAATCATTTTGAGCCTTCGAGAGGCTGGAATACCCAGTTGAGAATCCTCCACGTCAAGTCTGACCAAGGTGTGTGCAGGAACTCTACTTTGTAAAACAAACAAGTGAGACGGCGTTTATCTCAGATCCCGATTCTCATTTCAAAGTCACGGCTTTTAATGGAAGACGGCTCGGGATTGAACCTTCAATTGCGCTAGAGGCTGCGATATATTCCGGCGCAGTCTTTATTTCTTATGCAGGTGCAAATAACAAGCATCAGAAGAACAAGGCGAGAAACTGGCTATTTGACCGGAAATGGGAACTGGGACGCGGCCGGCAGGGGTGGCCTGAAGATCTTGAACTCGGCCGCGAACTCTTTTTTTGACAGGCATATTGACACTAGCACCTGCAGCCTGATACAGACCCCGAATATACCCACGAGGAGCGCATTCCAACACTGTAAATACTGTCAGGTTTTAATTTCCCCTTCCAAGTTTTGGCCATGTGCAGCCGTTTTCATCCAAGTTTCTCAACATCGCCTAGCATGTCGCCTTGATTGGATCGCCCCCTCCTCTCCGGCATGTCGGGAACTATGTGGGCACCGCTGAAAGAGCGATGCTACACGGACTGTGGATTGGATTACAAATGTGCTGGCTGGTGCACAGTGAATAGGAAGCGGCGATATCCCCCCTATCCAGGCAAGCCCTATCGTCACCTTCTTCACCAATGCAACCAACGGCCTTAGTGGTTATACGCGTACACTGGGGCTGCATATGGGCTGGATCCGTTGTGAGAAAATACATCATTGGGAACCTAGAGGACGGTATCCTACCCGGCGTGTTTACGAGCAGCCCCTGCTGATATTCAAGGATGTTCATGTCCTGTAACCCCAACTAACGCGGCTGTCAGAGTCGGCAAGATTGTGATTCAGGACTCTTTATATCCAGGCTCCTAAGTCCAGGCACGGATGATGGAGAATACGAAGGGGCTCTGGAATACTATCAATGCATGATGTGCGACCACCACCACCACCACCACGACGCACATGCATCTGCGTACACCTGCGTACACGGTACAAGAGTCGCACAGCCAGAGGCACAGCATACTCACTGTAGCTGATACGACGAAACGCAGGGGAATTTCTATATATACTGGCCAAAGGGCTCAGCGTTCAACAAAACGCCGTCGAAGTCGTCGCCCGTCAAAAGGCTCGAGAAAATAGGAGCTTCAAATTGTTCGTTCGGGCTTGGCCTATTGAGAATCGTCTGCAGGATCCAAGCCACGTAGAAAATCCCACCTTAGCCTTCCGTATCCCAAGCACAACTTTCTTTCGCATCTGTCAACGGTTCTAGTTGAGTTTGGTATCGTCGAGTTGCTGTATCGTATCCAGCGGGGCCCTCGCCTTAGCTGGACCAGAAAAGTGACAATTGTCGCTTTACTGCTAGGTTAACTCATGAAATTGAAGCTTTTCGAAATTCTTTGGGGGAGTACAGAAGATATCAGCAGTCACCGTCAACCCTACTTGTATATCGCAATAAGTATTGACCCACATCCACGAATCCAAACAAGCCCTCCGGCGCCTCCGGTGTAATCGCCCCCCGCGGCGGTCTACTTGAAATTTCAGCTCTAGAGACCGGCGGTTTAGAGGCTTATCTGCCAGGCCGGATCGATGATCGGCAGATGTACTTTAACTGCACAGACTAGAGAATGCAAACGTCTTCCAGTACTACCACTCTGTAGCTCCTTACGGAGTACAGAACGAGCTCTAAGTTGCCCCTGAGGCAATGGCATATGGAGTTCTCTTCGTCCAAGTCGAGTTGTTTCTAAACCCACATCTACGGCGACTTGACTGATGCACCACGTCATAATGGCACTGAGAGTGCACGGACCTCAATATGTCAAAAGTATACGATTCGCACCGAACACACACCACTTGCTCTCGCACTTGAGACGAACGTTTCTTTGGGATCAGCAGTGTACTGAAATTTCGACTAGCCCTTCACGTCCAAGGATTACGCCACAAAAACTGCTACGCCCATCTCACTTAAGTCAGGGAGACACCAAATGCCGCAGTACTGACGTAGGGATCCAAGTACCTGTTGCATGACTGCAGCAGAGAACGCGTGTTGCATCTGCGTCCTCTCAATCGCGACTATGGGGACCCGGCCCCAGAAGACCGTGTGCTGTCAGACTGTACGGCTCAATAAACAATCACCTGTTACAAGTGATAATTGTTGCTTGCTTTGTCACCACAGCTCAAAACAATGAGGAATTAAAGACAAACAGACCTCAACTCCAGGTACCTGCACATTCACATGTGCTGAGTGAAAATGTCAAGAACCACTTGACAAGCCTGGTCGCACACTATTCACCGGCTAGAAGAAAACTTGCAGCGGAAAAGAAGAATAAAACGGTTGCATTGAGTCTATTCACTACTGGAACTGCATCTACTACTGCACATGCAAAGCTCAACCTTGAACCAAAGGTTAGAGGGAAAAAAAAAAGGCAAGGAGAGCATTTACTGCCAAAGAGAGCCTCGCAGCAAGACTTCACAGCGCAGACCTCTAGAGGCGTTGAGGCAGCGAGTGCCCTTTTGTGCCGCCTGCTGGGCTTTGACACACTTTCCGTCTTGGGGCCGGCTTCCCTTTAACCCCTTTAGGACCTGTTTTAGACGCTTTCCCGTTCGGCTTGACTTCCCTGATTGTCGGACGGCGGGTCAACTAATCCTAATCTATCCAATCTCAATAATTCCAACAGCCAAAGCACAGTACCAGACTCGTCTTTTGGGCCTGTCGATATTGTGATTTTTTGCTCAGCCCACCTGGCAACTTGCGACTCGCGAGGTGCACACCCCCCCAAATCACGAGGCCCTGTCCCACCAGACGAACACTTGAGCATCGGGTGTCCACCCTATCCTGGCTTAAACATCCCAGCTTGGCGGTGCCTGGCTTGAAAGTCCAACGACGTTTCCTCCCGCAACATCCTACTGGTCCACTGGACCCTCTGCAGTCTCTGCATCATCATCCTTCTGTTGCTGCGCTGCCGCATCTGCCCTCACACTCTTGCCCTGCTGCTGCTATCTCCTGGGCAGTCCTCCGCCATCTCACCTAGTTCCTCCACTACCAACGACCACCCTTTACCTTTCTCTAACCACGACTACGCCCACCACCACTACCACCACCACTACTACTCTCCACAAACAGCCGTCCCGAGTCGTTGCGTCCGCTCGCTACTTTTCTTATTTGACGAGTTTTTGAAACAACGCTGTCCGTTCTTCTTGTCTTTTGGCTAGCTTCGGATTCGACACGTCGTGCGACCGGCTTTAATTCAACCAACACTCGGTGCCTCTCCCTAGTTCCTTCCGACTCGAATTCGTTTCCGCGCCCTCTACGCTCGTTACCATTCCATCTCCTGGGCTATTTGCAACTTCTGCATTTTGCTTTGGGTGGGAAGAAACCTGCAAGCTGTCAAAGCAAGCAAGTAACTGAGAAACTTGCCTTGGTCGGGTTTGATCTGCCGCCGCCAATTTGTCTTTGGTCGACTCGTCTCCTTTCCTGCACTCCAACGACACCCCGAATGAACCTGTGAACACTGCCTCGCCGAAACGTCAATTCCCGATCTGCGTCCCAATAATACTCGGACACTCAATAATTGGACATATCTCAACTCTTTGGCTGCTACGAAACGGGCAAAGATCTCTTCGACAAAGAGCGGGATACCGAGATTTGCAAGAATCCCAGTTTCGTAGGGTACTTCCCAAGCGAGACAGCCACTGGGAGGCGTCGCTGCTTTCCTGCGCCCGTCGGTCGTGACCTGCACATTGTGTAGCCAGTGATACAGGGCTGCTACATTGGCTGGTCGCGCTACACGGGACCATTCCGACGCATCGTGGGAACGTACACAGAACACACCGGCGCTAGATAGCAAAGGGTTACGGCAGTGGAAGCCAGCCCACGACACCACATCTGGTGAACATCATGGCGCCCTTGACACCTCGCCTCAAGATCCTCTCAGGTCAGTTACTAACCTATTCATATTCCTGTCCCTGCTACTATCACCTGCACCTCACCACACTGCGAGTGTACCCGCGAGTTCACATTCGCCACCTCTGCATACTTGATAACCGGTGACCCCCCTCCGTGCCTGACCCTTGGTGCGACCATCAGGGGCGAAAAGTTTTGTTCCTCATCGCTCGCCTTGTTGTCCTGTGTCTCTCCCATCGTTCCGCCATACCATCCCACATTCGTTTCTACTCTCGTTTACCACATCAACCCCCTGCCTCGCGGAGCACCGCGCCGGCGCATGCATCGTGTTTACCGTGTCGAGCCCAGCCATGGACGATTATGAGCTAATGCGAGTCTGTACAGTGGGCGGCAACGCTGTGTCCGCCTTCCTGTCATGGAGACTCCAAGCAACGAACGCTTGCGATGTGACGCTGGTTTGGAAGTCGGGCTACGAGGCAGTTCATCAATATGGCATATCTTTCAAGTAGGTCCCTATGTCGGCTCCACTATGGGGAGTCCTCTAACCGTTCGCATCTAGGTCCGAGACTGGCAGTCTCGAACGTTTCAAACCCCGACGAGGTAAGTCGTACAAACCCGCATATAACACAGGCAGCTTTTTGACCTTCCGCGCTCTAGTTGTCCGAACCCCTGAAGAGGCTGCGAACAACAAAGAGGGTGCATTTGACTATGTCATTCTCTGCATCAAGGCGTTGCCAGACGTCTACGACCTTGCATCCGTAATCGACTCGGTGGTTACGCCCCAGCATACTTGCGTTTTGATAAATACAACGCACACATTGGGTGTGGAGCAAACCATCGAGGAGCGGTTTCCGACAAATGTTGTCCTGTCACTTGTTTCCAATGCCCAAATCACGCAACTGGGGACCAGCGAATTCGAACACAAAGGCTCAAGCGAAATATGGGTTGGGCCCGCCAACAAGAATGCCAATATCCCTCCGGCGATCCAAGACGATATGGCTCAGGCTCTGGCTATGACCTTGAGTACTGGCCAAGTGGATTGCAAGGTATCGCCGAACATTCGGCAACAGCAGTTTGAGCGGGTTATTGGGTGAGTCGGAGAGGGTGTCCGCATCGCCTAACGTTTAGTACTAATATTTTGCAAAACAGCCCGATCGCTTTCCATCCTGCTAGTGTCATCTTTGACACTAGTTCACACTCGGCCCTTCTGGAAAAGACGGGAGTCAGACAGCTGGTGTCTGATGTAATTGACGAACTCATTGAGCTTGCTAGCGCCTTTGGGTGTACGCTTAACGCCGAATTCAAGCAGAGCACGATCAAGGAGCAATGTCAACCTGCAGAAGGTTCGAGCATCATGTGGCAAGACTACGTTGCGCGGCGACCAATGGAAGTGGAGACGTTCCTCGGCTCTCCAATTAAGCTTGCTCAGTTCTCAGGGGTCAAACTGCCACGTATCGAGACGCTCTATGCCATTTTCCACAACCTCAACATTGTCAACCAAACGCGGCCGAAGGAAATCAACGGCTTAGCCCCCGTGCCAGGTTCACCAACAGGAACCATATCGATGCCCCGTATGTCGTCTAACGGACCGCCGCCGCCCCGCATCGTCCCGAACGGGGTGCCAATGCCCAACGGGAATGGCATGGGTAGACCTCAACAGCGACCAAGAAACTCGTCCAATTACTCGGGACCACCGCCGGGCATGCGCCGTGGGCCTCCTCCCGGCATGAACGGCGGTCCACCAAACGGTTACCGACCTCCAATGAACGGTGGCATGAATGGCGCGCCAAATGGTATGCGGCAGCCTTCGAGACGCGGCTCAGTGGAAGAAGACCTGTCCGACTTCAGTCATTTGGTCATGTACGATGAGGTGCCGGTGGGTGGCGAAGCTGGATATCCTGCTGAAAACCCCGACTTGGCCATCCGCGAGAGAGAATTGCAGCTTCGTCAGCGTGAACTGGCTTTGAAAGAACAAGAGCTGCGTATGAGGCGTGGCGCACCCGGGCCCCCCGGTCCCGCTGGCCCTCCGGGTCCCAGGCGACGACCTCCTCCACGTAACGGTGGTGGCATGGGCCCTCCCCCTGGGGCCGTCTATGACGAAGATGACGAGGAGGATGACTACTTCGACCCCAACGCCAACATTGCGCCCATGGTCGATCCGGACAACTTCGACATGATGAGTGTGACGTCCAGGAAGAACCGTTCCAAGGCGCCTAGCCAGAGCCAGATTCGGCGCGATCCTGAGATGGGAGCGATGGCACCGCCTGCCCGAAGTAGTAGATGGGGCCGGCCAGGATTCGGCAGAAACCGTTCTAGTCAGATCATCGACGCCGTGCCTGGCCTCCACGAGAACATCCTCGACGACCCGTTGATGTCGTGCTCTTCCAACCGATACGGTACTGTCGATCGGGGACAGATGCATGCCGGCTCCCGAACCAACTCACTGACAGCTCAGCATTTGGACGCATTGAACGGACCGAGCATGGCTGGGATGAATGGACCGTTCCCGAGACGTGCTAGTCAATCGCCGGGCAATCCGTACAGCCCGTCCATTCGTGGTGGCAACGGCCGCCCGTCGCCGCCTGGTATGAATGGCCGCCCATCTCCACCAGACGGCATGCGCCAGCCAGTCCCTCGGTACCCGCCAGGTCAAGGAAATTCGGTCGCACCGCAGCAGGTTGAACAACGTGTCGGGGTGAGCGCCCTCCAACCACCAAATTTCAAAGATGTACGGAGTCTGACTGGCAGTGCGAGCGGTAGCGGGGGGAGTGGTGAATCCACACACCTAGACTCGGAACCCTCTGCACACAGCAGCCAGAGCAGTCTCGGTCCGCGACCTCCCATCGGTGTCCGGTAAAGGACGTGCCAAGTGACTAGCAGTCCACAATACATGTTACTGACCACACAGGCTGTGACGTCGCTGCCACGCCACGTATATCGACTCGAATCCGCTGATCTGGAATATTCCTTCCACTCACTCTGATGGCACGCATGGATACACAACTATCGGCTTTCGCCATGTTTGCAACTCAGTGGACGACTTCTGATGACCCTTCTGGACTTGCGTATAATGGATGCATTCGGCAACGGCTAGACGAAAACGACTTGGTTAAACTTTCTACAACATACACATAATTTTAGTCGCCCCTTCACCGGGTCCCAACGTACATAGGCATTTGGAACGACAAAGCAGCAGCTATTCATTTCTGGTAATATTGCATTGGGTTGCGGGGCCTGCTGTCTTTCTACGAAACACATATACTCCGTCTTTCTTCCCATGGCGCAAATACCATGCTCTTGTTTCGACACGACACGACTCACGGCATCTCGGCCTTAAATTTTGCCCATCCCCCCAAGGTTCTGGAGATTCGCAAAAGCTCCACGGCGTCCCTCGCCACCGACGGAATTAATGAAGGAGACAAGGATAACAGCTGTCCGTCCGCCGACGGGGAACAAATTCGAAGCTTTGTACAAACAAAATTCTGGTCATGATGTTCATTTGGTTGCTTCTACTTTTTTTTCTTTGCGTGTGTGCTCTAAGTCAATCGGGGTGCGGTTTGATGCCCTGGATTTCGAGAGAGGAGTAGTTTGGTTTTTGCAGGCGACACGTTTACGAAATACATTTGGGTTGGCCTCCACCACGCCCTTCAGCACAGGACGTTGACGACATGAGGTGAAAGGAGGGAGGGAGGAAGGAAGAGACTATGCAGTACCGCACATATGACCTATGGAGCAACAGCCAGCGGAGGCATTCTATTATTATTTTTTGATGGCCCCCCGCCCCCTCATGGCAATGAAGCACAGCAATGCCTGCTCCCTCTCTTGTTTCTATGTTTTCTTTTTTATTTACTTGCGATCGTAACATTTTAAAAGCTGGAGCATACGAATGCAGACTTTGGTGTGGCCTAGGATACGAGGGAGACTACTACGCGAGCAACGGGAAAAGTGGCAACGTTGAACTCTGGAGAGAGCACCGGACAGCGATGGAGAAGGCCAGTAAGTGGTACAACGATGTCGAGCTGGATGGATGCTCAAATTAGACGTTGCAAAGCAAGGGAACAGAGAAGATGACTACCTACCACCTTAGGAGTGAGTGAGGCTTAATGAAGGCCGCTTATTCGCGACTAGCAAATGATTACAATCAAGTTGCAGACGATGAGCATATATACATACACACGATGATGACACATTAAACTCTGCTATGAAAATGGTTTCTGCCACAACTGCTTGTTGGTACATTCCTTGAAACTTGGTGTTGAGGCGGAAACTTGCTGGGAAGGGCTCTAGCCAACTAGGGTGGTCATGGAATCACTCCAAAAGTCTGCATGCATCATTGCCTTCTTGACCCCCTGAGCTCTAGTCCAGGATGAAAGCTGTCAAGTTCGAGAGACTCGGCATCCGAGACATCAGACTGATACAGGTGCCCACCCTGACCTGCCAACCATGCAGAACTTAATCCCTGTTTTTCGACCGTGCGGTGGATGTCATCTGGAACTATTTCAGGTTGATCTAATGTCGCAACGGGAACGGGGTTTCCCATGATTTGTAGCTAAATCTAGAGGTGGTTTGACCTTCGGAGGTTTACAAACTCGAAACCACGCGACGGACCGCGAATTTTCGGGGCGCAGGGGATCCACTTGGATGGGATGGGATGGGGAGGAAGGTGGAAAGCTAGGGTCACATCCCCGAACGGTCAGGCGCGGTGAGTGGCGTGCCACGAATACTGTGGTTCGTTCATGTCTCGACACGGCAAGGCTTGAGAATCTTGATTGCGAATTGACAGGGCGAAGCTCGAAAACGGTGTTATTGAACATTGGTCATCTTGTTGATGCGGATGGCATCGTGGCTGCCTTATTGGTCGGGATTTGGCGCTAAAGCCGTTGTTTGGAACACAACTTCGAGTTAGAGCAGCTCAAGAGGAAATGGGAGCACCCCACTTCCTGCACTGGCGAAAGGCACGACGGCGAGGTGTGCAACGGCAAGCCATAGATTACACGGCAAGTCGTTGCTGCTCTGCTTGAGAACATCTCGGGCAGTCCTAATCGTAGCGGAGAATCTTGCCACATCGCCTCGGGCCGCTGAAAACCTAATTGCGGACCCATCTGCCTCCCCCGTGCTTTTCTTGCTTCAAGCTCCGAGCAGTCTGAACCGTCGCGCATCAACGTGGCAGTGCGGTAAAACCGTTCGCACCCTCGGGAAGGCAGGCAACTCTGCATCGAGAATCAATTGATATCTAAGCCCGAAAGAGACAAAGAAGAGGGAAAATGGCGACCAGAAATATCAACATGACCACGCAAGGCGGCAGCACGGCAACGAGGCCATCCATGGCGCCACAGGGATCGGGGAGCGTCGTCAAGGCGCGGCAGCTCGTAAGTCTTGCTTCTTGCGTGTTGGGCTTCTTGCTTTAAATTTTAGGGGAAAAGGGAGCCACACGAGGAGACGTGAGATGGGAAGGTAGATAGAGCTGAAGGCTGACTCGACTGGAACTGTGGCAGACGCAACTTCACTCGCAGCTGGCGCAGTTGTCGTCCAATTTGGCGGATACGGAGAACTTGCTGCGCATGACTGCTGTGCAGGCTGAGGCTATGCGAGGCTTGGGGAGTTGGCATGGGGGGATGTGAGTATTGTTTCTTTGTCTCTTCTCTTCTTTTTCCTCCGTCCGCTGGTTCGATCGGTTGGCCTGCCCTTGTGTGTTTACTGCGGTCGATTGTTGGGATTTCAGGGATAGACGCTGATGATTTCTGTGTTTGTAGGTTCATGGCTGCGAGTAAGGTGCTTGGGGAGGAGTCGGTCAAGGAGCAGCCTCAGATGAAATAAGGAAAGCGGAGATTAGTATGCCAGATGGTGGGAGCAGGACATAAGGAGCTTCTTATTGGAAGTGGTTGTGTTTTGGACAGACGCTTAACATAGTGATTTGCGGTGCTTTGGTAAATGAGCTCCGCTGCAACCAGCGCATCCAGGCATGCGCGTCCTTTGGACTTGGAGGGGGTACAAACTGGGAGATGGGCCGAATCACCTCTAGATATGTGAACAATTCAGGTCCGCCACAGTGATACGGTGCTGGTATGATTCTCCAATTGCCATTTCACTCGTAGCGCTCCCAGCAGTCGGATGGAAGATATCTCCGAAATAGTGATGGGGCCATCTTGACGATTGGTGAAATCATGAGTGTCAGGGGTATTGGTGACCTTGTCTCTGTAGTTTCGACGGAAGTCATTCGGGTGTTTTTCAGCGTATAAAGACTCGTTGCTTCTACGACAGGAGCTGAAGGATGCTGTTCTACTTACACGTATATCACAGCGGGCTGCTTTCTTCAATGCCGTCGCTTCCCGGACTTGAGAGATGCGGCCCCACGGCATCGTAGAGATCTTACAGTGCCTGAAATCACTCCATGAATCTTCGGTCATGAAATATCAGTGAAAGCTTGTCGATCACTACAATCAATAAGCCTGCAATTGGAAAGATGAAGAGGGGTGGCTCGAGGGTAGCACGGCGCCATGTGAATACGGGCAACCCGCCCCGTTTGAATGAAGTTGTTCTGAATTATCCGCAAGCCATGTAACAGATTCTCGAAAACAAAATGCATTTCAATACTCGAAACCTCTCATGATCTCTTGCTCCTTTCTCTCGGGGCTTGGTATTAAAACACTTGGGTAATAACACAAGGAACTGGAGCTTCAAGCGTGTAATCGAGTCGACTGATCAAGCTTTTCAGGGCGTCTCGAGTCATACCGAAGATGCTTCGCTGGAATGATAACTCAACACACTCCCCAAATCCTCGTTCTTTAGTATGATGTCTGAGGTTGAAGGCTTAGGCTTGCTATGCTCCATGTTGTTCCTAGGGAATGGGGGACTGGTGGGTTAACACGGTTACTACAACCGAGACTTGTGTCTCGCATCCTGATGATAGCCAGGAGCTCTGAAGTCCCTTTTGCTACACTACGTTGGTCCTTTCCATGTTCGGTGCTACGAAATGATCAGCTAGGGTGCTTTTTGGTGAGAGCCACAACTGCTCACGCATGCTCTTAGTAAGTGGGAAACGGCGGCCAGACTGGGCAAATTCCGGGGTCCTGGAGTTGGTGATCTATCTGTTCTTCCGTAGAACATTCCATGGGATCGCTGTCTTGCAAGCTCCTCAATCGCATGATATAACTTATGGCACAGCTGAATATCAGAAACCGTAAAACTACATTAAAATTTACTGTCACTGTTGAATGAGACTTCCTGGGCCAGGGGAGCCAGTATCAATATTGGTATTACACTTCGCATAACACTTCAACCACGGATCCCATAAGTGGCGTCGAAGGCTTCCGTCACTACCAAATGTGCATTCATTTATCCGAATAAACAACCTTCTTCCAGATCCTTCACAAAGAAATCGCAAAACCAGTCAACTGTCCTTTTGAAGAAAGACATAACGTCATGGCAACAGCCCAGAGGGTCGTACCTGCCTCACAAGAGTACTTTGAAGCCCCGTCTGGCCTGCTCCGTGCTTGCCGCCTCGACTTCCAAATGCTCGAATCCGTTACCTAAGCCACATGTTGAGATTTCAAATGACGCTCAATTTGCAGACTTTCTGGGCCATCGTGAGTTGACTGTGCTGTCTGGTTCGCTTCTAGTTATGGCTGCCTACGATCACGCGGCGCCTCCGTATGTATCTCCTTTACTCACTTTATCGATTAAAGCCCTCATGGAGCAGTGGTTAGCTCGTTGGTCTCCGATGCCTTGTGACAGCCAAAGGTCACGGGTTCGACTCCCGTTGTGGGCTTTTGGGTCTTTTTGCGGATCCTTGATGTCGTGCTGCTGCGGATTGTGAAGCAGCTCGGTTCTATGATTCTGGGGTTTGAATGACTCTGTTTTCAATTTGGAAAATCCTCCAACAACAATCATCTGTATCTGGACGGTAAGCGCAAGAGAAAGCCTTGAAGGTTCTTCAAACTTAGAAGTAGTAGAGCCTACCTACTTACCTACCTTAGACACTTTTTCGAGCCCATCTTCGCAAGTGACCACATCTGGTATCCCAGCTATGGTGCATGCTGCATATGCATATTCGGTATCGGGGATAGGACTAGTTACTAATGAGCAGGCAGGCACGACTTCAACGCGACTCTGAAACATTTGTCCGGAAACCAAATAAGGACGCAGGTCGCTTCCATGGTATCTCTCTTCCGAACCGATGGTCATCACATCTGAAAGGAGGAATAAAGGCAAAAAACAACAAGATTAGTTCCTGTGCACTAACTGGATTGGTTGCTTAGGTGGTGTAATCAGTAAAAAAAACAATAAAAAAATAGCGATCAGTGGGAGGAGGCGCAAGACGAAAATGCGTATAAACGCGAGAATCAGGATTCTGCTCAGGCACGACAAAGCTCCAACACGGGCCATGCAGTCTGCAATAACAGCATTGTGTGTACTTCGAAGCTTGTCGTCATGGACATCCCCTAAGTTTATTTGCATCCTGAATGCAGCTTCCGCCAGGAAAGCAACCAGAAGTAGTTCAGCATCCTGGCCTGCAGATTTGGAAACCATCAACCTCGAGGTCATTCACAGTTTCCAGTGGTTTCTGACTCATGAAAGCAGGAAGCAAAGACCATAGAGTGTTTAGACGGACCATCGGGCGAGAGATGGAAAATATTCAACATTGTCACATCGTTGTATTCACGTATGTAGCCATTGTCAGTTCGTCCGTCTATTTACGACTTGGGAGACATCTGCGGCAGTGTTCGTGCAAGATAACAAGAGCCCGGAGCAAGAGGAGGCAATGGGAGGTAGTGTGAAGAGGGCAATCAAATTAAATCAATTCTACCGAGCGAATACATGCGCTTCATGAGATTTTGGTCGCCCATATTGCCCAACAGCAGATATCTTGCGACCACCGAACTTTGGACTGGGATGCAATTCATGTCGAAAAATCGTCAATGAAAAAAACTGGACAATGGAAGCGTCCAGATGTGAGAGCAGTTGCCTCAATTTGGCAGGGCTGAACGAAGGACGTTGGAAGGTACGTACCAATGCGGATCTGATGCATTTTGAAAATCCAATCGGGGATTTTTGAAATTGCAGATCACATCCAAAAAGAGACTAGTGGTGCCCTCTTGGCTGATTGCAGCTCCTGCCCTCCAACTACTTAAGGTCCCAGAGCAACACCAGATGTCCCGCCTCAAAACAAATTCATCCTCAACATGCGGATTTGGATTGACCTTTCCACGTTTTGTTCTATCACACACTATGATCTGCATCTTCGTCAATGACCATCCACCTTGATCATTCATCATCCACGTCCACTTTCATCTCTTCCTCGGTCACCTTGACCATTGGCATTCATCACCACCTCAATTCTCCTCCACCAAACAGAACCAACCACATTCGGAGTGCATTGGCACTCAATTCTGCATTGCAGAAACATGTCACAACATTTGGCAAGTCAGGTAAGCATAATATCACTTTCTCCAATGTGCCTTCCAAAACTGACACCCTCCTTGGCTTCGAGCTTCTCGGGCCATGACCCCTCTATTCAGTGATGAATTGATCATCAGCAATGATCAAATCAGCTGTTTCCGTCACCTGGTAATTTTTTCCCGCTTCTTTTTTTTGACCACAAAATTGATTTATTCAGCACTCATGAGCAGTTCTCGAGACGTGAATCAGTCCAGCTGGCTCCCACCATATTGTAAGTCCAAACACCTGCTCCCTCCTCCTTCATACTTCTCCCATTCCTTCATCTGACAACTACATCAGCCACGTTCATACTCATATTCCTGCTTCCATCCTTCCTTGCACTTGTCACCGAACAATGGCCCATGTCCAACACAAATGCTTCTCACTCTCTTCCCGGTACGCCATGACTTTCCCAGAAGGAAGTACGAGGCAAGCCTGCATCAGAACTCCAGCGTCACTTCGTGACTGCACAATGGCTCTTCTGTGCAGCTACTTCTCCTTTGCTCATCAGTCAAGCGTGCTACGGCACTGCAATTTGCAGAGCTTTGGTGATTTAATGCCTCTTGGAAAACTTCTGGGTCGGTCTGGTTGGAAAGGATCATAGAGTTGAGGTTTCTGCTGTGCTTGTGAATAGTCTTGTTTGTTTTTCGACTTGTTGCCTGGGAGATGCGAATGTACCAGAGTCAAAAACCGGAGCAGCTGCAATCGCCTCAAAGATCTGGATAATTCGATGCCTCAAGCATCCACGAAGTTTGAATTCCCTCCCCTCTCTCTGACTAACTACTTACTGATCTTTAAGAATCTTCTTGTAAATCATGGACAACTCGATGGCTGAAGCATCTGCAAGGTTTGCACTCCCCTCCTCCTCTCTGCCTGACTACTAACCTTCAAGCCCTGCCACCCTTGCCACGAGACCAGGCGAAGCACCGTTGCCGATCTCCTTGGCGAGCTCAGGTTTGACTCTCCATCCCTTCTCCATATTTCTACTCACTGATTTTCCCTGGTCAGGCCTGATACTTCCCGTCAAAGACATCAGCCAGCTTGGCGCTTCACACGCAAAACTTTTCGACCTCTGCAAAGGGTGTTACGTTGCTCAAGAAAAACCTCATTTGGATAGGATTGGAGGATTGGGGGATTGGAGGAGTTGGTGCTTGGATTAGGGGCATGGTAGCACTTTAGAAACTCATTGCAAAATTGCAACACACTGATACAAACTCAATGCAATGCAGTTTATCACCACCATATTCTACTTTATATCTTCGCAGTTACTGCTCTTTGCCTTTGCCAAATTGACGTCACGCAAACCCAACCTGCGTTGTTCTTGCCGTGGGATGGTGCTGTCAGAATCGCCGTCAAGTTGCTGTGGCATACGTCACTATGGTAATCAGTGGCAGCCGTCGCGGCATGGTTACCTACCGCCTGAGGTTGCTACCGCCAGGGGAGCCGTTGCAGATCGTCCGCCAACCCAGTTCCATGATGCGAGTATAAGCAAATTCAGCAGGACAAGTTCAGATGGGGTTTCTGTATTTATTCTTGCATCCGATATTTTACTTAACGGCTTTCCGTCCTATTCGTCTTTGAAGTCATGGACCAACGCACGCTATTTTGGGCAATGTGTGACCACAACCTTGAGGTGCACCACGGAACTTCTGGCAGGACCACCGATGATATATAATGGTAACATTACTTCATGAAAGTCTCCAAAGATTTGTCAGCACACAAAGTAAAGATCCCGGAAACGCGTATAGTGGACCTGGACAACAGTGCAAATATAATGGCCAATCTGGACTACCTTTAGATGCCTAGGGCATGAGATGACATGCGGTTTGGTGAAGAGCAACAACTGTGATGACATGAGCTGTATCAACAAAGTCACGAACAAAAACTTGAAGGCTAGCTCTGAAAAAGGAGTCCTGGTGTGTTTGGCGATGGAGTCTAAAACCGCAGTGGGAGCTGCACTACCCTAAAGCCACCCCTGATAGCCACTGTGAGTGCGCATAGACCTCCAACTCGATGTTCTCCAATCTTCGCGACTAGGACGACGTTTACATCTGACTTTGGTGAATGACTTTGGCGTATAGTTCCCAAAGGATACATGCGATCATAGCGCTAGACAGCAGTATTGTTAAGATATCTCGTGTTTAAAGGTACTTCGCTAGGATGCGTGACGCTTGCGCCAAGCATCAAACTATGTGCAACCTTCCAGTAGAACCAGGCAATGCCAGCTTCCAAGTTGACCGATAAGCCACTTTAAATGACCCCAGAGTGGACAATCTTGCCAATCCTCATCCTTTTGGAACGTTATTTTGCGCAAGCCGGGATTCTAGGACAGACCGGAGATGTTGTTGCATTTACCCCGCTCAAACACGTCTTGGTCTGCAGCGCGGATACTACGGAATGGGGGTGCAGCCTCGGAATGCCTCAAGCGGTTAACAAGATACACGGCACACACAGGTGTTGTGACATGGGGTAGCCGCTACACCGCGTAGTCAACAGGCATATCCAGTTTAGTCCACCTGCGTGCGCCGTTTATTCAGTTGGATCGGCATCATTGCTGAGGTGAAACTCGAGATAGTAGCGCAAACCACAGCTTCAATCTTCAATGCCGAGAAAGGCAGGTCAGACGAACTGGTATTTGTCCATGACGACTATACTCTGTCGATATTAACTGAATGAACTTCCTCGCCGATATTTACGAACCAGATCATCCCTGCCTAACCTCCCGGCTATTTGCGATATGAGATCTCCGGCCTAGAGCCTACGCCGGGTCCTGCATCCGACACGGTGCAATCTATTAAAGACATACTGAGTGCATACTGATGCATTATCAAGACGTAAAGCTAATATTCCAATTGACCTTCTACTCATCTGATCCAGCGAAGAGGGGCGTTACTGCCTCGCGCTACTTTAGTACCTGGTATGCCCTCTTTTCATCGTCGTTTCTATTTCATTACACTTGCTGAGTTCGCGAGCTAATTCGTCTGTGCTTAGAAAATGCTGCTCTTCAAGCTTTTTCCATCGCTCCTGCTGTCGGCCATCTTGAACATCGGTGGGGGATTACTCGCCGCCGCTGGACAGTATTCGGATGCGAGTACAGCAATCGATGGGAAGCCGTTTCCGCCGTTGATCAAGGCAACGTTGGAAGATCTTGTGTCAGGGCTCGAATCCGGGTTGTTCACAAGCGTAGACTTGGTCAAGGCCTATACTTCGCGGATCCTAGAAGTCAATTCGACTCTCAAGATGGTCACGGAGCTCAACACTGATGCTCTGTTAATTGCGGCGGAAGCGGATGCTTTGCGAGCAGAGGGGACAGTCCTGAGTCCACTTCACGGCATCCCCATTCTCCTGAAGAACAACATAGCAACCATGGACGCCATGCCCAATACTGCTGGATCATATGCACTCCTCGGCGTGAAGGTCCCCGAAGACAGCACCATGGCCGCAAAACTCAGAAAAGCCGGGGCAATTCTCTTGGGTAAAACCAATTTGAGTCAGTGGGCGAATTTCCGCAGCTACAACACATCGAATGGATGGTCGGCTTGGGGTGGACAGACCGAGGGTGCTTACTACCCCGGGCAAGATCCTTCTGGTTCAAGTTCTGGCAGCGGTGTTGCGAGCTCGCTGGGCCTGGCTTTAGCCTGCCTCGGAACAGAGACGGACGGTTCTATAGTCTCGCCTTCGAACGTTAACAATCTCGTCGGCATCAAACCCACAGTTGGGCTGACTTCAAGATACCTTGTGGTGGGTATCTCTGAGCGCCAAGACACCATAGGCCCGATGGCGAGAACGGTCAAGGATGCTGCCTACATTCTAGCAGCCATAGCTGGACAGGACCCGAACGACAACTACACATCTGCGATTCCTTTCAGCGCCACGCCGGATTATGTCGCAGCCTGCAATTACCATGCTCTAAAGGGGAAACGTATTGGTGTCCCGCGAAATGTATTTGACATCACTGGATTCGAAGAGCAATACGGACCTATCGTGGCAGCATTCAATGCTTCGCTCGACACCATCCGTGCCGCCGGGGCCGAAGTGGTCGACGATATCTACCTGGAAGGGTATGATGCCATAGCCAATGCGACCTTTGAGCAAGTCGTTCTCATGGCCGATATTGTCAAGAATCTTGCCTCATACCTTTCCGAGCTTGCGGTGAACCCGAACAACCTCACATCCCTGTCGGATGTGCAAGAGTTTACGCAAAACTTCACTCTCGAAGAATGGCCCGAACGAGATACGGGAATTTGGGAGGATGCACTAGCTCTAGACTACGGTAACGAATCACCTGAATTCTGGTCGAATTACACGGCCGACCTCTATTACGGCGGCCTACTTGGCATCACTGGTGCTCTCACGAACCTCTCTCTAGATGCACTGGTGGTCCCGACTACTTTTGCGTCAACCCTTCCTGCCATCATCGGGGCGCCAATCGTCACAGTTCCGTTGGGCAAGTATCCTGAGAACACGACAGTTGTTCCGAATGCGTTTGGTAATCTGAACAACACGGCGCCGAACATCCCCTTTGGAGTTAGCTTCTTGGGCGAGCACTGGAGCGAGGAGAAGTTGATAGGATTTGCGTATGCGTTTGAGCAGCGGACAAAGGTTCGGAATACCATCCAGCCGTACATCCAGCCGCAGACGGAGCTTGTAGATATTGTCAACAAGAGAGTGACCGAGGGATCTGGCAGAGCTGAGATCAAGATTTAATGTTGGATTTGACTAATTGATAGATTCAATGGGATGAGTGCACCAAGATAATGTCAAATGAGTAATCGATGGGTTTTCTAGAAGTCCCAGAGGGTTGGCCTTGTTAGTTGCATTCCATATAGCCAACTGTGACGCTCCCAACGAGATTCTGCATGAAGAGCCAAGAAGATCAATATCGTAGACATCACGCCATACACATATTCCTGAGATTAAATACGATGCAGTGCAAGTGCATCGCCGGTGGCAGTGAAGTATATCACAGTACGACAGACCGTGTATATGTCCACACAACACTCCCGCACTGTGCTGACTCAAGCTAAAATTCAATCTGCAGCTGCCAAAGACGGGTTGTCAATCCTGCGACTGGCAAAGAAACGACCAACCTGTGTCATTATCTGCGGTTCTGCTGTGAATCGAGTTGTGCACAGGTATTTTGATACAAACGATGCATTTACTACCACGGGAACTCCACGACGAGGATATCTTCATCCAAATGGTCTCTACGCCTCAGCCAGCAGCTCACGCTGGAGACCCCTTGGACGATGTATTCGGGTCCGATTCCGGATCTCCCGTCTTCGCTGCACACCGCGGATTGGAGAGCAGAGAATCTCACCCGTCAGACGTCCGGCGTCTCGAGACCGAACATGCCACTGCAGGGTACCGCGAGGGCATCACTGCAGCCAAAGCCACAAGCATCCAGGCCGGCTTCGACGAAGGCTTCAGCCTTGGCGCAACTATCGGCCTGAAAGCTGGGCAGCTGCTTGGGTATCTTGAAGGGATCGCTGGTGCCCTGCGAGCCGCTGGCGGCGAAGACTTCCAACACGCATCGCTTCAATTACAGAATGCGCGCAGAGAGCTAAGCACCGACATGATTTTCACCGAGCAGTATTGGAACTCAGACGGTACGTGGAAGTATGAGATTGAGGGACTCGACAATGGGAGCGGCGGTGATATCGTCTTCGAGGACGTGGCGAGTGGGCATCCTGTGATTTCCAAATGGGCTGAGGTTGTGAAACGAGAAGAGGACCGATGGGTTCTCAATGGGGAAGTCTTGGATACGGGAAATGTTGAGACAGCCCGTGAGGGCGTGTCGGAGGAGAAGGACACGGCTGAGCAACAAACACAATCGCAACCGCGCGAGATGCTGGATTGGTGACATCGTTTCATTTACCCCAAATTCCGTGCGAACGCCCCGTTGTGGCCGATCAGGGTCATCTCTCTGTCCTTGTTGGGTGGAGACGATTGTGCTCGTTCTGACTACCGACTTCGCAGTCAATAACACAAGTTTGTCAGCAGGTCGGTTCGAGAGACCAACCTTTCAACCAACACCATTGAACACAACGAGTAGATTGACACGTGCGTCTGGCCATACGTCCGTTCAAGGCTGAAAATAATCTCGAGGGAAAATACGGCAGCCCGCATGCTGAGTGGCCAGTTAAGGGCGCCATCCAATATCCCCAGATCGACAGGACAATGACTATGGATGATGCGCACGCACCAATAGTCCCACTACAATGCATATAGCGAGCATGGATGACAGCAGGATCAAAATGAGCTGCGTTATTTACGCCTCGCGTCTACTCGGGATAATTGAAACCTACCTCAGCTGATGGTAGCTTTTTCTGCCCACCGAGAACAGGCATCAGTCTCGTTGGACTAGACCGGCTTCATGCACCCCTTTCGGGGGAGAAGGGTGGCATTGAGACATCCTTCCAAATCCAGCTGGCCAGGCCCAAATCCAGCTGACTGCTCTACAAGGATACTCCTGGCTGGAGGTCAACAGGTTCATCTAAACGCTTCTGTCAACCAGAGTAATGCAGGCACAAGAAAGAATCGTGTTTCACATACTACGTACTGGGAAGGGAAAGCAGGCCAAGTGCCATACAAAATTTCCAGGGTCATGGCGGCGGTGGACTACTGTGAGCTTGAAACGCCAGGCCCTCATCCCATTCTCGTGGAGCGGGGCAGACGTGGTCTTCTAGCTTAAGTGATTGGCCAAATAGCCTGCCAACCAAGACAACCTTAAAAGCCCATCCTTGTTTAGATGCAGGAACATACCAAGAAGCGCAAGAGCACGCATCCACAACGCCATCATTGGTCCCCTTGCGGCCATCCACTGTGGAGGGTGACATCTGACCTCCTGGCACCTGCTTTTGCCTGGGTCGTTCGGTCCCTGATCAGCCCAAATCACTGGGCTATCACAATATTCAACAGAGGACTGGGGCTGCTTGGTTGCCTCTTGCATAATTATCGGCCAAATGTGCGCTGTTTGGGAGGCGCTGCGCCCCGATTCCTGCTGATCTGATGGCACACAACGGCCAAATGAACGAATGACGTTTCTCCAAGTCCCGTTCGGTGACGCCAAGATTTACGTGTAAATGAAGCAACCCACGCCTTGCCCCAAATAGCAAGATGGCGTGGAAGCTTATCCAGCTCGAGTCCCTGTGGCGTTTTCTTACCTGAGTCGCCAGTCGACCAAGCGGTCAATAGGTGCAGTTCGGCAGCTGTGGTGGTGATGCCCACCGTTTATCGTTTGGCTATAAGAGAGAGGCCCTGCTCCCTGCCATCCGGAGGCATATTTCGCGTCCCACTGTCCACGCAACCAATCCGGGTTTGACTCAAGGCCATCATCGTCACTCCTTAATACCATCGTTCGTTCATTAATAAGTATCTTCGATATACCACATTCTCTTTTCCAACAGTCTTAATTCAGACCTCGGCCTCGCAACCCTGATTACTTGCAGACTACCCACTCTCACAAGCAAAATGAAGACTTCAGTTCTCTCCATGCTCACTTTGGCTACCTCCGTCGCCGCCACTGGCAGCTTGGTTGACTGGCTCAAGGGCTTGGGTGGTGACGACGACAACAGTGGCAATGGAGGCAACAGCGAGGAAGACTGCACCACCACCACCGAAGGCTATGGCTACGAAACCACGAGTTACGAGTATACCCAGACCTACGACTACAGCAGCAAGACCAAGAGCTGGGGTTCCAGCATAGACAAGTATACTACGTCAACTATCTATGCCACTTCGGTCCAGACTATCACTTCCTGCGCTCCCACGGTCACCGACTGCCCCGGAGATAAGGGGGCAACAGTCGTCATCACCATTCCCATTTCTACCACGATCTGCCCAGTGACGGCAACGGAGAGCGAGTCGGTGTCCACGGAGACGTACTCCTCTTCCGCGCTACCCGTTGAGACTTATACTTCCTCGGTGCCGGAGACCACCATCGTCACAACTTCTTCATATGCTCCTATCTACTCTCAGTCCATCCCTTCATACACCCTGGCCGTCCCTACCTCAGCCGAGACCACAGTCGTCGCCACCCTGCCCACTAGTGCCGCTTCCTCCGCCACCACTCTCATCACTCCCTCGGTGACTACCTACCCTGCTGGTGGCGTCGGAACGACGTCTACCTACGTCACAAACACTCCTACCGCATCCCAGGCTATCGTCACTGCCGGTGCCGTGCAAAATGCGCGTCGGGCCGGTGGTGTCATCGCTGCTGCTGCTTTGGCCGCGGTTTTCATCTAAACAGTCGATTTGGGGGAATGGAAAGTCGATGATGGGATGATAACAGGCTATTTTTCGAAAACCCATCATCTGTAAATACCTAGGGTAACTACTGAATTCGGGGTGGTCTAAGGATTAGGGGTCACGGTGATGGAAATAATGAGGTGCAAGAAAAAAAAAAAATTTCTGTACCCGATGTTAAAGATTCCCATTTGGCCCAGCTAGATTCGATCTAGTTTAGATATTCGCATATTTCACTTCTGATAGCTTATTTGATCTCTTGCCTTCCGACTAGTTCGATGTAAGTGACTATATGCTGTCGGATCTTGTATAAATGTCACCTACCTCATTTTGACAACAACCACTCGCTGGTCGTCCATCTGAGCGACCCTCTGACTCAGGCATATGTAGTATTGTAACCCGTGAAACTCACGTGCAACCCCTCAATGGGCATTCCGTAAACCCCACTGCTGACGCAGTGCACTGCCAGTGAAACGTGAAATAGCATTTGGGTGGGCGAATTGAGTCGGTACACGTTCATCCATTTAGGCTAGGCTATGAATGAGGTGGTTGGGTGTACGCGAAGAATACGTATAAGTCAAGTCGGTCGGTCCATGAGCTGTATGTATCGGCTGTGGTGCTGACCCTGAGTGGATTTAAAGTAATTAAGCTTGTGCTGTGTTGCGTCGTGTTCTGGAACAAAGACAAAGTCGTGTAAGGTGACGGGTGGGTGTTTATCTGGAACCGCTCGTTTCAAAAGGGACGGCTGGTTGTTTGACAGCTTTGGAGGTAGGGCGTATAAACAAGGGCTCGTGTTCTTGATTAACGGGTGTATGTTGATGCTGGCAGACATAGTCACTTCTCCGGGATGGCTTGGGAGATGTCTTTAACACAGTTTTAGCCTAGATGGGCCTGAAATGCTGTATACTAATGATCTCGTAAAACATATATTGGGAGTCGTCGTGTTCTGATTTCGGCGGCACTTAGGATCGGCTGTCTTACACCTGGGTTGACCTCTCGACCTTATTATGCTGTTCCAAGCGGAGGTTTTCATATGGGCTGACTGACTGACTGGTCTTGTTCACCAGTCGGTAAAAGTTGCTTCGTACGATGGGAAATATGACTTCTTGACATGCGCTATCTCCGGCTTCGGTCTAGCGATGCGGTCCAGGAACAATGTGCCCAAAACTCGGCCTTCAACGGCTGGAATGTCGTTTTCCAACATAGTTTCCAGAGACTGCCATGCTCAACTCGTTTGTTTCCAGCTTGCCATTGAATTATCGAACTGTGAAATAGAGGCCGGATGCTGGAGAGGGCTAGGGCTCGAAGCCTGATTGCCTGGTTGCATCGTGAACATTGGTCCCCGGGCATGAGACCAACTTTGCCACAGAATCGTCTGGATCGATGTGTAGGCTTTCGACTCTTCCTGCGATCTCAACGCAAGGCCCAGCCTAGGATCAAACAAACCCATCGTTAATTTTGTAACAGCAGACCACCCCTATGTATTTCAAACCGAATGAAGGAGGCGGCCATGCCCCCTTTTGCATTCATATGCTTAACACACAGCCCCTAGCCTTCCCAGCCCCCATTGAGAACCCCCTTTCATCGCAACCTGCGTCCAACAAGATGATTTCCCCAGCGGCCGCGAATGCCCTGTACCGCCATCCACAACACTTCCCTCTCATCTACACTAACCGCAGCCCTAAGCACCTCTCCCACGGCTCAGCCCGTAAATATTGTATACAGAGCAGAAGACAGGGCCGCCGGAGCGGAAGACGAGGGTTTGCAAGCGGCAGGTTGGCACGGCCGAACTGCCATCTGTGGGCGTGGACCAGCCAGCTTCAGTCATGGAGAGAGGAGACAATCTTGCTAGCAGGGCCAAATTTGGACTTAGTCGGGTACTCGAGCAGTTACCACTTGCTCGTTTTGTTCTTCAGCCTTATACATCATGCCAGTGTACACAGTGCATCGTCCGCAGCAGTTTTCGAACCCGTTGTAGGTCAGGTCAATCGAGCTTCTCCTCGAGTTTGAAATAAATGCATGGTGAGTCTCTTGGGCGTGGTGGAGATCCCAACATGTATCGCCATTTCTGGCCCTACAAGCGTGGTCGTCAGTTGGCCAGAACTTCGAGTCAAGCCGTTGCAATACAGCGCCAGTGAACACACAAGTACAGTTCACTTGAGGTTACAGTGGGAGAAACTGTTTGACGATTCCGACGGAATCTGCGCGGAGAGGATATCGTCTCCCTTAGGACGAACCCAGCCCTGCAGCTCCCAGTATTTGTTCCGCATGCCGTTCTAAGCTGGGAGATTGGGACACGAATTGGGCAACTGAGATTGAAGCACCGTTTACTTGTGGATTTCGTTGCGAAACATGTTTGATCATGCATGATGCTCCGAACCTAGCGGGAGACGAGGTTGAACCGGCACAGACCCGACGTATATATGCAACTTTTTCACATTGGAAGACAGCAACCTGGTCGCATAGGTAGCCTAAGGTGTTTTGTTTCGAAACATATTCCACCAAGTAGCATTCCAACTCATTTTCAGGGATTCCAAGAATCCGACATAAACGACACATAGTCCAACAACTCTGCCGTGTAGCCAACGCGTCCAAGTTTGTTCTCTTGCTAGACCGAGCCCATGACGACTCGCGGAAGCTGTTGTTTCACTCATGTTTGTTTCCGAGCTCCATAAGAGCCCAAATAGCGGGCCACTGGGAGCACGATAACCATCACGCGGTTGAAGTCCGCTCGATTCCAAATAGGTTGGGCGCTTGGTATCTCCAATGGAAACAAACCACAACGAGGCACACGACGAAATAACGACCATGAGGCTCAGCGATTCCAGCCAACCGTTAGGCCGGTAGGGAGGGTATAGTTCTCCAACGGTGCCGATGACTCTTCCGGACATCACCATTTCATTCTGACTGTCGCGATGGAAATGCCTAACGCAGGGAGGTGGTTGTGCTACTCATGAACGCCTTCAATCACCACTCATCCGCTTCGTCAACTCCTCGATGCGGACGCTTCCACCAAGAAGATCCCTGACAGTCTCTCGGTCTCGACCATTCTCGCCCTGCACCACCATCTTCAGTATGTGTCCGTCGTCATCCATGACCAGCCGGCCCGTCTTTTCATCGGCCCACTGGATCCGGATCTGCTTGATCTCCGCATCAGCAGCGCTGATATCCACAATGGGAAACTCGACCTCCTTCCGCTTCCCCTTTTTGCTCTCCAGCCCAGCTGAATTCCTCAAATCCCCAATGACGCCCACTCTATTTTGGTATCGGACGAGCTCCCTCCTCAGAGCCCGCGCAAACCGGGAGAGGTCTTGTTCTTGGGGGGCATTGTGGTCATCATTGCCTGATCTTGGTGCCGGTAGATGTCGCGCCGCCAAGCCAGCGAGAGGGATGGACGGCGGTACGGTATGGCGATGGATGCGCAGGCGGCGTGAGTCGGGATACGGGCGATTGAGCATGACGTAGTAAGGGCGGATGAATCTGGACTTGGACATGACCTCGAAGCGTAGGCCGAGGACATTGCCTTCGTCGACAGCGTTCGGGTCGGGATCGCGGATCTTCAGCGCAGTGACGGAGGCGCATGCTCGGTAGAGGCATTGCTGCTTGTGGGCGATTTGTTGATCGGATTGCGCCATAATTCTGGCCTTGGAGTCATCGTCGGGACCCTGCCGGATAATTTCGCGCGTTGAGTCTGCTGTCAGGAGGGTTGTCGCTTGGAGTTTGAGCTCCCTTTTGAGTGATCCCACTGGGCCCAGTTAGGACTTGCTTCTTGTAAGTAAACCATGGATTGATGCCACATGCCTTGGGATCTCAGAATCGCAATTTCATTGTCTAACTTGTCTGCAACAGACAGATCTGGCGACTGCGACGTCCGACTCGACATGTTTAAACCGACCCGTTGGGGCGGACTCGGGCAGGTTTGGGACTATTTGCAACAATGGAAGTATCGCGTCGAGACGCGCCCCCATACCTTATCGCAGATCGAAGCTTGACCTTATCTGATCAAGCGGCGGGGAATGTGATGTCTTTTTAACCATTTGCGGCAAGAGTTGCCCCTGGGCATGGACCAGGACCCTCGGTATCGTGCCGCCCAACTCCACCTGCAAGCTGCAGTTCCCTCGTCGACTTGCAGAAAAGTCGTTGTGTCGTCCCCCGACAGTGCCAAAGATGCAACTGGTCAGAGATGGACTAGGTAGGGGAATTTGCGTTTGCGATCTTCAAAAATCTTTGTTTGTATTGTGTATCGTTCCCATAACAGCTTATCTTTACAACTCTCTCGCGCCAAAAGCGGGTTCACTCTTTGTCACTTCTCACGATCCGAAAAGGCCACGGTTGCTCATTGTCCCGCCAAGTCAGGCCTGAAGCTCCAAGCACCAGACCATCTCGCAGCTGGAGCTTCTTCCAATTACATCTTCTTGTGCGCGTGCAGTTCCCGCTGTAGCGCAGCGAGTCATAGCTATACCTCTGGCCATTAGGTACTTCGGATGTGCTGACTGCTGCGGTGCCTGGCCTATTCGATCCATATATGTCCCTCGTTGCCTGCCTACCTCACAGGAGTTCTCCGAGCTGCAACTTCATCTTCCAACATATTCCCAACGCAGAAATACCCTAGACGCAAACCTATACCTTGTATTCCGACACGCAAAGACGGACCCGAAGAATAAACTCGTTTCCCGAAATAAACATTGCCTTTGCGCCAGAATCACCTATGGGAGTCAAAACTCGACGCTCGAAGTCGCCGACCCGTGACAAGCTGTCAGTCTCGACGAGCGGCCGTGCCAACGGCTCTGCGAAGAACGGCAGCATGGACGGTGAATATCGGCGGAAGAACACTCCTCTCAAGCCAGATTCGGCCAAGGTCACTGGGAATCTGATGGAGCGGGAGTTCTTCTCTCTAGACGACCATGTCCCAAAGACGCCAACAGTCAATAATCATGGATTTTGGGAGCTTCCCATACAAGACCAGAGGAACTTTGGGCTGCTCGTGTTGCTGTACTTTCTCCAGGGCATCCCCATGGGCTTGGCCATTGGGTCCGTACCTTTCCTTCTGAAGGAGCACCTCTCCTACAGTCAAATTGGTGTTTTTACTTTGGCTGGATATCCCTACTCTCTGAAGCTGTTATGGAGTCCGATTGTCGACGCCATGTGGAGTCCAAAGGTGGGAAGGAGAAAGAGCTGGATTCTTCCTATCCAACTTGTGTCAGGGCTGGGCATGCTGGTACTGGGCTCCTACATTGAGGACCTCATGGCTACCACGGGCAAGCCAGGTGGACCGACAGTATGGAACTTCACCGGATGGTGGTTCTTCCTCGTCTTCACGTGCGCTACCCAAGATATTGCCGTGGACGGCTGGGCTTTGACGCTTCTTACCCCTGGCAATGTCTCATACGCTTCTACGGCCCAAACCGTTGGTCTTACTGCCGGACAATTCATGTCGTACACTGTCTTCCTAGCCTTCAACTCAAAGGACTTCGCGAATCGATGGTTCAGGTCCGAAGCGCTGGAAAGTGGGTTGATGAGCTTGGGCGGATACCTGACTTTCTGGGGTTGGGCTTACATTGTCGTGACGATTGGCCTTGCTGTGATCAAGAAAGAGGAGAAGACGCGCAACGAAGACGGTATCTGGGATGTTTACAAGATCATGTGGGGAGTGTTGAAGCTCAAGAATATCCAGACCATCATCATCGTCCACCTCATTTCGAAGATTGGCTTCCAGGCCAATGACGGTGTCACCAACCTAAAGCTCTTGGATAAGGGATTTGGCAAGGAGAACATGGCCCTGACCGTATTGATCGACTTCCCCTTTGAGATTGGACTGGGCTACTACGCGGGCAAGTGGTCTCAGGAGTACACTCCGATGCGTCTCTGGTGCTGGGGCTTCATGGGTCGTTTGGCTGCCGCAGTCGTTGCTCAAGTCACTGTGAGCATCTTCCCGGCCGGAGGGGTCACGCTTTGGTACATGCTCGTGGTGATTGCCGAGCACCTCTTCTCAACATTCACCAACACCATCATGTTTGTCGCCATTTCGGCTTTCCACGCCAGGGTAGCCGATCCCGTGATCGGTGGGACTTACATGACCCTGCTTGCAACGTAAGTGATGCCTATTGTCTGTTATTACATAAACAAACTAACTCGGATATAGGGTAAGCAACCTCGGAGGTACATTCCCCAGGTTCTTTGTTCTTCGGCTGGTCGACTACTTCACCCAAGCCACGTGCCACCCTCCCGCCGGGAACGTCGATTCCTCGTTGCTTAAGGGACCACTGGTGACGACACCGTACTCTTGCGCCATTCAAGTCGATAAGGAGAGATGCCTAAATGGAGGGGGTACATGTGAGGTTATCCACGACGGATACTACATCGTCAATGTTTTCTGTGTCATCGTCGGCTTGCTGACATTCACGATGTACATCCGACCCAAGGTATTGCATCTGCAAAGCCTGCCATTAAAGGCGTGGAGGTTGGCAGGTTCAAGGTAATCTGAAGAGGGGGGCGACGAGAGGGGGGCGACGAGAGGATACGATATCGCTGCATAGCTGTATAGTAGACAATCGAATTCGATGAGCTTCAATGACTTTGACTTCGCTTCTCGTGAGGACATTCTTGTGACATAGCTCCAACAAGACAAGTGGTTCTTGATCGATTCCTCAGGAAGTTGTGGAGCGGTGACATGGGCGACACTCGGAGGAGCTGCTGTCTCCATGATGGATTCATCTCGTCCCAGCCCTGGGACTATACAAATTGACATGAAAGTGTATTAGACTGCACAGCAGCAAGAATTTTAGTCTATCATTCTATTGAGAACTTGTCCCATCTCAGCTTCATCTTCTCCAAAAGCGGATTTTTATGTTCCCTGCTTTATATACCCCATTGATCTATCCCAATCTTTAGTCAGTATGTTGTGCGGCCCAGGAGCTACTCTCGTTAGACCCCCCAGTTCCCGTGGACTGCAATTGCTTCTGACAGTGATGCCGTCTCCTCATGTCCAGCATGGTGAATTAGTTGTGTCTGCGAACCGCTACTATGAGCTTGATTATCAACAAGAATGGCCGGCAGCGGCTCTAAAAGCAACCCTTTCTCAATTTCCACGCAAGTATGGTGTTGCAATGTCTGGCTCGGATGGCCCAGGGTATCGAGCTGGAAAGTCTCGCGGGAGTCTTGGAGGTGTTCGAGTGGGTTGTGCCTTTTTCTGGTCTCTGCTGTGCCGATGGTCTGCACGCCGTTGAAGGTGGGTTGGTGCATGCTGTTTCGGTGCTTCTTGCGGAACGTCATATGTAAATTGTGGATGACAGGCAAGCTGGCGCAGATGGATGCTAAGTTGGGCTCTAGGGTGCAAAAGAATGTGGAGTAGGCAGACGTGTAGATGAAGTCGCCATACCCAGTGGAGATGATCAAACAGGCTGTCAACATAACAGCCACGCTGTCAGACATGAGTTAGCGTGGAAGACAAATCAAAATTAAAGATAGCTGGTCACTCACAGTAGTCCAGAGGCAAAGAGGCAACTCAGTCCCATCTTGGAGCTCCGCTTCATCTGCAGGCGCCATATCACCGGCATGGGCAGAGTAAGAAGCAACACGTCGCTAGCTATAGTGAAGCTGCAGCTCGAGAAATAAATGTTCTGTCTGTCGCCGCAGTCACCCTCGTGACCTATTTTCCACATGCTGCTGAGCGGCCTGCAGAGAAGTACTATCCAGAAGAGGTGGGCCAGAAACCCCAGGAGGATGAATGCAATGGAGGCTTTGGTCGCTTTTTGCATCCGCTCATGGGCGAAGACGCGCAGATAGAGACCCAAGGTACTCAGCTTGGCTGAACAAGTACCAAGCTGGTAGTTCAGCTCGAAAATGAACAGCATCTGGCCGTTTGTATTATTCATCAGTTTAAGTCATGTGTGTGTAAGTTGCTTAGGGGTTTCCCCTACTTACCTTCTTATGGTCCTCATAGTCTATGTCTGTGTTGGCCCCTTCGATGGAGGGCCCAAGGCCACTGTAAGCAACTGAACCCCCCAACTTTAGCTTTCTAATTGCAACAAAGATGGACCGGTGGCATGGAAACCTACAGAAACAAAAGAGAACAGTGTTGACCAAGCCGAACACCGTACTAACACACACAAACCCGTCGTCCCGACGTAACTTGGTCTTGCGAATTCTCACACAGAGCAATCGCAGGCCCAGCGCTATGAGCGCAAGCAGTTGCACAACGCACGCGATAATGAGGAATGCTCGCACCAATGGGTTGGCAGGGATCTCAACCCAGACCATGGCAAGACACTTACACACGAGTGACAAAGTCCGTGGGCAGAGTGCGGGTTGTGGTTTCACGAAGATGGCGGTCAGAAATTTGTGAAATGTAGATTGCAATATATATGGGCAGACTTTTGTTTGCATCATTTCGTCAACATGCAAGGGGTTGTGCAGTTGGTGATAGTTGTTATGGTCTTGGCCCAATGGGAACACAGCATCGATGTTACACAGCTTGTCAAAGTCCCTTGAATGAACCCAGCCACATCTATAAATATTTCTTGCCCGAAGCAAACATCGATTGTTGACTCGTGCATGAGATACTAGCCTTTTGGACATGGTTTTATAGGGTTGTGCGGTAAGGGAAGTGTTCCCATGTTGGTCACGTGTGTGTCCCTCGGGGTCTCGCAGAAGCGTATGAAAAGGTATTCGCTTTCCAGAATCCTCAGAAGCACATCGATGACATCAGGAGTGTCCTGATTTCTTAGCTCGCTGCAGCATAATGCCTGCCGGAGATCTGTGACAGGGTCATGCAACAGAAGTCTAGACTGGCAGCCCCTGAACCCAACCACCTGGCATACGAAGAATCAATTTGCAAGCATTTCTCCGAACAGCCATGGATCGATGATCAAGACTATCTTCGACGGTCCGAAGCCTTCTCCGGCGCTCTTCCGTAGCGGTGCCCATGTGGTTCTACTTACCCCTGACGGACGGACGTTCAAGAATGTGCGTATAGCATGCACATGATATACACCTTTCTCGTGAACGCCGAAGACCCTGAAGTTTCCGACTACACCCCGATTTTCTACCCGGAATCCAGTACCACTCCGTTCATCGCCAGCTTCTGTTCGCACCTCAACAGCATGAGGAAGCTGTGCACGGATGAGCAGTATGGGCTGTTGCTCAAGAGAGCCATGTATAGTATCCAAATGTCTCGTCTCGACTCAACTCGACTCGAGTTAGATCGGAGCAGCAATTTCAAGTCCTTATCAAAATCTTCGAAGCACTTCCCCTGGTGGTGGAAGCAGCTTGCCACAAGCTCGCCACCAGCTCGCCACCACACGTGACACTTATTATCCGGAAGTGTGATGATCTAGCGCTGCGGTTAGCATTGGAGGTCAAGCTGGACCGGTACATGTCATTTGTCAACGATATTGCAGCTGTTACAAGAAGAGGATCCTGGCATATGTGGCAACCCACGAAGAGGTGTTCGCACATATCCATTCGAAAGCCGATGAAGAGGGCTTGCAGCACCTTCTGCAGGAGAGCATCTCCTGCATCGTTCGCTGTCGAGAAACTTGTGATGGGGCTATGAAACTTCTTCGGTCGTTGGATTACTTCTTTCTTGGGTATATCCATTGGCACCTGATGATGGATGATCGTTACAAGCTGAAATCACTCCTTGAGGTGCGCCTTATCCACACTCCACCTCTGGGCACTGTTAACTTTACATTAACAACTGCTTAGACAGACAAATCATAAGCGCATGAGTTCATGGCATCGTCACAGAAAAATGGAAATTTCTTATTTGCCTAAATATCGTTTTGGACCAGAAGCTGGAAGTCTATCATCGGTTTAGACAGTACAATCCGCACTCTTCACTAATACATGGTATGCAGCGTGTAATCTTGCTTCCAAATCTTATGCTTCTATTTGAATTTTCTCACGGATGAGGAGTATGCTATCATGATGCTTGAAAATTTTTGGTGTATTTCCCGTTCGAATAATGTATGGTGCACTGAGGATAAGTGGTTACAGTATGCTGAAATATTTGCCGCCTGTGGAAGAGATTGCATCGTAACATATTCATTGCCTTCAGTTACACACGAGACTCGTGCCACTTCAACAACAAGGGCCGATTGAAATACCAAAAAACGTGGATTTGCAGTGTGTGCCACTCAGAAGCCGTCCGATTCCTGACACGCAATCATTTGTGTCCTCTAAGATCGACTTCAAGTTGAACAACGTGGCGCTCAGAAAACGGCTGGATTGGATTTATTGGATGATGCAGCTATCTTCCGTGACACTTTAATGTTGTGTTCTCTGCGGTTGAACTTTCTGACGCTGCACCAGATGTATGATAGGGAAGCACGACATGAACTCTTATCCAAACATACTGCCAAGGCCCAGGAACAAAGTCGCAACGCAGGTTTGTATAACACCTGCACAGCCGAAAATGAATACTCACACGCAGTTAGAGAGTGTTTTCCGAGGATACGGTAAAACGGTGCCATCAATGACTCGAGATAGAAGGCACATAAAGCAAAGCTTGGATGGTGAAGTATGCTTGGCATATGTAGTGAGAAAATGCCATCCGACTGTTAACAGGAAATGACACCCCGCCCTCCAACTGGCCGAGCAATGCCGCGATGCAGAGACGAACAAAACGGATTGAGATGATAAAAGCTATCTGAGAACGTTCAAGAGAAACGAGACTATGGAGGTTGTGGTGGCAAACATATGGGCATTGGCTGCTTCCTACTTCTGCTACTTGTTACTATCATTCATGACTTCCCAGTCCGCCGCCGCGCGAGATCAGACCCTGCATTCCACCAAACCATCATTGCTATCCCTTCTATCCACAGGTCCTTGGAATTTGGCCCTGGACCCCCTTTCTGCGTTCAATGGCTTTCTCGCTCTGGCATTCATCAGTTGGGATCTTTTCGGTCATGGGTCATACCATCGCCAGATCATGAAAATGCACGATGAATATGGTAGTCAAACCCTCTCATACTAGAAGTAGGAACCTAATGTGCAATTCAGGCTTACTGACCGGATTGATCAGGACCCATTGTGCGTGTCAATCCAAACGAGCTGGTAGTTCAAGATGCGGAATTCTTCCAAACGCTGTACGTAGCAGGAGGCGTCGGAGACGTCAGACGCACGCAGCTACGTCCAGGATTGGGCAACGGCAATGATATGGACCGTATTGTATCCCTCTCCATTGATTATTTTCCATATAATTCTAATTTATCTAGGTGCTCACCCCTATACCGTGGGTCATGATTCCCACCGTCGGCGCCGGAGGCCCCTCGAGCCATTCTTCTCCTGGCTTGGGGTCAGTCAACATCATCCACTACTGTCAGAAATGGCGGCCACACTCGTCAAGCGCCTGGAAGACAAACGCGAAACGAAATCGGTAGTTCGGCTTGATCATGCATTTTTCGCATTCGCGGGCGACTTCGTGACTCGAATCTGTTTCAAGAATCCTGCCTGGTCATTTCTCGAGGAGCCCGATTTTGGCCCCGGATGGTGAGATCCTCTCCCATCCCTGGCATCTGAGTTGCACTTTTTTGACAAAGTGCAGGTATGAGTTGTTGACTACTATGGTCCGCTTTTCTCTAGTTCTGCAGAACTTCGGCTGGATTGCAAAGTGAGTGGCACCAAGAGCGCCTTGCGTTGATACAATTCTAACTTGACTGAAGGATGCCGCAGTGGATTCTGAAACGTCATCTTGAGATGTTCTATCCGCCTGTCCGATATTTGAGGGAATGGAAAGACGTAAGTAAAGCATCGGCCATTGGTTGCTTTTGTTGTGTGGCAAGAACTCATATCATTTCTCCAGATGTCCCTTGCTTCAGTGACTGAAGAGATGCGAATAACCCAGTCCCAGAAGTCACTTGCTCATCGGGAAAACCACGCCAAACCCAACTCTCTCTTTGAGCGTCTATTCAACAGTGACTTGCCAGCATCCGTATTAACCATAGACCGGATTGTCAACGAGGCGCATATACTTCTGCTCACTGAAACTATGTTTGTGGCTCGATCGATGGATCATTTAGTATTTCAAATCCTTTCGAATCCGGAGATCCACAACAGGCTGAGCGAAGAACTTCGCAATGCCATGGCGGAGCATCCAAGGGAACCGCCGTCGGTCCATCGTCTACAACAACTGCCGTACCTTCAGTCTTGTATCAAAGAAGGACTTCGGTGGGTTCATTGGCGCACTTTCCTCAAATCATCACATACTCACTCTTCACAGACTCAGCATTTCCACCTTGCATACGCGGCCCCGAGTGTCTCCAGACGTTGAACTTCATTACAAGGAATGGGTTATTCCTCGTGGGGTATGTGATCGCATAGGGACATGTTCTTGCGCGGACGCAATGCAGCTAATATTGGATATCACAGACCGCGGTTGGGATGCACATATACTCGATGCATATGGACCCTGAGGTATATCCGGAGCCGGCCACCTTCCAGCCAGCCAGATGGTTGGGAGATATTGATCCGAGGATGGCCAGAAACTGGGTGCCTTTCATGAAAGGCTCCCACGGCTGTTTGGATTCCTCGTACGTATCTTCCTTTCTCTTATCCACGGTATCGTTTACTTTCGCTTGTTCTAATTATGCATAGTTTGGCTTTGGCGGAGATATCCATAGTGATATATGCTCTCTTCGGTCCGAAAGGACCGAAATTGAAGCTTTACGAGACAGATGCGTCAGATGTTAGACGAGTACATGGGTTTGTGGGATCACGCCCACGGATGCAAAGCAATGGAGTCAGAGTCACGGTTGAATGACTGATATTTGAGATTTCTTGATGGCAGAGAGCCAAAAGCAAAATAGACATCGCAGTGATAGAAATACTATGCTAAGACTGGGTTTGGTGCGTCAGGTCAACGGGAAACCCACGTCCACCCCTGAAAGCGTTTGGCTTGTAGCTTCGCGTTGATTTAATGAGCGTACTTACCCAGGTTTACAGAGGCAAGCATCTCATATTGAAACAAAAGAGGCGGAGGGCAATATACAGAGTTTAAAGACAGCTCCTAGCTGAGGCCCAGTGCCTACTCTCTCACGCGACAGACCCACTCTAGTGCGTATTCAGGGGTCAACTGTGTAGCTTATTTTCACAAATATTCGCCCATGGCATTTAGCAATACCTGTAAAAATGTCTTCTTTATAGAGATGATAGCAAGAAGACTAAATGACTACAGAAAGATGTGCATGCGATCTGCTACTCTGAGTTACGCGGCAAGAATCTGCGTACACGCAAGCGAAGTCTTTGTGGCTTCAAGGAATGAACACGATCTTGATTCCCACCGCAAGTGCCCAGATGCTTTGGAAATCCCTGCCATCAACTTTTGATTTTGATGTGTTTCCACGGGGCCAATCTCAAAGCATCTACATGTTATGTTGTTCGATCAAAGTAGAGACAAAACTCCAGCATTTTGGCATGACGACTTGTCCTGATTCTGGCTTTAAACTGCTCCAGCAATTCTACTTTTTGTTGTAAAGAGTGTTGGAAGTGTTGTAAGTTCTTGGTCATACTTGAAGGCGGAGGATTGCCGGTCTTGCTTTCCCATTAGTTGGCCCGCTTCCGTCAGACCCATGTCTGGGTTCTCAATGCCAAAATTACCATCAATATCAAAGTAAATAGAAAAATCAATTGATATTTTCTTGCTGGTCTCTACTTCGCCTCTTGTTCCGCCCTGGCCCTCTCATCGGCAGTCATCTCTGCCGCCGCCTGCCCCATCTTGACCGTAGCCACCAAGCAAAGCGACAACGCCGCCAGCCCGACCCCCGTCCAGAACCCAATCTGATACTGCTCACGCAGTCCCAGCTCCCCATGCAGATCCTGCGAAGTCGCAACAGCAAGATCCCCTACGCCGAGCCAGAACGCTATGCCGAGGTACACCAGACAATTGGTGAGCGCCCCGGCCGTAGCCTGAAGCCTGGCCGGTAAGGCCGTCGTGATGAACACGTTTGTGACGTTGAAGCTGATGTCCATGCCGATGGTGCCGCATATCATAGCCGGGAAGACGTGAGACCAGTAGAGGAAGCTGGTTGATGGCTCGCCGGAGGCGGATTGCTCTGGCATTACTGCGAAGAGCAGAACGGAGAGGATGTAGCCGAGCCCCGAGATTATCAGTAGAATACGACCAGGGATCAGATGGAGCACGAAGCCTCCGGTTAATGCTAGGATCATTCCACCTACAGCCAGTGGTGCGAACCAGGCGGCGGTTTGGAAGGGGCTAGTATGGAGGACTGTCTCGATACTGTAGGGAAAACAGTTAGTCCTGACGCATTGGTAGATACGGGGTCGGGAGAGTAACTCACTAATAGCTCGCGTAAAAAAGGTACAGCCCAAAGACGCCGTACGAGCAAAATAAGGAAGCTACGAGGCGTTTCATATACTTTGGACGGAAAGCGTCGGCTGGTAGCAGGGGATCCGCTGAAACCCAGCCCTGTACATAAACGGCGGCGCAGAGGAAAATGCCTCCAAGAATGAAGGAGATGTAGATGTACGGTGTGCGCCAGCCATCTGGCGCATGTCCACCATCTGTCAAGGCGAACACAACGAGAACCAGACCAGGCACGATGGTGCACACTCCCCACCAATCAATTTGGGCCGTCTTGTTACCGAGTCCTAGTTTCCTAGGGATCGTGAGGAACCCTACTACTGTGACTATGAGGCAGAGGATGGCACCGATCCAGAAGTACCACTTCCAGTCCAGCAACTGGCTTGCAAGAGCACCCATGAAGATGCCACAATAGAAGCCTATGACGGCAAATGCACCGTACAAGCTGAAGACGGAGTTCTTGCGCGGGCCAGGCCGGTATGCCTGTCCCAAAAGCGCCATGCCCGCGGGCAAGAAAATACCCGAGCCAATTCCCTGCAACGCTCGACAGACTATCAGCATCGTCGGGTTCTGACTGAAGCCCGCAATGATGGACCATATCAGAAGCCAGATGTGCCCCATGAGGAAGACAAGTCGTCCACCGTACCTATCACACAGGCGTGCGCAGGGCAGAAGAAGAGCCGCCGTCGTCAGATTGGGAACGGCAGCAGGCCAGGTGCGCAAGGCAGTCGGTATTTGTAGTGATTCGGCCAAGGCTGGTGAAATAATGAAGAAGCCGCCGATGAAAAACTCGCTGATCATCATAGATGCCACGACAGAGAAGACGAACCCGCATTCTGCCCAGGCGCTTTTCAAGAGGGCCGGGCGTTGACGGCCCAGACGTTCGATTTCGGCCTTGTCTAGGATTCCGGGGTATTCATTGCTAGATGCTTGCGGGCCTGAGTCCACGTCAAAGATGCCTTCGCTGGCGGCAATGGGTTGCGCCATTGTCCAGTATCGAAGAACCGAGTCCGCAAATAGGTTGACGGGACATACGTAGGAGACTACTCAAGGTGTAGTAGATATACTCACGCTCAAAACTCGTTCAACCTCTCGAGCACTTGCTCTCATAAATGTAACACTCGACAACCCCTTTATAACCCAAGGGGTCGGAAGAGCATAGGACAATCCATGGCCGCCGAGCGGGTCATGACGACGGCCAAAGTGGATTTATCATGTACAGGTTGAAGCTTGGCTACCATATTGAGTAATTAACCTCGCGAGTAGAGACTAGAATGTGGATGGGAAAAACGAGCGGTCGAGACACATGACGACCTCGAGAAATTCTAGATTTGTGACAGCGCAAAGTATGGAGAATTTGGGACAAGAGGAGCTTAGGCCCACCAATATGCGCGAGTTGAATCTTGGCTTCCTTTTGTGGCGTAGCGTGCTAGCAACCCGGTACCTCACAACTCAGAATACTTTCAGAATCATGTTGCTCCATCGATTTGTCCCGTACATAACTCATTCTTGCAAGTGATTCCACCAGAAATGCGTGTGGAACCCATGCTCTTCGATTGTTTGCCGGAGAAAGGCTGATACTGAGAGCCGCAACTCCGACCGAGTCGGTCAGTGGGAGTACCGCCTGAACTTGGATATTTCCAGCCCCAGAGACCATTGCCGGCGGTCGACACGAAAGGGGGAAGCACATCAATCCCTTGGCTTGGGAATATTGGGAATTTCATGTCTGCGTTGAAAGAAGCCAGCTCATCTCGAGGCGAGACGCGAAAGAATTGCCACAATTGCCGTCGTCGCCGTCGAAGGTGTGATCGTTCAGTTCCCGGCTGCCATAAATGCCATAGTACGGGACAGGAATGCCTTGGGTATGGCTCATTGTATCGATGGACCGACTCCATGGTATCACGGGGTCGGATGAATGGGCAGAAGACATTTGCTCCAACAATTTCGAAGAACGGTGACGAGAATGACCACTCATGGGTGATACCATATTTCGAGCGTCGACAGGAGATGCTCATGAATACCCCAAGAGACGAATTGGGTATTCTACTGATGGACCCTTTGTTGCAGGATATGGACTCGTTGTCAAGGCGCTACTTAAGCTACTGTAAGTAAACACGCTCTCCTCCTGTCTTCTCACCATCTCTTATGTACCAACACGACACAGTCGCCGAGCGCTTCTGCCAAGATCTCGTCGTCAACGACTCGCCGCAGCGTGGCGCCAATCCATTCCGAGAACTCATTCCCATGTGTGGAATGCACTCGTTCCTCCAGCATATCATTGTCGCAGCCTCGGCCATCCATTTCTCCAATCTAATGCGCAGTGGGAGCAACAACACATATCCACAGATAGCCACGGACGCACTTGTTGATGCTTTGCATGCACGACATAAAGCCATTAAGGCGCTGCAGCTAGTACTGGAGCGTTACAAGGATGAAGACCGCTCTGAGAGCAAGTATGGAGAGATGGATGCTCTGCTAGCCACAATTGTCTTCTTTATCAACTTCGCCCTCGTCGATTCTGGGAAGGGGGCTTGGCGATCACACATGGAAGCTGCAGGGAGACTTATCATTGCGCAGAGTTCTGAGTATCTCCATCGCTCTGAGAATGCAAAAGACATCAACTCAGCGGAATTTCCAGCTATGTCGGCCAGGCAACAAGATCCAGACGGGACACCTCTATTGGATGTGACAGGAACAGCCCCTGAACTATCCTTCCCCTTGAATCGCCCAATCCACTCGACTTGGCATCATGAGGTGGGAATCCGCGATTACATCGCCTCCGACTTCATGGCCTACTACGTCTGGAACAACACGCTAGACTCGCTCGTCTCCTCAATCGAAGGCTCAACCTCCTGCGCCCCTTCAATCGATTTCAGCGCCCCCGACGTCCTTGCCATCGCCACCCGCACCGAAGCAAATAGCTACCATAGCTGCCCCGCCCACTTGCTCTACACCATCCTTGAGACCTCCCGCCTCATGAAAGAAATATCCTCCAACAGCTCCGGCCTTCCCACCCCCGGGCAAATGGACGCCTGCGCCGCCATCATCCGCGAAGCCCAAGCCTTCGACGTTCACGCCTGGGCCACCGGCGTCTGCGCCGCTAACGCCGAATCCTGCGGACCCGTCGACGAGCTCCAGCTGCGTCTGCGGACGCACATCGCCGCCACATACCGCGCGACGACTTGTCTATTTGTGTTGCTGACCGCGCCTGGACTACAAAACTACGAACACAGCCGCATCCGGCCCGGTGATTCTCCGGACAGTACCCCTATGCTCCCAAACTCGGAGGACTTCGTGGCGACGATTTTGCATCAATTGTCGTTCATTCCTGCCTCTAGCCCGCTGTTCAAGTACACCACTTGGCCCGTCTTTATGACGGGCGTGGAGACAGCGTGTCCGGAGAGGAGGGCATGGGTGATTGAAAGGCTGAGGGCGATGTGGGATATATGTCCGTGGGGCATGCTCAAGTCGGCTATGGAGACACTGTTTTATATCTGGCAATTGAGAGATGATGCCACAGGGGAGAATGGTGGGATGACGAATGAGTCTGTGGGTAAAGAGAAAACGGCAGAGGCGGGTGATGCGACCGGCACCAACTCGCTTATGCAGTTGCGAGGTAATCGAGTTGATTGTTTAATTGTATGACAGATAAGATGCTTGATGCGTTACATACCCTTATATGATTGATATCAATAAGCTACAACACGCTAAGTGTCACAACAAGCCTACTGGGCTATAGCTAGTTTCGGTGAGTGGTCATACTTAAGAATTTTGTCTCGTGCATCCTGGTGTTTCTCGAATTCCTTGAGTTGTTTGGGTCGCACATCATCCTTGGCATTTATGTGGTTCGCCATGATGGATGAGATCGAATGTCAGGATTGCGGTACATGTTCTTTTCAGCAGTGAAGATGGTCAAGTGTTGATTGCGGTGTCGAGGCGCAATAACCTTGGTAGTTATCTGCATGGGGGTAGTGCTTCCGAAAATCTTGAGGATTGGAACCCAGGATTACATGGGCAGGCAGTTTCGATACCAATCAAACACGAGGATTCCCAAATCTGTCCTTAAATGTACTTAAGCATCTGAAGTATGGAGGTATTCAACATCACTTACCGCCTTCTTTTCGGCTGTTCTCGGCGGGACACGTGCCCGTCTCGAAGAGAAATTGATTGCATTTCTAAATCAAAATCAGAGTCCTATGCCTCAAGCATCGGACTTTGCTACACTCTTCAAAGCATTGATCTCCCATGAACTTCATTCAGAAGTACTGCGTCCTTACGTCCATAGCCCCTCCATAAAAAAACGCTGATACATACATGGCTCAGTGCGTTTTCAACAAGAAAATTACCAGGTGAGCGGACCTCACAAGAGAGTCAAGTAGAATGCTATTCACCTAGGCATCAAGGATTTATAGAAGGTTAAACAGCAGCTTAATGAAAATTTAAGTGAAGATGTTTCCGGGAAAACTAATAATATTCACCAAACCAATAGATTCTGTGAAACGGGCCCAAAAATCGATCCTACTGGGACTCGAACCCAGAAATCTTCAGCTTAGGAGGCTGACGAGTTACCATTTCTCCACAGGACCTTGGGTTTGACAATTTAGCCAGGCCTTCTCCTCGTTGAGATTGTTTGCTTCAATTTAGCTACTTGTTTGGACAAGGCGGTAGGATTTCGGAGTCCCAACTGGCTCCTTCCATAAACAAACGGCGAGTGATTCATACATAGATCCTTGAAAAGTGGCACACGCAATGACTGCCTGACAGCCCCTGAACACACTGCCTGGGCGGTCAGGCTGGTTCCAAGGGGAAGATGTGCGGCAACCTGCATCCATCCGCTTGTAGACGCTCTTGGGAGTTTCAGAACAATTTCCCATCGCGAAACACCACAGTATCTAACAAGCCTCGACTCCGGCATATCTTTCTTCGCATATTCAACCCCATCAATCACCGACAAGGCGCTTCAGGTATGACTAACGATAGATTTTATTAGCTTAGATCATTCATGACGATTTCAGTGGTTGACATCTACTTACAGGTATATAAAATTGAAGCATTGACATGTTTGCGTAATTAACTTCTCAAAGCTCGGCCAGGAAACTCCACTCATCCCATCCTTTCTTTTCACCGGGAAGTCTTACTGCCTCCCATTCCTCCTTGGTGACATTCTTCCAGTCGTCAGGAGAAATCCAGCCGATATATGCGCGATCACCAAAACCACCGATCCAGTAGGGCGCCTGAACCACGAGCCTCACAAACTGTGCCTCGTGTATTCTGTTTCCCGGAAGCCAATACTTCGCATCCGGGTGTGCTTTAACGAAACACGATGATATGGCCGCAGTCGAGGCTGTATCGATCTCTTCAATGTATCCAAGCAGCGAGAAACGCGGCAGGTTGGCCGCCGAGTAAGGCACAGCTTCCTTCGGGCCATCATCGTCACCAAACAGGCGGTCGAACCAGGTCGACTTGATGCGCTTATCAGGCAGATATGGGGGCGTCCACTGCATAGCCAGCGATATGTTGGATCCGCCCCTCACATTCTTGAACGACGTCTCGATGTTGATCGCCAGCATGGTGGGGTTTCCTTCGTCCTCGCAGTCCGCGACGTACTCCATCAATCCGTGAGGCATGCCGCCCATACCCGCCGGTCGGTTCTCCTGACCGGACACATCCTTGGACTCGTGCGGGAAAACGGTAGCGAGCGTGCCTAAGGTGGTTAAGGCGAGGAGGCGGCGGCCTAGGACGGCGCTCTCGTAGGGAGTGGGGATCTTGTGGATGGACTCGGATGCGGGCGGGTTTTGGAAGATGTATTGTGGCTCCGGGGTAGCTTCTGCCATGCAGATGCCGGCGGCGCACGAGATAAGTGGTAGTCCAAGAGAGAGCTTCATGGTGGAGTTTGCGATGTCGGTACAAGCTCTAGACACAGAACTGAAGTCTGATGCCGGCGACTATTCAAGCTCTGGCTGAGTATGATTTTGAAGCCCTTCAAATACTTAAGTAGGTCGTGATGAGTTGCAAACGGCGGGATGCTAATAGTTTATCAAATACTCTAGTTTCGGGCGCAAAGCGCGACCTCGGCCCATTCACGATTTCTGATCACACACCATGGGACGACAATGATTCACGCTACAAGGGGGTAGGTAGGGATTGTCGGCTCCGGAGAAAGTAGGAAGTTGTCGGAGTTAACCGCAAGTGAAGGCAGCTGGCACCCTCTAGCTTAATCCAAACCGACCTGTCACATGGATGTCAGTCACGAGTTGTAGATGAATTGAGGATGTATCAATAAGATAGGACAAGCAGGTGTATAGTACATTTCGTCAGCTGCATTAGACACGATGGCTACGGCTGAAAGTACAGCGAGTAGCTCCAATGCTGAGAAACCATTGATGTTGTGCTCAGACCCCACCTACTCCGGCGAATGACTCTTTGCCGCCTGCGGCCTGGATCTGACTTTCGCCTTCGCCCCAAAACCAACCACAATATGCGCACGGACCACCCACACAAGAAACTACGCCCTAGGGAACAAAATCCAGCAATCACCCTCCTGCCTCCTGCAACTTCAAGCAAGCGTCGTCAACCCAACACTACCTGCACTCAACGCCCACGACAATCACCCAACGACAACTCAATAATCCGCAATCATGGGAAAGGTTCACGGCTCTCTCGCCCGTGCGGGGTAAGTTTTTGATGGTTCTACGCGGTCGCGGTCGTGGCAGAATTACGGTTGCTGACGAAAAATCCAGTAAGGTCAAGTCTCAGACACCAAAGGTACGAGAATAAAATCTCCCTGAACTTCCGTGGCGACACTGTATAGCAGACGGAGGAAGCGCTTTCAAGATGATCCGTTTGCGACCGAAAACACGAGGATGAAAATGGCTTGATCTTCGATGAGTCTGCACCCACGACGAATTCGCCCGCCACCCCAGTCATTGCCAACGAAACATCCGTGACAACGATTCGAATCATCATGATAGCGCCCTCCTCCACTATCCATGCTCACTTTCTGGCCGTGAATCGAAACTGCACATTGATCGTCCCACGGAAAGCTGACTGTATGGTCGTCACTAGGTGGAAGCCCAAGAGAAGTCTAAGGTCCCCAAGGGCCGTGCGAAGAAGAGACTTCAATACACTCGCCGCTTCGTCAACGTTCAGCTCACTGGTGGCAAGAGAAAGGTCAGTTCTTGAGCGCGATATGCGGCTTTCAAACACGTTACTGACTGATTCGAACAGATGAACCCCAACCCTGGTGCGGCTTAAACGTGCCACTCTGTCCGTTCTATCGAGGGCATCCGAAGTCGTGGTCCGGAGGATTGGAAGGCGATAGATGGGCGATGCATTTTGGGCATCTTGCCTTAGCGTCCACCTTTTCGACTGCTGACCGACAACGATCCTGCCCTGGTTATGCTTGATCACGAAGGAATCTGATCGGAAGGGATGAATGTAACCGACTGTTTTCTACGTCGTCATTCATGGAGTCATTGGCATCATCAAGGCTTGGTCACTGAATTTTCGAGCTTCTCGTCTGTACATAATACAGATAACGTCTGGCGTGACGAAAACTAACTGGGAATAAAAGCCGTTTCCCAGCACCTCTCACTTGTGGCCGATGTGACTTGGTTGAGGGGCTGCATTTGGGAGCAAGCCAAAGTTGACACTGTTAGATCTAGGTTTCTTGCGGCGATTTTCAACAAGATTTACGGCATTCTACCCCCCTGTCTTGTGTACACCAGTTCGTTGGTGAGGTCACATTCCGGGAGCCATCTGACTGAAAGCCAAGGCCCTGTTCTACCAACTACCAGCGAACCGTATGAGGATCTTTGTGTCCAGACTGGACGTGGTTATCTCGCTGACATACACCTAAAATCTAAGACGACTGGAACGAAGAGTGACGGCGGCATCGTATATCCACCAAGTGGGAAAGGCATATGTTCACCATAAAGCCCAGCGGCCATATCTTGGACCCATCAACATACAAGTATCCGTCAAGTTGCATCATTGCCTCTGAGCTAGACATGACTACATCCGGCTCACCTTCCGGCGAGCCGGAAGGTGCAGAGAGCATGGTTGGTCGGTTGGTCGTGCCGCTCGTCTGAAAGGATCTACATTCAACAGAATCTTCCAGAGCTCTCCGGTGATTGGGTGTTGCCGAAGATAAACCCTTATGTTTTTTAGATATAGCTACAACGGGCTGACTGGACTGGATGGCGAGAGCACAATCTCGGCTCTAGTGGAATCTTGCCGATGCACCATCCCCTGAGTTGCTCTGGGTTCATATATCAAATCGACAATTAACGAGGTGCTCTCAATATACATGATGTCGCCCCCTGTTGCAATTCAACCGTAAGTGCTATGACCAGGTCTCATAATAGCTGTACTCGACATGGTTGTCTAGGGTAGGCGGCTAGCCAGCTCTTCAGACCACGCGAGCGGTATCTCGCTACTACGATTCGAGGGACATAGACATGAACTCTCGACAGCTAGCTACGTCTACACGGTTGAATATCTTGGACGAACGAATAAACACCGTTGTCCGCGAGCCAGCATCAAAATGGAAGGGCCTGACTAGTCGACTATGAAATATGGCAAGGCAACCACTGCTGTACGAACAACACCGAATCGCTTCAGTAGGATTATGCAGAGGGGTGAAGGCAATGCGGACTAGACCACGCAGGTGTCGAAGAAGCAAAGACGAAAAAGTTGAATGCTTGCTCCAAGCGGTATCGAACCTGAAAGATGAAGTGGAAAGCACGTCTACCTGCAGTGGATACACATGTTCATCTGCAGAAAAGAGATAACATGCTGGTCGATCACGTCAAACCCCAAGCTCTGCATTCACTTCACCACCCTCGGCCACGGTCGATGAAAAGGGGCTCCCTGCTCCATGTGATGGTTCTCCTTTCGGCTTTTCCTGTTCTCTTGGCCCTCACTCAGTACCTACGTGTTGTTCGCTCACTTTTTGTATAAGCAGGTCTACCTCTCATCCATTACCTTGGCATAGACATACGTGTATTGCTAGCCGGACTTGAAAGAGCCAAGTCACAGAGCAGAACACGCTCGGCTCTCCGTGATTATATGTACGGGAATGACGTAGGGTTTCTGGAAATGGCTCGTAATGGCGATGATGAGCTCGACACGTCCCTGTTTCTACTCGGGAGTATTGAGCACCCATAGCGTTGCGCTGTCGTGCTTCTCGCACATGTGGCATAGGACTGTATAATGCCATGTCGCTGGAATATGCATCACCATGCTTGAAACTTGGTAACCAAGGTGGATCGGCAACGGTCTCCGGAAAATCCTGTCTGATCACCCTCGCTTCGCTTCCTTGACATTAACTCAGCTTGGACACAGGAGGCGATAGCACTGGTTCCACGCATCATGAATAGCAGATATGGTTGCGTGGTATTATAATCTCTTCGCAATAGCATCTTGCAGGCCGGCACATCTTCATCTATCAACGAAAAGCCCCGGGGCGATGGGCGCTAACGCGTCTCATCTCTCAAGAGCGGCCTTCCCTGTCCTCTCCCCTCCGTATTCCTCCGATCATCAGCACCACTATCAGCCCATCAAAGCAGGCAAACCAATATTAACTGCCTCATCTCTTTCATTCTCTTCCCAGTAACATCGCTAATACGTATCTACAAACATGTTATGGTATCAATCCCCCCCCCCCTCTCTCTCTCTCTAGCGATCCCAATAAATATATAAAAAGTAACCCAAACCCACCACTCCTTATGTCAGATGGTTCCCGCTCCCCTTCCACCCCTAGTAGCCAGCCCTCTTGATACCCCCAAGGTACAAATCGTAGCTGAACATGTGACATAACCCGTAATAATTCCGCAAATCGCCCCGCATAAAACGATTCAGACTACCACCCTCCGTTCTTACGCAATGCGAGGCCCGTAAAAATATAAAAGTCAGATTGAAAGGCGCAAAACTCAAGTGAGGAGTATAGTTTATGCGAATAACCACGATAATAAGTCCATCTGAGTAGTAAGGTGAGGTTTTGCTGGCAAACTTCACCCAAAGCAGGACAGGTTACCGCCAGTGAATAAGTCCAGTCTATGTATGGTGTGCAAGTCCGGATTGTTTGGCCGCCGAGGAACCACAAAATCAACCACCTCCAGGAGCAGCCTAGGCTCAACTGGGTGTTGATATCGAAAACGATGTGTCGAAATAGGGAATAAGACATTACGATGTCGTAATTATTGACCAGCTCCACTGGTGAAAACTGGAAGTTGAAGCATTAGAACGCACGCGTCCTGAAACTCAGCTCTGACCAAGAACCCTGTTGTGGTCAAGCCCACCCGTGAGCCGAACAAATCGAGATGCTGCCGCCGGAAAGGGGAAAACGAAGGCATGATGTGGAATCGAGCACTACAGCGGCAGGATTGGTTATGCTCCTGACTTATAAACTCATGGTCAACCACTCCCATTCCTGAGGGCCAGCACCGGCTCCAGGATTCATCATTCCATTTGGCGGGCCAGTCGACATTCCCATCATGCCAGATCCCATCATGGGCCGTTGTGCCATACCAAACCCATTCGCAAGGCCCATGTTGCCAACAGTAGATATACCGCCCATGACACCGCTTGACGAGCTGACGGACCGAGCTGTTTCATTAGAGCCAGTTGAGTTCTCAGGGCTGTCTACATCCATCGAGGAAGATTCGTTTGGTCCTGTGCTCTTGCTGCTCCGACGTTGGCGCTTGGATGGGCCCGACATAGCCACGTTGCGTGGCAATGACGAGGCCGCACCGGGTCCGGGGGTATTCTTAGGAGGAGCTGCGGCAATTGGCACCACACCCTTGCCACCTACTGCACCGGTGGCCGAGCCCGCATAGCTTGTTGGCGTGCTACCTGCTGTATTGCCTCCTGACGCACCACCGCCGCTCACCGGGCTATCACTCTCGTTGGCGCTGCCAGCACGGTGAGTAGCGGGGGGCGTGGTAGCCTGAACCGTGTTGGGCGTTGAAGATATTGCCAGGGTCGAGTTCTTCCGCGAGGCGGGACCAGAGCCGTTGCCCGGTCCGTTGTTTTTCTTCGAAGATCGAGTGCTGGTACCCCCAACGGGCAAGCTGGCACCAGATCCACGGTTGCGTTTCTTGATAACATCGGTCTTCAAGCTAAGAGGTCTCACAACGCCGTGCAGCTTCAAAAACAACCCACAGGCATTACAGAGAGGCTGGCCTTCGGGATTGCGCCGCCAAAGGGGTGTGGTCTGGGTGAAGCAATTGGTGCAAGTCGTCGGAGCATTTCCATCGCCCTGGTTCCCGGCGGCTCCTTGCAGGTTGCTCGTGGAACCATGTTTTGAACCAGGCGGGGACGACGGCCGGCTAGGCGCAACTGATGAGAAGCCAGATATAATCCCTGACGCATCCGGTGGCGGGGAATTGGAGTTCGACTGAGCCAGTCTGTCGAATAGGTTCCCGCGGCCGGCCATATTATTGGGTGTCGAAGCGGTCCGTGGGATCTTCTGGCGCCTGTCGCCACCCGCTCTGAAGGACTGTGATCGGGGCATACTACCTGGACCGTCCCAATCCTCGTGGGACTCGACATAGTCCGTAGTGGTGCCTCCTATCGTGACTTGCTTGCGAGGAGGACCCCCAGGATACCGGGCAGCTTGTGTGCTGAACTGGCCGGGCAGGGACGCATCCCATCCTAAAGTATTGTTGGAGTTGCCCATATCCAAGCCTTCCTCCATACCGGGGGAAAAGCCTTGGTGCACGCCCATATTGCGATCGGGGAATGCACCTCCGTCGTCTTCTTCGTTATCCGAATCCGCCCCAAACGTGAACATGCTTTCTTGCATCATGCCAACTCCAGGCGAACGAACTGGATGGTCTGGCTGAAACACTTGACTGGGGTCGACGTGGCCAAAATGGTTGGAGTGGGCGAATACACTCGATGTATCCGAAGCAGATGTCGCTTGGGGAAACATGGAATTACCGTTCGCGTGGTACATGAATTGCGGGCCCATTGGGTTCCCAGCGTGACCTTGGCGCTGTTGGAATGCCTGTTGTCTCTGGTGACGTATATCCATAGAGTTGAAGAACATATTATCGTTATCAGGCATGGGATGCGGTGTCGTCGCAGTGGACTGATAAGCAGAACCCGGGGGAGAATAAAAGTCGGATGTGTTCATGGAGCCCTGGGTCATGGCGGGATGGTTGTACAAATTGGGGAATGAGCCATGAGTGACCATGGGCGAGGTGGAGGGCGAGAAGGAGAAGTTCTGTTGGAAAGGCCCAGCAGAGGTGATGATGGGGTCCTGATCTATTTGGAAGGTATCCAGAGGGAAGGGAATGCCCGGGTGGTGAGGCATCTGGGCGATGCCAGCTGTATGGGGGTTGTCTAAAGAGTACTCATGGAGGTCAGAATCGGCGTCCAGGTCGTTGGCAGCCGAGTTGCTGTTGACGGCTTGAGTGTGAGGGGAGAAATCAGCTGGGCGCTTCAGGTTTCGAGTCTAGCGGCGAGTGTCAGTTATCAGGCCGGCAGTAGATAAAAGTGGCGATCCTGAGGGGAAAAACAACCATATCGGGCATAGAGCGCAACCGACTTGGAGCACTGGGGGCGGCAATTGGACACTACTTACACGCCGCTCATCAATACTCGTTTTTCGAGTGTGTCGCGGAACATAACCAAATTCATCCTGATTTCGCTGATGCGGTGGCACCGGCACCGATTGAGGAGCGAATGGCTGGGTGTTGACCTTGCGGGATTTGATTGGAATAGCAGCAGTATTATTCGCCATGTCGTCTCCGTGCTTGGTGGTCTCTGGGGAAGACGGGGTTGCAGGTAGCCCGGCGGGAGTAGAGACGTTCTCAGAGAAAATGAAGTCGTCCAAGTTCATGGGGTCAGAATGGGCGCAGTTCTGGTCAGAAGTTTTCCTCAGTTGCGCAATACCGCTGGAGACACCTGCAGTAATTCCTGCTTGACGACTGTTGCTTCTGGAACCGTTAGGAACATTGCGATGCACACCTACACAAGAAACATACCGTGACTCCGTCTCCTCTGGCTTCTGCCGCTGCGTCCGCAACTTTGTATGCATCATGCGCCATGTCAAGTTCTCCATGCGCTCCTGGCTGGGCAGACTCTGTTTCGTCTTGCTGAAGAAGCGCCACACTTGAGTTGCCAGAGGATCATTCTGCTGCATCTGCTCCAAACTGTCCTTGGTGCTGGCCATGCCGTGCCGCCATGTTGGGAAAATGGACGAGTCCAATAAATTATGATGCGCACTGCTAGGCCTTGCGAAATCCAAGTTGAGTTCCTGCATGCGCAACTCGCCCGGGCTCGTTTCGTTGTCGATACGTGCGATAATGGTGTCGGCCTCCAAGGGCCGGCGCGGGAATCGGAAGTCGTGCTCTGTCGTCGTGGGATTCATTGCGGTTGTGGGATCCGCAGTTGCTGGGGGCGATGCCGTGATGGCGGCCATACCGGCTGCGTGAGACTGACCAAGACCTTTTGACGTGGTCTTGTGCGATCGGGAACAGTTCAAGTGTCACAGTTTGTTCCAGTTCCCCACACAGGTCCTAAGGTTCGGCTGACAGCCGTTCGTTCTACGTCAGGTCTGCAACTTTGGTGGGAGTTCGAGTGCGAGCAGCTTCGAGGGGTTGAGTCTGCGCTCTCCGCTCGTGTTCGCCCTCTGTCCGCTCTCTGTTCTCCAACTTGTAGCAGAGTGCAGTCGATCCCGTCGTCGTGGGCCTGGACCAGCGTTGGGCAGGTTGTGACGTATCGCAAGGAACAAAACAGACTGATCGAATCCGCAGGCAATTGCTTTTTTTTTTACCTGGGACCGAACACAGATCGGGTAGGAAGGATGATGAAAGGTAAGATCTATGGTTCACGGTCGTCAAGTTGTGGAGGGCGAAGGGCCTCTCTCAAGACTGGCTGCGCGCACTTGCTACTTTGTTGCACCGGCACCATTGCGCTCTCTCTCAGTCCGGCTGGGGGAGGTTAATGCTGGCAATTGGGTCTGCTTTTTGGGCGGGGGGGGGTATGCCCACTTGAGAGCAGGGCCCAATAAGGCCGAGTACCAGTACCGCAGAAAGACTAGCCAGCGACCGGCGCAGAGAGTGGTCCGCCAATCCCACGGCGCCCTCGCTAGCTCTCGCACCTATGGAGGGGGTGGCCCATCTTGAACCTTGGACCGACCTTGCTGCCTCCGCTCCACGCGCACTTCAATCCCAAAGCTGGTGAAGCTTCAAATCCTCGCCCGAAGCGAGGGTGGATCTGCAGGGAAATTATGGGCTATTTCAGTGGGGGTCCACGATACCTCGTCACTTTTGATGCGAAAGTGCCAGCCCTGGAGGTGCGTAAGTGTGGTGCGGTTGGAAACCTGTGTCAGTAAGGTCGCACTCAGCATCACTGGTCTATTTTCCCTCGTACGAAGCACCAAGTTGGAGACCGAAACAAAACCTCCCCTGTCAGGTAGGTAGTTGCACGGGCCAGATCAAGCCAGATAGATACATGACATTTAACCCGCCAGCTGTGAGCCCCGCAAGTACCCAGAGTGATCGAGAGGTCTTCTTTGCCGCCCATCAGATCCGTATGTAAATTGAGTTCCTCGAGAAGCACGCCTTGATTGCGTGCGTGTTTTTCACATGCTTCCAATTTCAACTTGGATGAGGGTGAGTGTACCTTCTCTGCCTCGTCATAAAGCTAGACCGCCCTCAGTCAACGCGCGAGTAATGTGTGTACGGAGTAAAGGGCCAAAAATACAGTGCACCCGTAGCGCATATTACAGGCAAAATTGGGAGAGTCGTGGCCAGCTCGTGAACGCGGGATGGTATGCACCATGTCACAACTACTTTCCGATTGTATCCGACTCGCCCCCAAACCTCCCCGAACCCTCGACGGGGACACCCACGCCGCGTACTTTGCAGTCCTGGTGGTAGTGATAGTGGCCTGCGACGGCCTGTCAGGATGCGGATGATTCCTGTTGTTGTTGAATAAGAAATGGAGCAGTAATGTTTCGTAATTGGTGGTTGGCTGGCTGGCTACACCTTACCAAGAACCACCACTCATACATACAAGCCAGATCAATGTGGACCTAGAATCGAGTCTTGTCTTGGCCTTTGCCGCTTGGGTCAACTTTCCCATGTGCCTCACTTGCAGCAGTGGCACAGCTCCAGGTACATGGGTTCACTAAAAGGAGAAAAACCACTCATCTGAAATTTAACGCCGGTTTGCGGTTCCCTTTTCGGTACATATGTACGACTTCTTTAAACGGTTCGAAGGACAACTAAGCAATCCATCCTTCTGGCAGAATATCCCATCGATAGCATGATGGATTTTTTTTCTTTTTTTTTCTTGAATGACGACGACATTGCCCCAACCGAACATGATGAGCCTTCCAGCCCCCACTTTCCAGCAAAACTACCCTAACCAATAATAGGAGCCGGGATTCGAGACTGGGATCGGAATGACCTCCTTCATTCATGCACATGTTTGGAATAGGTACTCGTATGTAAGTCATTTGACGACTGAGCAGCCAAAAGAGAGACCCTGTGAGGCTAGTTGAAGCCAACCCGCTAGCCACGAGACTCCATCATTATGTGGTTCAAGTGCCTCTTCGGGTCTTGATAACAGCAGAATGCTGCATACTTCAGTAGTTGTGATATTCGAGGTCGATGATACCTGGCGGCATGATGCCAAGTGCGTCGGGGCGACCATCGGCCTCTAAATCGGCATTGACCAGCAATCCTGCATCTATGGCCAGCACCATGATGTGAGTTTCTAGCCGAACGTCCTTTGCCGTTGGCTGTCAATATTGTGGTTGGTGCTACGCAACGCTAAGCAACCTGTCAGGCCTGCCATTGATGCCACAGAACAAATTCTGGTCCTACCGCAAGTGCACGACATCGGACCACCTGCGAAGCACGGCTCCAGCACGATTCGCACGAGCAATACTCCGGGTGGACATCTGTTGCGACGATGATGATTATGGGGAGAGAGCTAAGGATTCGATCCGGGCAACCCATGCGACTTGATGACATCCCGCCCTCCCAAACACAGGAACTCCAACGGCGAACATTGTTAATTTCAGTCGCAGACAAGGCAATAGTTCATTTTAATATCAAGAAGATTTGATTCGGATGAGCAGTTGGGCGGTAGATGCATGAACAGTGAAGAGATTCTGGCGAAAGAATTGCGCACACCTCGTCATAACCTCTCAACCAAACCTTCTGTTATTTTACCTGTAAACCATATAGAAGTATCCCCTCAAATGCCACTAGTAACACCCGCTCCAACAGTCAGTCTTGGAGGTCACCAGGACTGATGTCACAAGGGCGCGCGAGCCACAACATGTAAAATTCTAATGGATCCTTCTTACTTCGTACCAGGAAGGCAATGTCGTCCCACTGGACTTACCGGGGCAACAGCCGCAAGGAGGGTTCATCTCTTCATCCCACACATTCACACGCACGGACGGGTTGCTCTCCTCCGCGAACCCCCCCGCCACGAGTCGACTACGAACAAACACCTCATCTGCATCTTGCGCCACCCATCCACGGCCGCCTGGTTCCCGTGAGATCCACAGAGCCAAATTGGTAGGCATCTGAACTGCCAGATGCCTCCATACCACTATTGAAACTTTCGGGAATTCCCTCCTCGCCGAGACTTGAAATAGGACCGAGGTTGCTCACCAGGTTTGCGCAATGCGGAAGTGGCAAGTGTGGATATAATACAGGATAGCGAAAAAGGACCGCGCCGCCGACTTTTTGAGGGTCCTGGCTTAAACTCCCTTGACAGCAGGCGGGTCGACTGCGACGGTCATCCTGCCGAGAGCCTCTGCCACTATGATGCGCCTTTCCAAACTGTATGGGTTCCTCGTACATTGGAGGTTCCCAATTCGACCGTGGCTCCTCCACCTCGAGGAACCACATTTCTATTAGCTGACAAAATCGACAATTATCAAGCTCATGGGGGGTTCCAAACATATATTAGTATGCATCGGAAGCCTCGTCAGTTGAGGGGTTCTAGATGCGCAGCCGGTGCACTGCTCCCGAAGTTATGAGCAGCTCTCCCTACATGTATCCTCACTGGACAACGCTACCACAGAGCGGAGACAGCTAGCTCTGAAGGGTTTCAATTGGATCAATTGGAGACACCCAAGTCGCCTTGAAGTACTGGGTACACTGCACCTTCCGACAGGGATGCTTTAAATCTACATGGTCCACACGCTGAACCCCCACTTGCCCACTCTCTAATCGACGATGGAGACAAAACCACAACCACTCACTGGCAAAACCTGCTTCAGCTGCGTCGGTAACTTGCCGACAGGATTTGAAAACTAATGGAGATCGAAAACAATTAGGTGTCGTCGAGTCTCTGGATCGGTCCGTTCTCAGCGGCAGGTTTTAGAAACTGGCAATGTCTGGATCTGCAGCTGAAGACAGTTTTTTTTCTCTCTTTTTCTTCCCTTGGCACGAGTCATGTTCAGCATTGTCCGAAGTCTACGCAAGCACGTTCTCGAAAGCCTGGGGAAGCATGCGCAGAAGCTGCAATTATGTTGGGTCTGGGTCTTGTCATTCAAACGAACAACAGGGACCATCCCAGCTGCAGAAATCTGCACTTGACGATTGGACAATGGGAAGCACACCACCCAATACGATCCGTGCTTTTCTTTCTCGGAATGGCTGACCATTGGCTCAGAATAACACACACGACTATATTCATTTTGTGTTTTGAGATTACTCTCCAACTTACAGCTTACAGATCTGGCTTAGGTAAGGAACCCAAACCCTACTTGAGAAGTGGCAGTCAAGAGCTTCAGCAACGAGCCGATACAAGGTACTAGCCTGGTCAAACTCGCCGCTTCGTCAAACTCCCAGCCCTGTATGAGCCCCCCTGGGACTGAGAAGTCAAGGTTCCCTGTCCTTCGATATATGGCCAACAAATGGGGATTGCAACACACCGTCCAGAACAATGTCTCATCCATCCTTCTTACCGTTCGACCGGCTTCACATTTTCGCAACCTAGCCAAAGAATTCAGCGGGTGGTATGGTGCCACATGGTACGTGCTCTTTCTATTTCTCACAATATAGAGATGGAGGTTCCTTGTGTCAACCTTGTGTCAACCTTGTGTCAAGGTTTAAGATTGAGAGTCGTTAAACCTGGACCCAGTGAAGTCTGCCAGTTCTCACTAAACAATCACAGGCGGCGCCACAGCCAATCACATCGGGTTTGTTTCTCTTTACACTTCAAGGGTCAGACTTTCAGAGGCTCCTATTGATGAGTCTGTTCACGTGTCCCGTCACTCTAGGGACTGACAACACTGGACGAAGGCTCCAACATGTGCCTCTCCACGACCGGGACCAGTGTCTATTCTCGGCGTACTGAAGAGCTGCACGTCCGGTCCACTCTTGCACATCCACTCCGAGATCGCGGCGCTTGCTTACCCCCGGGCCGTTTCAATGCAGGACAATGATGCCTGCCACCCGCCAAATTCAAACTGACGACGCACATAACCTCCGATCGGACTCAAACATATCACAAAACCCATAAAAATATAAAACGAATATGTCAAGATACCTGAGTTGATTCGCTACAAATCAACATGCTTCTCACTTTTTAGACCTCCTGTGAAGCTGTGTTATCTATGCATCTCCTAATCTGGTGGGACAGGCAACAATGAGCTACTCACGTAGGGTTTTTCAAATACCCTTGAACGTCGGGCCTGATGGATCGTTCATGCTTTCACATCTCGGCGCTATGTACGCTATGTACCGCCGATGGCACTGAATGCCTTGTCAAAAAGAGGGGCACTACCAACCTGCCATGTGAACTGCTCGGCAGCCTCCATACAGTTCCGTGATTCGCCTGCCAGGGGACTTCTGAGGTCCTTCATCCATTCATGGCTCCAAGACTCCATGGGGTTGGATTGTTCGACTATGAATTGATCATTAACTTCAGTTCAAGTGAGGATTTGGGGGAAACCATCATTTCTGACAGGATTAGTTGTCTTGCCATTTGATCAAACAAGAGCTAGTCAAGCGATGGTGTCTACTACAGGGTCTCACCTTGGCATCGACTGCGGAGTGGCTCATGGTCGCCAATGACACCCCCAGATTGGAAAGATTTCGTAGCGAACGACATGTGCCGTCCAGCCCCAATTTCTGTCAAGACTGGCACCGATCACATTGTGGCTCCTCCGGGCTGTCGATATTTGACGCCCGACGATCTCGGTCATACTAATTATAATCAGGCCATGATGAAGCCCCGCTCGTGCTCATCTTGTCTCAACCGTGCAGCGCAGTGACCCTTTTCCACTCCGTTGGGTCGGTCATTATAGTCGGAACTTCGGAAGACAGGCAATGTACTATGGTATAATGGGTAAGTTTTCTATTGCGTGTTTGTACCGTGCCCCACCTAGGCACGCGCCAACTCTTCGCTACCTGGCTTGAAGGGACCTTCATAGCTGTCTGAATATGATTAAGAGAAAACGTTGTAGTAGTGTGAATTTCGGCTTTCGATTTACCACCGTCGAAATATAGGGTTCGAATTCGTTGGCGATCCGCTTCTGTAAGGTGTTTAGTCCCCATTGTAGTTGCTGAATACGCGATAATTAGGACGCGTTAACAGCAAGTTGGAATCAGAGGTGGAAGTACCTTTTCGTTACCATGAGTAGGCTAGGCAAGAATCAGTATAGCGTTACCTTGACAGTGGTCCACTGGTACTTGTCAAGGGGGTGAAAACTTTGGCCTGATACCGTAGTAATATGTCATGACCTGTAGGATCCGCTGGTCTATGCGACACTTGCGGGAGTAACAAAGAAATGCCGATGAAACGGCGAGCTCCGACCGACCGTACCCTGCCGCATCATTCCGCTGTAGCCTATGCAAATTTGCGGCATTAAGGATTGGCTCGTCGATGGGTGGTGTGCCAAAAAATGCACACGCAGTGTATGATGCGTATTCCGAGGTCGCGGCGGGATGACTTGCCCAAAACAGCCAGTCACACCGCTCGTTCCGGCATGACCAATTAAGCTGATGAAACCGAGTGTGGGGGTCCAATAACCACTGTAGCGGGTTCCAGTTGATCGCAAAAGAAGGGGAGACCAGTCAGATAGATGCTGGGATACGAGCCATACAGATCGACTTCGTGGGGAGCATCTGTCATTTCGTGATGACTGAGATCATATTGGCTCCGCGCTGATGATGGGTAGGAAGGCTTGCGCGATGATGGACTACCCCTCGATTGCTCGTACCATGTTCTCCAATTGACTCCCACGGGAAGGCTAGCTAGGAGCCTTGCGCCTCACCTTGGCGACCGTTCGGTGAGGAGACCTGCAACTTGTACACTGACCATCACGTGAGGTGCATAGTCTCAGGTCGTAGTATGACCACTATCCGCACAAGGCGCGCTGTGAACCGGCGTGATGAAGCCAGGCCAAGGTTCTCAATAGATGAGCGAGCTTGCGCAGGACTGGGGGAACGGACGCATTTGCACAATAAGCAGGAACAGAACAAATTCTGAGGACTGCGGCTCTCTTATCTTTTGCTGATCTCGTCTCATCCCAGCAAGCCATTCGTAGAAAGCGGCAGGTGACAATTCTTGCAACCGGGTTAGAGGCTCAAGCACTCAAGCCCAGCACGCAAGCATGGTACGCACGCGATACTGACCAGATTTCGCTATCAGACACCTTTTCCTTTTCAAGTGAAAAAGCGATGAGGTTGTCTACTTAAGCAAGGCAAGCTGCCACGTGACCACGCACCTCGGAGCCTACCAGCAACAACTAATTCATCCACATCAGTGACACAGCATTTTCTGCAGCTGCAAGTTCATCAGGTCCCCTGATTGCTTGCTTTTCCCCCGAATATCTTCGCATCTCTCTAGCTCCGAAGTGCTACCACCTTATCTATACCTATCCGAACCGGGGATCATGCTGCATGATGGCTCGGTCCGGGAGAAGCATGTCAAACGTTAAGAGGCTGCTCTGATAGGAGAAAGACGCATTCATTTAAGGCACCTCGCTCGAAAGGGTAGTGTTACAACAACTTCCCCTACCCTCTTGTGGTTCTCTTATCTCTTCGGGGCCCTATCTTTCCTCTTCTATCTATCTTATCTGCAGGATGAATGGAATGGACATGTATATTCCTTGGCTCAATTCCCCATGTAGGGCTCCCAAAATTTGAATTCCTTTGTTTCTGCGCTCAAAATATCCATAGACCCCCTTGAATTTCCCTTTCTTTATCTTGTTGCTTTCTATTCCTGTTTTGTCCCCCCATTGCGCACCACGACTTGCCAGAGGGTTATACCCAAACTACGTCTAGGCAATGGGGCAATTGTATCAGGGCGAGCCATGACGGACTCTATTGGTCGAATTCGTCGTCAAAGCTGGATTTGCGCATGGGGCCTTTGTTGGGCGGACTGTCGACGACTCTCCCTTTGTCAGGACACCGAATGTCAAAGACTGACAAAGTGAACGAGGAAACCCACCACGACTCGGCGACATTACTTGCACGACGTGCAACCGTAACCGTACAACGACAGGATTTGGACTGATGTCTCGATTACACCTGAGTACACAGTGACTATGTCACCAACACATATTTCGCAGCGCGGAGGTCCTGCAACAGAGTTCAATATGTCGACAAGATACGGGTAGGGAAGGAGATAGGACGGAGGTACTGGTGGTAGAATCGCTATCGCCAGTGCAGCGCGACAGCCTGGCGACGAGGATATTAACGGTGCAACTGCATATAAGCCAACTTTGGCGCCGGGGACTCGACATACACGTTGCTGGGATGCTATAAGGAGGCGGGGTTGGATGGCAGCGTATTGCATCCGTTTGGGCAAGAAGACACTTACCTTGGCTCCGTCACTAGACACTGAGAAGTTGACAGTGGCTGCGTGTCTGGGGTGGGTGTGCCGTCCTCGGTCCGCCTCAGGAGATTGAGGGGAGACGCGGGGCATTTCCCTTATGCCGAGAAGAACAGAAGGTAAGATGGCCGGACCACCCCCTCTCCCCCACCCAATTCTGTACGAATAGGTATTTATATGACGGCTCTGTCCTGATATATGCACCCGACTAATTCCAGATGAGGCTTCCCTACTGACACAACGCAGTGAACGCTACTGCGGCGCCGATCTATCACCAGGTGTCAGGAAGCCCTCAGCCAATAACTGCACAACGCCGTGCACAGGCGACCCGAAACTATCCTGCGCTGGCCAGGACGCGCTTGCCATCTACAACATCCCAGCCACCTCGCACAAGAAAACCCCTGACGAAGACGACTCAACATCCACCAGACCATCTCCCACACAGCAGCGCAGCCAGCACCCAGCTCCCACCCGCCAACCGGCATACTCCTCATCACCACTCCTCTTGGAAGCATACAGTTTGAGCGCCCAGTGAACACAACTACCATCGCCGCCATCTCGGACTCCGTGTTCGGGATGGTAATCCTAGCCACGGTGGTGATCCTTTGCTTCCGCGCCTACTAGCGCAAGAAAAAGGAGCAGGATACGCACGTCACCAATATGTTTAGCGGGGCCCGTCATCGGCGGCCTTTGAGTCTACTCATTACAAACCACGACGTCCAGCTGACGGCGTATGGCACCTGCTCCCCAGTACGCCAGCGCCGGATTGAGCCGGGAGGAGGATCTCGATGATTGGCCTTAAAACCTGCTCAGTGGGAGGAAAGAGCTGGCGAGGGATAGTCTGTTCTCGACGCTCATGGGTCAGGTTAAAGGTCCCTCCTCTCGATTGGCGGGACAAGGACAGGGGCAGAGCTCTGCCGTGCAGTGGCGGATTGCTGACCTTGACGAACAGGCTAGTCGCCCACGTCATGGTACCAGTAGTCCGCTCCGAAGGCAGCCTCGACGACCGCGCCTAATATCGCTGGAGGACATCCATGTCCTTTGCCTCCGTTGGCTCATCCGGCCCGCCGCCAAATATACCGCTTTCGCCTTATCCGCCTTTCAGGCCCCGGATGACGGACTTAGCGACTACGTGTGAGGCTAGTAGTCCTGTGGCGGTGGGTATGTCGACGCCAGGTATGCCAACTCCCGGTGCATCGATAGATTCTCGGGAACACCCGGGGAGTACGATGGTCATAATGGTGATGGGTTCAAGAGGTTTGTTGGAGATGACTTCGAGGTCGTGCTGCCGTTGCAGATTAGGAGGTTGACGAGTGTGCTGGGCAGGGAAAGAAATCGGTATAGGAACGGCGATTTGAACACGAGGAAGCCAACGCTTCCAGTTCCTATTTTGCCGGGAAGAGAGGTTCGACGTTCGGTTTGGCGAAGAGAGGTGTCCGGCGGACCGCGGCGGGAGGACATGGCTCACAGGCACCAGCAGCAACAAGAGCGGGGAACAAGACGGCAATGAGAAGGAAAGCGAATTCGACCTTTTTTCTTTCTCTCTCTTGGGCTTGGGACTTGAGAGAGTAAGCTGTTTGGTGTTTTGCTTCGTGTATAGAACTTCTATTGTTATCTAGAAGTATATGTTGAGCATAACTAACCAATTGCCGGCGAGTTGCCGAGTCTTCTCGTATGTAAAGGGGCTGTCTACGCTTTGCTAACTAACGATTATATGTACGCTGCTTCGTGTCAATCGTAGACATGCAAAACCATGGCTAGTGCTCATAGTCATGTTGCCCCTGTGGTTCAAGAAGATGGGTTTGTTATGGCAGATACTCAGTGTTTGGGCCCAGAAGATGGTGACCAAGCAATGGAGGGAGAAAGAATGAGGCGGAGCTGGAGTCTACTCACTCGTCTAGTTTCACCACCAGTCCAGTCACCGAATAGCGAGGCACCACACATAAACCCCATAACTTCTATTATACGTATATAGCAACATATTAAGCTTATTCACTTAGTAGTTAGGTCAGTATATAAGTTAATACGAGGTGTTTTGAATTGCTCCAAATTTTGAGAGGTATTACGCAGCCCGGATCGGCAAATTCCTGATATAGTGAGCAGTGGAATGCAATTTTCCCACCAATATAACCCCTGAGATGAGATACTTGATTTCCAACACTATAGATAGTACAGCCTAGCTACCAGTATGCCATGCGATAAGTACAGTGACCAGCGACGTGCAGATGGTAGATGTTATATTTGAAGTTACGGACAACGGTTTATCTTAGTACCAATCAGTCCAGAAGCATAAGTAAACACTATCAGACCGCCTTCTTGGAATACGGCGTCGAGGCAATTCATCTCAAGCTAGCCAACGCATTTATATATCCTAGGAGAACCGTATAGTCAACCGGATTATCAAGGAAGGGTCCCGACTATACCTGAACGTATAGTCATATGCGACCGTCATTGCTGTCCTATTGGCTCAACAGGGGGATACTGACTAGCACATGCTTCCTACGGACGCTAATTGAACGAAAATGGCCCATAAAACGTGCTGACATCAGCGGATAGAGCTGAAGTTGTTAATCTGGATAGACTGATGGATACTTCACTAGTTGAAAAGGTCAACTTTATTCGCTAGCCTACTACAAATCGTAAGGCTAGTACTAACGAAGTAATCAAATCAAGTTTCAGGACTAATTGTAGTTAGCTAATTTCAGGAGCCAAGGCCCTACGCCATCCAGAAACCCAGCAAAATGTTGAGAAAAAGAAGTACGCCAGAGCCCCCTGAAAACCCGCGATTCGATAGCGACTCTACACTGAAGACACGCCGCGAAATCAAAGATAGTATCTAAAGAATCATCGCTACGTAGCCGCTATAAGTGTTAGAAGATAGTCAGGGGGTGAAGCTATGGAAGCAGAATTCGCAGCTAAGCGTACTAAGAATGTCACTACAAGAAGAACTAGATCGCTTGAAAAGGGATAGGTAATTCAAGGCACTACTAAATGCAGATCGTCGCTTTATGACTGCATTAGAACCACTAGCTAGAGGCTACCATATCGCTGAGTTTCAACAGCAAGAAATTAGCAGTGGAAGTGGTGTTATTAATGATAAGAGTGGTGGTTCAGAATCCACGGGTTCTTACGACGTGGAGCCAGATAAGCCAGCCTCAATCATTCGATGGTGTTTATCGACACCTGGTCGGAAGAACAGTGGCTAGTTTATTAATTTTGGTGGACGACTTTTATACAGTATAGGAGACATTAAGTATTTGCCAAGATATTATCACCATTTCAACAATCCAACGGACGCTCAAATGTAACTGCCTATTTTCAAATGATTGTTATCCTTCTCCACTTCTCCTCATCGCCTCAACCTCGCCTCAACCGTACACATCCGACAACGTCTAATGAGTATGTATACTGTACAACTGTCCAGGCAAACAGTACAGCAAACATTGCAGAAAATCAAGAAACACACTAAGAACTGGGTGGTGGTACATTGTGACATAAAATCAATGTTCGGATAAGACAATGAATCAACGGAATGTTAGGGGTTCTGCGTGTGGGGTGCTGTGAAATTATAATACTTACAACATCCCAGCAACAGCAACGACAGCCCCAAGCGCAACACCCATCATTCCGGTAACAACACTACCCTCAGCCCCCTGTCCCACACGTGCAGCGGCATTACCAGTCGCGGTAGCAGCGCCCAGGATAGAACTGTGAACAATAAGTATGTATCGTTTGCGATTTTGGTTGTGATGGTAACGGTGACTTACGTTGTCGTAATAGTTCCGCTGACAGCTGCGGCGACGGTAGCCACACCGGTGTAAATGCTACCACTCCCCTGGGCATTAGTCGTGGTATATGTAACCGTGCCGGTGGTCGTGGGGCCAAGCGACCAACCCGCACCCCAACCAACCCAACCGTTGAAGCCACCATATCCGTTCCAGCCACAGCCAGGTCCAACGAACCAGGGCGATCCGTTACCTACACAGCCAGTCACGGTCACAACACCACCAGTCCAGGTCTTGGAACCGGAATACGCGGACGCCCACTCGGACCAGTAGCTACCATCGGTAGCGGCACCCCAGCCATCGTCTGATCCATTCTTGTTATCGCCCCAGTTACCGCCTGGGCCACCACCGAAGCCCTTGCCGCCATTCCAGCCGCCGGGAGCACCCCAGTTGACTGGGCCGGCGGAGTATGTGATGGTGTGGACACCAGTGGAGCCGGCCGAGGTACAGGATGCATATTGGGAGCAAAGAGAAGCTGACAAACTGCCATAACTACTAATGGCTGTGGGGGTAGTGGAACAGCCATTATTTATGCACGACGAAATGGAGGAGCCCTTGCCAGCGTCGCAATAATCTGACTGCGCAGGCCAGTAATTGGCCGACGTTATGGTTGCTGTGGCGTCAGCCCAGGCTGAGGAAAGGCATGATTGCTAGTCTGGTGTATTAGTCGTGTGTGAGTATACTAGAGTAACAAAAAGGGCACTTACAGCACACTCTGGGGCACCACCCCACCAATTTGCCGAGGCGGCGGAGGGGGCCAGGACAGCCGCAATCGTAGAGGCCTTCATGTTTATGGAATTGTTGACGTGTGGAACACTTGAGATTTGATGAACCTTGGTGTTGAAACCAAATTTGGAAGATATTCGGGCTGATTGTGTGTATGTGTTAGAACTGATTGTGTGTATGTGTTAGAACTGATGAGAGGCTGATGAGAGGCTGTGAAGGACTGTGAGTGTGCTGTGATGCGAGGGAGTAGGCTAGATGTTAAGGGCAGGAAGCACATATACTTATATGTTTGTGTATCAACGTCCCTGCAGCAGACCGACGATTGTAGGATCACAGAAAAGGAAAACCCGGATACTCATTGGCCAGCCAACGTCGTCATAGACAGACTGGCTGACTGCATACGACGCAAATCCCCCAGAATTGCCGGATGCCATTATCGCCAGCGGAGAGGCGAAGCTGACCCGTCCCCTCCTTGTTGGGAGCCCGGGCGACCAGTGAGCCTTAGCCGGAGTTTAGTGACATGTAAATTGCATACACCAGTCGACTTGGAGAGTTTGATAAGTAAAGATGGTTGGCCTGCCTGACTTTGCGAAAAATCCCAAGCAACGGGTCTGGGTTCGCGGTCCGTGAGTGAGAATTTGGAGCCGGTGCAACAGTAGATCGGCCAGCTCAGCCAAGGGAGAGATGCAGAAGAGCCGCGCGTCCTCCCATCATGGCTCGAGCAATTCCCGGGACGGCTCTTTGGCTTCAAGTTGATAGTTGCACATTGCATATGCTGCAGGTATACAAGCTGAATCTGTTGAATCGCTACGTAACGTCTGAAGTTGGATCCACAGTCCTTTTGGAAGCTTGAAGCAGTCCAGGATTATGCTTGGACAGATGCCACACCTTGTAGCCATGTAGATGCGTTAGAACCTTGAAGGCTGTTGTGAGGTCGTCAATTCACGGTCGAAAGATAGCTTCGAGAAGAGCCGCTTGAGGTCAGGATCAAGTCGACGGGATCTTCGTGGACTTGGCGTAGCCACTGCTTTGAAAGTGGGGATTTGGGGTAGTCCGTGAGATCTGGGTCCCCCCTGCCCGATCCCGAAGCCTTTTCGCTGGGCCGAAAGGATTCAAGCGGCCAGCTGGCTGTGGTGACAGCTTAAACATACTTTTTGAGACGGTAGGGCTGCAGCACTGTCGATTTTCGAAGAAATACTCCAAACTTTTGTCCGAATATCCATAACGCAGGATCCTAGCTTCTCTTTTTACCAACTGTTCCTGTGTTTCAAATACTTTGAACTGGGCCAACTCAGTGTGTTTTACAACGGAATCCAAAGCTTCCCAGCCTGTCGGGACAAGGCTCGCGAAGGCGTCACGATGTCGACAGGCCGATGTGGCGCGGGAAGTTTAGGTATCCAGCTGAGAATAGAAACTTGAGAGTTTGCTCTCTCAACTTACTCGAATAGTTTACTTCTTCATGATGCTCCAAGATCATGTCAGATGCCGCAGTTGTGCTGATCCCAATCAGCCAGTCCAACTCCCAGAGGTCGAGTCAGCATCCGTGTACACTACAATTGATGCCTCCAGACGACACGTAGGTGTGCAGGTTAGATCACTCGTCGATTGGACAGTATCGCCAAACCGGAGCCGGAGTCGGAGTGCGACGTAAGCTTCTCAGCCTCGTCAGCTTGAATTCAGGATGAGCATAACGGACTTGGACGGCCCAACACTGAGGAAAAATGTATTTTATTGCGACACTGTTTTACATTACCGGCCGGAAAATGTGCCCTTCCACAGTAGGCACTCTGTAAACCCAACGTCATAGTCTTCTGCCCTGATGCCCCCTTCATTACCTGTTCATCGCATGAAACCAGCATGCTGATTGTAATATGGCATGCTGTTGCTGCCCCGAAAATCCTCAACGGCCCTATTCCTTTCCCTGAACTCCCAAGGCATTATGCGGAACCGATGTGCCAGGTCTTTAAAACCAACAAACGTAGAAACAAACACTGACAGTAAAGAAAAATGTGCGGTTCTACCAGCGGCAATCCACCTCGCCCCCCACTGTGATGTTGGCTGACCTTTCCTCTATCGCTAGGATCCTGCCCCGGCATCTCTTGCTCCGCCAAACACCAAGCTCAAACAATTCCACCCAAGCCAACTATCTATCACCTGATCAACCCGGACGCCGGACGTTTACCCTAAAGCATCGTGCCGAACGTGCCGTCGGTCGGGATTGGTTTGCGCGGGCTGCCATCCTCCGTGGCCGGTTTGCGATGACGGAATGTAAATCCGACAAATAAAGACTTGCCCATCGCATCGTCTCGGTCGGCCATACTCTCAAGGGCCTGTTGTTTATCATGGACCTCCTTGTACTTGGCCATATCAGCCTCATTGGTGAAATCATCAAAGTACCCTGCATCGGTTTCTGAGTCTAGTTCAGGTACAAATGGCGCCTTGGTCTGTCTAAGAGTGTCCCAATCCACCTCGGCGAAGTACTGATGCTCGTAGATGTCCTTGATGGTGGAGAAACGCTTGCTTCTTGAATTGATACAGCTGTTGTTCGTTAGTATGAGCACCCATGATGCGCTTGGCAAAGACTCACGTGGTGATGAAATTCCAGGTTCGATTGCTCAGGAAATAGTTCGGATCTTCCCATACCGGCCGCTTGAGTACGTCTTTCCAGTGCTTGAGGTTTCTCCATGTCTCGTCGGCGGTGGAGCCTGCGAAGGGGGGGAAGCCCGTCAGAGCTTCAAAGAGCATACAGCCCAAACTCCAGTAGTCGACAGTGTAGTCGTACTCATCGCCACGAAGGACCTCGGGGGCCATGTAATCGGGCGATCCCACGATAGATTTGGCGTAATTCACGTCGTTCTCGCGCATAGTTCGGTAGCCGTCCCGACGCTCGGCGATGGTGCGCTGGTCCATTGGCTTACCAAACGGAACACTGGTCTCTGATGCCTTCTCCAGTTTGATGCGCATGGACTCGATCTTGCCCGGTGCTAGCATCCCCGCGGCTAGGCCGAAGTCGGTCAGCTTGACATGGCCGGTGGAGTCAACCAGGAAATTCTCAGGCTTCAGATCTCGGTGAATATAGCCAAGCTTGTGCAACGCATCAACAGAGCAGAACATCTCAGCAATGTAGAATCGCGCATGGCGGTTGGAAAGAACGCCCGTATTGTTGAGAAGGGTTCGGAAATCTCCGCCTGGTACATATTCCATGGCAAGATAGATACTCTTGTCGTCCTGGAAGGAGTACAGTAGTCGAACCAACCACTCGCTCTTGGCCGTTGTGAGAATATCTCGTTCGGTCAGAACATGGCGAACCTCATCCAGCTTGAAAAGCAGTCTCTTGCTCATGACCTTCAAAGCACACACCTCCTTGGTGTCCTTCTTTTGCGCAAGATAGACTTGGCCATAGCCACCTTGGCCAACTTGTGTGAGGATTTGGAAATCACCCTGTCGAAGCCGGACGCGGCGCTTACGGAGGTTGGCGCGTTCTCGACCCGCGTATTTTTGCCACATCTGCTTGTGCGTCTCCTCATCGGTGCCCGGCGGGGCAGGATATTCCTCCTTGAAAGCATTGAGTCGAGCCTGGCGTGAGCCAACATAGGTGAGGAGATCGAAGTAGTAATCAAGGAAGTACAGCTGGGTGACGTTGACAAGGCGGCGGACATTGGGTTTTTTCAGGATCTCAAGTTCCTCGGGTGTCAGCCCGCGCGAAGTGTTGAACTTCTTGGTCGTAGGAGTCAATGGCCTGCTCTCTTTAAGCTGATAAAGTTCTTGACGAGAGACGGCGGCATGGTTGTGTATGTACGGGGAATCCGAGCCCCCGACGACAGGGATTCGCGAAGGAGGCGTGTTCTCTTGTCCCTGCTTCTTCAGGGGGCTGCCTGGAGTCTTGTGGATAATGCTCTCGTCGACATTGGGCGACCCCGTTCCGAAGTAGGGATCGTCGATCGGTTGGAGGTTGCTTCTGACTGGGGACAGCGGGCTCACACCAGTTTGGGGTCGCAGCCTGATGGGACTGTCGAGGCCATTGTTGCTGCTGAGCTTCATTGCGTTTTCGAACGCCACAGGGAGATCATTGGCTCCAGGTGGAGCCGTTTTCTTACTCGGGCTGCCCTGCGGTGTCGAAACGGGTGTGATGAAGCTGTTGCGGTTCTGGGAGGGCGTGGCAGGGCGCGAATCCTTGGAGCCTGGGAAGATACTCGTAATAAAGCTCGCCATGGCTGCGAAGGTTGACGGGGCAATGAATCGTGAACTCTCTGTCGATGTTGTCTGACTCGCGATGGTAGCAGACAAAGATCGGGCTAAGTTACGATGATCGCTGGCTGAGGACTTGGTTGGGGTCGCCGCTGCAAGCGCCGCCTGAGGTTGGTGGGGTTGTCGTGGGACGCGTGCAGAGCAGAAGGCCAATTGACGCTGTTGAAATACTTAAATCTGGCGGGGCTCTGGGTTGATGGAGAATCAACGATCTAGATGATCTAGGTGCAGAAGAAAGCAGCTTAAGCAACTGCAAACTGCGAACATCAATGGGGCCTCAGTACATTGAAATGATGCTCCCAAGGCTTGTTTTTGCTAGAGAATGCAATTCAGTTATTGCGCCATGATTGGGCGGGGTTGATTGCGTCCAACGTCACTATCAACACGGTCGCCCGGGCAGCAACGCCTGGAAGTCCGAGCGCAGGCTACGGCCTGGCCAGGATCCCTGCTACATTCCCGCTCTTGGGGGATCTCAGATCTTGTTTAGCGTTTACAACATTGGGCAGTTTGACACTGTGTTCCATCCAGATCATCCTATCATTTTATTGCATTTTAGGATTACAGTGGTTTATGAAAAGAAACAGTTCACACCCAATATTCGTCTTATGCATCATTTTGGGGACCCATTCCAGCATCCATAGTAAGCTGGTCAAAGCTCAAGGATATAGAAGTTGCACGGTGCAATTGTAGTTCAGTGGCGCGACGAGGCTGAAATTCCCTGCAGCCTTCATTTCCATTGGAATAAACATTAGCATTTCCATCTGGTGCCATACCACCATTCGAAACAGGACCGTCCACGAGGCTAACCACGGATTACCACCAAGTTGCTGTAGCCTTTGATCTCCTCTTTGGCCGCTCTTTCCGCTGCTTGTCCGAATATGCCCAAGGAACGCAACTATAACCCCGTGCAAGCCCAGCGCAAAGCTGACAAGGCCAAAGCGATCAAGAAGGGGAAGACCGAGGCCGTAGCACGCCGAAACGAGAAGCTCGGAAAGCGAAACCCAGAACGGATTCAATCACAAATCGATGATCTCAAACGAATCACATCTTCCGGAGGCAAGCTCACGAAGCACGAAGAGACTGTACTAGAAGGCCTTGAGCGAGACTTAAAGGCCGTCCACAAGGCGAGAGAAGCGCTTGGGGAGAATGCACCGACTTTCAGTCGCGGCGGTCCTCAAACCGGAGGCTACGGAGAGAATGGTGTGCTGGGCAAGCGAAGACGAGGTGGTGAAGATGCTTCAAGCAGCGACAGCGACGTGCCAGACGACGTCAAGAGCATACCTATGCCTCGAGACACCCCGCCCCCGATCCCTAAAGAAGTGATGGACAAATGGTACGCAAAGCGCAGAGAGAGACGTGCGAAGTCAAACGCAAACCCGAACGAGACACCCCTTGGAGAAAGGGGAGGAAGGCCGGTACCGCGTGGAGAGACACGCAAACAAGCTGCGCCTCCCGTGGAAGTCAAGACAGTATACGAAGCCAAGCCTGTGATCCGCGATTTGAGGAAGGAGGCCGTCACTGCCTTCGTGCCGACTGCTGTCAGGATGAAGATGGAGAAGGGTCGAGGTCGAGGTGCACTGCTGGAGCCCGAGGAGGCCGACCAACTGGAACGAGAAGGATATCTGAAGACTCAATCCAGACCAGAGGCTGCACCAAAAGGGATGCACAATGTCACCATGGAGGACGCTGAAGACGATGAGGCTTAACCGACCGAAAATTTGGCTGCATCAACCCATGAGCTATGGACCGATGATGCTACAAATGTGCAATATTGCGACAGGTTTACTCTTCAAGATCACTCAGCCAGGCTTAATTGAGTATTCTCTACGACCTCATCGGAAACTTCTTCCATATTTTAGATGCGGCCTTGATGGAAATGTGTCAATTCACTCACGCCTTTGCGCCTCCCCGCATTCAACCTCGCGTTTCGCAAAAAGTCTAGTTGTTGGGGGTCTCGACAATAGCCGGCATGCCGGTAGATACCAATAGCGCCTGCAGCGTGATAATAGTGTGTGTTCGGTCTAGTAGCATGCCCCTGTCTTGCATCGCGATGGGCTTCCTGAATGGGCTTCGGGGCTGTCGATAAGGCCCCTTGGGGCGGGGTTGGATGCACGTTGTTTGGCGGTGCCGTCACTCTGACTTCAAAGGTTCTCCACGCTCGCTTGACGGCTCCGACTCCGGCAACGCACGCTTTCCCGGATCCGAGGTACTTCGAAACTCTCTCATAGTCACGGGTGACCCGAATGTTTTCTATGATGCGGTGGCATAGTCGACATCAAGGTACTCGGCATCATTCATATAAGTCCGCCGCCGGTGAAACCTGCTCGAATTTGAAACCACCCAAGAAATCTCATCTGCCGCCGGAATGGAAGAAAAAGGTCTAGCAGGTGTTGAGTCTCCGCAGCCCTCTGTGGAGGAAAGCTTTGGCAATTTGCCCGATACTAATCAGAGCGATATCGACTTCAATTCGAACCCTGATCCTCAGCTTTTCGTTGTGCAGGAAGACGGGGCGTCTCCGGTAATCGACGACAAGTCAGATGCCGGCTCGGGCCCCATCACCCTCCTGGGTGCGGAGACATATCCTGAAGGGGGACTGGAAGCATGGCTAGTTGTCTTCGGGTCGTTTTGTGGTCTTTGCGCCTCATTAGGAATTATGAATACCATTGCCATTTTCCAGACTTATCTCGCCACGCACCAGCTTTCGGACTATAGCGAAGGCACCATTGGGTGGATATTCTCCTTGTACACCTTTTTATGCTTTGCTGGGGGTATCTACGTCGGGCCCATGTTCGACAAGTACGGCCCGAAATGGTTGGTATCTGTTGGGAGCGTGGGTATTGTCGTGAGCATGATGCTCCTAAGTATCTGTACAGGTAAGCAATCCTACATTCCCACGTGTCGTGTCGTGTCTTATGCTAATTCACGCGGCAGATTATTGGCACTTCCTCCTAGCTTTCGGCGTTCTCAACGGCCTTGCTTCTTCGGCATGCTTCACACCGTGCTTCACAACCATTGGCCATTATTTTCGTGAGCGTCGCGGGATGGCAACGGGAATCGCCAGCACCGGTGGTGGCGTGGGCGGTGTGGTATTCCCCTTGATGCTCCAGCGCCTCTTTAACCAAGTAGGCTATGCCTGGGCTATCCGCATTTTAGGCCTTGTCTGCATGGTTCTCTTCATATTTGCCATGCTTCTCGTGAGGAAACGCCTGCCACCGGCCAGCAATGCCAGCACGCACCCCGACTTTCGAATCTTCAAAGAGAAGGCATTCTTCCTTACCACCTGCGGCGTTTTCTTGCTTGAGCTTGGCCTCTTCATCCCACTAGCCTACATTTCGAGCTATGCTGTCGCTCAGGGCTTCAGCAGCGCCTTCGCTTTTCAGATCCTTCCCATCCTCAACGCAGCCTCAGTCTTCGGCCGGGCCCTCCCCGGCTACTGGGCTGACAAGATCGGCCCCTTCAACTCCAATATGCTCTCGGTCTTCCTCACTGTCGTCTCCGTGTTGGGTATTTGGCTGCCCGTCGGCCATACCATGCCAGGCATCATTATTTTTGTCATCTTGTTCGGGTTTGGGACAGGAAATAACATCAGTATTACGCCTGTGTGCGTCGGGCGCCTGTGTCACACTCAGCACTATGGGAGATATTACGCTACGTGCTACACCATCGTCAGCATTGCTTGTCTGGTTGGCATTCCGATCGCTGGGACTCTCGCTGAGGCTACTGGGGGTAACTATTGGAGTTTGATTGTATTTACGGGTCTGACGCAGTGTTTGAGCTTCTCGTTTTTTGCGGCGGCGAAGGTGGTCAGTGTAGGCTGGAAGCCTCAGGTTAAGTTCTGATTGGGAGTCATTGGGGCATACACTCTAGCGGATTACGAGCCACGCTGTTGTTCTAATCTGTTATATTGAAATTTTGATCATGTCTTATGTTATTATGATGGAGATAAATAAATTTTCTGTTATATTCATATTTCGTAGTTGTTTGTTCGTTCTTTTCTCTTGGCCCTTCGGTGGAATCGTCTTTCGCAAATTGCGTATTATTTATGCTGCACAGCTGTCTTCCTGTTAAAAAGGGCTGCGTACGAGGCTACGAGCAAAGTGCAGCCTGCGCGCTGAGGTGAGGATCCTTGATAGTTGTCTTTCGGGGGCGCGAGAAGGTCTGTTACCTTCCAGATGGCAGTCAGATGTCTAAGCGAGGGGGCAAGATGTAGCAACTGGACCGTTCATTCGGGCGGCTGTGTTTCTTTGATATTCTACAGTATCCAGATGATAAAGCAGCGTTTCCCATATGGAAAAGTACGAATTCTACTGTTGGCGTATTTTTATATAGCCAATTCCCAGTACCTAATGATCAGGCCAGATATTCATGGACGTTATCAAACCAATCAGAGCACGATCGACCGGCTTGGCTGAGGCTTGGGGTTTGGCTGATATTCCATCAGCACCATTTCTGCCACCAACAAATTCGGTTCAGAGCATTTGGCATCATTCTCCAAAGGCATATAGCTGAGGATGCCTGAATTATTCCGATACAACGCCTGGCGTCTTCGTGTCATGATGTAGAGCTCGTATCGAGAACATGGAGGCCGTGATGGACAGTTACGCAAAAAGTCTGGGTAAGCATGGTGGGAATGACGCCCCTCCAAGTAAAAGTATACAGAGGAACTCCACTGCTCAGTGTTGCAGGAAATCCTAGTCATGAACCATATCTTGACTGTTCTCGTGGTAAATAACAAGAAACCTGCTCGTCAACTTAATCAGGTTGTATTGTAGGTTAAGTCGCGGACTAGTAAAACTAGAGGCTAGAAGAATATTATCGCCAATACTGAGATGAACTCCTGTGGAGTATGCCGTGCCGGTCTAGGCCAAGGCTTTTTTTCTTTTTTGAAGATTTCAGATCAATGCCGAGAAAGGCATGTCGTTGCTGAAAGACCACTTAGAGTGCAATGTACGTCACTGGCTTGGCATCGATCGTCAAACAATAACGGCAGGTGCAATCAATGTAATGGCGGGGATGGCACGGACCGTAATACCCATTCGCCCGACAACTCCAAATCCTGACTCCCTCAAATATCAAGGGCGGCTTTTTGACAAGTGACAAGCACAGATTACTTAACAAAACCATACTCATTGCACTGAGAGTTCATGGAATCAGTGAAGTAAGTGTTGACTCATACGTCAAATATCAACGGATCTGTCCAATTCACAGTCTGCCATTCGAGAACCTCGTTTGTGACTCGCCCAGTTGACGGCCAAGTGGCTCACTCCGCACTTGAATCCCCCGACGGCCGAAGCCGGGAACCGAGATTTCACTTCTCGCAGCCGGAGCATCGGTATTAATAACTCAAACCCGGAAACAGCTGAGAAGTTTCTTCCTCGTCTTTGGTGGAATTTATTTCATATCACTGCACCACCTGCCCGCTATGGAACATTGAGCTATCCAGCCCTGCTCCATTCTATAATGCATACTAACACTATGACCACACAGCTAACACCTCATCTCGCCCCGGTCTCATTGTCAGACCACGCGGGCTACACACCAGCTCTGAGCCTGTCCTTCGGCCTTCCAGACCGGCCCCCATCCCCAACTTCATCGGTGTCATCGATAACATCTCAGGTCACCATGGCTAGTGCATCAACCGAGGGCACTTCCGCCTCCTTCCTTCAAGTGGTAGAAAATGCCTACTTCTCCTCCAATCCGCCCCCAAAGGCTCTTGCTGCTCACACAGCTCAAGCCCAGTCTTTCATTAACCACCATGCTGCGGAAGGCCGACGTGTGGTCCTGATCACATCCGGTGGTACGACGGTCCCTTTGGAGAAGCAGACTGTCCGCTTCATCGACAATTTCAGCGCCGGCACACGAGGAGCAACCTCCGCCGAGTACTTTCTCGAGGCGGGATATGCCGTCATCTTCCTCCACCGCCAATTTTCGCTGCTGCCCTACAGTCGACATTACAGCCATTCCACAGACTGCTTCCTGGATTTCATGCATGAAGGCCCTGACGGAAGTGTAGTGGCCAATCCGACGCACCAGGAAAAGATGCTCCGGGTGTTGCGAAAGTACAATGCCGCCAAACAGGGGCGCACTTTGCTTATGCTACCGTTTATGACCATCACGGATTACTTGCACGAGCTACGGGCGATTGCACAGTTGATGCGCCCTCTGGGACCTAATGGGTTGCTGTATCTTGCGGCAGCAGTTTCGGACTTCTTTGTGCCCCCTGAGCGCATGTCTGAGCACAAGATCCAGAGCACCAACGCGACGGACAACCTGAAGCAGGGGCCAATGACTATCAAGACGGAGACCCGATCCGAGGAAGCCACAGAAGAAACAGAGGAGGCATTCGACAACTTTGACTCTTCACCGGCTGTTCCGCGGAGCAAGCGGCTCATCGTGGATCTGGATCCTGTTCCCAAATTCCTCAAAAACCTTGTTGACGGCTGGGCGCCCGAAGGCATGATCGTGTCGTTCAAGCTGGAAACGGATCCCGGAATCCTGGTGCACAAGGCCAAGTACTCTCTGAACCGCTATCAGCATCATCTCGTGATCGGAAACCTGCTCACGACACGCAAGTGGGAAGTCGTGTTTGTGGCACCAAACCAGGCAGACAAGTGGATCCGGGTGCCCAACCACCTGAGGAGAAGGCCAAGCGCCGGTATAGAGGGACTTGTAGGAGCAGCGGATCGGAGTTGGGAACAAGACAAACCATTGGATCCTGCAACCTTGCCCGAGGGTGAGCCAGAACTCGAGATCGAGAGTCTCATTATCCCGGCAGTCGAGGAATTGCATCAAAAGCACATTGATTCCATTCGGGCGAAGGCATAGTGGGGGTAATACGGCAGCATCGAGCGCCGCACAGAATCCGAACAAGTGAGTGTTACATGTAAAATCTAGGTGCCTTAGCTATAAGATCTACTGGTTTTCTTACAAGTCATATTTTCCCTGATACTTGTGTGTAAGACCGGTGTGCTCCCGTTGTGTGTTAATCAGCATGTCTCGGATAGACGGCCAGCGCAGAACCAGAGAAGGGAGAAAAGCTACTTTCCCACCAAACCCGCTCGGGGTAACGGTCGCCATGATGCTACCTCCCTACCTCTATACCTTTGCCCCGTCCCTCTTAGCTCGCTAAATCTTCCCCCCAAACTGCCCCGCCGCATTCTCCTCCGCATCCGAAAATGATCCCCCTGCTGAGTTCAAAGCCTCAGCCAAGCGGCTAAGGCTGTCGCTTAGTCCCACCAGGTCCTGCTGCGTGTTACTCAGGAGCCCGGCGACTCCATCGACGGCGAATCCGCTCGATAGCAGCGAGTTGACTTGGGAGACGATGTCGGTGCCCGTGACCTGGATGGCGGCGTTGCTGCTTTGAATATTGCTGGCTACTTGGGCCAGTTGAGAGGCGTCGACAGTGGTAGTTTGACGGGCGTTGAGGGTTCGAGGAGGCGAGGGGAGGGCGTAAGGGGAGGCGGAGACGAAGGCGGCGGTTGTGAGGAGGAGGGCGAGGTGGTACATTTTGGTTGTAGGCGTGGTGCTGGATTTTGATTTGTAAAGTATGTCTGGGTGGTATTGGCGGCTTCGAGTGTAGAAGTTTGATTTCTCGTGGGCTTAGGTGGAAGATGCTTTTGCGCTGGAGATGGAGTTGCTAGTGAGGATTCACTTACGATAGCACACGACTTGATTCAGCGATTTATATGTGCTACCCATTTCCTCCAAGACCGCCCCCGACTACATTACAGAAAGGTCACAAGTGGAAGACGTTTCATTACCAAAAATATACATATGTCCTATGACTAAATATCGCTACTCAATCCTACTCAACGGTGGCTTGATGCCAAGTAAAGGCGCGGCGACCAAAGCAACTAGCGTAAGGCGAGCCAAACGATGAGCATAGTGTGATTAGAGCTATGTAATTAAAGAACCGCTAGAGAGGGAGCAGCAGGGTTTGGGGTCGGGCTGAGATCCTACTAATAAACCGTTGGCTTCAGCCGCACGCATGAACTGGGTCCTGCGACGTTGAAATAAACATCCTTGCGTCTAAAGAGCTTGGGGCGGTTTTATTATCTAAAATATCAGCCCAAGAATATTACGATACATATCCAGCATGTTGTTCCCGCCAGGAGATCTTGATAACTGGGAGCTGAGGATACCACACGCTGCTTTGTTGGTTGAATATCGGCACAGGATACCCATATATAACATTTCCTCCCATGTTCAGTAAGAATAATAAGTCGTGTGTTTCGCAAAGAGACAAGGCAGCAAGCCGTCCAGGATTCTCTTAAAACTACTTGAGACTGGTGAAAGGAGCATTTCTTTGTCCAACGACACAGTATCTAGAACTACCACGATATCCTGAGAACTCATCTAGTTGATTATTTCATCAATTGTGGCTATCTTTGGCTTATGAAACTTAATCTTTCACTCTGTGGATCCCATGGCATCGGCAAATATATCGCGACTTTGAACTGCGTTGTTGTCCGGGGCTATGGTGGGCATCCTTCTACAATAACAAAGGCGTTCAAGGCTACAACTAATTTTTCTCTCAACAACAGGTATGCTGAGAAGCATGTATACCATCATCCCCTGTGCTGATATATATGCAAGGTACTGCCCCCCTTTCGCCATTTTGCACATCGTTGTCTGGCTTGTCAGCACCAACACAGATCACCATTCGAACCAGATCCAGAGGACAATTCCACTGTTCACTTTGACATACCGCATCATGGCGGAACACAAGGACCGAGGCGAGGAACACGTCGAAAGGGCGACCAGAAAGTCCGACGACGTCAGAGATCCTTACGACGCCGATGGTGTCTACCAGGAAGAGGGTATGACAATCCTTGGGAATGAACTGGCAAATTTTCTATTGGAGAGCTAGCGTTGACCTTGCCCAATGATGGTCAAGAGGCGGCACGAGCTAACACTTCGTCAGTGCAAGATAACAACGACGATGACGATAGCGACGACTCATCGCCCCTCCTAGACGCGATCGATGATACCGCGAAAATCGCGGGAGTCTTTGGCATAGAAGATCATGTCAGTCGCTTTATGATCGCTGCTCAAGTTGATCATGAGAAGGCCGAAGAGTCCGCCGGCATCCCACCGCCTCCCGCGCCTCTCGGCCACAGAGCTCAGCTTGGCTACGACCCACCCGAGCCGTCACCCTTAAGGATCATATTGACCGCGATTAGTTCATCCCCGATGACATCTTCTCCAAGAATGTCAGGGGGTGGTATTTCGCCTTTGACACCACCGCGCATCACGCTGACAGGCGCTTCCACGCCCTCGCTGCTGTCTCCCTTGAGGATGCCGAGACTGGCTATGGCTATTCCTACAACTCCGACACGGTTCTTACAGCGTTCTGATACCACCGTGTCTCCTGAGAGCGACTCGGGTGTGTCTAATATGTCAGAAGAGAGTTTATTCTCTCCCGATTTGCCCTTTCCCGAAACCTAGGGACCGACCGGGGCGGCAGGATCAAACTAGTGAAAGCCACAGATGAGCCCATCTTCTCCTGATTCTTCTGATACTGCTAACCGGCCAAGAAGCGTCATACTCTACGCCCGGCCTGACCTCACGTGCGGAAACTGCCGGCGGCAAATCCTCGTCGAGAGACCGGCCGGGGCGTAAGTGCTGTGGATGGATTTGTCCAGATTTGACGACAATACGGCTATTTTTGCATTCCGGGAGAAGTGGGGATCGCATCCTCTTTACAAGAATGATCCGTTGGATCAGTACAAGGATATGACGTGAAACCGGCTTTTAGGGGAGTTCAGGTGAGTTCGGAAACTTCGCAAAGGTTAAGTTCACAAAGTTTAGGCGGAGCATTTTGCAGGCCTAGGTGCAAAAGTAAAGATGAACAGCGATTTTTACGGTGGTACTAATATGTCATTTTGCATAAATAGAGACTCAGAGGGCCGTGGAAGGTAATCGTGGAGTTTTCTGTACTGTTGTATTATCTTATAGATGTCGACAATATCGCAAGAGCTGCTGGCCTGATTTTGCGCTGGGTTCCCTCTTACCTGAATGAACCTGTATTATTATTGAGGTATAAATGAGAACTTTCACAACTTCTCTGATCGTGACTTCACGGTACGGCACATAAGCTTCATGCGAATATCGTCAATGAAGGCAACCATCCCAAGTGGACCTTCGACTCTTTACTGGGTCCTTCAAACTCTATCTGCATCGTAGTTCAATATTTGCACTCGTGGCTTGTCTTTACGAAACATAAAACATGAAAACTCACATCATATTTGCTGAAAAGCGTCGCCGTAGTCTTGCACTCAACCATGCCCAGGGGCTTTCCCAAACACACCCTGTTCTCACCGCCAAACACAAAGCCATCAGCGCGCATAATCTTCAGCCTCGCGGCAAAGGCTTCTTTACTTTCACTCTTGCCAGCTAGCCGCCTGTCAGCTCGAATCACAACTCGGACTCGACTATGTCACACTGCTATAGGCTGGCATTCCAAGGCCAGTTATCTAGATCCTGCAACTTACGTCCTATTGTGACTTCGCCTCCGGTGTGGTGGGATGCCCATACCAAAATCTCACTTGGAGGCGGACTTGGCAGGTTTTAGATGATGAGATTATGGTAAGATTATTTGCATCACCATAAACAACGACCTGCAGAGTCATCATTCATAGTTCTGTTCCTAATGGCTATGGCTTGATAATATCCGCAGCCACTATGATCCCATTTGCCGTCTTCTGCACCCATTCAGCAGCTAGTGAGGTATAACCAGCTGTCAGGGCCTCGCTGATACCAGGGAATGTCTGGGCAGCATATCCTGCGTGATTCTTTAGCATTATCTCGTCAATACTGAAAAGGGGCCACATACCGGTATCGCTTCCAGGGGCAAATATAACATGCCTGTAGAACTCTCTCTGCGGAATACCACCTTGAGAAACGAAACCCCGCTGGAAATCTCTGTGTTTATGGTTGACAGCCGCAAGAAGCTCATTGTCCGCACCTTTCACAGCTTGATGCTCAAGCTGCTTCAACTCGGTGGCACACCGCGCGAAGTAGCCAATCGCCTCCTCGAGAGCAGACGTGTCCAACGTCTCCGATGTTGAGTTTATTGCCGAGATCAAGTCTTTGTAGTAGAGACTCATTTGGACAGCATAGTTAGACAGATTAAAGGGTATCAAATCGTCATCGGCGAGTTTGTACGCCAGCAGAGCCAAGTACTAAGCTGAGTCAGCACCCAAAGTAGGAAAGGGATTGAGTTCTTGACCTGAGCCATGGACTGATGCGTCAAAAATTCAGGGTCGCCGAATTTCGACATCCAGTGGTAGGAATCGTAGTTACTATGATAGTGGTAGACTGGGTCAATGTCGCTTGGGTTCGAACCCATATCAATCTAGAAATGGTTATTCTCCTAACTCGTTGCTTTCAAGAAATTTCAGCACTGGAATACTCACTGCTCCAATTCCGGCATGATCAAGAAAAGCAGTATAGTCACTGCCGCTTCCGAGCACACCGATTTCGCCCTCATTATCTTCATACCAAACATCATACATTGTCCTGCCAGAGTCCATCCAGAGGATCTTCTTCATCGTCTCCGTCGCAACTTCGTGAAGCTCGGGGGTTGCGGCAATGCCGGGATGAGGGCCAGACACTCCCACATCAATATTAAGATACGACACGGCGGTTTCGGTAAGCCAGGGGATGTATTCCTCGACCCACTCGGTCGAGCCAACGAGCCCGTACTCCTCGCCGTCCCATGAACATAATACGATGTTCCGCTTCGGCTTCCAGCCCTGAGCTAGAAGCGCCCCAAATGCCTTGCTCAGTTCGACGATGATTGCGGTCCCGCTGTTGGGATCGGCAGCTCCACCAACGACCCAAGCATCCCTGTGATTCCCAATGACGATGGTTTCGTCCGCATTGGTTCCGTTGATGACACCGATTGCATTCCAGATAGGTGCGTAAGTGTTCTTCATCAGGTTACTAAGGCCAAGGACTGCACCGGGCGCCGGGCCAGTGCTGTAAGACACGTTGAGAGCCCCGACCCACCGTGTACGATTGACCTCTCGGCCAGAAATCCCATGTCCATCTAGGGCTTCGAGAATGGGTATCGCATCTACATAAGAGATCGGTATTGATGGGATCTTAACTAAGACGCGAGAAGGGTCTGCACGGAGTGGGTCGTTCTTGGAAGGATATCCGGGGGTTGTCGGATCGCCAGGATAGATGGCGAGATTTTGCACGCTTCCCCGCTGGACCGAAGTCGGGTTCCTGGCAGGTCCATCCGGATATGCTGCGTACCCATTGGCTTCTGTCATGTTTCCATCGTCGTCTGGGTCCGTGAATAGAACGGCACCGACCATGCCATATTCCTGTGCATTCTTGACCTTCAAGCCGCGGAACGGCCCTCCATACCTGGAAATGGCGATTTTCCCTTCCAAGGGGACCCCGAGCTCGATTAATCTCCGGAAGTCAACTTGCTGGCCTCGACCGACATAGACGTACTCTGCACTGGCGTTACCATTGGCTGAGTATCCATGAAACGTGGGAATCCGATCAGGATAGCTGCTTGTAGAATCTTCGTTCAACACCGCTTCTTCCAGACTGGGATGGAAAACACTGCCGTTGGCATAGGTGAGGCTCAGTGACTTGCTGATGGGGTAGTCGATATAGACGTTGTATGTCACGACACTGGAGTCGATGCCGTTCTCAGCCCAGCGGTCAGCAGTCCACTGCGCCATACTGAAATTCTTGCCGGCGAGATGAGCTCCATGGGTGTAGTAGTATGACCAGTCAGATAGTGTTCTGTTGGAAATTGCTTCAACAAGAGTACTTTCATGCGGGGTCAACGGCGTAGGCGATACACCCTGGTGCTTGACATTGGAATGATGAAAATGCCGTTCACGCTGACACGCATTGGCGTGCGTAGCTAGGAGTGCTACCACGCCTAGTAACTTAGAGGTCCTCATAATGGTCGTAGTGTCGTAGGTAGAATATATCCATCGTATTTTGTTGAAAATGGCCATAGATATATGATACTATGCCTCCACTGCTGTACAACCCCTCACGCGTAAAGGTGACTGACTCTATACGGCATTTGGCGCTGCTCATCATTGGCCGTGGTCGAGGATAGTCGCATGGTGACAGGGATCAATGCTGGTACCGACACGACGGGCACTACGTGCATGTTGATGGCGTCAATTGCCAACTTAAGCTGCCATATTGGGCGAGGTCCCTCTCGTCACTTGGAGTCATATCCTGACTTCAGTTTCTCATGCGGCACTTTTTCGACACGAGCCTGGAAGTCTGGAGGATCAAAGCCGTTGATACCCAGCTCAGTACGAACTCGATACTGCAAACATATCAGTGATTCTGCCCATCCTTGCCGCATTGCGTCGAACGGCCGTCGGCCTGTAACTACTTGACCGTGGAATACTGGTCGTGCGCCTGCATATATCTGCTCCAAATCATCATGCTGACTTTTACAGAACTCGGCATCATCCCCAAACATTACTTGTCACAATTGTGGTAATAGTACGACCCCGCATTGAAGTGCAATACAACTTCCCATAGTAGCTTTCCTTATTGAGAGAGTGGTTGCAACCCTGCTTTTCATTTTCTTTCTATTTCCCAGTGAGCACGCAGATAAAGTAGCCGAGAAATTTGCACGGCAATGGTCACATTCGTCGTAATTCGTGAGGTCGAAGTGAATCCCACCCGATACCTCCCCCGGGGCAACACGAACATAAATATTGTCAGAAAGTTACCAAAATAAAGATCCCAGATGGTCAAATGCTTGCCTGAAACAACAGCCTGCCTTGTTACTTTACCATTTTGAGTTGGAAAGACTGAATGTTGGGAGACAGCGGAGGTACCCGGGAGTCTGCTTAGGTAGGCTGACGGATCCCGCCCAAACTTCCTCTCCGAGCAGACCTCGCCAATGGGGACACATGGCCCGTGTTGGAACCACCATCTGCAGCACTGCCGTGTAGCTAGCATCCGATACAGTAGAACCTGCGTACTGCTTCCGAAGGTCTTTTTCCCGAAATCTCGAACTCCTTTCTTCCTTAGTACTTCCTCGCCTATTTCAACCTGTACGTGATAGAATACGACTTGGGTCCATGAAGTTCCGATCTTAGCAATTCGCAGTATCAACTGCTTCAATGGTATCATGGAGAATAATCATGGTAATTGACGTCAAGATCGTGCAAGCCGAACACATCGTAATTCAACGTCTCTCACTGCGGCAACCAGTGACATGACGGAGTTTGGCCCCCATGTACTAGCATAATCAGTTTCGGACAAAGCATATTGCAGACGGTGGATCAAGGTACAATCCGACGTTCGGTTTCAGGGTTGCATCTGTCATCTGCCAGTAAGTACAACTCAGATACGCCGAAAGCGGCGGGCCAATTGCAAACGAAGAACATAATGTAAATGTGCGAGATGCGTCAAATACCAATTGCTATATGTTGTGATCTTGTTCCAACTAGTTAAGCCAGTGGTCGTTGTAGAGTTTACCTTAATCAGCCAATTCGGTACTTTTGGCCTTCCAAGTTTGACGCTTTCGGTAACTGAATAGGTAGTCGGAGTACTTGATCACACAAAACTTGTATATATTATGTATTTAAAGGCGCAGGAATTTGAGGATCATATATCTCCATTAAAGCTAGTGAACATGGCGTGGGGCTGCGATCTCATACGAGCGAGACTACTGTACACGTCGGTTATTCGCAGCGCAATCGCCTTCGGGGCGGCTGCGTGGCACACTATAAGCGAGGAACCAGCGGGACCAGCTAAGAGCCTAGTCGGGATACAGAATGAGTGCCTCCGAATAGTCTGTGGCGCCTACAAAGCGACACCGGTCCGACACCTAGAAATAGAGGCAGCTATCCCGCCACTAGACCTATATCTCAGTGCCCGGGTGTCAGAGAACAGAATGCCATAGGCACCAGTGGGTGTCAGGACACTGAACGCAGGACACCGGCGGGCCGCCGGAGGGGTGTTTCGGACAAAAGACTCCCGAATCATGATTACAATCTATGTGAAGCTTTGGGATGACGAAAGTCAAGATCCTTGGCATCGCCGACCCTGCTGTTATGCCGGGTCCAAGCGGCGGCCTAGCTATCTATATAAGGACCATCTCGAAGTAGGATAGGGAAGGAGTTGTCAGAGCCACAAGTGTCATCCGAGGCGGGCCGGCTTCCACCAGGTAGGAAGCCGTTTGTGGCGGCTAGAGAGCCGCTTGTGGCGAATGAGAGCCGTTGAAGCCGTTTGCAGCGGATAGGGAATCGCTTGGTTGCAGATAAGGAGCCGCTGTCCAAGATATTGGCCGAAGTCGGAGGAACACAGACATACGGAAGCAAACATCCAGAATCCAAGAGAGAACCTCGGCTGGCTATAAGTAAGGAGTCGAGACGGAGGAAGATAGAGAGGGCAGAGATCAATGCATCACCGTGGGCACCCCTACCTGAGACCGCCAGTGACCACCCGGTGCTACGTAGGAGGGACGCCCGTTACTCCCCATCACTCTGTACTATTGCCTTCGGCCTAGCCGTACCCTGACACCGGGCGGCGAAATTTGAAGAACGGCTACGGAATAACGGCAAAAGGAGCCTGCTTCGGAGCGCGAGCGCGAGAGCGTCACACATACTCCGACAGGACACGCCGGCGAGACGGAAGCGGGCGTCACAATCGCTCAGACCAGCGGGGTACACGATAGAGAAGGAGGCTAGGGGCTCCGAGTGGATAGGCAAGGCGAAGGAAGTCCCGGCCGCCCTCCTAGACCACTGGGAGAAGAGATGGCTCTCCGGGGCAGCACAACACGACCGCCAGCGACGCGCTATCGCCGAGGAGCAGGAGGGCCCCTCGATGCGAATGCCGAAACAGGGCAAGTACTCAGACCTAAACCGACCGGAGGCGTCTACCCTATGCCAGATCAGGACCGGAAAAATAGGACTATCAGATTTCTTATTTAAGATAGGAGCCTTCGGTGTGTACTCGCCGTTATGCCGCTGTGGAGAGGCCCCCGAGACGGCAGAGCACGTAATCCTCTTTTGCGGCCTGCTGGAAGAATCGAGAGAGCGCCTACGGGCCACTATCGCACCATGGCCGCTGCATACACGTAGAGACCTGGCAACGGCGACGGGGAAACCAGTAGTCAGCGGGACTATCACAAGGTGGCTACTCAGGACTGGCCGGATAGCGCTTAGGCCCGGATAATATCGATCTTCTCAGGGGGACTTTGTTAGTAGGGTGAGAACTAACATAGTATTGTGGTGGACGTAACGCAGTCGCTAATAGAGCGAACCTACGTAGCAGCGTATGTATTTAGTCCAGCCATTAGGGCACGGTTTGACATACGGGAGCACTTGTAGAGGTACCGGGGGCTTCGAGCCTACGGCGTATTTAATAATAATAGTCGGCTGGTGTAGTTGGTCACTTCGCTGGTAGATAAGTCCCGATTTGAGCCTCGCCCACTTGGGTCGGTGACGAGTCGCGGGTTCGAATCCCGCAGCTGACACACAAGGGGGTTTAGTCAACCCTTACGGCGCGCTGCCCACCTTGTTGACTTCGCCTACCTAGCGATAATAGGGAGATTGGTGCAGTTTAGGATTACGAGCATCCTAGCCAGTCGACCGTCAAGCACTACGTCGGCGGAATATAACTCGACAGCCGGTCCAGAATTTGAATCGTTAATCCGACCCCTTATCGGACCCCCTCTCGCCGCGATTCTTGCGAGCGTCTAGACCACGTTACGGTCTATCCACTTGAGCGTATGGTTGAGATGTATACGCTCGACGAGAACCCCAATTAGCAGATACTACGACTTGTCGCGACAAAAAATAGTCGAGCATCTTCTGCACATCAGCAGCATCCCACCCCTGAGGACGAATTTAAGTGCCACATTACCACACTTATCGGTAGTTCAGGCAGGGGTTGTAGCACAGACTTAGGGAGGGACAGGAGGTTTAGTAGTCGTTTGGCTACAAGTTTACCTGTATAACCGCCCGACGCGGCTTAAGGGCCCGCTATATCATCTATAGCCCCTTAAGGGAGTACTTGTAGAGGTACCGAGGGTTAACACCTACGGCGTATTTAATATTATTAATAATAATAATATATCTCCATTATCTTGAGATCAACGATCCCTGTCGAATTGTTCAACCGTCTTTAGATTATTTGACTTGCACCACTGTCGTCGGAAAAAGTTGACACTCGATGGTAATGCAAGTGGTGCAGAATGGTATTCGAATCTCCACTTGAGCTTCAGGAGGTTTCAGCCGGTGTTATTTGTTCATTCCTTGTTCATTCATCTGTAACGGTCTGATGTTTCGGCTCAGCTCGTCTTACCAAGATAGGATAAGCCGCAGGTTTTCCCGCCCCAACCGTAACTATCTCACCGGGCTAATGCTGTGATACACAGATGTTGCATTAGTATCGTACATCCTCCCTTGTATCCCAGATTCACGACTACTTGCACTGACTTGGCGTGATATCAGCGCAGCGCTAGGCTTCTTCGGCTAATCTGAATAACCCTAAGCTTATGATGTCCAATGGCAAAGTTGGTCTAGATATAGCTCAGGACTTTCACTTTACTCCGGTATTTCTACGTCTGATCTAATAAACCGCAGCCGATGACCTTGTTGCATCTTATCAATAGCTATGGGAATACTCTCGCCCTAATCTTGCCGGTACTCACGATATGCCTGTAGCAAGGAAAGGCAATCCATAGCTCAATGGCGGGGTTCATGTTCCTGGCAAATCTACTTTGTGAGTCCGATTGCGGGAAGAATGAAAGGCCAGTTTACTGAAATTAGGTTATAGTGATGTTATAGCTTGGCCGGTGGCGCCATATTTCAGGTTGCAGTTCTTGTCAGATACGTCCAAGGAGGGCGTCATTGAAATTACCGCATACAACAACTCGGTCTTCAGTGATTCCACGGCATCACATAGGATGGGGGTGGGGTCATTTTGGAAGACTAACACAAGCACGTAGCGTCTTTGAGTACACAAACATGCTATTCCAAATCAGCAGCATAATAAACAGCCTCAGCGATGCGCAGATAATGGGGCCAATGTCTGACTTGTGTTCGGTTTGGAAAAGCTTCGTTTCATGGGAGACGTCCGATATTATCGATCTTGCGGCCTGGCCTGGTTGGTATCAGCAATAAATTGGATAGCCCTTGGGGCTTCGAGAGTAGAGTGCAAAGACGACTCTCTCGGGTAGACACAAGACCTGCTCGATGAAAATCGGAGCATCATCTATGACTTGATTCATCTTGTGTCGCTAGAGAACGCTCACTATAGGTAATTCAACACTTGGTGCTGCCTCTAATAGAAACATGGGTGGTGGGCGGCCTACGGCATCGAGCCGCCATGCGACCCAAGCGTGCCTCACGAATTCATTTAAAACACACTGTCGCCAATCACAGCTCGACCTCCATCCACTTTAGGCGACGTTTTGGTCATCCGTGCCACCTCCTGGTGGCACCACGACAACTGAGTATCAAGCATCCGTGAGCTTCATAGTCGTTGTTCCTACCCCGAACCCGATCGTCGAATTTCAACTATGGTTGAAAATACGGTGTTAAATTGAATACCAAAAACCAATCTTGCCCAGTTCTGGTAGCGAACCTGGAACAATTAATAGCCCTGGTGCATATGTCTTGGCACAGAGACCTACATAGAACGAGTCCGTCGTCTTTATTTTTCGCCGATATGCATAGCGGTACTCCTTCTACTGAGATATTCGAGCTTTGGAATTTGTTGAAATCTAAGTTTGTCTTAGACATGGTCCCTCAATTTCACCTGATGAGATGCAGGCCAGCACATTCGGTCCCCGTGGGGTATTCAGATGTATTGCGATATCTAGTATCTGCAAGCAGTCATCACAGGTTACGGGCAACAAAGATTATTTTGCGACAATTCCAGCTCCCAGGAAGCAGTGAAATGTCGCCCATTACGACGTTGCATCCACGACACGCACCGAATTCGCTCGCGTCCAACTCCTTGATCTCCAAATGACCGCAGGTCTTCGGGTTTAGAGCAAGGGCCATGTCGCTCTACTATTATTGCGAAATGCACTCCAATCCGTCGGCAAACTCAACTAACGGACATGTCGCCGCTGGAATCTCTATTACGATGCAGCTGTGGTAGGCGCTGGTCTTGCTATGGAAAGTACCTCGTACGTCAACCTGACCCCTTTGAGTGCCAAGACTCGCCTTGAGAACCCGTCGATGACGTGATTCCGGTATCCCGCCGGTATCCCGGCTTGTCGATGTTGACGGCTATATTGTCAAGAAGGTGGCCGCACCCCTTCAGGGCAGCAACGATGTTGTTGGCCCATAGCTTGGTGTCCTGTCCCGTACCGGATAGGGCCCGAGATGTGAGCCTCCATTTGGCCCCTTACGCAAAGGTAGCAAAAGGAGGCTCACATCTCGTATGTTAGTACAGCAGAAGGAGGGACCAGGTTATCCTCGCATGCGACCCAGGTCGTGGGGTTAATCGTGCGTGCGAAGACGCAAGCAGGGCCGACCGATAACTTGTTGGCGCTTTGGCTATAAAGTCAGTTAATATGGTGCAATCGGTACTATCGTCGATTCCAAGTCCCCGTGCTGCAGCATTGTTCGTGGCTGTTTCGCCTCTAGTAATAATGAGCGGTGGCGGCAGGGCCAGCGAACTGCCCAGCGTCTGCAGACGAAGAATGATTGTGAGAAACAGCATGGTTACTGGTGGAATGGGCTGAGATGAGTGTTCCTCTGGCGTGGTTTAACTGCTTTTGAGAGCTATTGGCCAGGGACGCTGCTCATCGAGTGTAACTGCGAAGAAGTTGCAACTGGCCAAGGTACGAGAGCTAGGAAGGAGGTAACGGTTCATATTTTTTGCTTACTCTTAATCGTAATAGACTGGGCAAGATTAACTTGAGATGCTGGTAGAATAAATGGGAACCTCGCCTATTCACTGATGACGGTTATGCGCATGTGGAGCCACAGGTGCAAAGCGGCAAGTGCGATCTTACTTGAGCACGTAAAGCGCGCAATCAATCTCGAAAAGTGCAACTGCCAGCTGCATCTTCGAAATTCACATACAACTGGAATTATGAGTACTTGATTATTGTTACTCGTCCATTGCCATGCGAATGGATTCGAATGCATCGCGGCATGGGAGGCTGCCGGGTTGCGACCCGACCTGACCGTCTGGTGATTGCATCCTCGTGGCCAAGCGAGATTGTTGGTTGTTCAATGTTATGACTTCCCAAACACCTTGAGAAGGCGCATTTCGTTTCCACTGATAGAACCCATCAGTCGGATGCAGCTGCCTAGGTAAGTACATTAGGCGCTCGCATTCGACGCTGTCAGCCTGTGCTCTTCCATTTCCATCTCCATCTCTGCATGCCACCCGATACTCCAAACCCTTTCCCCTTCTCAAGCAGCCGTATATCTCACCCTAGAAGGTTTCATCATCCGACAGGCACCTTTCTGCGACGCCTTGAGCAATACAGGACATAGCTTCCCCGACCAGCTCTTTGCCTTCAGCTCTATTTCTTTTGGATATGTGGTAGCTGTCTTGGTGGATTATTTTATCTTCTCTGCTACGGTTCTAAAACCAGCAAGCCTTAATTTCTTTGTCGAAATCGTGTCTTTAAGTCCGGAAGACGAGGCCGCTGTCGGGTCGAATCAACCAGTTCCCGCACTGTCGGATCGACCCAATCCTTGACAATGACAACTAATCCCAGCCTCAACAATTACTGGGAAGATGTTGCAGATTACAACTATGATGTTCAAACCAATCAAATCCCCGAGTGTATCCTCTGCCAGGACCCAGACGACCCGCAAAATAGCCTTGCCTTCCTGCGCGATGCGATCTGGAGGGCTTTTGATGCTACAGTCGACTGGCTAGACTACCGGGGCGAAGAGCAAAATATATATCCGAGCTTCCGCGGCCAGAAATACCCCATGCCCTTCACGTCACCCGAGAACACTTGCGTCAGTTACCCAGCAATTGGCGTCGCAGTATGGGAACGAGGTCAAATCTACGCATTCCCAATCGTCGACGGACCGAATCCGTGGCAAGATGGATTTCCTGTAGGGCCTGATATGATTATGGTCCAAATAACGCCTTGTGGGCGGCCTGTTTTTATCGGCATGATAACACAGCGAGGCATGGACCCCAATGGCAATGTGTGGCAGTATGTCACTTCGCCCAATAACGTTACTCTCGCGCTAATATCATCCAACTACAGCTAGGGGGCCATTTGCCATTGGCGAAATGGGAGCCGAGATACTGACGCCGAAGATGAGGAATACCCAATTTACCCAGGCTTTGACACCAAGCAGCGTTCCATCACCCCTCCTAGTCCTTTCAAACGTGTGGGAGACCAAACGCAGAACAACTTTATACGAAGACCCGAAGATATGCCTAGGGATGAGGGTTATAATTCGGTGTGACTGGTTCGCCATGTGAGGAATGAGCCAATACTTTCGGGAAATGGGGGCTGGTGAATGCTAATGACCGGCTTTGGTCCGTTTCAGAGCACAGTAATGAAGTTTGGGTGTTTCTTGGAATACCATAGGCTATTCTGCAGGACTACGGGGGTTGAGTTTACAACTATAAATGCATGCCACGGAATTCATGTGTGATCATGACTGGCGGGATTCGTCGCCACAAAAGATTAGCACGAAGGAAGAGGATTTGCGCAAGTCTCCGATCCTACGAAAGGCCTTCTCTTTCTTTTAAATTTCGTGATAAAAACATCGCGAAAAGTACCATTCCGGATGCCAGGGTGACCGAGGAAACGCCAAGCTTCTCAGCAGCACACCTGTGGAGAATAATGGAGATATAAAATATTAAATACGCCGTAGGTGTTAACCCTCGGTACCTCTGCAAGTGCTCCCTTAAGGGGCTATAGATGATATAACGGGCCCTTAAGCCGCGTCGGGCGGTTATACAGGTAAACTTGTAGCCAAACGACTACTAAACCTCCTGTCCCTCCCTAAGTCTGTACTACAACCCCTGCCTGAACTACCGATAAGTGTGGTAATGTGGCACTTAAATTCGTCCTCAGGGGTGGGATGCTGCTGATGTGCAGAAGATGCTCGACTATTTTTTTGTCGCGACAAGTCGTAGTATCTGCTAATTGGGGTTCTCGTCGAGCGTATACATCTCAACCATACGCTCAAGTGGATAGACCGTAACGTGGTCTAGACGCTCGCAAGAATCGCGGCGAGAGGGCGTGCTGCGCGCCTTCTATCGTGAGGGGACGGGTTCGCCGACGAGCGTTATCGGAAAGGCGAGGTCCGATAAGGGGTCGGATTAACGATTCGAATTCTGGACCGGCTGTCGAGTTATATTCCGCCGACGTAGTGCTTGACGGTCGACTGGCTAGGATGCTCGTAATCCTAAACTGCACCAATCTCCCTATTATCGCTAGGTAGGCGAAGTCAACAAGGTGGGCAGCGCGCCGTAAGGGTTGACTAAACCCCCTTGTGTGTCAGCTGCGGGATTCGAACCCGCGACTCGTCACCGACCCAAGTGGGTGAGGCTCAAATCGGGACTTATCTACCAGCGAAGTGACCAACTACACCAGCCGACAATGGAGATATATTAGATGAGAGACATTGACCGGGACTTGGGAAGACCTGCAGTTCTGGAAACCCGGAATCTCTGTCCACTCAAAAAGCCTTGCGGTGATGCAACCACCTCGCCGTATACAAAGGTTGCATCCGAACGGTACCACCCACCATCTTCCCCAGGCGTAGGTTTTCCATGGTCCTTACTCAGAAGTTGGCTTAACTTGCACATACCCCTCATTTCAGCAATGGTACAATGATGGGACGAATACTTGACACCAAAGTAACTGCTATACAGTTCGTGCTGCTAGCAGTTGGCCTCGGAACTAGCACCGATGCCACCGCTACTCTCTGTGTATGTCAACAAGATAACTTGGACTCAAACTTACTGTTCGGTCTTCCGTACACTGACACCATCCATTCCAAAGTGCGGAAGCCTGGCCGAGGCAGGTTTAACGAGCCGGCTGCTGTACCCAGAATCGACTCGCTACAATGGAAGACAAGAAACTTTCTTCTCTCTCCACGAGGACCTAAGCCCCTGGTGTATCTTACAACCCCAAACCACTGAAGAGGTATCTACAGCAGTGAAAACTCTTGGAGCAACAGAACCCTGCCAATTCGCCATCCGAAGTGGCGGCCATCATCATGCCAAAGCGTCCAACAACATCCACCAGGGCGTCACCATCGACCTGGGCAACATGAACTCGGTGAAGTACCACGCCGAAAACAGCACCACCTCGGTCGAGCCCGGGGCGCAATGGGGCGACATTTATGGTAAGCTCGATCCGATGGGCCTTACGGTAGCAGGCGGCCGCGACGCCAGTGTCGGTGTAGCTGGGCTCGTCCTCGGCGGCGGAAATAGCTTCTATTCTGCGCTCAGGGGTATGGTGTGCGATGGGGTGCGACGGTTTGAAGTCGTGCTGGCGAATGGGGATGTGGTTCTGGCTAATAAAGACATCAACTCGGATCTCTTCCAAGTCTTGAAAGGGGGAGGTAACAATTTTGGGATTGTTACTCGCTTGGACGTCGATACGTTCGAGACGGGGAAGCTCTGGGGAGGGCTGGTTTACTATCCTCTTGATGCTACAGCCGATATCATTGATGCGTTTGTCAATTTTGCAGATAAAATTGATGAGAACCCTGCTAGCTCGAGCGTTATCTTTTGGATGTACCAGCCAGCGGCGAAGGGTACAATACTTGGTTAGTCTATGTGATCCAGTCTCATATCTCCAGAGCTCTCAGCTCTCCTATTTTAGGGCAAGTAACCAACATGACTGATCTGGGAATCGACAGGTGCATCATTCGCCAATATCGGCGGGGTAGTTATGGATGAGCCACATCGGGACTTTTGGGCAATCCAGAATATCTCATCATCCATGCGAACGACAACTATCACTGATTTAACCGAGGAGTTGATCTTGCCGGGGGAAGTTTACACGTAAGTGAAGCCCGGCTATTTTTTATTGTCCTTCTCTTCATCCAGTCTCGTTAACATCGTGACCAGGAACGTCGAATTCACCCTAACGATTAAAAGTGACGGCCGCGCTATAAAGAAAGTCCTAGACCTCCACGACCAAGCTGTAGAGGAAATGAAGACCTTATCCGACGACTTCGTCTCTGCAGTCATGTTCCAACCAATTGCGCTCTCATACGCCGCTGGGGGTGTCGCCAGGGGCGGTAATGTGCTGGGAATTGACAGATTCGCCGAAACGCAAGTCTTGTGCATACTCTGGTTACAAGTCCGACCGGAGTTGGTCCGCGTTGCAGAACAGATAATGGGTTCCTGGTATCAAGCTGGCCATGATTACGCGGTTTCCATTGACCAGGAAAGTGATTGGATCTATCTGGGTTATGCGTATGCCAGCCAGGATCCGTTCGCTGGGTATGGGAGGGAGAATATGGGTAAGATTTCTGCCGCGGCGAAGAAGTACGATCCTACGGGTGTCTTCCAGTCTCGCGTACCCGGAGGGTTCAAAATCTCAAAGTCGTATTCTGGGTTCTACGAGGATCAGAATGTGATGAATGAAAGGGATGAACTTTGAATTTGATTGGATGCCAGGTCAGAAAGTCTATTATACTCTTCAGAAGAAAATGTAGGCGAAGGCGTTCGGGAAGCCGAGCCTGGACCACATCGAATAAGGGTTTATGGTTACAATGTTGGATCGGGATACTTGATAGCAGGTTTATCATAACCTGGAGGCCTCAGTTGGCACGAGTCCAGATAGTGTACGTACCTGAGCAATGCCGCTTTTAAATTGAGCCACGTGCTGTTACCCTAAATCATCTCTCAGAGGTAAGCTTACCAACAAAAAATGAATTCTTCATAATTACGTGTCTCCGTAATGTACAATTAGTTATGCAAGACGGTGAGCAGTTGTAACAGCATTACAGTAAGATGAACGAACATTCAATGAATTTCTACATCCAATTCCAGGTACACAAGATGCGACTCTCAAGCACTAGCATAAGCACAAGTACGGGATAATCTATTCCGGAACACGCTCGTTCGAACTTCGGGCTAGAAGGCAGAGTATTGATACGTACAGGGGCAGTAAAGGGCAAGTACTTAAAAACGTTCCCCGCCTGGTACTCTCTTCATCCAGATCCTAGGAGACTACCACTGCTACCTCCTCTCTACTGTACCGAAGGACATAGCTCACCTAAGCTTGACCCCTGCACGTCATCATCCACATTTGATCCGTGCTGAAGCCAGCTACGACGTCCCCAGCGTCAGAAAAGATGAACTCCAAGTTTTAAAGAAAGTGTCAGTACCAAAAAGAACATCATCATCGTCAGTAGAGCTGGAATATTCACTGTTGCGGGCAGTGAGAACTGCAAATCCCCTTGAATAGGAGCCTCCTAGCCTGACGGCAATAATCTATGATTTCCGGAACTCCCCCCGATCCCAAAGCGTTTTTGATCCCATGTCCTATTTTCTGCCAGTCTAACTTACCTACTCACACATTAACTCTCTACTAAAGTCCAAAATTTCATGTACCATAAGCGGTCAGCTTCGATTAACGCGTTAATGTGATAAATACCACAAGGGCTATATACATAAATACAGTCGCTACAGAACGGACTATCGAAGAGCTAAACAGCTTCTGCTATCTACGATGACTTCTAGTAAGAGTACTCGCAAAATGCATAAGTCCTTATCGTTGAGCAATAGAGTCGTTGCATTCGCCGAAGCTGTCCGACGAGTTTTGGGGGGAGTTCAAGTTACATCTTTTGACCCCTATGGATTCTCTTATGACGAGCTCCCCTTAGGTGTCAAAGAGTTGTATTTCTATCGGGTCATCCTAGGACCTTTATGCAGTTCACACTCGAAAGCATAGAAAAGTCTACAATCTACAAGTGTATCATCACAACCCCTCGACAAGCTGACGCTTCTGAGGCTCTACTTGTGATGGCTAGTGTCAGTTCCTTGGAATAAAGCAGCCGAGAGACCAATTAGAAACCAAGACTGTTTAGAGCCTAGGCCAAAATCATCTACAGAAAAAGCATCTCGGTACGCCTCAAAGGTGATATCCAAGATGATAATCAAGGTCATGAGCGTGATAGTAAGGCATTCTTGGCGAGCCTGTACCACATATCGATTCAGGTACCGCCAGAAGTGAATATCCTCAAGCTAACAACTAATAAGATAATAGGAAACCCTTATTTGGGACCGAATATTCTGTGTCGGCTGCATTATACGAGGAGAGGGCCGTTTCGAAGAAGCCGGAAATGCTTCGAGACTTGCGTCGGGACGCCCGAACCAGGCCAATCAAAGCAATTACTTCTCTAGTCCGCAGTTACCTATGTTTATTACGAGCTAGCCTATCTGAAAACAAGGATATCCTTCATACCTCTCTTAGGCAAAGACAATTAATTCTGGAACCGGAAATCAGCGGTCTAAGACAGAATCGTAGGGGACATCGGTGGCTGCTTCTATTCAACACAGGCCAAAATCAGGCAAGTGTATTACAAGGACGAATTATTAGCGGACGAGTTTGTAGCCATATACGGAGACTTCAGGAAGCCGGAAATCGTAGCTAATGGAAATTCATCTTGGGCTGGAAAAGAGGTTTCAGTCCATCAGAGGACTGGGTTTTCACATTCGGTGTGGTCTACCTTTTTCTTTACATTACACGGTGTAAACTTAGGAATTTTGATACGAGTACTTTTCCGGAATACTACGGGAATAATGGATACAAACCGGCGTCAGTATTTAATGCTAGGAATAGGTACTTGTTTCTTTCGCGGCGTGTACCAGCAGCGTCGATTACTCTTTTAAGATGACGTAGCAGATTTTCATATTTAATTACCGTATGATACGTGACCCCAAGGAGGGTAGCCGTGTAGCTATGGATAAGATGAGATAGGCGGCCTAAAACGGGCAGCTAGTGAGCTAGCCAACCAAGATTTCCCAATACACACAGTTTACTGCCCATATGCACTCGCATCACCGTAGCTCCATTCAGCAAAGTGTTCATTAGACCTTGACTTCTAGTGGCGAGCACGCCTACTATACTTCCAGTCCCTAACGATAATGAAACCTGCCTAAGACAGATATAGAACTAAGTCCAACGCCAGAAGTCTATAGTACCCAACCGGTGAACTGAGAGGACTTCCTAGAGATGGGAAGGTAGGACCAAGTTCATGGTTGAAGGCCTAAAAGTTGTCTTGGGCGTCGAGGGCGGCCCTTTCCTCGAGCAGCAGCCGCACAGCGGCCTCGTGTCCCCTCTCTGCGGCCCACCACAGCGGCGTCCGGCCAGAGTTGTCTTGAGCGTTGACGGCAGCCCCCTTCTGGAGCAGCAGCCGCACGACGGCCGTGTGCCCGCTCACTGCGGCCCACCACAGCGGCGTCCGGCCTGAGTTGTCTTGGGCATCGACGGCGGCCCCCTTCTCGAGCAGCAGCCGCACAACGGCCTCGTGCCCGCTCTCTGCGGCCCACCACAGCGGTGTCCGGCCATAGTGGTCTTGGGCGTCGACGGCGGCCCCCTTCTCGAGCAGCAGCCACACGATGGCCTCGTGCCCGCTCTCTGCGGCCCGCCACAGCGGCGTCTGGCCAAATATGTATTTAGCATCGACGGCGGCCCCCTTCTTGAGCAGCAGTCGCACGACGGCCTCGTGCCCCCTCTCAGCAGCCCATGACAGCGGTGTACGGTTTCCTCCACCAGCTGAATCGACCGAAACCTCTCCCATGGCAAGAAAAACTGTAATCATAACCTCATCTCCATGTTCGGCAATATGAGAAATAATGTTGCTACTTCGTGAGAAGGCAAAGTTGCGCCTCAAAAATTTACCTACAGTTATTTCTTTGGCACGCCGCCGGCATAAATCATTAAGTAGAGGCTGAGCTTCGGTCTGAACTTCTAAAAGTGCCTGAACTGCTTCATCACTGTTGGTAGCAAGTGCTGCAAAAATCGGTGTCCCATATCGCTCGTCTCCTATAGCGAAGCACGACTCGCCAGAAGGGTGAACTCGAATGAGAGCTGATCTGTTACCTTCAGCTAATATGTATAAGAGACTGGCTTTAGGCGAATATCGACGTACTTCGTATTTTTGGAAGACGTTCTGATGTTGCAGCCATGTTGTGCGTGAAAAATTCCGCAGAAAGTCCTTCTGACTGACCCTGTTGCTTTCGGCTTTGTCCGCATGATATAGAATATTTTCGCTAACATACTCGAGGAAAGGGAACCTTTTGCCCACGTCTTGGCGGAGAGCTTTAGCTTCTTGAAATGACGCGTTTGGAAGGGGACTAGGGAGGTCAAGATGGGTGACAAGCTCAGCGCTCATGTATTTAACACAGCATTGCTTCAGTGTTTCATGACTTTGTCCTTCGAAATTGCCTTGAGGATCGGGCCAAATTGCTCCTAGTCCATTTTCTTTGAGAAGGAAGTCCCTCACCGATTCATGAATGAACTGAACGGTTTGTGTCTTAGCCGTAGCATACTCGACTAGCCCCTTTGAATTATCGACGATATAGTTCTTGATATCAGCCTCGGATATTTCATCCGAATGACAGCTAGGTAAGCTATCAGGCTCGTATCTGGATAGAATTGCAAAATAGAGTTGCTTTGGATTAAGTGGATGCCTGGCGAAGAGGACCCACTGAATACACAGAAGAAGCCCATCTGTATTATTGGAATCGCGAGTCAGGATATCGCGAAATAGTTCGTGGAGGTCACTAGGAATTTGTTGAAGCTGTCGATAAAGGCTATGGATGCGTCCTCGGTCGTACTCCTTATTCAAAATGTCTACTACAAGAACCACCCACATAAAGATACCAGATGCCTTTTCTCGAAGGTCTGAACGGATCTGCTCGGCGAGCTTACCGTGGCCGATATCTAGCACACTACTAATATAGCTGGTAATATCCTGACGATGTTCTTCTTGGTCTTCGAGTTTGACGCAGAGCCCTTTTTTGAGCGTGATGTTTGGATAGTACCTGCTTGCGAAGCAAATGTGTAGTCTGGTCCCGGCGGAAACGGCGAGCTCACTTAAAAACAAAACATATCCCGGATTTGCGGTTCCTCACACTCATCCAGTGCATCAATAAAACAAATGAGTGAGGCTTCCCCAAGGCCCCGGACGGCTTCTTCGAAGAGGCACTTGAGTGATTCGATGCTCCACTGGTGACCCACCCTAACAGAGTCTAAGACACACATCAGAGCGGGGCGTGTCTCAAGCAGCTGCAGTAAAAGCGATCGGTAACTACAGGCCGACTGTAGATTTCTCCAGGTCGTCTCCTCTCGCATTGAAGAAGAATGAGATGATCATCTTCTGTTTCGCGGTCTTGCGGGCTTTATCAATGGCAAATTTCACCAACGTCGACTTTCCCGCTCCAGGCTTCCCCTTGATCCACAGGAAACCATAGTGATTACCAAGCTTGTTCGTGTTAAGCCAGTCGAGGTACTGAGGGTTTTTCAGAAGCCATTGACATGTCTTGGCGTGTCATTTTTTATACTCGTTCGGCGAGAATCGATGTGTTCGAACTTGAGCGATTCAAGTAAGCTCTGTCTTTTTTCTTTGGTGGTCTTCCCGTCGGGGTTGTTGATTACTAAGGTCTTGTGTTAGGAGAAATGCAGTTCTTTAAGAAATATAGACTTATACCAGTAAAGTTTCTGCTAATATTTAGGTTCCCATTGCTATTAGAAATGCCTTGACCCTCGAAGTGGTTCGAATACTGGCTCCAAACCCGACGATATTGAGCATCCTCATTTGAATCCTGTTCCTCCTGATTCCACGACGCATGGTAGTCATTAGGCTTCTGTTTTTTGTTCTGGCGTTCCGTATTATTCGTTTGGAGTATGGATCGATTGTGGGAAATGTGCCGGTGATCAGACATGCCGGAGGCCTAGGGTGGCATCGTGATATCTCCAGATTCGCATCTATACGGATTGGTCGCGGATATCGAGGTGAGCAGAGGTGTTTTCGAACACGACTAGATGTAGAATCTAAAGCCAGCGTGGAGCTTCTTCATGATGATAGCAGTGATTTGTCGGCGCCTTCTCCGTAGTCTGAGGGCGACACTCATTGTGGACGAGGCTGAGCTGCCGACAGCCTCCATGTATGGAATGGGCCAAGCCTGAATTGCCGTAACCAGGGCCAAGAGTGGGGCAAGATTTTACACCTGCAGCTGAGCACCTGGAAGGTGATTGCCCCATCTCAAATGGATCCACCCTATTGTCGAAGAATGAGCCGAATTACGGTCGCACCAGCCCAGGTTCCGATAGCCACATAGCTCTTATACGGTGCTAGTAGTACTCAGTTGCCTCCGGGTTACAACAACACAGAGTAAGAGTCGTGTCGAGTAGAATATTCCTGTTTCCTCGAGATCGAAACCCTCATAAACCGGGGCCTACCTAGGCAGCCTGGCCCCATAATTAAGCGGGCTCTGATTAGGCCTGAAGAATTATCAGATCGAAACTGTTTAAGGTTCAGAGCTATAACGTAGGACATATAATCACGATGGGGCGCGTTGTCTTCGGGTACATCGACTCGACAAGCCTAAAACGGCGGTTAATCGGGGAGAAGCCGGTCTGACGAACAAGCTACCGGCTTAGCCGTTACATAACGATCCGAAAAGCGATAGGCAACCTTGACTCTCGATTCTCTACCAGACCGTCGCGAGCCTGCTCTGCAAGGTGGGCACCACTCCAAATGTGGGCTCTGGAAACATCCACATCGGAGGAGACGTGAATATTGTTATGATGTGCTCGACTACGACCCGAGGAGCAATTACTTGCCGACTTGCGATCCACCGACCCACGTCACGGTAACAAGCTTATCCAAGACGCAAAGGCCAGCCTGCTAGAGACTCATACCGCTGGGTCCTCGAACATACCTATTTCATTCGATGACGAGAGAACCCACAAAGCCGCATTTGAAAACGAAGATGGCATCAAGATTTATGACACTCTTCAACTGTACTTTAGCAGGAGAGTATGTGGGGTGAAAACCATAACGGGAAAGCCCGTAAGGCTAGTGATTTCTGGCAAACCTGACATGTGCGAACATGGGCCTCCAAGTAGTAACTCGAAAAAGACTGGCAAGGCGAGCTTGGTCCTACCCGCTCCCGGGAAAGTACAATCGTATGCAGGATTAAAGAGCACATAAGATTAGGCGGCTTATGTCCTCAGCTTCTCAGCTTCCGTGATGCAGCTGAGGAATAGGAAAGGGACCAAAATTAGCTGGGAACGTATAACTCTAGGTATAGTCAAAGCACCAGGTGAAGTAGGCAGTGCTGTGCCTATGATCTGACTGTCAACTATATCTCATCTTTGAGACACATGCCGTAGCCTCACTTAGGCGGTGGTCGCCATGGAAATTTGGCGCATTTAACAGAAGATGTAGAATCCATCGACGATTCGTTTGCGGAGGTGTCCGAGATTAGAAGGGCGATGTGGTAGTTAAATCATGGTTCAGTGGTGTGAACATGTATTGATTGTGACCAGCCGACACTTCAGTTGCGAAGCTCGTGATTAGGTTCACATATGGAGGTAATATCACGGGCCCTGTTATATACTGCTTGCGATTCTCTAAATGAACGAAGGCTCTGTATTCCTTTTGCGCCTAGTATACCATCACAGCATGCCTGCCGTCCTGCAACAGCAGCTGACCTACTGGGGCCATTTGTAGCGAGGGAAAAGTTTGGCGCAATGGGGCGGTCATGTTGCGTGGAAGGCATATATGGCTATCAAGTTTCGTGCAAACCTATCGGTCGAGCTGTTCGGGGCGGGTCCTATAGTACCGACTCGGGTTGCCAGGCACAAGCTAGCCGTCGGTCGAAGGATCCAGGTCCATAAAAGACATTCGTCCAGAGACACACTGACATTGATTTAGTGGCCTGAATCCCTGTGGAGGCATATGTATCTGCTCGCTTGAACTTCCCGAGGTCGTCATTGGAGACGTGAGACGGCGATAGCAACGACCGTCGCCGCGTAAGTGCTTAAACGATCTCGTCTACATCGTTTGGCCACGGGGGAACTGAGCCTAATTAGTCGTATCCTACTATGAAATGGAAAACTAGAAACTCAACTTTGAAGTGCCAGGGGTAGCTTCAGGGTAGCTTGGCTGGCGATTTGATCACTGTCGACCCCTCCCGAAACCTACCTGGTGGGCCGCAATCCCCTGTGTTTGAATGTCAACGACCACGGATTCAACATCGTGAAGCATATAAATCTTTTTAGGGGAGGAGACAATGCCATACAGACAAACAGTGCTTCCCCACAATTGACAACAAAACCAGTACGCAGTGAACTCATCGCCTTATTCAAGGTCATTGCTATTGATCAATATCATGCTCTCTATATTACAATCGCCATATATCTGTACATATATCTTACTCCAAATACATTTTCCCAATGCATACTATAACCTCCCCATAAAGCCCCTTGGTCTCGTGAAAGAGAACCCGAGACAAGATTCGAATCCCTCCAACTTTACGATTCCTTCTTCTCGACCACGACCTTTTTCTTCCTTTCTGAGCCCGGCGGCGCCTTCAGGCCAAAGAAGACCAAGAGTGCCATGGCCCCAATACCCGTAGCTCCCATCCCGTATGCGACCTCTCTCCCTGCCCACCAATAAACACTGGTGAATAAGAGGGGCCCAAGACCTCGTCCTAACTGCCCCCAACTCCTCAGGATACCCAGCTTCCCACCGCGCTCGTCTTGGTTCGCCTCGAAACTGCTCAGCGTGTTCAGACCACTGACCACCGTAGCTGATGTAGTGGCCAAGCATGTAGCAGCGATGTAGAGCGAGCCAACGGTGGTGATTCTGCCCAGAAGCATGAAGGCCACCAGACAGGCGACCACGCCAATCCGCACTGAGAGCAGCGGAGGCAGCCGGCGCGTGACTCCACCCTGAAGAATGGAGGCAATAAGACCGATGTATCCCAACAAACGCCCGTTATTGGCCGACGTGTACTGGAAGAGGTCGTAGGTCATAAATGGCAGGGAGAACTCCATACCGGAAAAGAAGAGCAGGAAAGCCAGATGGACAAAGTTGAGGAGAAAGTGGGAATTGGTGCGCTTCACAGCCGCAGGTTTCGCACTCGGCTTGTCGGTCTTGCTAGCCTCATCGTTCATGCTCGGGAGCGTCTCGGGGAGGTTGAAGTAGAGGTAGACCGTCTCGGCCACGATCAAAGCAAGCGAGACGCCCGCAGCGGTCGCAAAGGGGTTCGCGGCCACAGTGGCAATGGAGCTGAGGTAGGCGCCCAGGGCAGGGCCGAACGTGAAGGCAATGGAGAAGCATGCGCCGATCAAAGCCATGGTCGAGCCGCGGTTATTCTCGTCCGAAATATCGGTCGCGATTGCCGTCGCAAGCTGGACGTTTCCTTCGGACAAGCCGCCCACGATGCGCGAGGCGAGGAAGGTCCTGAAGTCCACGGCTATGACCCAGAGGAGCACCGAGAGGATGTTACCGGCCATGCTGGCTAGCAGAGCGGTGCGTCTGCCATGTCTGTCGGAGAGGTGGCCGATGATGGGGGATGCGACGGCCTGCAGCAGAGAGAACAGACTTCCTAGCGCGCCGCCCAACAGCACAATGTCGTACCGCGAGTCGATCGGTTTCGCGAAGGCGGACTTGTAGGCATTGAGGTAGCCTAGGATGCGCGCGAGGATGGTAGATTGCGACTCGGAGCTGACTTCGCTGTTTCGGTAGAACTCGAGGAGATTTGGGAACAAGGGGAGGATGAAGGTAAATGAAATCTGTCACACAAAGTCAGTCTTTGGTGGCCTCGGTCACATTGGTGCGACATGATGGAAGAAGCGACGCACCAGATCAAGTAACAGAGACACAAATATGACCTTCAGCACTCTCTTCCGAGTGCTCGGATCTACGGCCGCCATGTTTGCTCAACCCTGGCTTCACCGGGTCTTAGGTCGCGGGCCAGCCACAGCAAGATAACCAGATTTCAAATACAGGGAATAAATGGTTGTACACCGAGTGATGAGTTCAAGAAAGGAATTGGCATGCCATTAGATTTGGCGAAGGGGGGTAACAAATCAAGATTGGAGAGGCGCGCAGCCGTGAAGTAGAAAACAAATGGCGGCCGCTCTGACAGTGACGACGCTGACGAGGCTTGAGCTGCAACTGCAATGAGTTGCGGGTTTGGCGCCAAGCATGCTGCAAGGGGCTGATTTGTGCAAGGATATAGCGGGACACCCCTGTCGCTGCGGGACGCCGGACAATTCAATCTCATGGTCTGAAGAGATGGTAGGAATTGACTTTAGTCGGACTTCCCTGATATGAATATTTATAGCTAATCAGATGTACCAAGTAGGGACTTCTTCAAACCTAAAGAACAACCAAAAAAGGTAGTCATGTGACTTCATTCAGTGATGAGATTGAGGCTGTACCTATCAAAACTCAGCTATTGAAGTCAATGCTACAAATAGATATAGATCGGCAAATACTCGGTGGGGATGACCGGCCGGAACTCCTGAGGGTAAAGTAGCGAATCGACCATTCAAGACATTGCCAAAGACATATCGCAACTCGAAGAAAATGACAAGTGTGAAGGTCAATTGTTGGACGACGTCGGATTAAGATGACAATGGGACGAGCAGGCATAGACGAGGGGCATTTTCTATTGTTTTCGAAACACTCCATTCGACAAGTATGTTTCGGCTCAACTAACAATTCTACTTCCCCTAAGGTCCATATCCCCACCCGTTCCGTGATGCATCACCAGATTCATCAGAAGCTCCGATATCACACATTTCATAGTGCCATGCCGACTCCCCGTCCACATTTCAGCCTAATTTCGCGCGCTCGTCAAAACTCCACACAGCCTCCGAGAATACCCTTATTACCTTAGACCCTTGTACGGAATCGGAATAAAACAGTCGGCCGCCATTTCACAGTCGCACACCGAGGTCTCGTAGATCTTTATGGTCCCCACATCTTCTGTCCTGACGTCGCCCTCGGCCCCGTCCCTCGCAGCAGCGCAACCCCATTTCCGGGAGAGCTTCGCGCATCAAGTGTATCTCGACATTCGCGAAGTTCATCCCGTGACAAACGCGGGTCCCTCCACTAAAAGCGACGAAGGACTTCTCGAGGCGCGCACCGTCCTCAAGCCAACGGTCGGGACGGAAGCCAAACGGGCCGTGGTTGAAGCCATCGTCGGTTAGGATCTGGTTCGGCGTTATGTCGACGGGTGTGCCGGGCATGATGCGCCACGTCTTAGGGCGCTTCTTATTGTGGATGACTAAAGTTTCGTCTGGGGCTACTCGGGCGTGGGGGCTGCTGCTGTCGAAGCTGAGTCTTTTGCTCTCCTTTACAACGCTACGAAGGTAGGGTAATTGCTGCAGCTTAGCTACGAATGCGACGTTTCAGATCAGGAATCGCGGCGAAAAGCTCGTTGCACGCTTCTCGAAGCAATATGGCGATTTAGGTGGTAGAAAGTCGCAATGGCTAGTGTCCAGGACGCGGTTTAAGTCCCGCTTCTTGGGCCAATCCAGTCAGGGCCTTTTCGTGCGAAGGCAGGATTTTGGATGAGATCAGCTCGTAGATGACGGTTGAGTAGCTTACTTCTACTACCCACTCATCTGTGTTCGCAGTCTTGTGAATCTCATCACTCTACTGCAGGATGCCTTTCACCAGCTTCAAGAAATCCATCCATCCGAGTACGAATCTGCTGGAAAATGACTCTGGGAGATCATTCACGACAATCGAGTCCCAGCTCATGTGTTTGACCGCGTTACCCATATGCGTCCTCATGAGCAGGTTGCCGGTGGTTGCGCAATCGAATAGGGGTTGTCAATTGAAAAAGTTGTCGCATACTAACTACCGTGCCGCAGAATCCGCGAAACTTACCATGATTCTCGCTTCGAGCGAAATCATACTGACTAACAACGTCTGAGGCGGATGAGCGGCCAGACCACGCACACTAAGGCGGTCACTTAACAGCGGTTTACGCATCATATGGATACATCAGATCCAGCGGCTCCTGTTCGACTTTGCAAATTCAAGGAATCGAGTCATCAAAGTGTCCACCCGCTCCTCTAGAATCGGCTGGAGTTTGCTCACATTCTGAATGGAGGAGAAAGGGTTCAGAGCTGAGCGTCACAGCCTGGACATTATGATTGACAGCCACGACCGATGATTGATTGGCACCAAACTCGAGAGAATGTCAGCCAGCCCAGCGACCCAAGTTTCAATACACGGCAATTAGTCATCTGGTGGATGAAGGAGCTTCACTTATCCCGTCCACGGCTGGGGCCTGTATACAGCTCAGGGAAGAATCTGCCTCTGCTACGTGAAGCTCATAGGGGTTGATCTGGATGATGACGGGGCCGTGATGCTTGTGCAACTCGATGATCTTCACTGCGTACTGGCCGCCGAGGACGATGTCGTAATGGAGTTTGCACCCCCATGTCAGTGCAGCGAGCTTGGGTCCTGGGATGTGCGCGATTGGGCTAAGTTACAGGCCTCTGAACGACAGATTCTTAAGGTACATGAGCAGAAAGGTAGAGATCAAGGACCAAGGGGCTACGGGCGAAGGCGAGTATGTGTACTCGTGCAACGCCGTGATCGAAAGCGTGTGAAGTTTGCTGACGCGAAGAGCTAAACATCAATGGTGCGGGGGGTTATATGAAACGTCATAACTCTCTGATCGGATACTGCCCAGGCAGTAGCAATTGACTTTACCGGCTGAAACTCTCTATACCCTGAGGCACCCAATCGTGTGCTGCGTTCCCAGCGCACGGCAAGATGCAGCGACTGCCTACTTCGTCGGATATTGAGCGCCTGCTTCACCGCATCTTAGAACCAGAAGACCGAGAAAGATCGTTCATCATAGACGGAAGATGGTGATTTCTGAAGCAGCTAAGTTGCAAGGGGCCACTTGAGTACAAGTAGCCCACAACCCGATGCCCACACTTGCAGTTCTACGAGAGCTGAGTTCCAAGATCCACAGCAGCGACTTATTAAAGTAATCGGTTCAAGTGAAGCGCGGTTATCAACTCGAAAGGAGTATTGATGCAAATCCCTACTATATTATTCATCCAATGTGTACACAAGCGCTGCGGTTCGTACTCCTCCCCGTCCCGTGCTGAGCTCGCATTTCCTCATGATAGGGGCAACCCCATGCGCTCTGCTTTATCCGATATGATATAAAAGCTCTGTGGTCCGCACTTGTCCCATTCTCCCGCCCAATTTTGCCTTCTAAAATCTCTTGAAGTTAACTTAAGTCATTGGAAATTTTCATAACAGCCCTAAATACGTTAAGATTAATTCAACTGTATTTCCTCCTGTATTTCAAGGTTCTCCATGACGACACCCTGATAGGCATTACTAAGGTATGATGGAGACAATACTGAGAAACATAGTCGGGGCCGTCATGTCGTCTCCGCTGTCGGGAGATGGATTCGACTTGAGCCAGATAACTGATTACAAGGGCGACCGAGTTCGATATGTGAACTACTACCTGATTGCAATCTCGACCACAGTCATCGCGGTCAGGCTCTTCGTACGAGCATTCGCCATGAAGCACCTGGAAATAGACGATGTCCTAGTCTTCGCAGCCTATCTAGTTGCCGTCGCAATGCAGCAATTTCTCTCTTCAGTGAGCTCTGCCCAGCCTCTACATGTGGATCCCAGTAGGACACGTTCCTGACCTGCATCATAGCCGTAACTTTGGGCTCAGAAGCTCATCTTGACCAAATACCAAGCCAATTCCTCCCATTATTTTACCAGTTTGTCTCGTTGCAGCTCCTGCTGTACTTCTGGTCCATTGGCTTGATCAGGATAGCCGTGGTGGCGTTTCTACTACGATTATCGAGAGATAGTAAGTTAACCAGCATGCCCCTTCACTCATTGAAAAGCCCGAACGAGCTCATAGACTAACATCGACTAGTCGACCTCGGACTATACAGAGGCTTTGTGTACACCACGGGACCATCGTCATCCAAATAACAGCCGCCTGCTCATTCCACATCTCCAAGGACACGCAGATGATGCACTGCCCCTTTCCCTTCCCCCCCGGACGTACACCCCAGGACTTGTTACTGATTTGCTTTCCATAATCGTACAGGAAAATCCACCACCTCCCCATCTTTAACCACAACGTCTCGTCGACATCGCTTTTATTGTTTTGCCCATTTAAATTATCCAGACCACGATGACATCCGCCTCGGCGTCGAGTCGCATTACGCGCTTGTTCTATGTGGGGTTCCTCGCTGTCGCTGTGGATGTCGCAAGAATTTCTATCATGATTGCATGGGCGTGGCCTTGGAGGGACATGAGCTATAGTTTTGCCACCGTGGGGCGCTTGACGGATCTCGAGGTCCATGTGGGGTTGTGGTGTGTGTGTCTACACCTGTTTCCGGCTTTTGGGCAGTTTTTTCGGGGGAAGGTCGATGGGAGAGCCGAGGGGTGGAGAACGAGGAGGAATGGGGATGATGCTGGAGTTGCGCCCCAGATTCTGAGAAAGAAGCTGCCGGATTTTACGAAAGGTGTTTGCTAGTAGAATATGGAAAAGGAAGGGGTACCAGCTAGCATAAAAGTAATTATTCAGGTATCAAGCGGCAGCAGAAGCCTCTTTGCGTTATAATACCGATGCATCTCGTCCACCGCCCTACTCGCCGGGACTTGTTTCACTCTTTCACGTTCTAATCCTTACTTCACAATTTCATCATTATGCATGCCCACGTCCCCATCCCTGTCATAGCGAATAATAGGCCCACCTCGCCCTTCCAAAATCCGGATCAGCAGTGCACATGGCTACATGCCGATGAGTCTTGGATTCGACTTGCAAAACCAGGATACAGCCTGTTTATCTCATCCTAGACATCAATAAGGGTGGTTGCAATAATTACCTTCTGTCTGAACCCATCTCTGGTTCCCTGGCTTGAACTCGTAGTCTGGGTCGAGCAGGCTTGATAAGTGTCGGACTATGCCTTGTGTTAGCTCTGCGTTACCATATATGTCTTGAGGATTTGCCATTTGGCACCAGATTCCAACACCCGTACTGCCAGCTCATAGCCTTCACCTGCACTGGTTCTGCCTCATGATTCTACTCACTCACTTCCTTCACTTCCCTCCTCCTCCACCTTACACCTCGCCCTCCCAACCTGATCTCTCCTTTCTTCCTCCAAAGTATCCAAATACATGACCTCAACCCCTTCTCGTTATAATCCACATCCATCCCCACGATGAAGAAAAGCGGGTGCGTCCTCTTGTCCCCGGCTTCTTCCCGGCCCCGGATTCAGCATTCATATACACCTCTTAACGCACGGCTGGAGAGGTCAGGGATTGGGGCGAGTTTGCACGTGTCTGCAACAAACTCGGCGCTATTGGGGGGGATCTGAGGGCTCGGGGGGTTGAGGACGGTGCGGTGGCGGTACGTGCGTGTTGGGGGCTGTTGAGAGGACAGTTGGTCTTGGTGGGGATGGGGCATGTTGTGTGGGTATTTGTTTTAGGGTATATGATGATTATAAACTTGGCAGTGAGTGACGCGTTGGTGAAGATGACCAATTTGAGAATATTGGGGCGAAAGAAGTTGTATTGGGAGGTCGCTCAAGCTGATATATGTCATATGTCTTCTGTGTTTGCATGATATCATACCACTGGGGAATTAATCCTTCCCGTCTAAAGCTTCTTTGGTCGATCGCTCTTCAATCAAGTCTTGGTGGATATCCCGTTAATATTTGTGAGTTTGCAGTGTGACTAGTAGTCATGATTATCGTCATTAAATATTCGCTATATAACATAACCCCGTTGCCCGACCTGCTTTACATGCCGCAAACACTGGCGTCGACCTGGACGGCAGTAGCCTCCACCCGTCCTACAGCAACGGCCTGTCCGTTCGTCAAGTCGTTCATAGCATCCAAGGCAATGTTGAAGCCGGCAGCAGCGTGGTCGATAGCCAGAATGTTGATCGTCTTGCCGTTGTAGGACAGAGCCCAGCATGTGCCGCACTGATAAAAATGTTAGTCTCCAAAACTCTAGTAGTACGGAGAGGTGAACTCACGTTAGGGGAGTTATACCCGGATACAGCTTCAGCTGCGCCGATGTAGGGAAACTTAGGGATGGCGCCTTGAGTTTGCCAACCTTTCCGGGTAATCAAGCCGTTGGCACCATCGGAGCAAGCCACCGCCGTGAGAGATCGGCTGCCATCGTCGTAGCCAGTGTCATAGGCGACTATGAGAGAGTTAGCACTGAGTATGAAGAGCCTCTGGCGAGATGCATACCGGTGATTGCTTGAGAAGCAGCGGCGAGAGAGAGGAGCGAGAGGATCTGAGTGAACTGCATGATGACGATGTGACGAGAGACTGAATGTTCTGGTTGGGATGAGCTTGTAGTAAGAGTCTTGATGTAGAATGGAAGACTTGAATAAAGATGTTGATGTTGAGTCCTCAGAAGGTAGAGCGATCCCCCAAGTCTTTATACCGTTCAAGCGCACTCAAACACTCTCAGCAAGGTGCGCCCCACGTTGGGTGTCGGTCACGATGTTTCGATACATTCATCATACGTAACATCGTCCAACTCAACCGACATACGGGAGCCTGGCCCCATACGACTTGGAGGTTTCCATCGCAGTTGGTTACCACCTGACTATTTTCTGGCGTTATGCCACGGCATCTCGTGTTTGCCCTGGAAGGATTTAGGAAGGATTTGCGGGGCACGATCTAGTCGGATGTAGATCCTTTCGTATTGCCGCTTCTCTTGCCAATTATAGCAAGGATTTAAACTACCATCCTTAGCTCCCGGGGGGGAACGGTAGTTTGCTGCACCCTGTCTGACAGCCCAGCCCACTCCCGCTAGTCGGTGCATGTGGTTACTGCGGCTCTTACTTGCCATATCTCCATAGAAACTTCCGTCGGCCTCAGCTAGGTATCGTGGGACATGCTGGACAACTAGCGTTCTTTACAGCAGTTAGCTAGTATGCTTAGACCATGCCTTGCTGAAGAGAGACGTGGAGGTAGTAAATGATTCCGTACTGTTACCAGCCAGCTCACTTGAAGGTTCTCAACTTGCGACTGCGAGACTCTAGGGTTGACCGCGTGGCGGTAGCAAAAACTGAGTAGTCGATACGGTTGATGTTGGTCCGCCGCAGCTCCCGTCCGAATGCGTAAATACAGCAGTGTGCCGAGCCCGAAGGCGATATGAAGAATAGAAAAATCCACCACTGATGACAGTACGGACGATTGCATTGCCTCGTGTCACTATCGTACCACAGAACTCGTATCACGGTGAGCTTACCGTCATCGTGGATTTGACAGAACGCAGTTGTGGGACCCAGAGGCTCGGTCGAAGAGAGAGGCTACAACGCCTGACGTGCTTTGTTTCTAGCCTGCATCGCATTCGTTCGTTACTCATCCAGATGAGAGGCGGTCCTGTCAATCGGATTTGTTGTATGACAGGCTGTCACTTGTCCACACGAGCTTTGGCACTTGCTCAACGGATTTGTCCAGTCCAAACCTTGGGGTAAGCACAACAGCAACGCAAAGTGGCTCGGCAAGTTACCGTGCCATCGTGCGTTTTCGTTGGCAAATCCTGATGGCCGGCGTAGAAATGCTGCCGACACTACTTTCTAGCCCATTCCATACTGTGCTCTTCGCGTTGGTCAAGGCCTGGTTTCCGCAATGCTAATTTTGGACCCGATAGTCGTGGCAGTCTTGGCACGACTTCAGCACTACTCCCTCAAGTGGGGCCAAAGTTGTTGGTCTCGAGAGCGTAGCGTTCTTCTTTGTTCTCATAATAATCACACAGAAATATGTCGCTTGCATGTCGTGTCGGATAGCCAGTCGAGCTCTACTTGAAATTCACTTATTCGTCGCAGGGTGTATTGAGACACAGCCTGCAGCCCAACTGTTGATTTCCGGTGTTCACGACGCATATGGTGCAGGAACTCATAGGACTGACCACTCGACGCTCTAACTTATCCTAAGTTGTTTCACTTATCACGATTCCCAGCTGTCTTGTTCGTTTGTCGTCACAGAACTGGCAAGCGATGCTAGCCATGCTCTTTTCTCTCAGTCCAATCCATTCCTTCAACTCCAAATTCATGTCAATCATACTCACCAACCTCAAGGCTCATACTAGACAACGCCAAGTTTGATTCCAGGTCCAAGACTGGCTTCAGTGGGCGGCAAACCTGTGGAATCGCCTCGGGATTCTTCATAGCGGTCACCGCGAACGAGAAGACTGACAATGCTGACAGCAACGAGGATGCATGGAGGGACTCGGAAATTCGATAAAGCTACCATCAGTATCTTTCCAGCATTATGTTCATATACGAGCTGACTTGAAGGTCTTGCTGATTGCTTGTAATCACTCCTTCGGCATTTCTCAGGAGGCATGCGATCAATACGGCGGCCTGCCAGGTCTACATGGAAACTAGACGAAGCCGTTGTACTGTGGTCAGTGTGTCTCGAACCGAAATGGCTGAAGGGGGGAACATACACTCGGACCAGCGCACTGTCCCTCCTTCTGTCGATCATCACGGCCAGCCACACTGGCAAGGACCATAGAATGGAAAGCCAGAGAACGGGTCATGATGTGGAGGCGGTATCGTCGAGAAACTCTCCAGATCCCGCTTCCAAGAGTCTTTGCTTTGACCAACCGCGGTGTGAAGCGCCCGAGTACGGCCCTGGCAGTGGACATGACAATCGTGAACAGTAGCCGATGCTCTTGGTAGGCAGGTGCATTAGCTGCCGCAGCCACTGGATTCACCATATCGGAGTTATGCTCGGGGAGAGCAGCAGCTTGACTCGTGAAGATAAAGAGCATAGCCAGAAGCCAAAATCTCTGGTTGTCACTAGTTGCCAGCAGGTGGGAGACCACGGATCCACATCGCAAGGAAGATCCCGACCCATTGTGAGGCTGCAGGAAGACATATTAATGGCCTATTCTCGGGAGAGCCATTTCTACAAGGGTCAAGGACGGGTATTCCAGATTTTACCAAGTTGCTGAATTTTAGTCAATGCAGGAGGCTTTAGTGCACTGGGATGGTTTTGGTATTGTTATGAGAGACGTCTTGGTCGTGGGCTCGAATAATAATTTGGACAGCGACAGTAGCCGTTGCGGTTGAGTTGAGCAACCGACAGAGTGGCTGAAATGGGTTCTGGTGTGAGACCGAGAACCCCTTAGGCAGCATGAGTGGATATTGACAATAATAGTTTGGTTGACGATAAGAATCGAGAGCGGGTTGGCATGGACTTCCAATGTCCTAGCTAATAATATGGTACTAGGTTGACTTGATCTTCAATGCCTGACGACCCAGTCGGCCAAGAGACGTTTGCTTCAGGATTGGACGCCTCACACTATCGGATACACCATCAAAGTAATTTGAAGGTGCACTCACACCCTTCATATTTGGGGCCAGTCTTCATCTATTGTTGAGTTGATTCATCCGAATTCAGTAGGAATCGACACCGATTTCTACCGAAAAGAAATTTAAACCCCCTGCGGTGCTACATGTGACCCGACGGGAATCGACAGTGCTGCAATGGATAAGGCCGCAAGCCGCAAGTCGCAAGCCGTATACATTATACTTCAATGCCGCTTCCTACACAAGTGGTACTTCTCCTTCAGCTGAATAAAGCTGAATAAAGCTGCATACAAACGTCGAGTGAACAACCTGCGGCATGTAGGCCATTTCACAGAAGTCCTAACCAATGAACCGAGAAGATTTAAAGGTCGTATTGATGCTGGGATATTACAGGCCTGGTTTTATTTATTGCCTTCGCTTTCGTTCTGAACATGTGGTACTCCAAGGTTGTGTTCGAAGCTCAATGGTCACCCACGGACCTTGCCATCATCGAGTAACATGCCTATCGGATTTTCGGTGTTGAATCTGGCTAGAAACTCGTTTGGTTTAGTTTCCATCAGATGGAATAGTCATAGACGTAGGACGCCCAATGTTGGGTAAGAGCTAGCGCTCAGAAGCAAGATCATCGCCAGTCCACTTCAAGACAGTTGGTTCGCCATTTATTAAAGTCTTTCGCATGCTGTTTTATCGTATTATTCCTGAACAGTGGGAAGATAATAGAAAATGGTATGTTGCAGTTAGTCAGGTGAAACTTCTAGCATGAAAGAATATTCTCATTCGACCGGTTATTGACATAAGATTTATTAATTCCTTTATTCAAATGACTGAATGAACATCGTCCACCGCCTTCCACCGCATGCATGCTGTGATACAATCTTGGGGCTGTCAAACAGGCGTCTGAATAAGTCGCAAGGCGGCCTACATGCTTTCGACTTCGGCAATGTCTCCCAGAAGCTTATTTCAGATATACGCTAAAACAGCAGAGGATGACACAGCAGGCAGATTTAATGATATTATTTACAGTCGTACTTCGCAGTTCCAAACCTTTCGCTACGCCCAAACCAGATATTCACACAATGTGCGCTTCTTGGTGGACTTATTGTGCAGGCTTTATCGAGACTCAATCCAGCGTTCGTTCTATAGCTGAGATGACTAGACCGTCTCTCTAGGCCAAGACTTTATCGACAAGTGATCACAGTAACTTGAAGATAGAATCCAAGCATCCCCAGGCTGACTTTCTTTCCAATTCCAACATTATAAGCTGCATGTCAATAGCCGATCCGTGGGCATATATAAAGATGGTAAGTGTTCAAACTTCAATACCCACTTGAAACATAAAGAGTATCTCCGACCCTCTGGTAGAGTAATTTAAGCTGAATACAACCCCAACATGTCTATATTGACCAGTTCACATATTGCTTTCATCTTTGCATCATATACGCCAGACAGATCATCTCTGTCCGACGACACCAGTTTTATTTCTCGTACTCCTCCAACATCTTAAATAAGAACGGGGCATGTTTGTACGGAATGCCATAGCTGATTTCCTGAAGCTCAAGAAATCTGTTTGTACACCGTCAATGCTATTTCTAAGCTCTCGGTTTCGGAACAAACAGCGGAACTACCGCTATTTGATGAAAGGCCGCTTACGCCGTCAATGCCGTTATGCGAGCCTTAACGCCGCCCGAAATAGCTCGGGCATGACACCTTGTCTCCGTTACTATACTATTGTTCCCCTGCACAATTGAAGCAAATATGGAGCTGGACAACTTAAATAGCACTTGAGACCAACGCCTGAGATGAGAGGTCATATTCCCGTTCGGATATCGATGACTTGAACTAACTAACTTACTTCGAGCCTTGTCGCTACTTCCATATAGTAACGTAAACTGCCTACTCAAGTGTGTTTTATATCTTTTTAGTATTACTTATCACACTTCAGGTAGTTATACTTAAACAAATTTACACAAAAAAGGCGTTGTGTAAAGTGTATAGTCACAAGAAATATGGCGAAAATATTATCGTTACTGAGCATGCTGCTTCAAGGCGGAACCCTTCTCATTCACGACGAAAAGAAAAATGTAGTTCCAACTGTCTCAGACCTGCTTGTCAAGTGATCACTCATCTCCAAGATTGGGCAAGACATCCAACCCGAATCAGACACCAAAGTCATCGACTGCAGCGGCAAGATCGTCAGCCGGGCTTCATCGACACCCATTGCCACCTATGGCAAACGCAGTATAAGGGCGTGCATGCCAACCATACGCTCATCGGATATTTGCCCCCTGGGAAACACGTCGCAGGGTTCTGTTCAACGGACCATCTCTTCTGGGGGCAGCTGTCCGGGGCTCTCGAATCTATCGATGCGGGGACGACCACCGTGGTAGACCACGCAAGTTGCAACACCAGCCCAGATCATCGCGCGTCATTTTCCCAAACTGAACCTAGCCGTGTCTGACAAAGGTCACAGCGCAGGTGGCGATCCAGGCTCTTCTCCCGGCTGGCCTGCGTTCAATATACTGCCACATGCCGGCTCGGCGGGCGATATCCACAAGCTCCTGGAACCTTGAAGATGACACCTTTTCCGGCCAAACCATCTCGGACTTCCCGGCCATTACCCGTACTAGCCCATTTGACAAAGAACTGGTTCACATGTGTTTCGCCATGGATAAAATTTACACGCCTGCCGAGATGCTCAAGCCGTACTATGCCAGCCTGCGCGATCCTACGAAAGAGCGGGCTAAGCTCGTCACCACGCTTGCTGCCGGTTGGCCGATGGGTGGAAATGGCTCGACTGCTATTAAGCTGCTGAACTCCCATGGCTTTCTTGCACCCGACATACTGCTTTCCACGGCAATCTTCCACAAAATGGAGATGGCGCGTTATACAAACCCACTGGAGCGTTCGTCTCGAACATGCCAAACACCTAATTCCAGATGGGTCGATTCCCTATCACTTTGCGAGAAGATCACTATGATAAGGCCAGCCTCGGAGTGGATTGTCGTATTTGGGGGACTGCCGGTATCCCTGGGCAAATGAGACAACCCTTGCAGGCTGCTCGAGCCGAGAAGGGTAGAGGATTGGCGGCGAAGGGATTTTGGTGGCAGGATACTGGATTCGAGGCAATACAAGTGTTAAACTTGGGAACGCTTGGGGGATGTGAGTCTCGAGGGTGAAGTAGGTAACCTCAAGGAGGGCATGAAGGCTGATATGATTGTGTTCGACAGTACGAGCGCGGCTTTGCTGGCCGCTGCCGTTGAAGACCCGGTGGCGGCTATCGTGCTGCACAACAATTCGAGTGACATCTACATGGTCACAATTGATGGTCTCATCAAGAAAGAGGGCGGCAGGTTGGTTGATTTTGTCACGGCGCCGGCACCCAACAAGCCAAAGAGTCTCATCCAGCCTGGGACGAAGCTTCCCTGGAAGGGCATCGCTGTTAAGTTGTTGGAGAGTCGGCGAGCGCTAAAGGAAAGGACTGTCGATGTCAACTTTGCTGCAGGAGCGGATTATAGCATCAACAAGTTCCATGCGAACAGGGAGACAATGTTGAGGTCGCAGTAGCAGCGATGGTCCACGCCTCTTTATGATGGACACTGTTGCAAAGCGCAATATTTCCTTCCAGTGCTTCTGTTCATGCCTGTGATGAATGAAACTCTTCTCTTCTTCAGGCAATTCCAGCGGTGTTGACGCATTGTGTCCTGGCAGAGGACATGAATACACTCACCCTCCTAGCTGCTGCTGAGAAGGTGTTGCGAGGATCCATCTACACCGGCTCAGAACATGGATGAGTGAATACTTGAAGTGAAGACGCAGGATTCAATGTCTCGGTTCTCATTATTGAATCGTCTTTTTAGAAAAAACCCAAGTCTTGTCAACTTCATGCTTTTGGGGCTGCCGAAGCTGCTTGTCACACAGCTTACTCGTTCACTGACCACTCAAGTTGAGAAGAATCGATGATTGGTTTTGTTAACGATGGAAGGAGTCTGAAACGGACAAAAGTCATGTATGAAGGCCCGCTTCATTCTGTAAGCAACTCGAAGCGCTGATAGGTTCTCCTCGTCGCAATAGCACGTGTTCAAATGCGGTATGACGCGAGATGAGGATCGGGTGCAGTCTTAACCAAAGCAGGGGCTTTTCTTATGCTTGCGGACGCCCCAGAAAGTCTAGAGTTGAGGGTGTGGTCATTTCTTCCTTCTCAACGAGCAACATCCCCGTCACTACAGCTCGGTCGCAACACGCCAAATTCCATTTTTGCATTCGTTCCAGATCATTTACCTGCGACAGCGACAGTCTCGGTTATTCAATATCTAATTGAGTCCTCCGTCCGAGGTAGGTAGGAAACCTGCTTCGAACGAGGGTAAAATCCACATCGCACGTACTTGAGAATGTACTTCCTGGCCGTATCACGCAGATTGCCCAGGGACGACGGAGGCAGTAGTTCATCCAGCTGGTCGAGTACTTCATCCGGCCATGGGGGCGGAACCAGTTCAAAGGGATTTTATTCCCCGAACAAAGACGGAAATCCTGTGATTATAACTGGCGGCGGCGGCGATGATCATGCCGACTATCACCTGCCGTGGTGGGTGCTGATTGTATCCATTTCCCTGCTCCTTTTCTTTTCATCGTTGATTTACTATTGTTTCAAAGGTACTCTATCTCCCATTATAGCCTTCTAGTTGAAGCAAACACTCACTTCTCAGAACGCACTCGCAAACACCGAGGCAAATCCTTCCGTGCCGGCCACGCACTGTGGAAAGCCTTCTGCAACGCCAGCGGCTTGTGGTTGTTCATATGGCTTTTCCGTCTCTGTCGCAGCAAGAACCGAAAAGCCGTCGGACCCTACACCAAGATCGAAGAGGGCCGTTCCTCCAACCACAGCATATGGTACGGTGCTCCGCCGGCGCCTACGGACGCTCCATACTCGTATGGGTACTCCGGGCACGTTCAGCCTGCCGGCTCAGCTGGTGCCAAGTATGATCCAATGGGCTATTCTGGCACAATGGGGTTGACAGACTTGGGCTTCAGGCAGAGCAACAGGGAGACGGCGTATAACTCGCAACCGGTCATAACGCAGCCCATCAATCAGATGAATACCATTCCGCTACCGAGTCCGAGTCCAAGTCCGGCTCCAAGCATAATCAGCTCGATGACTGCGCCTCCGCCGTATCCAGGAACTGGGGTTACTGATCAAGGTTCTGATGAGCCTCCGGCCACGCACATGCCTCGTGTTCAGTCGCCGGCGCCGGTGTCACATATCATGCCTTAGCTCACACCTCGGCATTCCAACTCGTCGTGTTGCAGACAGTCAAAGTGTACATAACAGTCATATGCAGTCAGTTGGCTACATTTCTCGTCGGAGCCTACCTCTTCGCATACCCGACTGGGCATTCATCTGGATGTGGGATGACTTTCAACCTGCCAGTATTTTTTTTGCAATATCAAGGGCTCAATGAGGACACAGGAGTACTTTGGTGGACGAGCTTGATCTGCTACAATCTGACAGAGTTTGTATCCTGGCACAAAAGCATGATGGAGTTGGGCGGAAAATAAGACAGCTGAACTTGTTACGAATTATACGTTTTCTCTTAAGTCTCGGGTGGCCTGTTTTTCTTTGCGGGACGAATTTGCCAACTCGACGCTACTGAACAGGTAGTTCAAGCCTAATGAACAAGTTATACACACTCTATCGCAGTCTAAAACATCTTCATCAACAACTCCATAACTCGTCTCTCCTCAAATCTTTACATCACCGTCCCGTTCCCCTTCCCGCCGACACCCTCAAACACGGTCTCCAGCCAATCAAACGCGACCTGCGCCAACTGTGCCTCGGCCCCCAACTGACAATGTTCACCAGCCCCTAACTTCGTCTCAAACAAATGATAATACCCCTTATCCCCCAACATCTTCTGAAGCTCCTCCGGCTGCCCAGGCGCAAACGTGTCATCCTCACCGCTGCCCACAAACACCGGACAGGTCATATTGCCCACGACATCCTCATCGAGCCTAAACTTCCCCAACCTGGCGAACCAGTCATATGGGCTCTCGGTCGCGAAACTCCAAAGGCCCTGGTTGATGACAAAGCGGAAGATCTTCGGCGACAGTGGGTTCAACCGGACCGCGTTCATGTACTCGTTGAAGTCGGCCTCGGCGCCGCTGGTATACAACTCGGCCACTTCGGCGGGGATTTGGGATAAGATCGCATCCTGGAAGCTCACCAGCCCGTCGATGACCAGCACGGCCGCGAGGCGGTGTTCCCTCGACGCCGCGAGCGGTGCCAGGGTACCTCCGAAGGAAACGTCTACCAGCGCGATCTTGTCCTCGTCGACTTCGCTATTGCGGGAAGAAAGGTAGTCCACGACGGGCGTGACGACATCCCACCAATTTGATATAAATCCCAATCCCTGCTGCCGTCTCACCGTCGGCTGGCCCGGCCCCTCGTACGTAGCTAGATTGCAGCCGCGATCTAGCACCGCCCGCCCTAGGTAGTGAAAGCTCTCTTCCTGTGACGCATCGTATCCACTCCCAATGAGTACCGTGGGCCTTGCCTCAGAGCCGGGAGCAGCCCAGAAGATAACGGGTATATCGAATCCCGGCCCCTTAACCGTGACCCTCTCTCCCTTTATATCCGATAATGCCAATGCACTATCAAAGTCCCTCATCTGTGTATCCCACACCTCAAACAACCGCTCGTCGCTCTGATTCTGAGCGAGGAAAAACGTAGCCGCACGGTAGTAGCTTGCTGTTCTGAAGAAGGCGTCACGCGCCGAGACGGGGTGTTTAGATGTATTGGCCGAAGTGATGGTATTGTGGATAGCGTCTGCGAGGAACTTGAACTCGGTATAGACGCTCTCCATGTAGTCGCTAGCATTGATTTGGGACGCGGCACGGAGGACTTCGCTTGTGCTGGAACCGCCGCTTGGGGAGAGAGAGAGCTGTTCGAGGAGGAAGAAGGAGAGATAGGAGTCGGTGCTGAGGGGATAGAGGGCTCCTGTTGGTGTGGAGGTCGCTGTGGGGGAGGTAGTGTTTTGCCCCAGCTTGAGGTTTGGTTCTGTTAGCTGGATTTCTTGCTTTGCGAAGGCGGATGGGGTATGTTGGACTAAAGGCTAGGCCTAAGTAAACCCACAGAAGGCAGAGGAGTGATGAGTGAACCCTCATGGTGGAAGCGGGAGAGTATTGAGTCTAGTGTTGTCTGCTCGGAGTCTTCAAATTGTAATACAATTCGACATAAGCACAACCAGCTCCCGAGGATACTAATTAGTCAAAGGATTGGAATCCTAATATATTAATTGATAAATCCCTCTCTGAGATCGAGTTTGCCTCTTTAATATTTTTCATCGTCTCCCGCGGACTGAACACGCCTTTAAATAGTCAAAATCGATATAGGTATAAGAATGCTGTGCCGCCGGTTGTGGTGTAAATCGTTCGGGTTCGCTTTCGTACCCGTGGAACCCCACTGCAATTTCGACCTCAACGGTAAAGATCGCCCTTGTATTACTTATTCGAAAGACTATCCCAGGATTTGATCATTCAACAATCATCCGCCATGAGGCTCGCTCTCCGGTCAACCAAGAAACAGCATATATACCTAGTCTTCAACTCGGATGGCATGACTTGGGGTACAGCAGGCACAAGGACAAGCTCAGGCATAGGCGAGCCCTGGGTAGAGGTGGCGATCAAAAATAAATTATGTCTACCTCTCCACAAATACATGCGCAATCGCGGCACCATCGACCAAGCCTGAAACTTGTATTTCTTTCCATAACCTCCGGTCTGCAGGTTCGAGCTTTTCCGCTTGTGCTTCAATGTCCCATTCATTCTGTGTGAAAAACGAGTGAACAAATCCACCTCACCATGCCGCGTAGCTATGCAAAAAACAAAACAAATACCTCGGTCCCATATCCCACAAGCGTCTTCTTTCTTATTTTTGTAAGATTGTGCCTATCTCGTCAAGTATGTTGGTAGGGATCGTGTTCGCATTCGTGGGTGATTATGTCAAGCAATAGTAGTGTACTGAACGTAGAGGGCCGTGTAGGGTATCAATCTAGACGTGTGATGGAATAGCCGCCCGGGGAATATAAAACACAAATGGTATCAAACGGAACCCGTATATAATGCCAACTTCGTCGTCCCCAGTTGACCAGGAAATTTTGCATTACAAATGAAACTTAAGTCGACCACCGGGGTCATTACTTTGGCCGATATACTTTTGTATAGGCTAGCTGAACCACGAGGCAGCTCAATCATCAAAGAATCCGGCGTCATCAAAATCCTCAATGGGAGGGGCGTCTGAATCATAAACACCCTGCCGCATCATTGGTGGGGTGACTGGCTCCCTATACTCTGATAGTCGCGGTGGCGGCGGTGTAGCAGCCATGGGCATTTTGTCCGCCTGTCTAGACGTCATGGAAGACCCCCGAACTCGATTGGCAAATTGTTCCCCGGTCATTCGGCGTCCAGTATTACCAAAGGCCGTAGGTTGAAGCTTGCTTTGATCGGTAGAGGGTGTGTTGCGAAGTCCAGAGGCTGGTGGCGTCATGAGACCTGAGAGAAAGCTGCTCTGCGAGGCCGGACTAATGGTGATGTTTGAGCGAGACGGCGTCGAGTTTCTTGCTGGTGCAGGAGACAGGTTGGCTTTGCGCCAGTTGCCCCAGGCCGCAGCAAGAGGTCCAACGGCCTGTGCTACTCGAGGAGTCGCAGCGCCCCGAATCGTGGCTGCGATGTTGGGCAAGTTGATGGCCGAGCCGCCATTCATGGCTCTCTCACGTTCCTGCTCCTCCATTTGGAGGTTGGCGTTCAGGCGGATGGCCGCGTCCTTCACCGCCTCCCTGTCGTATTTTTCGGCAGATAGGGCACCAATGATGTCCTGGAGGTCTCCGTGTCTCACGGCCAAGAGCTCCCTAAGCCACGTAATCTCGTCATCACGCTTCATGATCTTCATCTCGGCCTCAGGGTCGAGCTTGGATACAGTTTGCTCGAGTTCTTCAATTCGTTGTTCACGGGCCTGAAGTTGTTCTTGCAGAACCATGATGGATTCTCGGAGAGCCTGCGGAGAGATTTTTTCTGGAAGCTGCAATGATTGGGCAACCACCGTCGGCTTGGCGAAGGCGGCCGCGTGGGAAATTGGCTCAATGGCTCCAGCAGATTTTGCAGCAAGTGCGGCTGCCCTAGCAGCTTCTTGAGCAATCTGGAGCTTATCTTCCAAGTGAGCAACACGATCCTGGAGGTGCTCAGTCTTGGACGTAGATAGGCTGAGGCGCTCAAGTAGGTTTTGCTCGGCGCGTTGAGCGTCCTCAGTTGAGTTGTTGATTTGCCTTTCGTAACGAGCCTGGAGGTCCTCAACTTCATTTTGGTGTTTGCGTATAAGCTCGTCAAGTTCGCTCGTCTTGGAATTCTGCGCCTCCTCCAGCATCATCTCATGATGAGCATTAGCAGTGTCGGCGTCCATCCTGACCTGGTCAAGCTGGGCGCGAATCTTGATAACCTCCTCTTCGAGCTCTGCACGAGCAACGTTGACCTGATCGTTAGCGGCTTCAAGTTCGGATTGCACAGCAGTGCGGGCGCGTTGAACCTCGGCTGCTGCTGATTCCCTCGCCTCTTGGTATTCACGCTGGAATCGCAAGGCGTTTTGTTGTAGCTGGTGGTTCTCGTTTCGAAGTTCCGTCAACAGACCTTCAAGTCGCTTGCATTCGCTGACGGCTCTCATGCCTGCTCGCTCGCCACCTTCAAGCCTCTCTAGTTCAGTCTCGAGACGTTCACGAGTCCGGGACTCTGCCTGAAGGCGGGCCTCGAGCACTTCTTGTCGTGCCAGCAGGGTCTGTTCCTTCTTGGTGCGTTGGGAGTTCTCTTCGGTGATTTCGTGGGCGGCGTGGGCCATATCATCCTGCATAGAGGCAAACTTCTTTCGCCAAGCATCCCTGATTCTCTCGGTCTCCTGAAGCTGAGTGCCTAAAGTATCGATCACCTTGCGCAGGTGCTTGCTCTCCTCTACTGCCTGGATGAAATCATCCGTCTGTCGTCGAGATGCCTCCCGTGCATGCTCGGCCTCAGACCGCCAATGACGGGCCTCGTTTCTAGTTCCCCGGAGTTCTTCATCGCTGGCATTGAGGCGGCTTGTGAGTTCAGCGTGTGTCTCTTCTGCGTTAGTCTGGGCGGCTTCTAGCATAACAAGACGCATGTTGTTCTTCCCGGCGGTCTGTTCAACCACTTTCATCTGGTGGTTTCGCTCGTCCAGTTCGGAGCGCAGGCGATCTTCCTCTTCTGAAGAGATACGAAGCAACCGCTGGATTTCAGACAGCCTGTCCTCGGCCTCCCTGCGACCGCGCAACTCGTGTTCGGTCTTATCTTCCTGGGTTTTCAAACGTTCCTCGAGATCATGAACTCGCTGGTCAAACACACTTCGGTTGATGATTTCAACTTCGACCCTGACCTCAGCTTGGTCCAATTGCCGCCGTAGCTCTGCAGCACGGTCTTCAGCTTCGCGTCTGATGATGATCTCTTTCTCGACCTTTTCTCCCTCGGCCCTCAGGCGTTGCTCCAGCTCCAAAATCCGGTTCTGCATGTCGGACATCTTCCGTGTCGCTTCTTCGTCGTCCTTGACAACGGGTGGGGGAGTTGGTGGCATGCGGTTCTCGACAGCCTCCTCAACGATATTTCGAAGATCCTCGCCTCGGAAGTCGAGACGCAAAGATTGTCCAAATTGATCTCTCATGTCTTCCAATGCCTTCAGTATAGCCGTGCTCTCGAGCGCCCCTTGTTGCTCAACCGCCAGGGGCTCTGCGACAGCTTGTTGTAAGGCACGCGAGGCCTGGTGCTGATTAAGAGCCTCCATGACAGCGAAACGCATTTGCTCCATTCGCTTGTCCCTCTTGGGGCTCATTGATCTTCGAGCAGCAGGGCTCTCGTCATCCTCATCGTCCGCGTCGCTCTCTTGGATCTCGGCAGAAACACTGCGTCTATTGTGCCGAGTCGACGGCGTTTTGGTGGAAAGGGATGCGAGAACATGCTGTATGGAGCCGAGTGTCTTCTCGAGGGGCTCAAGACGATCGGCCAACAAATTACCGACCAAATCGTTGACGTGACCATCGAAGTAGGTGACGCGCTGCTCAAGCTTGCCCTGTTCGCTGGCGCTGAAGGCATCGTCCCATTCGCTTTCCGGTATATCATCGCCGACATTCAGATTATGCACTGAGCCCTGAAAGTTTTGGGAGACGGCGCTTTGAGGATCAAGGAACGGGTCATCCACTTCCCTTGACAGAATGGGAGGCGCCGGTTCTAATGGCAAAGTCCTATGTTGGCGGGGACTCGGACTGGGGGCATCACTCCTGAACCGACTTTGGGGAGGCAAATGAACTGGCGTCGATTCTGTGACGGCAGTGATGGGAATATTTCGTACCGGGCTGGATTGATGCCACTGGGTTGATTCGAAGGCTCTATTGACGCCCATCGTGGGGTCCGTCGAGTTCAGTTGTTGCATGACTGCATCAATCTCTTCAAAGGTGGGTTCATGCTCATCATCCTCTGGTTCATCGGCGGTAACGGACGGTGGGCTGACAGGCGCCGGGACTGACTCGTTGAAGCTGCGGAACCCGGTTGGCTCACCAAAATCGAAAGCGTTTGCGTTGAAAACCTGTGCTGCTTCAGGAGATGGCGATTTGGCAAACCGAGAAGCGGCCAGGCCGGCAGGTACTGGTGGCGGGGAAGCGAATCTTGACGCCCCAAGGCCCATCGAAGGAGCAGCGAATCGTGAGGTATCAAATTCTGTCCTCAAAGAGCTTCGACGACTTCGATCAGGTGATGACACTGGTGCTTCCTCGTCCTCAGCGGCAGCGTCGATAGGTCGAGGCTCAGGCCCAGGAGTTGGCGATGCAGCACGATCATCCTCAGACTCCTCAGATTTGGCCATCACAGGCGACTGTATCTTTGGTGAAGCGTCGAAGGCCGATTTACCATCGGATGTAGATCCAAACGCGAAACCACTTGGAACGAACGGTTTCGCAGCAGCTGACAAACTCTTTTTGTGCGCCTTCTTGAAAGACGGCTCGTCATCCCCGAACGGCCTGGCGTTGTTGAAGTCTTGGACATCTTTCTCTCGAGAAAATTCGAACGGAGTCCAATTATGGTCAGGAGAAGTTGCAGAGGGGCTTGTAGTGGCTTTGGTGCCGTTGTCAGACTGCATCTTTCCATCAGTTGACTCGGAGATGACCGTTGACGCCAAGGTTGTGGTTCCAGCAATAGCGTTCTCATCGTCGTCTTCTTGTTTCGCTTTGACCGCAAGTTCTTCCTCAGCTACGACAGACTGCGGCACTGGTACTGGTTCAGGTTCCGGCGTGGGCTCGGCGAAGCGTGGGATATCATCGTTGTCCTCACTGTTCTCCCTGAACTTCTTGGTTTGGCGGCTTGTGTATACCGTACGCCCATGCTCATCAATTTCCTCGGCGGCAGGGGCAGGAGAGTGGCTACTTACGGGTCGCACGATTGGGATCGCCTTGCTCTTGTTGGCTGGTTTAACGACATCCGGTAGGTTCAGATCAATGTTGCTGAAAATAGAACTTGTACGGTGGTTGGCACTTTCGTTTCCAGAACCTGTTCCACTCGTAACCGAAGGCGGTAAGGACTTGAGCGGTTGAAAAGTGGGAGCAACGGGGTTGAATCTAGGCCCTGATGCGGAGAAGTTGAAATTGCTCTTGCCGGTAAAGTTAAAATTGCTACTTCCAGGTGAGAAGACAGGCGCACAGGCATTGATCTTAGCCTTTGACGAAGAAGTCGAGTGCATGCTGAAATGACTTGATGTAGCGGATTGCGGAGGGTTCGGCGTAAAAGTTGAGGGCTGATATGTCGGTGGCTGGAAGGCACTCGCCGTAGGTTGGAAACTGCTGACTTTTCCAAAGTTGAACTGCCCAGGAGTGAATGAACTTTCAGGGTTAAATTTGAACTCCAATGCGCCAGCATTGAGTTTAGACAAAGACGGCTTGCTTGCGTGGCTCGGCCTATGTGACATTGCCTTGCCGTCATTTTGGGATTGGGACTCAACATCAGCCCAGGGGTTGCTAGCTGTCGAGAATGACCGATCGTGCGTCTTATTCACCAAATCGAATGTTCCCATAGACGTGCCCAAGTTGCTCGGATTTGTCTCAATTTCAAACGTTTCATCGGCCTTGCGCAGTTGGAGATTGCCAGGCTTCTTGCGGACGCTGCCCTCATCAGTGCTGTCGCGTACTTCGTCATTCTCGAAGAATGGTTGCTGAGAGAGAGAGTGACCACGGTTGTGGGGTTGAGGGTGATGCAGAACTGGACCGTCGTCTGAGTCTGTACAGAAGCCTCCAAAGTGGACCGAAGGTTGTTTTGTGTGCAACGGCAAGTGCATATCGGCCGGCTTGTTTGCCGCGGCCTTTTCACTCTCGTTGTGGGGGCTGTAATCCTCATGCTCAAGTTGTTCGCGGAACTGCTCTTCCAAATGATATTCAGCATCATCAATCTCCTTCTGCAGGCTGGCGCTGGCATTGTGTTTGATGAATTGCCCAGGCTCGGGTGTCTTGGAAGGGCTCTTCTCGTAAGGATTGCTCCGAGTCTCTTCATCATCTTCACGAAGCTCTTGCAACCGTGGCGATGCTCTTGCCGAGTCCCGGCGCTGAAGTTGCTGATGGGGCAGCATCGGGTATTGCAACGACTGGTGGCGCTGGTGCATGCCAAGGGGAGACGGGATGTTTTCAGATAGAAATGGCGATGTTGGAGACATCAGCGAGTTGAAATTATGAAGAGAAGGTGAACCACCACGGGCAAGTTGATGTTGCAAGTGCATTGACTGTGGAGACCACCCACGAGGAGATGGCTGCCCAGGGAAGTGGAACGGGAGCTCATGGGGCGATATCGAGATGGATGCACGCGGGTTGAACTTGCCCAGTCCACGAGGTAAGTGATTGAACGATGCCGGTGAAGGGACTGACGGGATTGTGGGTGAGTGGGCAGCTAAAGTTCCGTGAAACGCTCCTGGGAAGGGAAAGCCTTGTAGGCCAACACTCGCAGCCGATGATGTCGGGATAGGAGGTGAGAATGGCAGCGGCGGAAACTGATTGGAAGGCTGCCGGCTCAAATTCGAAGGGGCAGGCGAGATGGACGGCGGTGCTGGATCATCATCGCCAAAAGACACACCAAGCGCCCTAAGCTTGGCTTCGTTCACCTCGTCGACGTAGTTCTTCCATGCTGCAGTAAATGTAAGTATTTGCCTGTCATCGTCCAGGATAGCACATGTTCTACTTACCATTCAGATCCGGAAGCATGACCTTCCACTTACGCTGAGAGCGCTCACCATCAATCTCTTGGGGATCTGGCCACTGATTGCGGCTCTGAGAGTAGCTCTCTGAAGGATCACGTGAGGCAAAATGGCCTTCCAAATCGAAGCCACGAATGCTATAGCCCAGCTGTTCCCAAGACCTGAGCATAGCTGCTGTGTCTGAGGCGCCAAGGGGCTTTACTGGCTTCCCGGGTTGACCTCGTCCCTCGTCGCGGGGAAGATGGACCATGATACTTTTGCCTTTCCATGGCACCTTCTTCTTGAGTCGTGGAGTCTGTGAGATCGCTGGCTTTGTCGGCTTCGGTGGGGTTGAGGGACGTCGAACTCCAGCCGACATGTTGATTGATCCATTCGGAATTGTGCCACGGTTGGAAGTGTCCAGCATCATGATCCTAGCCAAGTCTGACGAAGAGTCCATAGCGTGGCTGAAGGCTACGTCCTTGGCACCATTGCCCGGGTCCAAGTTGAAATTGTTCATACCGGCGCCGTTGACCATAACTTGCTTGAGTGTTTCGTTGCTCGATCGTTTCCTGAGATGCCGCTGGAAACTGGGCCGAGACCGGTGCAAAGATTGCCGCGGGAACAGAGATGCGCGTGGTGTCCTAGGGTCTGTCTCCTCGAACCAACTGGCTTCGTCACCTGAGGTTGAGCGGCTCAGTGAAGAGTGCTCACTATTGTCCCCGTCACTTAGCCAATGACGATTCTCCGAGGTTAAATTGTTGGTCGTATGGGTGCGAATCCAATCTTCCGTAATGCCCCGAACTGGTCGTCGAGCACGATTCACAAGCACAGCGGCACTCTCAGTCAAGTTGGACGGTTGTGGGCGATCCTGTTCAGTCGGCGACGTCGGCGGGATCGGTCGCAAGAATGGCGTATTAAACTGCAACTGATGAATGGGCGAGTCTTCGGACGGCTCACTGCTGAGGCTCTGTTGGCGCAGATGTCGGCGGTCGGCGTTGGTATATGGCGAGCCCCAGCTGGCTGTCACGTAGTGACCAGATTCTTGATCTTCAGCCTCCGAATTGGATTGTGGTGACGCTGCCGCCCTCAGATAACTTCTTGCCCGTTCCGGTAGCTTGGGCGCTGGTAGCGGTGGAAGCACCGGAGACGACGTTTCGTCGCCGTCGAAATCGTCCACGGTTGAGCTGGTTGAAAAGGCCGGTGAACTCGGGGCAACTCCCCGTTGGGATGGGAAAGGCTCTGGCGCTCCAATGCCGTCCTGTGCGGAAGCACTAGGAGGTGACGACCTTGGTGAAGACGTCTTTAACTGGCCTTGTACCCGAGTTTGGTGTTAGCAAGTTGCAAGGCGCATCAATGACTGGACTTCGGGATGGTGCAATAGCAGAGGTGAGTGTGGGTGGGATTTCGGGGTGTAGCTAGAGCATACCAAGTGAGATCAGCGCAGACGAGGCACAAGTCGTCTGCTACTGAGTCTCGGGTATTTCTCTCGCGTCGCCTGGGTTCGCCTTTGTAACCTGAGCACTCGGAAGCTCGTCAAGGTTGTCAAAGGGAGTCGAGGGTGTGGTCGTCGCGACGCGTCTTCCGTCCGTATCACCAAAAAAAGAGTGATAGGCCGCAGGAGACGATTATGCAGATACCGGGGACAGGAAGGAGAGAGATACGAAAATTAAAGGAGCGAGAATGGAACACGGCCAGAGGGAGTTGCCGAATGCATCGGGTCGCAAGTTGCTGTCCGCCTCAGAAACTCGAGTCGCAGGTGTTCGCAGGATCGAACTCGAGGTTGAAGACCAGTGGACTGCAAACGGGCCAAGAGGGACGAGATCGCTGTCGGTGTGGAGTGTTGAGTTGGCAACAAAAGTCAGGAGCGGTTGACTTGATGGCCTGCCAGGGACTGCCACGCTTGATGTGCACTGCTGCTAGAAACAATTTGCTGGGAAGAGCCGTCGGATCTCGAGCATCTAATAAGCGCTTTCCCTATTCAGGCTACGGAATTCGGACACAGGTAATGAGAGCCGGGGGCACTGATGCGAACTACATCTGACAGCTGCATTTGGACCACTTCTCTCATGTACTTCTTATCTCTCTATTTTGGCTGAACATTGTCAAATTTGGCAAGCGAGCCCTCGCAAAGACCCTGGCCTGGCCCCATCTCCATCTTCTACATAGTAAAGGCGACGTGGGGTTCCATTTCCCCTAATTTGCATGTGCACGCAATGGAACTCAGTCAACAAAGCTTCATTTCAATGACCGGCCCATCTGTCGTTGCCGGCATAATCGCCAGAGCATCTTATGACCCATCGAATCTGTTTAATCTTTTTTCCCCCGTTGGCTTATGCACTAGCATTCGCGTCTTACCTTAATTGCCTATGCACCGAGGATTTCCTTCAAACTCGAATTGTGAGACCGCCATCGGGTTCAAACTGAGACAGTGCGGCTCGAATCCTATGCAGGACACAAAAGCTAGGACGACAGCCCTTGGCTTGCTTGTGCAGGCCAGAAACGCTTATCATCCGACCGTAACAGACGACTATCAGTCGACTTGACCATCAGAGTCACGATGCACGGAAGCAACCTCCAGATTGATCTTATTGACGTTTGCCGTCAGCTTTGGTCAACTGTATGTAACCTGTCAAACTGCCCAGAATCACCTCGGACTTGGGAGCTGGAGGGTCAATAGTTTGAGATGTGCTATTGCCCAGGCTTCATAGCATCGAAAATACAAGCTCTGCTTCCATAACTCTTTAAATTATGCAGCCAATGAGATGAAGCTGAAATGCCGGGTTCAATCTTTGCTACTTCGATGCAGAGATATTGGGTTCATGTCAGAATTTCCCAGGTGAAGATGATATTATCTATGGTAGTGCTAAACAGCATGCAGTCCACAAATCCTCTCCATGTTTACGTAAACAAACGCAACCGACCCTCAAGGTCGAATCCTCCAATTGAACCGGCTTTGAGTACATATTTTTGTATAAAGCCGCAAGCTCGCGCTTACAGAGGTCCACTAGGAGCCATGAAGACTAATTAGTGTCGCCACTGTACTTGATGAATCAAACCACAAACTCCACGCGATCGGAATGCTAATCCTCCCAGATGTTTAGCTGAAATAGCTAAGAGGGCAAGTTCATATAAACACGAACTAGGACCATGTTGGTGGATTCTGGGAGTCACGTACATATCGGCTACGTATCGAGTAGCTCAAGATATAGTGTTATCCTCGTTGTTATTTCAGTCCGTTCGGATGAGACAAGAGACATTTTTGCGTGATAGTGGGCTACGATGGTTGGCTTAACATTTCACAAGGCACGAGATGGTGTTTCCGCAATAAGGAGACTGACACAGTGGGTTTAGAGAGCTTCACTAACTTTAGGGGACTAGAGTATTTGCTCGTGGAGAAACTGGGGTGCTAAGTCGATGAACAAGTAGTTGAACAGGGAGATACGGAGAGGAGAGTGTTGCTAGGTTTATAGCGAGCTCAGAAAACCGAGATCAACATAGACATTGAGTTGCATTATCTAGAAGGGGGTTATGTCATATGATAGCCAAGTTCACCTTGATTTTCGTCTCTAGTAGTCCTTTTCTAGTGTTACAGCATCGTGACTATTACAGGTTGGCCATTTATCATGAGTTGTAATATCCAGCTACATCATCATCATCATCATCATCATCATCTTTAAGAGTTCAGTATCCGCGGCTCTTGAATAGAAGTAGTTTGATCGGCTCATTGATTCAGATAAGCTGCCTGACATTTCAGCACACTTACTCAATCCTAATCAAGTCTATATCAAAATGATATACGAGGGATATATGATGTGTGGTACGGTGGAACTATGCTTGATTATGAAATCATCCAGGGTGCAAGTATGGCTCTGATCCCCGAGTGTTTGCATAGAAAATGGTGTGCTGAACTAGTCTACCAGTAATGGCTCTAGTATTTTCTAGTCCCAGGACATGCAGGCCGCGTTGTAGAAGACATATCTTTGCATTGATGTTCGCTGATGTCAGCCTCCACTGTCAACAGCACGCGGCTGGGTTTGGACTGACAAAAGCAAGATAACTGTCTCAAAATGTGTGCTCAGCACTGCCCTAATGCTCCCGTAAGAGCAACTCAGCCCGATTATGAAAATGTTGAATGACGCCCTCAGTCTGCAACGTTGCCTTGGTCGTCTATTGCATCTGACGGTAAGTGAGCTCAGTTTGAGGGATATCACGTCTTCAAATTCCATGCTAATTATACGGGCCATGGAACTTGCCGCCTTCTACCAAGAGAGGCTGCAACAGATTCTCTCCAGTAGACATGGGTGTGGGGCCTTCAAATATGTTAAGAGGCCTGGGGGTTCCTGATCTTTAGGGATGCCAAATCACATAGCAGAACCGGTCGTCAGGTATTTATAGTGAGCATCGAGGACTTACTGCCCATCCATATTGTTCCTGATTCGAGGTATGGTACGTCATCCAGTATTCCAACGTGAGTGTGGAGGCATGACGTTCTGCATAAGATACTCGAGGCATTGGAGCCGAGTAGCGTATAAGTCTGAAGTCGCCTTCCGAAGGCTTCTAAAACCACCATTACTTACACCTGAGGAAACGGCGAGACCTTCAAGGCTCCATATATGCACATGGTAATCGCCCGTTGCGGGACCAAGCCGATCACTTTCATGTATATCGACGACCGCAATAGCTTAGTCCCCTTATACCGCCCGATTCCACCATGAATCCAGTCTCCAATGTTAACGTCGAAGCAAGATCGGGCCAGTATAATTAGCCAGGCGAATATGCAAAGGCCGAGTGACACCGGGAGCCCGGGTAAGGTTGGTCGTGAAATGCCCCGAAGGCAGCTGCTCTAGAATGCCACTTTCGTGTTGGATGACATGAATCCATTACCATCAGCGAGGCTAGTTTCCTATGAAAACGCTCATCGGCTCTTGTGTTTTGGTGCATGACCCAGAGCATGATCTGGTCAACGGCCTGCTTATATGCGAATGAGAACCTAGCAGTCACTTCTTTTGTAGTTGGTTTCCAAGCCCACTAACACTGACGGTTGAGATAGGATCGAGTCACTTATATCACCACAAGAACATGTATGTCTTCTGTACCCAGCTCGTAGATGCGACGTCCTAAGGGCGTGTGCAGCGGTATAGCTGCTTCAAGTCAAATGATCATGGAAGCATTTGAGACGGATTGCTGTCGCCCAATTGACCGTCCACCTAATCAGTGACTAATCGATGGTTAGAATGCCGTCCGAACAAGCCATCCAAGATGATTACCAAGAAGTTGACCATCTGATGTCACTTCCAACTGAGCGGATATGGGGCCGTTTCGTGCGGATCCACAGAGAAGGGGGCGGTGTTCGTCAATCTCCAGGTTCTCGAAGATGAAGCCGGACGAGATCAGCATCTTTCCTGTCTATCTTTGTGTCTGCATGACGCCGATCTAGGTGATCTTATTAGAGCAGCCTTTTAATGAGGATGAGCCGTGAAGGTTGAGCACATCGTGGAAACTTCGATTGGTGGACTGGTGTTTGCGAGCCTGAGAATGGACATTGAACTGTTTAAGTAGATATGCCCTGGAGAACAATAGAACGGGACCTGGATTGGCGTTTCTTTTGTAATGGATGTAATGGCTGAAACTCGTGCGTGTAAGCCGACCAGACATGACGAGCTTTGGGGTTTCGAGAGGGGCACTCTTTGTGCATGGCCCAGTGTATGGATAGTAGCAATGAGAGATGAAGGTGGCGTTGTGGCGTTCAGAATCTAGATTTGCATAAGGCCTGCATATAACCCCGGGTTCGCCACTGGCTGGGCCGTGGAAGGGTTTGGAAAGAATGACGATATCATACGGGATGTTTGACGGCGGCAATCATGAGCAAAAAGGCTAGAGATTCCGACGGGAGACGCCGATCTGGTTGCCGAGTTTCATCCAACGCAGAACTTCTCGAACGACTGGGGGACGTCGGTCGGGTCATGACATGAGATGTGTAGCATAAGGAGACAATACACGACAAAACCACGATGCAATGCGTTGGCGCTTTTCTCGCCCCCCAGTATGACCCAACGTGAAGGCTTGATTTTCGGCCGCCAACTTGGCGTTGTGCCGATCTGTCACCTGGGAAGAAAAACGTGAGGTGTCATGGGGGACAAAGGCCAAACCCGGGTCCATGCAACAAGGGTGCAGGGCATGTATAATTGGCACCCTTTAATCCTTCAAGATCATGCGGAAGGGCGACCAGAAGAAACGAAACATTGCTCGCATCAAGAGACGCCTTCCTTAGGATAAACAGCATGTCTCAAAAAACACAATGTAAGACATACAGCTACAAAACAACACCACCAAAACCCCCAAAAATACCATATGGACGGAGAGTGTGCTGCGAGCTCGTAGATCGACCTGAAATGAAATGCGGAAGCCATCATAGATTCCCAGGATGTTGGAGGGTCTCCCTTCAATCCGGGACAATGTAGCAAGGTGATGCCGGGAGCTAAACCGAAGGTTGCGTGATTGGACGAATGGCTGCACACTGTTTCCTTGTCAAAATGCTTTTAGAGGGGTCAGTTCACGCTTCATGCACGAAACAAGAACGCAGAGATGGCCTTACATAGTAAGCGTAAACGGTCGTTGTAAACTGTGGGCCCCGTAAAATACGAGGTCCACCCCTTCCAGGCGGCCTGACTGGCCATTTTTGGGTCGTCCCCAATCAATTTGTGAATGTATCCTCACCTCACCGGCGAGTCCACCTGCCGGCACTCTTGTTCGCGCAAAGCCCGCATTCTTTATTCTGTGCTGCTCGTTCTTGCCATTTTTGAACGTAACATTCACTCGTTTTTTTCTCTTGTTCTTTCATCACGTCACGAAATACGACTAAATACACCCACTTGTCTCACACGTTTCCTTCGTTTTTTCTCTTGCCAAGTCGCCCGGTCTCCCACTAGACTGCTGACTTCCGACCTGGCCCACTCGACGCCTTCACATTCTACTGACAGCCTTGCTGTTTTGACCCCTTTCGTCGACAGCATAATAATTACCAGTGTTTCTCGACATATTTGCGTGCCCGTGACGCTCTGCGGCCTGCTTCAGATTAGATTTGGTCCTTGCGCCAGGTATCCAACCGGTCTCGTCTGTATAGCAAACAAGTCGCGGTTGGTGAAGAGGACGACTTGAGCTCAACCATTCAGTCCCTTTCTCACATTCCCGTCATCAACAACCACAAGCCGCTTCATCCGCTACTATGTATTCGACGCGGTTGATACACCTTCTTCTGGTGGCATTTTCCCTTGCCACCGTCACCCAGGCTGCTTGGTACAATCTTGGACTTTTTGAACGAGAACGACACGAGATTGCCGCAAGACAGGACAACTCATCGGCTTCGGAAACTGTCCAAGTTACAACAAGTATCTCCACGACAGTTCCCACGACGGCTCCCACTACCACAACTGACGCGCCGGAAACGACGACTTCAGTTGCACCAGAAACAACTACCACGACTACGCCTACCACGACCACTCGGGCACCTACCACTCTTACAACCACCACTCCGACCACTCAAGGAGTAACGACCGACTCCCCGACCCCTTCCACTGAGAGAGGGGGTGGAGGAGCCACTCCTACGACAAGTGACAATGCGGCAACCACCGATGAGACGACGGCAACAACCGAGACGACCGCCACTCCCTCTGTTAGCACAACCATTCTCGTTGTGACAACAACCAACGCAGCTGGCCAGCCAACCCAGATTACCAGCACGAGCGCTACAACCATCACCCCTTCGGCAAGCCTAAATAATGGCCAGACCGGCTCATCGTCCTCGGGCATGTCTGATGAAACCAGGAATACGATTATTGGTGTCTGTGTCGGCGTGGGTGGGGCCATCGTCCTCGCCGTTGTCGGTCTTTTGTTCTGGAGACTTCGAGCTCGCAAGAGGAGTCAGGAGGATAATGAGGATCTTGTCAACTACGGAGCGGGTACCAGCCAGTTCAACAACGCCCCGGAAAAGAGCGAGAATAATGGTAGCGCCAACGGCCGTACCCCTTTCCAGAGCACGTTAGAATCGTACCACGCGCCGACCCAAACCAATGCCGCATCCAACTTCTAAAAATACAAAAAGAACGTAGCCATCATCATCGTCATCATGATGGCCGACGTTGGTTCTTTCACGGCGTTCACTGCTTTCCCGAGGGCGTTTGGAGGAATCTGCATGGCATTCGCCGCATATAGGTGGCCCAATGGATAGTTCCGCATGGTTACCAATTTCAGTAGATAGAGCACGATCGCGACTTGGGGACAGCAAAGGATAAACCGGTCTCACTTGAGCGATCGCGTGGATTTGGGAGCAAGCATTGAGAGGCATTGAGCACCTCCACTTGGGGGCATTGCAGAAATCAATGTATACATCTTATAATACCAGACTTGTTCCATTCTACGCATATATCTACAACCATTGACCCCGCCTGATTGTCTCTATTAGTCTGCGTTAGGGCCCGGGCTTTTGGGGCGTCACGACTCACGATGCAGGTACTCCCGGGAGTCTATACGCACTGGCGGTGTAAAATAGAGCCACCCGTTCATCCGAACTTGCGCGCTCAACAGACTGTGGAACCCGGGCTTTGGTGTCACACACAAAACGGCCACATCTCATCTCAACTTTCTCGTGGGAAGGGATGCTTTGTCAATCCAGTTCCATTTTCTTCGGGCTTTTCCGCAAAACTGCTGTCCCAAAACGACCGGGCGCATTTCCACCCTTCCTTAGTCGTTGCCGAAGGGGCCGTCTCAGTATTGTTTCAGAAATCGACTCGGAGGTCAACCTCCAATTGATGAGTGCCGCAATAAACGGCTTTCTACAGCTTTGTGTCATTTAAATTGCAGAATTGCTGCTCTCTATCAAATCAACGGTAGTCTGCTATTCTGTGAACCGTACTACGTTCTGCGCTAGCGCATCTACCGTCGATGTTATTGATCGATTATCCACTTCTACCTAGGTCTTCCGTTGTAGACTAGTCCGACGATATCCTTCGAAGTACGAGCAGGACTGGCCGTGCTACTATATCCTATATCTTGGATACCGTCTACAGTCGCGCTATTTCTTGTCGGAAGCATTTTGAACCTGGACCCTGGGGGCTCTTAGTTATCTACTCTGTCTGCGCATCTGACTGGTTGGTGGGAGTACCAACTCACTTGGCTTGATACCCACGCCTTCACATAAACTATCCGCACATCTCGAGATATCGCCAAATATGAAGTACATAGGACTGGGCCTACTGTCGATGGTGATGTCGCTGCTTGTCTCGACAGCTCTGGCAGGCGACTTTGCCAACGAGATTGCTCGGGAGTTCAACATGGGATTGCTTCCTCGTCAGGCTATGCAGGTCAACCTTCAGGTGTGTTTCATTGTTCTCCTCATCGTCAAGGAGGTAGCTGGAATGCTGACAAGTGACACTACAGACTTTCACAGGCGCATTGGGCGGGCCAACGGCACCAATGGTAAGTGTACTTGTTGCATTCTACCTTACCTTTCCATTCCTTATGCCCGGCGTGCTGGAAGTAGACTTCTTGTTCGTAATGGCTGCATGTACTCACTGCACGGGATGTCTGGACGCCGCACGCGGCTTGACAGCAAACTCCTACGCCGAAGAAGGAAATGGAAAGCACTTGCTCCCCTTGCTGACAGACCCTTGAAAACAGATCACGAAGTCTCAGGACTTCAATAGGCCGTTCCAAGTTGATGACGATACTTTCGTAAGCTTGTCCCATCTTGTCCTGTCATCTCTTTCGTCATCTTCGAGGCTGACTATCCTGGCCGTAGCCCGACTTTCAAAGTGCCGCACAACGATCATGCGATAGTCAGAAAAATGCGTGTGCCGAAGTTTCGAATAACGAGGGCGGCAACTTTGAGGTTGCCGACTGTGAGAAGCAGAATGGTGAGTTATATGGCTCTTTGGAGACTCTGGTTATATAGTGGGTAGATGCATGTGATGTGGATCGTGCTGACACTTTTGTTACACTAGAGGATTGCAAGTCGTCAGCTTCGTCTGCGACGGTGACGTCTTTCTTCTCGGTTTTCAGCCAGGGCACTGACTTTGATATCATCTGTGATAACTGAGTGGTGTCTGTGTTCGTGGTTTCGAGTGGATATATATGTGCTTCGAATAATGTCGAGAAATTAATGGGTTCGGAGTTCCGGTCTGAAAAGGGGTCATATGAGTCTATTCACTATCGACTGTATTCGCTTTTACAGTTGGCTCTAACCCCAGTCCTCCTGCGAGTATCTCGGGCCTTCTCGAATGCTGCGATGGATCTGTCAGTCTGCCCTGGCAGGTATTCGAAAAAGTCGATCGCAAAGGTCTATGGCGCGAACGATCAACTTATCGCTAGGCTATCATAATTATTTACAATGATTAGACTTATATATACTTCGCACTCATCAGATAGCTGATTGCCTAAGCATGTTACCGAAAGGTGCGCTGCTCAACGTCTCGAGGTTGCTAGTGATTTTGATGCCACTCATCACCTGTACACGGTTCGCCGGATGCCAAGCAACATTGTTCCCTTTCCCTACGCATCATGGTCTTCGCTTTGAATCCTCTATTTCATGTCCTTATTTTATCACTATCCACCTTGATCCATCATGGACGGGTCCTCATTCAATCCGGATATTTATGAGTGAACCCATGCTCGTGTTATATGCGCTATGCTGCCCACAATATATGAGAGTTCTAGTGAATTCATATAAATTCAAACCTGGGATCGATATATAACCAGATACCACAGGTACACGTCTTACTTGCCCAGACCCCGATCAGTTATTCTTACTATGCCAAACTTACTTCTACGCACCATCTCTTACCTTAAAAGCGGCTTATCAGCATACGCTCAAAGTCAAATGTACCCTGAAGTCATTTCATACGTAGGCACATATGACCTAGCTCTACATTATTGTAAACCAGAATTCTACTCAAAATTTTGCAGGTTATAGGTCTAATTGTGTCAATTCGGGGGCAAAGACCAAATCAGACGGCCGGATACGAACTTGAACCTGAACAACATAAAATACAGCAACCAAGTTGAATTGACGGTAGAAAATCACGCATATTGCTTCCTAGCCTACTCAAATATGGGTATATAGCTTGTTAAATGGCAGTGGCCTGCGTATGCCATGATGATTCTCCGATTCAGTGCAGCATGATATCCCACGCGATACGTGCTTTGGTAAACGCAGCATTCGTCAACATCTTCGGCGAGAAATGGCAAGTACTACTGTATAATTTGATTTACCGTGGGAACGTGACTTAGTGGAGAAAATATCAAATTGAGTTTAGAGATATCTGAAGTATGTCTATACTCTAATTCGAGATCCACTGCTCATGTTTCGCGCGACCACTTTACTGATACGAAAACCAGGGATTGTAGCAAACCCATCGATGTGGCTCCACGATAATGGTGTTCGTAATGGTGATTAAATATATCGTTGTCGCTCTTGTTCTGAAGACAAGTTGACAACTTTCATGGCAGAAATTTGGTACGATGAGAGATGTCTCGGCTGGTACCAAATTTGCAAATATAATACCTTTGGACCAACACGGTTCCTCCCAAGGGGTATCCATGGAATTGAACGAGTCTGACCATCTCCGGAACCAAAGATATCTCCCACAGCACCATGGGAGAGATTAAATATTTCTGTATTTTACCCATAGCAAATAAAACCACGACATTATGGATTTCATCTGCAAGAACACCTTTTACTAGTCCATTCAATGACGCATTGTTAAATCTGAACTACTCATCTTATAATAGAAATTCAAGATAACTCTTCACGTCAGGGGTTGAACGCAAAGTAAAACCTCAACAAATCCAAGACGCATACTTAAACCAGAAAACGGGCAAAATGTGCAGAAACTACATCATAAAGTACGTTTGCCAAAACTGCAAGAAAAAAACACCAATTCGTCCCGGTTTCAATGATCCCCTGTCGAACAGGATCAACAGTGCAGGCTCCATATGCAAGAAAGTAGCAGAGGAGGCACTTCGAGAAGTCAAGAAGCAAAATAGATTTTCGAAGTCCTCTATCGTCGCCGAAGATGAAGAGGAGGAAGAACAGGAAAATACGACAGCTACCGCCGAAAGGGTTCTCTACACACGCGACAAATGCAGGAACCTCACCATCGACAAAGTCGTTATCCGCTCGTACTGCACGGAGGACTGCAGACAAAAGGGGAAGGTGGAAAAGCAGAAGCTGAATAAAATTCATGCACCCAAGCGGCCTTCGCCGTTGAGAGTCATGACGCTGGTGGATGATGCGGATAAAGACTCGGAGGAAGAGATGGACTGGGAGACTGACTCCTCGGACAAGACGAAGGTTGCAGTGTCTACGCCGGAGGATGTGAAAGACGGCGATCTTAACGACCCCAAGTTATTTGTCTCCGATATCCAGCTCAGGGATGAAATGAAAGGGGTCACACTGACAACAACTGTACCTGAGACAACGGAAACTTCATCGATGACAAGCGAAGACCCTCAAGAGGCGAGGCACCTGAGCTACGAGAATACAGTAGCTACGTCAATGGTAGGCAAGGAAAATCGAGGAAAAACGCCCGCGAACTCCAAGGGCAAAGAAACCAGCGCGACAACCTCCGAGGACTCTATCTGGGACTCTCTTTATCGCGAGATGCCCAAGCCACCGGCGGCGCCAAAATCCTGTCTCTTGAAGTTGAATGTCGAGCCGCAGCAGCTTGAAGCGCCTGCACGTCGGACGATACCAACAGGTGGATACAGCATGTATGAGGAGCTGGATGACCTTGATATGGATTACGACCCGCGGGTATCGGCTGGAATTCCTAAAAGCAGCTGGAGCACGTTTTAGATCTAGAAATTTTGAATACTTCATGGAAGAGTTCTCAGATGGACTAGACTACTTAGACCAGATAGTAGGACGGGAGGGATTTGCTTCAGGATAGGTCAGATGATCAGGAGCAAGGGTTTAGCTAGCCATTGGAAGCAAGCCTGGTTACGTCTATAGATAAATCCATTAGCCTTGAGTTATTGAAACAACGTTCTGCGTTGCCATGATATCTTACTCCTTGGGACTGTACAAGGCCTTCAAGGCGTGAGGAGCATCCAAGTAGTCCATCACCTGATCGATCAACAAGAACAATCAGCACAAACACAAGATTGCGAGAGAATATTAAGCTGACCTGAGGATAATCGGCCGAGTTGAAGTCCTCATGATTAAACAATGCGTCCAACTCCGCAGCCTTGTCTACTTTGAACGTCCCAGGCTGATTCTCAACATCCGACACGAAAGGCTTGAACGGCGCACCATAGTCACAGAGCGGAACGTGGTTATACGGGGCATGAAGGCCATTTAGATAGCGCTCGACCGGGTGTACCTGTCACAAGCAAGCAAAGTAAATAACTGTACCTGTGAAACAAAACATGGATGCCGGAATGGAACATCGCCAACAACTTTGAGAGAGAGATGAAAAGAAAGACCCACCTGGCATTATTAATAATAAATATCATTTACGTGCACAAGGTCGATGATGAATCTTTCTTTGCCAATCTGAACTCATTAGCTAGATCACTAGTGACAGGTAATCTAAGAGCCTACCATAACGTAGAATCTCCAAAAGTTAATTGTGTTCGTAAGAGCCGCTATCAAAGAAAACAGTCAGTTTGTTAATATCGATGCAAATCATAGATACTCAAGTATTGAAGTCCGCAGGATATTTGCCCAGCCAAAGAACACAACCCGACCCCTCGATGGCCTCGATCACAGAAACAGGCGACCCTTTACTTCCATATGAGCCTCCAAAGAGCGGATTTATCTCATCAATGTGGAATTTGCCTGCAAAAATGGTAAACCCGGGATTTTCAGAGCATTGACAAGGTCCTCGGCCTTGTCCTCCCAGGAGTATCTGGCAGCCCCGCCGTCAATAATGACAGCCGGGCTCTTGGCATTCTCGACTCTCTCCAGGATCTTGTTGACGGGTGTCTTCTCCACTTCATAGTTCGGAGGCGAAGTCTTGGTCATGCGCACTTTTCGCCGTTCGCTAGAGATCTTGGAGTACACCATTTCAGGGGAATTCCGAGGTATCTAGGCTGTGAGTGGTACAGCATAGCTAACTGTACGTCAGTGTGATCAAAATTACAGATCCGAGTCGCAAAACTTACCGTTAAGCACATAATCGATTTTTGGCAACGTCCCGACTTATTCATATTTTCCGTCACCCATGGTATGATTTGGAATCTGCCCGCTCTTCTGAGCCGCCACGGCAGGATACCCGCCGATGTGCAGGACGGGGACAAACTCGCAGTTTTCACCACCGATACCGCAGAGAGCGTTCAGCTCACCGCGGCTGAAGGTAGTAACCAGAACACCGAAGGCTTTGTTACGGACGAATCCATCGGCTGAGTAGGCTACTGCGAGCTCATTGGATGAACCATTCCTGGCCAAGCCTTCTGTCGGGATGAGATCGAGCAAGGCTAGGTCGTAATCTGACAAAGATTCGGGTCGCGAGCGTGTAGTGGATTTTTGAAGGCAAAACACGCAACACTTGGGACTCCAAAGACCGTCCCGACCTCGATCTCCTTGGGACGGCGGAACAGGTAATCGCCAACGACATTTTGGAACGTTCAAAATAGCGAAACGAAAAGTATAATTTCGTGCGTAAGTGAGGTGAACTGGAAAATGTACTTTGCTGAAGAATATCGCAACATTCGTAGCGGCTGAAAGACGTAGAATGGTGGCCGAGATGAAATGGACAATATCTGCTTGATACGTTAAAGTCGACGGAACCCCCTTATCGTATACATGTATATGTACATTCTGGCTTGCTCGTAAAGCCTCTATGTAAGACTTGACGTACACAAATGTTGATTATGGCATCGGAGAGAAAGACTGCAGCACAGGCAGCCGCACTATAGCCAGTAGAAGTCCTGCATTAGCGACATGCTATGAGTTATTCATCGACCAATTCCGACACATCACGACGAATGACGGACGCCAACCAACCGACGAGTTGGTGAGCATCAATACCGACGATGACTGATGTCTCCTTGAAATGGGGCTTTGCCTGGAGTATCCCTCGGTCAATAGTCGAGAAGCTTTCATTGGTCCCATATAACAACTTGCCGTCCAGGACGTTACCCGCGAAATGTTACATTCTCAACGGCATTGAGTATAGTTACACTGGCGATATGATGACTTGCCACAGCTTATTCCTCGTGGCCTTTCTGCCAGCACTTGTCACGCCTTGTGAATTAGGAACCAAAGTCGTAGGCGCAGAAAGAACATGCTTCACTCCTGGCTGGCTCTTGCTGCTGTGACATCATGCTCGATGCTGAACTAGTTGCGATGCGGTGCCTCCATACCGAACCATAAGGAACACTACGAGAGAAGTAGGTTATTCTGGAAGGTCCGTCAATGTCTTGGAACGACGGAGTACCCGCCACCAGAACCACTACTTTAATGCGTGCTTGTGTACCCAAATATGTATGAGCTCCTTATTTTAACCATGGGATTGAGGGGATGAGTAAGACAACATGTATATTCATGCCCTTCTGCGGGATCGAGTAGGTAACTGAGTAGGTCGGCGAATCAGAGCCAGGTACTGAACGTATAAGCAGCCGGCATGGATGTGAGAACATCGAACTTCAGCTGCAGCCGATGCTACTCCCAAGCACAGGTCTCAGACTAGCAAAGGACTGCTTTAGGGCTGCTTCAACAGTGTAACCAACGTTGCAACCGCTTGGTTTACATGCCCAGGTTTTTGTATATAGCGAAAAGCAACAGCCGATGGATTTGAAAGATATATTTTGACGTGCCCTCAGATTAGCTCTTCTGGTTCTCATAGTCAACCATTCCTTGCCGTAGCACGGTCAGGCTGTCTGCAAATTTGGCTTTTTGGATATTGGTCATCATAGGGCATCTTGTCATTTCTTTTGTATCGTAGAGCAAGAAAATTTTGGTTCTCAGGTGCGGAAACCATCCAAGACCACTCGGCCAGACGGTTTCCCAATGCCCCCCCCAGCTCCGATTGAAAACTATATGTAAGCCTCACCGAATGGGCAGACAGATGGACTGCTCATCCTCGGTTCGTGCATTGTTTGTCGTCATAACCGGGGGTTGGCCGAAGCCACGACGCCGGGAACCTGGGTGGTGAGTGTAATGAACGGAGTGCAATGCCGAGAGGAGCTGGCGCCATGACGTGCAATGTGGCCCAACTGGCTCAGATTTCTGTTCTTTGTGGTTATCATGCACCTGGAACCCGAAGGTTGAGGGGTCTAGTTTAGCTCGTGAAGAAATCTCTCATCATTGCCAGCTTGCAACGTCTTTTTGATCATGCAGGGCTAGGAAGTAAAGACAGAAGATACAACAGGAAATGGACACTCAGAAGACCTGATTACCTGTGCTGCTGACATGCAGAGTGGCTTTCTACACCATTGAATACCTCTTGAATGACGGACCGCATGTTGGAGAATGTTAGTCATGATGAATGAGCAATGTCGGTTGACGATGTAAGGAAGATGAATTCCTTCGTCGCGGAAGGTTCATCCGCTGTAGCTGCAACCGCGTCATTGCTTCTGATTGGCTCACATCAGTCAGCGAGCCGCAACACCCCCACCTGCAAGATGAGCGGCGTAAAGACCGGGGTAGTCAGACTGAAAGCTTGACTTTTACCAGTCAAAGTCAACATCTCAAGATTCTGTTCCCTGCGATCGATCAAACGACATTCCCCGCGAGAAGGGTTTCCTACTGCACTCTAATTTTACAGCGAGTCGTCCATATCAGACAAAATGGTATGTTTCCTGCATTCAACCACAGCAGCAGCACTCCGCCCCGCTAACCCCATGCCCATCTAGGCGCGCAACAGTGAGAAAGCCCAGTCGATGCTCTTCCGCTTCAGGGAAGCACAAGCGGCAGACCTAGGCATCATCGACGCCGGCCGCACGCGACGCCCCAAGATCATCACCGAAGTGGACTCGATCCCGTCGTGCGAGAAATGGCGAGGGCAAACGCTGAAGGAGATTTCGCGCAAAGTGTCCAAAATCCAAGACTCGGCGTTGAGCGACTACCAGATCCGCGACCTCAACGACGAGATCAATAAGCTGATGCGCGAGAAGCACATGTGGGAGGTGCAGATAAGGAACCTCGGCGGGCCGAATTATATGCGTGGTGGCGGGAAAGTATACGACGAGACCGGAAGGGAGATACCAGGCGGTGGGAAGGGATATCGGTATTTCGGGCGCGCGAAGGAGCTGCCGGGCGTGAAGGAGCTTTTTGAGGCGGCGACGAAGAAATCTACCAATGACAAGCCGTTGGAGAATAGGGATGATCTGAAGAAGGCGGTTGATGCCAAATATTACGGCTATGCCCCGGACGAAGAAGACGAGGCACTGCTGCAGTATGAGACGGAGAAGGAGGAACATGCGTTTGACGCCATGCTGAGGCAAGGGGGCAAGGCGTCGAAAGATTGGGAACCTTTGCCAGGCGATAGTGGCGACGGCAGGGCGTGGGAACTCCCAACGCTGCAGGAGGTACAAGAAGAGTTAATGGACAGGAGACGAAAGCGACTGCTTGATCAAATCCAATAGCAAGGAGTCGGTGGGTGGCATTCGAGCTCGGAACATACGGCATCTACTATAGTTCGGTACTGGAACTACAGCAGATGCCCAGGGACGCCCCTAAAAGACTGATGTGATGGTCATTACGGCGTTTTTGGAGTTGGCATTAAGGGGTCAAGGGGCGGGCTGGTTGCGAAATGATCTGTTTGAAGGAAATATACTGAAATAATCATGCATTTAACTACTGTAAACATTTGCAATGCCCATGGCAATCAACATTAACATGAGCGACTCATGAAGGACTGGATTGAACTACAATACAGTACTTGTAAGTGCTGTGATGCTCCATCAGGAATTTCTTCAACATGGATGTGGCAGTTTGGAGAATCGATGCTCAAGTCTTCCTTGGGTGACATAACTAATAGCAGAACTTCCCGGAATAAAGTAAACATACATACGTTGGAACGGTTGAAAAGTGCTTGGATACTTTCCTGCTCCATTTTTGGTTGGATACCAACATATGGGCTGAAGGAGAGCCCCTGGACCAGCTGAAGCTACCAAGGCAAGCAGCTGAACCCCGCGCTAAGCTCAGCTCCACCCATTGCAATCGATAAGCTTTGTGATCGCTAAACACTGCGAGCTTCATTCAAGCTTCCCGTTTCCAGAACTCGGTCCAACTCGATCCAATCAGCCTGCCATAACCTTCCCTCCCATTACCAAAACACCTCAAGCTTGAAAGACCAAACACCAACCTCGAGAAGGAGATACACAGGCATTCTCTCACGAAATGTCGAAACACGACACCCATCGCGCCGATGAGCGCTCCTTCCTCGACGAGCGTGGCTCCACCGCAACCGAAGCCCCCAACGGGCTGAACCCAGCGACAATAATGGAAAAAGCCGTTATTGAACGCGTGATCGAGTCCTTCTTCTACAAAGACCAATGCTTCGGCGTAAACGAAGCCGACATCGTCGACCGCGTCGTTGCGCACGTGTCATTCATCGGGGGCACCTACGGCGACTCGCAAAAACCTACGCCCTTTTTATGCCTAGCGTTCAAACTATTGCAGCTTGCGCCGAGCGACGACGTGTTGGCGGAGTATCTTGGGTACGGCGGGGAGAAGTTCAAGTACCTGCGCGCGTTGGCGTGTTTTTATGTTCGCTTGACGAGGAGGCCCGTTGATGTGTATAAGACGCTGGAGCCGTTCCTGGCGGATTACAGGAAATTGAGACGGAAGGGGACAGCGGGGACAACGTTAACGTATGTGGATGAGTTTGTGGATGATTTGCTTACCAAGGAGCGGGTGTGCGCGACGAGCTTGCTGAAGATGCCCAAGAGGGAGATTTTGGAGGAGCTTGATGAGTTGGAACCGAGGGTGAGTCCGTTGGGGGATATTGAGGATTTGCTTGAGGAAGAAGATCTGATGGAAGGTGCGGAGGGAGGAGATGGGGAGCAGAGGGGGGAAAGCGAGGAAGAGGGGATGGTGGAAGAAGGGGAGAGGGAGAGGAGTAACCATCGCAGCAGTCGGGGGAGGTCGTGGTCGAGGTCAAGATCGTGGTCACGATCTCGGTCGCGGTCACGTAACTACGACCGAGACGATACGGATGTCGACCGAAGCGAGAACTTAACAAGGTGAGGCGGGATTTCAAAGTTGCAGATCTCAGGTCATAACGTGACGCAGAATCCTTGATCCACTGCACAAGACGGTTAAGAAGACCTTGAATCGATTTTCAGGCCACTGAAGTGGATTTGGAGGCAGTGGTAAGAGTAGTATGGGTATCTCATTCAACTGCGATGTATAATATGGGCTCTCTTTAATGATACCCTAGTTGCCTAACAAATACTTATTCACCTGCAAGATGCTTGTGAAATCTGCTCTGAGCCATAAAGGTTTCGGTTGATATGACAGGGGCCAAGTGACCTGCTACGGCAAGCAATCGTGCGTCGTCCCAAAACTGCCCGATGAGCTGCAATCCTCCGAAGCCCATATCTGCCGTCCCTAGGGCCGGGACACGTGGGATATCCATGGGCATGCTGAGGGCTGGAAGCCCTGCCAGACTTGCTGGAACGGTGAATACATCATTCATGTATGCGTCCAGTGGCGTCTGCTTTGCGACGTCCTCTAGCGATGGTGGCGGTGTCGGCGCAGTCGGGCAGACCACGAAATCTACCTGGCTCGGGCCAAGCTTGTTCTCGAGCACGACCGAACCGTCCATGTCGCTCAAATCAAAGACTTCTTCGTCTTTCAGCGGATTCGATAGAACAAATACCCGGTCAAAATCCCTTCGGACAAGCTGACGGACTTTCTGAGCCTGGATAAAATGGTTGTTCATGGCCTCAGAGCTGAGAGTGTAGGAGCCGAGTAGGATGCGCCGTTTAACCTCGGCCCCGAACCCAGCTCCTCTGGTATTTGCATACAAGACACCGTCAACAGCGTCACTGGCCGTTCCGTCGTCTCGCTTTCCGTACCTGATGCCATCGTATTTGGAGAGGTTGGATGCTGCTTCTGCAGGTGCAATGATGTAGTAGGCTGACAAGGCATGCTTGGTAGAGGGCAGAGATATCGGGACAACACGACCACCAAGCTCTTGAATCTTTTCGAGAGCCTGCGTCCATCCAGTGCGGATTCTCGAATCAAGCTCTTCGATGTTGTACTCGATAGGAACGCCAAACGTAAAACCATCGAGCCTACCATTTTTAGGATGGGATTGCAGCCCGATACCCCCTTTGCTCTTCCGGTAGCACTGCCTCTGAGACAAACAACGCTCTCGCACAGAATTCGGTAGTGATGTTGGGTCATTGGGATCGTGTTTGTGGTACAGATTTTGTATCATTTTCGTGATCCGCTCCAACTGCCTGGCAATGATGCCGACGGTGTCCAGCGAGTTGGCATAGGGTACGACCCCCCAACGTGACAACATGCCATACGACGGTTTAAACCCATAGGTGCAGGTATATGCAGCGGGGATGCGTATAGAACCGCCGGTGTCGGTGCCGAGCGCGTCCTTGGAATCGCGGATGCGGACAGCGGCAGCGCTACCACCAGAACTTCCTCCAGGTGATCTTCCTTCAAGCGGATGTACGTTCGACACGGGGCCATACGCAGACGCAGTCGAATGTGAGCCCATTCCGAACTCGTCCATGTTCGTTTTGCCCCGGACGATGGCGGCATTGTAAGTCTCCCATTGTTTGACCACGGTGGCAGTGAAGGGGATCTCATGGCCCCGTAGAATACGAGATGCGCAGGTGGTAGGGAGGCCCTGCACTGCAATATTATCCTTGACTGCCAACCTGTTGAATTTCAACTCCTTCTCCTCCCTGACTGCAGATTTGATGGCGCTCTTGGCCTGTTCCCTCTTTTCCCTGGACAAATCACTGAAATTCTCTGCTGAAGGCCCCCCAGAAATGTAGCAGTTGACCTCATGAACATGCTGCGCATTAGGTTCAAATGATACAGGATACTTTGATACCAGCCGCCTCCCGGGGGTGGTGAGCGCCACAGGAGGCAGCTTGACGCGGCAGTGCCTAATGCCTGACATGTGCAGACATGTAGTCGCCGGTGGTTGTCGTTTGCGGGAGACGGGAGCTGAGATTTCAAAGCATTTCTCGAGTCGTCGCGCGGCCTCAATGCGCTATAAGCCACGAGAGCACGTTATCGGTTCTTATCGGTCTGCAGCGGATGACGCAGGTCCCATCCGACCATCAAGGGCCTCAGTTCCCGGGCCAGTGCGTTGGTGACTACCAAAGTCTCCTGTCTTGACAACTCTCGAAGCTAAAAGGTGCAAAGACAGTTCAATCTTATCGTTATTGACATTCGGTCTGCCTTCACTAAGTTTACCCTCACTAATTTCGATGGCCTAGTGCCAGTCTAGCTTACGACCCAGCACCAATACAATGTTCCCTAAGTCTGCTCTCGCAGCGGCTTCTCTGGCGGCACTCACCCGAGCTGCCCAACCAGGAGCTGCAGCGCCCGTCGCAGCACCCCTTCGAGACCTTGAATGGGGTCAGATCAACTTCCTCCATACCACAGATACCCATGGATGGCATGGCGGCCACCTCCAAGAACCTCAGTACTCGGCAGACTGGGGTGACTATGTCTCCTTCGCCGAGCACATGAAGAAAAAAGCTGATGATCAGGGTGTCGACCTCCTCCTCATCGATACCGGCGATCGGATAGAGGGAAACGGTCTCTATGATGCGAGCGATCCCAAGGGGAAATACACCTACGACATCTTCAGCGAGCAGTCGATAGATGTTATTTGCACTGGCAACCACGAGCTGTACCAAGCCGACGCGGTCACCCGCGAACACGATATCACCGTTCCTAACTTCAAAGACTCATATCTTGCATCGAATCTCGATTACATAGAACCCGAAACGGGCAATCAGATACCCCAAGCGAAACGGTACCGCAAATTCAAGACGAAAAATCAGGGACTTAATATCGTTGCGCTCGGCTTCCTTTTCAATTTCGACCGAAACGCTAACAACAGCGTCGTGATACCCGTTGAAGAGACAATCAAAGAACAATGGTTTCTGGATGCTATCCGTGAGAAACCCGACTTGTTCGTGGTTACCGGGCATGTTGGACTTCGGATGAAAGAGTTTGAGCAGATCTACAAGGTCATCCGGGATCAGAACTGGTACACACCCATTGTCTTCTTTGGCGGCCACGCACACGTGCGGGATACGCGCAAGTTCGATGACAACGCTTTTGCCATTGCCAGCGGCCGCTACTTTGAGACAATTGGGTGGATGTCTATTGACGGCGTGACGAAGAAGGGCGATGATGAGTTCTCTGCCCAGGCATCGGCATCTTTTAAGAGACGCTACATTGATAACAATCTGTTTGGGCTCCAGTATCATACCGGATTGAACGAGACTACTTTCCCGACGGAACACGGACGCAATGTCACCAAGATGATTGCAGATGGCCGGAAGGCTCTCAACCTCGACAAGACGTTTGGCTGTGCGCCTCAAGACCTCTGGATGAGCCGGGCCGAGTACCCTAGCAACTCCAGCATATTTACTTGGCTCGAGGAACTGGTTATGCCGGACATTGTCGTCAACAAGGAGAGAGCAGATGTGCCGAGGCTTGCCATTACTAACACGGGAATGATCCGATTTGACATCTTCAAGGGAGCTTTCACTATCGACTCGACATATATTGTTTCCCCGTTTGTCAGCATGCTCAACTACATCCCGAATGTCCCATATAACGTTGCCAAGAAGGTCATGCCTCTTCTCAATAATGGAGGGCAGCTCTTCGCTGGAAACATGGATCCTGCGCTTGATGCCAAGTATCTCGTCAGCCCCGAACAATGGTCTCTGGCAACCCAGCCGCAACTTGAGAATCTCGAAACAGAGTCGCCCGTCCATTTCATGGACACTGCTGATGGTCAGAAACCTCTTGGAGATGGCGATTCTAGCGAGAGACCCGGCTTGATTGGCGGCTATACCACGAAAGACGACCTTGGCGACAACGGCGATGATACCGTCCACTCGCCCCTGAAGTTCTACGCGGTTCCGAATTGTATCCAAACAGAAATTGACTTCCCCATCAAAGGTGATCCCGATAAGGTGGACTTGGTCTTTGTCGACTATGTTCAGCCTTGGGTTATCATGGCATTGAAATTTAGTGGCGGAGACTATAGCACTGATGATGTCAAAGTGTGGTCCAACGAAACGGTGACGGATATGATCGCGGGCTGGATTTGGGAGAATTGGAAGGTTGATTGCTGAATTAGTGGAGTTTGAATTGTAAGGGCCGGCGTGTGTATGCGTGGTTTTCAAGCAAACGCACTTGGAGTTCCAGGATTGCGGGCAAGGAAGTTTGAATTACAAGATAATTGACCTGGAGATTACGGGATATCGAGTTACACATATTTTTATGGGGGAAGTTGCATGTTTTCTTCAATCGTCCGAAATTTACTATTTTTCAAACTACTCGTTGCGCAGAGCCGTAATGTACGCATCATGCTGCTTCTAGGGAAGCCCTATATCTGGTTCTCCCCTTGCCGAGTATAGTGTCGAGTGGCTTAAATTTGAGATGTAAACATACGCAGGCAATAAAACTACAAGCTGTGCATGATGAAATGTTTTCATTGTTATTCTGCAACATTCTCTATTCTTGGCCGCGAACCACAAACAGACGGGATGCCTCGTGTCAGTGGACCCTTAGCTACCGGACACTACAAGGCTGCGACCACGAACAACGTCAGTCCATCCAGGCGCCACAATACCAAAAGTATCTATACTCTTGCATAGGACTATACTATCCTCGACAGCAAACTCACGTAAATAACTCTGCGTTTATATCCCATTATGCACACTAGCAATGCAGTCAATCGACTTAAGGCAGAGAGGGTATTGAACAATGAATTATACAAGGCGGCTGGTCCTATAAACACAGAAATAATAATCCTCGACCAAACAATCAATCTACTACTCCATCGCCATGTCCAATGATCAAAGATGCGTGCGTTCGTTTGTTCAACAAAAAAACTGCCGCACAAAATTTCTCATAGTAGCCTGAACGCCGATTCTTCTTCTTGCTCTTGCAACGACAGCTGCCAACCAAGCAGACCAACCCGACCAACCAGAGCAGAGCAGCAACAGCATCAAAACGCCTGATCCCAGTGTAGCCAGGAGGCTTCTTTCTTTCCGTTATTGAAGAAACATATATGCCTCGGGACTCCAACAATCCGCGGAATTGCAGTTGCCACCAGATCCGTTTTTATAAAAGCGTCCGTACCAAACCAGCAGTGACAAAGGGAACGGTATTGTGAGGCAGTGGGGATCAATAACTGCGCAGTATCTCAAGGGTTTCATGTACACAAGATTTGGGGGGACAGCGAGACACTGTCCGCCTCAAACTTTCATTATTTGCTTTCGTCGCACAAGGAAGGGGCTCGGCATCTCGTCCTTTTCGGGGTCCCAAACTGCAGGTGGCTCGCTGCTGCGGTCCGCCATCCGGTCCTTGAACGCACGCTTGGGGCTAACATTGGCGTTCTCGACCGGGCGACCGCCGGCTCTAGCTTGCTGTAACTCGACCAAGGTGCGGCCTTTGATGTTGTTCTTGGTAGCCACGTTTTTGAGTGTCGGTGGCTCGGAGTCCTTCTTGTTGTTAACAGAAGGCTTGCGCCCCAGACTATTCTCTGCAGTCAAGTTCGCAGCCGTCAAATTCGCCGCCGAGGGGATCTTGCTCAAACGTCTGTTGGGAGAGCTGCTTCGCTCTCGAAGGGCGCCGTTGCTGGACTGATGTCGTGGTTGCAAGTCGGGAACAGAGGCCATCGGAGGCAGAGAGGGTATAGGCTTGTTCAGGTTCATTGAGGGTTGGCTCCTAAGGCGCCCCATGGGAGCGGTTTTGGTCGTCGTCAGATTTGGACGCTTGGTGCCGAAGGGGTTTTTAGCTGATTTGGTATTCCGCGAAGGGGATGGCAGTGGCAGTTCATCATCATCTTCCGATTCGGATACGACCGGATCGGAATCGCGATACTTCTCGACATCGGCACTCGTGAAGATATCACGGTTATTGTTCGTTGGGGCCTTGGCACCAGCATTACGACGAGGTGATAGGGACAGAGCTGCGAGGGGGATGGGAGATGGCGAGCACATCTCAATATCCATCGGCGTGCCAATGGCGCCAGCAAACATGGTTTGGGCTCGACCAAAGGGTGTCCTTGCGCTCTTCTTCACGATCTCAGAGGGTTCCGGCGAATCGATAGAAAGCTCAGTGAGGTCAGTGGTAGATGGAAATTCACCGTCCGCATCTGTGCTTGTCCCGCCGATCGAGTGCGGGTAATCGGACTTGGATAAGGATGACGTGAACTCTTGCGTTTCGATGGGGCCGAAGCTGACGGTCTTCTTCTGGAGCTCCTCCTGCACTCGTGCTGACACTTCGGCCTCGAAGCGCTGCTGAAGTGCCTCAATCTCTTCGTTGACGAGACGATCAATTTCCAGGCGTGCCTTGACCTCCCATTCCCTTCGGAGCGAGGACTCGACTTCTTGTCGCATGTAGGTTCTTTCTGACTCCAGGCCTTTGAGCTTCTTGTCGAGCGCATCCTCTTTCGCCCGGAGCATCTTGCTCAACTCCACCACCTCCTTCTCCTTCCGCATCAGCCTCACAGCCGGCAGGTTCAGCAATGCTGCTGTGTCTGGCCGGCGGTCTGGGTTCACGCTCAGGCAGTCTCGGATAGCGTTCATGAGGTCTGGCGAGTAGAAGTTGGGCAACCTCGTGATCTTTCCCTCCTTGATCTTCTGGACGAGTTGGAAATGCGACTTGGCGTTGAAGGGTGGCTCTCGGGTACAAAGCTCATATATGATGCAGCCTAATGACCAGATGTCGGACTTCAGTGTGTACTTCTCTGCGGCGCAGATTTCGGGGGACATGTAAAACGGGGTGCCGACGTATGTGGAGGCAAAGTCATGCGACTGGATCATCTTGGACAGACCAAAATCACCTAGCTTGACAGAGTTGTCCTCACCGAGGAAGACTAATGAAAGGTCAGCATACGAACATAGTCAGTGGGCTGTACCAGGTCACACATACCATTCTCAGGTTTCAAGTCGCGATGGAGGATTGTCATGCCTCCAGTAGGTGCTTTAGGCCTTGCGATTGGACCAAGTCCCAGAACGTCTTTGCCAACCTCAGGCGGATCAACGCCATAGTGACATCGATACAATGCAGTAACAAGCTGCGCAAATATACTCCAGACGAACGCCTCGTCGGCATACTGGTTTTTCAGCGAGAGATCTCGAATCACTCGACCAAGGTCACCATTGCCACAGTATTCCATGTATAGGTGCAGATCCTGCGACAGCTTCAAGTGTTCCCGGTGGTAGTATCCGACGATGTTGGGATGTCTTAAAGTGGACAGGATCTGGAATTCGGCGTGGAGTTGCTCGCGCTCCTTCTGCGACATCTTGAGGTAACTGATTTCCTTGCGACAAAGCACCATGCCGTCCGTCTTCCTTCGGACTTTTCGGATGATTCCAAAGGAGCCATGGCCTAAAGGAAGGATAAAGGTTAGCTTTTGCTGGCTGTCTGGGACATAAAACCTCGAAGTGCACACCGAGGCAACGTACCGATCTTCTCCAGCACCTCGTACTTGTCGGACTCGGCCATAATGAGTTAGATTCACGGCGCTCTTTGGGTGTCTGCAAAAGCTATGCCATAAGCTAAGGATATAAAGCAAATGCAGGCGAGGACTTGCGGGTTATCGACTCGAATTGTTGAGATTTCTGGACATGAAAACTTGGGCGACTTAATTTAAGTTGTAGAGCAAAAGCCACGACAGGTAAAGGTAGAGGGGCACGAGAATCTCGAGCACCGTGAATATCACTCCTGCTGAAGCTGTCAAACGCACGGCCCCGATGTCAACAGCGGAACTTCGGGAAATGTCTCTACGGCAACCCGGAAACGACGACCGGTCTCTTGCCGTATTGGGTTTAGCGTGTTGTATCGCAACTAACAGGCCCCACACTGAGAGCTTCAACATGCATCATCGCTGACCATCACGTATCATCTTTGATAATAACCTTTGACCGTCAGACACTTTTCTGTTCTTATATATTCCTTCCACGTACGAAGACAACATTTTCGCATCATGGTTCTTCGGAAACATGAATTAGAAGCCAAGCTGAGTGCTGATAAGCAGCTGGTCAAAAACGGGGTTCTCCGCGAAGACAACCCACTCGATCTCTCCGATGATTTCGATCAACTCATTGAGGCCTGCCGCCGCGCTGACCTGAAGCGAGTACAGGAGCTGGTGGTCTCCAAAGGGGTCAATATCAATGCCAAGAACAAATATGACTACACGCCGTTGAATATTGTATGCAAGACCTCCTGCATGCCCTTGAAACTTCCACTCACAGGAGCTAACCCTGACTCAGGCAAGTCTGTGTGGTCATTATGACCTGGTGCAGTATCTGCTGGAATCGGCAAGACCTCCCCAACAAACTTAGAGTTTGCAGCACACTAATTCTCCCCAGGGAGCGCTCTGTGAACGGGATACGTTCGAAGGAGAAAGGTGCATTTACAACGCGCTGAATGACAGAATACGGAATTTGCTACGCAAGTATGACTTTTCAAAGTCGACAGATCCGCTTCAACCCTGGGCTGCTCATATTACATCCCTACTGTATCGAACAACACCAAAGACGCACGATATAACGATAGCAGCGCGTGAGTCACTGCAACTTCACAAGTTCTTCCTCGCAGCACGTTCGCCATATTTCCGAAAGAAACTTCAAGATGCTCCAGGATCGACGTCTTGGAAACTGCCGGAGACAATCCCAGTGGAGTCTTTCAGCATCACCATGAGATATCTCTACCTCGATAACATGCCGAGGGAGATCGTGAAACCTTGGAGTACGTGTACAGAAGAGGAAGTCCTCACTGGTGTTGACAAGATCAGCAAACAATTAGAGGTCACTAATCTGTGGGACGCGCTCCTTTCGGGAGACGACCGACGCATGGCCCGACAAAGGCATCAGGATGAGGTAGTACGAGCTGCACAGCAGCTTGGGACATTCTTCCGAGAGAGAATACTCGGAGCCAAGATGAGGGTGGATGTCAACCGTGTGCATGATGTCAAATGGAGACATGACAACTCCATCTTCGCCGATTGCTTGTTGAGAGCCGACGAGCCAGTCGATTCAGGCGAAAATGGCTCGGAGCCGCAGGAACTCTCCCACGGAATTCCAATAGGACCAAGTGTGGCGGCGCAAACACCAGATCATGACTCCAGACCCAAAAAGGCTGTGTTGTACCCCGTCCACAAGGCAATGTTGATACGCAGTGAATATTTTGACAGAATGTTCAAGAGTTCCTTCTTAGAGGCGCAGGACTCAGAGCATTTGCACATCATTACAATAGATTGCGAGCCAAAGGTTTTGGAACTCATTCTGTCTTATTGCTACACGGAACATATGGACATTCCCCTGGAGCTGGGGTTGGATCTTCTATACGCAGCGGATATGCTATTTCTGGACAAAGTGAAAACCAAAGCTGCCGTGGCGATCAGCACGTTGGGAAATGGCAACAACAACGTTTTGGTCGACCGGACGCATACGCGTGAGGGAGAAGGGGAGCCAGCAGAAGCTGAAGCGGAACCCATCAACGTCTATGATGTTATTCACGCGGCATGGGATTTGAAAGTGCAACGGCTCGAGGAGTTTGCCGCGAAGTACCTAGCGAACCGATTGGAGGATTACATTGACGAGGAAGAATTCGCCGAGCTGATCGAAGAGAGCGCAAAACGACTCAAGACGAGAGAAGAGACGGACACGATAGAACTGCTTGACGATATACGGCATTACCTTTCTGAGCGCTTCCGGTTGCGGTTTGAAGCCGCGGGTTTGGAGAAAATGCTCGAGGAGGAAGAGGAAATCAATCGAGCTCTGGCAGAGACCACCCTAAACGGCACAGGCAATGCATACGACGAACCCGCTCCAGTCGCCAATATTGCCGAGAACAACCCAGAAGAATCAGGTGGTATATCTCCTGTTGAGGAGACATCAGGGGTAGAAGAGATAAAGGGTGTCAACGGTGCCGTCCGCACCTTGAACGGGGAGATTGTCGAGGATGAGTTTGCGTCTGATGAGATCAATTACCGCATTCTGCTTAGCAAGATCGACACTTTGCTAGAGAAGCTGAATCTTGATGCATGAGAGACTTGCATTAGAAGGGTGGATGTTTTAGCAAAGTCAGGGTAGAACGCATGGACGAAGAAATGAAATGAAATGAAATGTAATGGGGAACTACTGCTCCAACTGTTACTCACTGACTCTTTGTGCAGCGAACTTCCTGTGGATGTGTCAGGAGCTGATGACTCTCATAACCTACATGTCAGCTAGCAGTACTACAATATTGGAATGACGGTGCTAAAAACACAGGGATAACAGCTTATATTCGGGGCCCTCCGCACCAAGGAGTTGGTCTTTGGTTCAACGAGTACAGTGCGACATCTAGAATTCAGTCAAATCCCATATCTGGAAGTCTGAAGCCGCAATTTTGATCAAGTAATCGTATGATGCGCACGTTGTCTACGTATTTTCTACTCTCGGTCCTGAGAACGTAATGCAGAGCGAGTATAGAGATGTCGCTGTGACTTTTAGGATTTGGTCTACGGGAAGATCCGACACGAGCATGGGAGGGAATTCCTCGCTGACAAAAGCGACAAAGACAACCAGGTTTATCTTGCTCGGAGTCGAGTTTGAAACATTGGGTGATAATATTCATAACAGTTAAGAGTGACATATATTTCTTTACAATCTTTACATATGCATCCACCGTGACGGCGCTACTCGATTCTGGGGCAAAATGTCTCGAAACGCGGGATAGTGCTGATTCATCATAACATGGTGTAGAATTTCAGGTAGAAACAAAGGTTAACATACAACCCCACCTTTCCGGCCACCCGCCTTTCTGGCCACCTAATCTGCCAACTACAACAACCTTCGGCACAACAGATTATCGTCGGTATTGGCTATTATTATACAATGCCATGGTATTCAGAAAATTCGATTCAAGGCGCTCTTAACGATATCAATCAAGGGATATCCCAGCGCCAGGCTTCCCTCCGATGGGGCGTTCCACGCTCTACCCTCCAATTACGACTCGGTGATGGCCTCAGCCATTCTGACGCGTCAATCGCGTCGATGAAGCTATCTAGGGATAGGAAGACGCGCTGATTGGATGGATCCTCGAAATGGATCGCGAGGGTCGTAGCCCGTCGGCGCTATTCATCGCTAAGATGGCGTTGATTCTGTTACCTCAGGATCGTCGATCAGAGGGCCTCGGTCGCCATTGGGTTCATCGCTTTATTCAACGCCATCCAGAGGTCGGAAGTATTCAATCTCGACGCCTCGACCGTCAGCGATTTGATGGCCTATCGACGCAGAATATCGACGATTTCTTCGAGACGTACGAAGCCTTATGTCAGCTCACGACTACTTTCCACACAACGTCTGGAATATGGACGAAACAGGCATCGCGATTGGCGAAGGGATCGAGGGTATAGTGTACGGATCATCAGAGAAACATACAACATTCGTTCGGAGTGACGAAAGCCGCGAATAGGTCACTATATTACATGCTATATCGGCGATGGGTAACTCGTTGACCCCAGCAGTAATATATACTGGCAAGAGCCTCCAAGCCCAATGGTTTAACGATTGCGACGATATACCTGATTGGCAATATACTTATTCGTCTAACGGTTGGATCAGTACAGATATCGCCGTTCGATGGCTTCGTGATATCTTTATACCTCGTACACAACCAGTTGATCCCGGCGAGCAGCGGCTCTTGATATTAGATGGTCATATCGCTCACGACAACGTCGAGTTTATGTGGTTAGCCTATTGTAACAAGATCTCGTTACTATTTTTGCCAGCACACTGTTCTCACGGGCTCTAACCTCTCGACGTCGCCGTATTTGCTCCATTAAAGCGGTACTATCGCTCGTTAGCGACCTCTCTCTCGATCGAGTACTGTTCTATTCTATTTAAAAAGTCGACGTTTCTCTCGCTATATATCGAGGCATATACGAAGTCGTTCACGATCAGTAATATACAATCAGGCTTCTCTGCAACTGGAATATGCCCATTAGATCCGTCGCGACCTCAGCCGACGATAGCCCCCCTATCAGAACGACCAACTACACCACCAACAGCTGGTAATTGGCTTGATCCGACAATAATAGCGACGCCAGTGACTAGCTTAGTAGCTAGGGAGAGTCTGGCAGCGATTACGCCATTGCGATCGTCGCAACGGCTATTGTTTCGGAAGCTGACTCGTCGGCTAGATGTACAAAGCGTCTAGGTCGCTACTTTGACCCAACGTGTACACGCATTAGAAGCCGAGATAACTTCGTTACGCCACAAACCACGTAAGAAGGTACGATCAGGGCCTAATGAACGATTTGGTAATATTGTACAGATTAAGGAAGCGATGGATCGAGCCCTTGAAGTAGAACGGCAACGAGACCAGGTACAACGTCGGAATCAGGTAATCCTGGACCCAGCTAAGGCGTCAGAATCTATCAGATCTATACCTCAGGAAGCCCTAGAGCACAGTTTTCTATTAGAGCTGGTTGTACCTGAATATCTATAATAGTACGTTGAATACACTGTTTCGAATACCTTCAATTGGATTGCAATATATGGCCGGAAAGGTGGGTGGCCGGAAAGGTGGGTGGCCGGAAAGGTGGGTGGCCGGAAAGGTGGGTGGCCGGAAAGGTGGGTGGCCGGAAAGGTGGGTGGCCGGAAAGGTGGGTGGCCGGAAAGGTGGGGTTGTACGTTAATTCTCTATACACTGTTTGTCGGGACAATCTGAACTATATACATGAGTAGAGTTTACCCCGCCTCCAGCGCTGTTTCAGGCGCAATTCGGACACCTGTAGATCTCCAAGCGAGTGCAGTACTAGATACCAAATATTGCTGACACATGGTATATAAATATAGGGAATATCAATTTACCCTGGAAATCAATATCCAATCTCAAACCACCTGACTAGCTGCACAGATAGCTGGGTGTATACTGTGATAGAAACAAAGAGAAGCAAGCCCTCCATCTATAAACGAAACGCCTACAGTTATATATGTATCCTCCCAATAAGCTTTGACAGAAACATGACAACTCCCACATCATCAGCTTAAGCCACAGCAAATTGAGTGGAAACAAGAAAACAAAACCAGAAAACAGAAAGCAAAATCTATCGTCCATCCTCACTCCAAACATTCCCAGTCACATCATCTTCACACCAACAACGAAAACAACGACAACAACGACAACAACGACAACAACAACAACAACAACAACAACAATTAAAACAGTCGTTTACCTCCTCAACTCCACCCCCTCCGCCCCCACCGCTCCAAAGTCCTGCCCCGAAAAATGCCAGCCAAACCCTTCCTTCTTGGCCCTGCCCGCCCACACAAGCGGGGGCAGCGTCTCGAACCCGTCTGTCTTGTCTTCTGCCTCCTTCAGACCTTGGACCACGTCGTCGATTTGGACGCGGACGGTGGAGGGATAGTGGATGTATTGTGGTTCATCGTCACTGGTGGTGGTAGTAGTGGAGGAAACGTCAGGTTGGGGTAGGAGAAGATTGTCGACAAGCTGTCGTACCAATGTCGTGGTGTGAACAAGATCAAATGACCCACTCCACCCTGTTGGTTGGGGGAGGGCTTGCATCTGCATCACAATAGCCGAGACCTCAGCGATGAGGTCCTCGCTTGGGCTGGTGCTGGTGCTGGTGCTGTTTGAACCGTTCTCGGAAGGAGAAGGGGTCTTGGTAACTCGGTGGATACGCACCGGAACCCCCAATTCCTTGCTTGCATTCTCGAGGTACTTCTCCGAAGCCCACTTGCTGGCCAGATACCCATCGGTTCCATCCGCGGGCGGCTTGCCAAATTGTGTAACTGAGCCAGAGCCTTTAACATCACTGGTCGAAGAAGAAGAAGAAGAAGAAGAAGAGGAGGAGGATGAGGAAGAGGGTATAACACCCCCACTCGAAATAAAGTGAATCGGCACGCAGCGCGAAGCGGCAAGTCTGACGAGCGTCTTGGTCGATGTCACGTTGGACCCCCGAAGCGTCTGGTAATAATCCCAGAACGAACGATTGGCGCCGCTGTGAACAATGACGTCGATCTCCTCGGCCAGTTTTGCGAAATCGTCCGCAGAGTTCCCGAAAAGCGGCTTCGAGAGGTCACCGCTGTGGAGGACTAGCTTTTCGGATTGCACGACCATTTCGCGGGGAGTGGACGTAGTGTGGTCGCGGACGGCGACACAATGCACCTTGCTCACCCGTGGGTCGTCGACGAGTTGTTCGAGGATGTGACGGCCTAGGTAACCCGTTGCGCCCGTGAGCAGAACGTTCAAGTCCGTCGATTTGGGGGTCTGGGGAGATGGTTTTCCGGAAACGAGGCCGGGTTCGAGAGCCGTCTCAACGTCCCAGTCAATGTGCGCAATCACCGCCGCGTTCTCGATCTTGGCCGCCATGGCGCTCAGGGTGCTGGCGTCGAAAAGCTGCATCACCTGGATGGAGACCTTGAACTGTTGACGTATCAAGCCCTGGATCAGGACCAGGAGGTACGAATTGCCCCCCAAGCGGAAGAAATCGGTGTTGGCGTGGATGGGGAGAACCTTTGTGAACTCCTCGGGCAGAACACGCGTCCATATTTCTCTGAGGGATTGCTCCGTCTCGGATAGCTCGTTCTCTAGGCCATCGTCATCACTCTCATCATCCTCATCTTGCGGGAGCGGAAGCGCCTTGACGGCCAAGCGATCTATCTTGCCATGGGAGTTGAATGGTATGCTGTCGAGCGGTACAATGATGGCGGGGCACATGTACTTGGGCAGCGGCAGCCTCGCCAGCAGCGATCGGAGAAACGACTTCTGCTCGTGCGGGCTACTGCTAAGCTGGGAACTGTTGAATTCGACGTGAGCAACGAGAAAGTCTGGGTTGCGCCGGACCGAAACGACAGCATTATGCAGTACACCGTTCGATGATTCGACGATGACGGACTCGATCTCCTTGACTTCGATGCGGATCCCATAGAGTTTGATCTGCGTCTCGCCCGCGATGCGGCCCTGCAGGTAGAGCTGTCCGTCTTCGAGATACTTTCCTGCGTCACCGGTACGGTACATTTTGGTGCTCTGCTTGGGATAAAGGCCTGGACGTGTCAGAGTATCCGGCAGGAAGGCAGGCTTGGTCAGAGCTGGGGCATCGTAGTAACCGTTTGCCACCCCTGCACCGGCAATGACGATCTCGCCATTGACACCGACAGGCACAGGCTTCATGTCCTTATCAGCGACATAAACAGCGTAGTTGGACAGAGCAGTCCCAAGCGGAATTAAATCCTTAGAGTTGTCAGTGGCGCTTCTGTAGTCGATGGCGGCTGTAGTAGAGGCAATGATGGCTTCAGCAGGACCATAAGCGTTGATGAAACTGACGTCCTTGCCCAGACGGCGGAAGGCGACCTTGTGAGCGTTGGTGATTGGTTCACCGCTCGACATGGCATACTTCCATGAATTGGACCCGTTCAGGGCAACCGACCCGAAGCGCAGCCAGTAGGCGTATTCGGTCGGGGTAGCAAAAGTACAGGTAATCCCCTCACTGGCCATAATCTTAGCGATTTCGGCTGGATCACCGCGTTGAGATTTGGGGACGACGTAGACACTACCGCCGTTGCAGAGGCCGAGGAGCACTTGGCCCATACAGAGGTCGAAACTGCAGGCGCTTTGTTGCAACACGATCTCTTGTCCAAGGCCGTGACGGGAAGTGAGGCCCTCAATGATGTTGATAAGGCTCGAGTGGCGTAATTCGATACCTTTGGGCGTGCCTAGAAATAGTTAATATATTGCTTTCAATGATTCAATTGCAATATTCAGAAGTTTACCTGTTGACCCAGAAGTATAGAGTATGAGGCCCGGCTGCTCTGATTTCGCCTGGTTCAGAACAGGTTTCCCGCTCGAGACCGCAAGTTCCGAGACATTAACAGTCTTTGCGTTAGAATTCAAGTCAGGGGTTGACATTGCAGTGGCTTCATGGCAGAGAACAGCAGACGGCTTGCTGTTCGCCACCATCTGGGCCAATCTCGCAGCCGGAAGTCTGGAGTCGAGGGGTACGAATACGCCCCCGATCTTCCAGATGGCCACCAGCGAGCAGATCCAGTCGACGGTTGGCTCCTGGTACACTGCAACTCTAGAGCCGCTTGACTGACCCGCACCAAGAAGAGCGTTGGCAATGGTGTGGACACGGTCAGCCATCTGGGCATAAGTAAGATTATTACCAACTCCATCCTTCAGCGCTGTGGCATTGGAGCGCTTGGTGAAGTTGTCATCGATCATGTGCATGACCGTTGGAGCCCATTGCGTTGGAACAGAGGGGCCTAAAATAAGAGATCAGCGAAGTTCAACAAGTGTATAGGTTCTCTGTTATAACTCACCTCTTCCCATCGTCAAAGCCTTCTTCACCTCAATAGGGTCATACAACTCCGCCTTCTCCACCGGTGTCGAAGCACCCCCAGTAGCAAAAAGCTTCACAAGCCTCACAAACCCATCAAGCAGCATCTGCGTAGCGCTCTCCGAGTACAGGTAACTCTGCGCCTGGAGTCTGATACGAATGTCCTTTTCCGAGAGGTCGTTGACGTCAATGAGCACATCATAAAAATTGTGCCCAAGATGTGCCACTATCTCCCCCTCGGGCGTGCCGAGTCCCTTGGGCTGCTCCCACTTGTGCCCAATGTAGTTCATGACGACCTGGAAGACGGGACTATACGTCGAAGACCGCGGCACATCGAGCCGCTCGAGCAAGGCGTTGAATGGAACTCTAGAGTTAGCCAGAGCCGCGTAGGCTTTAGCGCGGACATCCCTGACCACGTCGGCAAATTTCTGTCCAGTGGTATTCTCAAATTTGAGCGGAAGCAAGTTGAGCAGGCAACCGATGGTGTTGTTCGAGCTGCTGTCCGCACGGTTGGCATCCAGCATACCAATGCACAAGTCGTCGGGATCCACAAGCTTGAAGAGGAAAATCCGCAGGACCGCCATGAAGAATTGGAACTTGGTTGCTTTCATGGCACGGCACTGGTCCTTAATGGTCTTCACCGTCTTCTCGTCCAGCACAGCCATCGGCACCTGCGAGAACTGGTATTTGGTGACAGGCATGCGCGCCTGCACCTTTGCCATGGGGAACAGCGGGATCGGGTCGGGCACTACACCCAGCGTCTGCTTCCAGAACTTGAATTCCGATGCCAAGGAGTTATCCTCGACGGCCTGGCGCTGCTTGCGCATGACGTCGGTCAGCTGCGCTGTGACGGGGAGGAGGCGGCGTCCTTCGTACAGCGCGTTGAGGTCTGAAAGCAGCAGGTTGAGACTGTAACCGTCCATAGCGATGTGGTGGAAGCTGAAGAGGAGGTGGTGGTGGTTTGGTCTTTCGTTTTCTGAGAGTAGCAGGATCCGAATCGTGTGTCCCCTATCCAGATTGAAGACCTGGCCATTGACTGATTTGTTGACGGCCACAGCCTCGTCCGCGTTGGCAATTTGCAGCGTTTCGAGACGGAGGGGCGACTCGGCCAACACGGCTTGGGTTGGCTCATCGTTGTTGTCGGCGTCGGCGAAGAAGGCGGTGCGGAAGGCTTCGTGGCGGCGACCCAGGGCTAGAACGGCTTGTTCTAGACGGGAGATATCGATCTTGCCACGAAGGGCGAGACGGAAGCTGAGGTTGAAGGGGGTCGGGTCCTCGAGGTACTGGCAGAGGAACCAGAATTGCAGCGAGCTGTAGGACATCTTGATCTTGCGTTCAATTGCCAGGGGCTGTTCAACCAACTGCTTACCGTTGTCCGACGCCGGTGTGCTGTTAGGGGTAGAGATTTCAGACCAGGAGGCGTCATCGGATTCGGCGGATGAGTTTGCGGGTGTGCTGTCGTCCGACTCACTGACAACAAGTACTTCAGGTACCTCGACTTTCTCATCTGACGGGACCTCATCAGTAGTAGAAGATGTATCTGTCTCCGTATTCGCCTCAGTATTTGCTTCCGTAGCCTCCGCCTGGGGTGCGGCTTGGAGCTCTTTAACATTGGGGACAAGCTCTGGAGACAGTCTTCCGATCGTGTCTTCGACCATGTCGTCCAAAGTAGCACCACCAAGAAGCTTCAAGACAGGCACGTCAAGATCCAGTTCTCTGGTGAACCAGAATCGCATGTCGACAGCAACGAGAGAGTCGATTCCAAGCTCGACCAAACTAGTGCTGGGAGCAATCCCATTGTCCTCTGGACGCATTCCAAGCTGCTTGTATAGGTTTGCCGTGAGACCAGCTGTTTTATGTTAGCATATTCATAGACTTCAGTGTATAAATATTCACTCACCGAGCAAAACTTTGTAAACCCCCTCCTTAGTAGTCTGCTCCTTCAGTTGATTTCTCACCGAAACCATCTTCCCATCCTCACCCCCCGCAACATGAGCCCGGACCCGCTTAAAGTACGAAAATCGCGGCACGCCCAACCATGCAGGCGGGCTGTCCGCCTCCGGATCCGAAGGTTTGAGACTAGACGAAACCTCGAAAGTATGCAGCGAGTCCGGCTGCCCCGCCAATACGGCCTCAGCAAAGAACTGCAAGTAATCCCATTCAGAAATGCTCGAGTAACCCAACTTCTGCAGCCGCTCGACGATGTTTCGATCGGTGCGAGTGATGTACCCAATACCGTAGATACCAGCGAGGTTCATGGCGCTGCCGACGAGCCCGCGCTTGCGGCGGCCCTCGACGATGCTGACCATGTAGGCGTTGGCGGCGGCGTAGGACGACTGGCCGATGTTTCCAGTGGAGTAGGCGAGCGACGAGAAGACGATGAAGAAATCCAGAGTGGGTTTGTTGAAGATTTCGTTCAGGAAACGAGTGCCTTCAACCTTGGGGCGGAGGGTGCCGTTGAAGTCATCGTAAGACTGTGTGGCGACTAGCCCGTCGTTGAGGACCATAGCGCCGTTGATAACACCAACAATAGGGGGGAGTGTCTTGCAAATGGTTTGGTAGCACTTGAGGACTGCGCGCTTGTCGGTAACGTCCCTGTAGTATTGTGTTAGCGTATTGTCTTTTTGGATTTCCGGGTAAAAGGGATAATAGGGGTCTTACATCGCCATGACGCTGACAACAGCACCTTCAGCGTCCATGAGCTTCATCCAGTTGGGATCAACCTTAGGGTTGCGAGATGTCAAAACAACATAACGAGCACCCCGTCGCACCATCCACTGGCACAGCGACAACCCCAGATCTCCCGAGAGACCGACGAGGAAGTAGGTCTTGTCAGATCGGAACTGGATGATGTTCTCAGGGGTAGACAACTTGGCCGAAGCAGTAGGCTGTGAAGTCCAATTTGCCACTGCGAACGAATCGCTCGTAGCCACATGGCCAGGAATATCAGCCAAGGCGACCTCCTCAACACGCTCGGTGGTGTCCAAGTCGGCGTGAGAGGCGAAGAATCCATTCGCCTTCCGCAGGATGTTCGCCACTGAATCCACCGAGGCGTCGGGCTGTACAGACGCCGGTCCACTGAATAATATGGCCAGCGGAACGCGCTCGCAACGGGACGGGATCTGCTTCTCGATGCGGGCTCCGACGCGGCCGGCATCGCACCCGCTCGACATGTCCATGAAGCCCGACAGCTTGTTGGGCAGAGCCTGCCAGAGGGCACGGGCTGGTGCAGCGGGGTGGATGACACGGAATTCGGTCTTGGTCTCGTCGGACGTAGTAAAGGTGACAGTGACACCTCGTTCCTTAGCTGCCTCCTGAAGGGCTTCGGCGATCAATTTGGTGGGCTCGTGGACGAGGATGGAAGTGCCCTTGGGAGCCTTGGAGACGAGAAGCTCGCTGAGGCAGACGCTGGCTGCGGTGATCACGAGGCTTGCGTCTTGGTCATCTGAGACATTGCAAGGAATGGTCCAGCTACGATCAACGGTGACCTTGGATCGGCAGGTCTCGGAGAAAGCCATGACCTTCTCCTGAGTTCCGGCAAGCTTCCCAACGACGAGGTAGAGAGAGCCTACGGATAGCAATGGCAGAGCAAATAACGAGGATCGGTGGACTTCAATATCCACCGAATCAGACAGTGAGGACGTGGCCCAGCTTGGCGTCGTGACCTCTTGCAGCTCGAAAGCTGATCCCTCGTTGGTAACCTCAACAACCGAGTCGGTCAGTTGCAGCTCATCGCGGATGGTTCTTCGGGATGCGTTGTATCGGTTATCGAGTCGCTTGCAGGGCATGACACGAGGAATAGAAATCTCGCCACCATCGAGGACACGAATTTCACGCTCCAGCACCCAGGTAGGGTTGTACGGTTCAATGAAACCCTTCCAAGTATCCGAGATGTGCATCCTCAAAACAGATCCGGCAATGTAGGTTGGATCTGGGCTGTCGTTGATATCGTAGTCAATGCATTGAATGCGAAGATCCGATTTCTCATAGACCAAACAGCGGGAAACGCCAATCATCATGTTGGCGTAGGGGTTCTCCCCCCTGCTCCCCTGAAGAATCCAACAAACGTTGCGGGCCTTCTCGGTGAGCAGCTGGAGACAGGCCCACTTTTCAGGGGTAAAGGGATTGAAGACCGGCTCATCAAGCTCTAGCAGACTTAGAATGATCTGCTTCGAGACGAATTGCGACTCAGTCAAGTCCTCAAGTCTATCCACAATAGTGACGCTGTTGGTAAAAGGCTGCAGAGTCGCGATGACATCCTCCTGTAGCTGACAAGTGGAAAGTGACTGGCCACCGCCCAAGATCAGGAGGTTATCGAGTTTGATCTTGTCGCCGCCTGACAGGGGCTGGCGAATGAGTTTAATTTGGGTGTCGACGGCCTGACTCATGATGATGCTCTGCGGTACCATAAAAACTTTGGTGTCGGGCGTCGCCGTGTCAATACCAGAGAAACCCGCCTTTTGCAGCACCGTCTCCCAGCCTTTCTGCGTGATCAGGGGATGGTGCAGCCTGCCGTCGGCTTCGCCAATCCACCAACCGGGCAAACTGCCAAAGAAGAAGGTTGGGCGGAGGGGATTGACATCGGTGGTCTCAAGTAAGACCAAGTAGCCGCCTGGCTTCAACAGCTTGTGGACGTTGGAAAGAGTGTTCTCGAGGATGGTCGTGGCATGCAGGACGTTCGAGGCAACAATCAAGTCATAGCTGTGCTCAACGTAGCCCTGCTCAACGGGGTTCTTCTCCACGTCGAGGGTTTTGTAGATGAACTTGTCTGACTGGGCCTTGAAGATCTCTTCCGCGTCCATGAAGAAGCCGGCCGATATATCGGTGTAGGTGTACGAGGAGTAATTATCCCCAATCCTCTGCATGATGGCTTCTGTGGCTGATCCAGTGCCAGCACCTATGAATTTGGTTAGCTGTGTCTTCTTCAGACCAAGGGTGATGAGGGCTTACCGATCTCAAGTATGTCCATTTGTCGGTGTTTGTGTGAAAGCTGCTCCACAAGACCGCCCAAGTAGGCGTTATACTCTGGAAACCCGAAAGTGTGCTTATAGATATACTCCAGAGACTCTCTGACCGTTTCGAGCAGGTTCACCTCGCCACGCACAAAAGGGACGAGATTGTCACCCAGATCCATGATGTGATGGAAGTCATCGTATTTTGCGGCAAACCTAGCATTCACCATTAGCATAATTCGTGTACTTAGGAAAGAAGGAAGGGGAGAATCACTCTCTCATGGGTTGCTCAAGCGCCTCCCAAGTGTCGTTTATCCATTCCTTCTTCGCAATCGGATGTGTACCCTCCGACACCTCCTCAACGATCGAAGCAACCCAATTGAGGTATTTCCGTGGATGCCACTCGCACTTCTCGCGCTCCTCAGCAGAAATGGTGTCATGAAGACGCTTCATGTAGAAAAAGCAAGCCCTCTCAATGAAGTAGGCCAGACCCCAGCGCTCTTCGGTCTCATCCCAAAACTCGGTAAAGTCCTTGGTCACGTCGGCTACATCGGGCCCCCAAATGGTTTCCGAGATCATTTGAGCGTCGTCCTGCTCCGTAACAGCAGTGAGTGGAGATACGTGCAGTCCCTCGATCTGCAGGACAGCATTACCATCGGTGTCGAACAAGTCGACATCACCGGAAATGCCGTTCGAAGGAGACACGGAAATGACGGCATCAAACGGCAGATCGCTTCCCAGACCAGCGCCTTGGGGGCAGGAATAGGGGTTGATCCTGATGCATTTGACCACGGTCGGAACATGAAGTGTCCACAGGCGTCCATCTCCGGGGGATCCAATGGCGCCAAAGACGGACTGGAAGGCGACGTCGAGGGGTGCCGGGTGGAAGATGAGGGACGAAGAGTCGTACCCTTCCTCGGGCTCAATATGGATCACACCAGACGCAGTGTCCGTAGTACGCTTCAAGGTAGTGATGCCCTGGAACATGTCGGCGTAGTTGTAGCCCAAAGTGGAAAGCGAGCTATAGAAGTGCTCCCGGTCCACCTCTGTCATTTTAAGCGTCGACTGGCATCTCTCCGGGAGAGTCCGATGAGAACCCTCTCCGAGACGAAGTCTGATCTGGCAAGTCGACGCCGTAGCTGGGGGTGCATCCTTGTTAGGACATATCTCGCATACAAAGTCGCAAGAGACGAGGCCGCGCTCTTCGTCGTGCTGCACATTGGCCAGGTTCACCAGGGTCTCAACGACGGCAGCATCGTCGAGGAAGGCCATGGCGCGAGTGATGCGGAGATTGAGCACCTCGATTTGGGCGATCTGAGAGGCCGGTGCGAAGACCTTGCAGGCTTCCATGGCCATGGCTACGTAACCAGAGCCGGGGTAGATGATCTGTCCCTGGATCTGGTGGCCGCGCATCCAGCCCATCTCGGCCGGCTTGATGAAGTTGCGCCACCGGTACTCGTTCTCACCTCCATCGGTCCGGATGCCGAGGAGCTCGTGGTGGCCTTCTGGTCTGAAGCGCATCGACTTGGACATTCGGGACTCATTCCAGTAGGTGTGATCGTGGTCCCAGGTATACGTAGGCGTGGTCTTCAGAAATTTGGGCTTGTCATTGGGCCCTTCCGAGAACAGAATGTCAAATTCGGCAAAGTTGACAGCAGCAGACCCGATGTTTGACCAGATGGCACCGATGCCTTCCGACAGGGCCTCGACGTCATTGGAACCTCTTGCAAGCACACCGCAGTAGGGAACACTGCTGCCGCACTTTTCTTCTATTGTGCCACTGGCGGGAGCCTTGAGGGCCGGGTGGGCGCCAACTTCCACAGCCAAGCCAGGGGTACCGATGTGATCAAGTGCCGCCTCGAGTGCCTGGGAGAACAGCACCGGCTGGAGAAGGTTGTCTCTCCAGTATGTCCCAGCAAGCTCTTCGGCCATATCAAGGCTGACTTCGGTACCGCCCAGAACAGAGGAGAACCATTTGCAATCAGTCTTTGGCGTTTGGATCTCGACTTTGCAACGTCGCATAGCCTCGATGTACACCTCGGCACACGGCTGCATATGGTGAGAATGGTATGCCGTGTCTACCTTCAGAGCCCTGACGAACTTGGACTCGTCCTCCAAGATGAACTTAGCCTCTTCGATGGCTGCGATATCGCCAGAAAGCGTGATGCTTGAGGAGGAGTTGCTGGCGGCGACGTTGAGGCGACCTTGGAAGGTAGGTAGATCACAGAGCTCCTGCGCATCTTCCAGAGATGTTGCGACAGCGAGCATACCACCAGCGACGCCGCCGGGGCCACTCGCAAGCTTGCTGTAGAGACCACGGTAGTAGGCGACTCTCACAGCATCACTGGCAGTCAAGTATCCGGCTGCATAGGCTGCTGCGATCTCTCCTGAGGAATGACCGACCATAGCATCAAAGCTGACACCGGCTTTGGACAGCATGTCCACCAACAAGACTTGAACAGCGGTGCATAGGGGCTGCGAGTACGCCGCCTCCATGACATGCGACTCGTCAGAGCCTTTGGCAAGCTCTTCCTTGATCGACCAAGTAGGACGGTCTTGCTCAGGAAGGCTCTGAAGCGACTCGTCCAATTGATCCACAATCTTCCTGGCAAAGGAAGATGATTCAATTAGTCTGTAACCCATCATGGGCCATTGAGCACCCTGACCGGTGAAGACGCCCAGAATCTTCTTGTTCTTCATGGAAGGACGGACCCCCAGCGGCTTGTTGTCGTTCTTCTTGGCCTCGAGCTTTGTGCTCAACTTGCTGCGTAGCGAGTCGATGGTCGTGGCTGAGCAGGTTGTGCGTAGAGAGAAGCCTGATTTTCGGGAGAGAGTCCAGGCGAGATCACGAAGGTTGGTATTTTCGACGTCGGTGGTGTTCTCGAGGAAGGACAGGTAAGTCTCCAGTTGGCTGGCCAAGGTTTTTTCCGAGTTAGCCGAGAATAAAAAAGGCATGGCGGCCAGGGAGCTGCGTTGCACTTGTTGGCTTCGTACTGGTTCGTAGTTTTCGAGGATGGCGTGGGCATTGGCACCACCAAATCCTATGACAAATTAGCTCCAAGTTGACTGGGGTATTGTAGGAAGTCCCTTACCAAAGCTGTTAACGCTAGCACGTCGCGGAACACCAGGAGCAAGCTCAGGCCAAGGCTTTGGGGCTGTCGTGATCTGAAGATTGCCGTAGTAGGGCTCGATGTCCGGGTTCAGCTCATCGAAGAGCATGTTTGGCGGGATCACGCCATTCTGGATGCTTAGAGAAGCCTTTAGGAGGCCAGCGACTCCGGCGGTGCCTTCTGTATGCCCAATCACGGTCTTTATCGAACCGACATAGAGGACATCGTCTGGGTCCCTAACCTCTTTGTCGCCATAGAAGGCCTTGAAGATGGCGCCGGCTTCTTGCGGGTCTCCGGCTTTGGTACCAGTGCCGTGGGCCTCAAAGTACTGACAGCGATCCTTGATGAGATCAAGACCTGCCTTGGCGTAGGTTTGGCGGATGAGCTGTGCCTGCGAAGACGAGCTAGGCATGGTGATACCAGGAGTACGCCCATCCTGGTTGGTACCTGTCTCTCGAATGATGCACTCAATGTTGTCACCATCAGCAATGGCATCGCTGAGTCGCTTGAGGATAACAGCTGCAGTTCCCTCGCCTCTCGCATATCCGTCACCGTTAGCGGACCACATGCGAGAGCGGCCCGTGGGCGAAAGCATGTTCACATTGCTTTCAGCGACGAAGTTTGCTACGAGAACCAATTAGATAAGCATATTTTGCGTAGGAGTTTCAATGCTTACTCGGAGAGAAGATCAGGTTGGTTCCAGCTGCAACGGCAAGGTTGGATTCGCCGCTGCGGAGGACTTGAACCGCTTGATGAGTCGCGATCAGTGACGATGAGCACGCCGTATCAATCGTCATCGAAGGTCCAGTCCAGTTGAAGAAGTACGACACCCGGTTACTCAAGATGCTGCTGGCCGTGCCAGTGGCCGCGTATTTATGAACACACTCGAGGTCCTGGTACGTGATCTGAGCATAATCATTGCACATAACACCAACATACACGGCCGCCGCAGTACCGGAAAGATCTTCGATCTTCAGACCGGAAGACTCGAGAGCCTCGTAGACGACCTCCATGAGGAAGCGCTGCTGAGGATCGATGGCGTCGGCTTCGGCACCCGAGATGTTGAAGAATTGAGCATCGAAGGCTTTGGTGTCTTCCTCGAGGAGGTATGAGTGAAGAACATTGCTCGTTCCGTGGTGGTGACCGTCCTGGTGGTAAAAGCTGTCGGCTTGGAACCTGTCGATTTTCTTGGCGACATCGCGCGGTTGCTTCAGCAGCTCCCATAGCTTGGAGGGAGAGGAGGCTCCACCGGGGAAGCGGCAACCGCTGCCGATGATGGCGATGGGTTCGTTGGCGTAGCTCATCTTGATGAATTCCTCGCTGGTTTATCTTGAATGGAAAGGTGCTGTCTGTGTTTGATTAAAGAAAGGATTGCTGTTGATCAGTATAGTCTAATTTGCAAGGTTTCAAAAGGAGCTGTAGTTTAGCACAAGTAACAGGGAGATAATTAACCAAAGTGTAAGTCTAGTCCGAAACGAGATCGAAGTCTTGGTCTAGGTCTATGTTTCACAACAACCGAAAAGATGTATAAGCCGAGATCTAGCGGTTGGAGGGTTGTGGGTGGCTGGTGACACGGGGGATGGCAGAGACTGAGTGTCCGAAAAGTCGTCAAGTATCCAGAGCGGTGGGAGACGCGGGACAGATGATCTGACTAAACAGAGGTAATAGGTGAAGGCGCTAGGTAAAGAGGACCAAGTCAACAACCCAGGAGAAACTAATCAAGATACAGTGTCTGTGGGACTACCAGGCTAGCAAAAGCTGATTGTACCGGAGGAAGATCTCGGATTGCTGTAAGTCTGAGGAGTACTGGTGAATCGATGAACCCTGATTTCGGGGCCAGCTTCTATAGTTAATGTATGCAACCTGGCCGCTATAGATGACACTGCCCGTCGTGGCCCAATGGGGCAGTGGCCAGGATTCAGCTGAGTTCAGCTCAGCGTGGCCATTCAAAGCTGTTGCGATATACTGGAAATGGATGTGTAGGTTCCTAGGCTGACCGGCTAGTTCCAAACCGAGGCTCAGCCTGGTTAGCCAACGATTGCTGTGATATACTGAAAGCAGGATGAGCTTGCAGGGCTGACTAGTATCGTCCCCAGGCCCAGCTCAGCCCGGCTAGTCAATCATCGCTATGGCAGATTGAAATCGGCTCTGATGCAAAAGCTGACTGAATTTGTCTCAAAGGGGTAAGTTGGGGTTGTCAGATGGGTCAGATCGATGACCGTGGATGAAAGCGCTGATTGGCGACACATCCTCACGACTTACCCGAAATGGCAGCGAATTGGAGACAATGGAAATCTGACAATTAGCCATAATGGAAGCACAAATCTGGCGAGGTAGTGACATAGAAACTGTGACCTGACATCAGAGCCCCAAAAGAAGTCAAGAACAAAGCACCGTCCCCGGATTGTCTGGGTTGTGTTATTTTCAGTGTCTCAACAACCGCTCACATTATTTTGGCAGAGGGACTTATACCGCACTTGCTTCATCTCCGACTTACTGCATAGTTCAAACATGGCGGCACCGTCAGAAATTACCGTTCGTAACTTGAGTGGCTCCTGGAAATCGGTACGTATCTTGCAACCAACCCCGAACCGTTGAACGATACTCATGGTTAGAATGCCCGTCTGACCGATGACCCAACCGCGGCAATGGAGCTCCAAGGCGTCAGCTGGCTCGTTCGAAAGGTCATCGCCAGGGCCGAGATCAACCTTGCCATCACGCAGACGACTGACGCGAGCACCGGGGTATCCCACATTGCGACGGTGCAGAAGACCCTCGGCCGCGTCATGGAAGCCGATTTCGTGCTTGACTGGCAAGAGAGGGGCCAGGTGCATGCGGTGTTTGGACAACAGGATGTGAAGTCGCGCTTCTGCGATGTGGAACAGATCGAAGAGACTTTCCTGCGCGAGGGTTGGGAGCCAGGCTTACAGGAAGTCGTCGAGGTCATTGTTGAAGGCTCGGGCTGCACGGCCTGGCAGGTCTGGGGGTTTGAGGTTATTGATGGGGAGAGACACCATGTTCGGAGGTCGTTGGTGGCCAAGGGAGAAAAGCAGCAGATGATCAAGATGGTGTATGACTGGGATGAGCCTAAAGAGGTGTAACTTCTCGGCTTGAAGAGAACTTGTGCGCTTGAACAGGACGGAAGGAGAGAAATAGTGTTGGTGTTTTACTGCTACTCGCAAGACTTGGTAAACTGGAATCCTGAATATTCAGCATCGTGTTTTTCCGTCGAAGTGTAGTACCCCTTGAGTATAGCGACGCTTACTTCAAAGGAAGATGCCTATTTAATGGCACAGTGGTGACACTATGGTCACTATGATATGCAGTGGGAGAGTCAAAGCAATCCATTGATGAAATGAACATGAGGCTCCAACCTGAGCTAGAAGGATTTCCGGTACACTGCCGACACCTCACTCGGGCAAGTATTGCACTGAGTGAAAGGCGGAGAGGTTGAAAAATTGGCGCGAAAATGCATAATGCGATGTCGCAGATGCAAGTCCGACCGCTATTTGGCAACTTACGCCAGCCCACACAATTCGGAGGGCGCATATTCTGTAGTGTACACAATGATTGTTATTGCAAAAGGTTTTATCGAACTTTGGGGGGAGTTTTATCCGTGTCTGTTCCCTATGCTTTCTTCACTGAAGCTGCAGCGGATAGTGCACTGTATGCTCTGTGCACCCCATCTTGCAGGGTCTCCGTCGCAACCTCCCTCCTCCTTCCTCCTACAGTATCACGCACGCTTCCAAAGCGCAACCTTCGTGCCATTGAAGTTGCTCATAGTCAAGCCCAAATTCTCCTGCCACGGCTTCTCATCCCTAACGGCCAAGCGGTCAAAAGTTTGAAGAAGCCTCACCACAGTGTAGGAAGCCTCGGTTAACGCGCTCTGCTGCCCCAGACAGATCCTCGGCCCACCGTTGAACGGTAGGAATCCCCAACCCGGACGCAGAGGCGGGCTCTCCGCCAACCACCGCTCAGGGCGGAACGCCGCAGCATCATAACCGTATATTTCCGGCAGGCGGTGCATCGTGTACACGGAGTAAAACACCGGCGTGCCTTTTGCGACGAACACAGGCGAGAGGCCCTTGGGACCGCCGCCGCGTGGAAGCACGGTATGCGCGCGAGCGAAACGGGTGTTGGTCGGGACAGGGGGTAGAAGTCGAAGTGCTGCGCGATACTGTCAGTCTGGTGTCATCCTACCTGGTTTTCACCATCACAAGATGCGACTCACTTTCATTCAAAACACTCTTCAGGTATCGCATGTTTTTCAGCTTTTCATAGTCGGGGAATTCCCCGTGCAACTCGTTCACCTCCTCTGACAGTCTCGTCCAAGCGGTCGGATAGCGCGCTAGGAAGTAGAAGATGCTGCTCAGAAGACTCGCTGTTGTGTCTCGCGCTGCTAGCAGGACATTCAGCAGTTCGTTGCGAAGCTGGATCTCGTCTGGGCATGCTGCGGCCAGCTCGTTCAGCAGATTGTATCGGCCTGTCTTGGTACCGTGTCCTGAGGGGCCAAGCGCCTTACGGATGTAGCTGTCGACGAATTGATGGACGAGCCGGCAAGCATGCTCACATTCCGGATCGCGAAGCAAGAATGCCAGTTTGCCGAGCTGGGCCTTTTTCTGCAGTTTAATTTGGGCATTGTCGAAGGCCTCTGCGAAATTCCACGCTTCGGATCCCTCGGGGCTCGCCTGGCAGTTGATGGATTGCCCGAAGAGGAAATCAGTAGCGTTGTCGATGGTGAGATTGAAGAAGAGAGGCTGAAGGTCGACCGTAACACCGTCAGGTGGAAGCCTCTTCAGGAGGTTTTGGACGTGAGTCTCGACGCTGTCAAGATCTGCGACCTGTGCTCGAGTGAATCCTGGCCTAATCAAAGCCTAGAATAGATATCAGCAACCCATCTTTCTGATATCAAAACATAGGCGTACGCGGGAGTGCTCCCAGTGCACATCATCAGCCGTAAATATCCCACGCCCAAGCAAGGGCCCAAACGCCGAGATCCGGGGCCCGATACCATAGTCGTTGAAGTTGGTGGCAAGAACGGCTTTGACGTTCTCGGGATCTGTGGTCGAAACGAAGCTCTGCCCCAGCACAACAGCGGTGCTCGTCCGATTTCCCGTTACGAGGGCATATCTTGTATTCTCTTCAAGCCTGGTCCGATTCTCGATGTCATGCTTGAGCTTCTTGAACAAGTCGAGGCCAAAGAGCAGACTGGACTGGTGGATGCGAGGCGCTGGTTGACAACCGTGCTTTTTGCTGAAGCGGCGAGCTTCCAGGGATTCGACTATGGAACGACATAGAACGTAAAGAAAAAGGCCGCCGATGGCAAGAAGAGGGATGTGTTGGCCAAGCATTTTGAACATCGTCGTTGTGGTAACGAGAAGGGAGGAGGGTGCTCGAAAACTTTGATAAATGAAGGGTTCGTTTCAATAATAAGTGGCTATCTAAAGTATGTCCGCAGCTGATGTTGTCAAATTTGATAAAGCCTTCTATTCACCCCTTTCCCAATCTAGTAATGATGTAAGTCAGACTCCCGCGATTCTCAAGCTGACATCAGTTTTCTACCCTCGAATAGGAAATGACATCGAACCATCTCACTTCACTCGGGTGTTTGGTAGCCCTTCTCCCCCGCCGCCATTTTCAGCGCGTTCTCCATTTCCTTCTCGGACGGCATGTTGACAACCGTAAGGTACAAGACATCCTAGAGTAAAGAGTCAGCAACATTTCAACCGACATAGCGGTCCCTCAGATAACTCACCTTCTTGAGGATGCGCTTAAGCCCACGATTCTCGGCGTGAGGTCGCGCAGTAGGATCGGGATGAAATTCAATCTTGCCAGCTGTGATCAACGAAATCGGAGATCCGTTGTTTGACTGATGAGTAGGATCCGCAAATCGCGAGTTAAATTTTGGTGGCGGAGCTTGAATCGCCAGAGGGCTGTTGGGGTTCTTGGCTATCTATTACAAACTTTCAGCAGATGATCAAGCGTGAAACACGAATCTGACTCACGTAGAGTGCCTGGGCTCTGCGGTCATAATAGTCGTTGATGAACTCCATGGCTTTCTTGACGCTACTGATCTTCTTGGGGTTCTCGGGATCGCCTTCGGCTTCGATAGCTCGGTCAAGAGCTGGGAATATGAGCTCTGCCGTGGCCGGGAACTCGATGGCCGCTGTCTTTCCATTTGACACGCGGAACTTGTCCTTGATGGTGTGTCCACGGCCCTTGGGCTTGAGAGACGTTGCGATATTTTCGGTTAGACTCTGCTCTGTGAGAACTTTGTCCGACGTCGTATCGTACGTCATTACCAAGACGTACAAACCGCGCGGTCTGAAGTACTCGTTGTTCATCTTGTCGAGGAAAGTATTGGACCTTGGTTGCTTCGAGTTAGCAGTGACCGAGTTTGTAGCATGCAGTGGACTCGAACCTTTTCCTGCTCTGCAATTCCATTGCAATACCCACCACGACTTGAATTGCAATCGCAACTCCAGTGCCAACCCCGTGAGGGAGCGCAAGCGTCGCGGCAGAGGCGAGGTTGATGGCGCCCAACCACGGCGACGCCCTGGTGGCCTTCTCAAACGTGTTGAGGAAATCGATGAAGGCGGTCTGGTCGATCCCAGCGTACATTAAATCCGGAGCGTAGGCTCTGATGAAACCGCGACTGCGGTCCTTGGGCCTGCGCTGCGGCAAGATCACAGGATGCGGGAGCTTGTTGAGACTTGATATGGATGTAACCGAGGGGGGAATTCGCTCGATAACAGAGTCTGCCAAGGAGCTGGCATCTCGAGCCTGTGCATCCGACTTAGCAGGACTAGGACTGCGCAGCTCATCTTGAGCTTCGTCGAGGCCCCATTCCTCTTCATCGGTTTGCTCTCGCGGTGCTGGGACGTTGTTAACTCGCCCATGCTTCACGTTTGCAGGATGTGGATTTGTCACCTTCTTTCTGCTTGTAGGCTTTGATTGCCTCAGACGCAAGACCAATCTGCGCCGCGATACCTCGGTTGAGGGCCAGGTAGGCGTCTGCTATAATGACCATGGTTGATTGAGGTGGGTTTTCAGATTGGTAGGATTGACTAATATTCGCTGATGATTGAGTAGGAAGCTGTGCCAAGAACTACGCTTGATGGCCCGGAGACGACATTCTTATACAGATCACTTTCTGAAGGCACCCACAGGCAGGAACGCATAAGATAACATTCTAGCTGGCAGCCTGACAGGGTCATGCAGCGCGTGTGCGGCGCCCGCTCACCCCGGCAAAATACCTTGACCAGGTATGGCAATAAGCATGTCTCACGCGAAAACGAGTTGGTAACACGGAGTAGCCCACCAATTCACTCCGCATACTCTAGACCAGCATGACGCTAATGGTTGGTAGAGATGCAATCCCTTAGTTCGCTGGGAAATATGTCGAGGACACAGCCTCGTTTTGTATGGAAGTTTCAACGCCTACGACAGGGACTCGGCCCCTCGACTCTCCAACTTTGCCGAACACGAACCCGGGGCCGATTCCGAGCTCCCTTGTCAGCAGCCAACCATCTAAGCCTCATGAGGTTGGTCCGCAATAGGAAATTAATGACCACGCGAGCTGCACATGTGAGAGACCAGGAGTCGACAATATCGTTCAGTTCTCATTAGTTTATTATTCTAATTTGCATCTGCGAACGCCCTACCATCCGGTTGTCCATGATAAGTCATTAAAAGCAAACAAGTATAGCGCCGAGGAAATTAAGCTTTGTGTTATCAAAAACACAGATCAATCTTGGCCGACCAACAACTCCAACTCCTTGTCAGCAACATTGCCCAATCCGGCAACCGCCAGAATTCGCTCAGCTGCTACCTTGCGTCCCCTGTCAGCACCTCCAACTTCCCTCGCCAGCCGACGGGCCTGGGCTCTCATGCCGTCAGCTTCCTCACAACCACTCACGACCCTCGCCAGCGCAGTAGCTAGCTCTGCACTCTGCACCTCGGGCGCTGCGGTCACATTACCCCGCACCCCGACGCCCAGGTACTCAGCCCTCGTTGCGAAGTCGTACGTGTCGAGCCAGACGGGACACACCACCTGCGGCACGCCTGCTGCGAGCGCCTCGTGGAATGAGTTGCTCCCGCCGTGGTGCACGTACGCCAGGATGGAGTTGCTTGCTGTGAGGAAGGCTATAGGCTGCGCTGGGAGCCAGGGGAGGAGCTTGATGCGCGAGGCGTAGTTGGGCGCGATGAGGGCGTCTTTCTCGACTGGGCATTTCCAGAGAATTTGAATGTAAGGATTACATGACAGGCAGTCGTATAATGCTTCAGAAACTTGGTAGAACTGATCAGCGGCATAGGTGACGTGGGAGCCCATGTTCACGATCAAGGTCGGTTTCGCAGCCAGCCAAGACGCAAGATCTGGGTGTGTCTTCTCAAGGGGGTCGAATGCGGGAATCATGGGCCCGCAGCCGATGATGTTGGAGGGGATGTGCAATTGAAAGTCGGTATTTGGTGTCGAGGGAATGAGGTAGGTGAGGTCGCTCCGGAACTCGGTAAACATGGTGCTCAGTTGCCCGGGGATTCCACGTTTGTGCCGGGCTTTGATGACGTTCTCAACGGAGTTGGCGTGGTAGCCGACCATGATGAGTCGGATAATAAGGTAAATGTTAATGAGGACCGCCGAGAGCGGCAAGGGATTTGTGAACCCGGACGACAGACTGCATTGCACGGATAAGGTCAGTCAACCTGGCAAACGGATTGTTGGTGAGAAGGGACACTTGCACTCCAAATTTCCACAACGCTGCAAGCCATGGCTGCTCCTGCATCGCATGGTCTTTGAAGGTCAAGGGACTCAGAATTACATGTCGGGCCTTGAGGACACTGCACGCATCCGATCCAGCGGCAAACAGCCCATCCAGAACCACTACAGTCGGGTCTACTTCTTGGATCAGCCCTTTGCAGTGTTCGTAGATGGCCAGATATTGCTCCGGCTCCCATGGAGCAAGAACAGCAGGTAAAGCCTCTCTATAGGACTGGACGGCGCCGCGAACACCCGGGGGATGTCTTGGCAAGAAATCGATGCCTCGATCTGCCAGGACTTGCTTCATGGACGGGCCGGGTATGGCGTGGAAAGTGATTCCATCTGGCACGATACTGGATAGAGGAGGGAAGGATGCAATGTGGACATCGAGTGATGGGTTGAGGAGCAACTCGATCGCAACGGCCAGAACAATAGACGCCTGGCCGAGCTCTGAGTTGGTCATGAATAGGATGGTTTGACGCTTCGACATCTCGCTCGAGTTAGGAAGTTGCCAGAAATGTTGACGGGTGATGCAAAGGGGAACTCGTGCGTTGCACCTTTCTCTATTTTCTATGAAGCTTAACTCGTTCATGAACTTTTCCTCGCCCAACTGGACCGTCCGACGTCATCCAACTGGATTGTCAGATGGCTCCCAACCTGAGACCTGTCAGCAACTACACACTTCCTATTTGGGAAGTTCTCTGACTTGTCAGATTTATTTTACTCTCTGGGGCTATGCAGGGTTTATGTTCAGTGTAATATCCCTTCTATCCTACCACATCCGGGACTTTGAAGAGCACAGCCAAACTCGGCATTACCACAATAGCACATCAGCACACATACAAATCCCTCTGCAGACATAGTATTACCACACCAGCATATCACATACCCATACACTTGCACACATATCCTATTACACACATAGGATTGCCACCGTAGCACTTACATTCATACCTATACACGCATCCTTCTGCAGTCATAGCACTACCACCCTAGCACACTAACCCCCTAACCCACTAACACCTATAACCTTCCATTTCCGGCAATAGTCACCCCCCGTCCTCAAATTATCCACAGAATGTCAGCCGCCGTCGCCCTCCCCAGCACCCAAACGGCCATCATTGCCGGCCCAACAGGCGACTTCCAGATCTCCTCGGCTGTCTCCGTGCCCACCCTGCAGCCCGACGAAATCATGATCAAGACCACGACCGTCGCCCTAAACCCCGTCGACACCAAGCTCGTAGGCGATTTCGTGACCCCTGGCTGCGTCTTCGGCTTCGACTGCGCCGGCGTCGTTGTCGCTGTCGGGTCAGCCGTGACCAAGGATCTGAAAATTGGCGACCGCGTCTGCGGCTCCGCCAGTGGCATGAACCGCGAGAAGCCCCTTGCTGGCGCCTTCGCGGAATATGTCAAGTTCCCGGGTGACATGGCGCTCAAGGTTCCCGATTTCATGTCTGACGAGGATGCGGCAGCTCTGGGGACGGCGGTGGCGTCGGCATGCATGACGCTATTTTGGTCGTTGGGTATGCCGTTGAGCGTCTTGGATGGGGTGCAGCAGAATCCGGCGCCCACAGTTTTGGTGTATGGCGGGAGTACTTCGACGGGAACTATGGTTATTCAATTGCTGCACTTGTGAGTTATGCTTACATCTCCTTAGCCCCATGCGTTTTCGGGGCGAAAAGTCCGTCATGCATGGAGTATTGACAAGTTTTGGCTAGGTGTGGATTCCATATCATCACCACTTGCTCCCCGCGAAACTTCGAGCTAGTCAAGTCGTATGGTGCCGATGAAGTTTTCGACTACAAGACGCCCACTTGTGCGGCTGATATTCGAAGTCACACGCGCAATGCCCTGGGTTATGCCATTGACTGCTTCGTACGTAACTCTGAGAGTCATGTTTTGCCCCCTTTTTCTGTCTATGTGTCTCAAGAGCAAGACCTACTCAAAACAGCCCCGTTTTAGGAGTTTTTATTCCGGAGGCAAGAGTCAGAAGAATCACAATCCCATAAACTTGAAAATCACCCACTAACGCCCTCCCCTTCTCAATTCCACAGGCCGAGGACTCCTCGATGAAATTCTGCTACGCCGCCATCGGCCGCGCCGGCGGGCGCTACACAGCCTTAAACCCCTTCAGCGACCGCCTCGCCACCCGCAAGGTCATCAAGCCCGACTGGATTCTGGCCACGCGCATCGCCGGCGACGGGTCCGCGTGGCCCGCTCCTTACGGCTGTGACCCCGAGCCCCGGCTTAAGGAACTGGCGGGTCCATTATTTGCCAAGGTCCAGAAGCTGCTTGACCAGGGGAAGATCCGGGCCCATCCCATCAAGGTTGAGGAGGGCGGGTTCGAGAGTGTGGTCGGTGGGGTGGGCGTTATTCGTAGGGGGGAGGTTAGTGGGGTTAAGTTGGTTTATCGAGTTTAGGGCAGTTTGTTTTGGTGACGACAAGGGATTCTAGGTGTTGATGTTTGAGATCTTTCATTGGTTTCTCGGCTTTAAGAAATAGCTGCGCAGGTTAGATTCGGAGGGAGTCTCGTTTGATTTTCATTGCTGTTGACTTCAGACTGGATACAATAGTTGGATTTCTTATAGTAATAGATTGGGTTGCATACGCCAATTGTCTCATCTCAAACTTGACATGTTTTCCGTCCGAATGATATAGATTACTGATGATTACTCATGATTACTGCATTGACGATAGCTTCATTTTTATAAAATTCAGAATAGAATATTGTGTGAACGGATTCTTTTCGTGTTAAATTGATTTTACAGACGAACCGTCACTTCATTTCTACACTTGGAAGCTCGACAGGCACATGAGGCAAATACCACGGCTCCAAGAACTCCAAGAATCGGCATTTTGACGCACGCATCTCCTCTGAAATCTGGCTCAAATCCGTCCAAGACTGACGAGAAAACTTCTGCGAACACGATACCGAGTCAATGGTGTAAGTCGGCACGGCCCGTCCGCGTCCACGACCAGACGCCCAACGCAGCGAAATACTCGACCGACTTGAACGAAATAACATACGAGTGTATTTCAAGCCAGGCTGACGGATGACCATTAGTGGAAATGTCAGCAAGTATTTCCTATTTGGGGCATCTAGGCGTCAGCCTCTATAGGCGGTTTGGATACGGACAAAACTCCAAGTATTACCACATCCATTACATCACATCCCAACTTGGCCTGTACTAGGAAAAACTGAGGAAAACTTCCTTTAAACGAAGACAAAAACAAGGATCTCTACCTTTTCTTTCATCTCTTTGAACCGATCAACAAGTAACGCAATGTCGGAAAACACAAACACCTGGCATTTCATCAAGCTGGCGACGGCAGCGGCTTCGTACGCACTCGTGCAGTATGCGCCCAACTACGGCGTCACCTCGAGCTCCGGCTACTTGGGTACTTTTTTCACCACCTACGGCGTTATTTTCGCTGTTTGGGCTGTATATGCCAAGTTCGTCTGGCCCAAGTGGTTGAACCCGCTGTCTAAACTTCCTCAGCCCAAGGTATGGATGAAACTCATGCCTCTAGTCCTGCTGCTTAAGCGTGAGGAAACTTATCTGTGATCATGACTAGGGCGTCACCTTGCTCAACGGCCACTTTGGTCAAGTCTTTAACAAGGGCTTCGGCGAGACCGAAGCACAATGGTTCGCTTCCTTCTCCTTTCTTCGCTCTCCTCCCCTCGGTCCATCTACTAACCTCGCCCCAAGGATGCGCGACATCCCCAACAAGGGCTTCGTCTACTACCTCGCACAACTCAACCAACCCCGCCTAATCGTCACCTCGCCCACCGCCCTCCGGGAAATCATGAACCGCACCTACGAGTTCATCAAACCCCCGGGCGTCAAGCTCTTCGCGGCCAAGATTCTGGGCATCGGCCTCGTGCTCTCGGAGCGCGAACAGCACCGTATTCAGCGGCGGGCGTTTTTGCCCGTTTTTGCGCCGAAGCACATTAGAGATATGTATCCCATTTTCTGGGCTAAAACTAGGGAGGTTACGGAGACTTTTACGAGGTTGGTTAGGGGAGGTGGCGAAAGGGGAGAGGCTACGATTGAGGTTGGAGGGTGGGCGGCTCGGACGGCGCTTGATGTCATTACGTTGACGACGGTGGGGAAGGACTTTGGGAGTGTGGCGGATGAGAACTCGCCGTTGAGTCGGGTGTACAGGACGGTTGTGTACCCGACGAGGGCGTTTCTGGTCTTGGCGATTCTCAAGTTATATTTTCCGGTGTGGCTTATTGAGAATCTACCCCTGAAGGTAAGCAGGTCCCGTTCTTTTCATGCCCCTTTTCAGTTAACCTCTACCCACATGGGCTGGGTTCATCAATCATTCTCCTCTTGAGAGGTTCTAGTTATTCTTTCAAGTCTTCTCTCTCATCAAACCACATCCCTAAAATTTCAACCCCTTCAACCCCTAACTATCTCCTCTCCCCCCCAGTGGAACCACTACCAAAACGAAGCCTGCGCCACCATCCGCACCATATGCCGGCAACTCCTCGCCGAGAAACGGCAAAAGCTCTCGGAAAAGTCACTCCACGACAAGGATGTACTAAGCGTCTGCCTCCAATACGAAGAAATCGCCGATGTAACCGAAGAAGAAGTCATCGACCAGATGACCTCGCTCCTCGCCGCGGGCCACGAGACCATCTCCGTCGGCATCACTTGGGCCATCTACATGCTCTGCGTGTATCCCGAATGGCAGACCCGGCTTCGGGAAGAAGTCCGGGCGAACGTTCCTAGTCCTTCTGCTGCCGTGGATGATGACGGCAGAGGAGGGGTGACGGCGGACCAGGTCGAGCATATGCCGCTTATGAACGCGTTTTTGAGCGAGACGGTGAGGAGGTACCCGCCTATCCCTTTGACAATGCGGTACTCGACTCAGAATACAACGCTCGACGATGTCATTGTCCCTGAAGGAACGCTGCTCATTGTTCCCATTAAGGGTATCAACCGGGATGAGCGCTTCTGGGGGCCTGACGCTGATAAGTTCCGCCCCGAGCGCTGGCTTTCAGCTGAGAATGGAAACTATCTGAGCACTGGCGGGGTGAGCAACAAGTACGGTAATCTCTCTTTCCTTCAAGGTGCCAGAAGCTGCGTGGCGCAGAATTTCAGCCGGGCCGAGATGGCGTGTATCATCTCAGCTTGGGTGGGGAGGTTCAAGTTTGAGTTGGTGGACAAGCGGTTGATGGATGAGAACAATATGGAGGTTTCGAACGGGAATCTGTCCGGGAAGCCGTTACATGGGCTGGATGTCAAGTTGAGAATTGTTGAGGGGTGGTAGATTCTGCGGGGTGGGTTCTTATGATAGTTTTTATTTTCTTCGTCGAGTCTAGACCGGGTTGCTGGCTGGTTTCGAATATGGGTTTCTTTTGTTTGATACAGGGCATGACGGCACTGGGTTTAGAAATTAGGTCCAGTCAAATTCCACCAGTGCACATGATTGGGTTAATTCGAGTACAGACCAAGTAGGGAGTCTAAGAGAACGTGAGATTAGGAACCTTGCTGCCCGCCTCGGGTCATCAGATATTCGTTCCACAACATATGGAGTGCCTTATCCATAGAAATCCCATACTCATTCCTAATAATAATCCTTCATGTGTCACATGATCATCAAAGTTTCACACCTAGCTCATTTATGCCGAAAAATAACTGTACTGAAGTCAGGGTTCTGGAATGCACTCCACGAAATTTGGTTGGCAATACCTCCCTAGGATTACTCATAGACTAGGCACAAAAACACACAAGTAACATTATTCATGCTATGTACCAGAGTTTCCTGTGCTGAAAATTCCAATCAGCCTGAATCTCTCTATCTGGATGCTCTATTATTCATGATCCCTGGCCACATCCCAAGTAAAATCCCTTGACCCCAGCAGGTACCTGCAATTGCTTATACACAATGAAGCAAGCATTGAATGAATATGGAAGTCATGTGCATCACCATAAGTGCTTTTCATTGCCCACACAGGCCTGCACTTGAGTTTCCCAACTCTAGCACCGCACTTAATCCAACTAGAATAGCTAATTCTGTTGGTACTTGCGAAACGAAACGAGTCCAATCCAGTTTAATACCCCGATCCCAACCTGTCACACACCTCAACGCAATCAACATCGCCACACCAAAATCAACAAACTAAAGCTCCCGGGTCTGCCCCCTTCTCCAACAACAACCTCACAATCTCCTCGTGCCCATTGACAACGGCACGATGCAAGGGCCTCTGCCCCGCATGATCACCGATGCCTAAGCCGTCTGGCCTCCAATCAATCAGCATCCTCACCGTATCCAAACTGCCCCACGTAGCCGCAATATGCAGCGCCGTCTGGCCGTCATTGTCCTGCAGCAGGGCGTCCGCTCCGCGCTCGAGCAGTTCCCTCACTACGTCGAGGTGGTCTTCTGCTGCGGCTAGGTGGAGTGCCGATTGCCCGCTGTCCGCGGTTACGGTATCCACATCGCGCGGCCGCATGGAGAGGAGAAGCCGGGCGATGGAGAGACGACCATGATGGGCTGCTAGGTGTAGAGCGTTCAGGCCTACGGCAGCGAGGTCTGGGTCCGAGGAAGAGGAGGAGCCGCTGCCAGAGCCGGAACCAGAGTTGCTGTTGCTGCTGCTGCCGCCGCTGACACTGGACTGACCCGTTGGGAGGCGGAGTGCTGAGGGGTCGTCGCACATTATTTGTGATGGGGTTGTGGTGAGGATCATGTCTACGGGCTTTGTGGGTAGGGACTGTGTTCTGTCCAGGGGTGGACGTTGAAATGAGAACGGCGAGTCCCTCAGTGGAAGCACCGATGAATCGGGCATGATGGAGTGGGTTTGGAAGAAGTCCTCGAGAGATCCGTCGTCGAAACCCCCCAGGATTGGGTCGTTCGTCGGCCATGGAAAATCGAGGGGAGAGGCCAGCATCTGGCTGGTGGGTGATAGGAGGCATGGGTCGATGTTGTTGATCTGGGTCTCCTGATGATGGTCTTGCTGCTGCGGTTGTTGAATTTGTGATGACGAAGTAGGTGAAGACGATGCTGTTGCTGAGGAGATCACAGCAAGGAGCTGCGGTGATCTAGCCGACGAGGATTGTGACCAAACACTCTCTCCGCTGTTGGATGCTTGATCTCGCACTCGCGGCGGTGGCCGCGAGTTGGTGTGAGGCTGTGTCCATATCAACTCGCTGCTTCGCTGTTTGCTATCGGAATCGCCAGTGCGGGCCCTTTTGCCTGGAGAAGACGAGTGTTAGTTGTAATGAAGGCTGAATAAACAAGCGTACACCACTATAACGTCCATCATATATGATGAGAATCGGCAATGCCGAATATCTCCTCAGTGATCGGCGCCACTCTCCACCCCCTTCCCAGGTGGAACACCATATAGAACCTACAAAAGAGAAAATATAGAACCTACGATGCTTCTGCTGAGAGATACGATTTTGTATCCGTCTTCGTGTCCCCCGATCCGTTACTTGAGTCCAGTCCTCGGTAGGGGTATGCATATTATCTTTCTTTGGTGTTGTGTGTTTCGTCATTCTAACAATACCCTCGATCGACCCAAACCTTGGTGGTCAAGATAATCGGATGTTTTAATGGAATGATAAACACGCAAGTAGGCGGCAGGGTGCGGCCGGGAATACCATAAGAGACCTTCCTGATGTGGCTCTGGGCTTGACATGCCTTTCTTTCAAAAGTCGCTGTGAATGCATGCCGTTCTGGGAATACCGTTTCTTCCAAGGCCCTGATATGATGACTTACCCGCGAGGCATAGCTCTTACTGTTTTCAACTCGTTCTTACTAGTACACTCGTACTGGCAATGGGCCCAAGCTCAGCTACATCCCGAAGCAAGCCCCTCCCCTTCTTTGTCAAATAGGTGACAGGAGCATAGCCTACTGTGAGAGGCACAGCACAGCGGTCAAACTCACTGGTTGCTTTGCTGTGCCAAGAATCCATAGCAAGCTTACCAGAGGATTTTGGTAGTAGTATCAGGACCCCAGCTAGTTATCCACGCCGTTGGGGTCCCAGAGCCGTGGGTGAGCCCCAGTCTGAATATTGCTGACTCTGACCCAACAGATCAGATCTGACTCAGTTCCCCTTGGGGTAAACTATGTGATGCTATAGTTCCTTTATCAGCCAATCTGTGCAAACTAATGACAGAGAAAATAGCCAGCCGTTAGCAATCGTGAGAGCGATGCTCCAAGTCCAGCTCCACAGTCTGCTCCGCTCCAAACAGCACGATGCAGGGTTGTCTGCGAACTCAAGCTACCCGATCCTTGACAATCCTCGACCAGGGGTAGATCCTGCAGGAGTCCCCTAAGAAGCTAGCGACGCCCTGCATTGCCAAGTCAGTAAGGAAGCTTGTTCCAGCGTCGGCGAGGAAATGGGGTTGGAGCCAAGCGAAGCTTGCCAAAGCTTGCCAAAGCTTGTGTAAAGAGTTCTCATGGACGCCAAGGACAGTGCTGACAAGATAGGGATGGAACGGTCCACGTGCACCACGTGGCTGTAGTGGGTGTCAGACCCCGAGCCTTCTAGTCTGCTTCCAGGAACCCCGACCGTGGTACAAGCGTCGTGACAGGATTACTTGTTGCCCAGCGCAGAGAACAAGGTAGCTTAGCAGTCGCTAATTACCACAACGTCAGTACAACTACTCGGCTCAGATCTCGACACAGTATATCGTACCTTTTTTTGAGAACATCCTCAGCCGATAAGAGCCCTACGTGTCGAGGCATGATATCCGATGAGGAAGAGGCAGATGGGCCTGAACAGAATGAACTTGCGCTTTGACCCATATGCATGGAGCCGCATCTGGCACATCTCAGATAATTGGAGCTGAAGCTTCCATGGCGGTCCACCTGCCCGATACGTCGAAAGTACTCTACAGTAGTTCGAGCACTATTTTTGATGAGTTGCATGGCAAATGCTATAATAAGCCAGTCAATGGCGCTAAGTCATACAGGATCCAGTGGAGGTTGTCAGTCTACACACCTGAGAATTTCGTAGTACAACCGAAAACCCCTTCGATAGCTTGGACTGCCATCATCTATACGCTAGACTCAATCTTATTGAGTCACGACAAGAGGTTCAGATTGTTCTCAAAACTGCTTTCCAACTCATTTTTTATGTCTTTTCACCGAACATGAATCGGACAGGTGGTTATGCACTCACTGTCTGATGCTGGACGCTAGCTGGAAAAGAACTAACAGGATGCGGTGCGTTCCGTACGAAATCGATCTATTACGCCTGCTGAACCCTGGTGTTCATCTTCGAGTCCAATTGCCCCACGTGCTGGGAGCATTTAGGCGCACGACAATAAGGCTCAGCCCCAACTAAGGTTGGAATCCTTCCGGCAAGTCGGCAACGGCCCAAAGCGATGGCTCAAGAAAGACGTGATCAATGCTCGGTTCTCGTCACCAAGCCCGGATTCGATGTCGTTATGCATGGCAATTTTAGATCTGCGGAGTATAGCGTGGCCAGGACTTTAGAGTCAGAAGTTCCATATTGACGATTCGGGATGATGCACGCCAACGGCTTGTTTCCGGCACTCCCATCAACATGAGGGCGTTAGTACACGGATGCTTGCGACCTCGTACCCGCATCCTTCAATGAAATACCATGCACTCGGTTTTCTGCATGTATACAACAGGCGTTGAATCAAGTAGGCATGGCCAGCAAATACCTCAATCCATATCTTGAGACTGCCTAGCAAGATTCTGCACGTCGTCCAGTGATGTGGTGATCAGCGGAGCCAAGTCAACGGTCCAAATGTCATGCTTGCCACTATTGGCGTAGAGATGACACCGTTTTGCTGATTGGCAGGGCGGTGCTCGCTCGGCAAAGCTTAGTTTCAGCGCAGCCAACATCGTATCCTCGCGTGTATATCGCCTGTACTGCGGCGCGTAGGGAGTTGTGGCGGCGGATTGTGGTAGGTGGCGGTTATCTTGTGTGGTGAGTCTCATTCGTCGCTTTCGACCTTTGCGATACGAATTGCATCGTTTACAAGCGGGTAGAATGGTGTCATCATCTAATGATAGCAAACTCGGTTTGGGAGTGCTGGCCCCAGCGCCATCTGGACCGGTCTGTTGTCAGCACTGATCTATTTACGCAAACGAGATACTTGGTCACAGGATGAGAGCGGGCTCCTTCGCTGTTACTCTGTGGCTGTCGCACTGATTAACGTAGATGCTGACGTGGGGAGGGATGATGGGGCCACGGGGGCACGATTCAATTTCTTGAGAACGCACTGGGCTCTCCGTTGATACGGTGGAAGTGCAAAATGCGCGAAATGCCGTTGGAAGATTTGTCGTGACTTCATCTTCACGGAAAGTTGCTCTAGCGGGGCGGCTGTTAGCTTCAGTCGAGTTGAGTTGTCGAAGTCCAATGGCAAATGCGAAAATGCTGTTGGCGGTCGTCGGTAAGTGAGAAGGGTGCGACCCTTGTGGCTGCCCAATGAGTTTCTCAATAGCATGGCGCGATAAATCTTCTTAACGGTTAAGGATGTGCTTCAAAACGGCAGGCCTTTGTTGATTGTTGGTATCGTGATTGCATCTCGTATAGCATGCTTGATTGGTCGTCCAGCAGTTGTAGTTTTGCTTCCTGGCGCTGGATTGACAACGAGTATACTGGCTCGCAATTGTCGACACCTTTGGCAAAGTTCATGCGGTCTCCCCGATCGCAGACAAATGCAGCTCGAGATTCAAGGAATGAAAAAGGCAGCTGCCGCCAGCTTCGGATGCAAACATGAGGTGAATATGGATGAAACAGGCAGTTCTTCAAACAAAGCCTGAGATCTATGATGCGTTTACATGGCTTCATATGGAGTATTGGTCGTGGTGTTATTAAAAAGCCGTGGATGTATCATCTTTCGTTGTGGTCGGTGGGCGTGTTCCTTTGGCATTATATGTGTTTATACCACATCAAGGGCCGTTCAACTCCGCAGATGAATGGAACGGCAGCAGGACTTCCATCCTGCGTTCCAGATGATCAGAAACCGATGAGGATAAGAAAATGCATCTGAACATGGTCAAAAAAGCTGTCATGTTCAGCCACTGATAGTAATATGAGAATGAGATAGTGCCCGAGCAGGCAGACAAAAGTGGTGATGCCGAAAGCGAAGTCGAAGTGAGAAGTCGTCAGAACGAAACCGAGAAGATGGGTGACAAATGCGAACCCAAAAATGTAGGCTGCCTAAATGACGGAGCGAAAGCGAGAGGCCAAGAGCGGCACAAGGGTTTTCGTGCAAGTGACTCCTGGCCTATTATGTCGAAAACCCCGGCCGTTCAATGACATCCACTGGCGATTATGGGGAAGGAGCCAACAAGCGGAAAGGATGTGGGGTATACCGTGCCCCGGTAATTGTGGACAATGCTGGATTACTAGTTGTTCTACTCCAGAAGTGCTTAAGCAATGTAATGACCGGCATGAAAACTAGTAAGTAGGAATGTTATCCCAAGTGGCACTCTTGTCATTCATCTTGTTTCATATTTCCACTGCCTCCAAGTTCCCCGAGAACGGATGTCCCAATCTTGAGGCCGGTAGTACTCACAGCATCATTCTAGAGCTGGGAACTCATAAAATATGCGCAACTTGAACTAAGAGTGCCCCCAAGACACGTGCCGCAGCTTCTCCTAGTTTTGAGAATTATGCCATGAATGGCAATGGCTGACATACTTACGACTCGCCTGTCTGGAGGACTTCAACATTGTCAGCAGAAGAGTGTAAGCGGAAAAACTGAGTTGTGAGAGACGTTAGGGCGTAATGTGTTGGCATGCCAGAAATCCCGAGTGTGCGCTTTCAAGTAAGCCTACGTCACGAATGTTGCATCCAACCTTTCCTGCAAAATTGAATGCACTAACCAACAGAGTACTACTTACGTATTATAAATAATCAGATCATCAATATGGCAGCATTCGTGACCTCTCCATCGACATTATCTTCATCCAACAAAAAACCAAAAAACAAGAAGCAGCCGTTACCATGTGTGCTTCCAGTTAGATCATTCCGCCCAATGCACAACCTCAACCCTATCATGAGATCCAGAAGAACAAAGCGAAGCAATCCAAGGCCCAGAACTTACCCAAATTAATTACAGGAAAATGTTAGCGTTTACTGGCACTGGAGTATCATCGGGAGTCTCGCAGCCCCTTTTGTTCTCCAGGCGCCTGACACCGCCATCATCGCTCAGCACTCCTTTTACCGCCGATTTCAGATTTCAGTATAAATAGAAAGAGCAATAGTAGCAACACAGATCCAAGCTGTCAAGCTAACCTGTGGATTTTCCAGGTGAATTCAGCTAGCTCAACTAGATCATCTCCGTCTTAGCCTAATGTCGGGCACCCTTCTTCCCTTTTGGGGCCCAGGTCGCCAACATCTTCGGCTGACATATCACGGCTCATACCAATATCATAATTATGGGTATATTCTCAGACCTTTGTACTAAGCCCCCGACATCCTGTGGTGCCATTCTGCTCAACTGCGCTTTGCAAGGCGTCGGGGCTGCTAGTGTTAGTTTATGCGTATGCACGTCCTGGCTGATCAGATGTTACGTAGTGATTGTGATCTGAAATTGAGGTTGCTCGCTCTTTTATACCTTATTATATTCAGTATCGGCCATTAAATTGGGCATTATCTGACACAGGCGAGCCGGCAGTGTTGTTTCGTGATCAACACTTCTGTCGTGGCTGTTTCCAGCATCCCGTGGCTGTATTGATACGCAAAACTACCTGGCCTGCAGTCCACCATAGGTCTCAAAAGCCGCCAGTCCACGGATAGACACGAAAATTCTAGAGCTATGCAGTAGGCCAGGTGCGCCTACTGAGAGCCGACTGGGATTGATGCCAATACTTGGTCAATGTCGTAACCAGATCATTACCCAGGTCCACTTACCTGTCTTTCCGAGTGATCTTTCCAGATCCCCTCCAGAAGACGGCTAATTTTCAAGGATTATGATTAGTGCATCCAGTAGATGGATGCAAGATGACACCAGACGTCATGATGAGCCCTCGTCGACACATACGAAATGTCTCACCATGGTCTCTTATATCTATTGGGTATCTCATAGTCTAAATCTAATTCCAGTGCCAAACAATACGCTCTTGCACGCCAATGCCTATTTATCAACAACACTGCTCCCACTGCTCTCTAAATCCCGAGGTACATTGTGGACCGGAACACCATCTCCTTTCACCACATAAGGTGCGCCGTCAACATAAATATCCTCCGCTCCGAGAATGTGCATGTAGTAGTAATAACCGCCCCCGAATATTGTCGCTCCAATGATATTGCCAAGCAAGGACGGGATGATGCCCTTCCAGATGTATAAACCGATGGTTAACCCGGGAGTTCCGATCCACAAGCCCAACGGCATGAAGGTCATGTTTGCGACGACGTGATCAAACCCGACAGAGACGAAAGCAAATATGGGGAGCCAAAGGCCGGCTATTTTGCTGGTGAGATCCCGGCCTTGAAGACCGAGAAAGCAGGCTAGCGCCACGAGCCAGTTGCAACCTACGTTGTGTTAGTCACGGTATTACGAGCTTACTAGGGATAGAAAGAAGCCTCGGGTCTGCACTTACCGATTCCCCGCAGAAATATTTGCACCCAGGTCGGCGTGATCTGCTTCTGCGTCGCAAGTGCAATGACCTTCGACTTGAACGGATCTTCGTCAAAAGTACCGCCGTCTTGCAGCAAGTTAGTGAGTCCACATTTGACGTTTACAATGTGGCTGGTCAAATCGATGATTGAAGACATATCACTTACATCCAAACAGAATAAGAACCACAAAGAGGCAACCGGCAAGGTTACCCCAAAAACACAGGAACCAGTGGAGGAGCATTCTCCACACGGGAAGACGGCCATGCAGCGCAGCAACAGCAGTAAACTAGTCTAGTCAGAAAAGTCGCATGGAACGAGTCACAGTTCCAGAGACTACACGTACCAGGAACGAGCCGTTGCACAAGTCGGCTCCTGTCAAACTATCCAAACCCCGCATCATCAGTATAACGGTTCAAGCCAGAACAAAAGTCTCCTTCTGCTTTCAAGGTTCATCAACTTACACCACAAAAACCAAACCGTATGGAAATACAAAAGCCCCCAACGAGTGAAGTAAACCCGGCGCGTTCTCCTCCAACCACGGCGAAGTACATATAATCAGATAGCTTCCGGCCGCGAAAGCCGACAAGCACCCGGCCGAGACGCTGGACAAGAACACCTTGTCAGCCCGCATATTTCCCTTCTTCACGCCCGTTCGGCTGACAATTTCGATCGTCTCCGCCGGCGTATATGACGCAAAGTTGGTAAGGTGGACGTGGGTAACCATCGTTGTTGATCGGGAGCTGGCAGCCACCGCGGCACTAGTCGACTAGGGGAGAGTTAGAGAGAGAGCTTCACCAATGAGGAATTGAGAATGCTCCTGTAAGTCGCAGTAATGTCGGGTTTGCCACCTTTAGGTTAACAAAGCTGGGCAAAGTGCATGAGCGGACAGAGAATAACCAAAACAACCTTGCAAGAAACACGATAGTATCTTAGGAAAAATTCTGCAGTTCGTTTGCACTTCGAGACAAGTATTCCGGCGATAACTTCATGATCCCACTTGGGTGGGTTCCCGAGTCATCCCCGAACCCGTGGGTCCTAGGCAGGGTGAGGCCCCATGTTTAGTAACGCTCGGTTCGCCGCGTCTTCTCGTTGTTTCTTCACGGCTTAATCAACATGCTTCGTTTCTCAACCCATTAAACATATATAGAAAAATAGCAAGAAGGTGATGCTAGTGATGATTGGTGCAGCAACTGTAAGCTGGCTGTTATCTCACCAATGGATCTACATAAATGTGCAAGGCGGATGTGGATAATCGGTCTAAGTCCCAATCGGAATTGTCCACAGACAACTCGGTCGAGGTATGTACCCGAGACCAATGACCATTGCAGTGCATGTCGTGTCAGTTTAGGATAGTGTCTTCTTATTGTTTGCTTGGCTGTCGATTGGTCCCTCACCATTCTATGCTATTCTATGAGCGATAGGAGTACGATACTGATGCGAGTGCATATGGGGTGTGAACTGTTGTATTGGGAAAGGATGGCCAGGTCAGCTACATCATATATAATCTCTATAAGCGAATATCTAAGCTCGAGAAATGAAGAAAAATCGAATAGATAAGCGGAAAACTACTAATAATAAGAAAACATATATATAGTAGTTTTACTAACTATTTTTATAGTTGTCAGCAATATTTGGTATCTAGTACTGCACTCGCTTGGAGATCTACAGGTGTCCGAATTGTGCCTGAGACAGCACTGGAGGCGGGGTAAACTCTACTCATGTATATAGTTCAGATTGTCCAGACAAACAGTATGTAGAGGATCGAACCTCTCTCTCTACCTGAAATCCTACAGTTGACATTATACATGAGTAGAGTTTACCCCGCCTCCAGTGCTGTCTCAGGCGCAATTCGGACACCTGTAGATCTCCAAGCGAGTGCAGTACTAGATACCAAATATTGCTGACAACTTGGTATATGGTATAACGCTTTTATCCTAGTGTCACAAAAGTCAGTGGTATGACGACATGAGGGACTCGAAGTAGTGTTGCCCTGGGTAAGCGGGCGAAATCATGATGGCCCGTCGACATTTCAAGAAAGCCTTCCAGCCCTTAAAATGGTGTTCGAGACACCGAAAGGGCTTGGAGGGGCAACTTTCCTTCTCTGTACATTTTGCTACTGGCGTTAGGAATTGATGATTGTGCCTAGCCTCACCTGTTATACACAGTACTATGTGGCTATGTAAATCGCCAGTACTGTGACAACTAGTAAATCCGTTAATATTCATTACTAACGGGGTGAAATAACGCCGGCCAAAACTACGTAATTATCAATACCTAATCTATCTATTTTGTCTAATTTTAATACCAATTATATTATTATAGAGGCTTTTAGAGATATAAATATCTTAAAATCGAATGCTTCTTAACTATTCCTGTTATTCAGTTATAGATCTTTGGATTTATATGGGACGGGCGATTCTGTAAAAAGGCAGAGGTATTGCAAGTTCGAATCAGAGTTACTATATCGGTCTATCTCTGTTGACGAATACTAAACTAAAGAATAGAGAGAGTGTGTTGGAGGTACAGGTGCCCAAAACTCTATTATACGGGGAACGGGTGCTAGGGGTGAGACGGCCCATCCCAAGATATCCCTGCCTATCGTCCATGTGACAAGCCTCACAGATTTTACCTGAGCGAAAGGGGGTTTGGCGAAAGGGTGGGACTCCATGGGATGAGAATATCGGGGAACTTTAGGAAACTCCATAAACGAAGAGGTTGCCAGATAGGTTTTCGAATATATTGCTCTGCGAACCATACCTTCTTGCTTTCGGCTTATACCATCTAGCTCTCTAAGTGGAGGACCGGGAACCGAGCCTCATCCTGCATATGCGTGAAAGACAACCGACAGCATCATTAAGGTATAAGCAAACTTGAATTCAAATCATCATCAAGAGAATGTTGAAGTACAATTCTATGTATTGAAAGGCAGGTAGGATCCCAACTCCACTATCATTTTCCATGTACTCTGTGTGCCAGTCTCCCGTACCCGGGTGAACTCGTCAGTAGTCTCCGCCTCGCGCAAGCTGCAAGTGTTACAAGAGATATCTAGGTACAAAAATATGGAAACAATTTACTTAAAAATGAATAATTGGTCAACTGGGAATGACCGTTCAAAGCATGTACAAATTGCGATGGAACGACGAGAACAGCGTTTCAGGGGACGATGGGGGTTGGGAATACTATGATAAGCCGTGAGGCTACCTACGAAATATATGTACAGTACGACTGCTTGAGGTAGTCAAAACAAGGTTTGCTACTTGACTACCGATATTTATGGTAAAACAAGGGCCCATGAAAATGGCGGAAGCAGTGGCTCAGGGGGAATGTAGTGATGGGACAGGAAGAAACTCGGTATTGTTGCAGATGCTCTGGGGAATCGGCCGGTCTGCGATAACGATATCAGCTGCTATTCACAGTCTTCGTCATCGCTACGATTTTTTTCGTCCCCGGAATTGCCGATAATTCAGTTCGGGCATGGTTTATAGGTATTACAGGCTTTGCATTCAACGTTGGTGCCGATATCGTACTGGGCCATTGTCCTGAAAACAGTTAACTGGGAGTCTCGATGCCAATTTAGACGTTTGTATATAGTTCATAATATAGTATCAATTAGAGTCCCAGAGGATGTTTAATGTTTGGCTTATGCTGAGTGAGTCGAGTGCCCGTATGACACAAGCCATAGTGGTGATGTTTGATGTTTGATGTGGGGGTTTTCACAGATCAGTGATACATACATCTGTCAATAACCTGGATGAACGACTGATATTTGTGGGTGTATAGAATCATCCAACTTGCCTCGATAATCCCTCGGGCTTCTAGTACTTGAATATATCATTAGAGGACCAAAGGTTCATCAAGTAGGTTCTCGCCACACATGCGCCTGAACTTTCAGTAAAACCATCATCATACTGCGGCTAGGACTATAGGCGCCCATCAATGATAACATCACACACGTGGTTCAGCGAAGAAATATAGTGACTACAATGCATGATAGATATCGAAAGTGGAGAATTTCGCCCGCATTTACATAGGGAATGAAAGCCAGCTACTAATTTCCCCACTTCGGTACTCGGGACGATGTTCTAAGATGTGTCGGAGCATTATCTAGATCCAGGGATGAAAACGATGCGAAGTAGCACTTATACTACATAGTATATCAGTTCAGAAGTCCTCGTACCAATTCTTCCGCCTAAGTTCCTCTCAACCGTACGCAGGTATTCCCATTCCTTGACCTGGGTGGCGAAAGATCTTCAAAGCTAGCTCTTGCAACAATATCTGCCCTCCTTCCAAGAAGCACTCTTGTCTACCGCAGTCCAAAGAGACCCCAAGCCAAACACCTTCAACCCTCACCACAATGCAAGACCTAGCGCCCCTCATCCTCCCCCGGGCACCCCCTCTAGACCCATCATGGCTCGCCCACGAATCAGCCGCCAACCTACTTGCCCCCAAGCCATCCCTCTCCGCTATAGACCGGCAGCCCCTCTATGCCGCCTCATGTCGCGCACTAAACGCCTCCATGATGGCACCCGGTGCACGAGACCACCACCTATCCCGGGGCATCTCTATCTCATCCCTCACCATTCCATCAACAGTAGATGGTTTCGCGATCCCCGTCTTGCGCTACGAGACGGAGCTTACCAAAACCGCCAGCGGTGGTGGTAAGAAGGCGAATGAATGGGAAGAGAAGGAGAGGAAGGAAAAGGTCATCCTGGTCTACTACCACGGCGGCGGCCTCGTAGTCGGCGAAGCAGATAGCGAGGATCTTTCGTGTCGACGGCTTGTACTGCAATCCGGCATTGCACAACACTTGACGCTCTACTCAGTAGGCTACCGCCTAATGCCCCAAGTCCCAGCTTGCACTTGCGTGCCGGATGCTCTAGACGCATTCACCTCCATCTGCAATCTCAACCGAGGAGCCAAGTTCATCCTAGTCGGCAGCTCCAGCGGTGGCGAGCTCGCGGCGCTCGTTTCGCAAATGGCGCCCCGCGGATCGGTCCACGGCGTGCTGTTGCGATGCCCGGTGACTTCGGACGCGTTCTCGGGGCCGCAGTACGTTCCGGCGCGGTTGCGGGCAATGCACACGAGCGCTTCAGAGTCGTTCGTCACAAGTTTGCTGGGTTTCTTCACGAGGGAGGTACCGCGGGATGGACTGGAGAGGATGCCTCTTGAAATTGGCGAGGAGGAATTGGTGGGCTTGCCGAGAACCTGGATCCAGATTTGTACGAACGATGTGCTTTACTCTGACGGGTTGTGCTATGCGAAGGCGCTGCAAGATGCTGGTGTGCCAGTTAAGGTCGATGTCGTCGTGGGGTATCCACATACTTTCTGGTTGAAAGCACCGCAACTCCAGAGAGCATTGGAGGCGGACGAGGAGATGCTTCGGGGGCTGGTATGGGCGGCCGATGTTTGATGTTGTCCTGGATGTGTTAGCATTCGAAGATTAAAGCTACCGGGGTTGCTTGTTTAATTGTCGTGGACCTCACGAAACAACTGCGAGCGAAATTAGGGGTTCTCTCGATTGGTCGACCTCTGCCTTGGCCACTTTCTGATCACTATCTACAATGCTAGAGTACACAAAGGGACGGGTATGGGATGCAGGACTTCTATAGCACGGAGAGATCTCCGAATTTTTCCTGATCTTCTTGTTAGCAACTTGAATTGCGATAAACAGACGCAAAGAGCATACCTTGTATCCCGGAACTGACCAGCGACCCTTTGAAACAAGCTTGGCAGTCTTCTCATCGATGGAGGGCTCGGCTTCCGCAACTTCGTCCTGTTCACACCATCGTTAGCCTCCTCAAATCCATCATTCGACGCATCTCCCATTCCATCACAGCTAGAGCATACCACAGTGAGCTCATCAAACGGTCTCGCCGTCTCGATGTTCTTGAGCGTCATCTCGAGGTCCTTGAGCTCCAAATCGACTTTCTCCTTGGTAGCCTGGGCATTCTTGACAGCCTCAACCTCGAAAGCCTCGATGGCCTTGAGCTGGCGTGTGACATCGTAGGTGGCGGGCTTGAAGGCAGAGAAACGCTTCTCGATCTCGGCGACGACGGCCTGGTTCTTGAGGACGGAGCGGTAGTGGGCGAAGTCGACCTCGGTGGACTGCTCTGACAGCATCTGCACCTTGCGGCGGGCATTTTCGTTGCGCTGCTTGAAGGCTTGCAGCGAAGCCACCGTCTGGCCGCGCAGGCCGAGGGAGGACGTCACTTTGGCCCAGTCGAGCTTGAGGGCGGCGCTTCGCTGCGAGATTCATGAAATTAGCTCATCATCTCGGTAAGCTTTTGTCGTGGTCATTGCCGACTCAATTGGGGTTTCCAGAGATCACAAAACAGCACACGGCATCTCCCACCGAGCATCAATTGACCAGGAGCACTTACTGCTGCCATTTTTTATAATTTGTTGGGGGTGGTGAGGAGTGGAGATCTGAAGCAATTCCCGGCGGAAGAGGTTGCTTGAAGTCGAATTCGCCCGGACGGCGGGAGCCACCACAATTGAAGTCCCGTGACTAAGGTTCAGCACGTGACAATATCTTCTAATTCTAGCCTGTGGTTGCCAGAAGTGGTTGCCAGAACTAGTGCAATTAGGAGCAGTTCCTTTCAATGGGCAAATCTTGTCAATTGTGTCAATAGCAAGTAAAGGCATGAATTTAATTGCTTTTTATGGGGGAAGGTATCATAAGTAGAGAAACAGGCTAGGCCCAAGAATTTTAATTCCGGCTCTTCCATCTTCAGACGAATGAGCTTGAGTAGTCCACGAATAAGACCTTCTAGACATGAGAAGGTGAATGCTCAACATCCCGATAGCAAGGAGTGTAAGTAACAAAAATGACTTTTTCTCATTGGTTTCAATGGAATCCGGATACTATTCCTTTCAAGAATCACTTTACACGACATAAAAAACATGCAAATGTATGGCACAGATATCGACTCATATAGGATGATCACAGAAATCAACGAAGAAACACATGGGATTGTCAAGAATAGATTGTGAAGGTATCGTAGCATGCATTGTACGGCCTACCGTCCTTCCATTTTCCCATGCAGACTTTCCAGTGTCGCAAAGCCTCTAGTTTTGATGACAACCGAAAAAATCAGCCGAGCAAGAGCCTGCGCCAGCTCACTCAAGACTCCTAAACGCTTAGGGCCATGATAGAGTTGACTATATCGTTGTCGTTCTCTTTCAAAGCCTTGATCGCCTTCTTTCGGGAAACGCTGGCTTGAGTCATGACGAGCTCAATGTCCTTGTCCTCAATGCCCTCAGCATCGACTTCCTCAGCATCATCTTCCTCCTCCTCTTCCTCCTTCTTTTCCTCGGCGCTCTCCACAGCCTTACCGTGATCGTGGCCGGCGTGGTCGTGACCAGCGTGGTCGTGCTCGCCGCCCGCACCCGCGAGTTGCTGAGCAGCCGCTTGCTGGGCAGCAGAGTTGAGGTCCTCGATCTTAGCCTCACCGAAGACGCTAGGTTCATAGTCAGTATGATAAGCTACGAGCTTTGTTCGTAATATCTGGTGGCTTACATGTAGGTGTTGCTGTTGGGCGATTTGTACACCTCGGGGTTGTTGATCACGAAGAGGATCTGCCGACAAACTTAGGTTAGCGGTTGATTGAGTAGTTATAAAAGTCCAACAGGTCGGCCTAGAAACCACCAAATGTCCCAATGCATGCCATGTCCTATATCGACCACTAGGCGTTTGTGTTTCCAAATGCTCTTGCTCGTCGTTTCCAGTAGCCTCGCATTGAGTAGCAAAAATTACTCACGTTCTTCGGTCGGCGCAGAGTGACACGCGTGATGCCGGGGACACGCTGGAGGTGCAGTTTCTCGATGGCCTTGCGTGCCTTCTTCTCGTTGCGGGAGTGAATTATGGCAGATGAGCCGGAGGGGCCATTGTCCGCCTCAATCTCGGAGTCCGAGCTGTCATCATCCTGCTCCTCGACCGTGGTGGTCTTGGGAGGCTCTTCGTCGGGCAACTCTTCAATTCTTGGGTTCGACATCGTGGCAGCTGTAATTGTAGCAGACTCAATTAGCTTCTGGGACAAGCTAGGCGAGCTGGGCACACATTTTCGACAGGAACCAGCCGAGCGGGGAATTATTTCCTCAATCCTGCTTCCAATGTGCGGTTCGGGCAGGAAGAACAGCTGGTGTAAACAGCAAGGGCTACTCACCTGACTGGGATCGGAGCCAAATGTCTTCTGAGGGGTCGATGGGGTGCTGAAGCTGCTCGTTTTTTTAAAGAAAAGTTGATTGATGCGAAGTTGATCGCAAGTTCCTAGGGTTTTCCGTGGCCCGCACTAAACCCAATACGGAACATCTAGCTTCCAGAACCACGCTGAACTCAGTTGCAGTAATAAGTGTTCAAGATGGAAGATGGGGCGCATCAGGAGGCGCATTACTTTTACGTTTCGTCTTCACGGATGTATTGAGAAAATTGGTCTGATTTGAGGTTTGTAAATTGTCAGATTACTACGGCTCTCGGGTCCTCATTCGGGAATTGCAGGTTATCAGAATTGCTTATGGAAACCGTCCGCTCCTCTCGTAATTCAATACGAGACCACCAGTCCGCAGAGACTCGCAACTGCATGCAGCTGTTTTGGTTGTGAATTTCCGTATCATTGACGCCAGTCACCTTCTGAAATGTATGTGACATACAGGTCTTCCCATGAAGCAAAGGAATCCAGCAACCCCAAATGCATTTGTCCCCTTGTTCATGCAGACCAGTTGAGAGTATTCCGTAGACTAACCACCATCATTGACCAGACCCCGACGAAGAATCAAACCTTCCTTCATGCCGATGCCTTGACCTTCGCCAGAGCCTTGCGCTGCTCGAATCGACGTTGCTTCTTGAGGCGCATGACCTTGAATCGATCAAAGTCGGTCAGAGCCTGTCTGCGCTCTGTCTGCTCCTTGCGCTTGGCCCAGTTGCTCTCCTTCCATTTTGCGTCGATTCCTGCCTTCTCCCACGCTGCCTTCAAGCCGGCCTGTCGGATACCACGGGGCAAGTTCTCAATGACGAAGGGGCTCAGCAGAACCTCAGACGTGGGGAGAGCTTGACGGGGGACTGCGAGTTTGGCGTCTGCGGAGGGTCCATCAACCAGAATCTAAAAAGCCGAGTTAGACATTGTATCCTGCTCCACCGTAAATTACTCCTATCCGAGCCCGAGGGAACGTACGCGCTTATGGTCGATGATCTCGACAATTGCGGCGAGTCTGCCGGTGTGAGGGCCGTTTCCCTGGAGGAGGACAACACGGCCGACCTCGACCATGCGCCAGTTGGAGCCGACGATATTTGCGTCACCCATTGCGATGTGTTCTGCAGATTCGTCAAGGTCAGCGCGGGAAAGATTTGAAGGAGAAGGCTGGTGTCGAAGTGAGATCGTCGCGCTGGCGGGTTGGCTGAAAGATGGGAGAGGGAGAGGTAGTGGTAATAGGGAAAAACGTACTAATCGGAATTGCCGTAGGGGTGAGACTTGGTGATGTTCACTTGCAAGCACTCAATCAAACTGTCATGCCTCGCGTAGCTTCACTTTTTGCGAGAGGTTTGTGGTGCGAGGCCCAACGTCGAAAAATCCTTTGCCCTAGAATTTGGCCCGCGCTTTCCCCGACGGCACCTCGGTGGGACAATCACCCAAATCTGGTCTAGCGGCAAAATGGTACAGCTAGAAAATCTTGGTGCAAAACTTCTGAGCATCCTTCGTTTTCTACAATCTGCATCTATATTTCGACTTGGACTGTCTCTCTGGCCTCCAATTCAATGGAAACAATTGGCATTTGTCGTGCCAATGGCTGGAGAGCAGAATCTCTCTACTTGGTAAGCCCACTCTCTCCTTTTCCCGCTTATGCCCAAACCTTTGAATGATGAGGTAATTTGCGATTGATTCCATGTCGGTGGCTCCCTCGCCGGGGACGCTATATCGGATGGAAATGTGATATTCAATTCTTACATATTCTGACACCAACATCACTTATCACATCCTGAAGTAATGACCATTGTTGAGCATCTAGCTAATGGATTGTTCAGATTCAATTGGCTACGGAGCCTGATCGAATACTGTCTGTTGAGGGGCGGTAATCAATGATGAAGTCTAATCCTCTTTACGAGGAGTGCATAGTGGCACTAGGGGTATTATGGTTTTTCCATCCATGGAAGAGAAAACTGAGGAACGGTGATGCTGGACGTAGCCCCCTTTCTTCGGAGCAACACCCACGATGCAGTTCAGTCAAAGTTGAATGAAACGAACAGTGTCTTATCCCACAGTTTTGACTAGAAGTAGAAATAGTAATAATACTCATGCCTTGATTAATTTTCATAACATTATTCTGTCCGTGAAAGTAGGCTTGATATTAAACTATGATGTTGATGTATTATTTGATTCACTGTTCATGGGGCATTATGCAGTGCTTTGGGGTATTCTTGTTCTAAGCGTCAAGCGAGTGTAAGCATTTATTCTGTAACGTACAACCCCACCTTTCCGGCCACCCACCTTTCTGGCCACCTAATCTGCCAACTACAACAACCTTCGGCACAGCTATTATTATACAATGCCTCGATATTCAGAAAATTCGATTCAAGGCGCTCTCAACGATATCAATCAAGGGATATCCCAGCGCCAGGCCTCCCTCCGATAGGGCGTTCCACGCTCTACCCTCCAATTACGACTCGGCGATGGCCTCAGCCATTCTGACGCGTCAATCGCGTCGATGAAGCTATCTAGGGATCAGGAAGACGCGCTGATTGGATGGATCCTCGAAATGGATCGCGAGGGTCGTAGCCCGTCGGCGCTATTCATCGCTAAGATGGCGTTGATTCTGTTACCTCAGGATCGTCGATCAGAGGACCTCGGTCGCCATTGGGTTCATCGCTTTATTCAACGCCATCCAGAGGTCGGAAGTATCCAATCTCGACGCCTCGACCGTCAGCGATTTGATGGCCTATCGACGCAGAATATCGACGATTTCTTCGAGACGTACGAAGCCTTGATGTCAGCTCACGACTACTTTCCACATAACGTCTAGAATATGGACAAAACAGGCATCGCGATTGGCGAAGGGATCGAGGGTATAGTGTACGGATCGTCAGAGAAACATACAACATTCGTTCGGAGTGACGAAAGCCGCGAATAGGTCACTATATTACATGCTATATCGGCGATGGGTAACTCGTTGACCCCAGCAGTAATATATACTGGCAAGAGCTTCCAAGCCCAATGGTTTAACGATTGCGACGATATACCTAATTGGTAATATACTTATTCGTCTAACAGTTGGATCAGTACAGATATCGCCGTTCGATGGCTTCGTGATATCTTTATACCTCGTACACAACTAGTTGATCCCGACGAGCAGCGGCTCTTGATATTAGATGGTCATATCGCTCACGACAACGTCGAGTTTATGTGGTTAGCCTATTGTAACAAGATCTCGTTACTATTTTTGCCAGCACACTGTTCTCACGCTCCAACCTCTCGACGTCGCCGTATTTGCTCCATTAAAGCGGTACTATCGCTCGTTAGCGACCTCTCTCTCGATCGAGTACTGTTCTATTCCATTTAAAAAGTCGACGTTCCTCTCGCTATACATCGAGGCATATGCGAAGCCGTTCACGATCAGTAATATACAATCAGGCTTCTCTGCAACACTGGAATATACCCTTAGATCCATCGCGACCTCAGCCGACGATAGCCCCCCTATCAGAACGACCAACTACACCACCAACAGCTGGTAATTGGCTTGATCCGACAATAATAGCGACGTCAGTGACTAGCTTAGTAGCTAGGGAGAGTCTGGCAGCAATTACGCCATTGCGATCGTCGCAACGGCTATTGTTTCGGAAGCTGACTCGTCGGCTAGATGTACAGAGCGTCGAGGTCGCTACTTTGACCCAACGTGTACACGCATTAGAAGCCGAGATAACTTCGTTACGCCCCAAACCACGTAAGAAGGTACGATTAGGGCCTAATGAACGATTTGGTAACATTGTACAGATTAAGGAAGCGATGGATCGAGCCCTTGAAGTAGAACGGCAACGAGACCAGGTACAACGTCGGAATCAGGTAATACTGGACCTAGCTAAGGCGTCAGAATCTATCAGATCTATAACTCAGGAAGCCCTAGAGCACAGCTTTCTATTAGAGCTGGTTGTACCTGAATAGCTATAATAGTACGTTGAATACACTGTTTCGAATACCTTCAATTGGATTGCAATGTGTGGCCAGAAAGGTGGGTGGCCGGAAAGGTGGGGTTGTACGTTAGAGCTGCCATGTCTTCCTCAGGCTGGCTGGCACAAGTCAGGGGCCTACGGATTTTACCGGCCTGCAAAACCCGATCACTTATCATGACCCAGCTCTGAGAGCTTCAAAATCAACGACTTTGACTGGCAACTCGCACCCCCGCAAGTCTCCATAACTGAGTTCATGCACCCTAGGGGTGTCATTCCGCTCGACTCGGCAGCAAGTTCCCTGCAACGAAACTTGTTTCAGTCGAGCAGTCAGCTACGTTCGTACGCCTACCGAAACTGGCGATTAAACCAGAGGAAGCAGTGAAGCCTTGAATCCCTAATCCAGTGAACCATTCGAACACAGCATCGCTAGCCGCAAATATGTTGGCTTTGCAGTATTTCCGATCGAAATGTTATTAACAGTTCTTGCTAGTCTCCGTTTAGTTACTCTGCATATCAATCAGTTGCGACCTACACAATATGTGGCAACCACTCCAAGCTTGTCAGCCTTCACCACATATTTGCTCAGAGGTGACACGTCTGCTTTGTGGATGCTTCTCACCAAAGCTTGCGGTCCGTGGGTACAATGGTTGGCCTTATGAAACAAAGTGAACTTACCGAAAATCATGTTTTCAAATGATACATCTCCTACATCGTTTTCAAGACAGGCATGGAAGATTGTTTCCAGCTGCTGTGTCTTCCGGATTGGTGGCTATCTCCATACTCGGATGTTGGCGAAGAAGTTAAACTTCTCAAGATCTCTCGGGCCATCGTTCTAGGCCAGCCATCTACTGACCGATAGAAACACGCTAGTCGTTATAAAAGTCATAACTTAGGTAATTAAGTATTCATTTGTGCCAATCATGCAATATCATGTCATCACAGATGCTCGGCAGGTTCTTCTGCGGGGTATCGGGGTAGCAGCAGTGGAGACGCTGGACTACCCGCGGCATTTCTCCATGGATTCGGTGCACTGCCTAAACTATATCATCTGACGAACATCAAGGATCGTGGGTGGATGGAACGTGCAGCATAAAAACTGTTATATATAGTGCTTGTCAATCTGTTCATTTTCAAAGAATCTGTTATTTCTTGGCTAAGCCTCGTCTCCAACTGTCTAGTTCCGCTATTAGCAGCTACTCGGGTACTCGAGCTATTGACGTCTCTGACCGGAGGTGAATGGTAACACCGGAATAAGTTCACCAACGCTTTCTACTTGAGGACTTGAGTTTTTGGCACGTTATTCGTTTTGAGTCTTGGGATAGAAACAATTGTCTTGGAGTCACGATGGTCTTTACGCCGCCCTCCTGGGTACCCCAACTGCCTTTCGGTATGCGCTCTTATCTAATCGCGATGCTGGAGAACCAAACTTATTAAGAGTGCTAGATCCACCGGACTCCATCACCATCGGCGAATTCTGGGCCGACGAGAGGTATGGAAGATGCCCGCACGACAAATCTCGGAATCCCTTCACTTGTGGGATCACGGGAAAGACCTACACCAGCCGGGAGATGAAGGAGCGATACGAGTTGCTCGCCCGGTCTCTGGGAAAGCGCATGGGGTGGCGGGCGAACGAAGATACGCCTTGGGATAAGGTGATCGGAATCTTCTCTTTCAACTCAGTAAGTTTAAGTCGAAAGTCGTCTGAAGATGTACCTGCTGATAGAGCGGCACGAAGATTGACTTCCTCATGTCTACATTTGCTGTTCAACGTCTTTCTGGCATTGCAACTCCCGCGAATGCCATGTACTCTGCGGCAGAATTGGAACATCAACTGAAGTCATCCACTGCCAAGGCTCTGATCACATGCATACCCCTACTCGATACAGCCCTGAAAGCTGCGAAGGGTGCTGGAATTGCTGAGGATAAGATCTTCATTATGGACGTCGCTCTGGGACCCAAGAAAACAAACTTCAAGACCTTGGATGATCTTATCTCAGAAGGAAGGTCACTACCAGAAGTTGAGCCACTCAGGTGGACAAAGGGTCAGGGAGCTAGGCAAACCGCTTTTCTGTGCTACTCAAGCGGTACTTCGGGCCTGCCTGTAAGTCCTTTCATCAGTATATGGTCAATATATATCACTGAAACAATCACAGAAAGCTGTCATGATCGCCCATCAAAACGTCATTGCGAATATAATGCAAGTTCGATGGCACGAAGCACTCGGGCGAGAACAAAAAGGAGTGGAGACACAAGCTGCGCTTGGACTTCTACCACTTAGCCATATCTATGGTCTAGTTGTCGTTGCCAACGCGGGTATATATAGAGGAGATGAAATTGTCATCCTGCCTCGGTTCGATCTGAAGATACTGCTTCAAAGCATACAGCAGTTCAAGCTGAACGAGCTGTATTTGGTGAGCATCGCACGCAACCCAGGTTTTGGCGCGCATGTTGTTACTAATGATATCTAGGTCCCTCCGATAATCATCCAGTTACTGAAGAACCCAAATGTGTGCGCGAAATACGACCTCTCAAGTGTCCGTTATGTCTACACCGGCGCCGCACCGCTCGGAGCGGAAACCCACGAGGACGTGACCAAGGCATTCCCCGGTTGGAGTATCGGACAGGGGTACGGGATGACAGAGACGAGCACAGTTGCTCTAAGCACCGGTGAGAACGATATCATGGTCGGCTCAGCCGGTTCACTTGTCCCCGCCACCAAAGCGAAGATACTTGGCGAGGATGGCAAAGAAATCACCGAGTACGAGAAACCCGGGGAATTGTGGATCCAGTCTCCTTCGGTAACCCTGGGATATTTGAACAACCAGAAAGCGACTTCGGAGGCGTACGTGTACGATGATGACGGCCGGTGGATACGGACGGGAGACGTTGCTGTTGTGCGCAAAGCATCTAGTGGACATGAACACTTTGCCATCGTGGACCGGATGAAGGAACTCATCAAAGTTAAGGTTCGTTCATCCTACCCCATTTTCATCTACAGACTGACAGAAAACATAGGGCCATCAAGTAGCACCCGCCGAGCTAGAAGCCCATCTCCTAACCCACCCCCTGGTGAATGACTGCGCCGTAATTCCCGTACCCGACGTTAACTCTGGGGAGGTGCCCAAAGCGTTCATCGTAAAGTCCGCGGCCGCGGGATCAGAATTGGACGACGAGGTTGCGAGGGACATTTGCAAGTATATTGAAGACCACAAAGCTAGGTACAAATGGTTGAAGGGCGGCGTGGAGTTCATCGACGTCATTCCCAAGAGTCCGAGCGGGAAGATTTTGAGGAGGTTATTGAGGGATAAAGATAGGGAGGCTCGAAGGGCAAGGGGGGCGATGCTGTAGGAAGAGCACGTGGTTTGAAATTGTATTCTATAGTAGACTATAAAGTAAGGGGGCAGGGGGTGCGTACAACCAGGTTGTCTGCAGTTGGTTTAATATCACGTATGGCTGTTTCCTCGTTTTACAGCTACGAGGACTCAGCATATGCTGGAAGCTAAATGTATGACTGTACGGGATGGCTTCATTATTCTCAAAGATTGATGCTCCACACACAGCATTGATACTGGTAGTGTCATCATACTACCCGCAGTTGCCGGTAGTTTACGCTGACAGTTGAACTAGCCACGGTGTAAGTTGTGGCAGTCGAGATGTGCTATATGTAACATTGGCAAATGCACGATGGAAGCGTAGAATGCTGGACAAGTTCGCTGCGCGTTGTCTATTAGAAATCTACTCGTCATATACGGTGGTCATACACAGCCTCCGAGTAGTGGGGGTATGCATATCTTCGACAACATACTTTATGCCTTGCCCTTTCTTTCCATATACTCCTCTTCTTCAGCTTGCAACTCGGCATCAATCTTGGCACCTTTAGAAGGCTCGTTACCGTGCATCTTGGCCTAGTAGGAATCATGAGTAAACGAACATAAACAAGACCGTACGTCACACGTTGGGAGCAAGAGCAGAGCAAGTACTTACGGGTAAAGTAGGGTCCTTCTTCAACAAGGCTGTCTCTGGATCATCGGGTTTCTCGTCGCTCTTCCGCTCCTCATTGGCGAGGCGGTTGGCGATAGTGCGTTGGTCCTTGGAGTCGTTGGGGAGATGAGAGTTCTCTTTACCCTCCTCAAAGCGGTCTGGATGAGGGATCTCGGAGTTCTTGAGGTTACGCTGGTCGCCTGCCTCATAGACACCTGAGCTTCCGACGTTTGAAGACATGTTGATGAGTTGTAGAGAGTGGTTGTGGGTTGTGTAGAGGAGATTCTGGATAATCTTTCACGAGTTTGAGGGGGTATGAAGAAGTGAGGATAGAGTGATATGGGAATGATTCAAAAGCCCATGAGCTTGCTAGCCGGGTTGTCTAAGTTTTATGGAAGCGGTAGGTGCTGGTGAGGAGGGGCATGGAGAGGCACATCTTGCTCTACCTACGTCATTTTTCGCCTTGCTTCTATCGATAACAGCCCGTAGAATGTGAGGCGCCTTGGTACCTGATCAGCATCACGATAAAAATCTCCATGTTTCAAAGGTGGCCATTAAGAATATAACATCAGCGCGACGTCATAGACCCCAGAGGCTGATGATGAGATTATGGTGGATCTCCCTGGCGCGGGAAATTATGGACCTACTGAAGTGATCTCCAGACTAATCCCTGTCGAATACAACGAACTTCGAATTGGCAACCGCGAAACTTACCTCAAGTACCGTTATCCACCCATAAGCGGGCCATACCCCTTAGCGAGCCACTATTTGTCGAATATCACGTGTGTCCAATCGAGTAGTCAGCAGTGCGTAAGATTGTATATAAATGAGGTGTGTTCTTGTCTGTCTGTCTTCTTGTCAGGGTACGGCCTGGACCGAAGGCGATAGTACAGAGTGAAGGGGAGAAATAGGCGTGTCCCCCTGGTGGTCACCTGGTGTTCACTGGTGGTCACTTGGTGATGGCAGGTAGGGGTGTCCACAGTAGTTTATTGATCTCTCCCCTCTCTATCTTCCTCCGTCTCGACTCCTTACTTATAGCCAGCCGAGGTTCTCTGTTGGATTCTGGATGTTTGCTTCCGCATGTCTGTGTTCCTTCGACTTCGGCCAACATCTTGGATAGCGGCTCTTTATCTGCAACCAAGCGATTCCCTATCCGCTGCAAACGGCTTCAACAGCTCTCATTCGCCACAAGCGGCTCTCTAGCCGCCACACACGACTTCCTTCCTGGTGGAAGCCGGCCCGCCTCGGATGACACTTGTGGCTCTGACACTTCTGTTCTCGCGAACTCCCGTTGCTCTGCCTTTTATAGATGCTTTAGAACATGTCGGTAACTTTGGTGTTACTTTTGAGAAGAGGGGTTCCTTTCGCCTTCTGAACTTTAAGTGACAATAGTCTTCTCTAGTGCCATATTATTTCTGAACCTAGGAACCAGGTGCCCTATCTGACACTATTTTCGAAATTATCTGCAACAGCACAACAAGAAAGTTGAAGCTATTCACAACGCTATTTTCAATTAAATACATCGGAATCAAGTAATTCTTTCCAGACGCGTGTAGAAAATGTGAAAACGCGCCTAAAGATCTGTCTGCGCTCCTGTTCACTCATTACCCGAGGCTGTTGTTCCTCTTTCCGGCACTGTTAGGCAAGTCTCTTTGATAAAAGAGACCTTACGCTGTAAGGGGTTGTCACAAACAGTGATAAGCTTAACTACAATCTCATTGATTTGCTGAGCCGTATCCCCATCAACTTGAATATCAATGCGTACACTATTTTCGTCGGTAAGGCTTGCAAATAGAGGGGTCTTTAGCCGATACTTGGCGAGGATCTTCGACAGATCTAGTAGGGACAAGCCAGCACTTCTCCAAGCGCCTGGGATATTACGGTAGATAGTATATCTAGCTTGCTGATAAAACAACAAGAACTGCTAGTTGTTGACTCGTGCGGCGCCAAAGATAGACCGTTCAGTGATCAGGGATTTATACGCCTTTGCTAGAGGACCGAAGATACCCTTATCAAGGGATTCAAGCTCGTGGGTCGAATAGGGGGTAAGCAGAGAGTAATTATTTGATTTGCCTCGTAGTAATCGACGAACTTAAGGGATACGTAGCTTATATTACTATCGAGAATAAGAAGGCGGTATTAGCCACGACACTGCTAACATATATACGTATCAAAATAGCGTAGCCAGGTTAAGGCAGTCTATTAATCCGTCCAGCCACTTAGGTTGACCTGAATAACAGTCCTTAGATCAATAATCTTGTCTACCTAAGACGGTAAAATCCTCTTGCCCTCGAATATAATAAAAGGCGGTAGGGAGTAACCGTTCATTCCTATACATTCAATAATAGAGACCCATTCACGGTTACTAGGCTGGTGAGTAAAGGCCTAACCATCCTCGCGAGAGATAATAACTTGAGGGTCATCACCGATCCCTTTACTAATTCCCTTCTCGTCTATATTGTAAGTATCATCGTCCATAGTAGCGTATTGTTCTTTAATTCGTCGATAGCGGTCGAACCATTCGTTAAGGACATCGTACGTGATACTATCCTTTCGAGCCTGATCTAAACTAAGGACCCTATAGGTCTTCAGCTTAGGGTAGCGGTCTAGAAAGCTGGTGTACCAGTTAATCCCTAGGGGTTCTTTATCTCCTTTAGCTTCCAGCAGGTCCACTGCTAGCCCTTCTGCTACTTTGATAGTCCAAGGCCATCCCCATGTAGCTAACTAAAATAAGGCTCGTTCGATCGTTGCTTCTTCCGCAGGTAACAATCGCTGTTAGTGTCAGTAGGCGGTGGACCGGTTCTGGCGACCTTGAATTCGGCCTTGGAGGGTTGATCAGGGACCTCAAAAAGCTCGGCTGCTTCTAGTATACTAGGGGCTTCCCTAGTACGAATAGGCTCGATAGCTTTCTTAATCTGGTCTTCCTGATCCATCTGACAAAAGAATAAAGATCTGGCGATAAAGATTAACGTAGAAATTGATGACGTCGTTGTGAAGTTGATCGAATTCGATAAGCCGAAATTGAGTGGTTTGCTGACAGGTGGCTCGCTAACGGATGTGGCCGCTTATGGGTGGATTACGTTATACGCCGGGCCGACAGCTCAAACCAACGACATATTCGAATTTCTAGTCCGGCAACGAGTGGCTAATCGCGTGTTGCAATTGAGAGGTTCACTACCGCCACCATGTCGCAATTCTTCCGGGCCAAGAAGCTCGACCTTGGCTGCTTCATCAACATCAAGACGATCCGAGATCACACCAAGAGAAAGGTGTACGCACAGTACGAGCCTGAAAGGTGCGAGACCTAGACCCACGAGTTACAGCTCTCTCGTTCCCAAGCTAACAAAACGTGCGACAGGCAAGCACTGCGCTACATCATCAGAAATACGACACTGCCAGCAAGGACGCGAGCTGAGGCGCAGCTGCAATTGACACAGATGCACTGCTATACGCGACCGACACAGATCCGCGGCCGGTGTTTGATGGGTGGAAAGGGACGTGGTATCTTCCGTGACTTTAAGCTTTCGAGAGTATGTGAAAAAAAGCATGACGGATTACGAATAATATGATGGGCAATTGCTAACATTGGCACAGTATAACTTTAGAATGGAGGCATTGGAGGGTAACCTGCCCGGTGTAAAGAAGGCAAGTTGGTAGATTGGGAGCACGACGGTTGTAGAATATCTAGCGAATGGCATCATGCGGCTGAGTACACCCGACTTGCGATGGCTTTGTATTATGAGATGCTCAATAGAGGAGAAGCAACTCCTAGAAATAGAGAACAACGGCCCAGTGTACAAACACGATCAAAACGAGACAGAAATCACCATGCGCTCGGCTCAGTTTTGTGTTCTAGCAGTCGGAATTGCCAATATGGATCGCAGGTTGAGCTCCAACAGGTGATATCTGAAGTGCAATGCTTTGAGGAGAATATGCCATGACTATTGTACTTCATGAGTTCCAATGGTGAGTTGAACCCAACCATGACCGCATAACCACCTTCATCGACAAAATGCAAGCAGTTGCAAAGGACTCAGTCACATACGGCAACTAACTCCAATCCACAAGAAGAAGATGTCGTATTCGATCAATTCTGGTGAGAGGATATCTCCCAGAAGTTCTACATGCCACTTCCCGTTGCGCCTTCCTATTCCGTCGTTTGTACATTCAGGCTGCGTGTTTGTTGTGAGCAATCCTGAAGCTTTTACTCTCTTCCATTCCACGATTCCACCAACCCTACCTGATCTGATATAGACAGCCTGCCTAATCATAATGATCAGTCCTAGGGAGTGAATCGGCCACTCTTAAAGTTTCACATCTTAGGGTTGCCACTCGACCACCTGCGCTGCTCGTGGATCTTCTCGGCGAGTACCCGCCACTCGCTGTAATACTCTTGATCTGCCTCCTACTGATTGCAACCAATTCTTCCAATACCTTCTGGTTTAATTTCAGACCTCTTTCTTAATCTTCTTGATTCCTTCGGCCTCCCTCACAAACAGTCACCTGCTGAAATCAATATGTTCCGACGCAAGTGGTCTGGTCTCCCTCGAGATCCTTACTTCCCATCCGACCTGAAGGAGCTTGGGTAAGTACACCAGTAGTTTATTTATCTGATCACCATATACTCACTGCCACTCGCAGCTACTTCGTGAACGAGGACGACGAGATCCGCTCGATCGAGAATCCGAAGTACTACTTCAAGTACTTCCTCACTCGCAATGAACGCTTCAACGAGCGCCAGCGCTACGCCATGAACGGTATGCTAATCCCATAAAACCCATCCATGATCTTTTTACTGACTTTCACCCAGAGGCCTGCGAGAAGCTTGTCCACTCGCGCCTCGACTCCGCCGGCCTAAACAAGGTCCTCCTCCCCCTCGGCACCAAACCCTCGCAGCCTCACATCCCTATCTTCGTCAGCAAAGACATCAAAACTAAGTCCCGCGTGGTCCTTATCTTCGGCGAATCGTTCCAAGACCTGGGCATACTCGCACACCGTGTCCTCAGTGGTCCAGGAGGCGTCAATAAGGGCTCCCTAGTATCCATCGTCGAGGAGCTGCAAAAGCAGAACTCGTCCTCTACTGATGCTTCGCCGCCGGGAATCATCATTGCCAACATGGGACAGACCATTTGGTCGCCTGAGCTGAAGCGGCCGCTCACTAAAATGGGTGCCACTGGTGCCATCATGCCGAGCGCGGTTCATGGGGGGATGTACATTGACGAGGAGAAAAATCGGATCCCGGAGAATCGAAACGAGAAGGAGCACGTCAAGTACATCTTCGAGAAAGTCGTTCCTGCTATGGTGAACGATGAGGCGGGAGTAGATATTCTTGGATTGGGCGATGGGGCGGATGCGGTAGAGGAATACCTCGATTGGAGTGTTACCTGGAACCGTTTGCAGGGAAAAATCAACTGCTTTGCCATTGTGGGCGGATACCACCCTGTCAACGAGCTTCAATGCGAAGGTCTGAAGACGTTCTTGCGAGAGGTGCGTGCCATCTCCCATATCCACACCCCTTGCCGCCAAAGATTGACATGCAGCAAACTACTAATACCTATCTAGAAAGCCTGTGCCTGGTCCACCTCCCTCGACCCTCTAGGAACCCCTATCTCCGGCCCGGATGGAAATCCCGATACCACCGCCTTCACAGGCCACGGCTGTCCGGTCCTCAGTGGCGGCGAGGAGAACTTTGTTGAGCGCCTGCTGATCCACTCGCACCCGCATGTCCTGGGCTGGCTGCAGACCGTAGCGCTAACCGAGCAGGAGGGCGGCTACAAGAATCCGCAGGCTATGTTTGACATCACGTATGCGGACCAGGATACGTCCGGCGGTGACCCGGACTGGAGCAAGTGGGAGAACCTGCCACTTGATCAGCAGTGTCCCGATTTTGGTACGCCGGATCCGAGGTTGGACCTCTCGGCTAATGACCGAGGGTCTGATGGTGAGGATAGTGATGCCGATTAGGGTGCTTCGTGAGAGAGGAGGAGCGATTTAAGGATAGCAGTCTGCGGGGTTTAAATTTCACAGCATCTGGACTGAAATTCATACATCACGATGAATAGTTTCGTAGACCAGTCCGGCGTAGTTGGTGCATTCATAACAACAGACCTTGCTGAGAATTTTGGTATGCAGCTGGATCATGGATACTGAGATCTAGACACACCGATACAGGAAATTGGATTGATTCGGTACTTTCCATTGAGATGCGAGAGCATCCCCCCATGGTAGAATTTGGTATACTACAAATCATCCTGAATTCAGCAATAGTGAGCCGTTTTGTAGTGGTGCAACAGAAAAAGCCACGCCAAGACAAGTGACGAACCCGAGATATCAAGCCCAGAACAACGACCAGAACCCAGCTTTTGGTGCATCCAGCTCATCCAAAATCTCCTGAGCCCTCCTCGTCCTCTCTTTGACGACATTCTCTTCGGCTGCCCACCGTCCCGTCTCCTCGGGTCGGGTTGCATCACCCCACAGACCCAACCAACTCGACTTGGGCACGGTAGTGGCCTGCTTCTCCTTCTCTTCACGCGCTAACCGTGCTGCCATCTTAGACCAGTTTTCCAGACCGGTGGCCAAGCAATCTCTACATGTTTTCTTGGCCTGTTTATGCTTGCTTTCAGCACCTAACTTATGCAGTTGCTCCTCGGCAATATCGACCGCCTCGCGGGTCCATGATAACCCGTCCTCACGGCCGGATGATCCGGTTTTGTTGGCGTAGATTATCTCGCCAATGTACAGGTTCACACCAGCTTCCTCGCAGAGTTCCTTCGCGTCTCGCACAGGAGGCTGCTCGCCATCGTCTGGAGGAGCGGGGTATGCCGGTTCGGCAATGATGCTTCGTACTGTGCCAAGTACGTTACTGAAGCTCCAGGGGGTCTTTCGGTCCTCTTCTGCAAACACAGTTGTGGCAGTAGGCTGCGGGAGGGAGCGTCGTGCTCGGAGTACGGAAATCAGCACGGGTAGGGCAGTATTTACGCACTCGTTGCGAGCTTTGTGGACGGCGAATGCCGTCAGGGAGTTAAGGATATTTGCAGATGGCTTTCGTACTCCTTCTCGAAGCACAAGTGTCTCCTGGTCGTAAGGGAGTTGTGTAGGTGGCGTGTTTTCGGATGCTAATTGCAAAGCCCATTCGTACATCCTCTCGGCGGCTTCAGGAATGTTCTTGAAATCCAACCAAGATGCATACGCGAGCGCGGCGTCCAGCTTTTGCTTCGTTGTGAAACCCCTTGTGGTCAGCACCCTCATATAGAAGGTCTCCGGGGTTTCATAGTAAGGCACAACATCGTCCTCGTGAGGCGCGCTCGGCGAGCCTGGTGTGATCGGCTTTGGCTTGGGGTTTGAAGGACCCAATACCTGGTCTTTGGGGAACACGATATTGCGCTCTTTGTCCAGCACGTGGTAGTCGAGGTTCTCGGCAGCCTTTGCGCATATCATCAGAACCTCGTAGTATCCGCGCCTCCAGTTCTCGCTCTTGGCTGTGATGTTGTACCCCGACTTGCCGATGCCGTCAATATACACAGGGCCGTCAGCCAAATCCTGCACTTCAGCACCATCCAGGTTCGGGTCCTCCAGCCGCGATAAAACATTCTTGGCGTACTCGCCAATCTGCACCCAGTTCGGTTCTATAGTGTCGGTGCGGTCGGGACCCCACATGAGCAATCTGAAGCGCAACCGGGTCAAGAACCGCCATTCATGGGGACTTGGGTAGCGCCTCTCGAGCCATTCCTGCTGTAGACTCCAGAAACCAGCCATCAAGAAGGCCCCGATGGCCCATATGTACACGGTATATTTGAGTCCGAGGAAGACTTCGTAGGCCAGCCATCGTTTCCGCTCCGTCGTGAGATATCGGAACTGCCCATTCCGCTTTAAGGGAACGGTTAGGAAGGGGAGCTGCGGTCGGGTCGTGGACAGCAAGTTTCTGTGGCGGGTGAAGAAGCGGGTTGAACTGGGCGCTTTCGACGGGCGCAGAATGAGTATGCGCCGCAGCAGGAATCGTGTCTGCGTGAGCATCTTGCCTGTCGCAAGAAGGATAGCGCGCGCAACCTTAACCAGGGAGCTGAAGAAGACGGCTTAGTCGAGTCGTCAGGGGTCCGTTGGGTGCCACCAAGCTTGATTGCTAGAATCAATCCATGGCACCGACAATGCGACCGTGAAAGTCTCAGTGCGAACACAAAATTGTTGCAAGCCTTGGTAATGATGGTAATGATGCTGGGAGAATTGGATCCATCCATTAGCTTCGCTAATTCGATATCGATACTTATCTCGCTTGGCCCATGCGTTCGTCGCTTCCCCAACTTGAGAACTGATGAAAGGTCTCAAACTGCTGAGATAAATTGATTGACTTTGGACGATCAAGCTCAAAATATTCTCTGGGACTATCTAGGTGGGTGACTGCGGCTGAGGCACCTACTCAGGTACGTATGATATCAGAACTCCAGAGCCAGGCCCAAGGTCTGATGACGCGCAATAATGAGCTCCGTCCGACTTATATGGTTCTGCCACGCCCCGAGCAAAATACTAGCTATGAAGCCTGATTGGACGCCTAACTAGGCCTTTGCGCTTTATGGGCTTAATCGTCCGCAGGCCATTCTAAGGAACGGAGACTTCATTGAGTACTTTTGGATCTTGAGAATAATAATCGGTCTTTGAGTGTGGGCTTTCAAGACCGGCCCAACTCGATAGACAATGTCATCAGTGTTCAGACGGCTGATCCATGGAGGCGACCTCCCAAAGGCATATGAAGTGTTCCAGTGTATAACTATCAAGCCAAACTTCCATGTCCCTTACGCAATGGTCTTGGGATATTTTTGAATTTCGCCTGCATTCGAGAACAAGCGCTGACACACGCATATAAAATGGATATTTTCCATATCGACCTTCTCAGATAGCTGCCATCTTGCTTGAAGCTCTTCGGGGCGATTTGTTTACCTGGTTACTACGTATTTTACACATATAAGTTGGCATTCTTCCAACAAGGAAACCCACCGATTAACTTTGACCTTACCAACGCCAATACTATGACGTCAAATCCGGCACACAATCCCATACCTTAACAGCACATCGCCTTGCAAACTCGGCCGCACCCCGCGCTCCCGCAAACACGGGGTCGTTCAGAACAAACCTCGGCTCGTACCCGGGATGCTGCACGTTCCACACCTCGTCCCTCGACGCAGACGTGAACACGATGTCCGCGGCGCTCTCACGGTACGAGACTAAGTTCCGGAGCTCGAACCCGCGAGGCTGGCGGCTCCGAAGCGCAGCACGTAAATTATCTCGCACGGATGTCCAGTAGACCTCCAGGGACGGGAAAGGATACAGACCGTGGTTGAGAGCGTCATGACCAGGCGAGAAATTGGACATTCCGCTGAGAGAGCAGTGGTATATCGCGTTGTAAGCCAATAACGGGGAGACGTGGGCCGCTAGCACATGGCGAGTGTAGAGTGCGCTGAAGGCATAGTTATCGTCGTAACCGTCCCACACGATAGCAGAGCATTCCCAGTTCGATTCAGTGAGCGGCACAGCAAGCTAAGATTCCTTCTGGTTCGAAGGTTATCTGTAAGAAAAGATAAACAAAAAAAACTTCGAGAATGAGCACGCAACTACGGGTTTGTTCGGCAAATGGCAGTGTCCTATTAACATGATACAACCATTGGCCAGAGGGGTTATAGGCCTGATCAGGGGTCTTTTCTTATCCGCAAATAAAATCTGGAAGCCAATGAGGAGTCGACTTGAGCTGCAAAATTGGGGTCGGGGTACAAGTTGATCGGGTAAACATTGATATATCATCGAACAAGTCGTTCACATCTGTACATTCAACGATTTCGCGTGTTCAGTCACAGCTAAAGCTCCCTTTTTTATATTCCAGTTATGTAGACTACAGGAGCTATTTAATCCTTCGCTAGCCTACAGTGATGATTGCAGGGGAAGGGTCCCTTAGGTCTACTTCTCCTCATTATTGGTGCAACCACCCGATATATCTCTTATTATTATTACAACTCAGCACTCTTATCCTCCTCCACCGGCAACACCGTAACCACCACCGTTTCCTCCATATTCCCCCCTCGATAAGCATACGTGAAGTTCCACCCCGAACCCGCACCCCCATGCCTTCCCTGATTATCAACAACCACAATCCCCGAAGCCACCCCCGGATACTTCCTCACCATCCTCCTAACCGCATCCTCTGCCGCCTCCGAGGGCGTCATGCCTCTCCTTAGACTCTCTACGGCTTGATAACATGGCACTAGAGCAACCTGGGTTAGTATGTGCCACTTTTAGGTACACACACGATGACTTAAACACTCTCGGCCGTGTATCAAGAGTCAAAGTTCCCAAATGGCTCCATTGGGCAACTTTTGCTCACGACACCGGCCAAAAAGGGGAAGGAGGGAATGATTCTAAAAGAAAGCCTCTTACGAAATCGCATCATTACATCCCCATCCCCCGTAGCACCACACCCGCCCACCTCCCCGTCAACATACGAACCGCTCCCCGTAATCGGCCCATCACCCACTCGACCTGGGACCTTGCCACTCGCGCCGTTAGTCGAGGTTCCCGCTGCCATGGTCCCGGAGGCGGAGATGGCGATTAGGGAGATGGTGTCATGACTTGCGGTTTTGGCTCCGGGGGCGATTAGGAAGGGATATGTGGGGGATGTTGCGTTCAGGGGTATGGGGACGTAAGGGCCGCAGCTCTCAGTTGCATTGGGGAGAACGTTAATGCGGTAGTTGGGCTGGCAGCCGGCTTGTTTCCATACTTCGCAACGAGCTGCTGATTCGGTTGTGGTCAGGGACTCTTCTACGAAGCCGTTTTGGATGGCGAATTGGGTGGCAAGGTCGCCGGCTAGGAGGGTGTGGGTTGTGTCTGCATTTAAGTTAGTGAAATCTCCTTATTTTCATTTCATTTTTCCCCTTCATCCCTTGTCCTTCCATTTGCTTTGGTTTATTCTCAGAAGAAAAGCGAGAAGGGCAAAAGAAGTTCGTGAGTTCTTCACAAATCAACATACACTCAAGCACATATCTCGCAACCCCAATCGCATTCTTCACCCTCCTGAGCGCCGCCACGGCCCCGGACTTCATGGTTGTCCCGTCCATAATCATAGCGTCAAGCGTTGTCTCGCAATTCTCGTCCGGCGACCCGCCGTACCCGACCGTCCCATCGCACTGCGCCTCCTCGCAGGTCGCGCAACCGATCTCAACAGCGTCTAGGGCCGACGTCTCTGCCTCCAGAAGCGAAAGATACGCTGCGTCCGTGGCGACGGTGAAGGCGCCGCCCCAGGTGTTAATCACCATTGGTAGGCCTGGGGATTCATCTGCGCCAAGGACTTGGGATGGGGATATGAATAGGGAGAACAGGAGTTTCCGAAGGAGGTTGGTCATGGTGATGGGGGTATAGCGGGCTGGGGTAGGCGGGGTTGAGGTAATTGGCTAGGAAGAATGAGACGGGAATGAGTACATGGAGAGAGTGAGATGATTGCTGTACAATGAAATTGCAAGTACTGTATGTTGTCGGGCGCTCTTAATATGCACACTACTGTTATCTCCAAAGTTGCCCAGGTTGGTCACTTTCATTATCAACGTTGAGTGGGGTTCAAAGTCGGGGAGCCAAGCCTCTAATGCGATGGATGCGAGTGCTGAACATGGAATGCTATCTTACAAGTCACCACCACGAACGGTCGAGTACGAAGTCGTAGTTTCACTCATTTCAAATTTTTGAGAATCATAAGCAAAACAGGTTTATAAGAAACTGACAGCAGATTTTGAAAGTGACTTAACACAGTGGTAATATACTCTAACATCTTGTTTTGAATCGAAGCCCTATATCGAGCGACGGGGTATTAGCCAAACATATACAAACTTCAAATACACACTTCTGTCAGCTTTTGACAACCCATCCAACGCCATTCCACATTGTACTGTTGGCCTTTCCAGGCCTATCTCAAATGCCAGAATACCCACCGTGCCAACGCCCTGAAAATGCAAGACGCAACCCTTCCGATCATTTCCCTCCTCTCCTCGGCTTTACTTTTCATGCGAGTCGTCATCCTTCCCTTTTTCCAAATCCTTAGCCGCCTCGCAAGACACACTTACAACCCGGTGCGTCACCTTTCCCGCTCGCCCAGGCTCAAACACCAGCGCCGTCAGTTGGCCCCCCTTGACACAGCTGCTATCCAGCCCGTATGTGTACTTTCCCAGGTTGAGCCCTGTCTTCGCATCGTGGCCGTAAACAACATTTATCCGATCCCGCGCATCGAGCTCCTTCTGCGCCTCATTCCACGCCTCGCTCCAGAACTGTCCATCTCGCCCGTCGATGGGCAGCGCTACGTCGTGATCGCCCGTGCCTTCCCCCCGTTGTCGGGAAGCCTCCATCGCGGCGTCGACTTCGGAATCCGGGATCTTCTTTTGCTTGCCGCCAGACTTCTTCGCCGCTTCTTCTAATTGCTTCTTGATCTGCTCACGGCGTACCTGCTCCGCAGGATATACGAGTGTGCGCATGTTCATCACCGCCCAAGGGTCCTGGTTCTCCAGCGGGATATTTGGCACCAGCCCCGCATGTACCACCACCATGTCGCCATACGAGGGTATCCGGCCCAGCTTCAGGATGACAGGCAACTGGCTCAACCAACTCCGTTGAGCCGAGGTGAGAGTCTGCGCTACCGATCTAGCCTTGTAGTCGCCGTGCGAGAAGGCGGGCTCGGCCATATCGTCCTGGTCTCCCGCAGCGACGGGCTCCTCCTGCTCGTCGCTGGTGCCGACGTGCAGAGTGTTCATGTTCTCATAAGCCAGAAGCACGCGGTCTTCGTGGTTCCCCCTCACAGCCGAGGCACCAATCTCCATGGCCAGAGCCACGACTCCGGATGAGTCCGGACCCTTCGCTACCAGGTCGCCGGTGAAGATAACATGGTCGCCCCGCGTCTTGGAGTATCCCGCCTTGGTAAGGAGGGCTTTGAGCTCCGACAGCTGGCCGTGGACATCGCCGATGATGATAAGGTGTGGCGACGAGGTGGACGGCGTGGGTAGGTGGTCTGTTGATAGGGTCCGAAGTGGGATCAGGTTCTTCAGCGGGGGGCGACCGTACGTGCCGTAGGACATAGGCGTCTGCGTTATTTGCTCGGTAGCTGCGTCGTTCGGGGTGGACGGGTTGTCGCCGGATGATGTCTCGGACTTGGAGCTGCTGGCGTCGAATGGGGCTTTAGATAGAAAACCTTGCGCTGACATGGGCATCTGATCGAATCGGACGTAGCAGAGGTATAAAGTCCCGGTGACAAGCAGTAGTAATGTCAACGGCACCATACGCCGCCGTATGAGGTGTATGGGTAGACAGGCGACCATGTTGACTCGCTGTGCCGGGTGATGCGGAGTGACGCAACTCTGAAGATTGGTTCGCGTAACCAGGTCTCACGTCGTGTCCCGTTGGCCAGCTCCGCTGTCTGTCACGTAGTTGTGTTGTTCCGTCTGGTATTTCTACCGAAGCAAGGACCAGCGTCTTTCAGCCTGTTGGGAATTCAGGAAACCGTGAGTTTTATGCGCCGTCTGGTGAGGAGCTGAGGAGAGTTTCAATTGGTCCTGGAGGATGATCGGATCGCCGAGACTTGGAGGCAAGCCGGGCATCGATTGGGAAGTGCACAGGTCTTGCTACGGTGTTTGGGACAACATGAAAAGAGCAAGAGGCGAATACGGGACAGAAACACATGTACCAAGAAGAAAAGCTGCTGACATGGTGAGGTGAGGGATAAGAGTCAAGAGGTTGGTGGTGCATGGCCTACTGTGGTGCCGAGAGCCGAGTTGTGTCTTTCCCCAGAGAAGATCAGCAGGGTCTCGTCAGGGCGTTTAAGTGGTTATGCGGCCTTGGCAGGCCCAACCTAAACAGAGTTGGCAAGTCATCACGCGACTTCCTGTCGTTTGGTCGTTTGGTTGTTTTGGACAAGCCTTGGGTAATGGACGCTACTTGCAATTTGCAATTGGGATGGCTTTTATACAACCAGTTATTAATTGTGCAATGGTCATTGTGTGAGTTCCGTGGAAGAGAACACTTTTTGAGATGCTTGCAAGGTGTCAATGTGTAAACTGAAGTCAGGGCAGATGAGTAACTGGTCATGCAACCGTGGAAGCTGACAAGCACACGAAACAGCTACCTTTTCTTGATTTGTCCACATCCGTTAGTGATCGTTGATCTGGCCTGCGATGGGAGGTTCAGCATAGCCAAAGCACGCAGCATATGGTAGCAATTCCCAAATAGAAGCTGTGATAGCCTTCCAGCTCATGTGGTCTGGGGTCGGCAACAAAAACGAGGCGATGGCTACTGAAAGACATGCGTGACACAACTCAGAAATGCGTTTCATTGGATGATACTTGAAACGTGCCTACGCATCTGTATAGCTGGCTGCTGTTTAGACTTGACAGGGTAATGTTCCATTTAGCAGGTTATATGATGACTCTAAATGCTCCGATGTTCCAAGAGCGGTAAAGCAAAAGCCTGGCATATTGAATCCACGACGGTGCCAGCAAAGCTTCCGCTATCTGGCCCCGTTTGTACGACTGTCGAATTGTATACTGGTCACGAAGACACTTGGATGTATCGGCATTTTCGGGCCACATCCTCGCTGTCTGTTCCTGTCTGAAGTTAACAGGTGGACCTCAAGAGATCCCGATTCGAGGAGTTCTGGTCACCCTTCAGCATGGTCGACTTCGATCTAAAACGAGCGTAGCTTTTCGGGTAGCAATTCCCAAAAGCACTCTTCTACCTTGGTAAAAACTGCTTCAAGATTGGGCGAGGGGAGCTCGAAGCGAGCATGTGGAATCCATGGACAGTCATGCGAACATACGTGCCTAGCGCGGTTTTTCATAACGAACCATCAACGCCACCCAATGCTGTCTTCCTAATGGTAATGTACAGGTATTCGTACAAGCGGTGCATGGCCGCGAAACGAATCGCCTCACTTCTTCTGCTCCTTCGCCTCCTGCTCCTTCCTGAACTTCTCGTTCTCCACCTCCCGCCAGTCCCTCGGCTCGGGTTCGTTCCCGTCTGTCTTCTTGACGGTACCGCCGAACGCGGATCGACCCGCGTAGAGCTGGTACCCTTCTCCAGAATCGGTCGACTCGAGGCTCTTGAAGGTGATTGGCTGGTTCCCCCGGAAGCGCTTGCGCATGTCAATCATGCCTCTCCTGCACTCGCCAAACCCCTTCTTGAGCTGTTGGCATTTCGTTGGCAGCGTTTCGGAAAGCGGTGCTCGTAGGCAATCGGCGGCCGAATGGCGCTGGACCATGACGCACTCGGACTCTTGAAGGCATTGCGCCAGCGCGGCTCCTGGGTTCGAAGGCCAGTCAGTCACTGGTTCGCAAGTGGAGTAGGGTACAGGTTGCACGCACTTATCTCTTTACATGAGCTGGGCATTTTGGCATGAGTGGTGGTGCTGGAGCCTCGCAATGAAGTTGTTGCGCGACAAAAAGTTGATACTTCGCAGCTCATCTCTACAGCCTGAAGCGACTAAAACTACCGCACTCCGATTGGTCTAATTCCAGTGCCCACGTTCGGGGTTGCATAGCACTTGTGGGCAAGTGTGGCCTCAGGTAATGGTGGGGCGCAAGGTTAGCAGGCAGGGAATACGTTCATAGCCATAATACAGCTACCCCCATTTCCGACCGCGGTTTAGGTAAGGCACTATCGGCAGGGGTAATAACTGTGAAAAGTGGCGCGATCATTCCGTTCATATGAAATGTGGGGGGGAGCTTCCCCTAGCTTAACGCCTCAAACGTCTCTAGGAGTCTCTAGAGAGGGAGACTATAACAAATTTCCAAGTTTATATTCTCGCACGCAGCTGCCCTCATTTGGTCTCAATCTCATTGTGCCTTCTTCGACTTTGACTTCTGAAGTTCTTGCACCCCTGTTGCCTTACTCGTCGCTGATCGGCGCTCTGGCAATCGCTCTCCAAGAAGGGAAATTGAGTTGCGCTTATTCGCTTGTGACATCACCAACCGACTTACCTCCGTGTATCTTCAACGACTGAATCCCATCCACATTACACCGTACATTCTCCAACTCTTCCAACTCATCAGAATAATGTTCGCTGCGTCGCGATAACACAGCACACAGCTTCGCCGAAGCTCTTGCCGCAATTCGACAGCAGCCCAGTTCCTTGCGCCAACACATCCACAATGGCCGTGCCGTTTATTGGACGGTTGAACCCGTTAGTCAACTCTAGGGACATCTAAGCTGCGAGAGCAGCTTGGCTGAAAAAGCAATACTGACCGGCGACAGAACCGAATACATCGCGCTCGTGGGCTCGTTCCTTCTTGTTGGCCTTGAAGCTATCATTCGAATCCTGACTCTCGCTCTGCGTACGTGACATTTTTTTCTTTTCTTAAAATGTAGCCCATTACTAACATTAACCGAAATAGCAAACTCCCTCCTCTCCCTGTTCTACGCAGTCTCGCGGCGACTATTTAATCGACTGACATCGCCAGAGCAGAAACGAGCACAGCAGCGTCGCAAGTGTAAGCTCAGCAGACCAGGAATATTAGCATGTACAAGCTTCTAACTCAAGCCCCAGCGATCTCGACTTCGGTTAGGAATGCGTCTGATTTCGTTGACATCTGTGCTATGTTTGGCTACAACGCTGAAGAGCACGTCGTACAAACCAAGGACGGGTACCTGCTAGGGCTCCATCGTCTAGCATGGAAAAAGGGCGAGGAGGATATGAAAGTCAACAGCGGACCGAACAGTATCAGAAAGAGGGTTATTTACATGCACCATGGACTTCTTATGAACAGCGAGGTTTGGGTCTGTCTTACTGACGCTCAGAGATGCCTTCCATTCACCTTGGTGGAGAGAGGCTTCGATGTCTGGGTAAGGCGCCCCAGCTCTTGTTGGTATGCTCTTGACTGACCATTCCAGTTTGGCAACAATCGCGGAAACAAATATTCGAAGAAATCTGTTAAGGTATCACCAGCGACTACCGAATTCTGGAACTTCTCGATCGACGAGTTTGCTTTCCACGATATTCCGGATTCCATCGCGTATATCCTCAACGCCACAAATCAACCGTCCTTGTCATATATTGGCTTCTCTCAGGGCACCGCTCAGTCGTTTGCCTCTTTGGCAGTGCACCCGAAGCTCAACGACCAAGTCAACGTCTTCATCGCACTCGCGCCGGCAATGTCGCCGGCAGGTTTGTCCAACGGAATAGTTGACGCTCTTATCAAAGCTTCTCCGCAAGTCTTGTTTCTCCTATTTGGGCGTCGCTCCATCCTCGCATCAGCAACCATGTGGCAGTCGGTTCTATATCCACCACTATTCGTTCGCCTTATCGACATGGGCCTTTCCTTCCTTTTCAACTGGAAAGCGACCAACATATCTTTGTCTCAAAAATTGGCCGCATACCCACATCTTTACTCCTTTACCAGCACCAAGTCGGTGGTCCACTGGTTCCAGATTATTCGCAACAAATCGTTCCAGATGTACGATGACGACGTACACCCGCCGCTGAGTACTTCGAGCAGGTACACCAAGGTCGCCAAGTACCCGACGCGCAACATCAAGACGCCGATTATTCTCGTGTATGGAGGTAGCGACTCCCTCGTCGACATCAAGGTCATGTTGCGCGAACTCCCGAACCGAACTGTGGCGACTGAGATTCCGCATTACGAACATCTTGACTTCCTCTGGGCACGCGATGTTGATACCCAGGTTTTCCAGCACGTTTTCGATGCCTTGGATAGCTTTACGGACGCCGAGCACACTAAGGAGGAGTTCGAGAGCTACCGTCGTGCCAGATTTCTGAGTCTTGATGCCTCGGCTTCATTTCAGAAGCAGTGAGTTGACTTGCTGATTACTATGTTGCGATCTGTGCCAATCAAAATAGATGGCTGACGCACAGCTGCAGCGCGAATCGCGGTAGCGACACAGTAGAATCTGATGTCGCGTCGGCCCTATCTAACGGCCAACACGACAGCGGCTTCGAATCGGTCGTGCCTCATCAAGCGCGTGAAGACTTGGTTAGCCCGACTCTATCTAGTCATACGCCCGAAGGCCTAGACGCTGGAAAGCCACCACAGACCCCCGACCGGAGACTGCCACTCCGCGCCATTGATGAAGATGCTTCCTCTTCTTCGCTAGATAGGTCTGCTTTGTGGGGCGGGGTTGATGCAGCTCTGTTTTCTCCCGCGCGTGACACTCCGTCTCCTAACAGTGCCAGCAGAGCGGGCAGGACCCAGAAACGTCGGGGAAGCGGCGCTAGTAATCTGAGCTTCGACGGGTCTAAGGATGGTAAGGACAAAGGAGGCGGTATACGGATTAGTACTTCGAAGCCCCTTACCGGCGTCTTGACGAGGCATGTTAGTGCGGGGAGCGCGACAGAGAGTAGTGATGAGGGGCGAAGGAAGAAGTATCAAATAATATGACCAATAAGAGAAGAACAGCGAGATGTGAGCACAATACTCTCATCGAAATAAAATGTCTATCGAATCATAAATTCATTGAAACAATCTTTGGAGTCTGGAGGTAGTTCAGAGATACGACTCTTGCTTGTAGAACAAGTGTCCTGTTAATAGTTACGAAGTTGTAAGTGATGATACGAGTACAGTAATTGCGAGATGCTTCATCGGGAATCTGGCTACTAATACGTGCATAGGTATTTTATCTTGGATAGTTTGGCCATTGTAGAATGGAACTAACAAAATTGTGTTATCTACATCAGTGTGTCCAAAGGCTAGAGAGGCGCCTCGAATTGCAGTGTCGTATTTGTTTATTGAATAATCTTGACGTTCCGAAATCAGAAGGCACTGATAAAAGACTCAACAAGTGTCATGATTGGTGACTTTTAATAACCACCTACAGGCGATACCAGTTTACGTCAAGCCGGGTAAGTAGGAGTGTTCCCACTGACTAGGTATTCACCGCCATGACTGATACAGATAGCAATTATAGACTAGTTTGATTGCTCAACCGACTTCAGAGATTTCTCTGGGACGACGTGAGTGGAAAGCCCCTGTTTACGAGAGTGGTTATAGATTATGTGTATTCGCGTGCCGGGCCGGGGGCGCATTCAAATTAGTCGTGTACAACGGAAGATTTGGTTCACTGAGGCCAAGATGTGCGTTAGTGTAGATAAGTTGGTGTATATGAGCCTGTGTTGCAACATCATAGAGCAGGAGAAAGACTGTCGTGAGTTCGTTCACTTCCAATCGCCATCACGCTAATCGTGACATTACTGTTGCCAGATCTTACAGAGGTCCAAAATGTTGTCTAGCGGCTATCTCCACGTCTTCGAGTTTTGAGTTGATATTGTGTGCCTCTTTAAATGCGTTGACATGTAAGCAGTCAAGATAAGCAATGAACATTTGGAAAATATGTCTAGTATTGGATAGCTCAGTTGATGCTTGAGCTACTTGGTTCGATTTGCAATCTACTTCAGTGTAATGGTCCGGCGTACAAGTGCCGAGGTATGCAAGGTATACGGCACAAGCCCTCTGTTCTCTAATTCTCACAGATAACCCGCGTCAATATCTTCAGCTTATGCCCCTTTCCTCATCTCCACAAGTGGTGTAAGGGCGTGTTTGCTTCAGCACAGGTTTTGGCACATGTGCGATTCCCAAAGATATCAAGACATGCCAACACCCTTCTTAACATTTGTTCTCATGGCCTTCAGCGATTCAAGGAATTCATCCAGACGTCTCCAATCATCTTCCGCAAATGTAGTACCAATAAGCAAAGAACTCATCTCGTCCCTGCGGGACTCCATGCCCGGGCTCGCTTTCTCCCTTGTTCGAGTGTCGGTCTTCTCTTTCAGAGAGGTGATAAATTCGTCCAGAGGTTTCGAGCTCCTCTCGGTGTGACCATCGGCATTCCTGGAGGACTTTCTCGGGGTCAGTTGTCCCTGGCCCATGAAAGGTAGAGGAGCGTTGCGAGTAGGAGTTGTAAACAACGATCTCGGTGTTCCTGTTTCTCGGTTTTCGTGGAAGGTATCACGCCATTCTGACTAGGAACCGCGGGGTATTCCACGGGAAGTAGAACCAGCAGCGTCCGTGACAGCCGATGCAACCGAGGCCACATGGCTTAACAGCACGTGCTCTCTAGGTCTGGGACCCTGCCGAAGGTTCTCGAACTCGGTACTTCGTCGGGGTAGTTCCCTTGTGTCTCTCGGGTCGACATCGATATCCATCGACTCATGTCTAGAGTTCAGGTTTGGCTCCTTTCTCCATATGTCATCCGCATGGCGCCCAACGTTCAATCGTGACGCGTGTGTGCTCGTAACAATATCGTCGCTTCGGTCGGAGTCGCGCCTGGGATCTTCCGTCTGTGAGGCGGTCCCAGAGCAGCTGCCTAGAATGCGCTCTCCAGCATCATCCCCAATGTCATCATCAGCATCACCGACATCCCTCTTCAGAATTACAACTTCTTCTTCGGTAAGTCCTTTCCAGTTACATCTCGCGTGCTTCTTGGTGCACCCCTGGCACGCCGTAAGGTGCTTGATGCAGTTTGTCTTGAGCCGCCGACATCTATCACAGGGAGGGTTGATGATGTCTCCTCGCGCAAGCTTCTCTACCTTTACCAGGACTAGTGCTCGGTGCTCCTCTTCAGCATCCCGGTATGCCGGTTCTGGGTGGTAGCTGGGTGACGGACGATTGCTCATTGAAGTGAGCACTTGTTGTTGAATAGAAGTTCGGGGGGTAGACGACGCAGTCGCCAGCGTGCCTGGGGTGGGGGGCACAGAGCTGATGGACGGCAATCGGTGATTTGCCGATAAGGTATTTGCGATGAATTGTTGGAGTAGATCGGCATGTAAGTCGTAACCAAGGTTGGCGCCGCTAGAACGACCAGGCTGGTTCACAGCTTGGAATCCAGAACCTGAACTAGATGGCTGTTGCGTTGACCTTCTGCCGTTGATGGCTGCCCTTCGACCACTTAAATGATAGTTAAGCTGTCTAGCCTTACGAGCAACTTCATCCGCCCTTTTGATTAGTACTTGCAACCGTTGCTCTAAAATCTCGAGCGTTGCGAGCTCTGCCGACTCATCCTCTTCGAGTGGCTGGGGCGGGACAAGTCTGAAGCGGTCCAAAGCACCCGACATAATCAGCCGCCAGTCGTCTTCGCCGATCTCAACCTGGACACCTTTCAAAGGAAATTGACAACTCCGCGCGCCATTGGATCCCGTCGTCAAGGTGAAGTCTCCAGGGTTGGACTTGGCGAATTCGACGATGTCTAGCCAAGTCACCGGATCGGTGGTGAACATTGTCTGAGAAGGAATGGTGATGATGGAGCCCTCGAACACTCCTTCCATCGCTTTCAGCAGACGAGGACCAGTGAGCTTGGCCCCAAGATTCGATGCGAGACTTTCATGGCGGGTCAATACACCTAAACATGGTGTGAGTGAGTTGGTCAAACTGAAAAATGGTGATAAGAAGAAAGGACCCATCGCAGTGGACTGGCTTATGACCGCCGCCTCATGAGAACGCCGGTCTAGACTCGAGGCGGGAATAAACGGTACTAGGACTCGTTATCTTCTCCATTATGGCCTTCTAAACCGCTTGACACAATATATATTCGCTATAGTGGTGCCAACCGCGATGAGCCATGTCTCTCGGCACAAGACAGATATGAGCGATTTAAGAGAGGAGTGACAGACCTTCATAATCATTTATAAGGGACAAAACATCTGAGAAGGTGTCCCCATCACCCTGTATCAATTTGAGTTTCGCGGCATTGACTTTGGACAAGTAATTGATAGGCACTGCGTTGCCTTTGGAAAGGCGGTCAGTACAATTTCATGAATACCAAAAAGTCCGGACCCCGAGGCTTGGAAGTGGTTTTGAATGATGCAGCACAGCATGAGCGACCAATGCATTAATATGAAAATATATGCGAGAGGAGCAGGGTCGTGGAACGGAGGAATCATATTAAAACATATCATGTTGTGAGTTGGAGTCGCTGGCTAGAACCAGTGCACCATCTGAACCACATTGATGTGCCAGAACCAGCCTTGGAGATGTCTATAAAACTGCAACGTACCTGACTGCGGAGGTGGAGGTTGTGGAATGCGCTCTGAGTGACCGGATTGGCCGCCACTATCGTCGTCATTGCGTTTCCGCTTGTGCTGCTCCGATTCCAGATTATGCGCCATACTCGGAATTCTCAACCATCCATGGGCATGTGAGTGTGATGCGCCCCATGTGTGATTTACGGATTGCGCTTAGGAAATCGCTGCCGATCGTCCGGCTCCGACGACCCAATGGCCCGGTCCTGTTGTATCCCGAAGAAAAATATGACGGCTGGATCTGGACATGCGTGTTCGACAACCTGGCAAACCCGACGAGAATGGACCTTTGGCGGGGTGTGGACTGGCTCTACCAAGGTGGGCGGTATCCTAATGATGGAATTGTAAAGGGAGACGGGTGGTCATATTTGTGCCGTCTGCAACTCGGTGATCAAAACCCGCAATGAGGCGAACAAGGTGCCGGCCGGCAAGGTGGAATGAGTGCCGAGCTGGTGGGATCTCACCGAGCACACCCCACATCAAATGAACAGAGGCACAAGCAGCGTTGGAAAACGAGAGACAGGCAGGTTGAAAAGTGGTGCCTTGCCGATTCATGAACTCCACTGTCTTCAACTGGCAGGAAAAATCATCAGAATCGCAGCGGATGAGGGCTGGCGGGGTTCGCAGTGGAAATAAATAAGAGAGTAGAAGGTCGAGGTTGATGAGTCGTGCCTAATAAGTGCAAGCAAGAGCGAGCGCGCGCAGCGGTTTGAAGAGGCAAGCACGAGCCAATGCCTGCAACGAGCAAGTCTTGGTTGTTTTAGTCGATTTTGGTCCATCTCACCCTATGTTCTCGTCACCGTCTCCAACAAGACGATCCGTCAAAATGGGCAAATCGCATCCTCTCTCCCTCGCCTCAATCATTTGATTTTCTTTTTGGACCCCTTAAGCTATACTACAATGGCCCCTTGGGCGAGTCTGACCCATGTCGGCTGGCAGAAGCTTTTGGAAAAGATGGAAAAGATGGAAAAGATCTTCGAAAACAGCAACTTTTTAATCACCTTGGCGTCGTCCTCCTGCATCGGGCTGCATCTCTAGACTGGAACTCAGACCCATCGACAAGGTCTCCAGTGTTCGGGGTTTGATGGTCAACAATGAATGTTCGCGTAAACATCCAACGCAGCCGGCGGACAGCTTAGTCGTACAAACTGCCCCTACATCCCAATCAGGTCAGCTATACCATGGTAGGAAATATCATATGTGCAAATTCAACTGCCTTGGGTTGCTCTCAACTGAAGATGCAAGTGCCGATGGCTCATTCGGCTCTTTTGAGGCTGCCGCAGTACTTTACTGCTCGAATAATCCTAATATCACCAATACTCAAGTCAACACTGGTTGTCAACCTGAGGTCCAAATCAACCTAAATCGACCTTGAGGTGACTTCAACACGTATTTGCCCTATGCAGTTGAACGAGCTACCCCGTAGTTTGTGCTGTTTCCATATTCCTGGTCCATGTCAAAGTCAGTGTTCCCGAACTTATGTTGCAGCAACCCACCCTCTGTGCAAAATCGTAATTCCCCAATCCCGGCCTTTGGTAGCCTTGCAAGATCTCCACAATCAGCCCCAAAATTTTGGAACGAAACAGCAAAGCTCCCCCGCTGTAGTTTGCGGCAACAGGAACTAAAAAACGACAATCTTATCGCATTGCTGGACCCGAACAAACAGCATTTCCCTCAGCGAACAAGGCGAAGCTTCTGAAAGATTCTGACAGACGCGTTCCTTACCAGCCTTGCCATAGATCCAATTACTGGACTGACAAAGACACGAAACGGCCGGTCCAGAACCCCGCCTCAAACCTGCGATCCGTTAGCCTTCGGACCACACTTAGCAGCCAGCACACGTTGCTAATCCTAAATTGGCATCTAGCTGAGCCGTGTTCTTCACCGCAATTTTCGGGCCGCATCGGAGCAACTATCTCCAGTCCATCTCGAGACCTTTCTCGTACCACACCAACCGACATATCCTCACACACCCTCTCTCTCTCTTACCCACATACACAAACAATGGCCGACCGACCACCCCACCATCGTGGCGGCCGAGGCGGAGGCGGCGGCGGGAACTACCGTGGAGGGCGGGGGGGAGGTGAAGGCCGCGGCGGACGCGGTGGAGGACGAGGTGGCGGGGCTTCGGGCGACCACCACGAGCGCGAGCGCCCCAAGAAGGAGAACATTCTTGATTTGGGCAAATACATGGACAAGCGCATCACAGTCAAGTTCAACGGCGGCCGCGAGGTGACGGGCACGCTCAAGGGCTATGATGCCCTGATGAACTTGGTGCTGGACGACGGGCGTGAGGTGGTTCGAGGTATGATTATATCTCTTTCTTTTCTCAAGTTTTTCTACAATGATCGGGGCAAATTTTCCGTGCATTATGAATACCTAACTGACAATGCTGGTGGCTACAGACGACGAAGGCAACGACAGTACTCGAGGCCTGGGCCTCGTCGTCGCGAGAGGCACGCTTCTCGTCGTCATCAGTCCCTGCGACGGCAGCGAGGAAATTCCAAACCCGTATGCGCAGCAGGATGAGGATTGAGCTAGTCCCAGTCTAGTTTCGGAAGCCCCATGCTGCACCACAGAAGAGGCACCGAAACGTCATGAGATATGCAAAAAGGGGCGTCCAGGTGGGAATAGACCTGCAACTGCCTAAGTTTAGATAAGAAAGTAGTGGATACACAATACCCAAAAAGGGTGCAAGTAAGTTCACTTGCATGTGGCGGACGAGCGGCATACAACGAGCTCTGCAATCACCATACACCCATGTACTTTATGAGGCCAAGCATCGCCCATCTGCTGCTTAAGAGGCTAAATTGAGGATTGGGAAGCTGGCATGTATTGGGATAGGCTATTCGTGGATACCCCCTGAGATGGGGAATACATACCACTTGAGTACTTGAGTGAGAACGTACGACACTTAGATTAATTAAACATGAGGCCCCCAACATGATCGACGCGTCTTGGCACTGCCGCCGCACTTCCCCCTGGAGTTACTCTCACTTCGATTTCGTGCGACCCACGGAGTAGACAGGGGATGAAGAAAATTCACGGTAAAGCTGATCACTCAAACCAAAGTCTGGGCTGCGTGGTATTGACCTGGATTCGTCTCAAAGCACAATTGCCACCCAACCCATTTCTTCACTTCACAGCGCACTCCAGAGTCACTGAAGTAAACCATTTCATGACTGATAGTTACTCAGTTTCAAACAGTCATAATCCTCTCTTCTCCCCATAAAAGGGAATATTTACTCGCTCATTCTCCCCCTATCCACCTGCCTGCTTGTCTCACCTGTTCGTTTCCCCCTCCCCTCCATTGCACTATCGATCCATCCGTCCTTTTTAGCCTATCCTATAGTCCTATACCAAGTTTCTAGTGCCCTTGATGAAATCTAACAAAGAGTTCAATCATTGAGAACGGGACCTCGACCTCTCTCTTTATCTTGCACCTTCGGTCAGCCCGCCGAGACATGGGTTTCGCAACGGAACTTCTTCTAAAATTCCTGGCTGGCATGCTGGGCAGAGTACCCCTGACTGGTCCGTTGCTCGTCGGGAGAAATACCCCCATAGTGTACTAGTCCTCGAGCCGGCGCATGCTTGCGACGGTTTTGCTTTTTCTGCTGTTGCTGATGCTGCCACCACTGCTCCTCGCGCCCTAGACTTGACGGTTCGCTGCTAACCTTGTGAAATAGCTGTGACTCCATCTCACTGACGGAACTGCCCGTCGTCTGTGTACCTCGTTCACTGATATGGTGGCCCTCAATTGTGTGTGAGCCGAATCTTCGGCTCTGGTACACTAGATTGGTCTGCTCCCCAGTTCCATTCCTCTGCTTTTCCTGGCCCCCTTGCTCACTATGTTGCGTCCACTGATCTCCTGAACCCCCCTGGTAGCCGTAATATACTTGCTGATAACCCGCGTTCGCCAACTGGCCCCCGCTGTCCGGCAGATATAACGGGCTGGGCGGCTGGCCTTGAGGTTTCTGCTAAAACCCTCGACTGGCCTGCTTTCCATGTGGCTTCGCGAGCTCGTTGAAGCAGTTTGCCACCATTTTCTTTAACTCTTTGTACGAGACAACGAACACGGTCTGGTTGTCACGACTGGCGAGATGGATTCGCTCATCGATACCTGCATCGAGTTTGTTCAGACTGCTGATCATGTGTCCCAGGTCTAACACTGGATGCCCGCTGCTATCAACCTGGTGGAAAACGTAATCGCGGAACAACTTGAGCTGATAGCGTTCGCCGTTCTCGGACCAGCTAGGGTCGTTGTCAAACTCGGGGCGCTCGTTGATGGTGCCGAGTTTCATCACCAGTCGGGCTATTCTGCCGTTCTCGAGCTCCCTCATGAGGTTGGAATTGACCTCATCCTGCGCGTGCAGGGACGTGTCGAAGCAGTCGACAAAATGGCTAGATAGGCCGCATGCCAGTTCAAGTATATTCTTCTGTGCCGTTTCTTGAGGCGACGGACGGGAAAGAAGCCAGATCACCCGCTCTCTGAGTTCTACAGAGTAAGTGCGACCAAATTGTTCAAGAGCGCTCTGTGGAATGACAGTCTGTGGACTGCCGAGAGCTGGTGTGTTTGTGCCGATGCTCAGAATTAGTCTTCCAAGTTGAATGAAGTCTTCCTGTTGCATATCCACCAATGGCTGCGTGGACTCGTAATCCAACACGTCGAGGATGGCACAGCCTCCGAGTCGTACGCGGTTCTTGTCTGTAAGAATGACTTTGCTGGCGTCGATACAGCGCGCCGCAAGCTTTTCGGCGTGGATAGCCTTGAGTGCATTGCAAATCTGACATATATAGCTCCACAGAATGCTTTCGGGGACTGAGAATTGTCGCGTATACCGGCTCCCTTGAGCTGTGTTGAAATGATGCTCTGCGAGGGTCTTCGACAGTGGGTGGTAGTTGTGTATGAAGACGAGAGAGTTGTCACTAAAGTCCCTCGACGTAAAGCACTCGATGACCGATACAACGTTGCCATTACTTATACGTTTCCAACTTTGGATTCCCCTGACCGACTCTACGTTGTTCAAGCGAAGACCTTGTAGTCTCCTGAGACAATATGTATGCCCATTTTTCTTGGAAGTTGCCTTGTAGACCCAGCTAACGTAGTTGCCGAAGAAATTGGCGCCAGACCTCGGGGTGTCCAATGGAACAAGGCTATGGTAGTGATTGCTGACAGTTGGAAGTTGTGAATTGGGCAAAACCTGTCTGGTAGCATCGGCCTTCTTGTGCAATTCCTCCCTGATATCCTCGCGCAAAAAGAAGTCGTGTGGCTGTCGTTGGTATGGAGTGAGGTCCTGCTTGTAGGGACCGGTTGGGGCATAGAGGTGGTATTGCAGAGGCTGCATAGGGGCTGTGTATCCGGTCTGAGACGTGTAGTACGAGCCGCCAGCTGCGGCAAGGTGATTTTGGTCCTCTGCATATGGGTTGTATTGGGCTGCAGGCAATGTCTGCGCCATGGAGCTCATGGCGAAGAAAGGGTCATGGACGGAGCCACTTGCCTCAGGTGTGACGCCATTTGTGGTTCCAGTCGCGTGCAGGTCATAGTTCTGGGGGACCTGTGGAGTAAACTCCCTGATGGCAGCAGGGTTGAAGACACCACCGCCAGAGACATCTCCATCTTGAGCGCCGCCCTTGGGGGTGAAGGGCGTGGCGTTAACCGTCTGCGACGAAAACGTGAACTTCTTGGTGCCCGACTGGAGCTGAGCAGGTGTGAAGGCAGGCGAGTCGACGTTGAGTGATTTCTTCATGCTGTTCTCGAAGCTGTCGGCCTTATTTTGGTCATGGTTGAAGGCACAACCTTGGTTCTCGTACCGACATTTGCCATAAATTAGAATGTTGCGACACAGGGTATCCTTGGAGTCTCGTGTTTTGGGTCGTGGGGACGCCATCTGTCTCCCTCGTTCGGCGGGAGTAAAGCGCGAGGTCGCCATGCGGAGAGTGCTCCTGCAATGTTGATTCTAAGCGCTCCTCTCAATATTGGCAGCATGTGCGGCTGCAGCGTAAAGCGGGCGCCGCCTTCTTCTCAAATCTTCAACCCCTGTTCGCCGTTGGCATCGATTAACCCACAGTTAGAGAGCATCGGAAAAGAAGGGCAAAGCTCGCGGGAGTTAGAGGTCTCTCGGTTGAAAAGTGGACAGTCGCGACACGACGCGATCCACGTGGATGGAGGGGCTCGAGATCTCGGTGAAAGACTTTACTTACTCGATGGCTCAAAGGGCTCCCATTTTATAGCGGCTAGGGGCGAGCACTCACCCATCGAAAGGCTGAAGACGAGTTGTGCGATATGGATCAGCAATTACTGTCTGGACGTTGAACGACGCGACCGTCAATTGGGACCTGAGGAGAGGTTGACGATAAGGTCACAAAGAATCTACCCACGGCGACTATGTGGGTTGGGGCGGCACCGGCTCTGCCAAGACCCTTCCTCCCCTCCTCTCCCCCCATTGTGCGGTAGCATTTACATTGTTGTCAGCCTCGACTGGGATATGGGCTTCTGCGGGCTTTCGATAATCAAAGATAACTATATGGCTAGGTTGCTTTTGGCAGTATCTTCAAAATAAACGTCATTTGCATCCAAGTTTTGGGTCAGTTAACGAGACGGTGCAAGGGGTAAATTATCAGAACTAGTCTACTTCGGGCACCTTTTGAGCATCAGAAAGTACGTAGCCAGCCGCCGTCACTCCGACCTGCCACATCGTCACGCTGCCGTTGGACTGGAACTGAAAGCCGTATGCAGCAGCTGGATCACTTTACGAGTTCTTTCAGTGGGACCAAATCATAACGAAGCTAATGACACGAGTCCTGATCGTCCAGTCGCTTTGGTTCCTGTGAACGTTATTTCTTCGTTTCATAAGCTTGAAGCTCTTGCTAGGTACCACAATCAGCTGGTGTTCAACTTCCAGGTTACCACGTTTCCACCACCTTGCTCTTACTTGCACATAATCAATCCACCTGCAAACCGAGACAGCTCCCATGAGAGAGATTGCCAGCGATACTCCCCACGTCCCGTACCATCTTTGATTGTTCGACAACGTAACGCCACAGCGACATCTCGCGACAACGCATGTTAATGGGCCGTTCCAAGCTCGAGATTCCATAATCGTAGGAGGATAGGCGCAAGACTATCATCATGGCCAGCGACACGGTCGACATAAGCCAGCTGAGTCCAGAGCAGCAAGCAGCTCTGGACCAGTACACGGCGGTCACAGCGCAAGACGTCAAGGATGCAGTACCGCTGCTGCAACGGTCACAATGGAACGTCCAGATTGCAATAGCCAAGTTCTTCGATGGCGAAGGCCCCGATCCGCTGGCTGAAGCAATAGCAGCTCAGGGTGGCATTCCACCTCCGACAGCCGCTCGCCACGAGAACTTGCAAGAGTCATTGTTGGCGTCTTCGTCGCCCTTTAGCATTCCTAGGCGCAACCGACCCGAACCCGCACCGCGAATTGTGCCTCAGCCAGCGTCAATGCACCGCCCTCCGTTCCTGCTGTCCTTCCTCTTTACGCCCTTCAACTTCGGCTACCGTGCCGTCTCGACACTCTTCCGCACATTCATTTATGTGCTCTCTTTCCTCCCGGCGCCGCTGCGACCTCGCGCCATCACCACAACCATGACAACCGGATGGAGAGGAACAGCTGGCCGGCGGATGTTGCTGCCGCGTGACACTGCAGCCCGATTCAAGCGCGAGTTCGAGGAGGAATACGGGCCTGACACGAACTTGCCTTTCCACGAAGGAGGGTTTGCACAGGCACTCGATTTGGCCAAGAAGGAGCTCAAGTTCTTACTTATTGTGCTCATGAGCCCGGAGCACGACGATACCGAGTCTTTCACACGGGAGACACTTCTCTCGCCAGAGATAGTAGCCTTCGTCAACGACCCAGCCAACAATATAATTCTCTGGGGCGGCAACGTACTGGATTCCGAGGCGTACCAGGTGGCATCCGAGTACAATGCGACCAAGTTCCCCTTTTCATGCTTAGTCTGTCTCACCCCCAAGGAAGGGAGCACACGGATGAGTATCATAAAGCGTCTCGTTGGTCCTGTGTCTGCCTCCACTTATTTGGCCGAGATCCAGACGGCCATCACTAAGTACAGTCCTGACATTGCTGCAGCAAGGGCTGAACGCACCGCGCAAGAATTCTCGAGGAATATGAGGGCAGAGCAAGATAGCGCCTACGAGCGCAGTTTAGCGGCAGACAGGGAGAAGGCACGCCAAAAGAAGGAAGCAGAGGCCGCAGCACGAGAGGCTGAGAAGCGAGCTCTTGAAGAAGCAGCCGCAGCAGAATTGCTGGCCGAAAAGCGCGAGCAGTGGCGCCGATGGCGCGCTACAACCATCCCATCCGAACCGGATGCCAGCGTGAAAAATGTCGTGAGACTGGCGCTGAAAATGCCCGAGACCGAGACCTCGGCCGGCGGCAGGATCGTGCGCAGGTTTAAGGCGGATACGAGGATCGAGGAACTGTACGCTTTTGTTGAATGCTGGGAGTTGTTGTCCGAAGTAGAGGGGTATGAGAAGGCCAGCGAGCCCGAGGACTACAGCCACGAGTACCGATTCCAGGTCGCGAGTTTGATGCCCCGAGTCGTGTACAAACCAGATGAGGATGCCACGCTCGGCGAGAAGATTGGGCGGGGTGGGAACTTAATTGTGGAAAACATCGTCCTACATGATGAAGAGGAGGAGTTGGAATGATAGATGAAAACTAGATGAAAACTACTGACGATGCTGCTGATATAAAGTCTTAGAATATTTAACCGGAACGAGGTCATCTCCAACTTCAAAGAAACAGAGAATGTATATTAGGTGCCACATAGACATCCCTTGCTGATGCCACAAAACACCCTCATGTCAAAGCGGTGACGCGCATTCTATGGGACAGATTCCGGGGGCACTTGGTACTACTGTACAACTCGTGTGCCCGCAAAACACATCTTCCTCAATATTGACAAAATCGCTGTGGATGACCTAAACGCCAGTCACCCGAATTTATGTTCAACAGCAGATTCGAATTCCAGACGTGAGTTATTCTATATCTAAAATCCATAGGTGTCAGTTTTTATGTCAAATTTATCTCAAATAGACAAATTTATTCTATCCCACTTCATCCCTTAATCCTCTCAAAATTCAGCCGAGACAGCAATTATTCCACCATCAAAACCCTCAGTCATGTGCGTAACGATCTCCTTATACACCGGGTCCTCATTGTGGAAGTACTCCATATCGCTATTCATAGACACAGTATCAGCAAAAGAAATCTACTCCACCACACAACAATGGTTTTGAGTATGTTATGTTTACTCACGCTTCGTTGGCAAAAGTAAGTGTCGCCACTACAGTCCAAGGAGACGAGCCAGGCTTGTCGGCGACGACCGTACACTTGGATGCTTTGGAAGTGATCAAATAAGGGGCACCGTCCTGAGCAGTTGGATCTTGTTAGTTGGAGTTGTCTTCGCTGGACATTGGGGGGAGAGGCAAATATCATGTTGCTCGCCTTCTTGCATTCCGTGGCGAAGCTGCTAAAGTGCTTGACGGCGGCCTCTTGTTTCGCGGGGTCGGAGATGGCGATGAGGGCGACTCTGGTAATGGGGGCCATTTTGACTTAGGGGATTATGAGAGTCTTCCGGACTTTTTTCCCCGTTAGGTTAAAGAGTATTGTTGTTTTGTAAACTGAAGCGAGATGAGATGCTGGTCTGTTGTGTGTTGGTCAGATGCCTGAGAAGAGTGGTGTTGCTTTGAGACGGTGCTGGACTTATATACATCAACAACCTCACTTTCTTGAGATATGTGACGGGCTTGTGGAGGTTGCCGTCATATCATGCCAAGTCAATGTCTAAGAATTGCATGATAGCTTGCGGGAATTGTTTGACATAGCGAATCCGAGGGGAAGGGGGGATTGTGCATAGGCCTCTGACAGAGATGAACGGATAGGAAGTCTACCGAAGAGGAATTATACAAGCCAAATATTTCGACGAATAGAGACTTCGCTAGTCATTAGTTATTGAGTGATGATTGGTTATGATCCAGTTTCCGAGTGCCAAACTCGATGCATAACAAAGCTTCATACTAGAAGCAGAAAGAGGGGTCGGGTTTAGCTTTAATTCCATGAAACTCGGGAAAAGAGCTGATTTAACGATGGACTGTCTCTGGTTGTGTTACAAGAAACTGAGCTGACCCCGGATGGGTTGGAAATGGGTAGCCTATGACCACAGCTCGCTTTCGGTAACTCTAAGCTCGACAAGCACTTCATGCGCGTAGTTGGTAGTTTCAGTCCTGCCATCGCAACTGGGATCTAGGACTCCTACTATTTCTGGGGTTGGTTTCGGCTTATCTGCCAAGAGCATCGTGCTAGTTGACAAGGATTACGTCGTTTATATAGCCTGGATACGTGTATAGCAACCCCCTGAATCCAAGCTGTTTTGTGTTACACTCTCGTATTACTATATGTTATGTGTTGGTATAATTTCAATCAATTTGCTTTAGTATAACTTGACCAGAGGCAGTGTCGTCAAGTATCAATGTACTCGTGCACCCTACGACTGTCAAATTCGCTGTTTTAATAACCCTGAGAGATTCCTGGATGACACCCCCTGAGTTCATAGTCCAAAATCTCAATGCCCATACGACTTTTTGTAACGAATACGACCCGGTAAATCAGGATATGTATCCTCCCATCTATGTTCCCTCATTCTGCTTTGCCACCGCATAACCTCCTTTGCGCCAGCTCATCAAATCTGCAACAGCCAGCACCGTCTCGGCCAACTGAATAATGGAAAATGGTATCAGATTATACTGCCAGCCTCTCATCAGATGCAAAATGCTCTCTATATCACTCCTTCCAGCGACCAAATCGAGCTGGAGCACAGCGGGGAACCAGTTTTGCGGCGTCCACGTATTCTCCGGATACGGGCTGCCATCCAGCCGAGATGCCAATTCGACGTCGATGATCTGCCCGCGATGTGCGTTCGTGACAGCAAACGTAAACGCCAGCGCACCGAGGGTGAGGAGGAGTGCGGGAATGTTTAAAGCAATCCAGAGATAATACGGGATATTGCTTCCCGACTTGCTGCGGGAGTTGGATCGACTTCGAAGCCTGAGGGACAGAATGCCACCGAGTCCGATGAGGACGAAGGCTGTTCCTGCCGCGCCGTTCGAAGTGTGTCCTTGGTCGACGAGGAAATTCGAGGGTGTGCCGGCCAGTGGGTAAGTGGCGCCATTGTAATTGAATTCAAAACCCTTACTTGCGGTTCGATGTACCCATCCGACCATACTACTGACAAAGGAGAGCTCGATTAGAGAATCAACCATGAGCAAGCTTATGGCGATTTTGAGGGCAAGAGATGTTTCCGCCATGACCTTTTGTCGTGGTAATCGATTTCGGTGGAGTTGACGAGGACAGATGAACGCAATGGGAGCGTAAGGTCACCGACATTACGGACTAAGAAGATCCTTATATTGCGCCATCAAACCTTTGTATCTACGTTTAATCCTCGACAGAAACCCGTGGTGATAATAAGGCTGAGGGTTTGCGCCCAGGCCATATTTTTAGAACTATATCAAGGCATGGCAGTTGAAGCTTACCATTAGTGCTTACTGCGGCTGAGCAGCTATGCTTGAATTCTACTCGCGACTAACATCATTGCAGAATCTTCCCAGCCAGGCGGTGCTATGCATGCGGAATTCAGCCAGCACAGAATTCCGTCGCTCTCGCCGATAGGTTGCTTGTGGTAGACTGGTATCCCATCGAACTCAACCGCACAACCGACACAAAGAGATATGAACTTCGTATTCTCTACCTGTGATTCCAAATTATAACTTCACATTACTGCAGTATTTCGCTTACAGAGTCTGGACCCGCGAGGGTTAGTCCCCCAATAATTCTACCGGTGCGATCTTATGAATAGTAAACAAATTTACACAAACTAAAAATCTCGCGCAAATGAATTTGTTGCTACATTCGATTCTGCAGAATCATGAATTAAGAGATCCAAGCGAATGGAATGCTCTACTTCAGAGCTACCAGCTAGTGACAAACTCAAACCCGGCCCCTTTTGCCAGCGAAACAATACACACAACCGATTCCATAACGAGTGTCGTGGCGTACAGCCTGAAATCAGATAACAAAGCCACAGTAATGATAACTGACAACAAGAAGGGAAGTTCTCGAAGCAGCGTTTCGTAGGCCATCAACGGCTTAAGCGACATTTGAGGTTACTTGTTGCAGTTTGCTACTAGATTCCAACTTCTCTCCTGGGCTTCCTGACAGGCGGTGCCGAATTGCTGAAGGCAGCCCTCTTTGCGCGCTGCTCTACTCTGGGCTACTGTCTGTCGGTGTGGGTCATCAAATACTCCTATCGATGGCTTGACCATCTTCATTGGATCTTGAGGTGGTGGCTGTTGCTCTTGAATGCCATGTCGCGATGTGCTAGGCTCTCCGAAAACCCCACTGAAATTGCTGTTAGAACCGTTCCATCTATCAAAATTTGGGTTCATTGCAGGTACTCACCCTAGGGCAGCTGCAGCCTCTCTTTCTTCCGCACATGTTGGGCTGGCGCCCTGACTACTAGTCCCACGTTAGTTGCTGATGGCGATATCTGGCGCCTTTAAAACTAACCTAGCAGAAGAAGCGACCTGGATGTTATCAGCGTCTTTAGCCTTTGGCGTGTCTTTCATGGTGAATATGTTTCAGGCGGTCTTGATTGGGCTGTTTTCCTTTCTGGATATATAGTAGCGGATGATGTTCGTTGAATAGTCGATATATCATGCACGGCTGCCTCCTATTTATCTTCCAGATCTCAGACCCTGTTGCCTGGACGGCTTGCCGCAACACAGTCATAAGACTATCATCCCAGATCACGTTTCATGGCAACATCTTGATGTTAGAGGGAGCCGGAGCAATACTTCTTTGTGTTGGAGTCTTTCTAACTACCTGAGTGTTCGAGTATGTGGGTAATTGATCAGTTGATTCAATGTTAGCTCTCAGATCGGCAGAAGCAACAAGAAGACGAAGAGAACACCATAATCACAGAGATATAGAATATGGCACCTGAAACTCTCATGTGTTCAGTCGGTAGGCTCTTCATTAGTTAGAAGAAAGGGACAAAGAAGTGGTGCTTGAATAACAGAAATCAATCTCGTCAAATGATACATTCCGTAAGAACGAAGATTGAAGTTGTATTGACCAGAAACAACTCTTGTTACCAATAGAAAGATCCTTGGAAAAGAATCTTCTGCAAAAGATGTGGTCCCTGGTTACTCACGCGTTCTGTGCGACCAACAAATTTGATATCTTGCTCCAAATCTTCACGCACTATTGCATCTTCGCCTTTAGTTTCCTTTTCCGGATGTTTCAGTTGCCTAACATGCTGTTAAAGAAGGGAGAATGGTATCAGTATTTTGTCACGTTATGTCCATGTGTGGATTGTTAGGTGAGGCTCTGAGAGACCATGAGCTCATCTACAGTTTTATGCTCTGCTGGCGATGTAGTCTCTAAAACCCTGACGCAGCGAGGGCTCACTTCTTTTTCTCACTCCGAATAAGTGTTCGGTCTCACTTATCTATGATTTGTGTTAGAGTTGAAGGGAACTAGGAATGAGGAGCCGATGTGTCACCCAAACTCCGGAAATATTTAGAGACAGAAGGGCAGGGGTATGCTTGTCAAGGCGCGATGTTGGTTGGTATAGGGTACACTGTCGTGTGTGTCATGATTTGAGTGGTCCACACTTCAAGCTAGACTCATTCCTAGTTTCCAGAAAATACATATTATCGTCCCTAAGTGTTTCAAATTAGAGGGTCAAGATCAAGAGCGCGCTCGTAGGTGTCCCTCACATTCTGTGTGTTACGAATGCCGTGCTGCACTTGGACTTCAATTCTGTGGACGGAGAATTACGAATGGTTTGCGAGATTTACATTATATAGTTCTGGAAAACAAAATATAGCATGCCGAGTCTGGGACGGTGTGGGAAATGGGGCGCTGGATAAACAGGGGAAATGTAGCATAAGTTATGAAGTACATATGACGGGGAACTGGATCATAGGATACGAAAGAGGTTAATCATCAAACGACTAGGTTATTCAGGGGATTCCACGGATTTAGCACCCAAGGCATGTATTGGTCTCTGGCAGCCCAACGCAAAACCTCCGTATGATTCAGGTAGCATGAGCTGTGTTGGTGTCGGAGGTTGTCCAACAACATCGCACAAATTTCCGATTTCGCAAGTTTTCGTAGGGAATATCACACCTTTTACATGGTACAAAAACAACGAAATTTACGATAGAGAAAGTATTTCCAACCATGTAGTCTCATTCTTGATCCAAAATCAACTGCACTAGGTTGCCAAGGGTGAGAGAACCTTGGACCGACTCTCCATACTCAGTCGAAAAAACCCTTGGTATAATGAGAAGCACTATATGGATGAATGTATTTCCAACTTTCAGCATAACAGTTACTCTCTGCCTTGTACTTTGTTGCGCGTTAGGGACTTTTCTGTATGCGGCCTACAGGACACCCATATTGGACGGCGCATATCCATCCTGACCAACCAGACGGTGTTGTAATAATGACAGGACTTCGTACACGCTCTTTGTTCCTACCAACGGTCTATTCGGCTTAGTGCCTAGGCTCCTGTACTTAAGCTTGCCAGAGCAGGTGATGCCTCATTTTCAACATCTGTTGACACTTAATTTACTGTTTATCGGATTGGCAACGGTCTAAAGTCATGCTTAACAGTACCAATTCTTCCACTTCTTGTTCCTTCGATCTTGGCATTATCCAGGGGCAGGCCAAGCAAGATGTCTGACCAGAGCGAAAAAGAAAGAATGCACAGCTTCCACCGAATTGACCCAGTTCTGTGAAGAACTCAAGTAATTGAACTCCAAGGTGTAAAATTTGGAACCGCTGACTGGAAACCTGAAAATAGATGAGCAAGGGACAGAACCCTGAATATGCTTCAGTGAATCGGGGAGCCTTGGTCCATTTTGACATGACTATTGTCAAACGCAGAAATCGACAATACCAGGATGGGTTTCTGAGATTTGACGCCAAGTCACTGGTCTTTACCATCCCTCACTATTTCAATCTGACATAGGCTATCTTTGAGGAAACCAGCCCTTTTTTTCATATGCGATAAGGTCGACACAGGAGGTTCTCATGATGAAGTGTTTTACTTCACACTCCAAGATCCAAAACGGAATGGCAGAAAACCATGGGTGCAGCCAATTCCCATGGATTATTAGCCTATTTTCACCATTTCTTACACATGTGCTTTGGGCGTGAACGTTGCTGTCAACTGGAGAATAATCTTCAGCTGGTGACCATATCTGTCTTTGCCCGAGTGATTCGAAACCTACCCCTCTTCAGACTAAACACACGCCGGAATCTGCCTTGCATTCTACAAGTATCTCAGAGCGACCATGTGCTTTAGTCATCATCATCATCATCTTCTTCTTCTTCTTTATCTCTATAGCCACGCTACTTTCAAATCCAGTCAGTAGCTCAGGGCTTCGATCAACACTACGGCCGCCTTACCGACACCAATTAATATTTCTGCGGAACCCCATTTTCTACATCACGATTGTTAAAACCAGGTTGCCATTCACGTCTGGCCTCAGATATATTTTGGGTAATGATGGGTATGTTCAGTTCCAACTCTAAGCGTGTTATTCTAAGCTTAACGGGGTAGATGTATCGACATTGAAGGACATGAACAATAAGATATTAAAAATATTTAATTAAAATTGGCAGCATGGTTTGAGCATGATATAGCAGTTTTATCCTTCAGCTGACACGAGACATACAGTGTTACTTAATAGGAGATATTCTACAACGCAGTCGGAGTTGTCCGCGAGGAAGCGAAACCTTACACCGGCGGGAGAGCAGTGCCTTGAAACCTTAGCCAACGAAAGGATTCTACGTGCTTACAGATCCTTTATCTCAACAGTCAGATTGATGAACATTGATGCTTGAGCTGCGTTCCTCACTTTATGATTGGAGCTAAGTGCGTCCCATGATCATATGCTGAGCAGAAACATACTTACACCGGAAATCCATCAAGACACTGTAGGAATTGTGAGCTATACTTGGATATCTGACTCACGAGAACATGCAAGTCGAATCTGCCTCTCGAAAAATCTGTTACTTGCATACGATACCATCTGACCGAAATAAATCGATATCGCATCTGGCTCTAGTATGCTGGGCAACGCGGTAGGACCTCTAACTGTTATGGTTGCTTATGGAATGGTCGAACCAGCATACAACCTATGCGGTGATGTGTCCGATAATGATATCTGATCCTAATAGGCATATTATATTTTCGTAGCATTTCCATCATCTTTTTAATTAACCGATCTAAACCGTAGGATGCATCCTTTGATCGAAAAGAGAAAATCATAGTTGTAACTCGTCGGGCGAGGTCGAGGCTCTAGCGGGCAAATCATGTCTCGCATACGGGAAAAGGTTGCATACTTCCATGAACTCGCATACGATCCCCGCCTCCCAACCCCGTGATAACTGAGCCGCACAAAGCTCAACGTCGGATGGAATCCTTGTTTTAAACCGCACATGGGTGTAAAGAATGTGTGCCTAGAAGTATATAGGTGCTGGACCACCTTGCACGCCTTCGTCGCATGTTTCTTTCCTGTCTGCTTTTCTGGCCAGCTGGTCTGTCTCACCTTCCATTTGTCATATCAGTTTGTTTATCTGATATCGATCGAAACTTTCGGTCAAACACCACAACATGTCGCTTTCCAATACTACAAGAACTAGTCAGCGACTTCACCTTTTGCAAAAACAAGTGGCGCAGAGGGAAAATTACCCCAACATCAACAACCAGTAGTGGCGTCAAAGACCGGAGATGGACAGCTCGTGCTGTGAAGCATAGCTAGTCATCGTGGTTGTTGTTGTACATCGACGAGTCTCAACCATGCCAAGACAAGGTAGAGAATCTCGGTGTTCGGATCAAGTGAGAGAGTATACCACCCTTCCAACCAATGATAGAAACTTACACTAACAATAAAGTACATGAAGTAAGCTGTCGATATGCCGATGGAGTCTTTGAGAATAAGCGTTGCCTTATAGACTCTCATGGGAGTTGGTTCCACTCGGCCGACTTAACATCGAGATGGCCAGTCGAACATTTCGAGAATGATGTCGAAGAGAAGGCTATGCTCGAGGAAGGTCGAGTTTGGTGAGAGGAATCCGCTGACAGATGGGACAGAGAAAAAGAGGAATGGAAAAGAAGATCAGGAAAACATTAGAGCCCCAGTTGGTACGGCACCAAGGGCCACCCTCATGTCCTTGGTCTCTCTCGTTGGAATACCCTGCACCTTCCTTCCCTGAAGGCAGCCCACCACTTTGGCTAAGCAAACCTCACATCGCCCCCGAAACGAAGATACCATGGCCTCATACCGGGACCAGACATTACGGAGAACCCGTGTCCTAGACACAGCCAAAGGCGTAATCCGCAGCAACCTGGGGCTTTCGGTCTGGCATGGGTCACATGTAATTCAACTTTGGCATACCGAGCTTGAAATCGTGGAATTGCCACCAATGGTCCACCTATCAAGCATAACTACAGCGAACAATGGGTGGATTCTGGACGAATCAGTCACGCTTGTGACTCCGTTGAGGACAAGATACATTGGCACTTTTGCACACACCGAATTAATGTGGGCCGTAGGATCAAATTCCAGCTGGAGACATGCAATGTAGCAAACGAAGCTTCAGGTCCAACTTATCCCACCATCATATTTTACACAAAGGTGCCTCGCAGCCGCAGCCGTGCTGGTGCGAAAATATCTGAACTCCCAAAGGCACCCAATCCCGCCGCTGCTATGGCCCCCTACCATGAAATCGCAGTACAGGCGTTTTTACGGGCTGCTCAGATCGACATTCCACCTTACAGAGAAAATGACCTTGATCCATCCAGACCCAGGCAAATATCGACGTCTTGAAGCTGGCAGTGCGTCAAAGCCATCCCGTGGGCACAAATTCCAGATGGCCCTCAACTCACCGAGTTGGTGCATTGCAAACTCGATATAAATTGCTGTGTACCCAGCACCCATCTACTGAATCGTGTCATTAAGACCTGGTTGATACAGACTTCTGGCCTCTAACGTCCTCAACAAGATCAACAATCCTTTGTGAATCTGCAGCTTCTGCCAACATTCTTCACCATGCACAGCGATTCGGAATCGTCGACAAAGGCATATAATGGCCATAGATCTTCCAAACACAAGTCCAAGTCGAAGGAGCCCAACTGGCGCTGGAACTGCGTGAGTGAAACGCTAGAATGACAAAAACAAAATACTGAAGCACCACAGGCTGCATGCCACATGACCAACAACTCCTATAGATACGACTCACATTGTATAGGATGCGGAAGTGCAATAACTGGAGACTGCACTGTATACGACCCCAGTGCTACCAGTAACACCCGTTCGCGGCGTTGATGACCTCATGTAGGTTATCCAACTTCGAAATTAAAAGATATGATCCACTCATTGATATCTGGACTGATCCACAGGCATTTCTTCATGGTATCGAATTGGAGACAAGGAGGCCACGAGCTTGCCTGATTTCCTCACACTCCATGCTTCTGTGATAGTCAATGGCTAGTGGGGTTCGAAGGGAGCGTTACCATCTCGCATGGGCTCAGGGGGCGACAAGGGGCGATTGACCGAGCAATATTTTCTCCTTGGGATTTCTTTGCTTCCATGGCCTGGGGAAGGACGGCATAGGACCCTGGTGTTATATTCATAGATCTCTTTCATATCAAATCACAGAGCTGTATCCGACCGAGAAATGTACAATGCGAAGAGTGGGCAACGTGCAAGGCAGATCGAGTTTGCCCTCCCCAAAAGCAAATTGTGCAGGTCCAAAGGCATGTTTTCTGCCAAGATGAACTCTCACTAGAGATAATATACCTGACTGCCTGATAAGCCGTTGCACTACAGACGGCAAGCCCGAGCCTTGCTCGGTAGCCACGGCAGACTCAGCAGATGTAGGGGCGGGGCACAATTGGAATGAAGCAAGAACGAGGCTTGCTCCTGTTAGGAAAAGGCCTCTAACACTTCAGCAGTGCGCGCCCTGTAAACCCAATGATTCCACTTCAAAAATTCCACCGGCCGTCGCGGGCAGACTCAGCGGTATCAATTACCAGGTGACCTCCAGCCTTTGAGAATCCACAAGCCATTGGGACCCCAACCACGTCGTCCAGCTTGCGCCTCAGGCTTTCGGACCTTTATATATTGTAAGAACAAGGCGACCAAGCTAGCGCGTATATGGGGGGCGTAAGCATGTGGACCGGTGTAGGCAGTCATCCCCATGGCGGGAAACAAGCAAACGAAAACCATTATTTCCCTTATACAAAAACCTGTGGAGAAATTAGTAAATCTCTCATGAGCCATAGAAGCGGTGAGGGGATGCTGAAGGAAGATAATGCCTTGATAAATGACAAGCATTGACGCCGACGTTCGTTTAAGGCGACGAAATGGTTTGCAGCTCGGGCTGTGTCAAAAACTCACCGAAAACATCTTCGAATTATACCATAGGATATGGTCTCACTTGCTGCATCACTTCGGTCAGCAAGCGACAGGCGGACTGAAAGCTAATGAATGGGTAATTACAACGTTGGAGGGAGACAATGTTGAAGGGGAGAAAGACGGACAAAGATGGAATGACGTTGGTAGCTCGAGGTCTGGTGCGGGGTCGATAAATACTCTCCAACTGTTGGCCGCCGAATTTGACTGCAACTATGCTATCTCGTCAAATTGACGGCCCATCCTCAGGCCAGCGGTTCCTCTCTACTGGTATCGCAATTGCCTAGTCAATATGACAATTCGCATAGTACGCAATACGTAATTGGACGACCAGGTGAGACGAAGTTAGATATGTCGCCACTTTCTTTATCTGAATCTGTAAGGTACGTACTACTAACACATAAGCCAATCTGAAATGCGTTATACTAGGGTAGTCAACTTCTCCAACCAGTTACAACTGGTCCTAAATCACAATCGCCAACATCCACAATTCCAAGGCCGGATAATACACCCAATGATGTAGATTTACCAGACCCAGATTGATCTGGAGTTAGTTCTCTCTTTCCCACACAAACACCAATTGCGTCTCTCATCAACCCTGAAAACAACAACTTTCCAAATTTATTCTCAGTTATCTCACCTCGCAACACTGTACACCAATCAACACAATGGCTTCCTCCAATCCCCAGGAAATCGAAACTCGCATGCCCGAGACCTACCCAGTTGCACAGTCCAAACCCGCTCACCCCAACCAGGAATCCCAGCTTCCCAGCCCACCATTTCTCGACATCGCCGGAGTTCCCAACTTCCGTGACATAGGCGGCTACCCCATCGCTGGACAGGACCACAAGGTCGTGCGGCGGGGCGTGGTGTTCCGGAGCGCGGAGCCGTCAGAGAAGGCCGCGGACGGCGCCGAACAGAGGAGGAAGCTCGGCATCAAGCAAGTGTTTGATCTACGGTCGCCGCGCGAGACTGGGGAGGGACAGGGTGAGCACAGCTATGTGCGCGGGCCGGTTCAGTGGGAGGGGGCCGAGAGGTACCTGGCTTCTGTGTTGATGGATGAGGATTATACCCCCGAGGAGTTGAAAGCACGGACTGATAATTATATTGATGAGGCGCCTGAGGTAAGGAAGTGTTTCAGTGCACGCCTCGGTGCACACACAAATAGAGGCTCTGATTTCTCATCCGATATGAGTGCCTTGCTGAAGTTCAGTACAGAACCTCAGTCTTGTTAATCGTTCCGTGCCTCATTCTCATATGTCATGCCCAACCCCAACTCCCCACTACTTCTCACACCCAAACTAACAATCCGTACCAGGGCTTCGCCAAAGCGTACCAACGCATCCTCTTCGCCGGCTCCTCCAAGTCGAACAAGGGCCACAAGGACCAAAACGGCAACATCGATCCGCGACCCCCCTACGCCCGCATCCTGCAACACCTCGCATCGGCCTCTTCTCCACCTCCCAAGGCTATCCTCCTCCACTGCAGCGCAGGCAAAGACCGAACCGGCGTGGTTTGCGCCCTGATCCTGTCCTTGTGCGGCGTGGCCGACGAAGTCGTGGCCCACGAATATAGCTTGACGGACCTCGGCCTCAAGGAGCGCAAGTCCGCCATTGTGAACCAACTGATTCAGGCGGCGGGGCCGTTGTTCGACAATCGGAAGGGAACGTACCGGATGTTGTCGTCTAAGTAAGTCCTCTTCATTATTTATTCCGTCGTTTGTTCACTTGGTTGCCCTGCAGAGGTCTCAGGTCAAAACGAGTAGCTAGAAAGCTAGAAAAGGATACTTGCAAACAACTAACTGCAATACAGAAAAGAGGGCATGAGCCATTTTCTGGAATGGATCCGGGCAACGTATAATCAGGCAGAGTTTTCAGAAGATGCAGTTGAGGAATGTGTCATTAAGTTGGGGCTACTCGAGCTCAAAGACATCGAGCAACTACGACTTAATCTGGTCGTTGATGCCAACGACGACACACATAAAACGATAAACTGGCAGGAGCACGCCGAGCTCGTCCACCAAACCCGGCAAGCCAATCCTCATATGTATGGCGAATGACTTGTTCATCACACAAGTCGAAGCGGCTCCTGTGGCAGTAGTACAGCTATACTGACAAATGATATACATGCGGTTGAGTCCGCCAATGCCAACTCCTAAATGCTGTCCCAAATTCCGACCTGCCACAAAGAGCGGGTATATAACTCCTTAAAGCGGCAAATGTACAACTCCATTTCATATGGTACAGGTATCTCATGACCATCCAATCTGAGGAACCTTGGTAGGAATCTTGATGGCACCCTTCATACGATCGTACGAGGGCATTCCGTACTTCCAGCCGACCGCCTTTTTGCGCCGGCCATCTCTGCCCACATCTTCCGAATTGAATTCTTTGAACCGAAACTCGAAGCGCTCCGTGTTGAACTTGCGGGTGGCGCTATCCTCAGCCATGGCTCTCCTCATTTGTCGCTCAGCGGCGTTGCGTTCCGACTTCTCAGCAGCGTCCATAAACTCGGCCTTCGCCTCCCACACGGACTTGCCCTCGAGTAATGACTTCTCCATTTGGAGTAACTCAGGGTGCGGTACCCGCTCGTCGGCGGGAAGCATATCTTTATGAAAGGCCTTGGCGGCGTCAGCACGCGTGAAGTGGCGAGATTCCGATGTAGGCCAGAAAATCTGCTTCATCGTCGATGCGTGAATATGCAGCTCATTGATGGGCTCGAAGGGCACATTCTGTTGCTCGGCGGATTTGAAGGACTTGGTGGGCACCATGGATAGAATTGCTTTACAATATGGAGTTGCCAGTTTCTTGCCCTAGATGTTTGCATATTAGTGCCTTGTTATATATAAGTCTGAAGTTGTGGAATAAATAATCGTGCCAGGTTTGAATCAGAGAGGCTCGCAACAAAGTTTGTAACCATGTAGATGTCTTCAAGACTAATCGAATTGGGTATGTTGGATATCATCACGCAAGGCGAGGAGGAGGGTAGGCGGGTCATATGGGCATGACAAGGAGGGGGATGTTTACCTTTGAAATCCAGTCCTTCTCAACCTCCTTCAACCGCACAATAGCAGCAACTCTTGTGATATCAACTCCTAATTCGGCAGATACTTGCTTGATCGTCTTGCCTTTGCGCATTACTTCCTCCCATATCATCTCGCGGGCTTTGTCATCTAAGACGGCCTCACTTTTGAACTCCGGGTTCAACGGGAAAGGTCTCTTCAACATGTTGCCTTTGCTGTCCTTCGTCTCAAGGTAATTGGTCTGGTCCGGCCGCGGCTCTTTTAAGAGTTTGCCTGGACCCCTGGTCCATTTGATGAAATCTCTGCGGTGTCTTGCCATGTAGGTACGACTTTGTGTCGTCCATGGCTGTGACAGTTGAGCTGTGCGCCGAACAACAGCTGTTACCGGGGCATTGCTGCTAGTGTAAATAAGTGTCGACGTCGACGAGGCGATCGACAACTTGGGTATTCGAGGCGGCATGGTGACGTATCATAAGACTCCAGATCGGTGTCAATGATCTGGGTCGAGAACTGCAACTGTCCTGGCGAAGGGTGTAAATCAATTGCAATTCAGAACCACGATACAGATGACAGAAAATTCATTGCTTGTTAGCGGACCCGGCAGGAACAACCTTCTACCCGTGCTCCACCCCACACTGCAGAAGAGAAAACATAAGAACTACAAGTACCGAGGTACCAAAGAAGGTAGCTCGGTATCCACTTGAGCTTCTATTGGTGAATTTCATCTTGGTTCTTGATATTAGATCGAGATTTATCTTAGCTGCTTCCGAAACAAATGAAGAGAACCCCTCAAGGAGAAGCGGCTCGAGATAAGATTCGTGCGATCTTGGCATGAACTCGGGAGCAGGGCTGGGTAAGCTATTCCTTCTTTTACTGATGCCGCCCAACACGCATTGAGCTTTTGCTCCTCTCAACTGACCAGATCGAGATCGAAGCTCGATATATGGAAGCTTTGAGAGCGCATTTGGCGCTTTTGACGGCCACATTAATTAGCAGATGGGGCGCACTAAGGTCGGGTAGCTTGGGACGATTGATAATATCGCGGCATGTATACACGAGATTACCTTTTTGTGTCGAAAACAGAGGCACAAAAAAAAGAGAATATTTAATTAAATATACCCCCTACGACACGGACGCCGAATTTCTTGTTCCGCCGGCTGGCGAAGTCTAGAAACCCGGAGACGGTATCCCTGGAACGTGGAGGGCCAGCCATGTCGTCCACTTTGAAGTGGGGAGGACAACTTTAGAGCCAGGACGCGTCGACAAGACCCTACCCCTGCTGATGCTCTGCAGTGCACGTTTATGGCAGAATTCTGGTTCAATCGGAGCCAGTCATCAAAGGATTGCTCGGAAGAACAGGGTGCTACATTAGGTCGTATGTGCGATGTGCATAGCAGGCCTGGAAAAGCTAATAAAGACTGCTGGCCCATATGTGAATCTTTGAACAGGGCCGATGACTGTTCGACTCGAGACACCCAGACCCCGATATTTCTCTGATCTTTAAATTCCAATATCCCTCTTCTTGCCCGACAGCAACAGCAACCTCAAATATTCATACGTCAACAATCTGCATTGCTTTTACCTTAGGTAGAATCTGAAGCATCTCTAGGTCTCTAGGTACTTAACTTGGTAGTCGAGTCAACAACCAACCACTTCCAACTTCTGCGCATCTTCACGAGCATGTACAAATCTTGGAAGTGTTGCCTCTAATCAAATGGGCGACCTGAAAGCCCGCATCAAGGCCAGGTTCCTGCGGAGAAATAGCGCATCTCCGTCGTTGGCTCCAAGCAGGCACAGTGACAGCCGCAGTTCGCGACAAGACCAACAGCATGCATCACAAGCCGGATCCCGGGGCAGCTCCTCCAAACCACACTCTGTCAATACTACCCACGCCGCTTCCTCAATAAACACCTCGGGGGAAGGCGATGACATCAATCCCAGAGGAAGCAGCAGCGGCGACAATCACGGAGATGACTCCAAAGCACACCTTCACCCTACCAGCAGTAACGGTGATGGCTCTCTGTCGATAGCAGCTGCCAATAACGACGCCAGCAAAAGCACCATCTCGACTGCAGCTACGTCGCCCGGTCCACTCACGCCGTCTACAAATGCAAATACCTGCACCAAGGACAGCGCAACCGACGACGCATCATCTCCTAGTCCTCAACAAACCGACAACATTGTTAATGAATCGAGTGATACCGACGGGCCTGTTTCAATGTCGGGCACCGGCGCCAACGACGGCGGCAGCGGAGACTTGGGAGTAGAAAGGGGACTGGGATGTGCTGAGACTAAAACACTAGCCAACTCAAACAATAATGCTAACGATAAATCGTCCCGCACCTCGACGGCCTCCACTTTGGGAAGCGATCTGCAAAACTCCAGTGTAACGGCGCCCGACATCATCACGCATCTTCCCAGTATCAACGAAGACCCCACAGCATTGTTAACATCACCTGCAATTGCAGCCTCGTCGTCGCAAACCACAGGCCCGTCGCTCGCACCACCTCCATCCATCTCGCTCAATTCGCCCAACTCGCCCAACTCGCCAGTACCGTTGCCTGCGGCCACGCCTGGGGCCGCCAATCTCGACGACTACGACGAACAGTCTGATGTGCTGAGTCCCGACATTGGAACGCCAACGCCCCTCGGTGTTCCTGCGTCCCTACGAACGTTTCCCACTGCCACCCGACCAGCCGTTCCTCGACGCCAAAGCATTCTCCCTAATCGCCAGACCACCTTGATACGAGCCCTGCTCAATTCGGGCCAGGCTCAAGATCTAGGCTTGGCTGATCCAGACCAGTACAGCCTCATCAGCCCTAACATGGTGACACGTAAGATCTGGGTCAAACGACCGGGTGCGTCGGCCACACTCGTTACCATCAATGAAGAAGATCTTGTCGACGATGTGCGCGACATGATTCTTCGCAAATATTCCAACTCGCTAGGACGACAGTTCGATGCACCCGATCTGACGCTGCGAATATGTCCTAAAGAACAGAATCCCCGGCTCTTACAGCCGGACGAGCCCATGGGTAGAACGCTCGATGCCTACTTCCCCGGTGGCCAGACCGTCGACGATGCCATCCTGATCGACGTGCCCACTCGACGGACCCCGAAGGCCTCCCCCAACCCTAGATACTACGACGACCGGCCTCACGAGTCAGGGACTGACTACTTCCCACCATACCCACCAGCAAATTCCCATCACACGGTTCCTGCGACGGCTATTGTCAATGGGGCTCACGGCATCAACTTCCCACCTTCTATGACCATCATCGGCAGCAATGGACAGCTCCCCCCGCTACCGTCACCTGGTGGCAGGTCACGTCTAGGCGGGACGAGACCCAAGATGCAGAGAATGCACACCGCATCGCCCGTATCCACAAATGGCCATGTAACGCACAGCCAACATGCTGCCATAACAAGTACATCAGGCATTGGTACGCTTCAATACTCGATAAGACCAGTGCGCTCAAGGACTCATTCAGGTGCATCTTCAGAACAAACATCACTTTCCACTCATGCCCATCAAGCGCCCGCAGCTCCACCAATGGCCACACCTCCTATTCCAGAGAGCGTTGATAGTCCTCCCCGTGTTTCTTCGCCCCGTCCCCCTAACCGGCCCAAGAAGACCAAGAAGGTTATTGAACACCCATCCCTTCCGCCTGGTATGCTGAACGGCGGTGTTCCTCCCATTAACGTACTCATTGTCGAAGACAACATCATTAATTTGAAGCTCCTCGAGGCTTTCGTCAAGAGGTTAAAGGTGCGGTGGCAGACAGCTATGAACGGTCGGGAAGCCGTCAACAAGTGGCGAGCTGGTGGTTTTCATTTAGTACTGATGGATATCCAGTTGCCAGTCATGAATGGCCTTGAAGCAACCCGGGAGATCCGGCGAATTGAGAAGGTCAACTCGATAGGTGTGTTTTCGTCAGGGGCTATCTCTGCGCCGGAGCAGGTAAGCTCCGAGCCGGAGGAGGGTGATAAACTGAGCAACACAGAGATGTTCAAGAGTCCTGTCATTATCGTTGCTCTTACAGCAAGCTCCCTACAGAGTGATCGACACGAGGCTTTGGCCGCTGGTTGTAACGACTTCTTGACCAAGGTACGTTATGTCTGCTTCCCTTCGACTATTCTTTGTGCTCACGAATTCTAGCCCGTGAACTTCGTCTGGCTGGAGAGAAAGGTAATGGAATGGGGATGCATGCAAGCGCTCATCGATTTTGATGGATGGAGGAAGTGGAAAGACTTCTCACAGAAAGCAGCCGAGGATGAAACAGTTAAGAAAGCCGCGGCTACCAAAGCGAAAACGAGCAAAAAGAACCGGCTGTCGATGACGACTGCCCAAGTCGAGCTAGGCGCCTAGCGACACTACTCGAATTGAGTGGTTTGAAGCCATCTCGAGCAACAGACAGCATACACGCAGTGATATTACCAAGACCGGTGAGGCGATGAACCCATTGTTGTCTGAACATACCCCGTTCTCCCAGATCAACACTCAAACGGCCAGTGGCATGACACACGATTTCACCGTGTAACACGACTATTCAGCGCTTCGACTCGGGGGGCGAAGCATACTTAATACGACGAACTGGGATGACGGAAGGGACAGCTGGTGGGACGGTGCTTTGGCTAACAAAAAGCTATTATCATAGCAGTCGACGTGAATTCAAACGGGATGGACTTCGGCCAAGGGCGGCTGGCTCAGAATGAAATGACCCCATATTTTTACATTGCTCAAAATTCCAGGTGCTTCTTGGAGTGCTTGTTACATCTGGCCGTTCATGAAGTTGACTATGATCTGCTGTTGGGCTAGCTCTCTCTGTTTGAGCACAACAAAGTACGTGGATTGAAGACTTGAGGAAGCGCACAAAGGCCAAAAATGTAAGCCGCCGACATCAACTGTTAGCAGACACTCCGAAGGTGGTTGGGGTCCTATCAACCACATGTGGGAAAACTGATGGTGCTGGCCTTGCGATTTCAGAGACTCTGGACAAAAGTATTTCAATGCGGTCCCGAGAGACAATGTACCGACTGTTTCTGATTCCGCTCGCAACACATTAGCGGACTGCCGATCTTCCCATTATTGCCAGTTGTCTGCCTTACTACTTGCTTAGCAACCACTTACAGTTACAGACACCCCATACCATTCTCTCTCAATCCAGGATGAAAGGGGGTTGTAAGTCAGTCGGGCGTGGTGATAGAGCAAAACCCATTGATTTTACTCCATACGGCAGCGACGGGTATATACTGACCACGCTATTTGCAGCTGATCCATATCACGGAGACTTTATTTTTATTGTTGTATTCCGAATATTGCGCCGAGAAGGCCTCTCGTATGGTTTTCCTGTAATTCGGGCATTAGAACTGTGTTCGGCAAGCATAAAAGCCCGAATTTTCCCGTTCCAACGGCAGGCTGTAGCTACATGTATAGCCAAACTGTTTTTCAAGATAGAACCACCAGATCGGGCTGGCCTCCAGGGCCCTATGTGTGGCCAGCGCTGCTGCTCTAGTCTCTAGTTATCCTTTTCGCGTCATTGCTAAACACGAAATCAACTCAAGGCGAACAAGTTCTACAGCCCGCACGGTTTATTCAATCTGGGGAGTGGCCAAACATTCGATCCCTGTCCCTTTCCAAGCCTGGCAATCTTTTCGCTCCCAGCTTCCGAGTGATGCTGCTTAAACACGCCGTCGGCCGAGGCCTTCTACCGGCGCGGGATGCTGGGTAAACTCTTCGACGCCAGCGAGAAGCAACCCTCGTCTATCGACAAGACTCCTGGAAAGTTCCAGTTTGGCGGCCACTTCGCGGGAATACCGCTCGATGCCAATAAGTTCGAGCTGGACCGCTTTCCGTATCGGCTTCCTGGGCCCGCGCTGGTGCCGAAGCGAACGACTATTGAGCGCATCGAGACGGTGCTAGCAGAACGAGCGGAGGGGTTGGGAGTTACCATCTTAAGGAGGGAGGGGGTGACGAGGATCGTGACGCAGGATGATGAGAGTGTTATGGTGGAAGCTAGGGGAGATGAGCCGCCGCAATGGTTTCGCGGCTGGGTTCGAATTTGTCGGGACAGAGGCTAAGTTCATCGGGTACACAGTCAAGTGCGACTTGGACGACCCCGAGAAAAAATTGAAGCCCGGCTTCCATATCATGGAAAGGGGGATGTACATTATCGCGTTCCCGGGCAGTCTGCACCTGGTGGATTTCGACAGCGCTGCGCCCTTCAATCGCACGAAGGAGCTGACGCGGGAGCATGTACAAGATGTGCTGAGACGGGTTACGGGATTACCGAATGCTAAGATCGCGACAATGCATTTCGCTTCGTCGTTTACGGACCGTTCTAAACAGACAACGCAATGCCGCAGGGGTCGTATTCTCCTTGCGGGCGATGCGGCACATATCCACCCCCCGCTCGGGGCGCAGGGGTTGAATGTCGGGCTGGGGGATGCTATAAACTTAGGTTGGAAGCTGGCCGCGACGGTTCGACGGGAATTCAACTCCGAGTCAGGGTCTGCATCTAATGGGAATCCTGGTACTGCAGGCCTGGCCCTGCTCGACACGTACGAAACCGAACGTCACCCCATCGCGGCCTGGGCCCTCGAGTGGACGCGCGCCCAGGTATCCATGCTACAGCCCGATTTATACGGTGCCGCGGTCCAGGTGCTCATTCGCGATCTCATCAATACCACCGATGGAACGAACCTGTTCATTGACCGTGTATGGGGATTGTCGCAGCGGTACGACCTGACTAGCAACGGCGACGGTGATGCGCATGCGCTCATCGGATGTAGCGCGCCTGATTTTGAGTTGGGTGATGACGGGAGACTGGGACCCAAGCTGGAAGGGCAAAGAGGGCTGCTTGTTGATTTGCAAGAGAACGGCACGGCGGCGCTCAAGGAACTGGTTGTTGGCGTCAAGTATGAGGCAGAGTCGACTATTTATGTGTAAGTGCGAAGGACAGGCGTAAGTTCCAAGCTTTGCTGGTTCGACCTGATGGAGTTGTTGCTTGGGTCCTGGAAGATGGCGTGAGCCCCGATCTTGATACCGCGAAGGATCCCCTGGAGCGTTGGTTTGGATTCTGAATTCTTGAAGCACGTATTACCATATAAACCTCATAAAGCGCCTGTTAGGATAACGTGTACAATATCTCTAGGCCAATACCCAGCATAGAACCACAAGAAGTGTATGCTATATTTACGAACCTGTTTGGGGCAAGTGTGGCCTCATGGATAGGGTTGTACGAAGCACACAGATACAAACTAGTATATGTAAGGTATGTAAGGGCCGCCCCGGGACTGATTAGGCAGTTGTTCCCCACGTACCTTCATAGTACCAATACAGCCCCCAATGTTCCGAATCGGACACTTCTGAAAATTGAGATGTCAATTTTGATGAATATCTCGAATTAAGCAAGGAAACAAAGTAATAACAAGACTAAAAAGCAGATGATAATGACAAAATAGTAAACGTGCTAGATGAACTCATCTGATAACTCCGTAATCGTGCGCCTAAAGCGTAAAGCGTTACTCCTCCAGGGTAACCCCCACTTTCCCTAGCGATGTATCAATGGGACGGTCGTGGCCTGCGAGAGCCGAAAAGTTGGCATTTCCAAACCCAGTTGCCCAGAATTGCCAGGCCCAGCGATGCCCTGGCCGTCGCAAGGAAGCAATAGGATAATGGCACTTCAGGGAGGTGGCGGGACAAACCACAAAAAATCCAACATCAGCAATACATTCAAAACATTGGATTACCCAGTTTCTTGTCGACGGTAGTGGTGGTGGAGGACTAGAAACGGTTGGAGAATAACCAGGTTGATTATATCATAGTGACATAGTTGGCTGGCACATGTGTAGCTCTATGTGTATATCACTAGGTTAGGCCCATTGTATGTCTCAATTTTTTGTCGCACTTTGGTCATTCTGCAGATCACCGTGACTTACAACTCCGAAAACCGCATAACTTTCAACGCTTCGCCCGCAAATATCTCACTACTTTTCCTCCAAAGCTAGAAGGTATCTTGAGAGGACTTGGCTTCTTGAACTTTTCAAAGTCACAACGAAATTCTCTTCAAGAAAAGATGTCGAGACCCAATCGCGCACCCCGTTCCAAGTCCTTCATCGACGTAGCCAAGGAAGCCGTGGACAGGTTCCGGAACGGCGGCGCCGACCGGAGCTCGAGCCGGCCCTCCCCAAACCGCCGGCATCACAACTACGACGACAAAAACTATCGTCACCAGCGTTCCCGTGGAAACAGCTACGACTACGACTCGGACGGCTATTCTTTGTCCGAAGACGATTCCTATTACCCCGACAAAACGTCTCGGTCGTCCCGATCGTGGCGACACAACGACCGCGGACGCTCTGCCCGATCAGCAGACTACTACTCCGACTCGGACTCCTCCTATGATAGCGTAGACAACAAACGGGGCGGCCACCATCGTTACCGCTCCAGCCAACGCAAACGCGCCCCTTCGGTACCGTCGCAAGTGCGCAGCGCGGACGGGAAACCGAACTGGGACCAGGCTATCAAGGCGGCGGTGACGGCGGGCGTGGTGGAGGGGTGGAAGTCGCGGAACGACCGGGAGAGAAAGATGCAGCGGATTGCGACGGCGGCCGCGGGGGCGGCGGCTATGGATTTGTTTGTGAGCAAGGGGCCGGGGGATCGGAAGAATAAGAGGCATGTGGCCGAGAGTACGTTGGGGGGTTTGATGTTGGATAAGATGCTAAATGGGAAACGATAAAACGGGGTGCTGTGAGGGCCATAGATGTGGCTTAGGGTAGTGAATTATGATACAATTTTTGGGCTGCGAAGCTGATGTCGAGGAGATGCACACTCCTGGGTAATCGGTAGAGCGAAGTGTCTTCGTACATCCCCAATGAATGAACCAATCAGACTTCCATTGCATCTGTTGGCCTGAAGAACATGTCCATGAACTTAATCATCTTGGACAAGCTATCAGACCTGATGATATAGTAATGGTCAGTAGCCGTATCCGACTTCTACGAGGTAGCATACCTACCGACATGGCTTCAACACTGGACCGAGCCCGTCTTCAATCTCCATACAATCGTAATGGTACTTTTCACAAGTCCAGCAACAAAGTCTCTCCCTTAAGCTCTGTAATCGGCACCCTTTTCGTTCTCATCTCCAAAACAATGACACTCGAGGATAGATGGCATGGGTCCCGTCCCCACACTTACAGCTAGTTATATTGTGTCGCTACTGCTAACCGTAATGGGCAAGTAGAGGGTTTCGTCACTCAACTCTTCCTCGACATCAAATTGTACCAGCCACTCGACCGTCGTGTCGAGATGCTGCCTTATACTGGCTTCGAGGAATGCTTCCGCATCGTCCAAGCTATGCATGCTCATGATTAGCCACTTGTTCCGGGCGCCGTTTTCGCTTACGCTTGCGACACCTTTAACTAGGCACAAGAGTCTCGTCATGGTACTGATCCCACTAACTTGGCCAGTCAGTTGAAAGTAAAGGTTAACTGTCTACTAACGACCCGTCAATTCCCCGCAAGTCCCTGAACTACAGCAGAGCGACTCAAAATCCACTGGGCAATCAACAGGTCGCCAGGATGGTAATATCTCAGTCGCGATCCAGGATGGTCCAATTATTCCTATCATCTGAATTCAGACGTTGAAAACAAGGTACCCTTGCCTTGGAGCCAAAATATCCGTCCGATTGGCAGGACAGACCTTGGGTTGACTTGAATTCACACGTTTGGGCCTTATTACGTGCGCAAGATGTGACTTAACCATCAACCTCTACTCTTATCACAAATTTCGGAATGGGGCCACATATGGGGCCACTTCCGTATCCGTCTTGTTTGGACAGTCGACGAAGTTCATGGTTTTCGGTGACGAGGTTCGTCAGATCGAATGATACCCCTGTCGAAATAGCTTGGCAGGGTCGACAGGAGCACGAACAAGCGCCAATAACGTCATAGGCGCGAGAAACTCTCAACCTTGGAAATGATGAGCTAATCTGAATCTGGAGGGAAAATCTCGACGGCATATGCATATGTAACTCTACCACTGGAATATAATAGTTGCCTCGTGGACACATTCATCGCGTCTCCCTGTATAGCTTCCCAAAGCTTGAAAGGGCAGCAATTTTCGTTTGGGTATCTACCAATCCCCGTTGGACGATCCTAGAGCTACCTTGCTCAAATCACAATCCCTGACCGCGACTGACAAAACACTTCGACTGTTGATCACAACTCGACGCACGCGTGCGATATTTACAATGGGTCTCTTCGGGATGGCTCTGAGTTATCTGCTCTTCTCAGTCCTGCACTTCTTCCAATTTGTGCTGGCAGTCACGGTCTGCGGCCTTTATGGCTTTGACCTTGACCGCGCCCGCAAAGCTGGCGTCAAGGCGGACGGCAAATGGGTGAGTCCTTCCACTCCAATCTCGAAGCGATAGAAATACTAACACTCAGTTCCTTCCTCCAGGTCTTTGCTGAAGTGGTCGCCGGTCTCTCTGCGCTGACCTCTCTCCTATACTTTGTCCCCTTCATCCTCCGATTCGCGGCGACGTCGATCTGGAGCTGTATCATCCTGATCTTGTGGATTGCCCTCTTCGGCCTGTTCGGCAACATGTATATCAAGGAGGACCCCGAAGGCAACAAGGATATCCAACGGATGAAGAATGCTGTCTGGGTTGATCTCGCCAACATGATTCTCTGGTTCATCGGCACCGTTGCGGGAGCTGCCTACTGGTGGAGTCACAAGGAGAGAAGCAGCCGGTTTACGGGCCGGGCTCGGCTGGGTCGCAATGCCTCTACCCGCTTTGGCTGGAAAGCTTAGGCGGTTTCTGGCTCGAGAGACTTGAAAAGGAAAGAGAAGTCGACAACAAGGATAAGGTTGAATAATGAGTACATTGACAGTGATGACGATGCCACGAGCGGGGCAAGAGAAGGAATGAGCGCTGAGTTTGGCGTTATGCATGATACCATTATTGGACTCGGGTACTTCTTTTTTGATACGATTGACGGACGCATGGATACTACTATACTTTACAAGACGTTTATCCCTTCTTGATTCAAAGTATCGCGTCTGATAACACCGCTGATTTACACTTTTTTTAACTCGTCGCTAGTAATGAATACACATGTTGGTATAAACAAGTAGGGGTATGTTGTAAGTCCAGTTTGAGGAGCATGCGTCAAGTCTACACCGTTGGTAAAGCGTATAATACACACTGAAAAGCATTACGAGGTGCAATGTTTCGCATAGCCGTTGCTCTGCTCATGTCCTGTGAGCAGATGGACAGTTACCGCCTTTCTGGTCGAATCGTTTCACCCAGAGTAGGGTATTTACCGAGACGGCTGCACACACTTTGGCAATAGTCCGTTCCAAAGTAGTGTCCACACACTACTCTACGCGACGCCGTATCGTTGCTCACTTGGGACCATTTTTGCTACGCAGTTATGCGGGGACGGGGAGGGCCGAGAAGGATATGCTTGCTTTGGCTCGTTCGTATGAGTATAGTAGGCGGTGAAGAACCACAACTTCATACTCCAGTTATTTACATGGCTTTGCGGGGTAGCGTAGTTGTGTTCTGTCCCTCTCCCAACCTTGAACGTATAGAATGGATAATCAGTGGAACGTTCAGGGAACAGCCTGCTGAGAAAAATGAAGCTATCTATACACGGCGGTGAAGAGCCATTCCAACTGTCAAACTCCAGTCGTCTCCAAAGGTGTGACCGCTCTATAATACAGTGTGAGGGTAGAGTTCAAGTATTCATTGCCCCGAATCCTTGAGCATGACTCATCTGGCTGTCACTCACTTTGAAGGTAGCCCTCGCCCTCGCAAAGTTGAGACAGTTAGCCATGTCTCTCCATTGCTGCGAACTGGCAGCCCAATCTGGAAATTGTCGTAACCCATTTTGCCCTGTCGCTTCGTATACACCACATCCCATGCCGCCGGCGAACCTGCCTTGCATTTAAAACATGCGCCTGCAATCGGCTCAACTTGGAAGTTGGACACCTCCTGAGGTCCGTTTCTACAATTTTCGTCAATAAATGACGGCGGCAAGAGCGCCCCATGAGGGCAGGCTGGCGGGACACGGGTACGCTGATGAAGACCCTGAATCCCTGGCGGGAACTGGAAGAAGTTGGACCGAGAGATCAGCGCACTACGTCATATCTTGGCGGGCTAAGGTTCCCACGAATCCATGATGCTTGCTTATGGCTTTTGGGCTTTTGATTTTTTTGTGAGTGGACTACGCATTTGTTGCCGACTTTACCATGGAGGGTAAAAACGTGCCGAGTGGATAACGTAACTTGATCATGAAGTTGTAACGACATCGCATGTCTGGGTGGTGAGTCGCAATTGCCGGGAATAATAATCTTCAGGTTATCTCCCGAATATCATGATCGAAGGGGCTCATGAAAGTCAGCAAGTCGGGTGTCGAAGGGCTTTCCGCCTCCAAGAAAAAAAAGGTTGGAACCCATGACGACCCACACAACGATCAACATTCAACAACATGGGCCGTCCATGAATGGCTCTCTCATTAGAGCATCGATCAACCAGATCGGCGGGCTGCTTCAGAGTCTGATTCAGAAATCACGCCAGAAGTCATAAGAGCCGCGCATTATGTCGCCTAAATTTCATTCGCATTCGCGGTGGTTATGCTGGGGCCATTCAAGTCCCGACCAAGCTGACCTGCATACTGCTCATTGACCTCCTTCATATTGGCAGGGTCCATGGCGACGTGTCAATACCTCTTGCCATTATATGCATGTTCACGGTACACAGTATCTTCCTGCTCGGTCCTATGGCACGAGAGTATAAGGTTTTTCACGATCGAGCTTAGACGGTCCATCAGCTTGGTCCGGAACGTTGTAGCACGGCTATCGGACATGGCTTGACACCGCTCCCGTCTTGTCTAACCCGTCAATGCCGTCTCGTGGCGATAATCTTTATCAGGCCGTCCCGTGCATGTTGCCGTGGCAGAAGGCCACCCACCCAGATGCGGGAATGCCATCATCTTGTGGGGAAACTTGTGGGGAATCTCGCGGGTGAGATCCCCAATCGCAGCATCTGCGATTTGGAAGGCGCCGCTGCCATGCCAAAGGTGGTGATCAGAAAGATGGTTTGAATCTCTGCATGTGGTCACACAAACCCCTTCTCACCACATGCAGCAACGTCTTCTCTGGGTATTTCTCTGGGTATAACACGGGGACAGGGCGCAATGACATACCAGCCGCATGCCACGCACAATTTCCTAGGAATCATATGTCACTGCTTTGCCAGTCTTGCCCGTCCACGGGGCGCAACCACGTTAGGCATAGCAGCGCAACTGCAGCGGTAAAAAGGGCGGGCGACTAAGACACCCTGCATGAGTGGAGACGACTGCAGGAAGATATCACAGCTATCAGTAGAATTCCTTAACAACCTTGAAACCAGGGCCCAGAGTGGTTCTTTCAAGTATTGGCGGCGAAGTTTGGGCAGAAAGAAGACTGCCGCTGCATTTTAGGTTTTGTGTAGTAACCCCGGGAAAGATCCATGAACGTTGCTTGCCTCCATGAGCAGGAACTTAAGGTGGGTTCGCAGTACTTTTAGGCAAGTTTGAGTAGGGTTGTTATTTGAAGCGGCAAACACAGCAACGTCGTTTTGAATGGTCCACGCAGGAATTGAGAGGGGCACTTGATGATTTGCAGCCGCCTGATAAGATTGGGATGATAACTTCATCTTGGGGCATGGTCTCGTTGATCTTCGTCTTTAATTCTGCCCAACTTGCTGTTCCCGCTTGCGCAGCAGGCCAAAACTTACTTCACATTGGTTGGCAATTTTATAATTGTCTGGTGAAATACCGCGGTGGTCCAAAGTTTCAAGAGGATCTTCTCGGCTGGCATTTCAGAAATTGGGAAGTCGCGTTGCTGCTATAGTTACCTCTTTTGTTCTTTCTGCCTCCACTACCACCTGACTTTGTAAATTTGGACAAACCCTCCTGATGTTAGTTTCCAACTTATTATATATCGATTTTTGGAGACCCAAACATTCTCCTTTCGATTCCACAAGCTTCACCCACATCCCGTCCGCGACTAGCATCTGCGCCAAACATCTCCCACATTACCACACCGCATCCTCAACCGCCTCTGTATCCACCTTCTTATGCTCGCCTGATATACTGTATCTGGGGTCAGAAATAAGTCGGTGGGTCCGATGAAGGTTCGCTCCCAGATGCGGGCCCAACTCACCACACTCCGACAAATTGGCAGTGGAGACAAAGCGCAGGACGACGATCCAGGCTGAATCATTGAGTTTCTGATGTCACGGTGTGCACCTCGCACGCTCAATTACGACACGTCTGAACCGCATCTCGAAGGCAAGAGCCTCAAGTTTTGTGTTATCATACCATCAAGTAGGCCAACTCCATCTGCCCCGCAATGCCCTCTAGCCACAGCCTAAATCAAAGACACTCCACTACGTCTCCATCAAATGAGTACGATAGTCTCTTGTTGAAAATTCATCGAGCTCCGCATCATTTACGTGGAAGGTAATAGATGTTCAGATTTTCAGGTTCAAGAATCAAGAACAACGACTTTCATGTGACACAAAGTCGACCCCAAGATAGCTCACCTGCCTACTCATACAGACCAAGCAAACACACAAACAATCCGAGGACACTGCTGATTATGAACTTCCTCCCTTTAGAGTCTCAAAAACGGTCCGAAAAACGGACGACGAGGCGACGCGTAGGTTACTCTTAGGTAGCCCAACCTCTGCATTTGTCCAGGGTGATGGCCAACTTTGGTCGCTCCTTCAAGCCCGCGTCTTATTTCACCTCCATGGCAGGACGACGGCCAGGAGTACCGGGAAGATCGATGTCGAACACGTCGGAAGTCTCGTCGACGGCGTCGTCACCGGGCGACGTCAACCCCGAAGATGCCTTATTCCCGGCCAAATCCTCACCGACACATGGCAGTCCACAACCAAGTTCCGCTAAAAGAGCCAGCGACATGCACCTGAGGGTGCCTCTGGGTATGTTCACTTTTCCTCAGTCTTCCAATCTGCTTCCCTCCACTCTCGAAGCCTCCCAGCATAAGATCGCAGTCAGCTCCACGTCCAATGCGGCAGTCTGCGATCCACAGAGCCAGTGTCAATGAAGACCAACACTATCACTTTGGCTTGTGGCGGTCCCGATGCCGTTTTATTCAAGTCGTGGTATGAAGAGACAAATTGTCTCGTCACGACATGCGGCTTTCTGACGAGCTCAACCCCATCACGATCATGTGGGCGCGGCGGAAGGCTGGGAGAGCTACTCAGGGTGTGCATGTAACCTCCCGTTGGTCCAATCCCGAAAGGTGTTGGTTAGGTGGGGTGCATTGCTTAATTTAGGGGTCTTGCCACGATGGCCAACGCTTGAAAGCCCCTCTTGTCAAGGGATCCATCTCGGACGGCATTCCAAGTTCTGGCGGTCGCCCGTGCCTTTTTTCATGATGGATTACCCTTATAAAACTGTTCGTCACCATCTGCGTCATGCAACAACGCTAAAACTCTCCACTGACATAGACAATGATACACCACCCGACGCTGCCACCGACTCGCCATTACTAGACTCTCCTCAATCATCGCGCAGCCGTCCGATTGCTATAGAATTTCCAACCACTAAGAAAGTCACTTCGAACGGGTCATCAGTATACACGCCTCCCGCACCTTTGTCTGCTCGTGGAGACCTTCCGGGGTATGTAATTGCTCTCTAAACCCCGCCGTACCTGCGCAGTATTTTGCGAACGCTACCCTACTGTGATGCGACTTGAGACAACTGACATAACGATTCATATAGCGGATACTTTCCTTTGCACGAAAAGCAACCTCGAGTTTATCGCAGTCACCCCTTCCACCTCGACGCTTCCAAGGCGCGGAAGAGATCGATACAACGTGCCTCGCAGTCAAGTTCTCCAGAAGCTCAGGTGCTACTATCTGCGCCGACTGTTCCTGGTGTGTTAGCGCCAGCACCATCGCCGCCAGCGACGGCACCCATGCTCGTCATGCCTGAGTCTGTCACAATGGCGTCGCCCGCCAATACGGCTATGTCGACGACTCCTGTCACATCGTATATTCCCAGTGGCGTCCACGCCAATCCTCTACCTATGGGTAAATACTACCCCTCGAATTACGAGAGCAGAAAAGCCGCCAAGCGAGAGCAGCAACAACAGGGTGTCCGACCGACATCGAGTGGATCTTCTACTATGGCCGCTACCAGGTCTGATTCACAAATTCCCATGTATCGAGGCGATTCGCCCTTGGGACACTCGCGCAATGAGTCGGAGGCCAAGCGAAGATTACAACAATACCAACGAGACATGATTGCCCAAGCGACACTTGTTCTTAACAGCGGCAACATCAATGCCGCCGGTCTGAATGCCAGCTCGTTAAGGAACATGGGCTTCAACAGCGTTGCCACGAAGCCGAGTAAGCCCAGATTGGCACCCCTCGGCAGTCCGGGACCAGTAACACCTATGGACCTTGAAAGTGGAGATGACGGATATCTCGGCGCGCGGGTACCGGGCTCAAATGAGGCTGCGCAAGTAGAAGAAATTGCACGCGCGATCCGCGCCGACGGAGAGCGACGCCGACGGGAAGGTGCCAACTCACCGGCCGTGGAGGCGGGTCCTATTTTCTGAGAGCAGTCCGTCTTGCACCCATGGAACATTTTTATTCTTTGGCATCAACAACGAATTCGGCTTTTCGCACTTTCATATGCACAACTATGATCTTTCCGAGTGGCTAGCGTCGATACTGATACCCGGGATACCGCGGACTCGAACGAAGAGATCAACGAACTCTGACGAAACGCACGATTGGGTTACATCGATGTCATCCTTCTCAATATCAGGCTGCGAAACTTCACATGCTGTTCTATTTGCCGGAAAAATACGTACCGTGCACATCGCTTATGCTGCATGGAGACATCCTTATAGATCGATTTTCGCATCGAAAGAAGTGGACTCGGTATGCTCGACTTCATACAAATGTTCGCGTCGCCGTGTTCCTCCAGTATATTCGGTCAGTCTACATCGGCTAAACAACTCATCTCCTCATGATACCCTATTCACTTCTCATCCTGCATCAATCTATTAAGGAGAGATTGAGACGGATTGGCTCGCATCATTTTGCGGTCACTACTATAGACACTTACTGTTCGATTAATTCATAGATTTGAGGGAAAGTCGGATGCTTGTTAAGTATGAAATTACTGGGCGCGAGCTCAGAAGAAACACACTCGCTTCTGATTGATCGAGTGTGTCGCATTGCGTTGCGTTCATACGTACCAACACAAAAACAATTCAAGTTTTACGAGGAGACGATTTGCAGACCCATTTTGAAGAGTCAATGAAAGTGTATTATACCTACAGCTCTGTTGCGCACATTGCGATCGTGTTCTCGTGTTTGCGAATTCCATTTGGAACTTTGTACCAGTATTGAGACCAGTTGCATACCTAGATATCTCGGTTGTTTTAATGTGTTTGGTTTCGTATTACATTTCAATCCAACGTTCAATACTCTGTGATAAAAACGTGAGTATTTGGGTAACTATTGTCCCCTTTCGAACACTTAAAAAGCCTAAACATGGCGTCCCTCATTTGACTGTTAACTTGAGCTAATTGCGATTTCTATACGAAATCTTCACTCATAGGAACACTTGGGGGTTCATCAGCTGCACATTCCACATGAGTTACTGCTCGAATAGTAAGTATAATTTCTGAACCCATTTTGCTGCTATTCTTCAGACAACAACAAAAACATTTGTCAACATTCACTATACTATTTTAATCATTAACACCCCAAAATTGCCCCGAGTTAGTTAGGCACGTGTTTTCGAACGGAGAACACTGGACCGGCCATGCCAGCATCGCCGTTTTCGAAAGACAACAATTCGGCGGGCCCTGAGCTCCTAATCCCGACCATCCACTTTGACTACTCGTCCCTGTTCTACCGAGTAGGCGTTTCTGTCCCGGAACCGAACTACCTCATCTGCGAAATGTACATACCGGCCATCGCGTTGCTTCATTACGCCGCTTTGCAATAATTCGCTGGAAAGCTGCCCTTCTGGCCCCTCACCTCGCCTACCCACCAGTCTTGGTCCGTCCCAGTTTTTTTGACGACACGGATCCGGTCGCCCTCCTGGAACGATAAATCGCCCGCCCCTTGTCCCGCGAAGGCATACTGCGCTATCACGAATTCCTCTGGCTTGGCCATGGACGCGATGCGCTTCGGTGGCGGCGGGGGCGGTTTCTTCTTCCCTATCACCGAGGCCGCAGCTGTCGCACCTGATGGGGTTTGCTGAGAGAGAACCATGCTGTTCTGCGATATATTGGATGCGATTGTTGATGCGGTGGCCGGCCGACTGGGTCCGCTGTTACTGAAGTAATCAGTCGGCCGCAATGAGTTCGGCGAGGCGCCTGGAGATGTGCCGTAGCCGGACGCTGTTGTAAACTCGGTTGGCACCCCGAGGTTGTTGGCCATGGCGTAGTTGGAGGAGGCAAGAGACGTCGATGAGGGAATTCGTTTCGGCCGTGGGGGCATTGGTCCTGGGCCCGGTTCGGGTCTGTTGCCGTTGGCGTTTCCCGGGATGAGGTTTGATGAAGTCCTGCGAAATCCATTCAATGACGGCACTGACGCCTTCCGGCCCTCGGGAGATGGCGGCTCGATATCGATAACATGCATGGGCTGTCGGACTGTCTTGCCGTGGGCAATGCAGCTAATAGACTCGACTTCTCGTTTGACGGGATTGAACGCGCCTGACCACATCGCAATGACTTCATCCATCGGTGGGGGCGGTGAAGGGAATTCGTGCTCTTCGCAATAATTGTGCAGAGTGGTGTAGTATAGCCCGAGCAGGCGGTTTTGTATCAATATTATGGTGCCGAGCACTGGAGGTACCATCCTGAACGCCGCGTCGACAATTGGGGGCAGTGTCTCCTTGAGATGGCTGTCGGCAAATTGGAATTCCTGAGAAATCAGGTTAGCATGTGTCGATTATATTCCCCGGGTCCCGGAGGGTTGGGTTGACGGCTTTGGAAAGACGTACATCAGCAGCCCGTACAACCTCCTCTTCAGCCTTTACTAGAGCAGCATCATCCTTGGCTGATTTGCCTGGTTTCCTCTGCAGTTTGATAGCCTTGTCCTGTGCCTTTTCGTAATCCAATCTTCGATTCTCCCTCTTTTTGATCGTCTTCCGGATTGGTGCAATACAATCACGGGCGTCTGTAGCGGGCTTTATGACTCTTGAGTCTATGAGGGCAATCTCCTCCATTAATTCCGTACCGAGGTCGGCGTATGCCTCCTTAAGCTTGAACGTGCGATTGAGCTGCAGCTCTGGCGTAGGTATTGCCGCCTTGCCATTGGTACGAGCCGATCCTTCGATGGGATCATATAGGCCTTCGTATTCGGAGACGATGCCCAGCTGTGTATTTGTGAGAGTTACCCAGGAATCTCGCCAGGCTTTCGCGTGGTCAATGAGCTATGTACAACGAGTCAGCTGTTGCTGTACCGTGGGGATACGAGGTGTTGCGGTCGCAGCTCAATAAATCAGACGAAACTGTACCTTAGCGAGCACTCTGTCGGCGTCTTCGTAATCATTCAACAAAACGGATACCTTCGCATTGTCCCCTGGAGCTTTGTTGAGAAGCTTCCCAAACGATCTTTGCATAGTCTGCATTTTAGAGCTCGTGGTTGGGGGAGGGGACGGTTAGGATCGTCGGGTGCGTGTCTGGGTGAAAGTAGTGCAATTAAAAGTCTTGAACAAGAGAACGACTCAGAGACAGAGCCGAGCAATGATGGATTCTGATCAGCACATCGACCTAATGCGGTCAGAAAATAGCGAAACGATGGAAGAGGAAGAAGAGGGTGTTGGACGAAGCTCAATCCCAATCCCGCACCGCTTTTTGCGTCAGACGAGTTCAACCCCGCGACAACCCTGCTAGGCAAGAACACCGACCGCTGGACTTGCTGGGGTCGACAATCTGATGGAATTGTGTCAATCAGGCCAAATCTTTCAGGGCCACGCGTGGATGTGGCTGTGGAGTTAACTTAATACATGCAAGACCAGCAAGGATCAAAGCAGGCAGAATAGCCGTTTCAATCAGTCTGCGTGAGATGCCTGGCAACCTGGCAAATCAGAGACGTTGTTGAGTGTCAATACGTGTACCCTGGCGGACTTCGCTCTGCGGAAATTTCAATGAACCTCCTGTTTGACGATGAAATCGTTTTGTAGCCCAAGGCCCAAGGTAACAACAGTTTGGCCAGATACGTGTGTGACTTTGCAGGTGGGTTGGTACCTCAAACATTTGGGTGCTCGGACGAGGCACAGCATCCCAATGACCAACGGCACGAACATTGGCTACCCTGTAAGTGACGTAAAAGGCACAATTTCCCATCTGTTACGAGTCTATCAGAGGGTCTTTCGTAATATCGTTCGCAGCAGATAGCCACAATCGCATACACTGAAACGCAAGGCACGTCGAAATACCCGTAAATTCTCATCAGCTCCGAATTACATTCATTTTAGACGGGAGATCTCTTGGGGAGTCCGACGTACTTGGTATTCATCAGCGAATGAACGTGATCCTGAGTAGCTGCGAAGGAATCGCATTCACTTCAGTTGTCGATACAAATCGAAAAATAAGCCTATTCCTCCCAGAGGATTTTCGGGTGCGATCAGGTGTGATGTCATGTATAACGTTACCTTCAGATTGGAAGCTACTTCCTGGTGGGAACATGTCGGCGTTTTCTCTGTCCCTCACCGACCAGTACTCAGCACGTGCTGACGTGTTGAGACGCGCCTGCCTATTTTCAGATACCGCGATCATTACAATACACCTAGGTGTCAAGTCACCCATTTACGCAAGTTATCCTAAGCGTCGACTATTGCCAAGCCATGTGCGAGAATACTGGTCTCTATACGTCATGATTCATTGAGGACGAACAATACTTCCGTAATGGCGGCGGTCTTGCACATGGTGCACAGTTCTGTGCCTTCAAGCTCACCGCATGGAACCAGTGCTCCCGTTATCGAATACGTCTGCCTTTTCACACATGATTTGCGGAGGAAACAGAAACGATGGCAAGATGGACGCCTGAAATTGCACACCTTTAACGGACGGATCATGGTTTACGATGAGAGGGGCAACTTTGTAGGAGACACTCATTGGCGAGAGGATTACGACTTCGGCGAAGGCGAAGAGTTCGACCTAGAGAGAGGTAATACTATTGTCCAGGCAGGTGAATGTGTTGGAAGCCGACAGCAGGACCTCACGGAAATTGTCGACAAGAGAATCCAGGAAAAGGCAGAAAGACAGGCAGAAAGGCGGGCAGCTGCAGCCGCTCGCCAACCTTCTATCAGACCTGTGCCAGCCCTCAGCATAACCCATTCAAGATTACATCAATTACCACCGCGGCATAGGCCACTACTTCAGTTGATTGGAACGCCGACGGGACATCATGGGCGTGCATATGTACCTCCCGAATCTCCGTTCGAGGAGCGCCAGAGGGCAAATGCACAAGAACCAGACGAAAGTCTTCAACCCGCCAAGAGGCGCAAACGGGAAGCGAGTCCACCGAGTAAAAATGGCTACGCCCAAAGTCTCTTTGGAGCATCCTTGACCCTTTCGGGAATGTCAATGAGCAGTGCTCCCATACGTCAAAGACCCAGGAAGGTTGTCCAGGTACCATCCTCGGATGTCAGCAGCCGGGACAAGGACGACGAGAACGACAATATACGAGAATTGGATCCTCCCATAGAGGAACCACATGTCAGAGAAGTTCTATTGCCTGGAAGGAGTACCACTTCGGTCAACATGCTCCGGATTTCTTCAGGAGAAACGAGCACAAAGAACGCGAGGCCAAAGGCGTACACGTTTGAGGGTATGGAGAGCAATCGTGATACCCATGCTCGTCCCAGTTCGAGAAGCAAATCAGGCCAACCGCCCCATAGAACACTTGCGCCACTCACATTGGTTCCCAAAACGGATGACAATGTATCCAGGGGGCTGGGAAGTGAGGCAAGTCGTGCCGATGGTGAACATCGTCAACGTCCCGAAGAGGCACAACCTAGAAACACATCAACAACTTCAGATCTGCCGGAAAATGATAATGGTCTTGCGAGCTTCAAGGAAGTCTCCAGGGACTCTCTGAAACGGCTTCTATCAAAAAGACTTGGGCGTCAAGAGGAATCTGGTTCTCCGAGTGCAAAGCTATCCAATGCCAAACAACCCGTGAACAAGCCAGTCACCGCCTATGAGCGCAGAACGGAACAAGTCCAAACTCTTGGCAAGCCCAATACAGCTACTAAAGATGTGAGCAAACCAGGTCAGTCGTTTGACAAGCCAGTCATGGTTGATGAGCCTACAACGGAATTGCGCATCAATCCTAGGAAAAAAAGGGGATTGTTGATGATGTCAGAGCAGGGGTTGACCAAAAGATCACGAAAGTCCTCGAACGCTGATACTGGCTCTACTGCTGGTAACACGGGTGCATCGCCTAAGACGATAGCTAGCAATGATGGAGACTCGACAGTGAGCTCGGATTCTCGGGCTGAGTTCCGACAACGAGATTGTGACAAGCCTGGTCGTATTCACCACCGACCCCGGGAGGATGGCCGATTCTGTCGAAGTGATGGTACCTCCGAGGTGAACCCGCGCCTGAATAGGTCCAGGTCTGACCGAGAAGTTCTCGTCGCACAGCCTAGTGCTCAGCCGCAGCTTGACGAAGAGTCACTAACGGAGCGTGACTCTGCGAACCCTGCGGCTAGATGTGGACGTGGTTCTAGGGCCCGTCAAACACAGACGGCCTCTAGAGTTCCTGCAGGTCGAAGGCTTGAAGCCCAGAATATTGGCTCCTCTGAAGATACATTTGAGGAAAAACCGCCTCAAACTAGGAAACCCGAACGTGACAAACGGCGAGCAGGAACATCCAGAGCGTCCCAGTGCAATTCTAACCAAGCCGATTCGCTGAAGCTTTGTGACCCCCAGGAACAACCTAGAATTGAGAGAACCAGGCATTCGGAAGCTGATCTACTTGAGGCAAGGTTTGAACCTCGGCCGCGAAAAGGGCATCGCGAAGACTCAAATGGAGAGAACGCCAATAAACCAGACATGCCACCTCCGCGGCTCGCACCTCTACGAAAGAGTATACGGAGCAAGGAAGTCATTGGGTTCATATCCGAAGATGATGAGCCATTGACTATTGCCACATCACAGGCAAATACTCAAGTGGCGCCACGGTTTCCTGAGCGGTCACAGCAGACATCGACAACCGTAGAAGAGCCAGCCTTCCAAGAGACTACCACAGAAAAGCAACCTCGCCAGAGTCCAGTCACGGTGAAAGAGTCGAGGATATTGGAGGATAATACTGAACAACCACATCAGAAGTCATGCACTTCGCCACAGCCTGTGATACCGGAGGTAGTATGTGAACAGCCGCAGCAAGAGTCGTTCGCCGTACCAAAAGCAACGTTGCCCGAGGTCCAAGATAAACAGCTCCAGCAAACATCCTTCGTCGCGACGACAGGGAAGACAATAAAGGATGGAAATGAACGACTGCAGCAGAGTGCACCCGCCTTTGAAAAGCCAACTAAACCCGAGGCTGAAGGCATTCATCGAATACCTGCAGCTGCGCCTCGGCCATCAAAAACCTCGGGCGATCGCCGCCCCAACCCAACTGCAACTAGTGATATTTCGGAAAACCAGACTGAAGAGTCGCTGGCACAAGGAAATGATGGCAAAGGACTGCCCTGTCCCGACGAGCCACATCTGGCTCGGCATGGTAATCATCGCGCAGCATCTGGTCCTACTTGCAATATCACCCATGGCCCAAGCCCACCACCGCCCGCTTTCCTGGGGACCAAGCGGCTTCATTCAGCCCCAGCCAAACCCAACATGCGCCGGGAGGCCGTAAAGGCTTCAAACCAGATCCAGCCGCCTCTGACACAGGACAATGGCGTTGACAGGACGAAAGAGACGCAGAGAATTACGGTGGGACTGAGCGCCGAAATGGCAGCATTGAACCGGCAATCGGTCCCAAGGCTGGTCAATCCTGCAACCCGAGGACGGAAGGCTGCAAAACCGTCCGATGCGGTTGGCCAGGTACCCGAAGGAGTATTACTACCCTCTGGCGGAGCCTCATATACCACAATGAGACAACCCAGCCGCGCACTTCCACGCGACGCTGTGGATCATGTGAAGGAAGCCTTGGCAATGCCAGGCTTTTCCAAAGCCAATGGAGGACCCTGGAGCAGAGAGGCTCATGACCTTTTCGAATTCACGCACCCAAAGTAAATAGCACTTAGCTGGCCATTTTAGATCGTTGATAGACACATGCAGTACGATCCTGGGAGGTTCATCATGGAACTCGCCCCAGGCTGGCAAGTAAGGCTAGGTATTGAATGTGTGAGCAGCCCTGCAGCAATTGGGTACCAGCGGTGTGTCGTGCTACCCAACCGAGCTTGCCTTACAAATTTTCTCGCACGAGACGGGTGTATGGCCTACCTGCATACTACATTTGAGTCGCCATATTGGACTGCCTCTCGGTTAGATAACGAATGCTTGTAGCTGTCAATTGAGCAGACCGATTACCCAATCAGTCGAGCAACCGTTCCCAGAGCCGAACGCTCAGCGTACAGCCCTCGTTTTTCATAGGCACCATGCGCAGACTGCTGTTTTGAGTAACCAACCGAAGACCAGTGCTTTCCTGCAATTTGCGGTCAATAACAGACATATGAGCGTCGCCGCTCATCGCCCATTTTGCTTTCCGTCTCAACGCCTGAACGCCTGACGCATTTGAGTGTATATTCACCGAAATGCTCGCAGGTTGTGTTCTCTCACGATTATGTCTCTTGACGATGATTCTGCGAAGTTACGGAACATTCTCATTTCAAACTAGACAACATGTCCACACTTCGAGAGGCTTTTGAGTCGCGTTCAACTGCGTGTAGGAATGAATGACCAGACACAGCGCATGACGTACGCCCGTTGATGGCCTCACGCCTCGTGGGGTCCCAACATTTTAAGGCGACCGTCCAGAAGGCAGTTAGGATATTTATGAAGTTACGCAAATCTGCCTGGTTGTCAGCCTCGACTACCAGTCATATTTCACCCTTTCGAGTCCCTAGCTTTTCCAATTGTCTCATTCCTAGCACATCACTTTATTACGCTACCCATTGCTGCCCTAGCATTGGATTGTCGGGTCGCGGCCTGCACCCCCGCGATTTCAACCCTGGATTATTTCAACCTTTAACACACAAGGCTGTATAGGCGATCTCTTTTTTTCTTCTTTTTTTCTCAGGCATCCATATTCGCTCTAGGTTGAGAATGGCGCCACACTCGAAAACGAAGCCGCCGAAACTTCGAAGAGAGGTAGAGCGAACACCACAAACCCAAATAATCTATAACCGGATTCGCGAAGAAGAAGACAGGCACTCTTTGCAACACCATGTCAACTCGCAAAACCTACGGCCTCCGCCTACCAGGTCTCTGGCCATGTCTCCGAGTATGACCAACGAGAGCCGTGTCAGCGTGAGCCTTTCTCCTTCCTCGACCGCGGACTTACACGGGCAGAGGAATCTTGAGGTACCAGGTCCAGACCCAGGCAAGGGGAAACGTCCACGAGGGCGCAGGCACCGTCCGTTGGACCCGGCTAAAAAATTCAAGACGGCGATCAAGAGGGCGCTCAAACTGGTCTGCCATGATTGTCGAGCTAAGAAGGTCACGGTATGACTAGTTGTGCCCCTGTGCACTGCAATCGCACAACTAACAAGCCGACGATAACAGTGCGAATGCTACGACTTCTCTAAACTCGAAGAAGCCTACCAAGCCGGCCAGGCGGCCAGAGCGGAACAGCTAGCCTCACACGACCCGGCCCCAGCCCCGACGCCGCAATATACATCGATCAACGACCTGCTGGGTATTGACGGCGGTTGGACCACCCCAGTTGCCCTCGAAGACGATCTGGGCGAACTTACGGATCCCTTGCAACAGCCGAGTGCCCCACAACGCATTAGGCAATTTGTGAGCCACTTTGGAGTGGACTCAGTACCTTCGGGTCCTAGCATACACCAAGAACCTACAGACCAGCAGGCCTATCGTCTTCCCAATGTAAGGTCAGATAGCCCGCCTGCGCTTTCAGTTCCCTTTCCGATAGGCAGCGAAATGTTTGAGTATCCCGGACGGTGGCGGTGCGAATTCTTTAAACCTGACCGGCCGACGCCAAGTATCTGGTCGGACGAATGCTCTTGGACGGGGCCAATGGAGTCATTGGAACTGCATTTCAGGACAGATCATCATTCGTTTCAGGATCCCGAGTTTTGGTGCCAATGCGAAGCTTGCCATGGCTTGGTACCTGGTGAGGAGCCGCCAAGGGTTTGTGAGAATGAAGAATGTTATGGGATGGCGCGTTGGAAGAGGTGGTATTACGGCCATAGTAAGGAGCTTCCAGAGTGTTCCCTTCTTCTTTACCGTCTGTTTTGGGAGCAAAACCTGCCTGCTAGAGCTGTACTAGGAGTTTTCCCCTTGAGACATGCTTGAGATTCCCAAACCCTCACTCAATTTTCGAAAACGGCGAATACTGACTCCTGTTCCTCTAGTGCTGGTGGAATCCGTGGCACCATCAACGCAGGCCCTCACGCAATACACTGAATCTGAGAGTGGTTATTCACATGACCACCGAGGCCCCTGGGATCGGGCGTGTCCCGGCGGCGGAGGCGGCTCCTATTCGTTTGGGTCATTCAGCGGTGGCAACTCGAATGGTCATTGTCGGCGCTCACACGCCAGTGATACCACCTGCGAAACTTATCATGACGAATTCCCGGACGAGTCTAGTCCTCATCCATTCACCCTGTTGTCCTCCCCTATCTCCAGCGTGTGTTCCTGGACAATGGAATACAAATCGAGAAGTCCCTTCGAGCCATCCGAAGTGGGCGCTTGCAGACTTCAACGATTGTTGGGTTCCCGACGGCACGCCTGGCTCCAGCTTCAATTTTTCTACACCCTGGCGATGTCTTTGCTGGTCATTATTACTCTAGATGCTGGCTGTCTTTCGCAAATGACGCGGATGCACGCTGGCTGCGTCGATGTCAGGATGAGTGTGCCGATCTTGTCGGCGGCCCTCCTCCTCTCCAGTTTCATGGGAACATGGCTGGTAAAACATTGGATCTCCATCCGGGGGCGCACTCAATCCGATCGCGCCTGGCCAGCATGGCGGACACATAGCGCCTCTGTTATACAAGTCTTGCGGCCTGCAACCGTCATTCGGGATTCTCGGGAACCAGACCAAACAGTCTCGAGTGGAAGAGAATACCTTGTGAGAATATATGGAAGTGAGGAGAAGATGAGGAACGACGATTCGACAGCACGTGGCGTTTTGGTTCGGTGAGATGAATTTTACGACGCTTGATGTGCTTTTGTTGAACCAATGGCCAGTCAGCGCGGACGACTGGTTCAGCTCTTCTCTTCTTCATTTCGTTCGATTTGATACCTATTTGGCCAGCGTATGTACGGTTTCCACATGATACCACCCCTTCGTCTTCTCGCGTGGTGCTTGACATCAGGGTCATTGGACGTATTAGTCTACCTAGCAAAGTAGAGATGAGCCCACACTCCCAAGTTGCCACCACCCATGAATGCCCACAATGTCTACCAGACGTATTTCGGTCTTGTAGAAGAAAATCTGAAGATCAAAGATCATACGGATGAGTGGAGTATATACGCCAAGTTCATGAAGCGACATTAGGCGGATCTGGGCTTCCGTGCGGTTGGGCGCGCACTGCAATGCTTGTTTCCGTATTCCGTGCATGCCGCTCCACATCTGCCGCGGAGGGCGTTCCCGACCTGTTCCCCTGGATTTTGAAGATGGAGTGGGGGGAGAAATGACGCTCTCGTCGTCGAATGGGTTTCGATTCGATCTTAGAAATATCCAGGTTTCTTCGTCGCATAAGACCACGATTGTCCCTTCCTCAGAAATCACGGTCCCGCCGTTCTCCGAATTGTGGGGTTACACACTAATTTCGAAAATTGGCCTCAATGTCAGCCGACAGCAGCCCCCTTGGTGAAATCCGCCGGGGATTACTAAGTCACAACTATGACACAGTCAGAGTCACGACTTTTACACACACTGAGCAGCAACTCTTATTCCTCGCATGAGATGGGCCCCTCAAGGACTGGTTCATCCAACAATACGACGTGCGCAAGCTTTAGCAAGGTGGGTCTGGTTCTAAGGCACCACCTTTGACTCACCATCGAAGGATTGCCCAATAAGACGCTCGCCGAATGCTGGCCTAAGGCAGCTTTACATATGATGCATTCTGAGTGTACAGGGCGCAGCAGGCGTGGAAGCCTGTTGTCTTTCTGGGGGACTACTGTTAGCGAATGGCTGTATCTGTCCTATAAAGTCCTACCAGCGAAGGAGCTGAGAAACTTCCAAGTCGAGCCATTCGACCACGATTTGACGATCTCGAGAAAGCTTGTGTGTCATTGGTTAGCCCACGCTATGCCCAATCTGTTCGCCGAAAGTTCCTAAATTTCGTTTGGCTGAGACCCCTGCTCCGCCATGGTCGGATGAGAGAGGCTTTGCTTCTCAACTGAAGGGAATTGAGAGTGAAATATCACTTTATGACTCCCTTCCTTGGGCGGGCGCCCTTTCCTCTTTCATTCTTTTTTCTTTCTCATCAGTCATTGTTTGAGTAATTCACACACTCGGAAGGCATCATCCTCGAGCCAGGCACCGCCCACACGCTGCCCCTGTCTCGACTCGACGACGACCGTCCTTCCCTCCCTCGGCATCCATTGTCAGCCCCAACTTAGACTGCTGACAATCCGTCTGCCGTTGCCCAACCGCCGCACTAAATTCGGCAACAACGCTGGGTTCGTTACAAACTTGAATAGTAACATCCGTTATCATCATAGTATATCCAGCATCAAAGGCAATTCGAGTTGGTGTCGAGTTGATGCAACCGGATTCCTCAGGATCGCTCATATTGGATTCTGCCGGAGATTCCCTGCATCCTTTGAGTTGTCAACCCCCCTCTACCAGCTCGCCGCCGTGTATCTTTGTATCCTCGCCGAATTGGCCATTGGACTTGCGCGACCATTTCGGCCATGTCGTGCAACACTTCCACCACCCCCCTAATGGGCTTCTCTGTCCACCAGCCTGGTCTTGGCGCCCAGCTGCAGTTCTTCCCTGAGATGGGCTCGAAGCAACTGGACGCTATGATCAAGGCTTACGTTCCCGGTGTTGCTTCGATCCAGGAGAAACGTGCTATTGTGTCCATGCAATTTTTCGAACACACCATCCAGACCGGCGAGCTTTTCAAGTTCTTCATGGTCTACCCTACAGCCGGGTCTGCCACTGCTTCTCCTGCTAGCTCGAGCGCCATGCACGACTCTGGCTACGGTTCCAGCTTCGACACATCGCCCGTCATCTCCGAGAGCCAATGGGCACATTCTAACAACGTCTCACTCGCCTCTCCTTCGCAAGGCCAGGCTCGCACCTCGCCCAAGAAGGCGGCTTCGTCGTCTGCCCAGCCGAAGGCCAACGACTTCTCTCACATCCCCGGAATGAAGATTATGACCAAAGACGGCCGGGATATCACTAACTCGGCGTCCCGTAGCTGCAAGACTAAGGAGCAGCGTGATCACGCTCATCTGATGCGGATTATTAAAGCTTGCCCGGTCTGTAAGAAGAAGAAGATCCGTTGCGATCCTAGCCATAAGAAGAGGGCAGCTTCTTCTCAGGCCTCTTCCCCCGAGTCATCCAAGGTTACCAAGAAGGTTAAGAAGGCGGCCGCTCCAGCAATGCCAAAGATGCCCGTTATCGAACACGAGCCCCAGTTTGCCCCATCATCTCTAGATACAACGCCATTGGCACTGGATGAAGGCTTGAACTACATGCCAGCCGCAGAATCTTGGGAGGAGTTCGTCAAGTACGACGAGGACATGTCGGTGGATGCTATTCCATACGACTACGACTTCTTCTTCGGCCCAGCAGGATACTTCTCCCCAACTACGTCCAATTCGGAATCCACATCGTTGTCGCCAAGCAACATACTCACTCCTGCCCAGCCAATCGCGCCTGCAAGGCTAGATTCTGCTGGTACGGGTGTAGTTTGCGTGGATGCGAGCGAACAACCACTTCCGCCATACCTCAATCCAGGCGGTGCAGGCATGAACTACACCGACTTTAATCTTTACTCACCAGGTTCATCCTTGAGCATGGACGATGATCCTGCCTTCTTCAAGGAAGTGGCAGCGCCAGACCGACCCGCTCCTGACTATTCACCAACCCTTCCTGGAGGTATTCACGAGTTAGCATCACCAACTCCTCAAATTTCTGGTCCCCTACCGGCAATACTCTATGATTCCGCACTATCTCAGGGATCTCGTGGTCTCTACGACAGGCATAGTCGCTCCTTGATATGTGGACATACGGCCCAGGCTGTGGACACCAACCGGCAGGCCCAGCAGGATACGAACAGCGTTCGTCAACCTTCGCATGATATGGCCAATATAGGAACGCATGCCATCTCGGGCGATGACAGTTCTGGCACAATGCCACATGCTGTGATACAATCACATGCAACTGCGTCAAGTAGCAGCGGTTCGCTTCCATTCATCACCGGAGATCATGCTGGACACACAATTGGTCGTCCATCTCTTCAAATAGCGAACACACAGCAACGTCGTGGAATACGTGGGGCCACGATGGTAAAGTCTCCTGGCAATTATCATTCTAGTCAATTGCTGAAAAATTGGCGGAATCGCCCATTCCAAACGACCACGACAACAATCGGAGACCGGGGGATCAGGATAGTTACCAAATCTCACCAAGAGAGCGTAGAGAAGTCGCCGTGTGACTGGAGCCTTGCAGGACCGGATCCGAATCCGACTTCAGACAGACAGACCCTGGTTCATTCTCAGAATGCGCCTGCGCTGGTCTCTAGCTCTATGTTCGGTTTGACGGCTGAGCCGGCTGAGCAGTCCTTCATTAACAAGAGCGTCTCAAGGCAACGTCTCCAGACAACGCGCCAAGATCGACGAATGCCCGCATCTCTCAATACCATCAGTGGTGCGATGTCACATGCCAACTTGGCACTTCACGAATCTCCGCGGCAACGACCCAAGACATGCACATCTGAGAACGGTCCAGCTGCGTTTGTGTCAGTCCGCACTCGCCAAGATCCTGGGGCTTCCCCGATCGCCACTTCCCGTGCCTCTGTTCAATCAGACGCATCTATGCCTACAAGCCGACGACTCCTTGCCAACGGTTTGGCTGCTGAGATGACCCCCTCCACGGTCAAAGCAGCACAGTCCGACGTGATCTATGACAATTCCTGGACCGTGATCAGAAATATAGTGCACACATTGGCTCTCCTATACATTGGTGCGCAAGCATTGGGAATGTCAACTCGATTCTTGGTTAATGCTAGCCAACATGGCATAAACCCATCGTCCTGTGGGCATTATACCACTTCCGACTGGTCCTCCGGGCTAGCTTTGGTTGCCAGCATGACCGTTTTGGCCATATCCCTCAGGTGTAAAGTCTGGGAGGCATCGTCGATGGCAGGCGGTGATAGACTGGAAAGTGCTGGTGCATCCCTCGTGGTCTTAAGCCTACTCGCCGTCGCCCACTCCAACTCGCAGCAGTTACTCTTGTCTACTACGAACAAGCTGAACTTGCTCAAGCACACCCCGGGGGTTTCTCGGCAGCTGCCGAGCGATACCATCGATATTGTCAAGTCGAAGATTCAGCGAACCTCCGGCGCAGTGTCCTTCTGGCCGCAATGTTCGTCGTCTTCTTTTCTGATGTCTCGCAGGCACATCCAGAGCACTCGACGATGTGCTGGGGTTGCCTCAACAGCACTAGCAACTGGCGCAATAACATGCACCATATTACGCACATGTGGTGAATTTTTAGTTTTAGCAGTTGGGAGGAATTTCTATTAGCGTTCTGCATTACGATTGATACCACATCCTGGCTGGTCGCAATCTCATAGGAGCAGATGGAGAAGACAGAAAGAAATGGATGGTGACGTTGACTGTGCCCTATGGGATGGAGTTGGTCAGCTGATGTCAATGCAGGGGTGGTTTCCGGGCCCACGTAGAATATGACTCTTAACCATTCTGACTAAATTAATTTTGCCTCGAAAATTTTGCCTCGAGTATATATATATGTATTGAGACTAATTTTCCTAGGCCTTGGGCGGTGGGATTTTGTTCAAATTTTGACCTGCTCAAGTATTGGAGACAGTTACGATGTGGTCGCCTCTAGTTGAGGTATTCGGACTTATGGTCATCCAGTCCTGATATTGAGAGCACTTGTGCGGTACATCGCGCTCCAATATAGAACGGCCTCGATGTAGAAGCTGGTGATGTGTAAAGTGCTGTCTATTTGAGTGTCGGATCAGATCATGAAAATCGATGGCCTAACAACGTGTGTCCTTATTCAGGCATTTGTACCAAAGAAATGCCGAAGATGTTGTCTGAAATTACATCCATGTCACCATGCGACCATGTCCCCGCATCTTGGACTTCAGGAGCTACAGATGCGCCTGCCTTCAAAGTTGTTTTGGTGGGTCTAGCCTAGATACCCTCTTATCCGTTCCCTGTATAATTGCATGTCTAGGTTCCATGCTAGTGGGTACTCCCCCTTATATGCGTAGCTGGATCAGCTTGGGTGTGATTCATTTGACTGCAAGCTTTTGAGTGGCTGCAAAACTTTCAGCCGTTTGGAATTAAACCTCTAATACCTATATCTCGAATACGCGTCTTCCCCGGATGACTTCAGATGAGTTCGCGCCATTCCACTCTTTTGCGATGCATCGGTGACAAGACCCTTCTTATATCCCAACGATTGTGTCAAGTTTGGGGTACGACATAGGGCTCTCGTCGCTTCCTGTTCCTTGTGCGCTGTCTTAAACCTCCTTGTGTTTTGCGTGCTGGATACCCAAGTAATTACGGCCTATCGGTGATTCACTCGATTTTTCCGCGACTTATACGACACATATTAATTAATGCTCTTAGAGATTTATCAGGGAAGAAGCACCTTGCCGGCATTGCTGATTGAGCAGGGCAACAGTGCAGGTTTGGCATTTTGCTTTGGGCGGAGAGGAAATTCCATTGTTGAGTGAAGGAGAAGCAGGGTGACTCCTGCTGAGTTTTGTGTCAGTATACTTGAAAATCAGTAAAAAGTCGCTGTTTGAGGCAGGCGCGGGCGGGAAACAATGGCGGGTCACAAAATCTCAGGTTACATCTTGAGCCTTTGGCAGGCGCTGTTTGCATCCTTGGTTCAACTGTTCACCTGCATCTTTCGCAGGACGGGCACGACCACCTCAAAACAGCAGCCTTCATCAGAAAAACCTCCCCACGATTCTCCTTTACCTGCACCTGCACCCAACCCTGAACAACAATCTCACAGTACCGGCCAAGAATATCACACCATTCCTGATCTCGAGCGAGGACTTCAAGACCAAGAAGACATGGTGGCGTCTAAGAAGCGCGGAGGCCAAAAGCGTTCGGGCGTCAAGGCCAACGGAGCCAACGGAGCCAACCCGGCCAATATCACCACTGGTTCTAATGGCACTGCTGCTACCGACAGCACCAGCAATGTTTCCAACAGCCAACTGCAGAAGGACAAGGAGAATATTGGACCTGGAAAGCAGCCCAAACAGAATTCGGCATCTGCCCCGATTCCCACCAGCAAGAATAGCAATGTCGCCGCGCCTTCCTCGGTTTACAAGTCTGACGCCAAAGTGAATTCGTCCAAGCTGTCCGATGTTCAGAAACCAAACGGCCCCAAGCCATCTTCTGGTCGAACCCGTGGCCGCGCATCTCCTCAGCCTGCTGAGAATGCTGCTGGTACTACTCCTGCCCCTTCTGCTCGGGAAGCACCGATGCTCGCCTTCGGCTCTTTGGCGCCTGTCGTAACGGCTGTCGTGCCCACTGAGAATAAATCTGAGATTCAGAAAACGGGTAGCCACATCCAATCGGGCACACAAACCTCCGTCACCTCAGCCAAGCCAAAGGTCGATAAGGAAAACTACGAGGCGCTTGCCAATGCGCAAATCGAACAGATCGACGGGGCTGCCGACCGCATGGCTCTTGACGACAAGCCGGCGCCCAAGCACAAAGAGCCCGAGAAGCAGCTGGACAAAGATTCGGCGGCCGTCGAGGCGGCGGCTGTTCCTGTCGTCGTCGCCGTTCCCGCTCCTGCTCAGTCGTCTCAGCAGCCTATCGCCCCGAAGCCTCTTGCTCCTCTCGTCACGCCCCCTAGTCAGGTTCTGCCTGGGCTCATAGAGCCTACGACTGAGGAAGGCAAGATTGAGCGCGAACATCACCTCAAGTTCATGAGAGAGGCTCTCGCTATGGTAAGTCTTGATTTCTACTCATGCTGCGGATCGCAGATTTGGATCGCAATTTTCATTCACCGATTGATGATGACGTGACATGGTCTACACGAGGCGACGGGCTGTGCCCCTTTCTTACTTGTTCCGTACCACAGTAACATGATTGGATCGAGTTTTCGCGTACCTCGCAATCTACTCCCTTCTTGCACCCAACTGGTTGAGCTTTGGACTAATTATGTAATAGGGCGCACTGGCTTTGGGCACCAATGAGACCCCTGTTGGCTGCGTACTGGTGTACCGCGGTCGTACTATCGCGAAGGGAATGAATGCGACTAACGTAACCCGAAATGGCACGCGCCACGCTGAGTTCATGGCATTGTCTGCCTTGCTGTCTCATCACCCAGATGCCGACGTCAAGGACGAATCGACTTTGGATGAGTCTTGCTGGGGTGATGTCGATCCGACAGATGGCCACATCTTTCCGTACGGTCAGAAGTTGCATCCGTCTCCCAAGGTCAACCGGTCCATCATCTCGGAGTGCATTCTCTATGTCACTGTCGAGCCCTGCGTCATGTGTGCATCTCTCCTTCGACAGCTCGGCGTCAAGAAGGTCTACTTTGGTGCCGTGAACGACAAGTTCGGCGGAACTGGTGGCGTTTTCCGCATCCACTTGAATTCCAAGCCGGTTCCCAAGCCCGAGGATAGACCTTACCAGAATGGATATGGACCCCACGACATCGAGCGCATCTCCAAAGGCCGTTTGGTTCCCCAGGAGCGTGACGAGGATGATGGTGATGGAGGCAATGTTGAGCCTGGTTTCCCTGCTGAGGGTGGCTATCTCCGGGATGAGGCCGTCTCGTTGCTGAGACGGTTTTACGTCCAGGAGAACGGAAGAGGTGAGTTTAAAAGCCAGACTTAACAACGGGTTTGAGATCGTGCTAATTTCTTATACCCACAGCTCCTCAACCTCGCAAAAAGGAAGGCCGTGCCGCTCGCCTCTACGCTATGGAAAATGCACAGAATGGTGGTAGCTCGTTGGAGCTCTCTGACATGGCGCCTCAGACTCCGATTGATACTGAGCCCTCGTCTGCCGATCAGGAGAAGTTTCCTGAGGCCGACCAGGCACACATTCCCGCGGACGACACCGCCAACATTCCGAAAGCAGTTGCCCCCGCGGCTTAGAATGCCGTCACTGGCGCTCCTTTGGGAGTTATTTTGACGGCTTAGTCAATAAGCCCTTTCCCCTCTACCGTGTTGGACGCCCCGCATCACCACCACCTTTACCAACCTTTTGACTTTGACGACACATGTATCACCATTACCAAAAATTAGATCTGCATAAGCCCATGGCAAAATCGCGACTTGTATAAGTCCATGACGAGAACCACGATACACATGCATTGAGTTCCTGGCGACCAATATCTGCATTGAGTCAACGAGTGGTCACAAAAGACGCGCATTGACTGGAAGGGAAACCGGGCGTTAAGGGGCTGCTTTTTCATATTTCTTTCAGGGGGGAAATACCACAAGGCGAAGGGTGGTTGGCAAAGGTTCGGTCCGGTTTGCAACTGATTCCCAACACGGCTAGAGGGGCAAGGTGGCCTCATTCTACGCATAGGCAGGTAGTAGTCTTTTTCCGAATGCATTGTGCATTGATTTTCCTTTCTGACTTTTCTTGTGCTTGGTCGATAGTGATGATGGGCGTGATGGTGAAGCTTTATCTGATATGTTGGCGAAGTTGACAGCCCTGGCGAAAGCTTGCATGATTTACCACCAGGCCTCTGCCTATAGACTAGTAGGATCAGACTAACTCTCTAGTTACGTTGTGGCTGGTGGCCCAACGAAATCTTCAAGGAAGTGTTGGAATGATAAGCCTGGTCTGTCACTGGGCCGCCCACTCACTCGAGGGAATAAATATGGAGATAGACAACTCTGCGTGTAAACTCGGATTGGGTTGATCATGGATCCTCATAATCCTCAGCTTACAGTCTCGTCCGCGATCATGAAAGCTCTATTCCGTGACGCGGAAGATCTACTACCTTGCTGCGATATGAGACCATATCAATGTAGGATTAGTTCTAGACACAATTATGGCTTTTCGCAGGCTATATTGATTGAGACAACGAGCTCGACGGTACGTGGTTGCTGTATCGGCCTTTAGGGATAGACGATTTTGTCTGTGCTTAACGGCTAGTTTGATTGAGTTTTCTCGAGTTGGTGCAACATCTGAGGGGCAGAGTAGAGTATTGGAAGGCGTAGAGCTGCGGTTGATGCGATTGGCAACATGTTCACGATACGATGGAACTTTCATTGGCTATTTGTTTCCCGCTTTCTCTGACTTTGGGTTTTCACGTCGTCTTACGACATTCATAGTGCTTTAGGGGTTCTGGGTGTGATAAGGGCGGTGCTCATCGGAGACTATGATAGTGATTGCAGCGGAGGAGTAGATGGCTTCTATCACCGGAATTTCAGAGGGACTGGCGCAGTTGAGGCAGTAGCTTCGGGGTCTAAGCGAGTGAATGTTATTGTAGATGATGGTACTACTAGACATCTGAAGCAAATATCCTTCAGAGCTCGGTTATATTTCGATGGCTCTGGGAGTTGGGGCTCGTGATCGTACTCGGGTGAGCTCTCATGGAGGTTTTGAAGGCTCTGAGATGTATTAATATAGGTCATCCAGCTCGGTGTGGGAGATCTGGGCGAAGTTATCGTTGTTCCATGCATAAAAATATAATCGACTACGCATGAGACTTGAGCAAGCGTCTCTGGTGATTTACACGGGACAGTGTGTATATTCCATACTATGTAACAAGGGCTGGCTTCATATTTGACTTTGTCATTTCCACCATTGCTGACATCGAATCGTGTGAAATCAGCTCAGCACACTTCTGACGGTGAGAACTTATCATGTATTCAATCATAGCTCTTGCCCATGTGGACGACGCGACTAAGTTCTTAGTATTGGCGCTGATCTTGCCCTGATGCCCTCTTGTCCATCTCCTGTAGAAACCGTATTACAATCAAACCACTCGGGAGGGAAAGACTCGTTTGGCATCGGCAGAACTCCAGGGCGCGTCCCACCATTAGCAGGCGACCTGGGCTTCACATCAGAACCAAAGCGTCGAATACATCGAGAAGTTTGACTACTCTGGGAGGCAACAGACTCGCGATTTCGGCGCAATTTGTCCGCAAGTAGTCACACAATGACAAAGTATACCAGAGCATTAGTGATGGCCTCTCGGGGATCAACGGAAAGGAAGATCTAAAGGAAATTCTGCAAGAGAGATATTGGATAGGCGGAGCCCAGGATCAACCATCGAGACCGACGTTTCTGTAGAGGCTATGGTTGAGGTTGTTAGTCCAGACCAGGGTCGAGTCTGAGAGACACGTCTTCCCTTCTAATTCTTCGAAACGGCCGTGGTCTGGTATGACGGCCCCCTGATGGTCAATTGCTATCAGATCCCTTCTGACCATGAATTAATGAAACTGGTCGACTTAGACGTCAAAGAAGGCCGGGATGACCCCACAGTGGGTGCAAGGGAAGATGGTGTCGCCAGGTAGCCCGGGATGACTGCCACTCGATGTGAAAGCCATCAGGAGTAGACACATGATGAATTTAAAAGCAAAATCGAATATGGAAGTTGTTTATCTGGAAATCCAACTTGGTCTTCTACGTTCCCAATCGTTTCCGGCCAATAAACTTGTCGTGTTTGAGGTGGCCCATAAAGTTTCCTCGTTACCCGAATTTCTTACACATTCTGATGACATAGGCAATGCGTTGGTCCATGGGGAGGTCTTTGAGATTAACTGTATGCACTGCCGGAGTATTCTCCAATGGATTGCTGTTGCAATTACAAAGGGGCTTGGCATTTGGCTTTTCTTGAGTCAGGGTGGGCGGCCGATTGTTGATGGAGTGACATGACCTCACCTGTCAAATCGTGAGGTGCACAATCAGATCCCAACAAGATCAGCAATTATCCATCCCGGCGTCTGCGCTGGATTCTACTTGGTCCTATCTTAGTGGTAGAATTTTAGTTCTCTTCTGAGTGATTGATCTGATTAAAACATCTAACGCTCTGATCCTCCAAGCCTTCGATTATAAATCCCACCCATCGCTGAGCTGGGAGGGTCTGTAAAAGAACTCAGAATAGATCATGTTGACACATATAGCCCATGCAATAGAGCGGGTAGGCTGCTATTTTCTGGCCGAAACTGACGGACAGACATACTTACTTTCGAACAAAGCAAGTGATGTTTTTGATGATCAGGCAAAGGAGATGAACCTTCGTGATCATCGAGCAAAGGAGGCAGTTTCCTGGATCAGCCAAGTCGAAACGGGCGAGTGCACATGGGGCCGGTCCATCCAACAAAGTAGGAGTGTACGACTAGGCCTATTGAATGCAAGAGGAAGGCACTTGGAGACTATGGAACCAAGCGAGGTAATTGTGCAAGCACATGATGATGTCCCAGTGCAGACAGCTGTTCTCTACAACACATAAGCGTATTCTTTGAGGTTGGCCAGCTCTGTCGACGCCACCTGCTACTCGCACCAGCTTGTATCTGCCTGGTGGGTCTGATGGGATAAGAAGGTCTTTCAGAAGTAGTCCGCAATGCCAAGGTTGTGGTCAAGATACCGCGAACTCCGATAATACTTCCGAGTGACCATCTCTACGATGATATCCCCATGGCATATGAGATGTTCGATAATTTTCTTGGTCTCACCATCACCCCACGTTCCGACTAAACTAAGACTACTTACTCCACCATAGACTGCGGAATCCTCTGTTCACACACGGACGGACGCCAACACGATACAGTATAATATGCGCAGTACCCGAGAAGATGCACTTGGATTCGATTTATCCAGACATTTCTAGTCATTATCGTGTTGATTGCTCTTGCCCAGGGAGCGGCCTAGTTGACTATCTGGTGTAATTGCCGACTCCCCGATGGGATCTCTCAATTGTGCCCCTGAGATCAGACCAGGCAAAACTCTCGTAGTTAGCAGGTGCTTGTGTGGTGGACAATCGGGAGGAGGACCCATTGGTGAAGATCAAGGCCGTCTCTTGACGGCTAATACCTGCTTCATCAAGCCATCCTATAGACTTACACTGAAGTAGGCTGTTCAACTATGTCATCATGCCGGCGTAGGGAGGAAACGCCCCCGGTCTGGAGTAGCTCCCAATATAGGTGCAGAGGAACGTGGCCTTGTCCAAACTAGTAATAAACGAGAGGTGAGTAGTGGCCAGTCTTGCCAATGTCTCGACAGAGGCAATACCCCAGCCTCCCATTACCCGCGTAACCGAAACTGTGATTAGCACGTCCATTTGCAAGTCGATGTTCATTCCTCTCTTCCCAATTCTTAGACTTTTTTCCACCTCCAAATTCACGACACGGACCCTCGTCCTTCTCCCATCCTCACATGCCACTCTCAACGCCACGGCAAGCTGTCTTGACGTCCAATCTGTAGTCCATCGTGAGGCTCACTCCGTCTGTGCCTTCTTTGCACATTGCATTCACCATCACATTCCCCGTTTCTAGATTTGGCTCCGCCAAGACCCGCATGCCACTTCTCAACTCACTTCACCTTGTCGTTCCTCGCAACGTTCACGCTCGACTTTGTCAATCTGCCCTTTTACGCATCTCCATTTGATCGCCCTTTCATTCTACCAAGATTGACATGATCCTGAAAGGCTCACCATCCACCACCCACGGTCAGACTTGAGGTTCTCCCCTTTTCGGTACAGTGGGGAAGTTGGATGCACATTTACTGCTATTTCACCATACCCCCAATATTTCACATTTCCTCCTGGTCGGCCTGTACCCTGGACTTGCTCCGACCTGGTCGCGTTTGCAGGACATTGACCAACCCTTTTTCACATCCACCCAACCAGCACCACGGCGGGGACCACAACACAACTTGCTCAACGCGTCACCCCTTCCCCCTTCATCATCAATTCGGCCATTTGAGAGACATTGTCGCGACTTGCATCGCATCAGCCTTCGTTCACAATGGCTACAATGTCTCCGGCGCGTGCATCGTCTGCCGAGTCGAGCTTTGGAGGTGCAGCTGACACCTTTTCCAATGTCGCGTCGTTGAGCTCGACACCACCCACTACTGTTGCGGACAGCATGAGCCTGGCTTCTGATGCCTCCAAACCCGAGCATGTAGTTGCCTCAGACCCCATTGAGGAAACTGTCTCGGAAACTTTGCACCAAACTTTGCAAGAGTCTATCCGACAGCAACAACAACAACCACCACCACCACCACCCACCCCGACTCAAGCTGCGCCTGAGCTCATGCAAATGAATAACGTCGAGCTTGTTGTCGAGGCAATCGAAGTCACCACCGCCGTAAGTGCGCCTGCGGAAGCCGCAGAAGCCGCAGAGACGCCAGCGACTCCCAACGCGACAAGCCCTGCGGATGCCCCTTCCTCGACCGGACGCCCCCGACGATCACGGGCAAGCCTCCCGGTATACAATCTCGCACAGCTGACCGGCACCGCTATTCACGGCAAGCGCAGATCCAAGGGCGACGTTGTTTCCGAGAGACGACGACGACGTACCATTGCGGGCGACACCTGGGCGGACAACAACGAGGATGGGGGTGCCAGTCCAGACGGAGTCGCTAAGAGCGCCGGCGGCACAGCAGGGGACCGTATAAACGCGCTCGACTCGCAACGGTCTATGCGCGGAGCCAGCACGCCCAACTCCAAGGTGTCCAAGAAGCGCGCTCTGTCTCCAGAACCGAGGCGCATTTCAACGCGTTCAACGGGCACACCGGTTGAGAACTTGGCAAACAAGCTCACTACACTGGGCAAGAGAGGGAGGAAGTCTGTCGATAAGGGCTTGTCGCGCGTTGCGCTCGAGATCAAGAGGTTGCAGGACACCAATGAGTTCGCTGGCATCGACACCAAACCTGTCTTGTACACCACCTGGGCCAAGGGCAAGCTTGTAACCCATACCGACCCTGAACCCGCTACCAAGAAGCGCAAAGTGCCTGAGTCGCCCAAGAAGGCAGCACCCACCAAGGCGGAAACCCCAGTCGAAGAGGCTCCGCCCATGAAGCAGCGACGCATCAAGAAGTGGCTTGAACATGGCCTTTACTCTGGCCAAGAGGCACCTATGGACATCTACAAGAGCCTGACTCCGACCGAAAGAAAGAGCTTGGCAGATATGCCTGAACTAATGCCCAGCGGCAAACCCAACGGGACATTGCCACAACCTATTTTCAACGGCTTGCGTCTCTTGATTAGAGGCCGAGACTTCAAGCTGCCGTACGACATCTGCAACCCTCTCCCTCCTGGACAGCCGAAGCCAGATGAGTGGAGAAAAATGACGAGAAGTAAGATACACTGCTCCCAAGAGCCATTCGTAGGTGAGCATTTACTAACGTGCGCAACAGATCGCTTTGTGGGCAACGCATCTGCTATCTGGAAGAAGAACCCCCACTTCAACGACTATCAATCCAAGTGTGTGTGCACGCCCGAGGACGGCTGTGCCGAGAGCTGCCAGAACCGAATCATGCTTTATGAATGTGATCAAACCAACTGCAATGTTGGTCCTGCTCATTGTCAGAATCGCGCTTTTGCCCGCCTGCAGGAGCGCACCAAGGCTGGTGGCAAGTATCGTGTGGGGGTTGAAGTCATCAAGACAGAGGACCGAGGCTACGGCATCCGCAGCAACCGCTGCTTTGAGCCCAACCAAATAATCATGGAGTACACAGGCGAGATCATCACTGAGGAAGAGTGCGATCGTCGCATGAACGAGAAGTACAAGGAGAACCAGGTGAGTGCTCGCATTTGTCTACTTGATGACTTATCACGTGACTAAACTCAACTCCCTGCAGTGCTATTATCTCATGTCGTTTGATCAAAACATGATCATTGATGCAACGACGGGAAGCATTGCTCGTTTTGTCAATCATTCGTGCACCCCCAATTGCCGCATGATTAAGTGGATCGTGTCTGGTCAGCCCCGGATGGCCCTCTTTGCTGGTGACCGCGCCATCATGACGGGGGAAGAGTTGACCTACGACTACAACTTCGACCCCTTCTCGGCCAAGAACGTCCAGAAGTGCCTATGTGGCAGTGCTAACTGCCGTGGAGTCCTCGGCCCCAAGTCCAAGGAAGTGAAGCCGCCCAAGGCTCCCAAGGAGGACCTGAAGAAGTCCATCAAGGCTGGAGTAAAGGCAGGCAAACGCAAACTGAAAGAGTTGATTCGGGACAAGGGCGACGACGAGGATGGCACCGCTGCCAAGAGGCGCAAGATCAAGAAAGCGACCGGTGCTGCCGCAGGCAAAGGATTGACACGCGCTCTGTCCACCGCTAGCCTCAAGGCTGCTAAGAATGCCGCTAAGGTGGTGAAGCGTAGTGTGTCTACCATCTCTGTGAACGCCAAAGCGACTCTCGGATCCAAATCGCCCAAATTGCCTGCATCTGGCCGCAAGCTCGCATCTATCAAGCGCAAGTCTACCGTAGTTAAGACCTATAGCAAGAAGATTTCGATGACGCCGAAGAAAGCCGCTACGAGCCCACCGAAGCAGTTGTCTTCTCGCAAATCTAGCCTCACCATCGTTGCCGCTAGTACCGCCAGGCCTGGCAAGGGAAGCTCGCCTTCGGTAAAGAGCACGCCTTCGACCAAGGAGGCGAAGGATGCTCCGACCTCCAGAGGCAGAGGCCGACCCAGAAAACACGCCATCGCCTCACCAGCTTCCGGCCCCACGCCCAGAAAAGCCCTTGATATTGCGCGACCGTCCCACGACATCCGAATTGTGGAATCACCTACCGCTTAAAGGAGGTTCAATCGAGGTTAAATGGCGGGTTATCCAAACAAATTTTGAACCACTTCAACGTCCGTTCGTTGTCGATTTCTAGCATCACATGTCGAAAAATGACATGTTTGTAACCCAGATCGTGGCCTGGATGAATTTCAAGATCTCCCAGCCCAGAAGGCGAATGTGAGTTTGACGCGGTGAAACGTGGTTAGGGGCGGCGACAAGCGAGCAAGGGGACAACAGGCGAAAGGGAGGGGGGAAGGGATTGCCTACAGTAATTGTACAGTACTCAGCTGATCGTTAGGAAGGCAGGCAGGCATATTTAGGCGTTGGCGTTCTTTCTCCCTATGCTAACGTACCCCACAAGCAAGTTGGCCACACAAGCAAGTTGGCCACTTTTCTTGGCACCGTACGAACAACCTTTTAATTAACATCTTTACACATACCAAGATGGGATCGAATTGGAAAGAAAGCGACATGATTCTAGCGTGTCAGGCGCTTCAATCGAAACCCGAATTAAGCATCCGACGCGCTGCCCAACTCTACAATGTCCCTCGTACAACTCTAGCTAACCGAAAACGCGGACTACTATCTCGACGCGATACTCGACAATCTAGTTATAAGCTTACGGAATCAGAAGAGTTAGCGGTCGTACAATACATACTTTACCTAGATTCGCGATCATTTCCCCCCCGGCTCCATGGTGTTGAAGCTATGGCTAACCGACTGCTCCGTGACCGTGGCGCTGGACGCGTCGGCGTCAACTAGGCCTCGAACTTCGTACGACGACAACCAGACCTTCGGACGCGTTTTAATCAAAGAATCGACTACCAATGAGCCTATTGCGAAGATCCTGACGCGTATCGCGTGTGGTTTACGCTCGTACGAAATACAATTGCGAAATATGGTATCCAAGAGGCGGATATCTATAACTTCGGCGAGACAGGGTTCGCGATGGGCTTAATCTCATCCGAGATGGTAGTTACAAGTGCCGAACGACGCGGAAGGCCTTGTACAGTCCAACAAGGCAATCGAGAATGGGCTACAGTAATCCAGGGTATTAATTCGTCCGGCTGGGCTATCCCGCCGTATATTATTGTCGCGGGTCAAAACCACCTCTTATCCTGGTACGAGAATAGCCCATTCCCGTCCGATTGGGTAATCGCTGTAACCAAAAACGGTTGGACAACAAATGAGCGAGGCGTAGACTGGATTCAGCACTTTGATCGCTATACGAAGGATCGTACGAAGGGTGTTTATCGTCTTCTTATCCTCGACGGGCATGAGAGCCACCACTCGACTGACTTCGAGCTATATTGCAAAGAGCATACTATTATTACACTTAGTATGCCTGCTCATTCGTCACATAAGCTCCAGCCTCTCGATGTAGGCTGTTTTAGGGCTTTGAAAAGGTCGTACGGCAAAGAAATTGAAGACCTAATACGGGCGCATATAACCCATATCTCGAAGGAGGATTTCTTTTCGGCATTCTATAGGGCGTATCGTACGACTATAACTAAGTCGAATATCCAGGCAGGTTTCAGGGGGACAGGACTTATTCCGTACGACCCGGAATATGTGATTTCACAGCTGGATATTAAGCTACATACGCCTACACCTCCTGGGAGCTCGTCTGGCGCCCCCTTAATCAATCTGGGAATCAAAGACTCCAAATAACCCAACCGAGGCGCAATCCCAGTCTGAATACGTTAAAAACAGAATCGCACAGCATCAGAATAGCTCCCCGACGACAATACTTACGGCTATTGACCAATTTTCACGTGGTGCGACGGCTGTTATGCATCGGTTAGTTTTACTTGAGGATGAGGTTACTACACTTCGGAAGGCCAATCAAGAGCTAAGCCGTCGTCGAAGGACTAAAAATCGACAGCTACAAGATGGAGGATCTCTTAGTTTACGAGACGCTCAGGACTTACAGTCTCAACGGGATATTGAATAGCAGCTACAGGATGATATACGTGTAAGTCGTCGTCGTACGAGACCGGCCGAACCACGCCGACGGCGCTGTAGGATCTGCGGAGAGCCCGGACATAATGCTCGTACTTGTGAGAATGATAAAGATACGTACGAGGAAGAGGATTCCGATTAGTTTGAATTATTATTTTTTAGTTTAGTTGAGTTATTGAAGTTATTCATACGGTGCCAAGAAAAAGTGGCCAACTTGCTTGTGGGGTACGTTATGCGAAAGGCCGATCGATGATAATGCATATTCCTTGTTTTTTTTCCTATTTATTTAGTCAACGACAAACTGGCCTGGTGGCGGCGGCGGCAGTAAGTACACACTGGCACAGGCATGCAGGCAGGCGTTGAGATGGGCCCGGTTCCGGCTCGGTCTCAATGTGTTGTGCGTAGCGGTACGGAAATAATTTAGGCGTGTAGTTTAGGAGTAGATATGTGGTCTCTTGTTTGATGTGATCAGGTGATTTGATGTGGTTTCTTTGGAGGCGAGATCGGGATGTAGTCATTGCAGGTTTGGGTATCCACTGTATGGCTCGGCGTATGCCGCAGATGCTGGGTTGGGACTCGCTTGACACATTGAAGGCTTGAGTGACTGATACTATGGATGACGCGGGGAACATTGGTGTGGGGAACGCCCTTGTGTACACTATGTACTGTATCCAACGGAATGAAGGTGGAATATCGATTAGCAGCAAGGGAAATCCGCAAGCGGCCAGTAACAGGTTTGATGTTTCATAATAAGAACAGCTGAAAAGTAATTCGTTTTCTCTGGTTACAATATCTCGTGCGTTCTCATTATAGAGCTGGTGATTCGGGGCTATCTCCAGCGCCCGGCTGACACTGGCCATACCTACGGGAATGAATGGTCTTAAAATGGGTGTCACCTGCTGTGCAATCTTGGCTTCATATGACTACACTAGGCTTCTTGCCAGAGGATAAATCTACAAATACTGGTGTTCGGTACAAGGCTCTTACGACATTTAATGGCTTAGGTAGTGGTTGTGAGGATAAAGATATACCGGGTACAAGATAACAGTAACAGCTTTTTCTCGGATCGCCAGGACCAAGCTGTAGACTGTGTTGTCCTTTTTGGGGCAACTTACTGGCAGCATTTGAGTTTTCGATTTGCTCCATGGATTGTGCAGATGCTGTCGTGGAAGGGCCACGGCAGTGGAGAACGACCGCAACGTGGATAACTGGGAGCGAAGAGCGTTATGGAGTTGCAGGATACTGGGAAGGTTGTTTCTAAGCTAGGAGAAACCCCCAATGAACAAATTACATGTATTGTCTCACCGGGCTTTCTATGTTAGATGCGATGCAGAGGTAAACCAGAGTAGCCACATCTATCCAGCTCTTTATAGACGAATGGGGCAATTTCACGACTTGAATTGGCACGACCAAGTTGCTCAGCTGAAGAGGCTATTGGCTACGAGGCCCTTCAGGTGTACTCGAAGCGCTTCATCGGCAAGCTGAACTTCTGTGCAAATGAGATCCCAACCAGCATTAGTGCACCCGCCCCAGCTATTCGGCACCAAAGAGATCAATGAATTGTCCACAACCTGGCAACGTGAACCAAATAGGACAGGGATGACACTGAGATTTCGATTTGATCCACTGAGCCCACCATATTTGAGCATATTTCCCAGGGATCACAGGCGGCGCTGCTAGGATCTGCTGTAGCCTCTCTTGGTCGATGTGACGGACCAGATCTGCGTTCGAGCCAGCATAATTGTTGAAGCCCTCGAGGGAAACAAGGCGGGTATGGTAATAGACTCACAGTGCCGAAACGTCATGAAGGCTTCGGGAGAGAGTAAGTTTACATGGGCTCCAAGGACGAACAAGCATGTTATGATATCTTGCCACTTGAAGCGCCGATTCTCTTTTTCACGCCCTGGCTGTCAAAGACAAGGTCGGCTCTATAGTGATCACAACTTCGAACCCGAGATTTGTAAACATCCCCCGGAATATACCGCAGAGCTTAAGGCCAAATCAACGCATCTGGCATTGGCATTGTTGGTGAACGCGGTACTCAAAAATGCAGCAAGACCGCAACGTCAGATGCTTCAAGCCATCAAAGAATTGAGCAAAGATTTGGAATCCCGCTTGCCAGCAGATATCTCGTGGTATGAATTGTCCAAAATAGGTTCTCAGCGTTCTATTCAGGTCACCATTTGCACAAAACGGCTTGCATACCACTCGAATCACTTGGTTCGAGCCGCTATAGCAGCCGTTCCATACTGGCGAGCACTATAAATGACATAGTCTTCCGTGATTGATGGACAGACCATCTTGGTTGCATGTCAGCCCAACATGAGACGGAATTTTGGGGCCACCTTGAACTCATAATTCGAAGGGACCAATTTCCAACGCTTTCCGTTTCCGTAGAGCGTGTGGTTGGCGTTTGAAGCTTCATTCCTCAGCACAAACATCTGCACGTCATCTTCTTTGTGCAGGCTGCTCCAGCATTCCCCGAAGGAAGGCAGCTGTGGCGGCAGAGTGGTTCTGGTGTAGGGTGGTCTCAGAGCCATGTAAGTATAGCCACGTAAGAAGTGTGTATCAAGGTGGCAGTGCTGGTCAGGAACTTGCGCAAGAGTGGTAGTGACGACGATGATAGCTGGATGACTAGTTGGAAAATATGGGAACCAAGGCGGGTCCGCCCCGCTAAATCCAAAGGCACTGAGTGGGTCGCGAATGCCCGCGACGCATTCAAAGTTTTGCCTTCCGCCCGCCATGCGTTGTTGCTATTCTGAATCCCGTCTGGTTAGCGGCGAACGAAATGGTAACCTACAAGTCTCGTGGATGAGCCGAAGCCGATGAGAATGTGCTGAGTGATGGAGCGATTGCGTGGAGGTTGCGGGCTGTGCTTGCTTGGCAATCTCAAGTCTATGTTGGGTGTTCAAGCTTATTTCATTGATTTGATCTGAGAAGCTGGCTCATCACTCATCTCATTCGAGAACCAGATCTGTCAACTTCGGTTACTTGGACTGACTCTGATCAACTAGCATCTTCATTTCTCCATGCTGAGCGAGCTCAGCCCTTGCATCACGTAGGGCAATTGCGGCGCAGCTGACACAAACTTATTGCGAGACTTAAGTAAACATCGGGTCGAAATCCGTGGTACATGAATACAGCGGATCAACGTTTCGTGTTCCCGTACCGTGAACTCAATGTATTGAATGTTTTGAAGCCTCCAACTAATAAGTAGGACAGCAACAGACCAACAGAAGATACACGCAGGATTCTGTCGAATACCTCTTATTTGCTTGCGATTTCGATTGCCGAATCGTAAGAGCAACGAGCCACCAGCGAGGTCTTGGCATTTCCTTGAGCAACCGCCAACCGCCAACCGCCACTTCCGACTCTAGACAGCGACACCCTTGCCCCTTCATAAAACGCAACACGCCGGGTAATTCTGCCTTATCAGAGGACGTCGCGCGAACCATACAAATCATAACCCAGGAGTCCCTAGGGCGTTCCCCCATCTCCAAACAACTCCAAGTACATTTCTCCAGTATTCGTATACGCAGCAGGTCTTGACGACATTCATGCGCATTGCAACCTAAAGTGGGTGCCTAGCTACGGACTTCGAACAACTCAGGAAACAAACTCCCTCCCTGCCCGCGCAGCTACGAAACCCCGAGGAAAGCAACGGCCAGACTGACCAGGGACGCGCCTGGGACGAGTAAGGGGGCATCATGATGAAATCACTAAAGATGGGAAAGGTGCTTGGCAGCATCAAACGCAAGAACGCCAGTGGTATGTTGAACAGCATCACGCACATGCAAGGCTACGACTGACCCTGGCTGGCAGGCGCCGACGCTGCCGCCGATCTCCCCGAAGCCATCGCTGCCCGCAATGTGGTAGGTGTCCATGCCACGATGTCGCTTTGACGTATCGCTCGGTTTTGACAGAACTCTAATCAAAATTATAGAAATCTTTCTGTGAGGCTGGCGCGCCGAATAACTCAGGCGATGAAGTCCTCTATCTCCCTCCCATCGTCGACGCCGCCGAATCTTCGCCGCGAGCTGCTGCCGAATGTGCGCGCCTCATCCGTAAATATCTGAAGAAAGACTACTGGTCGAAACCGTCGTGTCAATACAATGCCATCATGATTACACGAATCCTCGCCGATAACCCGGGCGCAACCTTCACAAGGAATATGGACCAGAAGTTTGTAGACGTGGTCAAGGAGCTGCTGAGGTCGGGTCGGGATCCGAGTGTGCACCAGTTGCTCATGGAAACGTTGGATACCTTTGAGAATACCAAGTCGTATGACGAGGGTTTGACCCTGCTCATCGACATGTGGAAGAAGGAGAAAGAGAAGGTGCAAAAGCAATACGTGGTAAGCTCTATGCCTCGGCGCACTCTATGATCATTGCAGCTAATGCTGCGACTCGACAGGGCCGAACTCCGCAGCCTCCTGCGCCGCACGCCTTGAACGTTGCGCCATTCGATGTTCGCTCGCAGAACTACTTTGCACGAAGTCATTCGAACAAACAGCTACCTAGTCCTGTAGAGCTGGCCAGTCGCTTAGAAGAAGCACGAACATCTGCGAACTTACTGCAGCAGGTTGTTACCAGCACGCCCCCTGCAGAAGTCCTGAACAACGATTTGATCAAAGAGTTTGCCGACCGCTGTACGAGCGCTAGCCGGAGCATACAAATGTACATGAGCGCCGACAGTCCAGCACCAGACAATGACACGATGGAGAGCCTCATCGACACCAACGAGCAGTTGCAGGCATCTTTGAGTCTGCACCAGAGAGCTATGTTGAATGCAAGGAAGTTGGTAGGCATTGGAGCGCCGGGGAGCGATACCAGTGGAGATCTGGGACCACCGCAACAAAATGGATCGGGCTCCTCTCGCCGGCCATCGCCAAACCCGGAAATGCATGGTGCCGCTGATGAAGAGTACTACGAGCCCCCGCCGGGTCCGCCATTGCCGCATCGCAAACCCGTGGGCAACGGCAAGGGAAAGGAGAGGGACTACGACAATGCGGTTGCAGGCCCTTCTCGGTCACACACGCCGCCCGCAGAAGAAGACCCATTCCGAGATCCGCAACCAGCAGTATCGGGGTCAGGCGCGGGATCTTCGTCCAGGCCCCAGGATGACGAACCACCGAGGCTTGCGTTCGAGCCATTCCATCCAGGTTTTAGTGCTACCTCTAGCTATTTGAACCGACAGGATAGCGCTCTCGGCAAGGAGACTATGCATGGCGGTAGTGCGCCCATGGCGCCGACCAAGACACCACCACCGAGACCCGACGAGAGCGAGGATCTTTACGACGTTACGCCCCCGAGAAACAAACAGCCTGTATATCGATACTGAGTACGTCGCCATGCCTATCTACCCCATTCTGCCGTGGTTAGCAGGCCATGGCACGCGCGGCACTTGCGGTGTGAGGTATCTATCTATACCACATCCATACGCTCTGCCACGTGACTAGTCATGTTTCTTCAATTTTGCCAGCACCTGTCTTCAATGCGCAGATAACGATGTTTTTCTCCTTTTCGAGAGCGGAAGGAGAGAAAGTTGAGGCCTTGCTCGTTTTGCATACCTATTTTTTTGCCAGTTTGGTGGCTGGAGGGAGGTAGTTTTGTTTCATATGAGATATCCCACAATATATATATATTCCCATTATGTTCGTATGCTCGGGGTGTTCTCTTTAGCAAGAACGTGACGTGGTTGGTGGTTCGGGGGAGCGGATCTAGCGACTTTTCATGTGATGAATTGGGGGTCATCCCGGGAGACTTTGGGATCCTGGTCAGGGTCACCACAGTATGTCCGCTCATACAGGCGAATTCTGTTCGGACAGATAAATATATGCTGATATATAAGCTATAATTGTTTTGAAGTTGATGTTTGCGGTGTGATGTCCCAGTTTGCGGGCCGGTCGGGATGCTTGGAAACGGCTCTGAGCATCACACAAACCAACATGGACTGAAAGGCTTTTCAGCGTACTGCCGACAGGGTGAAGAAACATCGGAGTATTACTCGGTCATCATTCGGTACCGTCTCGGCAGTGGAGCAACTCGAGTGAACGCGCAGCGATCATAAGAGGGTGGATTCTGGGTATTGACTCGATGCCCGGGGAAACATGTGAGTGGAGTGAAACCGATAATTTATAACTTGTTTCGCTGGGCAGCTAGCCAAGGAGTACGTTGATGGAGAAATCGGTTCGTTAGTCACTGGGAGGGACATGGTATTACGCTGGACACGTGAGCGGAACAAAGCACGACGGATGAGGATTACGTATATAGTATAGAGGCCAGCTGATAGTAGTCGTTGGCGACGATTATCGCGCAGAAAACCCAGATTTAAGGCGGTGATCAGACGGCAGCCTCAAAGTTAATTCCAAATCATCGAGATTTGGGTGGTAAATGACTTACTAACGACTACGAGAGGAGAAGAACTCCTATAGTAGAGCGTAATATCTAGATCTAGATCTAGATCTATAATTGCGGGTTCGTCGCTACGCAGTTAAAGTGGTTCGGAGAGCCAGATCGATCGAATCAAACAGCGGAACGGTGATTGCGGCAGCTAATGAAGAGCTAGTTGCCACCAGGGTATATTTCTAGAATGCTTGTGGAGGATTCTAACTCGTTGCCACCCACTCGCAACCCTAACCTTTCCCATCGAAATCAGATGGCAGTTCCGATTCCCGAAGACCTTGTGATGAGAGAGCTTACATGGACATGGCGTGTAAGGGGAGGGGACTGCTCGCCGTATCGGGCCATATGTTGAGGTATCCAAGTTGCGATTGGGTCAACGGAGAAGACGATTAGTCAATGGACCGTCAGTGTCGTGGTCTGCTGACGCAGAAACTATCCGTAGTGTCCTTTCGAAACGCCTTCGAGGCTTTCTTGGTGCCGTTCACGATGCCTGGAGACGGGAAGTCGTTTTCGGCGCGCGGCCGTGTTCAGCTCGACATGGTAGTCCCACCACTCGTTGGTCTAGGTAGCTGTGTCACCAGGCGGTGCAAAATAGAGGCACGTGTTCAATAGCAACTGTTTCGTTCAATCTTGTTGCCAGACCTGCAGTTGGAAATAGTCTGATGTTGCTAAAACTGCGGAGATTTATTTTCGAAGATCGCAACGCCACGGTTAGGGTCGTATAAATCAGACCCCGGCAAGAGTTGCGACTGGCTGGTCCAAAATGCAGTTCGTCGAGGATCAAGTCTAGCACAAGCGTACAGTTGACCTTTTTCTGACCCTAGCCAACTGTAACCTGGTCTAGCATGACGCTGGGTTGCATGTACGATGTCGATTGGATGAGCTAATCTCATCTGTTTCGATGGCGTATTTGTCAACTTTGCCTTTTAGTCAATCGTTGCTTACTGCGTAGTGGTCAGTTTCGTCAAATATCCAAATTGAAGTGAAACAGTTGAGATTCAGCCCTATGAACAGCGGTTCGTTTGGCTATGTTACCTTCTCGACGCGGACGTCTGGAAACCGCAGGATAGTTTCCATCTCCCCTCCGAAAACCGAACAGACAAAAACAAGGTAAATTACACATGGTCACGGCCCTACCCTCTCATATCTGTTAGCGTAACAGCAGAAATCGACGTGCATCCATTCCCGTGGCTCAGAACACAGATGCGAGTCCGCCAGACACCTCTATCTGAAGGTATTTTCTTACTGTTGTCGCGTAAGTGCCAGTCACAACCAAACTTAACATGGCCTGATGCCACGCCATTCTTCAAAAAAGACAGCGTTTGCATCTACAATCCACAACCTGCAAACCCGTCGAGTCGAACTAGAACCCTGGCTGCGAGCGTGAGGACCACTAGCGGGTGGCTGGTGCCATGCTGGCGGGATCCCCCGTGGAGCGGCCCGAAGTTGAGTTGCGATTGGATCTTCGCGCAGGGGTCCCTTTACGTGTTGGTCCGAAAAAAATGCAGTCAGTCAGCGTCCAAAACCTGTCATTCGATTCCGAGAAGCTATGGCAACAGTGGCGGGCAATCTTCAAATGGCATTTGGACCGTCTCTCTCACTGCCCGGCGAGCTGACGGGATGCTGTTGCTACCTGCAGCAACCAGCACGTGTACAGCTGGAACAGGCACCTGACAAGACATTGCTGCAGTCCTCAAGATCGACGCAACAGCATGCTTGCACGCAACAAGGACCATTTGCGAGGCGTGTACTATGCACCGACTATCCTCGTTCCACACCGACTTATTCGCATCAAATAGCGCTGCTCTTGCTGCCTACCGCCTCCCGATATCTGAAGATACTTCGTTCCATCTCATCGGAAAACCCTGCCTGACGTGAGTCTGGACCCTGGACCCTGTCGCCTCCACAGCAGTATATGTACGATACATGACATCCATGCTGTTTAGGTGGATTTGGTCTGTGGGTTCGCTGGACTGGAAAAGCGATGCTAGTTCTGTTTCGGAGCGAAATGCGAGTCGACGCCATGGCAAAGAGCTCCATCTAACTCGATGTCTACGTTGCGATGTCTGTTCCAAGTGATCCCAGAGCCCAACTGGAGGGATCGACTTGTGGCTATTGTCGAAAACGAACATACGCTGCATGTTGTGTACTTTCTGGCCAATCAAAGCGGGCAGTCGCAGACCCGGGCGTGCGGCGCAAAGTAGCGCTCTTCCCGTTTGGGCGAACTTTGCGAACCAGATGTCATGATTCCGCTTCGGAAGTCGCCAAACATCCGGGAGCGAAAGACGAATCATGCTTTTTTTGCTTGAAGCGGTTGCTGACTATTGAAACGCCGCTCGAGGGCGGAAGAAACAGAGCCTGTACGAAATAGTATCGGGGCCCATGAGCACATGGTCTCTGGGAACCTACCCATGCTCTTTCCCCCACTAAGCCAGCCATCAACTTTGGACTTCGATGGCTCGCATCCTTGACGATGGATTTGGGAGACACAATCGTCCTCGGTCCGCCCGTGATCTGGAAGCAAGGGTTCTGGGCTTGACCTGGATGGTTCCTCGGTCGACAATGTGGCATATTTTTAGTACCTGCACCGTGACTTCACAAGCGTACCGACTTTTCGTCTGTTCTCCCGTCCAGCTCGAGCGAACTAGCTAGGGAGCAGACGAGTCACTACGGCCAAGCTGGACGTAGATCTATATTCAGATCATCTATTGTCGACAATGATAATTCCCACTGCCCCCTGCAACCTTCAGCGTTTTCCTATCGCTGCTCTCCACGCCACCACTTTCTGCTTCGCCTGGCCTTACTCCTGCACAGATCTGGCGTCGTTGGTTGCTAGCCTGCATCGACTCTTCTATCAGTTCCGCTGTTTGTTTCCAGCAGGTCCGTCCTGGGCTCGCGAGCCGCATGCGCGCTGTCCTTCAGCACCGATACTCTAGAGCATAGAGACCAGCCGTTATACTCCCTTCGTTACTTTGTCCGCGAAGGGTTTAGTCTATCCGGTACGGCCCCCCCCCCCCCCCCCCCCCCCGACCCCCCCCGGCCAAACTAATAAGTTGCCTCACGGCAGCTCTCCCCCAATATATCGTTTCCACCCCAAGGCTTGACTCCCTAGCCTCTTCCTGCCTCGGTATTGGTGCTGGCTCATTCGTTACCATGGTCCACATCACGATTTTATGAACAAATTTCATCCAGGAACTGGTCCCTTTTCTGACATGATTTCATGGTACAGCGTTTGATACGAAAATTCGAATTTCCTGGCGGCCGTTGCTGGGCCGTACTTCAGTAGCTATCATGGCCCCGACTCAGGTTGTTTGCCAACCCACCTCAATTTCTCTCTCCTCTCACAAGTCCAGGAGGCGTAATAGTAATGCTAATGGGCGGATGGCATTCAATTCGTCTCTCTACATCGCCAGACACAGATGGTCCCTGGACGACCTCAGCTCCGAGCTTCTGGCTTTGATATTTGAGCAGGTAAGCTCTCATTAGCCCTCTAACAGTGGCGAGGCGTTTTCACGTGCTTACTATTCCGTCTGTAGCTCCGATGCGTCGACGCTCGATCACTGGCCGTTTTCCGCTTGTTGTCGAGGAGATTCGATGCTATCATCACGCCGATCAAGTACGAGTACCTTTGCTTGACCGAGCGGATCATCGCCGGCCAAGCCTTGACGCATTTCCCGCACGCCCTCGAGAAGGTCTACGTCCACACCCGGCATGTGGACGCCAGGAGTGATCTCAACCCCGAAGATACCAAACGTTTGCTGAACCGTATCAACCGGCTGCTTTCAGTGAGGTGAGTTGACCCGCCTCCGCGACGTCAGGTTCGGCCCGTTGATTGTGGTTCCGCCATAGGTGGCGATACACTACCGTCGAGTTCCGCTCGGGCCGGCTTTGGATGCCCGCCGACATTTTTAGCCTTCAGAATGTTCGACTCAATCGAACGAAACTGCACGTTGAAGGCTTGCCACTACGAGACTTCACGGGCCAGCTGCAAGACACGTACCTCAATGCGATCCCGACAAATATGCTGGTATCCCTGAAGATGGCGAGCCCAGCACCTCCGCTGACCACGAGGCTTGATTCACTAAAGAAGCTGCTGCTACAATCCGGTCGTATCGAGACATTCCATTACGATGACAGGGGACAGGGGACTCGTTTCACCTTCGCTGACAACGAGCGACTGCCGGCATTCAGGGAATTAGCACTGCGGTCGTATGACTGGAATCACTCGGCTACAGACGTTCAAGCGCACTGGGATTTTACGAGGATCCGCATCCTTCAACTCGTCGATGTGCCCATGCTCGAATTTCTTGTCTCTGTTCCGTTCGAGGACCTCCTTGACCTCCAGGCACTCCATTGTGAAGATTTCAGCGCCCATCTCCCCGATCGACGCCTCGAAGCAACAAGGGGGTTGTACTTCCTAGTTCGGCGCATCCGAGCTCTGCGTACGTTGAAACTGACATGCCACACGCAACACTTCCCCGTCGACGCCATCCTCAGTCACGCGCGAACGCTCCAAGTCCTCCGCTTCCGCGATCACGTTGGATTCGGCGAGGACGACCGCCGCTGTCCCACCATGTGGGTAGACGACCTAGCCCTCCTCTCCCGCAGCCTCGTCAACCTGCACACGCTCGAGATCGACATGGACGTAACCCTTTGCGAACCGCCGCTATTTCTCCGGGCGCTCTGCGCCTTCCCCCGACTACGCACACTAACGCTCCATATACAGACCGTGCTGCGCGTGCTCGAGTTTGTTCACCCGGGTGCGGATCAGGATTATGACGCAGCCATGAGGATATTCGGCGCGCTGGTTAGGGGGAAGCATGGCGCCCCGTGGCGGTGTATCACGATTAATGTGGGGGGTTGGAAACGGAACATGGTGAGGCGGCTCGGAGAGGCGTGGAGGGAGTGGAATGAGATGGGAATTTATGCCGAGAGATGTTTTGTTTTGGAGAAGGGGGTCGGTGGGGAGTTGTTGGTTAGGGAGGAGATGGGTAGTGAGAGTAACTGATCCACTGCCTTTTTCATACAGCGGGGAAGCTTGCGGTGAATGGGATACACATAGCAAGGCGCTGAGGCATACCACATCCGGGCTTCGCGGGAGGTAGTTTTTTTTTTATTTTTTACCAAACATCATTAGTGCGAGAGCTTATTCCAACATATACACCGAAAACCTTCGTATCACCTCCCGCTGTGAGCAGAGTTGTTCCAAGAATACCCAATCATAGTCCAATTAAACCCTTCCACTGATCGCGTGTCGTTCAATTTCAGAGTCTGAGCCATTGACCTAGCTGTAATATAAACAACTGGGCGAGCTTTTGTTCGGACCCGACCCCTGGAATTCACTAGAATGGGAAGCAGCACCCGCCTAACGGGTTCACTTGCCTGGCAACGTTCCTCTCTTCAACGTACTGCGTGGCTTCAGATATGATAATATTACCACATTGTCACACTTTCCATAGCATTCCATTCTGGAGGGGGTCGACCATACTGAGACAACACCTGTTTGTCTTTCGGGTTCCTTTGGTCTATCACCCTTATGCACACCTTACCACGATGTCGTACCGTCGGGGGGTAATCTTCAATCAGTTTTCCTACCAAATATGCTTATATCAACGGCGTTTTACCTCCAATGCTTGCGACACTGCATTTAGCCTGTACTCTACCGCAGTACTGTTCCTCCCATCTGTAGATCACTCCATGTGAGCTAACTTGGTCCCGGCTGCCGACGGAATATCGGGCAGAGCTACCGGTGCTTGCCAAGGGATTTTATATGACCAGTCTGAAGTTCCGCCTTCTACGTGGCTGGGAAGTTTCTGGAAGTGCATAGACTCTAGGATAGGAATGTGCAAACAGGGAATATGGCGAGAAAGACAAGCCCTTGAGAGCTTCAGGCAGTGAACTGACAGCTCCGAGATTCCGTTCATGATGCCCATATAGGAAACTTTCTCTCGCTAGCTTGATCATTCCCCTAACGAAGCTCCCACATGTTGAGTGAAGAAAATGGAGCCTTTCCTGTTAATAGACGATCCGCCAGTATTACCTGGCAGATAGGGGTCCTCTTCGGCCTCCTCGCCTCAGCCTTTACTGTAGTTGAATCATTTTGAACGGGTCAGTCTGTTGATTTCAGTATCATTGGGCATCGAAGCAGAGAAGACTCAAGTCAAAGAGCTCTCCAACGGAAAAGATATCCACATTGATATTATGATCTGTGCTTCCAGTCAGCCTCGCCCGACAATGCACAGCATAGTGGCATCTGATGTGGGATTGGAAAACATCGGGGTCGGAATATGGCCGCATTGTGCTCTGAGCGTTGCGCAAGCTCTACGAGAGAAGTAAATAGCAGCACTAGCGAGCGAAACGAAGACTGACATCAGACTCATCGGAATCTATATAGTGAGAAGTTCAAGTCTAGTGGCAATGCTACTGAGCCATGGCTCTTTGTTGAGACCGATCTTGGCCTGACGAGGTTTACTCCAGATCTATGGCGCCATAAGGAGCCGTTATTTCTGATCCCAAAGTCTGAAAGGGCAAATAGGCAAAAGATGCAATCTAGTCCACCGTTGGGAACCATATGGCATGATATCGGTAAAGCATGTTCATCATTGGGTGGCGAAGCTAATTCACATGGGAGTCTTTAATTTCTTGTGACTTAAGCAGAAACTTAAGTTTGAAGGCTGGAATATTACCAATTCTCCCTCAATACATCGGGCCATACCTTAAAACCTGGCCAGGATCTGAGGATCGTCGAATAGGAGTCAAGAGCATTCCAACCCACCGCTACGATTACATATCGAGCTTTCTATCCCCTGCAATCCGAACAGTTTCAGGGTGAGTAAGGATGAGTTTAGTATATCTCTGCCGCATTCGGGCGCTCGGTAGGCGTTGCTGAATCGAACTGCGTCCCACAGAGCAAGCCGCCATGGGTTGAGACGGGCAAAGGACCGAGCTCTAGCCGGGAATTCCATTCAGTACTTACTTGCAGTAAGAATGGAAACTAAATACCAATTCCATGTATAAAGTGAAAATCAATTGCCACCATAGTGCGGCGAAACGAGCTGCAGCTGGTCACCAGGCAAGCCGCCCCTGACTAGCCCCTAAGCCGACCAGGTATAACCTCAAACACCAGTCAATGTCGTGGACTTATCAATCAGCTTCATCATTCTGTGGAATGAGACCATGGCTCGAAAACCAAGAATATGGTCAAATTGCACACGAGATGGAAAGGCTACACCTCTTCGTAGGTAGAGGAAGTAACACATGGCACGCAGGACATGCTTGATTCAGGTGCGCGATGCCATATGTTTCTCTCACCCCTTCCAGTATATGCATGTCCCATGCTGTAGTTCAAGAATGATGCTAGCGCAGAGGTCATTTCAGGCCGTGATATCAAATTCATTGTGACTTACTACGATAGACTGGTCAGTCCAACGATGTTTGTCAAAGCAATATGCACGAAAAAAAACCGTCAACTCGCCCTTAGACTGCTCTTAGATGCCTTTCAGTGATTGAATGGGTATACATGACCGAAGCACGACAAGAGTTGATGTTCTGGTACGACAACCACCTTCAAGTCCGGCTAGCCACTGCGCTTGTGACCCTGGGGGCTACAGGGATAAATCCATGGTGCAGACATGCAAGTACGAATATCGCATTCAGATCTAGAAGAATTTACTCCAGTCCATATCCATCTTATCATTCTTAAAGCTCCGCCGACAATTTTCTTGTGCTCGACACGTGCCGCAAGACGGCCTGATCATGACGGAGCTTAGCACTCCACCGATTGACTGACTATACGATGAAAGGTTCAAGCAAATGATGTTTCCTTTGGTACGGACTAGGACGAGCTCTCGAAACACGAACGGCGTCGGCACCAACGTAAGATTTCTAAAATGCAACATCCTCTCCCTTTGACCAGCCAGTCCATCTCCCTTCTCTGGCCCATAGCCCTTGCTAAGCCCTTAGGGAAAGCTGAAAACAGGAGACTCCAGCTCAAGCAGCCTTCTCCCCCCTAGCAAGAAACACCCGCCTTTTCCTGCTCTCCAAATTAGTCCCATCCCCAATCACAACCGCAGCTCCCAAATCCTCCAGGGCATATCCCTTGCCCGCACCCGCCTTCTCGAATATCTCCCTGATCCTCTCCTTGGAGAACCCATGGTGGACAACGGTATTCGCCACCGGGTGAGGATGATGCTGGTGATGGTCGTGCGGCAAGAAGTCCCAGATGACCAGGACGCCGCCGGGCCGTAGCCGTTCAACGATGCGTTTGGCGGCCAGCTCCGGGTCGGCGAAGTGGTGGAAACCGCCCCCTACGGCTGCGAGCTCGAACTCGAAGAACTCAGGACCCGAGAGCGATGGGGGGTTGGGATCGTCTGCTACAGCTAAGTCGCCATGGAAGGCGAACATTTCGTCTTTGGATAGGCCCTGAGAGAATGTAAGTAAAATGGAAGTAGCTTCTCGATGGATTTGGGCAAACAGCGAGCTCAAAGGCGCTGCTGAGTGGGCGCAGTGAGACACTCACTTGGTTTTCAGCGCGAGCATTGTAAGCCGCAACCATGTTTTCGGATAAGTCAATCCCAACACACTGTGTTGTGTAGGGAGCCAACGCCTGTCGCATTGAGTTAACTCGACCCATCAGTCGCCGAAGCTGTGACGACTTACCCTCGAGATCATACCCGTCCCACAGGCGTAATCCAGAAGTCTCACTTGTTTCGACCCGACCCCGTCTGCCGTATCGTCGTCGTCATTCACCCAGTCAACCCCGATAAAATCGAGCCGAGCCTGGATAGCCTCAGTGAGTTGCCGCAGGCTCTTCTCATGCTTCGCGTCATAGTTCGAGGCTTCATCGCTTCAAGAGACGTCAGTCAAGTGAGAACAGGCCCGCGTGTATCCGGGGTAGTAACCCCCAGGTAACACGAAGCAGTGCGCACCAGGGGCTAATGGAAGGGTGGAAGGGTGGCACTGGATTCGAAATGGTGTGGTGTGCAGGAATCCCCACCCCCGAATGTGAAAACCATGCGGCCCGCTCCAACGCATCAGACACGGCTTCGAGGAGATCGACTTACTTGAAGTAGGATTTGTTTACTGAAGCCGTCTCGGCCATTTCGTACGACGCTCGCTTAGCCGACGCAAACACGTTGGGCCACTAGAAAGAAGTCGGTGATGCTCCAGACTTCATAATCGTGTGGTTCTGTACAACACGATTAAGCTCCTTTCCGAACGCCGTGCGACGTGTGCTTCGGTTTTCAATCGCAAACGGATACTTCTCGCTCACTTCTCGACAGCACCGTCGCGGTTAGTTTTCGGTCACTTTCCACCACCGCTTGTCTGCGGCTACCCTCGTGTGTCTATAGCAACAGTCACGTGGATGCAGGCAGATGTATGTATGTTCGTAGGTACACCGAGCTCACCGCTCTACCGCCTTTTCACATCGACCCTCCGAACATGCATCAGTGAATCAATGGGGTAAAATCGGAGTTGCCTAGCAGGGGCTGGTGATGCCGAGTCGCATCGCTCGTGCATTCCATGGTGAACTTACGTGGGCCGCGAGCTAGTTTGCGGATGTTACATGGTCCTGGCGGACGGATACCACTGGATGATGCATCAACTCGCATCGGTCCGCAGTCACCAGGTGCGGCACACTATGCGCCCCAGGACGGGTAGGGTAGGGGGACGTGGTACAGCTTGTTAGTGGCCGTGGAATGGGCAGCAGTGTGGTTGGATCACTGCAGCAAGCCCAAAGCATCCAAGAGGGATTGGGGCCCAGTGGCAAGGGCGGCGTCGGGCAAACCCAAGCAAATTCGGGCGCCTGCAAGGTGATGAGAAAACAATGGTCAAAGTGTTCGTGATAAGAAGTAGGCATGTCATGCCGACGTGACAGCACTTGCAAAGAAAGGGCTCGCCATAATAACTGTAGTCCCTGTCTGAGGGTGAAGAGGATTGGCAATCGTGGCTGTGTATTTGGAATTAGTTCGCATCTGCCCGGTCAGCACTGGTATTATTTATTCATTTTGTCCAGCCTTAGGGGCCCCATGTCCTGGTATCGTCCTCGCGACACGAGGTATCAGACCACCGTACTTGTTACTTTCAGGAAAAGATAGGACGAAGGATCAAATGTGGATGAGGTCGACAAGGCTTGTCAAGTATCGCACCGAGGTCCGTCGAGTTGTACGACGGTTTGGGGGGGGGGGGGGGGCAGTCATTTGACGTCTCGGCACATAGTCTACAGATGGACGACCTAGCCCCGAATCCCATCGAGCCCATCATATCATTTCTGGCGCCAATGCACGAGTCGTTTCGTGATGACTACGCCATGATTTTTCGCGGCAGGCATATTCAAACGGCGTGTTGGGGTGTGTATGTTTGGATCCATTATCGCCGACAGCCATATGGATGAGGACACCTCACCGCTGCTTCGCGGATAGTGTCCCACCGTCAGCTTGACACACAACAGGAAACAAGCGACGATAGCGTTAATCTTCATGATTGCAACTATTGCGCTTGGGTACAGGAACTCCATTCGAATGCATGGCTGGCTTCGCATATGGCTCCAGTAATCGCCCCCAGACATGCGTCCGACAGCGCTCAACTGTGGATTAGGACCCGAGTGTGGGGTCACGACACCATCTCGGGGATATGGCTCGGATAGGCTTCGGCTGAAAACCCGATCACCGCATTGTCCCGCTTGAAAAGTAACGGGCAAACGGGGAAAATAGGGCCTTGCCGTTGCAACGTGGGGTTTGGAGATCCGGGAAGCTCCCAAATTTCCAGATGACAACGCCGGTTGGGTTTGGTGAGATAGTTGGATCTGGCCGTGCAGAACGACGTTTCGAGGTCGATTGTTGCTGTGGAATTGGACATCATGACACACTCATTGCGCGACGTGATATAGGATTGTGCCGTGGCGTCGCGTGGTGCATGGTGCATACAACACGCCCAGTCAGGGCGTTCAAGTGAGTCTGGGGTCAGGTTGGGTCGTGGTCGATGCTGACCCCAGATATTGAACCCAGCCACCCCATTGAGCAGAGGCAACGTCCCCAACGGCCCGTCAAATTAACGTTGGAACTTGAAGAAGGAATATCGCGTGGATGGGAGCATTGATAGCAGGATGCCAAGACGCGTACGCAATGCACCTAAGAGATGAGACAAAGTACTCGTGCCGCAGAGCAGCAGAGGACACCAGCGCTAGTTCGCTCGCGGGCAGAAAGACGGCTGGCTGGCTATATGATGACATTGGCAAACGAAGCGGCGCAGCGAGCGGAAAAGGCTCTTTCTAGCCATTGAGCCCATGAACCAGCCGGATAGCGACGTAATGGTCCCGTGCCGCACTCATGCTGTTCCTCACAAGTGCTCTGGTTGGGCTTCGCCGCGGCCTGACGTCTTAGTTGGATGCACGACGGACTGGTTTTGACTGATGAGGGGCGACAATTGCGTAAAACAATAGTTTGTGTGGCAACCTGAGATTGGACGATGCCTCTCCAAGCCAGGCCCCCGGATTTAGATTTAGATACCTTGCAGAATCGAACGGGCGGCATGCGACGTGGATATGGTTGTAAGCATTCATTGACTGACGGCAATTCGAAAGGAAAGAGCGATGCTCTATCGATGTACAATTGGAAGTGGGCCGGGCCCCATATTTCCAGGTTGACAGCCAGACGCCCGACACCTGCAATTACCCGTCCCTCGTGAGCTAGGGCACACCACTACTTATTTGGGCTTGGATACCTTGGTGTTAGTGGATGTATAAGTATCCGGCCTGGTTTTTATACTGCAACGTCTGCAGGATAGAAGTGTCACATTGCTCATCCATCGGACGTTCCGACTATAGTGTATCCTTACGTGTTTTCGTTTGGGGGGTGGAGGTGAGCTGGAGGCGCGGCGGGGATTTATCGCCAACTTGCCTCGCTTTGTTGGCTTCCACAATGCTCACCTGGGCAGGTCGTGCAGTCCGCGTCTCAGCATTGGGCTGGGCGTCAGGGGCCACCGCTGGAGAACAACTGGCCTAGGTGGGGCCTCCAACGCCCGCGGGCCGTAGCCCGCATGGCGGAAAGTCACATGACTGCTCAGTTAGCATGAACAGGGAGGGGGGCGGCGAGTCCAACAGCCTGGGTCGCCGTCCCTTTTTTCAATTTTGTTTTCCTGGTCTCTATTTCCCCTCGTATGTGTAGGGACTGACCTTGCAATTGTCGGTGAGGGGCCAACATTGTGGAAATGAAAGGTCTTCACACCACCTCGAAGTTGCGGTCAACCACAGGATTTGGGTTATTTGCCAATACCTGGCTTTTGCGAGTCTATCGTATGATGGAGACACTGTAGCGCTACACTGCCAGTGGCGCCTTAGTTCGTGCCATTATGCGGGATGATGTGGCTCCAACAATAGGAGGAAGCTGACAAGGCTCACAGTAATTTCTCTTTTCGCAGGCAAGTGCTCCCTCCACGCATATCCAGTGATGAACGCAAGCGCAGAAATAGAGCGCGTTTCGCTTCATCGGACTGCCCGTTGATGGTGTGCAGCCCCAGCTAAGACTACAGGGGGCCGGCCTACTCTGGGCGACGGGCAGAGTATGCGCTTCATTTTGCTGGATTTGATAGCGCGTGTAGAAAATCCACGTTGGCGTCCACAAATTAAAAGAGGGTTTCGGCTTCGATAACCAGCCACCCAACCTGCTCGGGCCGCTTGTCTGCATTGCCCCTCTGGACTTTGTCTCTTCAGGCCACTTGCATCTGCTGGATGAGCGTTTTGAAGCCGTGAAAGGGATGGTGACTTGTCAACTTGCCCCACATAATCATATATGCGACCTGCCCATTCGAGGAGTTGGCGTGTCGAGACAACGCGTATGTCCGTGAGTGAGTCGCATCCGCTTCGCATAGACATATGCCCAACATTGCACTTTTGCACAACCTGATCGGGCCTCGAGGCCGGTTTGGGCCTTGCCGCCGTCGCATCAAGTATCTTATCGTCGCTATAGGTGTGCAGTGAACATAGGCATGCCAATTCCATCGATCATCCCTGTCGATCTGATGAAAATACCAGCATAATGACGTCGTCAACATGATGGAGATCCGGGGTCTTCTTCAATGCACGGGGTGCCTGTTGGTTGCTACGCGGTTAGGCAGCATGCGGTTAATTTGGGTTGTGCCACTTTGATAGGCTTACAGTCTGCCAGCGAATGCCACAGTTGGCGTCTAACACTTTTTCCTCTGCAGCATGGCCGCCGCAAGTTATGCCTCTCCGCGTAAAGCTTCCAACGACCGTGGTTAATATCAGACCGAGTCTCTGTATGTTGTATAGATGTGCGTTACATGTGCGCTTATTCATGACACACTCAGCGCCAGCGACTAAATTTGATCGTGCAGAACGATCTCGATGGGGGAAGGAGAGAGGGGAGGGGCATTGTTCCTACCACGTTTTGAGAGCTGTGCCGATACGTTAACAATGAGACCTTGCTAATAGAAGAAGCCAAGGTTCCGGGTAATACTGGATCTCCTCGAACGGTGGAGACCTTGGTTCAAGTGATTGCGACGAGACATGGCTTGCCGAATTTGGGTACATATGCGTATCTATGAATACCTCGGCGTTTCTTCAGGCTTCTCAAAGCATACCTTGAGAATGTTGTTGAGTAATGCTTAGATAATTGGTGTTGTCGACAACTTAAGCTACGTCGTCGTTGCCCCTGAGAAGATGGGCTTACTGCTGAATGCGCAAAGTGAAGTGACCATTTTCAGTAGTCCTGACTGTGCAGAGTATTTTGTGGGAATTACACGACTGTACAAGAAGCTGGAACAACCGCTCCAATTCGAGTTCACGTTAGCGCAGCGTCGAGGTTATCTCGACCTGGCCTTGGAGTGTTCAAATATTGACAGGATTCCCAATGGTGAGCCACGAGGAACCTGGGACTTATCAGACCCCACCAGTGGTACGATTCTGGTCTTCGGGGCTATCTCCAGCTTCGTTCGAGCCTTGCTAGTCGCCGCTGGTACCTAGCAAGCGTCGGCTGTGAGCATGGTTTCATGGGTTTGACCACGGCTTAACCACAGTTTCCAGTGTCGCAATTTCGGGCATTTTGTGAGAAATAAGACTTCAGTACCACCTGGTGGGAAAAA